GGCCTGCCGACGCTAGCTACAGCTGCGCCGGACTCCGCGCTGCCCACAACACCCATCGCCAGTCCTCCAGTCGATCCTCAAGTCACTGACATTTCGAGCCTGGTCTCCCAATTGTCCTCATTCCTGAGCTTGCCACCGCTCGCCACGGGTTCGTCAGACATCTCATTGACGGCATCGGCCACATTGGCGTCAGACTTGACTTCGCTGAACGCCTTGCCAACGGGCGGCTTCAGCTCCCTCGTCGGCCAGACAGGTGGCTCTTCGACATTCGGCCTACCCGTAGATCCTCAAGCTACTGGCATTTCTAGCTTGATTTCAAGTCTTTCATCGCTACTTGCGTTGCCTACGCAGAATACGGCGTTGCCGGGAGTGTCCGTCCAACCATCGAACGGCTTGGGATCAGACTTGACTTCGAACATTGCCCTACCAACGGGGGTGCTCAGTTCTGATATTAACTTCCCTGGCAGCTCATCCACGCTCGATCTTCCTGTCGATACCCGACTTCCGGCATCGAGCCTCCTCAGTAGCTTAACCTCCGCACTGGCACTGCCAACAGCGACGCTAGCCCCATCAGACTTGCCTTTGTCGACGTCCGTCGGCGTAGCATTGCCATCGACAACTCTACCCACCTCCGTGCTTGCTTCCGTCGCTGACGAGGCATCAAGCGGTCTGCCAACTCCCACGCTTCCCGTCGATCCTCAACTCAGTGCTGTTTCAAGCTTGCTCGTCAGTCTTTCTTCAGTCCTGGCACAGCCTTCGTTGGAAGTAACCTTGCCGGCGACCATTGCGGCCTCTGTGACGATCTCGGCTGACGGCAGTCTACCGTCTGCGCCTGCAACTGTGAGCCTTCCGGTCGACCCGCAAGTGACTGTGGCGAGCAGCTTGCTCTCTAGCCTCTCTTCGCTGCTTGCACTGCCTTCCCAAAGCGCCAGCATCCCCGTCTCGCTTCCGGTTTCAGTCCGTCCTACGGATACGACGAGCTTCGGCAACGTTGGGGCACAGCTCTCAAGCATCGCTTCCGAAGCTGCAGGCTTGACAAGTGTGGTCGGCGGGGCAGTCAACCCAGTCATCTCACAGACACAGATCATCGATCAGCTCACGACCCTACTTGCTGCTACAACAATCTCTGATGGCGTAGTCGTCAGCACGAATCCCGCTCTGACGATATTGCCCACAGTGTCCCTGCAAACCACACTTCCGGCTGGAACGAACTCTTTGCCTATCATCACGGATCGTCCGCCAGACTTGGATTCTTTGGGCTCCAGCCTCTCTTCGGCGCTCGGCAGCGTCACCCGAGATGTCCCAAATCCAGCTGCTAGCCAGACAGCGTCCGTCACGCAGCTCGCTAGCTCAATCAGCTCACTGCTGGCTGGATTGCCAACAGCCACAGGAATCTTGGACGTACCTCTCGTGTCGTCCATCGAGAGTGTTTTGTCCCAGGTGTTGAGCACAACAGGCTTGGGGTCGCTTGCGCCCGTATCTACTCCAAGCAGTGACACTCTGCCGACCCTTCCCACCAACCCATCCCCTCCAGGAGGTGACAGTCTCCCATCCGTTGGTCTGAGCTCTGGCGGCGTTCTGCCAACGTTCAATCCCGGCCCAGGTGCGAGTGTGACATCTATCGATCTCGGCAGCTTGTCCACCCTGTTGCCATCTGGCATCCCCACGTCAGGCTTAGTGGATCCAGTCGTTTCGCAGGTCAGCCAAGTCGTTTCCGAGGCTCTGTCTGCGTTGCCGACCTTGGCAGAACCAAGCAGTACACTCCCGGGCCCCACTCCCACACAGCTTCCGGTCGACACACAGCTTCCCGTGGACCCTGTGTTTTCACAAGTCTCCCAAATTCTGTCGTTTGTCTTATCCTCGATTGCCTTGCCGACAGGGACAATCGACCAGTCTGAGCTCATTTCGACTCAGCTATCGTCAAACGCACCGATTGTATCCACCACGCTCGGCGTTCCCGTTGCTCTGCCCACTACAGCTGCGCTAGAGAGCTTCACTTCCGCCCCAGCAGCAGGCGGCCCGCAGAACACATTCGCGAGCGCGCCTGCGGTGAGCTCCATACTTTCTTCGATTCAAAGCATGCTCTCGCAGACAGACGGCCGAGGGGCTACCCTGACGTCCAATGCGGGAGTCTCTACGGCCATTAGAACAGTCGTGCCAACAGATGACCGCACAGCGATCGTTTCCTCCCTCAGCAGCGTTTTGTCGCAGATCTTTTCACCATCAACTTCAGCGCAGGGTGGTGATCCCTCACTTTCGGCAATCCCAACCGCTGGCTCAGGTGCAACTACTCAGCTTCCAGCGACCTCTTTGCTCTTGTCACTCAGCAGCACACTCGCGCAGCTTCAGAGTGGCAGACAAACGCCGGTCCAGGGCGTTTCCACCCCACCAGGCGCCCCAATGAGTTCTGGACCATCGAGCTCGGCCCAGCCTGGTGGAGGCTTGCCATCTGAAACAGCAGTGCTTAGCAGCGTGGCGCCCACGCCCTCCAGAGCCGTGGACCCTGCTAATTCCAGCGTTAGCCTTGTCACCTCTGAACCACCGCTCAGCTTACCTGCTGGCATTCCGGGCCCAGGTATGAGCACATCCGCGGATCCGAACGCGGTCGATCCAACCGCTCAACCTACCCCAAGCCGCGGAGGTGCGGTGCTGTCTTCTTTGACTTTCAGTCTTGGGAATCAGCCAACCGCAGGGCCGAGTGGATCGCAGACGACACCTGCCCCTCCACTGGCCTCTCGACTGAGCAGCATTGTATCTCAAGCTCTTTCTTCGGCCAGCAGTCTCGTTGGTTTGAGACCGGCAGCTACAACAGCAAGGACAGCCGACGCTACGAGTACAGCTCAAGGCGGCAACAATGCAAATGCTCCCAACCGGCCGAATACGGGTGGCGCAGCAGGGACTCAGACTAGCCAGAGTGAAGCCTCCGTTGAGATCCCCCGCCAATCCAGCAGCATATTGTCGGGCGGAGCCGTTGCTCCCACCGGCCTCTTGAGCAGCTCTGCTGGCTCGGATCCGCTCACCGGCGCTCCGGCTGCTACCACATCGCGATCGCAGCCGCTTGCTTCTGGTTCTCAAGCGCCGGGCTCTGACAGCGAGCCACCCTTCGATCAGGCTTCTGGCGCTGTAAGTCCATTTCTCATTACCATGCTTCACGAGCCTACACTGACTTTTGCTTTCTCGCATTCTTCACAGTCACGCCAACCTCAGACAGATGGTCCACAGAGCACCGATCCTCGGCCTACTGGCTCCACGTCTCTCCGCGGCAGCAATTCTGCCTCAGGAACCAGCAGCAGTGGCGGCACGCAGCCATCCTCCACGGACCATTCAGGCGGAGGCTGTCCGCCAGCGCCTTCGCACACATTTGGCCCAGTGCTAGACTCCAAAGGCAAAATCCTCTACCGTCACGGCGTCCCGCTGTACACTCCAGTGATCCACAAGCACCACAAAGCGCCCACCAAGACAGTCGTGGGCCATCCCGTCCATGAAACGGGCTTCAAGCATCCTTTGAAAGAAGGTCAATGCACGTGTAAGCTGCCGGGCGGTAGCAAATTCCGCACCTCCCTTGACAACTTCAGGCGCAACATTGCTGCGTAAAACGTGGAAGATCGTTGATGCGGACGCTTCGAATCGAGGTGCCCACCTTCTAATCACACTCTTTTGACATTCTCGCCTTCTACCATACCAAACTCTCATTCACACCAACCAATCACCCTCTTTGCGTATCAACTCGAACAACGCTCCTTATCCTTGCCTGTCAATTCTGCATTGCTCCATAGAAGCTTCCTTGTCTGCACTGCTTTGCTCATCGCAATACCCATCATTTCTCTCCTGCTGACTCTTGATCACGTCTCAGCCTCCACTGAGAGATCTACGGAGGCAGACGCGCTCACCTCTGGGCGGGCAAACGCCCGCCCTCAAGGTACCCGAAGCTGTGCGCAGATGCCGAATCAAGTGAACAGCAAGCCTTGAGATCTTGAATGTACACGTGCTGGCTCGCACACCTCTGAAAGTCTGCTGCTGAGATTGCAACGTAATTGCAGGAATGGTATACTCGTATTGAAAGACTAAGGGAGGAGAGAGTGGACGATTAGACGGGGCAGAAGGCAAGATGGGAGGAGGGTCTACAGTGAGCGTACGATCAAATGGGGCAGAGCAGGTATAGGTACTCCTCCAGCCAGCAAGAAGTTGAGGGAGGTGATTGAGGCGCTGTGGCATTCTATAGCATGGAGCAGGAAGGAGCGTGTGACGGTGAAAGAGCAATTTTGATGTTTGCGAGTCTGAGAGGGTATCAAGCTGGAAGCTGGTTGCTTGCAGTGTGCATTCAATCGTTGCGATGTGCTGCAATGCTGTTAGGCAAAGGATGCAGCACGACTTTAGTTGCGAGCGCGCATTTCAGAATGTGGCGGCTTCGACTCTCACCTTTCGAGGGCCTCGACAAAAGTTGTGACGTCGGTCATGAGGCTGTGTGTCCCTCCCTTGACAATGTTTACCTTGCACTCCCGCATTTCTCTCTCCATCCACAACACTCCAGAAAGACTAATGCGCTCATCCTTGTCTCCATGCCAAACGATGGTTGGATGCTGCACGTCGGCGTAGGTGAAGCCCCAAGGTCGTTGCGACGCTCGGCCCAAGATTGTCAGCAGATCCGCCGCCCCACCTTTGAGCGACTCGGCATGTGATGCTCGCAGAATTGCCGTCGGCAAGTCTATGAGGCCCTTCTGAGCTGAAGTCGGGGTAGCAGGGGAGGTGGAATCAGGTGAATAGACTTCGAGTCGTTCGTGCAGCAAAGGAGAGTCGCGAATGCTTGAAGTGCTGATCGAGCTCGGCATCGCGTGGTTGCGTTTACGACCCCAGCTTCCACTATTGCGGGAGGAAGAAGTTGTAGAGACGTCCAAGCTGACGTCGCCGTTTGGAGCAGATGCCCAAGCCATGTCGCCCTCCTGTACAGAGAGGGCGGACTCCGATCGCCGCATGTGAAATATGCTGCTGCGGGCTGATCGGTCCTTACGTGGTACGACAGGTGCTTCGTCGGGGTAGACAAGTTTTGGAGAGCCATTGTGAGTCGATCGGATAGCGTCGCTGAGGTCTTGCACGCGAGGCGACCGGACCATCCCCTCCTTCGCCGACGCCAAAGAACTAGAAGAACCCCATCGTGGAATCGGCGAGCGGTCGCCCGTCCGCGAAGATACTTGAGATCGTCTGTCAGCCTCGCGTGCCTGCGCTGAGCGCACAGAGTCCGGTGTACTCTTGAGCACGTCCGCGTCGCTCTGCGATGAAGAAGCCCTACTCCCACTTCCGCCCAGGAAAGCATTGAAACGGCCTGGCTTCGATCGCAGCGCCTTCGAGGCGCCACTGGTCGGCGTCGACAGAATGGGGGTGGAAGGCACTTGTAGCGAAGGAGAGGCAACGCGGGAGGCCGTGTGGATGGACGAATCCCGCATGCTGAGATCGGAGCTTTTGTCTCCGCTGCTTGCTGTGGTGCCAGTGGGCGAGACTGGAGGGAGCATCTCCTGTCCGTGCATCGCAGGCCAACCGCTTGTCGAACCGTCTGTGCGGGGGGAGATGGCACCGTTGTAGGAGGGACTTCGGTTTCCGCTCGTACGAGCATCGTAGCCGATCGATTCGTAGGTTAGAGATGGCAGCTTCCCAAGTTTCCAGCCTTGCACCTTCCACTCCGCTGCCTGAGCAGTCTTGATGACGCTGTCTGGCACGTATTTGAGCCATTTGTATCCGCTCTCGACGCTTGTGCCGACCCAAGGCGCGAGCAGATGCGCAGGACCCGCAATCTTCTCGGGAAAGCGCAAGCACGTCGCCATTGCGTAGGGTCCACCAGCGCTGTGACCAAGGACAGAGTATTTCGACACGCCAAGTCGGCCCGCGACCTCTGCCACCACATTGCTCCATTCTACTACGCCTCGACGTTCCGCAGATAGATCGTCCGACTTGCCCATTCCCCAACGATCAATGCAGATGAGTCGAAGGCCGAGCACAGCGGCCATGTCATCGTAAAGTGCGACAATGTAGCGTACCACGCCGAGCCCAAGGAACACGATGACAGGATGTCCATTTGGATCACCGACATCTGCGAGAGAAACTGTCAAACCCGCGTACGGTGCTTGTTCCAGCTTGATCAGTCGAGTCAGTCTGCTGGAACGCAGGTACTGCGTGACGTCTGTATTGAGCTTGTCTTCCGCCGAGCCTTTTCTACCGGGCATTGGCGGGACTGGCTCGGAGATGAACGAGGCCGGTTTGCCAGGCGCCTTGGATGCGGTACGATCCGCCGTTTGTGCGATAGAGTCATCGACCGCGTAGGAAGCCGTAGATTTGCGGCTCGCCCTTCGTGACAGTCTTGAGGATGACGGCATCGGATCCACAGTACCTATCTCTCCAAATTCGCCCACAGGCCGAGTTGGGAATGAGGTAGCGTGATGCAGCTTACGTCGCGCAGATCTGGGCATTGGGGCTCCAACCGGCTGCATGGCCTCTTCTTCGGCCGCTTTGCGAGCTGCTGCTTTCGCAGCAGCCTTCTCCATACGAGCCTTGCGCCGCTCGGCGCGAAGCGACTCCCGCACCTCCCTCAATACCGAGTCATGACTGGCTGCCGATGCGCCATCATCCTCTTCCGATTCTGACGAGCTTCTGCTCTCGCTTTCGCTTTGATATATCCGAGCATTGCTCGGCGAGGGAGGTGGAAGGCTACGAGCCTGACCTGGCGGAGCTGATGGAATGGACAAACTTGACGCTAGAGATGTTTTGCCATGTGTTGACCAGGCTTGCGCCGCATGACCGCGGATGATGTCGTCTATGCTCGGCACCAACTGAGGTGCCAAGCGAGCTGCTGTAGCACCAGAAGGCGGTAATGCTTTGCCTACTGCGGCGCTTGAAGCCGCATATGTGGCTCGCACAGGAGGCAAGGGCGGTAAGGGCTCCGGAGCCAAATCCGGTACCATGGGCACTTGGCTGGTGGCACGAGCTGAGGTTGATCGTGTAGTGACAGGCCGAGTAGGCTTCTGACTCGTTCCCCGCCTGATGATCTCCTCGATCGAAAGAGGCTGTTCCTTGATCGGAGGTGCGGGGCGCCTGTCAAGCCTTGCGGTGGGGCACAAAAACGATGCACGGCCAGTCAGATTCACATTCGCGCCCACCTGAGGCCTCGATTGTCCATTTTCTTGGTCCTGAGGCGCCCACGCTGACTGTCGCAGCTTCGGCGTCGTAGCCTCAGGGTCTGCAGTTGCTACGGCTTCCGGCATTGCAGAGGAGCTCGGCAGCCTGGCATTGGCATCTGTCGACAGCGATCCGTTGCGTTCACTGGTTGTGCTTCCTGTCGACACCTCATCGGGTATGGAGATAATGGAAGGAGCGGGCGAGTCTGGGATAGCAGCCAGGGGCACTCGTGATAGTCTGCTGCTCTGCTGCATCAGTTGTCGGCAGTCTGTTGGGACGCCCTGCGTCCGTCCAGGCAGCGCTTGCTGCTTGCTCACGGCGCTCCCGCGAGATGCTCGCATTTGCTGTTCACGTGGTGGATCTGGGGCTGCGAGTGGGCTGGTCGAAACCGCAATTTGCTCAACTGACGACGAACTTGAAAGAGCCGCCAAATTCTGCGCGCTGCGCCTGCGCGTGACGGAGGACATCATCACGGGGAAACCCCCCGGACTGCGTTGAGCAGCGGCGGCAGCAGCTGCCGTATATGCGGCTACATCCTCGGCGGACCGCTCAACATTTCCATCTTGTGATTCCTGCGATACGCGAGCCGCTTCCTGGGTCGCCACAGATGGCATAGGGATGGCAGACTCATCCTGAGTCCTAGGAGAGCGCCGCTTCTCTGATGTAGCTCTCGCTGCCATACGACTGGAGGACAAGCTTCTCCAATGGTCTACACTGGCCGAGGGCGACATCCCAACATCCTTGCGCTCGACGGGCTGACCATTGGGATGGCGGTCTGGCGGTACCGGAGGATCGGCGAAGGTGCCCAGGATAGAAGATGAAGTGGAGGAAGGCGTGATAGGATTGGTGGCTACGCTCCGCAGCGATATTTCACTTCTGCTGCTGCGGAGCAGGTGAGATGAGGAGGCGGAAGAAAGATTCCCGCTCCTCAACTTGTTGCGCTCCCGGTGATTGGGTCCCGCATTCAATAGGAATGCCCTCGCATCCACCCCGCCTGATTGACCTGGCAAAGCTTGTTGTGAATCGACGTCCCACTCGCGGGGCTGGTGCGTCAGGACGCGTGCCGCTCCTGTCGACCTCTTGAGGCCCTCGGAGCATGTCGGCGTGTCCACGATCTGAGCCTTTTGCTGCTCCAGCGTCCAGGCGGAGACTTTGCTCGCGGCAGCTTGCAACGCTTTCCGGCGCTCTGCTTCCCTCTCTCGCTCGCGCTGCACATCCGTTCGGGGAGAGGACTTGTCCTTTCGAGACAGCTTCGGCGTCAAGGCAGTCGGCGGCACATACGGCCCTTGCCCTCGCCGCTCCGGGTACAAGTCAAAGTAGGATCGTCTCGCAGCGCCAGCTGGTGAAGCACTTCCACCAGCCCTCGAGCTTGATGCGACTGGCGACGAACCACTCACGCCCACGTCGGAGGGTGTGCGAGCCGGATGCACCATCATGTTGGGTCGAGACCAAGCGCTAAGGACTTGCTTCGGATCGTCGATGGAGTAGTAGCTAGCATCTGGCGCGCATCATGTCGAGTCCTTGGTGGTGTGCCGTCCAACAAAGGGCCGATCGGCGGCACCCGCCAGAGGTGTGACCTATAAGGGATGGGCGGGGGCAAGAGTGCAGCGATAGTCGAAGGCAGAGTTGAGGGTTGTCGGGAAGCGAATCGATCGGGATATGGGTCGCTCGATCAGCTGTAGCAAGGTGCCTAGGGGTATAGAAGGGTGCAGGAAACGGAGAGTAGAGCGCTGACACACCTACGGGGGAGCAAAATCAGGCTTGCGATGCCGGGCAGGCCAAATACTTGTCACACAATGTTGAGATGATAGTCGGCTGCACGATGTGCTGCAAGCCAAGTGATGGATGGACTTGGAATTGATGGCTGCGTGAATGGGTGTGCGAGGATGCACGGCATCCATACCGGTACAGCAGAGTGAAAGGAGAAGCGCTATGTGCATCGTCCTTCGCGTTTGGCTGCCTCGCGGAGCCGCCTGATGGGTACGCTACCGATACCTACAGCGAAAGGGCTTTTGCATGCCTACACCGCTGCTCCTGGCTGCTGTCGAACGCTGCATGCTGGTGTAGGGTACCGCGCATAGTACCGGTACAGTACGTCGTCCCCTGCTGCAAAGGCCACACGGATGATGTGAATGGATGCATGCATGCCTATAGTCTGCCGAGTGCAAAATCGCCCGCCGCGTCCGTGCGGTGCGCCCGGCCTCGTGCCGGCATATATGCACATCCAAGATCGCGCGTATGCCATACCTTGCTATTGTTGATTAAATGATTGACGCGCTTGTATACTCATCAGTGACTCAAGATTCTCGGCTCAAGACTCTTGACTCTCAAGAATGATGTTCCCATCGGCTTCGGCATCTAACAGCAACTTGGCGACACGATCTAAGAATTGGAAACTCTCTTCGCTCAACTTGAAAGTCATGTATCAAGGGCCACGACTTGCAACTTTCAACAATCTTGAATCTGTGCAGACCTTGCTGATGCACAAATACAAAAGTTTAGGCAATCGCAGACGCTCATATATGCGTGCTGAGCGGAAATCTGTCGGGCGATCTGCGAAATGGTCAAACAAGCAATTAAAGCGTCTGCCTCAAATGGTCATTAGGGTTCCATTTGGAAGTTGTCTCGCTCGATTGAAGATCAAAGTGCGAATAGCCGCGTTGTCGTACAGCGCAAAGCGATGGCGCATCCCACGTCTTTTGGTCACTATAGGAGCGATTTGCGTTTCCACTCACGACTCCTGACTCTCGATCAACGCGTGTCGAATATCGAAAAAGTCGTGATTCGGGGTTCGTGATTCTTGATTGCTTGACTGCTGGCCAGCCAGCGAGACCGGAGCAGCGGCATATCGAAAACGCGCTCCAACGCGAATGCATCAATAGCGGGGTGATCAGCATGCGATCTGCGCGACGGCACATTTCGAGCCGTTGAGCGCTGTGCTTGGACGCAACGTCGTGCAACAGTACCGCGGTGAGTGTGCAATCAGCATGGCAAGGCTTGGCTGCGGCTGGTAGCCGCTGATTGGGCAGCCAAGCTGAACAGAAAAGTACCTAGTGAGTGGACGTGGACGGAGCGGTAAGCCTACAAGGGCCACTGGATCGCCAAGAAGGTGCGGTCAGGTGCAAGATTGCAGAATGCGTGCTCGACATGGCTCTACCGCATCCCGCTCTCGTGCGGCGTGAGCGGGTGTGAGCTCCGAGGTCTGACTGATGAGGTTTTCCTGGCTCAGCTGGCCATTGGGAAGGAAATCGAGCGCGCACACGCGTGCGTGCCATTTCGAATCCCCGACAGCATACCATCTTGACGTTCTTGAGCCTCTTTCACTACGTATTTTGCCTTTCAAAATGAGCTACACCGCAAGAGAAGGTGAGAGCGGAAAGGAGAACTTTCTCCTAACTATAGCTGGATGTGCTGGATGGCCTGCCTACCTATAGCTGTCATGAGCACGCTTGCGTGTGAGAGCCTGCTCTCGCGCCATGCAGCAGCGCCGCGCTGGGCCTTCGCGTAAACGGCATACTTCTCTCGTACGACACGTCATGTGCAACACAACCTACCCATACAGCTGCAGATGAGACGCGTCGGGCCGCGCACCGGAGTGAGCGCTAAGGATGACACGCGGAAGGTGGGTGACCTCCTCGAAGCTTTGCTCCCTCCTCAATACTGGCAGCTCCGGGGCTCCACAATCACTTTCACTGCCCGAACTGCTTCCTAGCTGCACAGCGCAAGAAGGCATGCTCATAAAATACCTCAGGTGGCGCGATAGGTAGCATGTCAGTCGTGTGGTCCATCTGCGTCGCCTTCGGCCGCATCACCACTCTCTTGCAGGTCATCCTATACCTACCACTCACCTTGGACGTAGCTGGTGTGGTGAGTCGATGCTCATGCCCTCTGCGCGCTTGCGGCATCGCACTTGTATTGACTATCGGTTTGGCTTATGCAGGATGCCTTCTTGGCGCTCTCCGCTTCACTGGCCTGCTACTACTTCTTTCTTTCCTCTATACGAGCACTCGTCAAAGGCACGAGCTTGGCCTGGCTAGGCACATTCCTCGCGACGTTTCAATTCCTCGTCGTACCAGCATGTCTGCTTGTCGTCTTCAATGTCTACTCTCCTCCCAGTAGCTCTTACTTCTCCACAAAACCCCAATCCAGGGTAGGGGCCTTTGCATCAGCGCTTGGTGGAGACAACAGTAGTGTAGGGGCGATCGCAGAGCTGAGAGCAGTCCTGCACGGCGTAGGTCTCGCTGAGGGCTTGCTCGGGGAGACCGTAGGAATAGCTGTATCAAGCGTGTTGGAATGGATTGTGGAGCACACCTTCTGGCTCGCTAGGGCTGTGCCGCCTTGGTGGCATACTTTGCTGAGATGGAGCAGCCCGGCGTTTAGCTTATTGGAAGGCATCTCAACTCTATTGGTCATTCAGGTGAGCGCAAAATAAGGCTCCTGTTGCTACAACGCTGTGTCGCTCACGCTTTGCGCACCGCACACAGGTGCTTGGCAGCCTATCGCGATACATCATCGCCGCTTCGCTCTCATCCCCTCCCTCGCCACGCCGAAAATGGCTTTCCTGGCTGCCATCATTTGGCTTAGGTGGAGCAGAAGGCTGGCAGCTCCTCTTTCTGGTCAGCGCTGCGTTCGTATACGTCTCGAGTGCCGTAGCGCTCTACCTGTCATTCGATGGAGCCACTAGAAACCGCCCTGGCGCCGCGGCAGCTACTGGTGCAGCTGTATCATCCACGCTGTGGCTCACTGCCATCGCGTTTGCAGTCCGAAAAGGCAACGTCATAGAAACCAGTCTTATGGTGAGTGAAATCGTGGACGTCAAAGGCGCAACCAGCTTCAATTTCTCCTCTGACGTAGACTTTGCCTATTCACCTCAACTAGTTCGGCTATGTGGTGTGGAACGTCTATCAGCTAGCAGATTCCCTTGCATTTACTGCGGATCCGCTGGCACTCATTCGGTCCTTCAAGACTGACTCGCTCGCATCCGCGCCTTTGCCGCCCTTGATCCTCGCATCTGCAACCGCTCTATTCGATCTTGCTGGACATACGCTAGGCCACTCGGCGCGATTCATTGCAGCCGCAGGAGCGGCTTTGCCGAAGAGTGTCATCGTCAGTCTAGTGTACAGGTTGATGGTGCTATACGCTGCATCGCGCATCTTGCCCGTCCTGAAGGCAGCCGAAGGCGCGTGGAGGGACCAACAAGTGCAGCAGGAAGAGGAAGACAGCGGCTCGGAGACCGACGAGGAACTCAGAATGGACGGGATGGTAAAGGGAAAGGCGAAAGAGGGGGTCGAGACCAAATTGCGTGATCGAAAGGCTGCGGCGGCGGCTCGGCGCAGGAAGCGATTGCGGCGGAGCCAGGATCGGGATGAGCCTTTTGGGGCTTGTGAGTCACGGAAACCTCTCTGCGAGTGTGCGCATCCCCACGAAGCTGATCGAACGTGCTCCTCCGCCTACTTCAGTCATTTCGATCATTGTCTCCTATTCCCGGCTTTTGCTAATAGCAGTCTACTCGCATCTTCTACGTGAGTAAGCATCATCGAAAGCATTCGCGCCACGGTCGGCTAAAAGCTCAATTCCTTGACATGCAGTGCTGGACCAGAGCCACATGACAGTCCATAGGTTTCTCGCTGTGGGCACAGCGCTGACAGTGTGGTCCTTTGAGCTGGTCTTAGGTGACTCGGAGGAAGGTATGAGGAACACCTCGTGGTAAAACACCTGAAACCTGTGGAGCAGCATACAGTCGCAATTCGATCGCAATTCTCCAAACACTAGTCATTTTGTCACGCGCAGACGCTCTTGAACTTCACGGCGTCGCCCACACAAATCTGAGCCAGAAGGTCATGCGCTCATTAGAGGCGGCACGACTTTCAAAAGCCAACAGGTGGCAAGCTAGGCAGGCAGTACTGCATGGACCCAACGGGCCGCGGGTCCGGGTGGGGCGATCTTCAGCTCGACAAAAGTCGCGAAATGGCGTGAATGAGCACGCAACGCTGCGCCTTCACCATCTGAACGGGGAGCCGCAACTGCGATTGGAAGAGATAGAGGCCAGTCTGGTGGCGGGGTCAAAATGGTGAAGTAACACAAGGCGCGATCGCCACTCCCATCGGTGATGCGTCACCTGCCGCCACGCGCTTTCCTGGCAGCTCTTAGCCTGCAGTAGTAGTGTGAGTGTGGGGCAGCCAGACGGAAGCCCAGATAAGTGGGGAGGTGAGTGCCTGATGCGCGACGCGACGCGGTGCAAGTGGATTTTGCGGCTTTGCTTCAGAGAGTGGGTGGCAAACTTGTAAATTTGAATGTTCGCGCTGCAAGCTGATTATGCTGTGCTGCTATACACTGGTTGCCTCAAGAAGGAGCTGGCTTCGCGTGGCTCCGTTCGAAATCGAACGTTTCGCCACCGTGCTCCTTGGCCTTTCCAAGAATTCCACCAACTTCGTCAATCCTTCTACTGCCCATCTTGCTCTTCTTCCTTTATATCTTTTGTGCATCAATTCACGCTCGAAGATCAGCTCCTCAACGCCTGACAATGTTTTCACAAGCTCTACTCGTCTCTCCTCTCACGATAGCTATCTCCGCACTAGCGTTTGGGACACTACAGATCTCTGCAGAAGGCCAGCCTGTCAACTTCGTGAGTGTGCTGCTTAGTCAATTCGCTGATCACGCTGCTGAGCTTTGCATTGTTATGTGTTGCAGCATCTATCGGAGAGACTAGGTGTCCCATCGCAAGGATTCGAGCATCATCGACTTCTCTCCAGAAGAGGGTTGTTCGGTCAAGCCGAGGCAGCCCTGGAGCACGCGCAGGCAAGCCGGTCACTATGGGACGCAGACCTCGTACAAGCTACAAAGCCGACCGCTCGCCGCGGTGCATTCTTGCATCCTGTGACGGTTTTCCGCGGTACGAACGTCTGGCCGGAACGACTTATAAATCACTCGCCCCACGACTCGGCCTTTCGCTCGCCGCAGAGCGTGCTGGATCGGTCTGGTAGCGCAAGTAAGTGATGAGACAGGCCATCTTGTTTGAGCGAGATCCAGCCTTTTGATCAGTGGGCTTCTTTGCATTTCCCCAGCCCCCACAAAACAAGCTGTCAAGTCTGAAGCTAACGAGAGCGTGCAATTGACTCGACCCCAGGTGTCTAGGCCATCGAGCCCTTCGCAAGCGGGGCCGCGCTACCGCGCGCTGCCATACGCGCACCGACTTTCGGCGCTTACGGGGGGAAGTCCGGCGGTGCTCCCTGGCACACCGCCTCTGCAGGCTTCGAACAATTTCCAAGCCAAATACATCGAAGCGATTCGTCACGCTCAGCGCAAATACGTGGAATCTCTTGAGCGGGCTGTCAAACCGGAACCAAAGAGCAAGGAGCCGGCGAAGAAAGAGAGGGCGGCCGTGCCGAAGCCCGCACCGAGACGAGGCGCACCGCTCAGGTATCCCGACAGGAAATTGTGGGACTTGAGTCGACCTGAGACGAGCGGCACAACAAGTCGAGCCAAGAGCAAAGCGCCGCGCGGTACGAGCCATACACAAAATGATCTCGATGATGCGAGTGCTGAGGGCAGGCCGCTTCGCGGCAGCTTGGCTAGTATCGCAGCGCAAGATCGCAAGAGACGAACGCTTGAGCTGTTCCCTCAAGGCGGCAGCGTAAGGGAAAGCGGAAGCTCAAGACGACAGCCGGCCTCGTTGGAGCTTCTTGGTGCACGACCTCATCGAGGTCTCCAGTCGGAACCAGCGACCGAGGGACCTAAGAAGGGAGGAGAGAAGCTGTCGTTGGAGCTGACGCTAGGCCGACCGTCTTGAATGCTCGCGTTCAAACACCCAGTGTTCCAACCATGCTAAATTCCCACCGTTCTGTGGAGGCACCATGGTTCGTGATGAGGCCCTTGAATCATCCACCCGCACTCGTCCTCGTTCTCGAGGCCCATGCGCCTAAAACTCACCTTGCCGACGATTCACATCCAACCGACTGGTGCTTGGCCGCAATCATGACTCCAGCCTACACTCCACGGAGCACCGCAGAGGTCATCCGAGAATCTCCACTTCCAGCATCCATCACCCCGTGCGCCTGACCGATCGCCCTCCCGATAGACAGGCAATGCGGCGCTAGACCTGTCAGCTTCATTTGATGTCGTAGTGTCGTCACAGCGTCGACAGCCACTGACGAAGCTACGAGGGAACCCGCGCCGAACGGCGCAGTCCCTATGAGCTTGGCATCGTGAGCGGCTGCTAGCTCTTCAGCGCTGATGCCTGCAATACGTCCGCGATGTGCTGTACAACGAAGTGATGCAGATTTCGCAGCCCGTCTCCGGTCGACTCGACTCAGCTTCGCTATACTGTTTCGCGCCGTCTGACATGCCAACAGGGATTGAGGATCGAATATAGAGTTGAATAACAATGTTTACAATGTTGACCACTTGCCGCAGCGCTTGTGAGAGATTGGGGCCAGGTTGCTATGCAGAGGAGCCTTGCAGCTCTCGCCTGAGTTCTTGTCCAATCTCTACATATTCTTCCAGGACAGCCTGTCAGAAAGAAGCGGAATTTTGCTCGATCAATATCAGGAAACACAAGCTGCGCAAAGTCGTCTATATGGGATGCACAGCGCCTCTGTGGCATGTCACTGCAACGTACCGGATTTTGAAGCGTTGAAGAATTGACACTGGACAGCGACGCGCCATTGAGTACTAGGGGGCAACGATGACCGAAATAAGACCGCTTGAGAGTCCATACCTTCGATGCTCGCCACTTCGACTCACATTTCTTGACTGGCACTTCCGAGAGCTGATCGCAAAGTCGTAGAAAGGGTCGCATTCTGGTCAGCGGCGCATCCGCTTGCTCTTCTCCTTGTACGTAGGCAGCTCACCTTTCCATTCAGAGTCAACGGCACATTCTGTACACGCCTGACAAATCGAGGCACATGTCTTGCACTTCTCTGACTCCTGACGACGCCCCTGACACTCTTGACCAGCTCTTCGAAAGCTTTCCCGTCTTTTGCAGCCTGGCAGTCGGACTGCAGGACTAGAAGGAGCACCACGACTTCGTCGTCGCCCGTTGGAAGCTTGAGAGCGGCAGCTACGCTCGTAACGATCGTGTCTAGTGGGGGTACGTGCTTGTTGGCTTCCAGCACTTCGTAAATCTCCGATGAGCCGAATCGAATCCCGCCCTGTAGAGGTGGTAGCCAATCAGAGGAAATGGAGCTGTAGCTGCGCGACGCCATGGTGCGCCCGCTAAGATGAGACTCACAGGGTTGAGCACAGCGTCGCTTCGGCCTAGCATGACCAAACCTCCATTGAGTGTGAGACTGACATGATCTCCATGATACCAAACGCCGGGAATCGTAGCATAATAGCTGAAAAGCCGCGTATATGCGTCGATCACATCATCAGTGGAGCGTTCCTCAAGAAAGGAGATCAGAACATCAACGATTCGATTCACCTTTCAAAATACCTCTTCTCATCTTGGCCCCAGAAGCCAAGAGGCTGAACTGGAAATGGGCTCTTGCAGACCAAGTCTCCTTCGCCGCCACGAGGTACAGACTTGCCATCCTGATCCACCACATCCACGTTCATGCCGAGATTCCGTGCTTGCAGCTCTCCTGCCCGGACAGGTAGCGCCTCGTTGTGGCCCGCGAACTGCGGCGCGAAGAGCGAGGTGTGCGTCAGCGAAGGTGATTGTTTCACGCGACAGTACGCGTGGTCCTCATCCTCACTAGGGAGCATATGTCTGGCCATGGCAAGACGAGGTGCGGATCAGCTCTGCCAAACCACATGTTGGCTCTACCACGCTCTCACCAGTTCCACCAGTGATGCTTCCAATGAGCACGTCCCCCACATTCTCAATGATCCAAGGATAAAGCTCGGCCCTCAATGGACTTCCTGTACTAAGCACCTGTCTGACTTTGAGCTTGTCACCAAGCGCCGCTTTGGGGTTGTATCCGGATCTCTGCAGGGCACCCAGATAAGCGGCCGAGGTACCAAGAACGGTGATGCCGTACTTCGCGGCCAAGTCCCACAACACCGAGGCTGGCTTGAGTGGCGAGCCCCTGCGCCCACACCAGAATATGAGCAATTCCGCGATACAATCGAGACGAACTCTTGCGAGGCGCGACACTTACTCGTACAGCACGAGCGGACAACCAGCTACCATGGCTCCAACCAGGAAGTTCCACATCATCCAACCGGGCGTAGTGTACTCTGCAGCCCGACCAAGCAATGTTGCGATGTAGCGTGAGTCATCGTGCGTCATACGAGCCTAGTGTGCTCGTAAATCGACTCACGAAAAAAGACGTCCTTCTCGTTCAGGCCGCCGTGAATGAGATGCTCCTTGCTGAGCTGCAGCAGCATCCCGCCAAGCCTGTGGGTGATGGCTTTGGGTTTGCCTGAGCAGGAGCGGGAAGGGACAGGGACAGGGTAAGGGGGAGCCATATCAGAATGTGGCTGCTCAGCTGCCGGATCAGAACATATCGAGATAGCAGCGTGTATGCTGACCTGTTGTACCGCTAGAAAACAGCACCCAGCAAGGATCATTGAAGTCTTGCTGCTCGAAAGCGATATGCGCTTCTCCCATGCCATTCCTCAGAAATTCTTTCCACTGCGTCGCCCCTAGCAGCGGCTGCAATCCTCCGACGTAGTCCACCTCCACAAGCAGATCCAACTTCAAGCCGCTCTGTTGCAATCCCCCAAGGACCTGCTTGACCTTTTCTGCGTGCGCATGTACCCTTCCGTTGTACCTGACCCCATCGCACGTGAACAGCACTTTGGGCCTCACGGCATTCAGCCTCTCCAGCACACCTTCCGGTCCGAAATCTGCAGCGCAAGAAATCCAAACCGCTCCGATGCTGCTGCAAGCCAAGAAGGCCACAATGGTAGCGATGCAGTTCGGCGCATAGGCAGCAACGAAATCTCCCTTTTGCACTCCCGATTTGCGCAAAGACCGCGCGCAATCCGCCACTTGCTGGAACACTTCGTCGTGCGTCAACAAGACGTCCTTTCTCGATTCCTCTCCGCCAGGGCTCGGTTCGCATGCCTCAATCAACGCTATGGAGTCTCCTCGATGACGCAGGAGATTCTCTGCAAAGTTTAGGCGAGCGCCTTCGAACCATCTGGGAGGAGGGTAGATGGGCGCCTTGGCATCTCTAAGTACGCTCTCCCACCTGACTCCTTTCCCATCATCGTGCCCGCTCGATATGATGTCCACCTCATCCCACACGTCTGCCCAGAACTCGCAAGGATGCGTGACGCTCCACTGCCACAAGGCGTCGTAGTTGTCCAGCCGCAAGCTGCGCTTTTGGGCAACGTGTCGACGGAATGCGTCCATGCGTGTCGCTTCGACACGCTTGGGCTCCCAGACTATGCGCCCTTGCACGTTGGAAGCGGGGCAGGCCATTTCGAGGCTGAACGGGAGAAGTGTCGAGGTGGGAAGATGCAGCTGGAAGAATGCAGTGGTCTCGGAAGCACGCGAGAGTCGTGAGGAGCAAGGCGTACGCTTTCGAGGGTCTCTGGATGCTTCAACCGTCAACAGGGAAATGGGAAGCGGGACAACATTGTGATTGCGAACCAAGAGTCCCGTTGGTCGAGCATCGAGATCGAGCTGATGATGTCGAGTGCGAGCGCGAGTGCGAGCGCGAAAGAGGAGACATCACTCATCAGCAGGTGACGTGACCACGCACTTCCCCACGACGGCACCCATGCGTGCATGCACGCACGCACAGAGCTAGCTGTGCGCGGGTACCTATTGCTCACGCGCGAGTGACAACCACATGAGGCTCGCGGCAAGAGCGGAACGGACACCGCGGAGCAACTGACCGCGGCGCCGTTCAAAGGTGTGTGCACGGACCCTCCGCGATCTTTTTCGGTGATGTTGCGTCGCGCGTGCGTCCAACCTTCATGGACGTGCTTGCCGCTTTGCCCGTGATGGTCAGCAGCGCACATGCAGTCACAGTCAAGTGTCGAGTCTTGAGTGTGCGCTGATGTGTGCTCGTCTCTGCACAGACACTCACGACTGCCTGCCCCCCTTCAGTGCGTGATTCGCATTCCATCGAACCCTCGAATCGCATCTCTGGACGCGGCTCTTGCAGCCACATCCCTGCACATCCCTGCAAAGCCGAAGCTGTCAGCTCATCACTACTCCACGCACCTGTTGGGGCTATGTCTACCTCCAGCTCATCCGCCGCCACATCAGGCCTTGCTCGCTATCAGCTCGACATTCCAACATCCGCACTAGCTTCCAGCTCCACACGCACGCGCACCTCATCCACAAGTGATCGCTCCGCCTCGTCACAATCCCAGCATGGCTTCTTCTATATTCCCGACTTTATCACTGCGGAGGAGGAGAGGTACCTGATGGGGAAGATCAATAGCGCTCCTCAGCCAAAGTGGAAAGTTTTGCAAGCCAGAAGGTGAGCTGCGATCATCGCAGCAGCACGTGCCGTGCTTGTACGAGATCATGCCGCTCACTCAAACATTCTGTCGCGCATCGCTCTTCTCAACATCCATCACGCACTCCTTGGAGCGGCTCGATCATTTGCAGGTTGCAGCACTGGGGCGGTCAGATCGCTCAAAAGAGCGGCACGTTGATTCCGGAGCCTCTGCCAGATTGGCTGGTCAGGTTTCCCAACATCGTGCAGCGTGTCCGGGAGACCAAAGCGTTCGTCGAGTCCAAGCATGAGGGTCCTAATCATTGCGTGAGCCACATTGCTTCCACAGGGTTTGCGAATGCTAGCGAAGGGCTCACACCGGCTCGCTCGCTGATTTGCGCAGCTTGTGAACGAGTACGAAGCGGGTCAGGGCATCATGGTGAGTATGCGAGCATGGTATCGTCCAAGCGGGCGTGACAGTTGACGGCCTCCATGCAATGACGCAAGCCTCATGAAGATGGAGGAGCCTACTTTGCAGCCGTAGCGACCCTCTCGCTAGGTTCGCATACACTATTAGACATCTACCGCTGGGCTCCGGAAGAGCCCACTGCGACAGGCTCTACAGACCATGACGAAGCAGACGTCGACGGTGCTTCGGAAGCTGCAAGCGAATTGAAGGTTGCTGGTCCGGGGAATGGAGGCGATGCGTCAGACGATGGAGCACACAACTCCAAGGCTCGAGCGAGGGAGCAGCACCCCGTCTTTTCTATTCTGCAAGAGCGCAGATCTCTATTGATCACGCGTGGGGACGCTTACAAGTGAGTCGATTTGGCGCTCACTCGATGCCCGCTATGCGCACACGAGCTCTCACATTCGCAACTGAGTTTTGTTGCACCTGGTGCTCATCCCATCTGCTCGCCCGACTAATTGCAGAGATTATCTGCACGGCATAGCAGACCGCAGCAGCGACACCACGCAGCACTTTGCGCGCGTGATCAATGGCTCCTCGATCAAAGCTCCGCACTTGCAGCAAGCGCTGATTAGCGCAGGCGTTGCGGTGCAGAGTGACCCAGCCCAAGCCTTTGAGGTCTTGCCGGCTGGAGCAGGTACCAAGCAATTACCCAGGGTCGGGGTGGAGAGACAGACGCGGGTGAGCATCACGATGCGCGACGTGGAACGCGTCAGCAAAGGTCTGGGAGGCGTTCTTGGACGGAGATGATGATGGCGGGATTCTCATGCGGCACGTTCACAGCGAGCTGCCGCAGCACACTTTTTGAAAAGCATGCAGAGTGTTTGCATATCGCATTCGCATTCTTTGATTCGCAATCGGCTGAGGATGATGCAATTTTTGTGTTTGTTGATACAGACGTGGGATAGGTCCATCATACTTCGAGTCGAGCACATCTTCCGACTGTCCACGCTTTCAAACTTCCTTCTTCAAGCCAGGCAGGCAAGCAAGCGGTCGCTAATGAGAGTTGAAGAGACCTTCGACGGCAGCTTCCGTCTGTTTGAGTCGATGTCTAAGCTCGTCCGCTTCCTGCTCAAAGGCCCTGAGCGCAGTCAAGCTATTCTTGAGCTGAATTCTCAACGTCTCATTCTCCTCCTTGACCGCTCTCTGGTGCTCTTCATCCGCCAACATTTTGGCGCCCGTCAGCTGTGCCGCCAGAGCTGGCGGGGCGTGCGGGGTGTGCGGAACGGCTGCGCTTGCTGGTACCGAATGACCTGCAAAGATCGTAGCCGAACGAGCGGTGCCTGGTGAGCTGCCTGGCGACAGGAGAGATCTGCCCGCTGCTGGCGCGCTCGAAGCACCGCCTGCGCTAGCAGACTCTGGAATGGCGATGGTCTGACCTTCGTCCGCTTCGGCGATGGGCTCCTGAACGCCAGACTGCGCAGGGGTGAGTCCCAGAAGATGATTGAGCTTGGCAATATGAACAGGCTCGTTGAAGAGCATCGTGACGGGTCTCGACGTTGTAGGACTGATGGGCAGGTCAAACAACAACGACGTCTCGTCGATTTCCCCATCTTGTCCATTCGCACCGACAGAAGCTTCCAGCGTATCGCCCTCTTCGAAACTCGTTCGATCCGTCGAGGTCGCCGCGCCGCTCTTTTCGCTCTCATCCGCGGCAGACGACTCGCCATGGCTGCCTTCCGTCTGCGCTTGCGATGCCCCGTCGTGAGACAGAAGAGCGCGCATGGGCGTATTTAGCGTTGCAGAAGGCGGTGGCGAGCCAAGAGCGGCAGCCAGACTGCCGTGCTCTCCTCTCTCGATCGCTCTCAGCCTTGACTCGAGCCCCGTCTTTGCATTTGGATCCAAGTGAGCGAGCTCCGAGCCCAGCCCGGTCGCATTTCGCAAGCCGCTGAGCACCACCAGTCGGAGCTGAGCGTTGATTGCTTTGGTTTCGGCAAGCTCACGCTTGCCCTGCGCAACCTCGTATCGGGAAATTTCCAGCTCTTCGCGTCTGCGCGCACGAAAGTGGACAGGGTAAGGTGGTGAATGTTGCGATTTGTCAACGAGTCAACTCACCTCTCCTCTTCGAACAGCTCTTTCTCTTTGCGCATCCTGTGAACCAAGTGGACTCTTTAGTGGAACCCTGCCAGTAATACGTTCAACATCGCTGAACTCACTGTTCGATGGTGCTAAGTTGAAAGGTGTGAAAAGCACTTTCGAGACTGGCAATCTGCTCACTTAATCCCTTCAAAGAGAGACGCAGATTCTTGTTCTCGTCCTCGACGTCATAGATACTTAGCTGCGCCTGCTCCAGCTTTTCCCTCATCACAGCTGTCTCCGAGAGCTGTCACCAGAGGTGCAAAGTAGGATCCAATAGATTCAACGCTGCTCGAAGCGCTAATGCTGCTTCGTCACAACTTCACTCACCTTCTCTCGCCAACCCTCTTCCAACCTATTGCCCAGTTCCCTCAAGCGCTCGGGACTCCTCTCATTGTGCAACGTGTCTCTCGCATCCGCAAAACGCATCACATCCTCTGCCAACTTGGCCTCGTCCACCTGAAACCTCGGCAATCTCTGGCGTTCCGCAGGTTCTTGCACTGCTGCAGCATTTCTCGAGGCTGCCCAATCTGCGGCAGCGGCAGAACCTGCTGCAGCTGCTGCTTGAGCGGCAGCTGCAAGTGAGGACAGCGTGGGCATGGCAAACGTCGATTTGCGAATGGGCTGAACCGATGAGCTTTGAGGCGCGCCTGGAGCAGACGCGCCTGATCGGGCCGGCAGTGTCGGTCGGGGCCCCGGATCAGGAGTTGCTGACCTTGAGCCCGCTTCTGAAGCTCCATCATTGCTCGATGGAGGTTTGGGAGCCTGATTCGGCTCACTCGAAGATCCCGCACGCAAACGTTCCCAGAACCGACGAGCCGTCTTTTGTCCAGCCGTGGTGCTGTTCGCTCCGCCAGCCGCGGACGCTGACGCATCAGAGTTGTCTGACAAGACGGACTGAGAGCGAGACTCGGCAGCTGGTGCGGACGGTATGATGCTGAGTTCGGATGAGGGGTCCTTCGTGGTCGAACCGTCTGCGTGGTGGAGCGCTGGCAGTGGCAAGTCGACCGCGACAAATTGGCTGCTGGAAGGTACCTTGTGGATCTGCTTTTTGGGCAAGACCGGTGTGCCCAGATCCACCGCTTCGCCATCTGTTTCTTCCACGCTTCCGAAATTGCGGGGCTTCGGAGCATCGCCTGGCGTGCCGTGGTCCTGCTGGAAGTCTTCCCCTGCTAGCTCGTCTCCCAGACTAATCTCCTGAGTCTCGCCACCTTCTGCGTCCTCAAAGTCGTCATCGTGCTCCGAGGTATCGTCTGAGCTGGAGGAGGTCGACAGCATCTTGCCCGATTCGGACGGGCTGAGGAGACCAGGGTCGGGCGGTGAGGCGGCTTCTGCGTCCAAATTGCCCGGACTCGATGGCCTTGTGCTCCGCTTGGCAGCTGTGCTGCTCGCCCTGCTTCGGCCCTTGACGCTCGACGTGGGCGATCTACCCCCCGTCGCGTCCCTGTTGCCGGCTGAACTGTTTGCGCCCCTATTCCCACCCCTGCTTCCAGACTTTATCACTCTGCGCGAGCCTCCACCACCCCCCACAGCTCGCTGGCTGACCCCTCGGGCCATCTCTACGTGCGACCCTTTGCTGGCCCGAATGAGGAGCAGCTAGACAGCCGAGCCGAGGCAAATAGCGATGGAAAAGATGGGTGATTCGTCTGCACACGGCCTGTGGGGCCTCTTGATCGACAATGGGTCGAGGCGCGCCTGGATCGACAGGCGAGCGCTGCCCCAAATTTGCAAAGCAGAGCAAGTTGATGTGTATCGTGGGCGAACGCTGGTGTGATGAGGCTCGACCTGACCAGAGTGGTTGCGCCTCTACGCGCGGAGGTGATAGTCGCTAGATATTGAAAGGGATGATGAGTAGAACGGCAAGAGATCCGCGCGAGCAATGTGAATGAATTGGCAATCGGGATTAGCTGCTTGAGTCGTGAGTCGTGAGTCGTGAGTCGTGAGTCGTGAGTCGTGAGTGTGCGTGCAAGCATCCGCCCCGCCTTTCATGCTCCAAACGCTCTAAACTTTCACCACAGCAGCAGCAGCAGCAGCAGACGATATTTGATGACATGCAACTTTCGGAGCTCATTCAAACCACTCGACTCTGTCTTCAGATTTGCGCGACTTTGACGGTAAGCTGTGCCGCTGCTGCTTGATGCTCTGCTTTGTTGTTGATGCTGCTGCTGCTGCTGTTGCTGTTGCTGTTGCCGTAGTAGACCCGTGCATACATGCATGCATCAGCTATACAGCAGCATCATACACCTGCTGCTGTGCGCGCACGTCGCGACGATGTAGCACTTGCACTCACAACTCACGACTTGCCAGCAGCAGCAGCAGCAGCAGCATATGCAGCGCCTTCCTTTGGCTGCATGCATGTGCTGCGTGTGGCGCTTTCAACCACTCCTTCACGATTCGCGCGTGAATTGGTTGAAAGCGCGCCGCCCGTATAGAAACGCGCTCTGAAAGGGCTTGGCACTCACGAATGAGCTCTCAATGAAGCACACGCGAACCTAATCCCGGACGGACTCGCCGGCGTCTGATGCCCCCCCCCCCCCCCCCCCCCCCCCCCCCCCCCCCCCCCCCCCCCCCCCCCCCCCCCCCCCCCCCCCCCCCTCCTCCCCATCAGCGAGGTCAGATCCAGGCCGCCGCTGCCTTGCCTCCACACTCAGCACCCTAGCTGCTAGCTGAGAGCTTGCGCGCGTCCAGCACAACCCTGGCAGGAGCAGCGGGTCGCGGTCATATGGCGGGCCATCGCCACCCTCCCCCCGCAAGAGAAGCCTTGGTCGAGCTCGAAGGCCGATCACGATTAGGTCAAAGCTGCGGGGTGCATGTACCCTGACACTGATGGCGTACCCCGGCCATGGTTGGCATGCAGAGCAAGGTACGGCACCGTTAGGGGACTCGTAAGCTTTACTTGAGCTGCCGCAGCGCATCTTAGAGTCAATATCCACGAATGATGAGGACGAACTGGCCAACGTGTGCAGAGTGGTCAGTGAGTCGTCGTTTGGCCAATTCCTGAACGAAGACGTGTCCGGTCTTTTCTTCAAATTGGCAAGTCAACCGTCAGCCGACCAACCCACCCACGCCCAGTCGGGAGTCTCGAGTAAAAGCTGATAAAGCCTTAATTCCTGCGTGATGGCTGCTGCCGAGGTCGCAAAGCGTCATCACGTGCGCTCGTCCCTATATATTCTCTCCTAGCCTGACTGGCCCTTTCTGGTGCCGAATGCAGGATATTCGTGACTCACATTCTTGCTTGCCTCCCGATTCGAATGCTTCTCGTACTTTGACTTCATTGACTGCATGCGCTTTCACCAACTCGCCGCGTTGCCAACGACAAGACGAAGCCTGTTGCGCTCGACCGATCACGGCAATCAAATGCGGAGCACGCCAAAAGAAGGGCGCTAAATAAGCGTCGTGTTGCAACCGCCAAGGTCACGTTATCGCGCATCTCTTCTACGCTAGCCATGTACCTACCGGTAAAGGTGGTCGTCGTCATGATTCACAATCAGCACGATCTTCCAGCTTCTTCTCTTTGGCGCAGCAGCATGAGGGCAACTTGCGTGCTATGGGCGACGGACAACGGCATTCGAGTTCACAACTCGTGATCTGAAACCATGCACTTGATTTGCCATTCAAAGATTCCACTCACTTTAACTTTCAGATCATAGTCAATGTGATACTTGATATACAGACCGCCTCGATGCTTATATACATCTGTTTCTTCGTAAATGCGGGACGCGTGTGTGGCATGAGACCGGCGTCTTACCTGCTGTGACTTCCGCCTTGCTTTCTCTACTAGTCGTCGCAGATGATATACATGCTGACGCTTCACATTCACACTGACATGCGTTTCAACATGCACGCATGAGGGCAAATTAAGCGACGTGCATGATGCGTGGACGATGCTTATTGGAATATGATGAGACGATGAGACCCATGTGAGACCAGAGTCTTGGAGCGTACCCATCGCGAATTTGACTGCGGAACATCCAGAGTGAATTCAAATCACAGAAATTCACCTCTCAACAGACAAGGATGCATCCAGCATGATTGATCCTTCATTCACATTCTCCCTTCACTCGTGACTTCTGGGCGGGCAACCACGCCAAACAAGTCACGACTTATCGAGCAAGCGCATCGCCATGCAGCGATCCAGCTTGACAAGCACTGCATGGCAACCCCCCAACGTGGATCGCGTAAGGTCACTTGCTTATATACAAGTCTCCGAAATGTCCCATGCACCCTGGGTCCGAACGCCCGGATTTCCGAGTATGTGCGGGTGATACCAAATTATACTTGGGATGGGTTGGCGTGGGTTGATCTGGGGCGCGTGCAGCTCCAGCGTTCGATTCCGGCCCGCAAACACCAAAAATGGGCGTCCGAGTCGTAAAGTGGAGCAGACCACGTGCTTGTGCGAAGAGTTGGCAGGAACGTGGTTGTGCGAGACGCGAGTCTGAGTCTTGAGTCTTGAGTGCAGACCATCAAGTCCGCGTGAAGGGATTTCGAGACATGAAACAACTCTCCTTTTTTGGTGTGCAAGAAGTTTGCTTGAAAGGGAGGCAGCAGCATCCACAGAGCACGGTGCAGTGAGTGCAACGGGTCGTTGGCGCGAGAGCACGTTCATTCTTGATTTTTTGGTGCCAAAATGAGCCAAGATATCCGCCACTGGGGGTGCTACTTGTCATAACATTCAATCACAGAATGTGTCGGCCCATTTCTCGAGCTTCAGCTCATATGCTTGATGCGATGTATGGTTGAACCCTTACCAGCTACGTGCACCTCACTGCCTTGAGCTCCTGGGCTGAGTAATTCTCGTTGACCTCTTCTCGGACCTCCGTGATGCGCACCAGCCTTCGTCAAGGCGATGTTCAGAATTCATTATTGCCGTGCGGACTCTTTGGCTTCGGGCGTGGGCAGGCGCCGCTCAATCTAGGCTCGAGCGGATGTTTTCGATCTCCGACGCGGGACGCTGCGGGGAACGCTCGATGGAACATGCGGAGGCGAAAAGTGGCGACGGCCTCAATCACAATCTCCCTTGAGCCCCGCCCTGTATGTGAGAGCCGGCGGGCGGCCGCGAATCCGCCTACCGTGGGTCGCGGCAGCAGCCCGGACCAAGCAACGAGGGTCAACAACTTTGATCGATCGGCTCCCGGTCGAACTCGCGTTAAAGCGCACAAAGCTTTCCTAAGACGTACGGAAGGAGTACAGCCTCTGGGCACGAAAGTTTGACTTGGGGCAGAGGTGGACGAGGCGGGCAGCAGCTCGATCTGAGGTGATCCTGGCTAGGCCTCGACGATCTTTACGGAGGAGGGTCGAGGGGCTCGACACCGTCGGCAATCGAAGGGCGCATCAGATCAATGGAAAGAGGGGCTGTGTGCTCTGCTCTGCGTCATCTTTACACACCGAGAGCTGGAGGGAGGGGTCTGACTCCGAGACGCTAGCGGACCAAACAGTACAAGGAGAAAGTTTGGCCCTGCCATGTCCCGCCGAACACACAGTCCCACTCCCCATGATTCAGGCTTCTCAATTCGTGCCTGCAGCGCTTGCTTGCTTGCAGGTTGCAGATCTAGCGCCACGCGACGCGGCCGCTGTGCCTGCCTGCCTGCTGCACTCACACGAGTGACTTGCCTTCCTTGGAGCAACGAGACACCGGCGGCAGCAGCAGCCAGCAGGTCTCGGTCGTGCTGCTGTCGGGACTGAGACTTTCGCTCCAAACATGCAAATACTTCTGGCGAGACGCTCTTGCTGATGGCGCGAGAGGGAAGCGGGATGGGGAGGGGGGCCGCATCATGCTCGTAAGCCCGGCAACGCAACTAGGAGCCACCGACCGCAGGAGTTCTCCGCCTTCATCTCGTTTGCTACTCGCGACTAGTGGCGGGTTTCTGCGCCAGTCACAGTGCGCTCGACTGCAAGCCGGGGTTTGGAGCACACATCTCATATGAAGTCCGACCAGATCAGATGTCGTCTAGACTGACCGCAGGCTGCAGGCCTGCGATTCAAGGGTCGAATCATATGCAACACCAAGGGGGTGAGAAGCTTTCAATGATTTGTCTATGTGGGGCATCGGCCTGCAAGAAAAGCGTTCATATTGCCGAGAGAGCAAGTTGAGTTCCCCACGCTGAGTACATAAAGAGTCGCCTCCGCCCCCATCACGCCACTGAAGCATTCGTGTCCCCAAGTGCGAGGCCCACCTCCATATTCACATCCAAGCACCCGTCATTCATTCTCTCGTTTCCCCATCGTCGTCCATCCGCAATGCGATCCACTTTCCTTTCTACCCTCGCGGTGGCTCTGGCCGCTGCTACTGCCGTGAGCAGCACTCCCCTCCCCGAGCGGGAAGTATCCACCTCGACGCTCAACATCGCCAAGCGCGCTACGCCTCTCACTCGCGATGGTCTGCTCAGCGAAGTCACCCGACTTCGTTACAAGTACGTCCGCAATCTCGTCAACTACCAGCACAACACTGGCGAGACCAACCCTTTGCTGAACGCCACGAGCACAGTCATCCAGGACATCCTTGGCCAAGTTCAGTCTCGGCTTGCTCACACCAAGCGTGCAACCGGCACGGTCAGCCTGCAGGATGTTAGCAATCAGCTGCTCTGGAAGGGACCCTTTACGGCAGGCAGCAACACCGCCCAGCTCGACTTTGACACTGGATCGAGCGACACATTCTTCCAGCCTGGCAAGTACAACCCTGGCTCCACCGCCAAAGACACTGGCCGCAATTTCACCGTGCGATACGGTGATGGCACCCAAGCCACTGGCGAGATCTACACGGACAACATCTCCGTTGGTGGTCTGACTGCCACCGGCCAAGCCATTGGCCAAGCTCGTCAGTCCACACTGGATGCATCTAGCTCTGACGGTATCTCCGGCATGGCTTTCCCCAGCATCGCCCAATTCAAGGCGGACCCATTCTACGTCAGCTTGATCAAGCAGGGCAAGCTCGACAAGCCACAATTCGGATTCGGTCTTTACCCTCAAGGAGCCCGTCTGGACCTGGGCTTCTTCAACTCTGGCAGCTACAAGGCACCTCTTAAGTTTACGAACGTGAACAAAGCTCAAGGATTCTGGCAAATTTCTGGAGCAAAGCTGAACGGCGCGTCTCTCGGAGACAACGTCATCGTCGACACCGGAACAACCATTGTTCTCGGGCCCCCACTTCAAGTCGCTGGCATCTGCTTGGCAGCTGGCGGTGTTCCTCTTTACCAGGGCGGAGAGGTGCTTTGCGGTTACGCTATCGGCACGCCCAAGTTCACCTTCAACGTTGCTGGTCTCGATGTGACCCTGTCTGAGCAATCTCAGCTGCTCACCACCCAAGGCTTCTTCAAGATCGCAGGCATTGTCGGCGCTGACATCGGACTTCAAAACGGCTGGATCCTTGGTGACACGTTCCTGCAGAACGTCTACGCTGGCTTCGACTACTCTGCAGGCGGTGCCAATCCCCGCGTTGGTTTCGCACTCAAGAAGTGAGGACGCCGTGCAGTCGTCTGAGTTCTGAGATGCTACCCATCAGCGACCTTTGCCGAACTGCTTTTTGCATCGCATCTTGCTCCTGCTCGCGCTCGCTCCACTCTGATGGATGCTATAGAGCTGCGTCCTTACCCTCCTTTTGCTTTTGCTCTTTCTGTATCCTACTGGAATTTGTTTCAGAATTGACAACCTAAATTGGATCGAGGTTGATCGTGATCATCGTCCTGAGCCCCATGCAGGCCGTGGAGAGTTGGGGTAACTCTGCTGTTGCGGTTGTGAGCCTCATCGGCGAGACGCTGCTGCACTCACACTCTTGACTCTTGACTCTTGACTGTGACTGTGACTGGCACAACGTATCAGAGCACGTGACGCAGGTCTTGCCTCTTATCTCGGGCCAACGACGCGCCCAATCGCGAATCATGAACTGCATGGGCCCAACTTTAGATCGCGGGGGAGTGTGGCCGCGACCGAGTTAACCGAGATGAGACGTTCCTCTGATAGGCCAACTGCTTTGGAAAGGCACGACACCGCGTTCCGCACCAACTCCACTAATCGATTGACTTTTGCCATCCGGGTACTCGACAAGTCTTGGCATGTGGAGGGGCAGGCCTGATGAGCGCCAGACATGAGCAGAGCATGTGCGAAAAGTACAACATGACCTGATTTGTGCTCTGATTAGCGCGAAGGTGATCTGACCAAGGTGCCGATTAGGATCGATCTTTGAGGGTATATAGAAAGCCCAAGCGGTATTGTCACAGCATCCCCCCGATGCGTCAAGACCATCCAGAGACTCAAACCCCATCCTGAATTCGTAGCACCCTCCAATCCGTCGTCCGTCATCATGTCTGCCCCTCAAGCAACTGGCCATCACCGTCCTACAGTGCTCGCGAACCAACCGCCTGTGATCTCGGTACTGCACGATGCCAAGAACAAGGCAGGCCTTAGTTTTGAACAGATCGCAAAGGGAATAGACAGGAGCGAATGGTGGACTGCGGGTCTGTAAGTGTCTCGCGTGGACGCGTCTTGGTGCTGTACATCGTTGGAATCGTCGATGGATGTTGCTGACTCTCGGCCGTTGCAATAGCTTCTATGGCCAAGCAAAGCCCGAGAAAGATGATTTGGAGAAGCTCGCCAAAGTGCTCAGTATCGTACGTTGCAGAGCGTTGTCAGGGCCACAATGCCAGCTTCGTAGTGTTGTGGCTCACTCGCTTCCCTTCCGTGCAGGACCAACAATATCTCGTCGATGCTCTTGGCCCAAGCTTCTACCCTACTCGGGGAGTAGGAGAGTGGCCTCCTAAGGGTATGTCCTAAGCCATGCGATCAAGAATGCCCATCTATTCTTCTAGGGCTGACTTCATCGACCTCCCTACCTCATCTTCCCCCTCCTTGGCGAACAAGAGTGAGTTTCGTGCTGCTTCGCACCGGCGGCTGTCCTACTGTTGCTTCGACGCATGCTGATGTAGCACACTTTGACATCGCAACTCGAACAGTCCCGTCGTGTACCGTCTGTACGAAGCTCTTTTGGTATACGGTCATCCCATCAAGGCCCTCATCCACGAAAAGTTTGGTGACGGCATCATGAGCGCCATCGACTTTACCGGAAGCGTCGAAAAGGAACCCAATCCCAAGGGCGATCGAGTCAAGATCACCTTGAATGGCAAGTTCCTTCCTTACACCAAATGGTGAACGTGTACAGCTCTTGCCTCGCATTGCATCCGTTCCAGTTGACCCGTCTCTGGTCATTGTCTGCCTTATCTCGCAATTGCATGGGCTTCTGGTTTCTGCTCTCCATTCGGCTGCTGTGTCCCACGTGTGAACATCTTGCCCGGCCGAGGTCAAGTTGACAGGCTCAAAAGCTGGAAAGCTTGTCGGCGCACCACGCTTGGGGTTGCGAGGGATTCGAACACATAGCATACAATTAGCGCATATGCTTCATACATGGTGGTTGTCAAGAAAGAACGTAGGTGCATGACGAAGCGAGCTGTGAGCAGCTACTTCCGCGTGTGGGTAATGAGGGATGTCGAGTCAGTGTGAGATGTGTACTCAAAGTGGTGTTGAGACCATGCGCAAGTATGCTAGCAATCACTACGCACTTGCCTGCCGTGCGAGGGCAAGCAACAGAGAATTGCAGATTTTGAGAGAAGTCCTAGCGTAGCAGGAATGTGAGTGACGAATCGCAGAGCACCTCAGCGGAGAGACCCTCGCAATGGCCGCGTAGCCAAGAGGTATCTGAAAGCGATACGTAAGATCAGTCTGCGCGTTTGCGAGAGCTCCTTCGTGTTGCTTTGGGCGCGGGCGAGGAGGTGCCGTGGGATCGCGTACCTCTAGCTGGTCCGTCAGCCGCTTGGATTGCTTCGATCTTTTCGTGTCGCTCCTTTTCTCGCGCAGCCGTAGCGTATATGTTGGCCGTGAAAGGTCTGTGATGGCCAGCATCAGCTGTCAGTTGACGTGCCTATCACATGTGCAGCCGCAGCGTTTGTTGCCTCTCACCCTTCGAAGCGCATCGCGACGATGTAGACGATGACCACCAAAACGGAGAGGATCACACCTGCAGGCTTGCCGAACCTGCGCAAGTTGTGGATTGACACGTCCTGTCAGCTCAACGCGCGTCCCCACTTGTTGCACAATGCAATCGCCCTTTGCCTGCGCATGCAGCATCCACTCACCAAAGCGCCACGCCAAAGAAGCACATGCTGCTACCCACATACATGGGATCCGCTACGACGTTGAAGGGGAAGCCGGTGACGATGCTGGGCATGAGGATGCCAAAGTAGTCGCCAAGGTATGTTCCAGTCACGCCCAAGGCCCACATGGAAGTGATGACAAACACTTGTCCCACCGCAAAGATGGCTGCACCGCCCACTTTGGCAGCGGGATGGAGCAGTAGAGCATTGGCAGGCTGGGAAGCGATGGCGTGGTTGTAGAGATGATCCCTGAGTATGCCCAGCAGGAAGATGCTAGCTCCGAGCAGGTAGCATCCCAAGTACCTGTTGCCCCTCAGCAGCTTTGTGATTGTCTTGTTGCGATACTCGTTCTGCGCTACCAAGTTCCAGTAGAGGGGGTTGAAGCAGATGGAAGCGGCTGCGATCCAAAAGTCGACCTGACTAAAGTCGATCACACCTGGAAAGAGGTAGAGATTGTGCTTGTGACCGAATAGGGACGACATGATGAGAATGAGTTGCGCAAGGGGCCCAAAGACTATGTGGTCCTTGCCATGTCCTCGTTCGCTTAGAACAGAGAGTCAACAGTAGAGCTGAGCTGAGCGTTGGTGAGAGAAGGAGGCAGCGGGCAACAATCGTTGGAAAGCAGCTTCAAGGACGGCTCAAGTCAAGACTCGATGAAGGCCGTGTTCCTGCTTTCGCAGCAAAGGTCTGCATATATATATGTGTCTGCATTCACATTCAAGATTCACGATTCGTGATTTTCCTTCTTCTTGAAAGAAGCACACAGCTCACACAGCGGCACAGAGCTGCTGCTGCTGATCATGTCCCGCCGCGTGCCACAGCCTTCGCTCTCACGTGCGCGCTGTTCTGACGTGCATCCGTGCGCGCGTCCGGGCGGGTTTTGCTAGAGATAGCGCGCATATCGCGTGCCATGGCTGCCTGCCCGCGCGGCTGTTTGCTGGACTCCGCGGGCTTCAGCAGCCGACGCGATCGAGACGCGCCTTGCCGCGTAGATGTTGACGCGGGAGCAGACTCACACATCACGTACTCAAGACTGATGACTGCATGCTATATAGCTGCTGATGACGCTTCTGCAGCATGTGGTGTTGGTGTGTTGCTTTCGCGCATGTCTTGCTTGGCGGACTTTGGCTATATGTATGCTATTTAGCATTTTGACACTCGTGATCATTTGTGACTATTCAGGATTGCGGGTTATTTTGTCAATACGCTCCACATGCTCAAATGTAAAGCTGGAAGCGAGCTGAAGAATTGAAGCCTGCGCACGACGTGTGCATGCAAAGTGTGCAAATGACGAGCGAGTCGAGTGTGTGTGATCTTGCTGTGTATGGATACGTTGATTCGTGATTACTAGGTGGAATCTGGCAGTGAAGGCGAATGAGCGTCAAGTGTTAACGTGAGCTATGTGAGGGTTCAAATAAGCAGTCAAAGTGGTGCAAGTCAAAGTAGAAATGAGAGCCGTTCAACGAGTCCTCCATGCATGCGCGGACCGTTGTTGCAAGGGTCGGCATTGACTCAACTTGAGAAATCTCAGTCAAGTATTGTGCAGCTGCTTGCGTGATTCCATGCACACCCTGCCAATCCACTTGAGGCGTTTCACTCGCGTCGATACTCTTTCCACCTTCACATCAGGTCACCGCATCCCAACCAACTCACCTCTTAGCGGTGCTCTGGTAGCTCAAAAATTGTGACAGCAGACTCTCTTAGCAATCAGCATGGCCTCCTCGTCTGCTGCTGCCCTTGCTTCTGGCCAGCCTCTCAACGCATCTCCAAACATCAACCAGGGCTCCTTTGAAAGCGGTCGCCCTGACATTACTGGAGATCGAAGATGGACTCCAACGCTCTCCAGAGGGTCTCCGACAAAACGAGCTCGGAATGCTCCTAGTGCTAGTCCAGCTGGAGTGCCGAGCCAGTACGGGCCTGCTTCACCCGCACGTCGCCATTCGAGGCAAGCAAATGCATCGAGCGGCGATGTTCTCGGCTCGCCCTCCAATGACCAGGAGAATCTTCCAGCTTTGCAGCACGAACAGGTCGCTCGAGGCCGCGCGACTTCTCCTTCGCCGATCTCCAGCAGCCAGAATCCATCAGACTACAGGGGTGTAGAGCTTCACAGCGACGAACGATCTCGACACAGAAGGGTCAGTCCGAGCAAGGCTCTGCTGCAAAAGCTGCGTCGGTCGCCGAGCCCAAAGAGGCGCAGTGCGGTCAGTGCGGGAGATCGTAAGAGCGTGGATGCAAGCGTGCATGCGTTACACAACAATGCTGCACAAACACACAAGCGTACCAGCTCCGCAGCTCCTTCGACTCCGGATGTCGGTGCAGCTTTCGAGCAGCTATTGGTAAGTGCCCGGGGGGCCGATGAACACGAGAAGCGGCGCAAGGTGAGCAAGGCTGACAACCTCACTGCTCACTCTGTGATGTGGCCCACTACGATTCGATTTGTAATTTGCTCTACCACGATTCCGGCGATCATTGTAGGACACGCTCGAGGTTCCTGGCCCCCTCCGATCCAAACTCGTTGCTCTGGATGCAGGCGTCAAAGCATCCATGCTCAAAGGCAATGCGACTCTCAATCTCAGCAGCTTTGGTCTCGACGCCAAGCGTCGTAGCCAGGTACTGGCCAGCGGCACGGGTGGCGTCACCTCGTCAAACATATGTGGAATCCTTTCCCCCCAACCCGGTGTAAACGCTGGCCAAAGCACTCCGCAGGACGTATTCAGCGGTGTCAGTACCAGCAGCCTCTTCTCGCCCGTCATGTACAGCGCGCCTCTGGGTCCTGGTCAAGATGCCGGTACAAGTAAGCGACACAGTGGATCGTTCAATATGCAAGCTTCATCTTCCGCTCCAAGTTTGGCGACCGGCTCCAGTTCGGCTGTGAGCTGCGCCACGACGCTCAGATGTGCCCCAGCACCCTCGCTCGACGTGTCCCGCGTCAAGAGAATCCGAGCAGCGATCGCTTGCGAAACTCCCGTTTGGATCAGTGACTTCTGCAATGCTGGCGGCTACGTAGCTCTGTGCGAAAGATTGGAGGAACTCTTGCAGATGGAGTGGAGAGAGGAGCAGCATGACGACCACCTCTTACATGAGCTTCTGAGATGCTTTGTCGCCTTTGGGACCACCGAGGTGCGTAGTGTCACTATCGTGTGTCAGGAGTGCACCCGCTCACGTCAAGGGGCCTTGATTGCTATGACGACCGCAGCGAGGCAAAGCCGCGTTGGTCAGCAGAGCGCCTGCCCCCTTCGCTCAGCTAGGCAGCCTTCTTTGGAGCGAGAAAAAGCCAGGCGATCTGACTACTCGGAGATACTTGGTAGAAGTGCTCCTTCTGTTGCCAGACCTCGATCTCGGAAAGGTACAAGCTCTGCCTCCTCGCGAAGGTTCCTCGCTCCACGTCTGCGCTCATCACAGACCAGGCCTGCAGCTACTATTGTCACTCGTGCACAACGAGCCCAACCCCTCTGTGGAGACCATCGTCCATTTCGTCCGAGCTGGCCACGCAGCACGACCTTTCAAGGCGTGGATGTCTGAGCTGAGTGGAGTCTGTAGAGACTACTTTTGGATCTTTTGCCACTCTCAGAATAGATTCTGGCACTTGCCCGACGTGGACCAGCAGTCTGCTGCGGGACCCAAAGTGCCTGGTGGTATGACTGGAGGAGTAGAGTTCGAAGCTATGGGCTATTTGGTGCGTGCACGACAGCTCCTTGCAGCCGCAGCGAGACGTCCACTGTCCTGGCAAGCTGACGACCTCCCCCCCTGCACGCCTACAGACAATGCAATTTCGGGTGATCAATCGCATTGGTGCTGAGCTAGTCGTCCATGGCAGACGCCACTCTGATCATACGATACCACCTCCAGCCCTCGAATTCCACCAGCTTCTGTTCGCGAGCGGCATGGAGAGGGTGATCGCCACGCTGCGCAAAGCATCTCAGACGTACTATACACCCATGCATCTGGAACTAGCGCGCTACATCTCCCTTTCTGACGCTGTGGGAATGGCAATGCCACCCAGCATCGATGCATGGAGGCCTGCTGCAGCACCAGCTCCTTCGCTGGAGCGACAAATTCGCAACGCAGATTACGGCAGCTGGCTGAACATGGACACGCCTAGCCCACAGGGAACGCCAACCAAGCCAACAAAGGCGCCGGACCACAAATCCCCCGGACTTGCTGCTTCACGACCGCCAAACTCGAACTTCAAGGCAGTCGCTGTCAACCAGCGCGCCGCGGTGCCTGGCGATGTCATCAGGCCGACGCAGCAACGCCGAGGTAGCGTGGAAAGTGTAGGAGTCGGAGTGGCTCGCAGTCCACCTGGCAGTCCCGACCGCAATCCCATCGTGCTGGCGCCTAGCACGTCACCAACGCCCAATTTTGGATCCTTCCTTCAGCTCGAGGAAGCAGGCACTGCAGACACTTCTACCATGACTACCAGTGATGCGGCGCTTGTCAAGCGTCTTTCTGACATGACGAGTCTGTATCCGCCGCTGATGGAGGGTGAAAGGCTGCCAAATCCTCACCCTTCGCCGGATCCCAGTGGAGAGGGTAATGATGCGGGCAGCACAGGTGCCAGGACCGCGAGCGAGCCATCCAGCAACTTGCCGAGTACTGAGGCCCATCAGCCTGGCAACGCGATGGGCTTTGCCCCGCCAGGCTGGGAGCTTGTCGATAACCCCAGAGCGCAACAGCAGACACTTCCTCAAGGTCTTCGACCAGGAGCTGCAGACAGTTTCGTTGGGTCGGCCATTCGCCAATGGGAACAACGCCGCGATGCATAGATCTGTCGAAGCGTGGTGACTTGTTCCCAAGAGCCCACTGGTGGGCTCTTCGCGCTATCGGCACGGCCATCATCCATTGACTGGCGATCGAGTCCGCATTTTCGTGTTTAACATCAAAATCTGTTCCATTCCGTACCAGTACTGTCCCATGCCCAGTGTCCTCCACATCGCTACTCCGCTTCATCCCCGCTTCTACCGCCACGATTTCAATGATCGATACATAGATGATCTAGAGCAGAGCGCAATGTCGTGGCGTGATCGGAGATACAGCTCGCTGCGACTTTGGCAGCTTTCTCACATCAACGAGTTCGCGCGGGAGCATCTACCAACATTTGGAAGAGCTGATGCGATTCTTGATTTGCATCAACCCCAAAAGGCAAAAGAGTTTGAGCCCATGAATCGGAATTTTGTGTGACTTTTGATCGAATTTTAGTGAGGCTTGGCCGCCGTTGCACTTTGTGCACGTGACGTTGACTCTGTGGAGTGGTTGCACGCACGCGCATGCGAGCCAGAACGAGACCCTCGATAGCACGTTGCCCAGATTCGTGACTCCTCCTCTCCACCTCTTACTTAACGAAATCACTGACTGGCACCTTGTCCATCGTCAGCCGACCGCAACTGTGAAGCAACATCGATGCACCGCTGAAAGTCTCGACGTCCGCGTGGTACGTGTGGCGGTGAGGTTCAAGCAGTGCACTTGCACACTGCAAACCAGGCGAAAGCGTCATCCAGGGTGGGCACGAGCGCACCATCTCTCAAGGCGCTGGTTCAGATTTGGCCCGCTTTCCAAAGCGGCCCGAACCTACGATGGACATTCATCGGACATCCTCTCCTCGGCCAGGTGCTCGTCGAGCTGCACCTGCGCTGCCTGCGTCTCCAGGTAGACCAGGCTCACCTTCTCTGGGTGCATCCGGGGATCACGGAGCCAGTGGCTCATCACATCGGCCATCCGGCTCTGGAAACATCTTTTACAACTCTTCAGTCGACGAGTTCTGCCAGATCAAGACCTTTGACACGCCCAACTACTCTACGAAGGACTTGCTGGCTGGACTGAGCGACAAGCTGATCACGCAGAGCAAGGCGAATCCAGGCGGTGAGCATTCTGGCTGTTGGTGCTGCTTCCAGGAAGAGACGAGAAACGGCCTTTATTGACGCCTTCCCTGTGCCTTCTTGCGACTCTCGCTCAGCCTTCAACCCTCGTCCATTCATCAGGACGTACGAGTCCGCTGTGGACTCTTTGCTGCAGCTGCGTTCTACAATCACCGCGCAAGAGTCCCAATTAGCTTCCACCGTGCAGGTATCGGAATCGGCCTACGCTGCAAAGCTCAAGGATCTCTCTTCCAACTTCGATAGCGTCTCTACGAGCTTTACGGGACTCGAAGATCGCTTCGCTGATGTGGGCCGTACGGCACTGCAGATCGGCGAGCAGCTGCAAACCATAGACAAGCTCAGGACTCGGGCAGCGGAAGCCAGCGACCTGATCGAGTATTATTATCAGTTTGCGAGAGGGGACACGAGCAGATTGGACCGGCTGAGAAGAGAAGGCGGTAGAGAGGGTCGACTGAAGACTGCAGTTATAGCCAGGAGGCTTGGCGCCATCGCTCGGGAGGTCGACATGCCGGGAGCTGACAAGGTGATGAGCTCTCCTATCCGTTGGCTTTTTCGCGCCGCTGATGAACGTCTGCCGTCGCCGCTTCTCTTCTCCCTAACAGACCCGCGATACCGTCGATGTGTTCTCAGAGAAATTCGAAAGGGACATGCTCAAGCTTTTTGACAAGTTTTACAGAAAGTCCGACCCTAAGATGATGAGTCATATCGCCAAGGTGCTGCAAAACTTTAATGGCGGGCATTCCTGTGTACAGATCTACGTGAACCAGCACGACTTTTTCATCAGCAAAGATAGAGTAGGGGGTGCTGAGAGCGTTGGCGCAAGCGAGATGTGAGCATTTATGAGGATGCGCTGCAATAGCGCTTTCGCCCTGCTGACTGCTTCTTTGTCTAGCTGGACAACCATTTCAGACCCCGACGCGCCAGCACCCAAGGTGGAACCTGGACTTGACCAGCTGTTTGCGGAGATTAAGCAGACAGTGGAGATAGAAGCGCAGATCATTCAGGCTGTCTTCCCGTCCCCTCTCCTCGTGATGAGCACATTCCTTCAGCGAGTCTTTGCTCAAAGCATTCAGTTGCATGTGGAGCGCTTGATGGAGAAAGCTGCAGAGGTTGGTGCTGTCAGCAACGGGGTTGCGGGTCAAAGTGGTACATCGGCGCCAACAGCAGCCGGAGCGTTGGCCGGCTCTGATCCGAGCACGGGGCCGGGTAGCAGCTCTTTGGCATTTCTGCGCACCCTTCACATGGCGCGCTCCATGGCTCTGGCCCTGGTCACAGAGCTCAAAGTGTACGACTATCGCTCGACAGATGCCGGTGGAAGTTCATCTGCGAATCGTAGCACATTCCAAGATGCCAGCTCTTTCTCCCTGCTTGGAGGGCACACGCTTCTAGGCAGCAACAGCTCTAGCGCTGCTGCTGGTGGAGGCAGTGCGCTAGGCTCGATGCTGGATCAGGCAGTCGAAGAGCTTTTTGTACCTTACATGGAGGGCATCAGGTACTTGGAAAGGGAGAGCCGAAGTCTGACAGATCTCTACGCGGCGTACCTGCTACGCTTCAGCAATGCGCACGTACGTACTGTCAATGTGTCATTGTGTTGCCTGATCTTTTGGTGACGCTCGCTGACTACGATTGCACTTGTGTTCGACAGCGCTCAGCTCCACAGATCAAGACGTCAACCATTTTCGATCGAGTGAGAGCACAGGTGCAAGCTGCTTCCACTAGCTCTGCCAGTTCGCTGCAGCCCTCTTCCGCAGGCAGTACGGCCAGCGCTGCGACCAGCTTGACGACAGGGGGCAGCACCGGCGCAAGTTCTTCCATCCCGGCTACAAAGTCTACCTTTGGCTTCTCCAAGCTTTCTGGGCTGGTCGATCGAGCGCGTGGCGGAACATCGTCGGCCGAACCAGCTGGCACATTGACTGTAGCGCCCGAAGCTTCCACCGAGAGTGGAGGTCTCGCTGCCACAGGAGCCGAAGACGGGGATGGTGATCTGAGTCTCGAGGTGGCGGAGAGGATGCTCAGATGGCACGCAGAGGCAATTGGGCGTTGCGTTGATCTTAGCTCAGCTTCTGACATGTGAGTGAAATAGGCTGCATCCTCGATTTTGTTTTCTCTCTTTGACCTCGTGTCCCTGACGATTGTGCGCGGTGCCCAGCCCCAAAAATGCTTTTGCGCTCCTCAAAGTGCTGGTGGAAGCTTTCTTTCAGCTCTACGTTGAAGTGGCCCTCGACTCTGCACAAACGACTGTCAACGGCCAGGACGTCCGAAGTACCAGCTTGCCCGATTTGTCTTACCTAAGCGTTCTCAGATCCGTGGAGCTCATCACGCAGTTGTGGCAGCACTACGTGAACACTGCGCTACTCCCTCTAGCGAGCTCTAGCGTAACAATTCGTCGAGAGATGGCCATCTACAACAATCACTGTCTCTTGAAAACGGAAGGCAAGTGCGATGCTGTGCTGCAGAAAAGCGTGGACAGTGAGTTGCATTGCAAGCTGGGTACCTTGCGGTTTGTCTTGTTACTGATCGGTCGGGTCAATCATTTCAGACATCGTCGCGTTCTTGACAGCAAGGCTAGCGACACAGAAGAAAAACGACTTCACGCCGAAGAACGATGACGTTGCCTTCGCTCGCAGCAACACCGACGCGTGCGTTGCTTGTTGCGACGCACTCGGGCGGGTAGCATCCGCTGCGCGAAGAGGGTTGGGGGGTGGCAAGAATAGCGAAGCCTTCTTGACGGAGGTCGGCGTGACTTTTCACGGGCTGTTGCTAGAGCATTTCAAGAAGTTCACAATCAGCGCCGATGGTGGTATTTTACTGGGACAGGATCTTAGCGCTTATCAAAGCGCGGTAGCTGCTTTCAACATTCCAGCCCTTCAAGATCGTTTCGACATGCTCAGGCAGCTAGGCAATCTTTTGTGAGTCGCTCTTGGGTTCGTCGGAAGCTGCTGGCGCTGAAGTTGCTCTTGTGCAATTCAGCTTTCTTCCGCCTGCCGTACTCAAGTCCTACATGCGCGAAGGTCACCTGGTGAGCGCTATGTGGCTTTTGCACCTTTCTTTCGTTCGTCCTCACCTTACCGTTGTCATATCTCGTCTTGTAGGCTCACATCGAAGAGCGACTACTTCGTCCCTACCTTCTTCGACGAGCAGACTACGCCAAGGATGTCCGAGATCTGGATACGAGCTCGGGATCCACCATGGGAGGTACATTGCCTTCGAGCGCGTCGCATCCAGACGTCGAGTCCTTGTCTGTCTTCTCTGTGGGATCTGATCCCGGCGCCAAAGCCGACAAGTTGGCGCAAATCATGCTTGCGATGGAGAAGCGCGCGGGAAGTCATCCCACAGCTGCTTGAGGTTCTCGCTCGCGGTAGCACGTTCAAGCCGAAATCGTAGGTGTAATTGTACGCGTGATCCAAAGCAATGACGCATGCCACTTCATGTTCTCTACTCATTAACGTAGCCCGCAAAGTCCAAACAAAGCCTTGGAGGATGCGCGCCCACTGTGGATCTGACCGACGCTGCTCGCATTGCAGGTATGAATGAGCATTGGTAAGCACGCACTTGACAAGTGCTGGGAATAAGTATGTAGTTGATGTTCGGACCGGCGGCCCAACGTGCGAGGCGCGGAGGCCTTATCTTATCACCGACCTCTCGGTGCTTGTGACGATTTGTCATCATCCAACTCGTGTCCCCAATCATCGTCGTCGTCGTTGTCGTCGTTGCGCCGCCTGGATGCTCCGACGCTGCGGTTCTCCTCATGAGCAGCTTCGAAGAGTACGTTCTCCTTTCCTTTTGCGTTGAGGCTGCCGCCCTGTTTCCTCTCCCTCTCGCTGGCGAGATTGCTCAATTCGACAGCGTCTGTGATGCCATTTTCAGCTTTTCTGGCATGGCCGCCTCTGGGATTCTGCCCAGCCAGATTCTGCTCCTCACTTTCCCTCCATTTGTCGAAGCTCGGCCTGGCGCGAGCGACTTCAATGCTTGGTCTCATACCGAAGCCATCATCTGGGATCGTGGCCGCTGGAAGAGCTGTGGATGTTGAGACAGCTGCGGAAGGTCTCGCACCGCTGAAATTGGCTTCCATGGCGAACCTCATCTCGGGCGTGAGGAAGACTTGTAAATGAAGGAGGGAAAGCGGTCAGATGAGATACATCACGCGCGAGGGAGAGACATCAGTGAGCCGCGTCGCGCTTATGTGCAGAGACTCACAATAGAAACAAGCTGTGGCCAGGCAGCCTCCGCCAACGAGATCGACAAGGTAATGATGCATCAGGTACATGGTGCACCAATAGAGCCAAGCAGCATAGCTCCAGTAGACGATCCTTGCATCGAGTCTGAGCACCTTCCTTGCACTCCTTGTTCCAGTTCCAGGAATTGGAATTCCGAGCTGCACAGGGAAGAAGTAGCTGAGAAAGAGGGCTTCCATGGTTGCGCAGCCAGCATGTAGTGAAGGGAAAGCACCAAATGGAACAGGCGCGTTGGTAAAAGTCAGGGTGTAGCCATGCCCTCCGAATAGCTCGTCGATGCGGGCTAGACCGGCCGGAGACCCTTTCATGCCATAGTTGGCCGGTGTGAGGCCTTCTCTCAGCTCGTACCCTGCAGCGTGAGCGGGATGGAAGTAAGAAGACACGTCAGTGCTGAGAAGGACGTGCAGCCACTGCTTTCTATGCCCCCGGCCGCTTGACAGCTCCCCCTTCTCCTATTGGAATCGTCTTCAGCCTCGTATGACATACAGGGAGGAGCACACGGGAATCCCACTTGAACGAGCACACCCAGCAGATTCAAAAATCCAAAAGCGTTTCCGAACACTTTGGTAGCGGTCGGTGGTGCAAAAACGAAAAGGAGCGCAGCGACCACAAAGGGTGCCACAAAGTGTACGACACCATAGGGCAGCCAAGCCAGAATGTCGAGGGCTGGATGACCGAACCTGGTCAATATGTCCGAAATTGAGGCGCCGTACCAGATGGTCTCGAGCGTGGGCAAGACTGACACCCAAATGTGGGGTCTCGAAGCCGGATCCAAGAATTGAGAGGAATAGTAGAAGAGCAGCCAAGCGAGGATGGGTGTCGCTGGTAGGATGAATTGAGAAGAGATTGGAAGCAGAAGCGCGAGGATGTAGCTGGCTGGAAGAAAGAGTTTCAGAGGCATAGAAGGGACTTTCATGATGTACAGACTTCCCAGCGCCAAGCCTGTCAAGAAGCTGTACTTGATCCGCTCTCCACGTGTAGCCTTCCAGGTTCGTAGACGAGAAATGGTGAGGGGAATGGATGTGGACGTTTCGAGTCGCGTTGCGGCTGCCAATATCCGAGTCAGAAGGTATTGTAGGGCGACGGGCAAGTTGTGTAGTGCTCGAGGTAGCACGATGTGCACCTCCTGATCCCTTGCCCCTCCTGCTGGGCTGTATGCGCTCGATCCCGCGCCTGCATTGTGTGAGGACACCATGCCGGCAAGGGTGAGCGTCACCTCTTTAGCTTAAAAATGCAGTATCAATTGTGGGCAGAAGGAAATTGGCAGAGTAAAGCGCGACAGCCTAGCATTGCGAGCGTCGTGAGGGGAGTTGATTGCGTTGAACTTGTCTTAGCTGATGCTGTAAAAAGGTGAAAGGATTCAGCTCCGCACGCGCGACCTTGCGTTGCAGCTAGGTGGCTTGGGCAGTCACGTGCTGTCACCTCTTTTTTTTTTGAGGGGAAGTGAATCTGAACAGCGCATTCTTGATTCTGATTCACCGCCTCGTGCCTGCGAAACTTGGATGCCAGCCATCAATTGAATGTAACCCCGCACCATCATCGCTCGCGATCACAGCTTTGGTTACCCTTCCACCTTCCATTCAATCGCCTTGTCTCCGCTCTTGCGCTATCGTGACGCAATGTCGGACACGTTCAGGATCCTGACCGGAAGCGGTTCGAGCGGCATTTCCTTCGACCGCAAACGCTTCTCAGAGGATGTGGGCATCTTCAATCCTCGAGCAGCTTCGGCTTCCTCTCAGCCCGCCAGCGCTGCTGGATCGAGCTCATCCGAGAAAGCAGCAACAGGTGCAAGCGTGCAGCTACCTTCATCGCTCGATTTCTTTGGGAGTGCTAGACGTGGAAAGGGGGCAGATGGGGAGGATTTGCGAGGTCAGAAAAAGAGGCGAAGATTGCAGGGTGCTGGTGATGAGGCGCGAAAGAGCGAGGAAGATGAGGATAGCCATACGACGGAATGTGAGTCCAGCATATGCGCAGGAACGACCGTTGGGCAAGCCGAGTCAGTCAAAAGGCCAGCTGCTGACCGAGCTTGAGCCGACCCCACTTGATCCGAACCCGTAGCCGAGCCTTTGACGCGCTCCACCGCAGGTGCATTCCTCAAGGAGAAGCGATTGAAGCTGACAGGGACAGATGCGCCACTCCCACTGACCGCCTGGTCCGAGATCAAGTCACGTTGGAACGGTCCCTCCTGGCTTTCTGCTGCTCCTTCCACGTGCGGGTTCGCCACGCCCACACCGATTCAGTGCGCCGCCACTTCCATCTTGCTGGATGACAGGGACATCTTGGCGGGCGCACCCACAGGCTCGGGAAAAACCCTGGCTTACCTCATTCCGATTTTGTTTCATTTACGAGAGCATAAAAAGGAAGGCTTCCGAGCTCTCATTGTTGCGCCTTCTAGAGAGCTGGCTGTACAAATAGATGGTCAGCTTGCAAAACTCGCCGGCAGGAACGAAATCAGGACCTGCGTTCTTACTAAGGCCAACCAGGCCAATCTGAAGGACAAGGAAGCGGCGAAAAAATTTGGTAAGCAGAGTGCCGCCGCCTCAATCCAGAGAGTATGCTGATCACCTCGACTCCCCATCACACACCCTGCACAGACGTACTAATCACTACCCCTTTGCGCTTGGTGCACGGATTAGACGCTGGGGAGATTGATCTGACAAAGTGAGTCGAGCGCCGACAAAAGACGGCGTGTATCAGACCGTGCCGCTCAACAAGACCTTACCGTCTGCTCTCGCAGCGTACGACACTTGGTCCTGGATGAGGCTGATCGACTCCTCGAAGACGGCTTCTTGGAGCAGACCGACACCATCTTGGCAGCCTGCTCGCATCCATCGCTGCGCAAAGCACTCTTCTCGGCCACGCTTCCTTCAGGAGTGGAAGAGATGGCCAAGTCCTTTCAATTGGACGCTATCCGCGTCATAGCAGGCGTCAAGGACGCAGCAACTGAAAGCATCTCTCAGCAGCTGACCTATGTCGGATCGGAAGAGGGCAAATTGCACGCCGTGAGGAGCATGATACACGAGGGAAAGCTCAAGCCTCCCGTCTTGCTCTTTGTTCAATCCATCGAACGGGCTCGCCAGCTGTTCGAGGAGCTGATATACGACGGGCTGCATGTCGACGTCATCCATGGGGAGAGACCGAAAGCTCAGCGAGACTCGGTCATAGACGCTTTCAAGAGGGGGGACGTTTGGGTCCTGATATGCACAGAGCTCCTAGCCAGAGGCATTGATTTCAAGGGCGTCAGACTGGTCATCAATTACGACTTCCCTCAAAGCGTGCAGAGCTACGTGCACCGGATCGGCAGGACCGGTAGAGCTGGCCGCACGGGCGAAGCGGTCACCTTCTTCACCAAGGAAGACGGACCGTATCTGCGCTCGTCAGTCTTCTGGTGCCAAAGACTCATGTCAACGATGTTGTGCTCCGACGCTGACTCGATTTTCTTGGCTTGTCACAGAGTGGCCAACATCATGAAAGCTTCCGGATGTGAAGTGCCAGAGTGGATGTTGAAGCTCAAGAAGCCTTCTCAAAACCAGCGCAAGCAGATCAACAAGCGACCTGTGGATAGACAAGCAGTCAAGAGCGCCGCTGGAAGCTCTCAAGGTCGAAGGATAGCCAACAAACGATCTCAGATGATAGAAGCTAGCAAAGCGCGGCAGCAACAGCACGATGCGGGCTCGGAGGAGGTGGAATAAAAGGCAAGGTTTTCTTCCATTAGACACAATGCATCATCGGTTTCTGCACATCGTCCAAAGTAATCTGCGCAGCACGATTGTTTGGTCACGGAATGAGCACGAACATCGTGCCCAGCCTCGTTCGGATGTCCTTCTAGATCCTTCTCAATCTCTGTAGGTGCGCGATCGAGGAGGCGAGGCGGAATAATCATCGCGGCGCCTCTGATCTCTGTATCGATCTCTCTGAGGGGGAGAGCGAGAGTAGCTGTCGCGGCGGCGAGATCGAGAGGGCGGAGGAGGAGAAGCAGAATAGCTGTCGCGGCGACGCGTAGCAGGTCGTGGGGAGGTCGAATAGCTGTCGCGGCGACGAGAGCCTTGCGGTGGCGAAGGCGATCGAGAATAGCTGTCGCGTCGACGAGGCGGAGGGAGAGGCGAGTAGCTTGATCTCCGACGCGGACTCCTGGCAGGGCTGTAGGCGTCACGTCGACGTGGCGGAGCGCGAGAGTCGGCCGAGGAGTAGGAAGGCGATCTACGTTTGTAGCTGCGTCGCGGGGCTCTCGAGTCGTCGGACGAATAAGATGGCGACCTTCGCCTCCTTGGTGGCGTGCTGGACCGGCGTCTCCTCCTGCTGGGTGGGGATCGAGATCGAGAACTGCTGCTGATGCTTGACGAATCGTCGCTGCTTGAGCTCAATACGCTTGAAGAATCCGAGTCCGGGTCCGAGTCCGAGCTAGAGTCGTCTGAGCCAGCAGCTCCACGAGCAGCTTTTGCTGCGGCTGCTTGCTCCGCTAGCAGTCGAGGCACGTCCTTCAGGTATGCCCTCATGTCTTCCGTCAGGGGACCGAGACCGATAGCCGTAAAGTAGTTGATGCTGAATCTGGTGTTCTTCGGGTTGTCTCGCGGGAATATATTCGTGAAGTAAAGCTGCATATCGGGATGTTTGAACCTCTCGACCAACTTCTTCTGACCAAGCTTCTCGATCATCTCCTGAAACAGAATCTTGATGAAGATGCGGCTACTGCTAGTCGTGTCGTCTTCGTTCATATGCACGATCTCGAAACTAGCCCAGCTAATGCCATCTGACGCGAGCAGGTGGCCGAAGAAGCGAGCGATGTTGCGCAGCGGATTAGTCTCATAGCGATGTATGGAGTCGAAGTAGGTCTTGAAGCACTGCTCAAAGCATCCGCTCCACACTCTGTTCAGCTTTGACAACCGCTCGCCTATGTGACCGTAAAATTTGTTGTAAGTCCTTTCCTGAGAGCAACATTCGATGATCATATTGCAAAGTTCGCTCTGTTTCGCAACAAAGATAGGCGTCAGCCACGATGCTGCATCTACGTTATGTGGGGATTCAGCGCTGCCTTACTCACCTCTTGGCCTTCTGGCAGCTGCAGCTTGAGAAGCTTGTGTACGGCTTCCTGAAAGCTGGCCGAGCTCATGATGGTCAAGTAGATGGTCCTCCTGAGGTTTGTCAGATTGGTCGCAGTCTGATCCTGGATCTCGAGAGCCTCCATGTCTGCCCGGCCATCTTCTCCATCTCTGCCCCCTTCGCTCTCGGAGTCGGAATCATCAGAACCTTCGCTATCAGAATTCTCGCCCAAAATTTCCGCTTTGATCTCTTGGTAGGCTTGCTCGTTGCTGACAAAGTCTGGGTCGGGTTTGAAAATGTCTGCGGGTCGAAAAGCGGGGTGAGCCTTGACACTGCGACGTCTCAGCCAGACTTCGTAAGAGTACTCACTCAGAACCTCTTGCACGTTCAGCTCGTCCTCTAGACTCGTTCTATGAGTGATCTGATCGTCTTCCTCGACCAAGTCAAGCGCTTCTGGGACTCGAGGGTTGTCCTTGAATCGATCGCGCCTGACTTGACTCAGCACCTCGATCATGTACTGTACTCTCTTTCCCACATCGCCCTCGTACAATACCGCTCTGAAGCGATCGAAAATGCTGTTGGTCGCCTTTGGGCTTTCCTCGATGAGAAAGGCGCCCACTTCGCGCATGAAGGTGACAGCTATCTCGACGCTATCGTCGGTGGGTCTCTCAAGCAGCAAGACGAGTATTTCCAAGGCTAGCACCTCATGAACCACTCGCTGATTGACGAGTTGGGCCAGGAAAGTAGCGGTAGCTGAGCATACTGGCTTGTCGTTGCGCTTGAAAGAGCGTCTGAATTGAGATACAAGCCGAGTTACCAGAAGTTCGCCGATCATCGGGAGCTTGGTATTGACGATCGCTGCTAGCGCAGCAAACGTGGGCGTGTACACGAGCGACAGCTGCTGTGCCTTCATGATGGAACGGCAGCTGTCAAGAATATCAAACTTTGAGCGTCAGAGCGTCCACTCGAGGGGAAGCTGAGACTTTTGACTCACAATAGTCCTCTGCCGCGGATGAGGTTTGCACCACCGAACAGCTCTGGGACGATATGCTTGATGTTGTCCTCTGCCACCTTGTTCACCAAACCAGTGATGCTCTTCTTCAGCGCGTCCCAGCTCATCCTCTGATACTCTACACTGCCCGAGTCAGCTGCAGCAGCTTCTGCCATCAATGCTTTGAGACGAGCGGGTGGGATGTATGCACCACCTGCTCTGGTGGGAGCAAGCTTAGCGAGCTGAGTTCTCAAGTCTGCTCCCTTCGCCTCCAGTCGATTGGCCGCGGCCACATCTTCGCCATCTCCATTGGAGATCTGCTTCGTCGGAAGGCTCTTATCCGCGGCAGCTTTCAAAGACCCATTCCTGGCTGGAGACAGCGAAGCAGACGATCTTCTCCTGCGCCTCCGTTCTGGCGACCTGCTCCGATCGTCCGAACGGCCCGATAGCGAGCGAGATCTGGGGTGACAGAATGTGCGGCTCTTTCTCATTGAGTCCAGGCTCAGCTACCATTATGAACGCTGCGAGAACGACTTACCTTTTGCGAGTGTGACGCTCAGGGGTAGGCGATCGCGAAGACCCTTGGGAGGAGGAGGGTGAAGCCACCGGCATGCTGAGCGGTTGGCTCTGACTGCTCGGGATGGTGCTGGATGAGCGCTAGAAGAAGCCTAGTCGCGACGCGTCAGAAGCAATCGGCCGAAGGGATCGTGGCTGCGACGAAGAAGAGAGTTGCGCTCAAGTCGCGAGGCTTGCAAGAAGCCTTGTTGTAGTGTGGTGGTCAGAATCATGGGATGCCTAGCTGCCTGCAAGGCTGATTGATGGCTCGACTGAATCGCGAATCAAAATCTGCGACGCGCGCCCCTCCCCCGCCGCGGCGTGCACATACACATCACGAGACCTGCCGCAAAACCCCACGGCTCCACCTTCGCGCGGCTCAGCAGGCAAAGGCGAATCGGCGCGTTGAGCGCGTATCGACCGGTATAGGCGCCATGCACAAACTCGCAAGGCCCCTCGCAAATTACCACCACGTATGCGTCGTCTGGTCTACCTTCAGTTGCGAGTCTGCTGAGAACGTGCGCAGTCAGAATCAACCTGCTGGACATGGCCTCGCTGCACGCGTCCAAGAGCAAGCCTGACTCCCAACTCGTGTTGCATACCTTTCATTCACCATTGGGAGGAAGTGTGGGGGAATCGGAAGTTGGATAAAGGCACGCGTAGGGCAAAGGCAACGAACGGGTAAAGCAGTCACGAGCGTCAGCACCGCTTCGATAGCTGCTGTAGTCTGAGTATGCCCTGGCCAAGCGGTGTGCAATTGGGCGAGAGGCCACACAGCAGGGCAGCGTATTCAAAGCCACAACAATCGTGTGCGCAAAGTGATGGCATTCGTGTTTCAAGAAAAGCCCCCGCAGATCTTTGCGGCGATAAGATATAGCAGATGTTGCGCTCGGAGACTGCAGACAACGACTTGTAGCACATGATACATCTTCTCGAGCATCGCGGCCGCGAGCTGAGCACCGCGGGCATCGCGATCACGCAAGCATAGCCTCGACGATGTCGCTTTGGGCGCGACACTTGTACATTCCGGTCCTCTTCAGACCGGCCGCGTTGAGGATCCTATCAAAGTCCTTTGGCGTTCGTTCGGTGGCGTTGAGCGCTTGCATCATCTCGAAGTCGATGTTCTGCAGGCATGGCCAAGGGGGAGAGAGGGATGTGCGAGCTGGTCAGCGCTGCACGAGATGCAGCCTTCTGGGCACAAGCATGAAGGCCTCTGCAACTCGCCATTTTGAACTGTCCAGCGGCACCTTGAGATCGAGGTAGGCTTTGAAGAGACATTCAAGCGAAAAGCGCCGTCAGAAGGGTCACCACGTGCCAAACCATCCATCGCTCGTCACTTACGGCCACACGCTAGCGTGTATCAGGTCGGCAGGATTGGCGTCTTTTGGCACGATGCTCGCAGGTTGCAGAATAGTGTCCTATACGTTGTGATGTGAAGGAAATTTAAGCTCTTGACCTCAGCGTACCGCAAAGATGACGCTCGATGACACGTACGACAATGATCAGCTTGCTCTTTGGTGACATGGCAGCAGCGATGAGCTTCAGAATGACTGTTATCCGGAGAGATGTCAAGATCAAGTTGGTGAATCCTTGTCTCGCGTACGAATGGGGCCCCGCACTCACTTTCACACTTGTAATCCGGCCAGTCGTGCAGGATCCAGCTGTAGAGACGCAGGACGATGAGATGGCGTTGGCTCCGTGCGTGATCACCTGCACGTATCTTGACTCACCGCATCATGTAAGTGAATCCATCTCCCTTGTGAGGTTGAACGTCGTTGAAAAAGTCGTAGACTTCGAACTTGACCCTGTTGGAGCTCAAAGCCTCGGGGAGCTTTTGTTCAAAATGCGTTTTGTAGGCTCCCTCCACCTCGAGGCGGTCTTGAATGACGCCTTTGAAATGAGGGAAGGCTTGCAGCAGCGGCAAGGTCAGAGCTCCATGCCCGCCTCCAACATCGACGAGAGTCGTGTCGCCAAGCGAATCCCAAGGGTAATCTGCAGGGGCAAGACAGATGAAGCTTAGACCGGTGAAAGTTGTCAAAAGGGAGTCGTGCTTGATTCGTAAAGTCTCACCTGCGACCCAGCCTGGGTTGCCGGCATCTGCTCAAAGTGCGCACCATGCTTGGTGAGCGACTGATGCACTGCACTGGGGAAAAGGGGTTCTGTGCTTACCTCCAAATGCACTCATCGCACGAGCTATCAGATGGAGCCGGATGTGAGTCGGGTATCTACGAGAGGAACGACTGCAATCACTCACCGAACTCCGACATATCGGTGAGCTCTGCCATGCGACCCCACATGTCCGTATGACCGCTTTCCCTAATCTGGTACGTCGTGCCCACCGCGCAGTCGAGCGGGTCGAGGGAGAGACCTTTCTTCGGATCGAACAGATTGTCCGCAACTTGGGGCGCAGCCTTCAAGGAGAAGCTGGTCTGGAGGGCGCGACGGGACCGGTAAGATTAGACTCAATTTTTTCGTCACATAGCATGCTCGCGAGCTTACCTGCCAGGACACAAAGTCGCGGACAGGATTACTTGTCACCAGCAGCGAGGACGCGCGGTTGTTGGCAAACACGCCCTCCGTGACTTCGTTGAACTGGACATGAACGGAGCAACGCAGTCAGATCAGCAAGTTGGCCATCATTTCGCGATCACGCTATTGTGCAACCACACGCACAATGTTCATGTTTGCCAAGAATCGCAGCACTTTCGCTGTGAAATATTTCACGATCCTGTCTCAGTACTGCTAACAACGGCGTATCTCTGGAGGCCAAAATGACTCACTCAGCTTGGCTGGATGCAAGCCGACTGCCTTGGCCAAATCTGTCGCAGGCAGTCCTTGCGGACCTGCTGCTGCGAGCTGATCGGCTGCGTTGGCTCTGACCGCGACCTGCAGAGCGGCGCTGATGTGGTGCTGATGAGGGCAGAGTGAAGCGTGAGAAGGGAGCGTCTGGCACAGCTGCTCCAACACGACTTACGGCGACAGACAATTCCTGCAGCCGATTAGCAGGCGACTGGACCGTGTTCTTCAGCGCTCCCAGAGCGGCCACCAGCACGTCTCTCGCGTCCCAGAAATCCTTGGAAGCCAGGTAGCCCGGATGATCGGTCTCGTGCATTTGCGTTCCATTGAGAGAAGGCTCCGAAAGCTTGCCTTCTTTGAGCACAGACTCGTACCGATCCAAGGACGAGAGGACTTGCGCCTTCAAGGCTGCGTACTCGCTCAGCGACGACATAATGCACTTTGCTGTGGCTTGTGAAAGGTCAAATGGAAGATCCTTTGCTCGACAATGTTGGCTATATGGTGGTGCGTGGGATTGATAGTCAGGAGGATGGATCTGGTTAGACGAGCTGCTGCCTCATCCTACCTGGTGCCGACCTGCCAATTTGCTTGTATGTCTATGTATCCCTCTTGATGATGCGGTGTAGTGTGAGCATCATGCAGCTTTATCACCGCGATGCATAAAAGCGGCCCAACCGCCGTGGCTCAGATGGAGCGTTAGCGCCTACTCATCGGACTTGAGACTCATCATCAGGCTGTAATTTCATTACACACACCGAGAGCTGGACGGCCCGAATCAATGGGTGCCATCGCACGTTGGCTGTGAGTCCAGTCAAGTCGTGAGTGGTCATGTGTGGGGTACACGTATCTGCAACGACACACTCGCGACCCGTCGGTGTTTCGGCCCGTCATGCTTGGGGAGCAGCTCTTTGCTGGAGAGGACTTCGTCCAAAGGATGACCATTCGGCGTTTCGCGGGCGCCCATGAACGGTCCGCATGTGGCTGCACCAGATTGCGCTTGTCTATACATGTGGTTGACCGATACTTCCCAGCACTCCACTCGCAAGGTCTACTGCCGTGAGAATGCCCGAGACAATGTAGCTTGTAAGGTCGCAAAGCTGTGTTCACGCCTGAACATCACCGTCATCGACACAGAAAAGGGCCAATTGATCATGTTAGCACGTGCGCAGATGAATCAAGGCTTAGTCTCCTGGTCTGATTGCCGGTAGGAGAGCATGGGCAGTCTTTCTACATATACTACTGCCTATCGAAGGCAGGAAAAGATACTCAAGCCATGGCGCGACTGTGGATCCCAACAGCGTACTCCATGGTACGGCTGCATTTCCGGCTCAAGATCACCATGTTCGCCATCGATCCGCCTTCCTTTCGCTGTTCGCCCCATGCACGCACCTCGTGGTCGTGCGTCACATTCGGCAACAAGCGCTGCCCAGTCATGGAGCACGCGGTGCGCGGAGTCTCTCCATCCCATCGATCGCACGCCGCTCAGTGGCTTCCATCAGCAGCAGCAGCAGCAGCAGCAGCAGCAGAAGGTCTTGCGGCAGCTAAGCCAATCTCGAATCGTGAAACACAATCGCGAATGGCATCTGAATGTCCGGCATCTCACAACCGCACACGCGAGAACGCGCTCACAGCGAGTCGCTCCTGCGCCTGTCTGCCTTTATGTGCTGACCCTGCATCTGGCGTTTCGGCGGCCTCAGCCGTTTCCCGAGCGGTCCACGGCATCAGCTGTCTCCATCTCGACCAAGTTGTTCGGCACGGACATTTGGACTGCGAATTAAGTCGCGATTCGTGATTGTGACACGCTCACCGTACCGATTGCCGATGGAGTGAGGGAGCGCGGCGCTTGCTGGGAGCCAAAGGAGACTGAAAAGCTGTTTCGGCGTTCGTGACCTTGCCCTGCTGGCTTGGCGAACTCCCATGGCTGCACTTTCGTCGTGGTTGCATGCGCTAGCGTTTGAAGGTTATGCGCGCGCCGCATGGAGGAACTCAGATGGGCAACGCATCACTCACGACTGTCGCCAGCTGCCGCTCGAGGAGCAGTCACAGTGAGTAAGCGTGAGCCCCAGTGCTGCTGCGTCATCTTCCGACTCGACGGGAAAACTCGCAGCAGAGAAAGTGAAGCTTAGCTTGCGATGGCGCAGCTCAGATGTTCGCCCGCTAATCGTGAATCTGAATCAGGTAGGCAGGCATACTCAAGACTCACGACTGTACGGTACCTGGCTATCCCTGCGGACGGCATCAGCGGATGCATGGAGGCATACCGCGATGTCGCAGGCTGGGCGCCTGCGCTCGTCATCGCATTTGTTGGAAACGCGTAACAACTGAAGTCAATGCGAATACCGGAATTTAGCGCCGCGGAGGGTTCCTGCTACAAGTCTGCAAATATCACCGGTGCGGTACCGAATTACCACCCGCTTCCCCAAGAGGCGTCGTGATAAGCCTGCTATGCGCCGCTCTCTTGACCCTTTCGCAATCACGGCTCTTTCGGTCTCCAAAGAGTGCGCTTCGCTTGGACACCGATGTTTCAACGTCTGCAGCCGTAGGTGCGCGTGCATATGACGAGAGCACGCTCATCGAGCCTTCGTGAGAGGATTGCACTCGTGTCGTTTAATATGCCCCACCCACTTCGCTTCCTCTCATGTGATTTGAGTCGGTACCACATCCCACACAGGCCAGTCCTTCTGCCAGTCTACGGTTGAGCCTCTAGATCCTCAACCGCATTTCCTACTGAACAACCGGATCTCCTACCGTTCAGTCTGCTACGGCTACAGCGACGGCCTCTGCTAAGATGCCTCACGCGCAGGAAGATCAGACTGACGCCCAGCGTGTGGCCCAGGCCACTGTGATCTACTTAGAATGTCTGTTCAGTATCATGGTCGTGAGTTTTGGCTCAAGAGCATTGGCGCTGCGCCGCGTGTTGACACATTTCCAGCCCTCTCTTTCGATCATCAGTGGGACTGGCTGGCGAGCTTGCCTACGGAGTGGCACCTGGTCTGGTTGCCAGTCACAAAAAGTCTGAGAGCGACGGAAAAGGATGCCGCCTCTCGAGCACCACTTCAGGTCAAATTACTCAGGAGCGCATCGCTGCTGTGCTTTGTCGTGGTGCGCTACCTTGCTTTGATCGAGTTCGCGCTATTCGTTTGGGCAGTCAACGTCGTCTGGACCTACGATGAATGCGCACGCATCCAGCATTTCTTCCCTTACGCTAGTGGACTAGTGGCACTGGCTGCGAACGGCATCATGTGCCTCCGCGTCATGGCCATCTGGAGTCGAGACAGGCTCGTTTCTATGTCGCTTGGAGGCATGCTCGTCGTCGTTGTCGCCCTCGTCCTTTGGGGCTGTCAATGTGAGCTACAATCGCGTCTCAGGGTATGCGATTCGCGGTGTCGCTCATGTTTTTCAATCTGCTCTGTTCCAGACACATCGCCACCCGAAGGCATCACCGCGTGCATACCAACGCCGACATCGACTCATCTCAATGTCCTCTATCTCGCGCCAATGGTCTACGACTTTATCATCTTGGTTCTCACTCTGACGCGGGCCATCATGCTCAACCGATCTGGTCTCATCGGGCCACTGCTCCGCACCATCGTCAGAGATGGCATACTATACTTTTTCGCGGGTGCGTCGCTTCGCGCTGGTCTCGGTCATTCTGCTTTGCCACCGCTCACCGGTCTCTCTTCGTTCATCTGCAGTCTTCACGTGTAACCTTCTTGCCGTTGTTTTCGAATTGCAGACGGCGCAACCCTTGCTTCGACCCATCAATGCATCCCTCGCAACGATTGGAACCGTGAGTCGTTTGACCACATTGTGCCAATGTTCGGACGCGGCACTAATGATCGCGACACACTGCCTTGCAGTCCATCTTCTGTTCCAAGATTTTCTTCGCCCTCAAGCGCGCCACCAGTGCGCAGATCAAGCGAAATCAAAGCCAAAGTCTGCCCAGCTCTGGCCCTTACCCGCTCAATGCCATTCCGGTGAATACCTCGTCATATTGGGCGCACAGCCCTTCGGATCAAAAGCCAGTAAGGCAGAACTCTTTTGGAAGCGAGAACTACGCGCTTCGCCAGGACGCCTTTGATCTCTCTTCGAGGATCGAAGACCAGCACATTCGGTCCGCGCCTCAAGCTCGACGCAAGGACGCCTTGCCCAGGCCGGCCACGGTACAGCGAAGGCAAGATGTGGACGGCGTGGTGCATCGGGCTCCTTTCGCAAACTCGACGACACCTGAACGCGTCACCTTCGACGGCCACAATAGAGCTCAAAGCGTTCCGCCAGCTGCTATCACTTCGAGCGATGACGAATACTACTCGTCTGGCGTGCGCGTCGACACGGAAAGAGTCGAAGTGGTTACGTGAGTCCAGTTCAATGTGCGTCGTGGAAGCAGATGCTGACAATTTGCTGTAATGTGCATCTTCTCAGAGCTTCGAGTGGCGGTGAAATCGCGCGAGAGCGTTCCGTTTCGCCTGGCAATTCCTCGATTCTTTAAGCCGAGGCCACTCCTCTGTTTATATACCTCGGATGCTGCCGTGATGGACCGCTTCTGCATATGCTTTACGCATGCCCTTGCTTGCTTGCTCTCTCGTCGTTCGTGTAAAGTACTTCTCTCGCACTCTGCTACAGTCAATGCTCGCGTTCAATGTCATTTCCCGTCTGCATCGTTCACCCTGGAATCTACGAGACGGATCCGCGCGTGTGTGTGCACACCAAGGATCACGATGCGCCATTGCGCTCTCTTTGCGCACAGCTTAGTGAGATGGGCAAGGAATTGCATTGCGTGGGGACATCAGAGATAGATGAATGGAAATACAAGTCAAAAGTCCGTGGCAAGTGAGTTGATCGTGAGGAGCGTGCTGCTATTGTAGGGGCATGAGCGGCCTCCAAAGAGAGTGCTCGTGTCGGCGCTCGATCCGCGTCGGGCCACAAGCTCGCGTTGGGCGACAGCGGCACGCCTAAGGCCTGCCGATGGAGAAGTGGCCGGTCGGTTGTCCCTTGGCAACAGCACCGCCGACGACGATGCGTTGAAGAGCAGGATCAGCGCTGCTTCCGGGCTGGACAGTGTAGTCGTACTCGTTCTTGCCGCTGTCTACTTGGCCAGGGACAAAGCCGATGTAGTGACCGTTCGCAGAAGAAGCAAAGGTCTGGAAGAGCTGACTGCTGTCCTCGGAGTACGAGCATGTGGAGAGCTCAAAGGCCTTCTTGGGAGTGTTTTCTCCTTGATAGTCTGCCTTTTCGACGATGCGAACGCACTTGTCGCCTGATCGAATCTGTCCGTAGTGAGAGTCTGCGCTCTGACGGCCTTTGGTGCCCATGAAGGTGCTCGGGCAGTCGTAAAAGTCAAACTTGGGCGCGACTTGACCGTTGTTCTTGTTGCCGATCAGGTATCGCACATTGCCCTGAGACAGGGTGATGCTGTCCACCTCGCCGCTGGTCTGGTCCAGGTAGAGCTGGCCAGAGTAGCTAGGCTTGGCAGCGCACTTGACGGTGCCGACTATCTGTGTGGATGCGCCCTCTGGAGAAGGCATGGGAGCTGCGAGAGTGGAAGCGGCGCAAACGAGCGCGACAAAGGCAGTGAAGCGGAACATGATCGATGGATAGTTGTTTTTTGAGACTGGGATGAAAAGACGCCAAGAGATGCTGGGAGCTGGAGGTTCTTTGAGGGCTGAGAAGGTCTACAAGCTGGATGAGGAACGGAAGACACGATGATGGCCCCAAAAGACTCCCCTCTTATACCTTCCGACCTCGGCGTCCCCAACTCCACAGCCCAACGCCAGACACAGCCCCATCGAGAGACGAGACGATGACGCAGGTGATGTTCTGAAACATCTTCGAACAAGAAAGCATCCTTCTTCGCGCGGTATGCCGATGAACAAGCTGCGAAATGTCTGGTCGCTGTCAAGCCGGTCGTCGCGAAAGGAGCGGAAGCTATCATGCGAGCTCGCAGCAGCACCTTCGTCGTTGGATCTCGACGGCTGAGGCGCGGGGTACCCATGCATCGTTGCTGCGACTTTGTCTTAGCGCGCGCATGGGGATAGGCGGTCCCCCGCGCGGCGCTTAATTTGATGCTCGGCGCACCAAACAGCAATCTGAATCGTGAATCGGATACAATGCGCCGTGCGTCGGAGAACCGGCGTCGGCACCTGTTGGCGTCAGCAAGGCGGTGATGGTTGGTCTACCTCAATTAAGCCTGTCATGAGGATCAATCGCGGATTGGTGTATATGTTCGATCTTGACTCGACTCAATTGATCCTGACTTCACGATGCAAATAAACTCTGACTGGTGACTTGAGCAAGGCTGACACGATTCAAGACTCTTGACTCACACTGGCTTCGAACATGCGCGAAGCGTGACCGGTCTGCATGGGTTCTTGTGACGTCAATCGTTTCACGATTCGAGATACTTACACAAATTTGGCGGCGCTAGTAGTCACGAAGAGGGGTCATACCTCTTCGGGACTGTGACTGTCCTACCCTGCGATGCTTGGCAGAGCTAATGATGCTGTACGTGGCGGTCGCTCGTGCCTCGTCGACAATGCAAAACAATCAAGAATCACAATGTGGACATTCCTACACCAAACGTCACAAGTCCGCGACTCCCCTGCAATCTTGAATGTAGCTAAATAAGCTTTACTGGACAGCATCTCGGCGACCACGTGCAGTGCATACTCCTCGCCATCACTGGCAGCGCCGGCGCCGACATCGCGCCAATCTCGCTATTCAAAGTTCGGAGACACTCGTGACTCTACGATTCGGGTCCAAAAGAGGATTCTGCCCAATCGCTTGGATGCCCGCATTCTGGATCGCGGCTCGTCTTCAGTCAAAGTGATGCGGTAGCAGGTGGTACCGTTGTGTGTATGCAAAGGTGTCTGCCGGTCACGTGCCAAGGTGAGCAGAGGAAACCACATGACCGAGGTTGCACCGGGCGATTAGCGCCGCCAAGGCGCCAGATAGAGCCAACAAAGCTGATCGACAGCATTTGCCTATCTACCTGCCCCAACGCAGCTCGATTCGCCATGAATTGGCTTTTTGCTCGATGATGTCGTGGAAGTGCGATCAGATGATTATGGTGCTGGCGACCTCTTCGGTGGTCATCGCAGAGGTGCTTCTCTGAGCACTCGACGAACAACTTAATCGGTTTTCCTTGCTCAATGCAAAGCCAGCCGACGGTTGTGTCGGGCGGAAGCGGAAAGCGGGAAGAGAAGGGTGGAGTAGACAGGCGCGCAACGTCTTCCACGTGCATGCAAGACAGACTTTTCGAAGCGAGCAAGCGACTCACCTCCACCCCTGCTGCTTGCGCATCTCCCGCGGTGCCCGGCCGCAGAGATGCGCATGCACGCGACGGCCGTGCATTTTTGGGCGCGGGTCTGCGCGAGGGCTCAAGTCGCGTAGAGTCGGCGTGAGCGCTGCTGCATGGTCTTGCCTGCTGCAGCGAGCGCTGGCTGCACCAAGGGCCGTCCGTGTCCTGCTGGGTAAGGGGCACATGGCCTGCACCACGCGGATCTTGAATGCAAGCGTCCTCGTCGGGAGCGCCGCTCGGACCTTTTGGGGGAGGAGCTATAGGGAATGCGATGGAAGTTCGCGCGAGGGCAGTTGGGCAGAGGTAGACGGTGAGGGGTGCAAATAGCTGCTGCAGAAGGCCGAGGCGATATGCAAACGACATCATCGATATGGATGCTACAAATTTCGATCAGGCGAGGTCGAGAAGAGCAACAAACGATTAGGCACTTGCATGTGTAAGCCTAGCATACATCCACCACCACTTAGACTTTGAAGTCGGACAAGCCAAAAAGCACCTTCGACTCTCTTACACTCAGCCACACTCTCTCACATCACACACCGCTCAGACCACAGTCATCATCATGTCCGGAGCACTCTCAGTCGTTCCCGCAGGCGTCGTCGACGGCAAGGACGTCTACAAGCTCTTCGACTACTGCCGGGAGCACAAGTTCGCCATCCCTGCCTTCAACATTACTTCCAGCTCCACTGCCAACGCAGCTTTGGAGGCCGCTCGCGATGCCAAGAGCCCACTGATCCTACAAGTCAGCCAAGGTGGTGCTGCTTACTTTGCCGGCAAAGGTTTGCCCAACGACAAGCAGCAGGCTTCCATCGCTGGTGCCGTCGCTGCTGCCAACCACGTTCGAAGTGTCGCCCACCTGTACGGCGTCCCAGTGGTGCTCCACTCTGACCATTGCGCCAAGAAGCTCTTGCCGTGGTTCGATGGTGAGTGTATTGCTTTGCAAAGAGCCCTCGTAAGCCGTGTACACCGCTGAGCAAATAACGACGCAACATACCTCAAGGCATGCTCGACGCTGACGAGGCATACTTCAAGAAGGAGGGCAAGCCTCTTTTCTCGTGAGTCATAATATTTGTCACTTTTACTGGCCGCGCGAGCGCTGCTGAACTCCAATCACTATGCTTTGCCATCCTGTCTGCAGTTCTCACATGCTTGACTTGTCCGAGGAGCCCAAGGAGGAGAACATTGCAACCTGCAAGAAGTACCTTGCACGCATGGCCAAGATCGGTGTTTGGCTCGAGATGGAGATCGGCATTACTGGTGGAGAGGAGGATGGTGTGAACAACGAGGGCGTGGACAACGCTGCTCTCTACACCCAGCCAGAGGATATCTGGGACATCTACCGCGAGTTCTCCGAGATCACCCCCAACTTCTCGATCGCTGCTGGCTTTGGTAACGTTCACGTGAGTTTTGCGGGGACGCGAGCGACAGGGATCTTTCGCCAGGCTTCGCTGAGGCGCTGACCACATTCGAATGATGGGTCACCAGGGTGTCTACAAGCCCGGAAACGTGTCTCTCAAGCCAGAGCTTCTGGCCAAGCACCAAGCCTACGTGCGCGAGCAACTCAAGACCGACAAGGAGCTTCCAGTGTGAGTCTCGAGTACCCCGCCGCGCGATGCCCTTTGCCGGCATAGGTACTGACGCATCCTACGCCTCACTGCTTTGCACAGCTTCCTTGTGTTCCACGGTGGTTCCGGCTCTGAGAAGCACGAGATCACGACAGCCGTCAAGAATGGTGTTGTCAAGATGAACGTGGACACCGACACTCAATTCGCTGTGAGTGACGTTCGAGGGTAAACTCGGGAATGAGAGTGTACATGAGCGTCTTGAAAGGCCATCTGACATACTTCGCTGGACCTGCCTGCAGTACCTCGAGGGTATCAGAGACTTTGTGTTGAACAAGAAGGACTACTTGATGACCCAGGTTGGCAATCCCGAGGGCAAGTGAGTATGGTATGACGAGCTCCGCATTCGATCGCTTTACCCCAGTCGGAACACTCACGCGCATTTCATTAATGCACTGCAGGGACAAGCCCAACAAAAAGCAATACGACCCCCGCGTTTGGGTCCGCGAGGGAGAAAAGACAATGTCGAAGCGCTGCACGATCGCCTTCGAGGACTTGCTCTCTGCTGGAAAGCTCTAGGCACTACGCAAGCGTTCTTTCGCGGACCTCTCATCCTGTCTGCTGAAACATGAAAATTACAAAGCTCTGTGTGCAAGCTAGATAATTACAGTATCGCGCAATCGATTAAGAACAGGATTTCCATAGCGAAAGCGGGCTCGGTAGCGTGGCGCTCGCGTTACACCCAGGCGCGCGGTCTCATTTGATTCGGAGTGCTCACCGAAAGCAGCACACTCTACTAACGGCCCACATTGAACCTGTGTCCTAACACATTGAGGGCGGATGCATTTTGCGTGAACAATTAGAGGATGCGATTGGCAAAAGGTGCCTTCGACTATGGGTCCTCTACTTGCGGCGAGGGGAGTATTGCACGCAGCGCAAGGCAGATGATCGAAGCGGACGCGCATGCTCAGCCAAAGACTCGCAGACCTGCCAAGTCGACATGATCCAAGGTGTGCTCTTTGCTTGATGTCTGCCCCTCGCTGCTTGCTCCACTATGGGCGGATAGAGTCCCATGAGCAGCAGAGAGCTGAGCCAGCAATCTGGCCCTCTGCTCGTCGGTCCAAGTCTCGTTGGGTATGGGCGGCATAAAGTTGGCAATCTTGTCGTGCACTTCGTATTTGAGCCTTCTACCTTTTGACGCTCTGGTATCTACGGCTCGTTTGGGCCCTTTGGAACGTATTGTGAGGCCCATCAGGCCATCTGAACCCGCCGCGCCTTCTCCTTTGCTGTCGAGCAGCTCTCGCAGCAACGAGGAGTAGAAGTCGGTATCGTCGAAAACGTTCTCGTCGGGCTCATCGGAGTACGCAGCGGCGGCAACCCCTTCTTCTCCAAGCCTGTCTGCTCCTCGCCACACCCTCGTCCGTTTCAGCAGCCTCTCCATACTCTCCGGCTGCGCTAAAGAGGAGCGAACCTGCTCGCCCGCTGCTCTGTTCACTGCTTTTAATTCCCTGCTGGACCCAGAGGGTCCGCTGGTGCTCCAAGCATCCAGAACCTCACAGGTCTTGTCCGCAGTGACGCGGTGCAGTGATAGGAAGGCAGAGATGGACTGATCAATGTCCTCGTCTCGCACAGCTTCTCCTGATGCCGGACGCTTTCCTAACACGCTTGACGCTTGATGGAACGCTGCAGCGACTTGGCTATCCGAAGCTTGGGCGATCGCAGCACGCTTGGAGAAGATCGACGCGTTAAGCTGGGCCAGATCTGACTGTAAAGATTTGTACGAGGCAGCGCACTCGGGATCCGTTTGGATTTGTGAGAGTGCGTTGACCTATATGAGAGGGTGCTGGAATGTCAGTTCCGGGCCGCTTATGAGTCCAGAAACGGAGCAATGAAGCTGCACTCACATCTCTGCAGAGTGCCACAGATTCCGTCAAGAAGCTATGAAACTGGATGCGCGCCCTCAACGATGCCTCCCACTGCCTGTACTGCTCCTTGACAGCTCTACCTCTCTGTGCATCGTCCGCAGTCTGAGCTTGTAAGCGAGACATGAGCTCGGAGTCTGCTTGCGCTGCGGCTGCAAGCGTATTGCCACCTTCGCCCCAGTCAGCCTCGCTGCTCTTGTATTGAGTATCCTTGGTGAACCTTACTCGTGAAGGTGCGGCGGAAGATGACGCAGGTGGTATTGCCGCTGACTCGTCAGCGCTGCTTCCTGCAGGAAGAGCAGCTCCCGCAGCTTCGTCCGACTCATCGCTGCCAAGGTCTTCATCCGACGCTGATCCTGAAAGCCCGCTGGCTTCTTCTGCATCATCGTCGCCTTCTTCCTCGCTGCCGCTAGCCTCGTCAAATGCCTGGCTGGCGCTGACAGTCCTGCCCGCATACTTGCTCCCAGAGAGCATTCCGCTCTCGTCCATCTGGGTCCTGCGCCTTGAAGAGGGTCCCACATCGACATAGTGAGACTTGTCTGCCCGATTCGACTTGCCGACATCTAGACCGTCATCTTCTATGTCTTCATCGTCGCTTGCATCAGACTCGTTGTCGGAAGCAGAGTGGTATGAAGTGGAAGGACCGAGTTGCGCGCTGCGCTTGCCTGTCGACCCGGTCGAGGGCGATGGATCGGAGAGCTGGGCAAGCGTGTTACTGAGTGAGGAAGGCATGGCAGGAGTGTAGAAGCAGAAGGATGGCCATCACCAGAATCACAGTGTTCGATGATATGTGCAGAGTGCAAGGTGACAAGACACCCACGACTCACTCACTCATTCAGATCAGACCTGACCTCTTCTCGCTCGCGGCTCGTCCAGAGATCTTCAAGTCGCGGACGGAACTCTCAAGATGAAATTCACAAATTTTGAATTCGAGATTTGCATTTGTGATTGATTCTTTATTCGCCTTGAACGGAGCGCTCCGACTCAAATTCAGGACCCGTCAAGACTCTTTGACTTTGATCAGCTTTTTCGTGCTCGACAAAATTTCTGAGCACGTGATGACAAGCGAGGCACGTGATGCCCCTTCCACCCCCGTGAGACTTGACTCTTGACTCATCTAGATTTTTTACTCTTCAGGATCTCTCCCGGCTCGCCTTCAGAGAGAAGGGATTGCAATCGGACTGTTGGGTATATCGAATCTGCATGGCGCCAGGAGGCCCACCAAGAAATCGGCGTCACTCGACAAGACTGAATCGGTTGACCTCACCAGCATGCATCGCTACCGCTGCCAACGTTGCTCAAGAAGAGCTCAATGCGGGAGGGTTGCGCCCGGTTAGCTGGAGGATAACTCGTCTGACTCCTGTACGTGCACGCGTCGAGCGGAGCGCGCAAGACTCGCGCGCAGCCACAGCACTCGATCGCGCTGCATGCATGGCAGCCGCGGTAGCACCGCCCCAGCCGTGAGCTGTGCTTGCTGCTGATGCATGATGTATGCCTGCCTATACTCCCGCTCTGCCTCTTGACTCACGACTGTTGAGACGATGATATCGCACGACCGCACCCACATGATGCTGCCTGAGATGGGCGCAGCGATTCTCGGGCCTGCTGCTTGGAAATCAAGCGATCTCGGACTTCTGGGGGCAACTTATCGCGATCCGCGCTAGCTTGCCTCTGTGCCTGCTGTGACCAAGCCTCACCAAAGTGTCAGTCAGAGTGAAATTCTCATGCATTCGTGATCCCGCCCTGAAGCACGTACCACTCCGATGACCGCGATGCATAAGCGACCCCGCCGCCACGCATCACCTCGAACAAGCGTGTGAGCAGTCGAGAGTGTGAGTCTTTTGCCGATCGAGTTGCCTCGTCCAAGAGCATCAAGAATCACTCGGATGAAAGAACGCAATCCGTGCGAAAAGTCCGCGGCTTGATCGAGTGGCCCTGCCTTATCTCCAAGCGCCTCCCCCCGCCTAGCTGTGTCGTGGCAACGCGCATCAGCTAGCCCTCGTCTTGACTGACCCGAGAATTGACTCGAAAAGGCTTGGCATGCCGTCATCGCTTCACTGGGTTGTTGGATCCGCCCTTGCTATTATGAGACAAGCGTCCGCGAACTGATCCGCGCAGGTCTTCTTTCATTCGTGATTTCATGTCGTGAGTCTTGCGTGGGCAGTATTCAAATTGTTCATAGTCACATCCATCACCAGTCGGAAGTCTGATTGCGAGTGTGAATCATAAAACCACATTTTTGAGTTTCAATCACAAAATGCGAATCGTGAATGTCGAATCACAGCAGCGAGACACGCACAGAGGATCGAGGCGCGGATGTTAGCCAAGTTCAGCCACGCGGTGTGAGTGGCTGCATGGCTGGCTGAGTTGGTCTGGCGTGACTGAGCGACTGCTGCTGCATGCATGCATACACTTCTCTGACTGCATGTACCGGTATACGTATGCAACACACGCGCGGGTCTGGCGCGGTACCGCTACGCGTGCCGCGGTGGTGTTGCGCGTTTGCTATATACAGTAGCTGCTGCTGCGAGAGTCACCACACGCGGCGCAGAGCATGCTGCAGAGCCTTTGCCGATGGGGGGAGACCCATGTGACGCGCGCGCGTTCATGCATGCAGCAGCCTCTCGCCGTTTAAGCCGAAGAAACAAGGCCAATCAGATTGACGCGTGCACGCTTCGCTCGCTCGATGTCGAGTTGAATTATGGATGAATTGACGGATCGAATGCTGCGCGAACTTACAACGAGATGTATGATTCGCTTGCTCTTCCAGCGCCGCCCCTTTGCCCTGCTGGTGCTATCGAAGCTGCTGCTTCTTCGATGTCGCACGCCGCCTGTCGCTTGCGAGGCCTCCATCTGCGTCTTCGCGGCAGCAGCAGCAGCAGCACTCATCGATCGCAACTTATTTGTGGAGTCAAGTCGCAAGGCAGGACCCTCGATCGCGCGCACGCATGAGGCACATGCAGACTCACAGCAGACTGCATCACGTTGTAATTCTCGATTACAATTCACGACAGCTTCCCTGCTTTCTGCCCTTCGGATAATTTTGAGCCCTGACTGTATCGGGCTCATGCGATTTGGGTGACTGCGCGTCGATCCTAAGCATTGGTCCTCTTCATCCGGACCAAGCAAGCATGCAAGCATGCAAGCACGCAAGCTTGCTGCTGCTGCTCCTCTTCTCCGGACCCCAAAACAGATACTTGCGCGTCCTCACCTCTTTTGTCTTCTTTTTGAATGACTCGACTCGACTCGACTCGACTCACATGCGACGTTCAGCTAGTCCAGACTGACTGCTCCCGACCGACCATTGCCAATCTGAGCATCGAGCACAAGCGCAGGCAATCGCGGGCAAAATTTTTAGGAACTTTTGAATCCTGAATCAAATGCGACCAGCAGCAGCATCAGCTAGCATGCACGACTGACTCGCAACAAACAGAACAGCTATAGGGTCGCAAGTCTTCGCGTCATCAACGTCGCATGTCTCATCCCATCTCTACCCCGCATACACACGCACGCCCCGGCCTCACTGCCTGATCGCACTTGCGCGCTCGCCCAGACATCATCACCACCACCCGCGGCTATCGCTCTGTTTGCCAAATTAAAGCACAGCACTGGCAAAACGAGAGCGGATCGATCGAGGGACTTGCGGCATCCTCCACACGGCGGGACTGGTCGCTTGTACATAAGCAGCAGTGGCAGCATCAAGCTGTGAGCTCCTGCTGCTGGTCGTCTCATCTCTGCTTGCGCCAATTGCACTCTGTTTAGTCGACTTGGCTCTGTGGCGCTGCCATTCTCCGCAACCCAGCACTGCGCACAGCTAACACGCACGCATACATCCGACTCCTAATTGACTCCGTCGTCCTCCTCGGTCACCATTCGCTGCTGACGATCGAAAGAGAGCATTCGCACACTAAAGGCTTCAGTCAACCCACTCAAATCGCCGCTCGACGCACGGATCTTGCAATTCGTCACCACGCTGAATCAGCACCACCAAGAAGACAGCGTTGAATCCCTACCCCAGCTGCCATCCACATTCACATTGCGGTGCCCTGGATTTGCAGTGCAGCAGTGCGATGCGATGGCAGTAGTGGACCCCGGTCCCATCGAGAAGAATCGTCATCAGAAGCGCGTTATCGTTTGGCATCGTGGGTGACGCCTTCAGATTCGCCACCCCATCCTTCTTTCCGCCCTGACAATCTCGCTATCTGGACAGGCGCAAGGAACCCGTGGCCATCACGCCATCTTTGAAATCGGTCGCCGCTCGCTAATAAAGTCTGCGCGCGCTTCGCAACATACGCCGTTGCTCGACATCCAGACTCGCCAAGAACAGCGACTCCGCAAAAGGGGAAAGCGTGTTGCCTAGCTGGTCGTCTAGCATTGCGCCTGAAGCCTTGAGCAGCTCCAATTGGTCACGCAATTACCATCTTCTTCGAGATCGACCGGCCTCTACAAAAATCAGCGGCCAAGTTGCCAGGTTGCAGGAGACAGGGCACCACGTGAAGCAGTCTCATCACCTCAAGTCGGACCTAGGCAGAGGCCACGGCAGACGGGAGCGGAATTGCAACCGATATTTGTTGCGGTCCCGTTGATTGACGGGACGAGTCGCACGCAGCCGGGCCGTCTGAAAGTGTGTTTACGTCACGATCTAGAGCTGGTACCGGCGCGCATACGCGGCTCCGTCACGTCGTGCTGCAATCGGCGACCAGTACTTTGGAGATAGGAGAGCTAAATTGCCTCTTACCTTGCCGGTGTGGGGAGGTGGCACTGAGGGCAGCGCGGTTCATTACCAGGGCTCCAAGTTCCCGCCAAAGCAACCACCTGCCGGACGTTCTTTTGCACGGATTGCAGTCACTCAAAGTGATTTCAGGCGACTCTGAGATCAACTTTATCGTGACACGCCCACGGCTTTCGCTCCCGTTCGACCCCGTGGCCACTGTGTTTTTATTTAGGGGCTCGTGGTAAGATCCTGCACGGGTCTCCTGCGCTTGGTCAGTGGGCAATCGCCTCACAGGCAACGAACTGCCACCCAATCGCTTCTAGAAGGAGGCTTTCCAGGAACGCGTTCGTCTTCAAGACACCACAAGCTAAAGGTGCTGCCCGCTTCCTCGCTTGGCACTCAAAGTTTACCAGGTGGCATCAGCGTGTGACCGGTCATTGCTGGTCAGATCAAAAGGTCCAACTCGTCGCGAACTCTTGCTGATCCCTGACAGTCGGCACCGGCACGGCCTGGCACCATTGCCATGACGTCTCTAGCCAACCACGGCGGAGTGCAGCCGGGCGAAAGCTCACGATCTGCTACAAGTCCCAAAGGAAAGTCGGCTTCCAGCACGCGCAAAAGGAGCGCGACTAGGCGAAAGTCGTCGAGGATGCCTCGACTCTATCTTGCCGTCGACTGTGGAGGGACAAAAGCTGCTGCTGCAATTTGCGACGAGCAGGGCATGGTCAGAGGTCGAGGATTTGGAGGACCAGCGAACTACACAGACGTTGGCCTACGCGCGTTCTTGAGAAGCGTCGATGCTGCGGTTCGCGAAGCGCTGTTCGCTGCTGGTGTCTCTTTATCTACGAATACAGAGCAAATCGCTCGGCTTGTCTCACCATCTAGAGAGCAATATGGACAATCCTCGGACATTGTACAGGAAGCTGCGACCCCCCAATCAAGATCTAGTAGCAATGCAGACGCGACAGCATCGATTCACCCATCAAGACGTAATAGCAACGTAGACGGGACGGCGTCGATGTCTGGCGAGGCTCACGCAGTTCCTTGGGACAGTTCTGAAGCAGACGATGATACGACACGGCTGGCCAACAAGCAAGGAACACCCTTTGAGGCAGCTTGGTTTGGTATTGCTGGCGTCGACAGCCCTGGCGATGTTGCTGCGCTCACGCCCCATCTGGCCTCGCTACTCGGATTGCCTCACCCTTCACCGCGGCTCATCGTTGCCAACGACACTTCTTTGTTGGCTTCTCCCGTCACAGATCCCGCGTATCCAGATACGAGATCAGGAGTGGTGGTGATTGCAGGCACGGGAAGTATCGTGATGAGTTTCGGCCGAAGGGAAGACGGTCTACTAAGGACCTTAGGCCGAGTAGGTGGCTTCGGATGGCTGCTTGGCGATGAAGGAAGCGGCTACGCCGTTGGAAGAGACGCAGTCAGACTCGTCCTCGACCAGGCAGATCGTGAGAGGTTGATGGGTGACGATGCCGCTGGCACCAGCTCCGTTGCGCTAGGTCAAGACGTGCACCTGCTCAGAGATCGCATTCTCCAGCATTGGGGCATCAAGTCAACTGACGATCTGCTCATGGCGGTGTACTCGAACGATGTCCCCGCATCGTACCCTGCCATTGGGCCTTCTGCAGCTCCGTCTGAGAGCGCCTCGACAGCTCCGTCGTCGACCAGCGGCAGTCGGAGAGGCAGCAGCAGCGAAATGCCAAGGGAAGCGAATGGTGCAAATGCGGCTCTTAGCATCTCAAATTCACAAGCTACGATTCGTGGCAGACTCGCTGGCGACACTGCTGGGCAAGGTTCCTCTACTCCCTCCCCGAGCACGAGCACTTCCGAGGGATCAGAATCGGTCGCGCTACCGATGACCAACAGCAAGAGCAGCGCAGTTCTGGCGCGAGCTTTCGTAGAGCCATCTGCAAATCTGCTACCGCCAACGGCGCCCGAGATCGCTGCGGACAGGCCGGTCTCGCCGGTGCCTGCCTTGACCTCGAGTGACGAGTCGACACCGGCTGCGAGGAGAGGCAGCACGAGCAAAGATGCAGCACTACATACATGTGGAGCGCAACTTCCGAAGGCCGTGGCTGATGTTCGAGCTGGAGCCTCTGCAGCAGTCGCCAATGATGCCACCACACGCAGGTCGACCTCGACAAATCAAGAGCAGCAGGTCGAGTCTGCGCATCACGATGACATCACCTTCGGCTCTTTGTCACCTCACGCGGTAGCTGCCGCAGCAGTAGCCAACGCGGTTGGCGAACGCAAGCATCGCATCGCCTCGCTCACACCGCTCGTTTTCCACTTGGCCTTCAATCACGACGACTCGCTTTGCCTCGCGATCCTGCGCAGACAAGCTTCGCAGATCGCTTCTCAGATCTGCGAGGTCCTTCGACCGCCCGACACTTCTCGAGCTCACTTGCGAGCGGACCGAAGCGTGCTGTGCTGCGGTGGAAGTCTTGTTGGCGTGTCAAAGTACAGGCAGATTTTGGTGGAAGAATTGGCAAAGCTTGGGGCTACGTTTGAGAGGGTAGAGTATGTGGGGGATCCGGCTAGGAGAGGTGCAGAAGCTCTAGCGGGGGTGTGGGAGAGTCAAAGAGCTTCGCGCAGTCGGTCGCCATCCCTCCCCAACCCCTCCAACACCGAATCATCGTGATCTTGCAAATCTTGCTTCATCTCGCTCTTGACTTCCTTCCCCCCCCCCCCCTGCAAGCCTTTCACTCCGCTGCTACCAACATCTCTTCCCAAATCCCCTCTGCAAGGACCTGCGCCAAGTGCAATCTCTTACGTGATGGCAACGCCTCACCGCATCTCGATACCGCTTCTCTCTCGAGCAATCCAAGTGTTATGTTCTGCGTTCACGCCTTGAGCATCGCTGCACATGACGTCACAACCGCCGTCCGACTTGTCCACAAACAAGGTTTTTTTTTTCGAAGAGCAAATTTATTGCAAGCGTGCGAGTCCCGCCTATAGCAGGAGGAGCAGCAATTGCGTACAGAGAGACGAAGGGTGTTTTGGATATCAAAGAGTAAGATGAGGGAGATGAGTCCGGAGCATAAAGCGAGCCTAGAATTTTGAGACATGCGTGGAAAGCGACTTTTGAGCAGAACCAGTCCGGGCAAAAAAGTCGAGTCCGTCTTGACGGTGAATCGCGGACAAGTCTACGATTCACCGTGATGAAGAGCCGCACGAGATCAAACGCGATTTCGTGGGAATAGGGAAGCGAGAAGTGGAAACGTAAAGCAGAGCTTGTCGCGCGACGCCTTTGAGATGGTACGCGCAAGAGGATGTTCTAAATAAAGCCGGGACCGAAGAGAGACAACAAGCAAGACCTAGTGATGAATCTTGAACGATCCAAGTTAGACATGGCGAGGCGATGAATGGTGAGAGGGTATGCGGTGAACAAGATGAAGAATTTGGTGACGCGCGAACAAGGGGCACGGCGTCCCGTGATGAGATGGTGACGATTTCATGAGGTGACGCGAGCTTAGGATTGGTGATCTACGATGGCATCGAGAGCGCCATACGGTTAGTCCTTGGCTGCGTTGACCATGTTGGACATCTCGTTCATGATGGCCGCAAAGTGCTCGAGATTCTTGGGGCGCGCAGCCTCTGCTTTGGCCTCGGCCTTGGCCGCAGCCTTCGACTCCTTGGCCTCGGCAGCAACTGAGACACGACTCTCGTGCTTGATGGACGAGACGGAGGCGGCGGAGGCTCTGCTGACGCTCGCAACGCTGGCTCTGCTGACACTGGCGACGCTAGCACGCGATGCGGAAGAAACGCTGGCTCGGGAAGCTGACTCGGATGACTTGGAAGCTTCTGCAGCTGACGAGACGGACGCTCGAGAGGAAGCGGCAGCGTCGGCAGCGTCCTGTGCCGCTTTTTTCTTGCGCGCTGCGGCCTCTGCCGCTGCGTCAGCGCCATTGTCATTGTTGTCGTTGTCGTTGGAGTTGCCGCCAGACTTTCCACCTCCCGAGGAACCGCCGATGGACCATTGGATTTGAAGGACACCGAGACCGAGGCTTCCGAAGTACTTGAAGAGAGCAGGGCTCATGTCAAGATCAGAGCCAAAGCACTGTCCTCCACCGGGTGGGCAAGTGTCGGCAATCGTGGCCTGCGCAGTCTTGCCATTGGCACTGATGGTGACCGTCTTTCCGCAGAGACCAGAGTTCATCATGCCACCGGCAACAGCGACGGTGAAGGCGTTGTTGCTGAGCATGTTGCCACACGAGCCAGCGTTGCCGGTCTCCGTGTTGTAGTAAGTTCCCTTTCCTGAGTAGCCACGCTTCTCGATTGCTTGCACGTTGCTTGCATTCTCGGCGCGCTCGACGATGTGATGGTGGCGCTTGGCCATCCGCGCTTGGTGCATTGGGTCTGCTTCGCGGGCAGTGACCGAAGGAGAGCTGAGCGCGATGGCCGCGAGAGCGACCGCTCCGATAGCTGCGAATGACGACTTCATGTTGTTTGTGATGACAGACGTTCGAGAGTGCCAAGGCGATCTGGATTTATCACGGTGTGCTGCGTTGTCTGGTGGTCAGGATGGATGAGCAATTGATGGATTGCTTATGCGCGCGCCTTCGTCGTTGAAAGACCGTTGTACTGCTGACTGGGGATGTCCGGTGGGTTGAGAAAAGAAAGGGGAGAAAAAGGGACAGGATCGAGAAAGAGTGTGATCGACGTGAGGCCACAGGGGTTATGAGTGCGGGACCGCTTGTTGTGTCAGGTAGCCGTTGAAAGGGCTGGCAGAATGTGTATTTCCGTTCGATTGGTGCGACCTAGCGCGATATTCGTTGAGAAGTGAAGAAGCACGTGGGGAGTGGGTGGGGCAAGAGGGGCAGCAATGTGGTGGGGAGGGATGTAGAGATGACTGAAACTTGATGGTAGATGGGAGCGCCGACTATTCGCTAAACCGATGGATGAGGAAGGGGGACGGAGCGCAAATGGTGAGGTTGCCGCTGCCGCTGCCGCTGCAGATGCTGCGCGCTGGGCAGAACGAAACGACTTCACTTCGAAGCATCCCGCGCGCCAGTTGTGAGTTGTGAGTGTGCTGGGCTGGGCTTTGCCTCAACTCGTCCTCGCGACTGGCGCAGCGCCTGCATGCGTGGTGAGCCAGCTGCTGACTGCTTGTGCCGATTTTGCGCCTTGGCTGCTGCTGCTGCTGCTGCTGCACGGAAGCGCGCGAACAAGACCATGCGACAGGACCAGACAGACAGGGGCCGCGGGGGGGCCGAGAGGACACAGGGACGAGGACTGCTGATGTTGTGACCTAAAGTGCATCGTGCCGCCTCCCTATGCTGCGCGTCTGTGCCCACGCCTTGCCCTAATCAGCAGCAGGCTTGCCGAACGCATGCAGCACGCTTCAAAGTCCGGCATTCATGCTGTAGGCGACTATAGGCGTGGACGCGGCTGAAGTCTCGAGAAAGGATCGGTGAAGTGTGACAGTGATGCATGAGCGCATGTGCAAGTCCGAGCCCTGCTATAGCTAAGTGAACATGCCGTGCCCTCCGCGCCAAAGGCGCCAAGCGTCAGCGCGGCAGCATGCGGTAGCGCGCGCGCGCGGATCACGATCCATGCACTCGCTCGTTGGCACAGACGCTATATAGCTCCTATGTACAGCATATACGTACAGTCTGAGTGTATATAGACAGCAGCATGCATCATGCCGGTCGGGCATCGCGCGACGCTCCGAGCGGTTGGAAGCGAAAGATGTTTGCTCTCGCGCAGGCATGACAGAACTTCATGCATAGATTGGCCAGCATGCACTCTCGATCTGCCTGCCTGCCTGCCTGCCTGCCTGCCTGCCTGCCTAGCTGCTGCCTCGTCGAGGCTCGATCGTGACTGCACTCTTCCCTATACTCACGCAGTGGCCTCACGACTCCTGCTGAACGTACGGCATCCCTCGTCAGGTCCTCAAAACTGGCCACCCCTCAACGGTGATCTTCTTGCCCTGCAAATCGGCGCATCCGCCTCAAATTCCCGCTCTGCCATGCAGCAGGCATGTCCAGATGATGCTGCTTGAGGTGCTGCGTGCACTCTTGACTACAAGTCAGTATATAGAGAGCCACTTTGAAGCGCGTTTTCGGCACTCGGCTAGTCCAGCGCGGGGAAAAGCTGGACGGCTGATGCTGGAGCTATGCATATATCTATCTGCTCGTGACTCTGATCGCGGGCGCTGGGAGCGTCTCGACTCGAGGTCACCCACCCACAACAACAGATTGAGCACAATGTGAGCGTGCAGCAGTGCCAACCTCAATCGACACCACCGCCTGCTGCCGCGCGTGCAAGCCAAGATATGCAAAAGATGTTCGGTGGTCCCACGAGAACAGATCTATTCGAATGCCATCACGGCCTGCCGCCAAGCGCTGCATGCCGGCCAGGCTTTGGCATGGATCCTCGCGAGGTCAAGGTCTCTCTGCAGAGCATCCAGCAGGCGCGTCAGCTGCTATGCGACGCCCCGCAGCGATTACGCACGCTTATTGTGGTGTACAAAAGCTGTGGAGTGACTTGTGAAGCGCATTAACTGTGAGTTGGGAGGGAGGATGGCGTAGAAGCGACAGCAATTAACTGGCCATGCAATCGTGAATACCACCCACATGCGCAACATGTCAACCCACGCTGCATGGTGGCTGCGCAGCTCTCTCTCTCCAGGCCGTAGAGTCAAGTAGGCTGGCTGCATTTCTGAGATTCGAGCCTGCGCGCGTGTTGTACGTGTTGTGATTGAGTCGTCTCATGGTTTGGGATGACGTGTTGCATCTCTGCGGTGCTCCCATATACCTGCTGCATTGCGCTGATCATGATCTGAATTTGCATATTCTTGCTGATTGGATCTTTGAATTGATTGCAGACTCGTCGCGCTGTCATTACTATCTTCAGTGGTGAGTGTGGCGGTTTCGGAGATATTTCAGCTTCGGCAAGCTTAGGGAGCTCATGCCCAATCTGGATACTTTGAAGATGAGCAGGATATCAGAATAAAGGGGGCAATACGCACATCGGCCGGACCGGGAGGTGGGCAGAACCAAGGGCGCGCCGCCCTCGCGCCTCTTGTACTCGTGCCTGTGACCGCAGGCGCAGCTATAGCTGCATGACGTTCTTTGAGGGCCGCTCTAGCGCAACTCGTTCGCGAGCACGCCTAGTAGTCCTATTTACTACTCATCAGACTGCTGTACATAATCTCCTGCCAAGGATGCCTCAAGAGGCGCGATGCTGCTCCCGGTATGCTCACCTCCGTTCCGTGGCATGGTCTTAAGCCCAGAAGAGCCTCTTGACTTGAATGAGTCGAGAGTCAGAGTGAACAATCACATAGTCTGATCATGCGCGCCTTGACGACGGGTCAGGAGTCTTGTACGTGTGACGACTCAACGTCGTGTCACGTGCCTCCAAGATGTGTTGAGTCATGAGTGGGACGCGCAAGAAGGGCTCTGTGTGGCTATAGACACGTGAGCCTGACAGCACAGCTACTCAACCTGCGCGCGGCGAGGTTTGTGCGTTTGTGCGCTGCGCGTACTCGTGACTGATGTGACTTCCTTGCTAGCTCCTCTCTCCACTTGGCCAACACAAGGTGCAATTTGAAGTTGAATGGACTTCAGCCGTACAATCGTCCTCCTGATCAGCATCCGACCGGAAAGCAAGGTGTTGGATCCATCCGACAGGCTGATGAAGAAACATTCGTGATTATCAGCAGCTCATTCACGATCATCCCCTCAAACCTCCTTTAGCTAGCGTGATCGCTACACAGGAGGGCGCTGCCTGCAGCACGCACAACATGGACCAATTGAAGGTTACAAAGGTACGCAGAGCTCTTCGAGACCCTGCGACTATGTTCACGACCTCGTGGCTGACGTATGCTGTGTCTTTCGTTGGCCAGGTAGAGGGAGTGCTGCTACAGGAAGGCAACGAGTGCAGGAAGGGCACGCTCCACCTCACGCAACATCACCTCATCTTTGTCACACCCACACCTTCGCGCGCCGCTTCACCAATCGCTTCCTCGTCTGCCTTGACGCTTTCCCGAATCAGAGCGGACCAGCAGGAAATCTGGGTACGTACCTGCTCCTCCTGCTCGTCGCAGCTGCGCACGTATGTTGAACCTTCCATGAGCCTCCCATCGATCAGCTGCCATACTCGCTCTTTTGGCTCGTTACGCGTCTACCCTCTCTGCTACCCCTCACGGCAACATCGAGACGAGATGCGCGGATTTATCCGCTCTTGTTGCGTCTGCGCAACTTTCACACCTGCGCCCTTGGCTTCGAGTCCGATGCCAATGCCACAGACGTGTGGGAGTCAGCGCGGGCGTGCGCCATACTCAGTCAGTACAAGACCACGACGACGGCTTTTCTCGCTTCACTGATGGCTAACGAGTGTGTCTGCTGCCGACTGTGGCTCAGCGGACCCGCGGCATGCGTATGCCTTTTATCGCCTGCCTGCCGATGCTACCGCGCAGTCTGAAGCCCAATCTAGGCGCGGCTGGGCTGTGTACGACTTCAAGAAGGAGTTCGCAAGGCAAGGTGTTGGGACACGCACCAAGGCTTGGCGGTACTGCGACATCAATACTGGCTATGCCGTAAGTGTGCGATGCATGCCGCATGCCGATGCTGCTATGTCTCCCTCCTCGCGCTTACAACTGCCCCACGCTGTGTGAAGTTCTCGCCCTCATATCCTAGCATGATGGTGGTTCCATCGCGCATCTCCGACTCGACCCTTCGCTACGCCTCAAAGTATCGTTCAAAGGCAAGGATACCGGCTTTATCTTACCTCCACTGGGCAAATTTTGGAAGTATCACGCGATCATCTCAGCCAATGGTCGGACTGAACAATCGGAGTCTGCAAGATGAGAAGCTCATCGAGGCAATCTTCACCACGCACCTCTTCGCTGATCCTATGAGCCCAGCGGCGCAAGCTGCCGCGGCTGCAAGTGCTCAAGCTGGCGGCAACGGTGCTCCTGCGAACGTAGCTCTTATATATGGTGCACAAACAACCAACTTGATCGTCGATGCGCGACCGACTGCAAATGCCGTGGCGAATCGGGCCAAGGGAGCTGGCACTGAGAATATGGAGCATTATCGAGGCTGCAAGAAAGCATATCTGGGAGTCGAGAACATCCACGTCATGCGGGACTCGCTCTCACGCTTGACTGACGCTCTGAGACAGACGGACGCGCCCGCGACGTTTGGCATGCGACCGGTTGCCGCCGAAACTACCACGACAGACATCACAGACATGGGTCAAGAAGGCAAGGGCCCCGCAGTTGCGTCTGTCCCCAGCGTGGTCCTGCAGCAGCGTCGCAGTGAGAAACCCCTCGATTACACCGCACTGAAGAAGTCGGGCTGGCTCAAGCATACCTCGGCGTTGTTGGAGGGCACTCTTCTGATCGCCCGCATCGTACACGTCAATTCATCGCACGTGCTCATTCACTGCTCAGACGGCTGGGATCGCACTTCGCAACTATCGGCACTTGCTCAAATTTGCTTAGATCCTTATTACCGAACTCTGGAAGGCTTCGCAGTCTTGGTCGAGAAGGATTGGTGCAGTTTCGGCCACAGGTTCTGGGATCGTTGCGGTCACGCGAGCAGTCCCAAATACTTCAACACGGCTTCTGGCTACGGCGAGGAGTCGGACGAGGAGGAGGACACAAGTGATGGAGAGGCAGCTAGTGGATTTGAAGCCCAAAGTCAAGCAGCCGCGAACGCTATTTGGGGCTTCACGAAGAGCCTAGCCACCAATTTTCAGGGTGGCGGTCCCGGTGGTGGGCCGTCTGGCGCCCACCTCAAGGAAATCTCTCCTGTCTTTTTGCAATTCCTGGATTGCGTGTGGCAGATGCAACGCCAGTTTCCCCAGCGCTTCGAGTTCAACGAAGAATTTCTGGTAGAGCTTCAGACGCAACTGCACGAATGCCGTTTCGGCACGTTCTTGTCCAATTGCGAACAGGAGTCCCGAAGGCCTGCAACGGACGGCATCCATGCTGCGCGCCCTTTTTGTGACGTCACCGCCAGTGTCTGGGATGCATTGTTATCTTCGCAACACCGCGAGAGATATACCAATCCAGCCTTCGACGCTTCTCTGAACGATCCTAAACGAGAGTCGACGGACATGGGCGTGCTATTGCCCGTGTCGAAAGATGTGCGGTACTTTGCGCGGATGTTTCGACGAGGCGACGAGGAGATGAATGCTGGCATCGTGGCCGAAATCGAGGAGCAACGCCGCCAGGTCGAAGCTGTGGAGAATGCAAGAAAGGCAGCCATAGCCGCGGCAGAGGCAGGACCTTCTGAAGCTTCCCGATCATCCATCGCGGCTGTTGTCTCTGGGAGCGACAGAACCGATCCGGGTTCGAGCGGCCTCAGCAATGGCATTGTCTCGCCTTCAAGCGCGCAAGGTGTGGAGCGCGTGGAGGCGCCGTTGGCGTACAAGCCGCGTGTGCCCAAAGCGCGAGGTGTCAACACTTCCAATCATACTGCGATGAGCCCATCGCAAGCTTCTTTGCACCAGCATCTTTCAGCTGTTGAACAACCTCCTCCCGACGATCGCGTCTTGGACAGTGCGGGCACAGGCGCAGTAGATGCGGCCGCCAGAATGAGAGGCCTCTTTGTCAGCGGATGGGGTCGCCTACAAGCGGCTTACGCGGACAGCTCGCCTGCACCTGCAGCTGAGACTCCGTCAGAGGCACCAAGATACGGGAATGGCGAAGTGGACCTTTCTCGAGGGGCTGACCATCCTTCCAGCATGAGCAGTAGTCTGTCAAGCAACACAGGCATTTCCAAACCGCCCAGCAACAGGCAATCGTCCGGAGAATCACTCCAAGCACGACTCGCGAACCTTACAGAAGCTCGACGCACGGTCCCACCACCGACTTCGCCGAAGGTCCAACCCAAGATCCATGGCACCTACGACGCAAACCCTTGGGCTGCCTCGACGGAGCGGCAAGGTCTCCAAGACGAGCTTGGTGATGTCATGCGCAACGAGATGAGAGGCCCCCCATCGCGCCCTTCGCTGGGCTCCTCTGCACAACGGACGGGAAGCACGGCAAGCAAGAGTCCAGACTCGCAGCAAGGCAAGGCAGCAGCAGATCCGCTCGGCGTGGGTTTCTAAATGACCCTCTGGACGCCCTTGCCGGCAAGCTGTGACGACGTGGTATAGTGGATCATGCGTGGTTGAGTTCTCGGCACACATCTAACATCGGAAGCCTCAATGTACTTGTAACAGCACAGTATTGAGCCTCAGTGTATTTGTAACAGCACGATTTTCCGGCGCAAGCCTTCGTGTTACACAAGAATTCCAGTGTACGCACAAGGTTGCTCGTACGGTCGCATCAAGTGAATCCTGGGCCGACGCTGCTTGGCGCGGCGTGTTGATACCCAAAGTTGATTGCGAGGCTCTTCGCTCAGCACGTCGCCCAGCACGTCGCCCTCTTGCTTGCTGTTTCGTGTGTGAGCTCTTGCGCGGCAATACATAGGGAAGCTACAACGGCACCGTATGTTTGTACAGATCGGCAATACCTCATCGCTGTGTACCGCGTCAAACGCGGATCGTCGCGCTAAAGACGCAGCTCGTACCGCGACCGCCGATCGCATCTCGGCTTTGGGCTATACAGTATACAGTATATATTCGTGATTATATGCTTCCTGCATGCACGGACGGATCTTTCAATCTGTGTGATGCGTGCACGGGTCTTCTCTGCTGCTGCACACTCACGACTGTGTGAATCGTGACTTTCCCCCTTTTGTTCCCTTATCAGCTGCGGGACAGACTTGTTTTGGCTTATGAGCGATGTGGGCCTGTGCTGGGCGACCCTTTTCAGCGCTCATCAACCCGCGTGATTCCCTGAGATCATCAGGGGATTCTGGCACAAGCTCTCGCGACAGTCGTTCGCTACACCTCCTGACCTCGGTGCGCGAGTTGAACGGCACCAACACTTGCTTGCCGACGTCGCTCCACATCGCGACTTCTCTTCCTATCTCGCATCTCGCATCAGGAAGCTCTGCCGGCTACCAGTCCACTCGCTGATCTTCAGCTTACCCATGCCCATCCTTCGACCCCTCGAGTCGAGCTTGACTGACCCCCGATCGCCGCGTACCACTTCGGCAGCGCTGATCGCATCATGACCTCATCCTCCGGCGCCCTGCCTACACGACCTGCCGAGCCAGAGGTTCGGCATTACGATCACGCACAGCCCCGCGCTAAGAATCATCATCACCACCACCACCACCATCAGCATCACCCTTATCAGCATCGGCCGTCCGCAGGGGGCGGCCTGTTCCAATCCCCTTCAGCTGCAGCTCGTCTAGGCAGGCACGCCTTTCCCCACCACGCTGCAGACTCTTTGCGTGACCTGTCTGCGCTGGCCGACCTGATAGATGATCGAACGGGGTGGTACGAGGATAGCCGCGTTACCGACGAGCAAGTATCGGCAGCCTGTCGCGCGGCCAAAGAGAGGGGCAATGGTGATAATAGAGCTGGTATTCGAGAGTTTTACGCAAAGCAAAACGCCATTCTGGACTCGTGGCGCGAGTGCGATCTCATCCTCGATAGCCAATTTCCCGAAGAGGTCATCAAGCGCTTTGGAGATGTAGAAACGGATTTGAACGACCGGCATGCTCGTCGACCCGGCGCGATACCTTCGCACGTCTGGAATGCCGATACTGGCTACTCTAGCGAAGACGACACTTCGGATGATGGCATTGGACGGCGCTTCGGTGCGAAAGGCAGGAGAGACAGCAAGGGAAGCTTGACCGCTGCTACCAGCGCCCTCTTCTCTGGCTTCTGGTTCGGCGCGAGTGCAAAGGAGAAGGAAAGGCGCCACCGGAACGGGAGCGCCGAAATCGATGAGGAGTCGGGATTGATGCATCCTGAGCCTCAGAGCCCCCGCGGTCGCGCAGCCACACCTTCTCAGGGATATGGGAGCACAGCTAGCAGTAGCGCGCCGCAATCAGCACCTCCCCTGAGCAACAACTTTGCGAAGGGTCATGGTCTGACAGCTATTGAGGATGTGGAAGGTGGACAAACGCAGCAAGCAAAATCCGACCCAGGCAAGGCAGGCGTCGTTAGGGCCACCACCCCACGAGGGACTCGCATAGCAGCGCTTGAGCACGTTCCTCGGACAGCTGGTAAGGGCAATGGTGCAATGAAGTCTGGGACGGCTGTTCAGAACGGCAGCAAGCCGGCGACCAACGGGGACGGCAGTGCAGCTGGTCGATCTCGCGCGTCTACCAAGGGTAGCTCCAGCTCCCATGATCCCGAACAGGACGATGAGCTTGGCGGCTACGAAGATGAGGTGGAGGATGACGAGGAGGACGAGGAAGAGCCCGAAGGATCGCTGGATCGCAAGCTTGCAATGGAGCGAGCCGAGCGCAAAGCGAGGCAAAGGCAGCGCAAAAAGGAGATTCACGTGCCCACGGTGGGCAAGATCCAGCTCCAGCGCAGCACGTCCACTGGAAGAGCGAGCCGATCCGATGCTACATCTGCCCAGGTGGATGAGCAAGCTTCGCGAGACAATGTAGCAATTCCTGGCGGTCAGCGAGAGCAAGAGCGGCGAAAGCTTCTGGCGTACGTTCCTGGCAAGGCTGATCGCGATCAGGAGGAAGAGAGAAAGTCGCAATTTGCGATCAACATCAACTTGGCCATCAATGTTCTTCTGCTGGGAGGCAAAGGCGTCGCCGTCCTGTCTTCCAACTCGGTCTCGCTCATTGCCAGCTTGGTTGATAGCGCGCTGGATCTACTGAGCACCCTCATCATCTTCATCACCTCGCGCGCTGTATCTCACGTCTCTTGGAGAAGCTGGTACCTCTATCCGACCGGCAAAAGGAGATTGGAGCCGATCGGCATCGTCGTCTTCTCTGTGCTCATGATCGCTTCTTTCGTCCAAGTCCTGCTCGAGTCCCTACAGAGGCTCTACGTGGTCCTCAAGACGGGCGGCAAAGAAGGCTCGCAGGAGTTGGCAGATTTGCCCCTCATTGGCATCGCTTTCATGCTTCTTACCATTGGTGAATTTGCCACTGTCACACGCCTGGGAATGGATGGTTCATGGCTGATAGAGAGCTACACTTTCTACCGTCTCGCAGCTATCAAAACTTTCATGTGGCTGCTTTATCGCAAGTCCAAAAGTAGCGGCGTCCGTGCCGTGGCGCAAGGTTTGTACGCATGGTGTCAGAGAAAGAGAGCAACGCACAGCCGCTCACGGTCCTGCCTTGCTCCTGTACAGATGCCGAGAACGACGTCGTATTTGTAGGTACAACTTTCGGTCCAGTCGCTTCACGAAGGCTGACCTCTTCTGTACGCGATCGACTCAGAACATTGCGTCGCTCATTTTCCGTGAGTCAGTCCTCTGACAGCGAAGTGCATTCTTCTCACTAATAAAGACGCTCGACCATGGCTGTTCGCAGCATTCTTGGGCTCGAAGCTTGGTTGGCCTGCACTCGATCCCATCGGAGGTGAGTTCGATCGCCGCAAGCAGGGATCTCGGCTACAAGCTGCTGACCGCTTTGTGCTTCCTCTATTGGCGCTCCTCAGGTATTTGCCTATCTATTTACATCATTGTGAGGTTGTGGCGTGATTCCCCATCGATGAGTCTCAGCACCACTGATAACCCTTTGCTATTTTGGGGCGGGATAGTACGAATGGGTTGAGACTCTGCTTGAAACCATTTCCAAGCTGACGGGAGCAGCAGCGGGACCAGAAGACGTTGCTCAGGTGTTGTACCTCATCACGAGATTGTGAGTGGCCGATCAGATACGTATAAAAGGCTCTGGCTGACTGCTAGATTGGGCCACACCGCAGCCGATCCGTCAAGAGCGTGTCTGCCTTTGAGCTGTATCATGCTGGCGACATGCACATTGCCGAAGCCGATATTGTGCTGCCCCATACTCTGCCGCTCAAGGTGAGGCTGGAAGTCGTGCTTGCGTACCATTCTCCTTTTGTCGTACCCAAATGTATGCTGACCAATTGGTCGCGTCCGTGTCGCGAGCACACAGGACGCCCATGATCTCGGTAAGTCAAATTTATCGGTCGATCGATCGTCGCGACCACCGATTTGCAGCTCATGCTCTTGCCCAACAACTGTGCAGGCGAATGTGTACTCTACTGTGCAGAGTCTCTGGATAATACCGAGCGCTGCTTCATTCACCTCGACTACTCGGAGCGAAATCAGCCGGGACATTTCGGCAGCAGAGGATAGCAGTCGCGCTTCTCGCACCTATCGCGATCTTCTTCATGTTGCGCGCACTCTATACGTCACAATCTTTGAACGCGCCTGTCCATGTCGTTGGCCCACGCAGACTGACAGTACTCGATGTGGGAAAGAATGAATGTCTCGGCATACGCGAGACACGTGGATTTCAAGCGTGGGGAAGCGGGTGACTACCAATCAGGAACAGATGAACATGGCGAACAAGAGTGGTACATGGAGCAGTTTGGGCCACGGACAGGCGACCACTTCACCACGCCGCGCTGAGAAACAATTCTTGTAGACATGGCACATCTGCAAAGAGCTGCTCGAGATCGGCGCTGAGATCAGAGGAGCTGACTGGGCTTACCACAGAGCTCTCCGGCGCGAGGCGAAGAAGGCTGGTCTCTATCTCGGAGAGGAGAGCGTCCTCTTCCACGATGCTTTGTGGGCCACTGCTAAGCCTCGCAATCACCCCGTCGGCGATGCCGCAAGCCGACATGAAGGATGTGAGAGCTTGTTTCGCAAACGGCAAGAGCTTTTGAAGTGCACGCACTGGACTGTGCCGGGTCTGGACGAGTAGGTAGCTGAAACCTCGAAGCGCTTGACGGGCGCGATCGCCAAGGTGTGTTCGGGTGACGTGATCACCAAGCAAGTGGCATTCGTCTTTGACGATTTTTGTGAGCACTTCAAAGAGCTCCACCACTTGCTGCTTGAGGAACTTTAACCCCAAGACTTGCATGAGAATCGGAGTTGAAAACCTGGCTTGTCCGGCTCTGCTGGCGGCAGGAGTCATCACCATCTCAATGAGGCTCGATGAAGCGTCCAGGCTCGTTTTCAGGGCGAGCCAGCGGCTTATTCTGCTGTCCGCCCGCGGGTCAGCCAGCAGACGGGTGACGAACTCTTCGCATAGCTGTCGCGAGACGATGGCCCTGACGTTTGCGAGGAGGGATTGTATGGAATTGAACTGCGGCGGTGTCAGGGCACCACTCGAAAAGGCCGCGTTGGCACTTTCTCGCATTTCCTTGATCTTGCCTTGAAAGTGATCCGACCATGTCTCGGCGTCTCGCTGCCAAGATGCCGATTGCTGGAGAGGAAGGAGCTCATCGAAGCACTGACCCATATAGTGCCCAATGCGGGCATTGAAAGCTGCGAATCGCGACAGCCGCGGCAGCGTCGATCCGAGAAGATGAGCTTGGTTGACGAGTCCGCCGTTCTGAGTTTCTGCTCCTTGCAAGTCATCACGAAGGTCAATGTTGAATGCGTGATTGTGAATTGTATACCCCGTCTGCGAAATGAGCGAGGTGGCTCGGCTCTTGTCCAGGTAGAGCCAGAAAATTCTATATTCGAGCAGATCGTTAGCCACTGCCGATGCTGCATTGGACGTGTATGGCGCCAGAGCTTTGCGTGAGCGGGGATTCCTGTGCAGACCAGCCTTTTGGAGCCGCACTGTGTCTATGACCAGCCGCTCGATGTGCAGATCCTTTTGGCCGTTTATCTTTTCGTAGGAGCGCAAGCAATAGCTTGCTGCGAAGTACTCTGCTGGAAGCTCCGTGGCCTCACTGTCAGAGTAGATGTTCTCGAGGTTTTGTACGGCAGCCGTGTACGTCAGGCGCTCCAATTCCTCCGCTTTGGACACTGGGAGGTTCGCAATCGAGCCGTACGTGAGGAGCAGCACTTCAACGGCCGTTGGGCACAGCTGGGCGACCTGCGCACTCATGGCAAGTATGAGGGCAGCCATAGTCCTCTGGAGGGGCGCAGGAATGACTGCCATGAGATTGTCTGAGCCCTTGATGACCGCGTCGTGGATGCACGTATCCACAAGCATCTCGGATTGTGGGTCCACCTGGTCAAAGTAGAGGTCGACTAATTGACCTGCAAGAGGAGAGCGCAACAGGTTCACCAGCAAAAGGTCGAAGTCACTTATAGTGGAGTTTGAATCGGCGATTCCATCTTTCCACCTTGGAGAGGTGTCTCGAACGGGGATTTGCTCACGTTCAATGGCCGACTTCACCTCGTGAAGGCTAGCGGGAGATGCGAAATGGGTAGGTGAAGAGCCTAGTCGTGCGAGGGACGGCGACTGCGTTGGCCCTGTCGGCGGTTGAGCTGGTGAGGGTTTGCGCTGTTCGGGTGGCTGACCGGACTGCATCGCTCCGATCTGCCTGCCTGTTCTCGCTTCTTTCTCGTTGATTGCGCCGGCTTCCTGCGCGGAGGATGCGTGTGCATGTGCGATTCCCTCAAGGTTCTCGTTGATGCTGGGAGCCAAAGAGGTCTGCACCGCGCCAATCTCGCGAGGGTTGTGCGAGCCAGTGTTGGCAGGGCTGAGAGGGCGACCATAGCGTGACTGGAGCGAACCCTCATCGTCTGAAGAGTAAGTAGGCGGGCACATGAGCTTTGCGCGAGAGTTGCGAGAATCAAGCCGACGACGGTAGCAAGGCTGCGAGTCGACTGTCGCAGTTGTACTAGACATCTCTCGCGCTAGACGTTTGCTGGTGCGAGGAGGCCGGGAGTCTGCAGTCGATTCGGGTGTGAGAGGTGGCAGAAGCGAGTCGACGACCGCTTGAGATGGTCTTGCTCTCGCTTTCTGCGATGGGACTGGTGATGGCTGCCCTGCTGGCGCGCATGCTTGCAGCTGCTCGCTGGACGACTGCACCGCCCAAACATGAGTTGCAAGCTTGTCGGAATGTTTGATGCCTTCATAGCTGCACTTGCGGCCCAGAGGTGCGCAGTTCTGGCAAGGTGGCCCAGCTCGATCGCATGCCTTGTGCGCTCGGAAACAAGCATCGCATCGAGGTCGCTGGCGCTGTTGTGATGCTGAAGCTGCATCGCTCGCAGAGGACATGGCCATGACCGTGACCACGGGTGAGTGGCTTGAGGCCCTCAATCCAGGCGAATCCGGCTTCGCGCGTTCCTGATACGCAAGCCATTCACATTGGTGATTTCTAACGCCTCACCACCGCGGCTAGCTAGCTTGCCTTGCTTTCATAGAGCGAGAGCGAGCATTTCAACGCCCCTGCGGCAGCGGGTCAGTCGTGATCGATGAGCGGATGCAGTCACAGTGCGATCAAAATCTTCAATCCGAATCGTAAATCTGGCATCGTCAATCGTAAATGGTGAATCATCATGAGGAGTTCGTGAATCTTGAATCGATCCCAAGCTTGAGCTTGAACTCGAATTCTGACTTGAATTGAAACGACACTCGTGACACTCACGTGACCATAGATAGGCTCACGCACAACGGCAGCTTTAGCCGTGGCAGATTCATTCGATTGGCTGCGTCGATCTTCTTCGCTCGCGCGCGAATCTCGGGAAACCTTGATTCACGATTGGATTCACATTGATTCATGCTTCGAGTTCGACTTTCTAGCACAGCGCACAATAGTCGCGAGTTTGAGTGTAGCAGCAGCAGCAGCAGCAGCAGCAGCAGCAGCAGCAACGACAGCAGAAGGTATAATTGATGTGCAGTCAGTCATCAGTAAAGCGGCTCGTGATCAAGCGCGCTAGAGTCACAGAGCAGCGGGCGCCGCGGACTGATGCGCGTTCGCGCATATTCGCGCATATTCGCGCATGCTACATCAGCAGCAGCAGCAGCAGCGGGTACACATATGCACGTACGCGGCGCGTCTCCGCTATATACTGCTGACTGCATAACGGATGCAGCTGCTGAGTGCGTCAGCTGAGGCTCTCTTTAGTCGTCAGTCAGGGTGCTGCCAAAGCCACCCAGCATGCTCTCTCCTCTCTCGACCTCAGGGCAGTTGTAGTCGGTAGTGATAGTGCACTGACCAAGATCCGCAACGCATCAACGGCAGCTCATGATGCTGTCTCCTGAATCTTGAGCTCCGGGATGTTGCTGCACAAGATCGACTGACTCACGCTCTGCCTCAGCTCACGTAACGGAGCTCATCTGAAACAGAGTCTGTTGTGCGCGTACATCCAAAGATTCTAAAAGGTATAAGAAGAGCACCTGCTACGAGGAGGAGGAGCATCATCATCATCATCTGGTATCCCCACAGCACATCAAACACGTTCACGCTCAGCAAGCTCTCGCTTCCCAGTGACATCCTTTCTTCCTTGCCTTTGTCGTCGCAAGCTCTCCGCCCAAGATGGTCAAGATTTCAGTAGGGGCCATGGGTCGCAACCCGATGGGTGTGACGCCCAACTTCGACTTTGCTCAATTTTTGCGTGTCTGCAAGAAGCACAATGTGCGAGCAATCGATACTGCTCGAGTGTATCCGCAGAATGAAGAGCTGCTCACGCGTGCCATCAAGGCTAATGGATGGGAGAAGGACTTTGACATCTCTACCAAGGTTATGATCCAGGGCGAGGGCAGCCACAAGAGAGAAGCCATCCTTGCGTCTGCCAAGGCTAGTCTAGAGGCCCTTCAGCTCTCGGCTGATCAGCGACCTGCCCCCATCGATATCTATGTGAGCGCGTGACCAGCGCTGAACAGCCATTTGCCAGAACTTGCAGCACGAGACTAACGCGCCCTCACCGGCTCGTCATCCCGATGTTCTGCGCCTTAGTATCTCCACATGCCAGATCGTAGCACCCCTTTCGAGGAAACGTGCGCTGCCGTCGATGAGCTGTATCAGCAAGGTTGGTTCAAGCGATTTGGCCTGAGCAACTACTCGGCCGAAGAGGTGGAGAAGATCCACAAGATCTGCACCGAAAAGGGCTACGTGCGCCCGAGCGCGCACACTTGCAACTACAACCCACTCGTCAGGACGGCCGAGTTTGAGCTCTTTCCGCTCCTTCGCCGACTCGGTATCGCGTGCCAGTCCTTTGGACCGCTCGCATCCGGCGTGCTCGTCAAGCCCATCGACGATCTGGTTGGGCCCGTGAAAGCAAATTCGCGCATGGAAGCGTTGCCTTTCATCCAAGGCTTGTACCTCAACGATGATATCGTGAAAGCCGTCCGTCACTTGGAAACCACGTGCCAAAAGCTGGGCATTTCCAAGCAAAACGCCACGCTCCGCTACATGCTCCACCACTCTGGCTTGTCGGAAGACGACTCGATCATCTTGGGCGCATCTTCGCCAGAACAGCTGGAGAGCAATCTCGCTGCGTGCGAGGGAGGAGCTCTGGATAGAGAAGCTCTAAAAGCCTTCGAGACGCTGTGGGACCAGGTGAAGGGGAGAAAGCCCAAGTACCATACATGAACAAGCCATCCGCTGTCCGCTGTTGGCACGCTTCGACTCTTGCGGACGCTGTCACTGAGATGCATTGTATTTTCTGAATGCAAGCTTGCTTTTCTATCGCGATGCGAGCGTGATGTGGGTGCACTGCAAAGTTGCGTTCAAACGTACAAGGCTCATGGGCCATCAAGGTCGAGCCAAGATTGACTCGCCAGGTTTCCCTTCTGACTCAAAGTCAAGAGTCGTGAGTCGTGAGTCACGAGTCACGAGTCTCGAAGGTTTAGATGGGATCTTTGCGAGCACGTGACTCGCCCGCCTCCAAATCTTTCGGCCGATAAGAGTCAATCACATGCACCGTGGATTGAAGACTCAAGACTCATTGTCGTGACTACTCGTGACTAGCGCGTTGCTTATCGTGGGGTGGCAAGCCTGTCCGCGCGTGCCTGCATGAGATAAGGCAGCGAGCATGCACGACTTGCATCAGCCTCGACATCGACCCAAAAAAAAAGCCGCCAAAAAGGCCGCTTTCTCGATCCGCAAGTGCGACAGAAAGCGGCGGGGTGATGAGATTGTTTAATATTCACGACTGCACTCGTGACTGCTGCTGCTGCTGTCCTGAAGAAGCTGTATATCGAGCATCGCAGCGAGGTTGGCCGCCCTTCCACCCATGCGGCTCGTCTAATCTATACGGACTCGCGCGCCTCTGCACTTCTCGAGGACCTTGCACGCCAAGCTCTTGCGCCGTTCATGCTGACGCCACTCGACCAGAAAGCCACCGCTTGACTGCTGAAGGGTGGCATGCAGTGTATAGTGCGTGCATGTCTATACATAGGCTCCCACACCTGCCCCCATGCAGCTGCTGTACGTCCCATCCAATCTCATGCAGCGAATCCATCATGGCGAGTCGCAACTGAAACCTGCTCATGTGCCACTCGTGACTGTACAGTTGCGATCGAGTGATGCATGCATGCATGCACACATCCGAGCGGCGTGTGAAACGTTGTCGAGAAGATATGCAAGCCATTAGCAGCTGCGTGCGGCAGATTTCGTTTGGACTGCAGCGGAGGCAGGCGGAGGCGGGCGGAGGCGGAGGGGGTCCAGGCCTCAGCTAGCAAGCTAGCAGCGCGCGTTCTGGCGCCGACCAGAGCTCACACAGGGGAGGGATGTGCCTATACCTGCCACATACTCGAGACTATGTGTACATGCGCATATACTTCTGTCGATTCCAAAAGGAAAGAGGCTAGGCAGCGGGAAGCTCGCTAGTCGATACGCGTTCAAGACTCACGCCTTAGTCGCGATCGAGCGTTTCCGCTGCCGCGCTGCAGCAGCATCGCGGGCTCGGCTTTTAGCTCACATCAATGTACCATACATTGGCGCTCTCAAGCCGCGCGGTCCCCGATCGATCGAGTGCCCCGAGATAGCGGGAGAAATCGTGAATGGCAGGCGCTAGCGCAGCACCTCGAGCGAGGAGCATCAAAGCGACACGAGGACAAGTCGAGTAAAGTGCTCGGTTGAGCTTGAAGGAAGCTTTGTTTTGGGAATGGACGAGCAAGGTGTTCGCCCTCCTCGTAGCCGGCTCCCACACGCTCGGCAATCTTTCTCACTCACTCAAAAAGAGGACTCGACGAGCGAGCTACTTGCCATATCTTCTCCCCCCTCATCCTGTACTTGTCTCACACCGATGCATGGTGAGCATCGCATTTCTGGGTCCGCTCAACTGTCCGCATCACAAGTGCAGACGCTCGCATTTGCTCCGGCAAGCAGGCAATCATTAGCTTGCAAGCAGTCAGAGTGCATCGGGGGCCGAGGGGAGTGACCTACATACTAAGCAGCATTCGCATCCATTCATTCCTCGCTCCCATCGTCATCCTCGCATCTCGCCAACATTGAGCAGAACTTCGTTGCCTACGCGCATCGAGTGTCTCCGCCTGGCACGGCTCCATCTCTCCCATCACCATCCGAATGTCATTCGCATCGTCGTCTGACGGTAGCGAACGTTTGTCAGATTCGCCGTACAGCCGCAGCCCATTGGTCGCGAGCAGCCCGCTCGACGGAAGCAGAGCCACTGTCGGCCGCCGTCCAAGTTGGGCGTCGAGATCGCCCAACGCGCACAAAGGCAGATACTCGCAACAGTCTACTGGACTGCACCGACTCAGAAACGCATTCGATCGGGACGAAGAGTCGACCTCCGAGCTCACCGCTTTGACAAGTCTGGCCTGCACAGTAGCAGACCCGAGCGTCAGCCGCTCAGACAGCTTGCTCATCTCTGGCCTCCCTCTGCAGCAGCCCGGCAAACCGCGGATTCTTCCATCGCAGCAAGCGTTGGTTCTTTCTCGCTCGCCTTCTCCGCTACCAGCTCAAGTGGCATCCAAACAAGGGGTTGTCGATTGGATCGAAGAGACCGCAAGACAACAGTACCGAAGTGCGCTCACACGCAGATCACCAACATCCTCATCTGCCGATCGCACAGAGCCCTCACCCTCCACCAGACCTCTCAACATGGCCGCGAGTTTCATCAATACCACAGAGCCCCGAACTTTGAATGCGGCCGGCGTGCAAGATTACGCTCGCGACCATGCTCGCGAAGCATCGAGGCCTCCGTCGGCGGGGCGCAGCGGAGCGTCTAGGCATCATCAGGCAGGAGGTCCTAGTTGGAGCACTTTCGGATCATCGCTCTTTCATGCAGATAACGATGCCCCCTTTGGCGACATCTCCACAGTGTCAGCACCATTTGGAGGGGAAGCACTTTCGAGCCAACAGTCTTCGAGGACGAACCGCAATCAAGATCTGTCCTTCTCTCCAGGCCGCGGACCGAGTTTGTTGAATCAATCGGATTCATCCTTCGACAAGAGGCTGCAACAGCAAAACTTCAACCAGCGACAGGCCGATGCTCGCGGGGAGCGGCAGAAGTATTCACCCATGACCTCGCCTTCGGTCGGCAATTCGCCTCGCCTCGGCTCTGCGCCGAAGAAGGACTGGTCCAGCGCAGCGGCCTACCCGGTGCCCCCCATCCAGTACGTTTCGGAAGCGTCTGCAAACTTTGACCACTCGGGATCCACCGACTCTATGACCAAACGTCCAGGCAGAATTGAGCACCGACCGCAAGCAGATGACGACATTGCCGAGGAGATGATGTCGGACTCTGATGCTGGACATCGACAGCGACGTACGCGAAGGAGGAACCAGAGTAGCGACTATGAAATGGGAATGTCTAGCAGCGTCGAAAGATCTACATCGATGGAGCCTGCTTGGGCTGACGACATGAGCAACGTTGACGCTGGCAGCTCGCAACACGGATCCAATAGGCCCGTACACCGAGTAGCCGGGACCCCGAGAGGAGACGAGGAGCAGGACGACGTCAATGATCAAGGGCTCCCGCATCGCGAACAAAGAGAGGGCATGCCCAGTACCATGCCGACGCCTACCTTGTCCGACGACTTTAGCAGTGTGGCGCCCCAGGTCGACGACACAGACATGAGGGGGTCTTCCGCCGACTCGACTCCGCCAATGCCTGCGCCAAATCAGGACGCTTTCGAGATAGCTGCACTCAAGCGCCAGGTCGAGCAGCTGAGCCTCGCGCTGAAACAACGCAGCGTCTCGGAGCAACGTCAACAGCAGCAATTGGCGAACCTCTACGTGACTCACCGGGATCGGCGCATGCAGGGTGGCGTACTACCGGCCATCAATACTGGTCTGCCAACTCCTTCCACGAGCCGCGCAACTTCCACTGTCGGTCCTCGTCGAAGTCCAAACGCGGCTGGGCAATCATACTCTGCTTCCATGGTCGGCCCTGCACCTTCGACCCAGCTACCAAACCCTCCTACCAGGTTTCACTCTCCTCCCACATCACCCCTCGCCCAGATGCTGGCGGCGCAATACCAACAACATTACCCATCGACGCCGTCGCATCTCGGTTCGCGCTCCCGAGTCAGCGGCCCAGCGCTCAGCTCCGTGATGATGGACGAGAGCGCCAGCGCGGTTGCCAGTCAGGATGCGGTGCGCGTCGAAGAATTGGCCCGCAAGATCGAAGCGCTGGAGAGTCTTTTCAAGACTTCGAGCATCAGTCCGCATCAGCAGCAGCAGCCCACAAGTACCCAGGATGCTGTGCGCAGCGTCCGATCGCCTACGCCCACTCAGACCACCGCCCGAAATGCTGCCGCGCGTTCCAAAGGCGCTGCCGGCTCTCCCATCACTGACGAGTTTGCAGATGCGTGGCACATGGAGGATCCGGGCATGCTGAGCTCGGGCGACTCTTCGACGCTCTCTCAGGTCGATCCTTCAGCGATGCGACGACATTCGATGGTCTCTGTGGACTCGATGACGCGAGCTGGACCAGAGGTGCCGACTCGCACAGCATCCGTTGCGCACGGTCAGTACAACCCTCGAGGCGGTGGGATGAGCGGAGGTGTTGCTGGGTCTTTTGTGCAAAGGTTGGCTCGATCTGGCCCAATGAGGTCGCCTTCCTTGTCCACGCTGTCCGCCTCGACCCACCAGGGCGGCGACACTCCCTACGGAACGACGACCTCCGCTAGACGAGGGCGTTCACCGGCGCTGAGCGCCTTTCATTACAACGTGACCGCTCCCTACTCGGAGGCCCACCGCGAGCGATCTCGACCCTCGGGTGCGGTATCCGTGAGCAGTCACTCGCACTCCCAGTCGTCTGACCCTCACGCAGATGTGAGATGGTCGCCAGAGACGATTGGGGCGCAAAAGCGCAAAAAGGGTGCCAGTGTGGCCCGCTTCATCTTGGGCGCTGCATCTGCAAGACGAACGGATGGAAGCAGCATCACGGAGCCGAAACCTGCCGGATCGAAGATGAAGCAAGGGCCAGGCAGAGGCAGAGTCTATATTGCGCCATCAAAGAAGGCTTCGGCATCCACCCAGCAGCTCTAGTCGCCTCCTCGCCATGAGGCGCGACCAAAGCCAAGTGACGGCAAGAAATGCGACCCGCCTTTGCCAGACCTATACTTGATCCTTGCCCAGACTTTCTTGCGAAACTTTTGAACAACTTTCTTGGACTCGCATTGCTCGTAGCATCACCTGCCCCACATCCGCGTTGCGCGCTAGCCGTAAACTTTACTCGCTCCTTGATACCTCTTTCTCAGGTTCGCGACTTTGCTAGATGCGCGATGTATCGTATACCTTGGAGGTCGATTCCGTTCGTAGAGCAAAATCAATCTCATCGTATGATCGTATGGGTGCGAATTTCGTGGCGCTTTATTGGTAAGCGTGTCGGGCTACCAACGCAGCCAGGTGGGGCAGCTCATCAATTGAGCAGGCTTCACAGTGTGAGAGAGTGTGCATTGTGCTTGACTCGCAGTACGTCCTCTGCCTAGCAGCATCAAGATCTCTCGCCTTCCTTAAGTGGGTTGATACAGATAGTCACCCTGCGCGCAAAGATAGAGTGCACTGTGAGCCCACTTTCAACGTCCCCGCGCTCTGTGCACTTACCAGCCATCAGCATTACCGAGCACAGCACCGATCCAGGGTATTTCCGAGTCCAAGGGTATCCGTATACCTTGCACGACGGCGTAAGCCAACGATCTGCGTTGATCCGCTGCGCGCGTTAGGCCGAAAGAGGGTGTCGGTGGAAAGAGCAGGGGAAAGAGGGAAGAGAGGACGTGTGAAAGAGCGACCGGTTGCCCTGTACGCAAGCAGGGGTTGAAGAGGATAGACGGTGAGAAAAAGACGGCCTAGCGACGAAAAGCATGTGAACGGTTCCTGCATCCGACTTACCGTCGTCAGTCCAGCCTTGCACAGGCTCCTGCACGATCGGCGCATCAGGCAAGTGAAATCGCATGGGTATACTCCTAGGTCTATCCTTGTCTCTTGTGGAAGCGTTGTGAGAAGCTGATTCTCCAGCCGCTGCGTCTGGCGGAATCAGAGCTGGCGTGTGCCCTGCGCCGCTCGTGGCATTGCTTGCTAGACTAGGCGCCAGGCTAGCCGTGCTCTCGTTCCATGCACCAGGAGCCATGCCTGCTGGCAGCCCAGGCCTGAGCGTTGTAGAAGAGGAAAACGTGTTGAAACCTTCGGCAGGACCTGCACTTGTGCCAGACGCTCCGCTAAAGGATGGCGCTCGGCTAGAAGCTGCGGACTGCGTTTGTGCTCCGAGACCCGTCGCATTATCCGAGTTGCTCGAGGCATTGACAAGCGGAATCGCAGGAAAGAGTTTGGAAGCGATTGAAGAGTAAAGCTCAAAGTTGTCTTTCCAGCAAGATCAGAGCGCGCAAAGTTCACAGCAGGTCAGTGCTGACCTTTCGAAGAGGCTCCCGGCCAAATGTTTCGGTGCACAGACTCACGAGAAACGACGCCGGTCCATAAATTGTCCTGATCCGCCTTTCGCAGATTGGTCACCCTCCTCGTGCTACCCCACCTGACGAAGTCCGCTTCTTTGACCATGCTCATGAAACTAGCTTTGGCGAGCTCAACGGTGTTGGGCTGATTGGGCGCGACACTGCTTTGCACCGCATTTGTGGCTGTAGCAGTGAGAGTGGAGGTAGGGGCGGAAGAAGGTGGTGCGGATGTCGAAGGGGCAGTGCGGAGGTGCAGCACCAGCTTCCAGGGGACAGGTGGAGGCTCGGGCACAAAGACGCTTCGCGATTGTGCTTGTGTCGCGAACGCTTGAGCAGCTGGCTCTTCGCTCTCCACTTCGCTCAGGACTGAGCTGCGACGTAGTCGGGAAGCTTGGAGTGATGAAGTGGGCGCTTGGCTTGTGGAAGGAGCGAGACCATGCGCAGTAGGTGCCGCGTTCCGAGTGAAATGGTCGTAGAGCAGCCCAACGGGCCAGTGCCTGCACGGCCAAGCGTCTCCAATTCAGCGATGGGCGGTGAGATCACTGTGGTGCGAGGCTCCGCATTGACTCACCACTTGAGGGCGCTTGCCTGAGCGGCTCGGGCCGAGACGGCCATCGCAGCGCTCTTGTCACTACTCCTCTCCTCTTCGAGCCACCAACCATCTACTGGGGGGATTTCCGAAGAGACGACTCCAGCATGAGCAAACATGGGTTCGACCAGTCCTATGCGTAGTTCCTCGAGATGGAGCGGAAAGTAGGACACTCGAGGAGCTGTCATGTAGTACTTCGTTGGAGGAGCTGTGGGGTCCACGGACGAAGAAGCGGCCGCACCTGGAGGCAAGTCGGAAGGATGGATGCTGACAGCGACTGGCACACGCGCTTCCCACACTATCCTCCTGAGTGCGCTGCTATCCGCTGCGCTCGGCACATCGGAGCCTCCGCTGTTGCCACGAGCAATGGCTTGAGATGGCGATGAAAGCAAGTCATGCGAGGTTGGTGTCGAAGGAGCGGCAAAGTTGTAGGATGATTGGTGGGACAGAGCACCGCTTGTCATTGCGCCCTGAGCAGATAACAGAGAGGGTGAGATGGAGCTGCTGCCGCTGGGCACTCTGTTGGGGGCTGGCCGAGCCATGTTTGGTGGGAAGAGTATCGAGAACAGAAGGGTCGCGGTGGGATGGAGTCGTCCACCGAGCCACTCTTGACTCTGAACCTTTACGCGCTCTCTGTTGCTATTTCATGGGTGCCATTTGTGGTTGGTGTGTGGTGTGTGGTGTGTGGCGTGTGTGGTGTGTGGCGTGTGGCGTGTGGCGTGTGGAGTATGCGGAGTGCAAAGGCTTGAGAAGCGTGAGCTTTCACTGCGGGTGGTCGCGTTTGTAGCTTCGTCGAGACTCATCAAGACTCGCCGGAATCGCAACTTAATGGTGAATGCAGGCCATGCCATGCTGCGCGCACTCAATACTGGCTGTTCCTTGCACGTGACCCCATGCATGAAATTTGCGCCCTTGTCTTCATGTTGACATCAAGCATCATGCAAATGGTTGACTGGTGACTCTTTCATCACGAATCTGATGGAGCTTCATGATGGATGTTCATCATGCTTCAATGCATTTGACTTTTAGCGTCGATGCAAACAAATCCACAAATCTCATTCTTGATTCTCATGCCAGCCCTTTGAGGCGCTAGACACTCATCGTACAGGAGGTCGGAGACGAGCCCGAGTGGAATTGCACCTTGTTGCGACTTGCACGTCCCTCCTCCGACCACAGAGATTACGTCGACATTGTGGTCGTCTGAAGCGGCCCCCGTCCCTTGCACCTTCTTGCGAAGTACCAGCCCTTCTACTGACCTTGGATGAATGAGCCTGAGCCTTAGGATGTCATCTCACTCTGGGCGTGCCGTTGGACCGCACATAGTCCTCGCATACAGGCAAGTGCGACCTCGCTCCTTGCTGCACCAGCAAGCCAAGCTGCCCTCCGTCTGCACCTGTGGCCAACGATCGCTCGCAACGACGCCTCGATGCAGACAACCTCAAACGAACGAGCAGCCCGTCGCGACAGACTTTTTTGGTCGCAACGCAAAGTCTTCAGCGCATGCAACAGCAGCACAACAAGCCCTTCGATCCGCCAGCGAAGCCAACGTTTCACCTCAAGCACGGGCCGCACTGTTGCGGAGCAGCCTGAGCAACGATGGCCCATCACAGCTGCAGTCTGCGTTGGAAACGGAGGCTGACAAGCACAGCCCACAAAAATTCAGCTTGCGTGGCTTCAGCGCCGCGGACCTGTTTGCACATGTGCTGTCCAAGCATGACCAGCCCGCGGGTTACAAAGCCACGTTGCGATCACTCTTCGACGACGATCAAGAGTTTGCCGAGATTTGCAGGGCATGCAAACGTGCTAAGGTCAATGAGAGCAACCTTCTAGTATGGCAGCGCGCTGCTCGATCGGTCAATTGGAAGCAAGCAATTGGCTTCATACGCAGTGCTGAGCTAGAAAAGAGCATTCCTGGCTTTCTGCTCTGCAGCTTGGCTCCTCTCGTCTCCACTGCAGAAGAGGTCCAAGACGCCTTAAACGTCATCTTCCTTAACACTGAGTTCGACAAGCGGCAGGAACATCAAACCATCGCGTTTGCCATGGTCGCTGAGAGGGCTCTGATCGATATCGACTCGAAGCGCTTCATCCCCATCATCGTAAAGAAGACGATGGAATTCTTGAGCTGTCACCCGACGCCTATTAGCTCGGGAGGTGTGGTGCATAGCAGAAAACATCAGATCGCGCATCGTCTGAACAAGTACGGACTCGCAGCGCCCTCGGAGATAGTGAACCTCTTTCGAAGGGTAGCGATCGCCCTGACTCGCTCTAATAGCGAGCAGTCGCGCAGTAGTGCGATACACTTGCTGGCACCTTTGTCTACCGAACGTCGTTTCAAGGACATCTTGGTCGCGGTATGCGAGGTCTACTTGAATGTAAGCCCCGTCGCCAACGAGCGGAAAGCGGGTCTCGAGCGTCTCACCAGACCTCTGCACCTTGCTCACGGACCTGTCAGCTTGGAAATGCTGGACATCAGCCATCCTGCTGCACGCGAGTCTGGCTGGCTACGCTTGAGACTTGCAGAGGTAGCCATGGATCTTTTGAAAGAGTGGTTCGTCGACAATAGGCAACGGAGACGAGCTGCAAACACAATGGTCGAGGCTGCTGTCAACGATGAAGAGTTCGAAGCTGCAGCGATTTGGATTGAAAAAGCAAGAGGTTTGAGGAGGAGAAATCACTCTACGCAAGGACTCAGCCCTACTGCTTTGGCCTGGGATGTCCGCGCGTACGCTTCCACCAGTCAGTATGAAAGTGCTTGGCCTGCTTTCGCCAAACTTCAAGAGCGGCTGCGACTCGACTCGGAGCGCCGGGCTTCAGATGAGAGCTTTGAAGAGGCGGCAACGACGGCTGCCGCTCCTCCTTCCTCGTCCGATGCTTTAGGCGTCGGGCTGCACCAGCAACCGATGTCGACGAGCTTCTCTGGCGCTGTTGACAACGTTGAGGAGGCGCGCATTGTACGTGAAGGCTCGGTGGCATCCTTCGAGAGTGAAGATACTGGGCTTTTCGACACGGCAGAGGCCATCGAATTCGATGAAGTGGCAGTAGCCATTGCTGGGAGCTCTAACAACAAAGCCCATGACACTTCGACCGCCTCTTCGGCCCAGGCTGAGGAGCGGCCAGAAAAAGACGACGCCGACGAAGCGGCTGCGGAACAGCTTTACACTTTCAATCGGGGATCTCGAGGCGATCTGGGCTTCTTACCAGAATCGGGCACATCATCGCCTGCCTATGACCTGGCCGCATCGATGTCCGCATACATTGCTGTCATCCATATGGCTGCAAGACAGCCAGGCAATGATCCTCGTGCCTTGTTCCACTGGGTAGGCCTCACTGAGGACAAGGGCGAGTTCTACGAGGAGCATCCATTTGCGAGGTTCCCCAAACCGCCCGAAAGCATTCTGAAGAGTCTGGAGCTATATACTGGCTTGATCATCAATTTGGAATTGGCGCACGGAGCCCAACTGAACGACGTCCGTTTGGTCTGGAAAGTCATGTCGCGGAACGGAGTTCAAGCGGACCTCAACGCGCTCATCGTCATGTGCGCTGCCGAGACTCGGCATGACAACACACACGTGGCCATTGCGCGGCTCAATTCTTGGTGCAAAGCATGGGCGCGACGAGCTGAGCTGGAACGTCGTGAACTGAATCGACGTGGACCGCCGCGTAGAGAGATCAACAAATGGGACCGGCTTAGACTCAAGGCGAAATTCTTGGAGGAAGAGCGGCAGGCAAGGGCAGCTCAGGTGGAATCTGGAATTCCTGTTCCAGACCCAGAGCTCGACGCAACCGTCACTCGACCAGAAGGACCGTTGAACGCACATGCGATCAATGTGATATTGAGAGGTCTGCTCGGCAAGGACCGTCATGCCCTCGTCTGGACGATAGCTACGGAACAAGCTCCAACGTATGGCGCAGCGCTGAACAAACGCTCTCTAGCGCTTTTGCTACGTGCAGCCACCAGATTGGGCGTCGGCCACTTTCAACAATACTTGACGGATGCTAGCATCTCCAGAAGGTACAGGTCGTGGATGCCAGAAGAGCAAGGTGCCGAGGTTGCCTTGTGGAATGCCGAGTTCCCGCCTAGACAAGCATTTAGCCTCTTCAAAGCCGTCTTGCTCCAGCACCACCCTCAAGTGAAGGACGTGACCAATCCGCTCGGTTCCTATGGCACCAAGCTAGGTGCCAACGACTATGCGGACGATTTATCCGAAGCCGAAGGCACACAGTTCGGCACATTGCTTCGCATCATCGAGCGGGCGCAGGAAGGCGGAGAGGTTGCAAGTATCGAAGGTATAGCGACCAGAATCTTTCCAAAATATGTTGAGCTAGACCGACACGTCTTTCACGAGTACGTCCTCATGCTTCGACTTTTGCGATGGCGCGCCATCCCATCTGCGACGGCCGAGACCTCAGCGACGGCAACCAGATCTGCCATCTGGCAGGCGCTGGGATGGATGCGCGCGCTCGATATCCGTCCAAAGTACGCGACGCTATGCATCGCATGCCTCGAGCTTCAACAGGACGCTCTCGACGTGTCGGTGGAGTCGGAAGAGACGAGACGGAAGAGCGCGGCTGGGCAGATGCACTCTTGGCTGTGCGAATGGATCGGACAAGACGAGGTGCCGACTTTTGCGGTTCTGGCAAAGTATCAAGACGCGCTTGAGACGGTCGATGTTGCCCGTCAAGAACAAGCCTGGCTCAGACAAAAGGCGGCGTTCGGAAGACGCAACAGGTCCAGGCGATGAACATTGCTTTAAACAGCTCTCTTCCGCGCTTCGAATGTACCTACTGGTCAGCAAAGCGGCAGAACGAAATCTTCAGCCCCGCAACTCATCGCAGGTGTCATTAGCGGGCGATTGCGTGTCTGCCAGGACTGTGCAGACTCTGAGTCTAGCATACCTGGCAAATCCTTCTCAATCTTCGCAATTTTCGACGCGGAGGAGTTGTGTGACTCGATTGCAATCTGGTGAGCGCGAATGAACAATGACACATGAAAGCAGAGAGCATCCTGGATTAAGGAGGGGGTCCTTTCAGGCTCTTTGCTTTTGCCTGGCACCAATGACCTTGAGCTGCAGAGAGGCTCGGAGTCAGTTGCAAAATGCAAGGCTTCGAGGGAGTATCATGTGATCTCACCTTGTTGTAGACTTTGCCAGGTGGGGCACCCATGATGAGGCTGACGATTGCATCTCTAGCAATTCTGATGTTTTGGAAGCTGCCCAGGATGTGAATCTGACGACGCCAAAAGGCAATCCATGTGGTCAGTATGCCGAGTGGACGAAAGCAAGAAATACCTTCACGACGCACCTTGTTGTCTGCTAGCACAACACGCGTACGGCTTGCGTTTTCGATAGCGAAACGCGTTCGTCCATCCTTGCCAGCAATGCGGCCTGCGAGACAGGGAGACGAAGGCGATCACTCAGCAAGAATCTTCAATGATCAAGCCATGTTCAGGGCGAATCGTCAACCCCAAAGAGCTTCAACTTGCACTACTCACCGATAGCTCGGCTCAAGTGGTCACCCTGAAGCGTCTTGACATCCTTGATCTCGAATGTCTCGACGTAAAGGTCGTCCATACGCAACAGAGCCATAGCGTCATCCGCTTCGAATCCTAGAGCAAATGCTTTCACAAAGTCTGCCCCTTTTTGAACCTGACCTGCATCATCCGTGTGCTTGGAGGACTGTGAGCGAAATGAAAGGTGGTTGCGAACTTCTGAGATCAGCGCGTGTAGCCTTCTTGCCTACAAGCTTCACCGAGTAGCACGCATCCAGCTGTCAGCGAACACTCACTCGAATGTCTACGCTCTTGCGCTTCATGTTCATTCTGACTTGCAGGCCAGCCATCTCTACGAGTGGTGTGTAGATCTTGAGCCATTCCTTCTTCAACGGCGCCATCCGGTGAGGTGGAATGGGTACTCTCCTGCTCTGTATCTGAGATGTTTGCGAGGAGGATTGCTGCGCTCTCGTGAGTGGCGCAAAGCTGGGCTTCAAGGAAGGATCGAGAGCGGATGCATGCGTTTGATCAAGCGTGTGGGAAGTGCCTTTTGGTTTTGATCCACTCGATGAGCCGATGAGCAAATCGTCGTCATCGTCCATGTCCATCCCTGCGTCTTGTCCCACGTCCGCCGCATCATCGTCGCCATCCACATCGCTCATCGCCTCGTCCTCGTCATCTTCCACTTTGCGCAAAGGGTTGAGGACTTTAGACTCCTGCTTGCTCTTTCCCAGTAGCAAGTCTTTTGCCGATTGCGAAGCCTTGCCCTTGCCCTTGTTGGAAGCTGGTGCGGGCGCTGAGGAGCTCGAGGCTGCAATGTCGGCCCAGGTGCGAGGCATGGCTGCGATGGTGACGATGAAGGAAGGTCAAAGAACAGCAGTCTGGGCTGCGGAGATGGCGTGTACGCCGATGCTTGGGGCTTTTGGGGATCGAGATTTGCTCACGGAACGATGACACTTGGTGCAGGCGCCATAGACAAGCCAAGGCGGTGTGGTGGCAGGGCGGTGCTCGCGCGGTCAGTGTGATCGATCATGGAAAGCAGGCGGCTTTTGATGAGATTGTTCTCAGCAGAGGTTGGCGGTGTCCGCGCGCGTCATTTTATGCATCCTCAACTAGAAATTTTGGTTCATGAAAGGGTCACGTGTCGGGGTCTTGACCGAGGTCGAGTGGGACGCATATTCATGCAGCTATACGCCGGGGCTACATAGCGTTGTGAGGCGTCAGAGAAAATCAGTGCTGCATGAATCACAAGGCCCGCAGAGTCAAAGAGGTGCGTGCAGCGATTGACTGCCACGTGGTCTCGCACCGCAGCGTGCCGAGCGCGGGCAGCCAGACTTAGAACGTACCACTTGAGGAATTCCACGGCTCACCTTCGGCTCCTTCTTGCTCCCATACCTTTCGGCAAACCCCTGAAGATTAAAGTGAGTATTTCGACACGCATTGCGTGCGACTGCGAACCCGAATCAGCTCCGCACATCGGTCAGCTGCTCGACAGACCCGGGGCAATGACGGGCCAGAGTCGTTTTGTGAGGAGGAAGTTTGGGATGATGATGCAATGGAGGCAGGTCAGCAGCCGGGGAGTACGTGAGAGAGAATCCAGAAGTACAAGTAGAGTGCCTTGATCGCGAAGATGGGAAAGTAGCCTGTCGAGGATCGAAGGACCTGTGGCGGGGGTTGGGGAGTGGCAGGGCAGCGGGTATTTGACGATGGGCGAGGCCAGCAAGATCTTTCTCCTTCCCCACAGTAGCTGACCAGTGTCCCTCTCACCATCTGTGCGATCTCTTCAGCAAAAATGTCGAAGCCTCAAGCAGGATCCAAGTTCCGTCTCACTTTGGCTCTGCCAGTCGGTGCAGTGATGAACTGCGCTGACAACAGCGGTGCCAAGAACCTCTTCGTCATTGCCGTTCACGGCGTCGGAGCTAGACTTAATCGTCTGCCAGCTGCTGCCGCTGGTGACATGGTCGTTGCCTCCGTCAAGAAGGGAAAGCCTGAGCTGCGAAAGAAGGGTGAGTGGCGCGGAGAAATAGCGGCTGAGGCGTAGGGGAGGGGCGACGCGATGGGATCGGAAGCCAATCAGCATGCAGTAGCACAGTGCATAGCCTCGCAATAATGGATGCTGAGATGCACGAAGCAGGAACGTGGAAAATGCTGCGCTGCAGCGAGAGTTTCTCCTGTCGGCGATGCTGATCAGCATGCTTACGTCGGTCTTCTGACCCTATCCACCTGATCAGTCATGCCCGCCGTCGTTGTTCGCCAGCGCAAGCCTTGGCGCAGACGCGATGGTATCTTCCTCTACTTCGAGGATAACGCCGGTGTGATTGTGAACCCCAAGGGAGAGATGAAGGGCTCTGCCATCACTGGACCGGTCGCAAAGGAATGCGTAAGTGGAGGAGGAGCCAAGTGCCCTGCCAGCCAAGTGACGTGTACTGACCAAATCGACCTTCTGGGTACCGAATCGCAGGCCGACTTGTGGCCTCGTATCGCCTCTAACGCTGGCACCGTCGTCTAAGTCGCTCATTTCAATGATGGCGACAAAATTTACAAAACCATGACGCGCCCAATGCCGCGCTCTCGCGTCACAGCTAGGAGTTGCGAATCTGGCAAGCCTGATTCGATGACAACCAACACATGTAACACTCTCCTGCATTCCACACATGCAATACGATTCCGGCCACAGCTTGCGCTTGAGAGTTGAGAGGATGGACGCAGAATGTGGAAGCGCATGACCGCTTGCGGACTGGCATTCGATGCGTTTCACAGTGGGACTCGGTGGTATATGAAAACTAAGGCGGGAAATGAGCAATGAGATCGCACATCTTGCAGTGAATCGGACGGCTCCAGCAGATGGAAGTGACCCGGTTGACTGGAAGATGCTGATCTGCAGGACGATGTCACAGCGACTTTGAATCTTTGGCGCTGCTCGATGTGGCTTGTCTGCCGATGCCGAACCACCACATGCAGCGCGCTGTGAAGAGAATGGCAGTGACAATGATGTTCCCCGCAAGCTGAAAGTGATGCGTGTGGAGTTGAGGATTGCAGAAGGCGTTGGCTCTGTAAGCGCCAACCTCACCGTCCATCAAAGGCCTGCGGCTCGAAAGCAGCACTCACTAGACTGTTGTAGCTGCTGGGTTTCAATAGGAGCCCAAGCTTGGCAGCAGTTCCCTCCCATCCCGCTTCTGGACTTGGTAGACCATAGATGGTCAAGCCGATATGAGTCCCTTGAACACGCAAATGCGTGAGCGTGAGCGTAATGATGCTAGCAGCCCCCTCGTAACCAGCGCGGCCCCGACCTGCACTCACAGTCTGCGACACCCAGGACGATGAAGAAGCGCCTGAGGACTTGCTCCAAGGCTTTGGGTTCGTGGGAGAAGTGTGCCTTGAAGGCGTGGATCATGAGAGCCGAGTTGAGCATGATAAGAATGTAGCCTGTGCGCCGATCGAGGAGCAGGTCAGCGCTGTCTGCGCACTCCCAAGGAGAAGTGCATACAAAACGTCCATCCAACCGCACGGGCGCGCCATCCCGAGAGCTGAACGCTTACTTACAACTTCCCAACTGGCCCAGGGCAAGGCTGGTCGCGGCGGGGAGATGGGAGCTGGCTACGAGATGACTGATACCGTGCGATGCCTTGTGCTGTACAGCTGGCCAGACGCTCTGAAAGAAGGGTCTCTTGACGTCTGCGACGGCTGCGGCAAATCCTGTAGCGCTGGGAACAAAAGCATTCGGTACCAACTCGTCGTGATAGTTGTTCTGGTAGATGATGGCGTACACCGCACCGGATAGGACGGTGAGAGGCTCAAATATGCCGAAAAAGTAGTACCAGATATCGGGCAAGGGAATCAGATCTGTATGACCGGACGAAGAGCGGGTTGAGGGGTAGCGCGAGGCATCCTTGGGAGGGACGAGGGGCGCGGAGGAGTTGGAGCTGACGGCTATGCCGTTCGCCAGTCCTGCGGTTGCTGCAGCTGCAGCTGCTTCAGCAAGCGAAGTCATGAGCGTTGCGTCGTATCCAGCAATATTTCTCTGGTCTTCAGTGGTCCTAGCAGCCGCTTCACTGTGATGATGTGGTTTGGAACGGATCTGGAGCGATCCCGAGGATGGAAAGGTGCATTCTTGAATCTTGAGTCGCATGGGATGCTTGGCTTGGTTTCTGTGAACGTGGGGATGTGTGGGTGCACATGCAGCAGCGGTCGGTCACGTGTTGCCGCCAAACTCGAGCGACTTTGACTGAACGCGGGCGGTCGCGACTCTTCGACTTCCCACAAGACGCCCTTCCGAGCTGAGGTTCCATGCACCTGCATCCATCTCCCTTCGACACCGACACCACGGAGATTCGCTTTCGAGCCTCTTGCTGTCCCGTTCAAATTGCGAAAAGGTGCTCGACTTGCTCGCGGCAGTTTTCTCTTCACTTCCACTCAGCACCGCCGCTGCCGATTGGCACTCACCAGGAGCACCGTGACCACAAGCCCACAGTGGCAGCCATCCTTGAGGTATTTGGCGCTCTCTGCTCCGCAAACAAAGCATGGTGAGTACGCACCGGCAAATTTTCCCTGCGAGAGGCGCTTGACTTTGACGGCTGAAGGCTTGTCGCACGCTTCCTTTCTTCACGTCTCAGTCTCTGCTCGGCCGTAGCCTGCTTTCGCATGTGAACGCAGCAGCGGGAGCCTCCCGCTCCGTGCTGCCGAGGTCATCATGCACCTCTAGGGTACGCGTGCCTGTCGCTCGAAGCACATCCATGAGCGACTTGACCCGACAATTCAGCACCTCTGTCAGTCTCGGCACGACGTATCGTCAAGTGTTGCGCGGAGCGCGTAAACCCCGTCGTCCACCGGTCAATAGAACTCCAGCATTGCAGGGACAACCTTTCGTCAAGGGCGTTTGCACCAAAGTCTTTACCACAAAGCCAAAGAAGCCGAACTCTGCGCTGAGAAAGATTGCGCGTGTAAAGCTGAGCAATGGAAGATCTACCACGGCTTACATTCCGGGAGAGGGGCACAATCTGCAGGAACATAGCGTGGTGCTGCTGAGAGGTGGACGTGTGCAGGATGTGCCAGGTGTCAGGTGAGCTACGAGCAGCGACGAGGGAAGAGGCGCGCGGGCAGAAGGAACGCCACTCTTTCATCATAACTACTGACCGCTGCCTCTTTCGTCTTCGCAGATACCACCTGGTGCGTGGATGGGGGGACATGGCAGGCGTGGTGGGCAGGACGACGTCGCGGAGCAAGTATGGTGTACCAAAACCAAAGGCTGCTGCGGCCTAGACGACGAAGATCAGCACTCTGTAATGACAATATGGCTTTCTTCGCTTGTACTGCGGTTCTAGCCTGCACAATTTGGCCATCGCAGTCAGAGGGTCATTTTATCACCATTCAGATCAGCAACGCTGCCGCTGCTGCAGGCGTCATACAGAAAGGTGGCATCAAGCAACATATATGAGCGCTCTGACCGATCGCCCCGACAATGGAGATCGATGGACTCATCGTCTCCAATCTCACATTCTAGATGTTGCAACTGTCGCGTACAAGACCCGCTGACGTGCCTGTCTAGTGCTTGTGCCATTGCGGAGCCTCCTTAGCTCAGAAAGCTCGAGTGGGTGGAAGCGTGCTAAGATTAATTGTAAAAATACATTGCTCGGGCTTGGAGGAGATAGCGCTGCGCTCCAAAGTAGGATCGCGGTATTCGCACAGGCATCTGACTGACAGCGGCAACCTTCGCCGTGCCACTGGTTTTGAGAGGTGATGGTATGGTAGGCGGAGCAGTTGGAGCAACGCGGCAAACGAGGTTCAGGAAGATAGCTGCTGAAGGCTTGTTCAGCGGCCAATCTGACATGTCGCCAGGCTGGGACTCATGAGCCTGGCACTGCGGGTGCGCCTGATCCCGGTGCGATGGCTGCACCGCCACCAGACACGCTCTGAGCATCAGGACTAGAAAAGATGTGCATGGCGTGTGAGCGTCCCAACGCAGCTGGCAAGTGTTTGCGTTTCGCTCGTACAAACTCACATTAATGGAGCGACGGGCTTGTTGCTCTCCGCCATGAAGCGTTGAATCAGTGCGCCCACGCCTTCAAAGCATCCGAGCAGGATACCGCACATGATACCTGATCCTACGGCTGTCTTGGGTCCAGCTGAAAGCAGCAGCAAGAGCAAGGCGAGTGAGCGCGCATGCATCCGCGCAACCTTGAGCATCGCCACTCACCTCGAATAGCCAGACTGCCACCAGTCATGAACCCAGCGATGATGGCGTTCCAAGCGTCTTCCTTTTGTCTGATACCCTTGACCGTGCAATCGTAGGTGCTGAACATTCCGCCCCAGACTCCAAAGTTGCCTCCGAGCACCGGAGCCCTCGCCTTGATGGCTGCCATTGCGCCCGGCAGCCTGTAGCCCTGTCGAGCGAAAAGAAAGAAGAGGGCAAAAGCGGGCGCTCAGCTTCGGAGCTGCGTGATGCTGTGAAAGGTTTCCGGAGTACTTGCTCGAGCAGCCACGTGAAGGGCTATGGAGCAGCTCTGGCTCAAAACACCAAGCACCAAAAGAGAGAGTGTTCCCTTCCGTTGTTGCCTCCTCCTCTTTCGCCTCGCTCGCTCGACGTTGCGACCACTCACCCTGGGAGAGTTTCTGCTGCCCTTGATGCCGTGCCAGATCGTGCCACCCACAGCACCCATAGCAAAAGCACCGCCGAAGTCGTTTAGGATAACATAGGGACAAGGATCCCGAGTGTGATCTTGGTGCGCCATCTTGTCCAGGTCTATGCGAAGGTCGCTGCTTCACTTCGAGGTGCAAGTTGGAGGGTGGGGGTTAGAGGAGGATAACCTGTTCCTGAAGGCCAGCAGTGCGGTTCGGTACTTGGTGCTCAACAAGGCGCGGGTGGAGTGATCAAGCAGAGCTTGAATCAAAGGTGCCTTTGTTGGCGCAAGAATTCGAAAGATGAAGAGTGCGATTGATGAACCTGTCAGTGGTCGAACGTCTATGATCAAGGCGAAGGTGACGAAGCTGGGACGAAACCTCCAAAGGCTACCTTGATGTTTGATGACTTTTGGCAGGCTCTACGCTGCAATGACTAGTGACGAGCGAGAAGTGCAAGGATGGGTGGCAAGCCTGATGATGGAAGGCGTGAGATCACAGTCAAGTGCGATGACTGCCAATCGTGAATGCGTCGCAAAAGGTGCAAAATGCAGGCAGCTTGCCATGTCTTCTCGAATTCACATCACATGAGTCCCTCCAACGTCAGCCTCATGCGTCACGAGTCGTGAGTCGTGAGCGCGTCGAGTGCCAGGCTATGGCTGATTATGGCCAAACGCTGCGCAAGCAAATTTTGAAAAGGCGCGAGAGATCGCTCGAGAAGGGAGCCAGCCCTGCTGCAGCGTGCAGCATGTGTGCGAGCAAAGCGCCAGTTCGTCAGCTTCTCCCTACGCGTCCCACTCCTCGCTACACAAGCGGCCACGCGCACTGCGCGCAGGAGCGCGGGCTTTGGCTCAAATAACACGACGAATACCAGCTGGACACGCTCGTAGATTCGTGATTTCGTGATTGATACGAGGCACGGTCGAGGGATCGGCTAGACGGGTATAGATGCGTGTGAAACATGCAGATACGGATACAGTGGATGCGAATCCAAGTGTGGCAATGCGCAGAGAGGGGAGAAGATGAGACGATAACAGCAGCGAAGGGGAACTCGTCGATCGGTCGAGGCGATGATCAAACGTCCACGTAGCTTTGGCCTCGCCACGCAGCCACACCTTAGCTAGAGAGATCCTGTCTCAAAAGACGAGCCGTGTTTCTTGCAGAGTTGCCGGCAGTTCCTAGCATAGCTGGCTCCCGCACACGTGGATTGGACAAGGTCGAATGAAGAGTGCTCGAATTTGGATTCGCGCTTGCCGTTGGCCCAAAGAGCGATTCGACTGCGCGAGCCGCCGGATCGTTGCGCGACAAGATTTGCCAATCATCCTCTGCTCCTTCGGCGTTGGTGAGCGTGCTGGTAGCAGTCTTGAGTGTCGTGATGTAGTCTGTGCGTATAGAAGAATTTGAAGCTCAATTTCTAGACAGCCTCGTCAGTGAAGGCACGTCGCGGACTTACTGTCACGAATGCGTCGCGTCTCTCCCAGATACTGTCGCAGCGCATCCCGATCACGAGCATCTTGATTCGCATTGCTGTCGAGCTGAGCTGCATCAAAGTCGATGAGCTTCTCCAGGAGGTCCTCGGGAGTTTTTCCTTTGCCCTTCGTTGACTCGGTAGCAAGGAATCGTTCCAGCTGCTGACGTCTCGAGTCCAGCCTAGCAGCTCGATTGGCTAGTATGCTCCCCAACGCTTCCACACGCTGAGCGTTCCCCGCGCTGCACCCTACGAACGCGACGAGCGGAGATGTGAAGGTCTCGTCGTCTAGTAAGTTGTCCAGCTGTTGGGTACTAGCAATAGATGTTCCCGGAGGCGCTTGTCTTTGCGAAGCGCCTCTCGTCTGAGCACCATCTGCCAAACATCTCGAGTAGCAAGGCACCTGAGACCTCAAAAGCTCGTTGCGAGCTTCCATGAATGCGCCCGGAGGCAGATGAGGTGCAGGAAACCTAGTAGAGTTGCTTGTCGTGTGTGATGCTGGGGCATGGTACGGGTCGAGGGGAAGAGCAAAGATGGACGCCCTATCTTCTGCCGGTGTCTTTCCCACCACACGACGTGAGCGAGGATAAGCAGCTTCAAGACCCAAATGTAATCGAGCCGTTCGTCCAGGATCTTCTCTGAAAGGTCTCGGGTCCGATGCCAAGCTCGGCTCGTTGTCTAACTCACTCTCCTCTAGGTTGGGCGAGGCGAGCGAGGCAGTAGCTTGGCCCCGTGCCATGCTCGACAATCGAGACGCGTCGAGGTCGCGAGAGGAATCAGCTGGACGAACAACGCTGCCAGGGCTGGCTGTGACTCCTCGCAAGCTTCGAAGGCTGGTGGAAGGCTCTTCAGACATCATCCCCGATCGTCGACGAGTCGTGCTTGGTTGAGCTGAGCGCGCTCGCGTGCTCCTGCTCGCTGCTTCGGTAGGCGGTGCGGCGGGTCGAGAGAAGAAGTCCATGTCCGGGGGTCGCATGGCTTGGAGATGTGAGAGTTCGAAGCTCGAATCTTGCGTCGTGCCGGCTTGCGACGCGGAGCTTGTACGGGGTCGAGCATGGCGATTCAGCATCCGAGGAGGTGCGCGGGCGGCAGGAGGATAAGCTGGATGCGCAGAACCGATGGCGTCCTCCGACGCCCTTGCTCTTCCACCCACACCCCTAGCAGAGATCATCTCTGGCGTGGTAAAAGCAAAGTCGGGTGGCGGAAGCATTCTGCCCTGCGAAGCGGCGTCCGTCTGCCAAGAAGCGTGTAGGCTGGTGGGATGCACCTCGCTGGACAAGCTCAGAGAGACGTGCTCGGTCGACTCGACGTCGCCAACATCTTGTCCCTGGCTGCCCGAAGGCCCAGCAAGCGCTTGACCACTTCGAGCTTCATATGAGCCCCCGTTGTGTAGCGAAGCAGCTGGTTGCTGTTGTTGTTGTTGTTGCGAGTGATTCGCGATGTGCAGTCGCCTCGCGGGCAGATTGATGGCCAAGCTGGACGCGCTCGAAGCCGAGTTGCGAGCTTGAGAGGCTCGGCGCCTGGTCGGGGGCATGACCGTGAATGTGCGCACTCTGGGCACAGAGCAGGCCTGTCAGAACTGTTGTCGGGTGCTTCTATGGCAGACAAGCAGAGCTGCGCTACGATGCCCGCATGCCTGTGGAGTCAACCGGATTCTGCAAGTGTTGTGGTTGTATTGGGAGTCGCTCAATGACTACCAAAGAACTCTGATGAGTCGTGAATGAGCAGCGGCCTTCATAACGTCACGATGTGCGCAGCGCGCGCGTCATCAAAACACAACTGATCACGTGCTGGATCGTCATGCCTATGCCCACGGCATCCGAATTTGAATCGTGAATCTCAAAAACCTTTGTTAACTCAAGACTCATCAAGACTTGAATTTGAATCTAACTTCTGATGATACTGTACGTGATTGCGATCTCAACACGTGAATCGCACCAGCTTGGATCGTGCCCATGAAGCATGCATCATGTATGCTGCGTGCGCGTGCGTTCATTTTTGATTATTGTGAGTGCAGAGGCCAAAGCAAGAGTGGTGGAATTTGTATCACGAATGAATCGCAAATATTGAATCTGAATGCAATCAAGAATTTGAATGACGACGACTGATCGAGCGAAGAGTATCCGCGCGAGCGAAGGTGGAGCGAGCGCACGGGCGCTCTGATGCTGCTGTTGCGGCTGCATGGTGGTGGTGCATGGTACGGTAATTTGCCGCGTCGAAATTCTGTGCGGTGGATCACGGACTCGAGGCGTGATTCGTGATTGCATGTTGCGTTGTGCGCGCGTGCGTGGGTGCGTTGGTGCGTGCGTGCGCGCGTGCCCGTACCGGTACTCACACTCACGACTCACTTCATCAGACACTACTGTACGATGCGATGCGCTACCGTTTCGCATGTGATTCGCCTCACTCAACTCTCAGCGTCTCGTCTCGCACTCATCTGGGATCGTGCCAAGCTAATCATAACAGGCGCTGATCGCCGATCACACGCTTGCTTCACTGGCACTTTGCTACTTGCACGCTGATGACACAGGGTCACCCAGGTCTCACCAAGCTCAATCGATAAACGCCAACTACATCGGCGGCCGCGCGTCCAAAGCCAAATTCGGCTTCGAACGATTATCACCGACAATCGTGATCTTCGCAAGGCCGCACGATCACCTTCCACATCCTGGTTTACACCATCACCCACCCCAGTGCACACAAGCATGGCAGCTCCATCGCGCTCTCACGCGCATTCACACTCCCATGCGCACCCTCTCCCAAGCCACTTGCGCAAGAAGAAGCACCATTTGCTCCAAACAGCCGGTAGTGCAGTGGCGGATGATGGACCAGACGCAGAGGACAATAGCAGTCGAGATGCCAGCGAGGTAGGTTTTGGCACCTCATCATGCAATTGTTTCAGCGCCCGTCTTCCGCTCATGCATTGCTTCCGCCTTTGGGTCCAATACAGGAGGACAACGACGACATCTCTGGCGCTTCGGACAGCGCCTCGTCGATGAGGGCATCGGTGCATAGATCTTCCTCTTCGCACCTCTCAGCCCTCGCAGCCTCTGCAGCTGCCGCGTCCCTGCCAACATCAGCTCGGGATCGCGCGCTGGTCGAGTCAAACCCCAGAAGGCCGTCTGCAGGGGCTGCAGCAGCCATGGCATCGATGGGTGACAAGACGCCTGGTACTAGCAGTCCCAGACGTCTCAGCACCAGCACCGGCCATGCTAGCCAATCTGTTGCCGAGACTGCAAGTGCCGAATCAGGTATCGGAGCAGCGAGCAGCGCCAGGAGGCCTAGCGCAGGCTTGCTGAACGCATACGCCGCTCGGGATGCAACCGTGGCTCAAACACTCGAACGAGCTAGCGCAGCGCTGAGCAGTTCGAGCAGCGACGCTCCTCGGCCAGTAGGACTGGATGCTCGCAAGAGCAGAACCCATGGCAGCGATTCGAGCAGTGCTGGAAGCGGCGGCGACGGTCCAGGACATGGCGTCAAGGGCTCGTTGCTGCGTAACAGAAGTCCTAGACTGGATCTTGGTGCGCTTCCGGCACCTGCAGTAGGAGGCAACGTCACTAGCACAGGTACGGCGGTTCCCACGCCGAGAGGTGTAGAGCCAAAGCAGCTCAATAATGCCATGGTACCCAACATCGCCGCCACTACGAATCTACTGCAAGGAGTGTCCCTCTCACCGCGCTTTCATGCAGACGCGGACACGGACACCGAGACAAATCTGGACATCTCAAGGAGCACTGCAACCGAGCGTGATTCCGATGTCACAGCAGCAAGTCCCTATGATGGGGATGTAGAGTTTGCCGCTCGATCCTACGCTGGGCAGACCCAGCAGCAGTCTCAACCTCAAGCAGTGTCGGCAGCATCAGCATCCGCAAATTTCCCGAACTCTAGTGCATCCCTCTCGGCATTTGGCACGGCACCTCGAGAGGCGCCTTCGCACTCGTGGGCGGTGGGAGATCCCTCTCAGCTCACGAGCAATGATCGAGCGGAAACGCCTCACTCGGAGGCTCCAGTGCCCATTTCCACACCCGACACCATCCGGGATTACATTCGGAAAGCTATTTACGAGCCCGATCCTTTGCGAGACTATCGCATCAATCTACCTCCCGATGGAGGTCGCAATCCCAACAGACCTGTGCGAATCTACGCTGATGGAGTGTACGATCTCTTTCATTACGCGTGAGTCCCGCCCAACGCAACGCCGATGGTCTGTGAGCCTCTCTGATGAATTCCTCATCAACCTCTTCAGGCACTCATTGCAGCTGCGTCAAGCGAAGCACTTCTTCCCATGCGTCCATCTCATCGTGGGAGTCGTATCTTCCGCATCTTGCGCCCAGCACAAGAATGAGCCCGTGCTCAACTCGGCAGAGCGCTATGCTTCCGTGCGCAATTGCCGCTGGGTGGATGAGGTGTTGGAAGATGCGCCGTGGATCATCGATCAGTCCCTCATCGATCGATTGCAGATCGACTACGTGGCTCACGACGAAGCGCCCTACGCCAGCAAAGATGGAGGAAACTCGGACATCTACAGATTCTGCAAGGAACAAGGCAAGTTTTTGCCCACGCTCAGGACTCCTGGTGTCAGCACTAGCGAATTGCTAGGCCGAATAGTCAGCCAATACAGGCAGCACTCTTTCGACGATAAGCTGGCCAAAATTGGGCTCCATTTCGACTAGAGGAACGCGCAGGCCATATACATCACGATAATCCACGCGGAGCTCTCTGATTGCGTTCACAATCAACACGGCGTGCTTCGACTCGTGCGAAATTTCAAACAAGACGAACAATGAAGTGGGACCTGCACAACGGCGTGACGTAGAAGCATGACGAGGAGGCGAATGTTCCAGTGTAGACGCGAATGCAAAAGATGGTGGGTCGCTATCTCAACAGCTGAGGCGCGGTTTTGAAAGATTCGGAACCTTCCGAGAAGGCACTCATGGGCTTGTGGCGACAGGCGCGTTGCCTTGAGGGATTGGATCAGACTGCGGGTCAATGGTGGCTCTTCGCCAAGTGGGCAAACGCGAAATGCACGGGCAAAACACTCACATTGGTTGGGTCTGAGGGCGCACCACTTCGGCTGCAAAGGCGAGGCTTGTATTCCACGCCCGACAAGCCTATATCGCTGCTCGTGCAACCTTGGTAGCGCCTCTACAGCACTGCGCTTTGTCAAATTCGATCCAGACCAGCTCCTTTGTGACCAAGCGATGGCGCGCCTGTCGGGGTTCGCTTCAGCTGCTTCGGCACCTTCAGTAGTGTTACCCTGGCCGACTGCGCTGAAAGTCGTAGTGATGTTGCCAGCGTTGAAGGCTTGCGTCCAGGAGTCGCCGGTCCAATAGACTTCGGCGCCAGCTAGTGCGCGCGGCCACAGAAGAGCGTCGAGATTATTCTCGTCTACCTGCTCTGTCCAGAGATTCATCTCCCCTCCCAGGACGCGCTTCCTTGCATCAGGAATGCCTTGCGTGCCCGTCAGAGGATCGAAAGCGTAGGCCATCTGCCACGTCACGTAATCCGCATAAGATTGACCAGTACTGTCGCCCATCCAGCTGCCGAGTCCGACGTCCAGGTAGGCTGCCTGGTAAGGGGCAGTGATAACGCGTACAGCTGGGTTCGATTCGAGCACCTTGGCGATGTTGGAAACGCTGGTCCAGACCTCTACGATTGTTCCGTTCACCAGGGCCTTGGCAGTCTCTGGAAAATCGATTGCCGCCTCTACGACGACGACAATCGAGTGCGGGTCACTTCAGCACTAGGGGTCACGGGACGCATTTGTCATACCGGAAAGCTTACCTTCCCAGACCATGGGCGCCTTTCCGCTGTCGACGATTGCCTTTTGCACACCCTCGATGAAAGGCTTCAACAATGAAGCGTCGATGTCTCGCTTGCTTGAGGCCCCGTAACACTTGAGGTTGACCTCGTCATTTCCGTGGCCAAAGTAGGGTCCAGCGAGCAATTTTGACGTCTCTTGTATGAGTTCCTTTACGTACGCATTGACGGCACTGTTGTTTAGTGCCAATTGCCCGGAAGGCGGCTCATTTGCCCAGCTGTATCATCATCAAGAGCCGACGCGTTTTATCAGTGAGTCTTGCGAGCCTTTGCAGGCACCGTGGTACTTACAAGGCCCAGTCGTGCTTGTTTGGACAAGTGACCAGCTCGGGCTTGTACTGCAAGACGCCCTCGTACGTATGTCCTGGCATATCAATCTTTATACAAAGGTGGTGGTGTGAGCAATCTGATAAACTGGGTCGACGCCTGTCCCAGGACACTCACTTCGACATTGACGTTGATGCCGTACTCGCCGGCATACTGAACGAAGTCTTTGACATCGCCAGCACTATACGTCTCAGCTTGTGAATAGGCGCCTTTCTCAGCCAGGACTGAGAGGTTGCCATCCAGCTTGAGGGGAAAACTTTGAGCCTGCAAGCAAAGTCGGCAGACGGTGTTAGCGGTGATGGAGCCAGTGTGTCTCAAGTGGTCGGTTTGCGTTGCTCACGTCTACAATATGCCAGTGAAACTGATTCAGCTTCGCGGACGAAGCCGCTTCGATCGTGCGCCTGAGTGCCGGAATGGGAATGAAGTTGCGCGCTGTGTCGACCATGATACCACGATAAGGATAAGCAGGCTTGTCATGAATGTCGATGGGCACATTCCAAACGTAGCGCGTCGTCTCGTCCGCTTTCGGCAAAGACAAGAAGAGTTGCTCAAACGTTGTCAAGCCTCCAAAAATGCCGAGGCTGGAATTAGCACTGAGTACTGCTGGTGAGCCATCTGCGGGCAGAGTAAGGCTGTATGCCTCGTCGAGCAGCTCCACGTCCCGTTGTATCTCGTAGGCAAGACCTGATGTCGCCGCAACAGGCGTGTCGGTGGCGTTCGTGCTACCAGCATCAGCTGGCCGGTCTGCACTTGGGCTTTGCTCTGACGGCGTATCTGCTTGCAGAGGCTCGTCCGGCTTCTTGACTTCGACCTGAGCTTCTGTCGGAGGATCACTTTCGACGTCGGTATTGTCGCTGGACGCTTCTCTTGCATCGAACACCTCGATGGGGAATTGATGGGCTGACCGTGCTTCGGGAGGAGGATGCTCCTTCGTATCCGACGCCTTTGTGTACGCCTGATTGGGGTCTTCTGGTCTCCTCTCCTCCTTCTCGGCCTGTGGCGCCTCTTCTGAGGCTGGCGCAGGTTGCTTGTGCTGATGCGGGGCTGCTTCACCTTCGGTCTTTACCGACTCGGCAGCCTTTTCGTCAGGCGTTGCGGAGGTTGCTGCATTTGGTGTGACTGCCGCCTCTGGCGGTTCGATGCCATCGAGGATGATCTTGAGCTTCTCCAGCAGCGGCGCTTGCTGAATCTTTTCTGATCTCGAAGCGCCGTATCCGACGATCAAAGGCTGCATCGCGTCGCTCTTGAGTCTGCTTTTGCTCCTCTCAATCGCAGTGATGAGATCGGCGGGCAAGTCGCCTGTATGCGCAATGACGAGCTTGTCGACGTCGACCCGAAGAGCTTGAATGGCTCGCTCATCTTTGCTCGGTGTGCCGTACGAGATGTAAGATGGTTTGGGCCAGATCGCATTCACATTCGAACTTGCACAGAGGCAAAGCGTGGTCAGCAGCAAACTTTCGACCAGGCGCATTCTCGGCTTTCAATTCAAAGCTGCGAGTGTAGGACAAGTCTGATGGCCAAATTGCCTTATGGGTATCTGTGCGACGCTGCCAATGCTTCCTGCGCTGACGGGTAGCGAATGACGCTCGTGTTTGGAGAACGTCAGATGCAATGGGATCGGTTCGGGGTCTTTCTGAGCTTAGTCGCTTCTGCGAGACCTATAAGTACCGTACTACTACCTAGCAGGAGTACGATGACTACTGGAGCACAATCCGAATGCTGTCAAACCTCGAAATTGAGCTGCAAATGATCAGCGTCGGTGCGAGGGAGGAAGACATGGCTGGAACTCATGACTGTGCTGGATGCAAGGGTCCATGCCGCTCGGTCTTTGTACACGTATTGCGCTCCACGCATCTTGTCGGCGCGCCGATCTGTGAATCTGTATGAAATTAGCTCCATCAGCGGTCACAGCGCTTGCGGCGGTATAGGCGCCCTACGCAGACAGGGCTGCGTCAGTAGGTCCCCAAGGCCCATCGCCAGCGTTCGGCAGACTCGCAGTTCATTCACGATTTGTGATTCAAGATTGCGGGGCAGACGTGGTTTGGGGGACTTGGCGCAGTCATCATCACGAGTCACGAGGTCCCAGATTTTCCTCCCAGCATGGTCGCTGCAGCCATGCCAATAAGTATATATAGAGACTTGCAGCCAAACAGGGCGGCTCTTGAGCTATAGCTGCATGTACGATGAACTTCTTTGGCGTCTGGCACGGTCGACCTTTCCTCATTGCTATGGCTGCCCTCGCACCTGCCGGTCCCAGGTGCACAGCTCGTTCCTTACCACGACTCACATACCACTGACCACTGCGGCCAAGGTCACCTTCAAATCACAAAGCGCCTTCCTTTTCCTCACCCTCATTGCGACGGAGAGCGCAAGGCGGAAGCTCTACGCACACCTCCTCGTCCCCTCGGAGATGCACGTAGCATGACGGATGCCTCCTGTCTCTGCATTCTACTATTCTGAAGATCTGCTCATCTGGTCATCCTCTTCTGTCGTTTGGCCTTGCAGTCGTGCATCGTCATGGAGATTTGATACGCACAAGTGTCATGAAAACGGGGAAAGCAGAGCCTTTTACAATTTGATGAAGCAGGCGGCGCAGTCAAAGACCGCTAGAGTCCGTGTGGTGAATGCAAAAGCGCAAACTCCATGTAAGCGGGATCATATATAGTCGAAAAGGAGCCATGTTCTGCGCAAGCTCGTGAAGAAATGCCGTCGAGCAGGGATTTCTGCTCACACAGGAGGCGAAAGGGGAAGATGTCCTGATGCAGAGGTTCCAGCATCACATGGCCTGGCCCCTATAAGAGTAGCGCGAATCATTAGAAGGCTGTCCCCTTTCGCCGTTAGCCTCTGTTTGATATGAAGGGGGCCTTGGGGACATGGTTCTCGCCGCGTCCTGCTGCAAAGGGTAAGATTGCGACCCAGTACCGGCATGACCCTGCACTCTCTGATTCTCGGGGAAAGGCTGCGTGCGATAAGTGGCGGGAGAAGCAACCGTACGATCAGCGTAAAGCGCATCCGCTACAGCCGTCATTGCGGCATTCTGGCGATCCTGAAGCTGTACTTTGACCGAGGGATTGCGCCGAGCTGCAGCAGAGCCCGCACCAGCTGCATTGCCGTACCGATTGTCTTCAGAGCCTGGTGGTAAAGAGTAGATGGAGCCAACTCCCGAATGATGCTGATATCGTTCCTGACCGTGGTGGCCTCCTGGCGCAAGCCGGTGGCCCTGCACTTTGGGCTGGAAACCGTTGTGGGCGTCGGCACGATCATTGACGTAGTCTTGGTTGTAGGATGTCGGCGGAGGACCCGCCCTGCCATATGAAGCAGGCACACCCTCTGTCAGGGCTTTCTGTTCGTGGACATCTTCAGAGCTTCCTTGGCTGTATGAGCGAGCCATACCGAGCCTTTGATCGGGTTGCGGCGGCTGATCCCTGTGATTTAGGACACTTAATCCTATCGCTCCCGCATCGCCCTCGGCAGATACGCCACGATCGCGCAGAGGGCCAGCCTCTTCGCCTGACTGATTGCTACCTTTGTTCGCCCAGCGACTCCAAGCCGCTGAGCTTGGCTTGCGGCGCCCATCTTCTACGTCAAATGGTGGTTGATGCAAGTCGTCCCGCGAGTATACACCGGCAGCACCATCGCCATAAAGTTTTGCGGTAGACCCAGCGGGAGAAGCGGCGTCATCTCGTCCCTCCGCCTCCCATGCCTCCGTCATGCGCGCCTCGCTGAGCATGGTGTAGCGTCTGGCGCGCAAGCGACGCTGAACCTCTGGCCTAGCCTCGTCCATCTTCTTGTGCAGGTACAGGGCGGCGCCGATCGTCACGATTGCGGATATGATAAGGACGACCCACTTGATCGCTTTAGCTTTTGGACTTTCCTCGCCAGTAGAAGATGAGGTGATGGCAACACCAACGTATACGACTGCAAGCTGCTTAGGCAGGGACAGAATTGCTGCAGCGGTGAAGACGAAGAAATTCATGCCGATGGTCTGTAGCCACATGTCCCGCGTGTGAGCTGAGGATCGCACGAAGAGATGGGCACCTGTACATACTCACTGCGAAGACGGCGGTCGAGATATGGCCGGGCAAAGCCGAGAGTCTAGCAAGCAAAATCACCAAAAAGCCACCTTCTCGCGTGATGTGCGCCATGCAAGCATAATTGATGCTTTTGCGCTCGTACTTTTCCGCCGTGCGCTTCAAGCACAGCTTGAACGCATAGAAGTTGCCGATTTCTCCAAGCAACGTGCCAAGTGACAGGATGCCGAAGCCTAGCCAGAGACCATAGACGACTCCGCAGAGCACCCCGATGATTTCGTGTCCAAATAGCGGTGGGAAAGAGATGACGAAAAGAATGGCCACCACAATGACCCAACCCCATGACACCGATTTGACCTTTTTCGAGATTGGGGTGAGCCAGTCAACGATCTGCCTGTGGTAGATCGTCAACAAAGCAACGCCCACAATCAGGAGGACGAGCAGGACATACCAGTCTGTGAGGCGGGAGAAGGCTAACATCAATAAATCGTTGCGATCCAATCTCACTTGCACCAGCGCTATCCGGATCGTCCGCCCATCCAGCTCGCAAACTCACGGAGATACCTCCACCTGACGTACGTCCTCCAATCCCTTGCCATCTGCTTCACATCTTCCCACATGCTTCCTCCCTCCTTGTCCAGATCCTTTGGAAATTGGTCCGCGATCCTAACTTGAGCAGGTGTGAGCTTCGATCTGTTCAGAGGCTTGTCTGGATGAAGACCCGGAGTGTCCGGCCGTGGAGCATCTCCCGCCGGCACACCTAGACGATCGCTACCATTGGCCCCACCCGGCTGTGGGGGATACACGATGCTGGATTCGGGAGATGTCTCTGCGTATGGGTCTGTATAGTACGCTTGAGGGCCCGTGTTCTGCCGCGCGGGAGCAGCAGACGGCCCAGTGTGATGCTGCATGATGGGCACGTTCGGGCTGGGATAGCCGTAGTGTTGCTGAGCACCAGCATAAGGATCTGAAAAAGCGTAATCGGCAGAAGGCTGCACTGCGTGAGTGCCATGGCCTGTTGGCCCATTGTACGCGGTGACTTGGAATGGCCCAGCGGCAACGCGCGGCGCTTTGCCGGTCGCAGGCTCATATGTTGCCACGTCGGAGCGTGCGTACTGATTGTAAGGTTCCTGTTGATACTCGACTTGCGGCCGCATGCCTGCTGAGCCAGAAGGGCCATCGTAGGCTCCACTTCGCTCTTGACCAACGCTGCCGCTGCCGCTCCTTGGGAAACTGCCATGGTGGTGCGGATCGAAACGTTTGGATGCGGCGTCGTCCCTACTTCCACTTTGACCAGCATGCCCCCCGTCCCGCGTGGTTCGGTAGTATGGATTCGACATAACGGCGTTTTGTGTGAGCGCAGCGTCGCTGGCGATTCGATTGGAGAAGTTTTGGGCTTAGAGCACGCAAGGCAGTCAAGCTCGCTGAATTTCTTTGACTCGGCTGCTGATGGCTACTCGTGCTTGAGTGTTAGAGCACCTTGCGCATGCACCGCTATAGAAGGAGTGTCCGACTTGACAGGCGACCTCTTCTCTCGCAGCACGTGTACAACAGCGATCGCTTGTCTACGGCTTCGTCTTCGTGAAGTTGTGCTGCTGCCAATGTCTGCGGCCACGCAAGCTATCAGTCTTTGTGAGAGGTGTGATGATGCTGCTGCTGCTACAAAGAGATGGCGATCAGCGCATTGTTTGCAGCTTGCACGTGCAAGCCTCACGACTGAGGCTGGAGATGAAGAGGTAAGAATTACGAATGGTATTCACGATTGAGTGGTAGTTCATACGCAGCGCGGAGTATACAGTCAAGAGTGTACGCGCCCTACTCCGCCCGCCCGCGCGGCGAGCGGTGCTTCTGATGCGCATACTATGTGATGCTAGCGCTGATGCATGGATGCCTGCTGCATGTGTGCGTGCAATTCAAAAGCGTGCGCATGTATATAGCAGTCGTGGCACGAAGAGGGAGGTGGTCACGACTCGTGACTTGCGGATGCAATTCGCTCGCCGCTCGCTCCTTTGACGGAGGGCTCATCACCACAGTTGGCACTACGACAGCTGATTTTGCAAGACTGAGCGCCTTGCGCTGCATGATGCGGCTTGGTCTGCTGCATGTGCCCAAATGCCTGCATAGCCAATATCCTCATTAGCGAGCATCGCACGCCCGCCCGCCCGTCCCTCATCCATGCGCCTCAGAGACGTTATGCACCACTCTGCAGGGGCGGTGATGCTCCTCGGGCTGGCCAAGCATCAATCAACATCGTACACCCGTGCCTGTAGCTGAAATCTGGGTCCGAACGGAGACGTCTGCAAGCTGCATAAAACGTGCTGCTGCATGCCTCATGCTGCATGTGATGCGTGCGACGCAGCGCGCGCGCGCGCGCGCGCCCCACCATAGCACCGCGCGTAACTCAAATCAATAGGCTGGACCTTTTTCACGTGACCCTCTCTCGCCGATAAGCTTTTTCAAGCGGTGATCGGGCCACAGGTCAGTCCGCAACGCGACCGGGACTTGCGGCTCGACAAAGGCCGAGCGAGACTCACACTTGTGACTGCAGCAGGCGTAACGTACAGAATCGTGAATAAGGACAAGTAAAGTGCATGGAAAGCAGCTTTCATGACCAATCTTGCTGCTTTCCGGGCGGAGTTGGACGCGGATTGCACAATCCGGATCCGCGAGTCTTGGGTTTCCCTTCCTTCACCGGCCGCGGTAGAAGGCAAGTGATGCCGCATCTCCCTCATCTTGCATCCCACCTTCTTTCCCCTCTCGATATCACGTTCTCCTTCCTGCGGTTCGCGCACCACACCTTTGCCTTTTCTCAGCGACTCTTCATTTCTGTCACTCCCCTTCCCCTGATACTAGTGTGGAAGTGTGCTTCGCATCTTGATCTTGCGAAGCTCCACATCTCCATCAGTCACCTCGCAATGGTACCGGCACCAACGCTCGCACCAAGCGTCGACATTGCCCATCCCCGCGTCATGTTCGACAGCGTCCCAGACACCATCGAAGCGATCAAGCGCGGCGAGTTTGTCATCGTTCTGGATGATGAGGACCGCGAAAATGAAGGTGATTTGATCATCCCTGCGCAAAACATCACCACCGAGCAGATGGCTTGGTTCATCCGGCACACCAGGTGAGCTTTCCATATTTGCCGACTCGCACTCTGCGTCGGGTGAGGAAGCTGATGCACAAAATTCTACACCAGCGGTTTCATCTGCATTTCGCTGCATCCCGCACTCATTGCAGCCCTGGACATTCCCATGATGGTGCCGCACAATACAGAGAAGAACAAGACGGCTTACACAGTCACAGTGGACTACTTGCACGGCACAACGACAGGCATTTCCGCCCATGATCGGGCATTGACAGCCAGGAAGTTGGCTGAATCAGGCATTTCTGGAAGCGTGCGGAAGGATGATTTCGCTAGACCTGGCCACTTGTGTCCCCTGAGGTATACAGAAGGAGGCGTGCGGAGAAGGGGCGGCCACACAGAAGCGAGCGTTGGTGAGTGGTCATATGCTGCCGAGCTGCGTTTGGATCCCTGATCAAAGCGTGCCCTTGACTTCCCGATACCACACAGATCTCGCCGTAGCAGCTGGCTTGGCCCCCGCAGCGCTGCTGTGCGAGCTGGTGGACCCTTCAGATCCGGCAGGTGGCATCGCTGCGCGCGATGCTTGTTTGGCATTCGCCAAGGAGCACAACCTGCGAGTGACGACCATCGAAGCTTTGCGCAAATGGAGGGAAGCGCAGGAGGGAGACGTGATTCCAAACGGCGTGGCGGCCGAAGCGTTGGATCGGGAAAGAGGGGTGCGCATGGAAGAGCAGGGCGTCGCTCCACCTCAGTTGGCCTGATGAATATGGTTTGGCACATGCGAACGGAATGCTATACTTATAGAAGCAAGGGCTGGCTGCACAACCACGCCGCGCAGTGGAAGCATGCTTGCTAAAATTTGCTCATTTTTGAAAGCTGTTTCCAGCCCATGTCTGCCTACCAGGGCTGTTGCGCGCGCCGGTGAGCTAGCGATGCCGCCACCGTCTCGTGCAGCACTGGCTGTGTAGGTGGAAGCAGCGGCGGGTGCAGGTCAGCGGAGTCGCCTGAATAAAAGCTTGGACATGTACAGTTGGCGAGGCGGTTTGGTCTGAAATCAAGATTGGCACAGTATGCCGGCCAGCTTTACTCAGATCGTTGGCCAGTCAAGCCCGCACCACAAGGAAGACGTCGGGGATGCGCTGGCTCGAAAAGTCATATCTGAGCAGTTTGACGTCTTGATGTGCTTCTGGCTGGCTTAGACCGGTCTCCACCTCGGCACTAACATGACTGTCTGGAATTGTCGTGGCCTCCAACGACCTGCCAAGCCACGGCAAACGATCGACCTGCAGGCGAACGGAAGCACATCATACATTGGTAGGTCGGGTCGAAGCACCGTCAGCATGCCCAAGCGACCCCTCGCAGCGCTACTCACCTCCCATACGCGATTCTTGAATCCGACTTGGGTCAGATTGTTCGAATCTTGCGCGATCTGCCTGAGATCCTCTGTTATCAATTCGACGCCGCTGGATACGTCTGCCATGATGTGCAGCTCAGAGAGATGCTTGAGTAGTGACAAGCTCTGACGCATTGAAACCTGGAAATGGGTTGGAAGGTGAGACTGTGGCAGAGGAGATACTCCGGCCCATAGTCGCTCACCGGTGTGACATCCGACGACACATGCACCACTAGCTGGCTCAGAAGGGGTGCTCTTCGACACAGCGTGTTCAAGCCCCTGGCACTCAGCCTCACGCCTTGAGCACGCAGTCGACGAAGTCTTCCCTCGGTCGCTTGCACGAGCTCGCACATTAGAAAATCGAGTTGATCTTGCTTAGTGCTGGGATTTTGCAGCGCTCTTGTTGGAAACTCGGCTGTGGACAGGGCTGGTACGGCACTTGCTTCGATGCCATCCCCCTCTCTGTCAGAGTCGTTGGAGTCGTCGGCAAAGTCTGGATTTGATTCAGGACGGTTGTAGCTGCTCGCATACAGCGTCAAATCCTCCAGGAAGGGAAGGCGGCGCACAAGCCCTGCAAGAGAAACAAGAAAGTCCTCCACAGAGGTGACTCGAGCGCGCGGTAGGGTCAAGCTGAGCTGTCTCAAGCGCTGCAACATGGGCGCCAAGGAGGGTAAAGCGCTGGGATTCTTTGGCGGGTATGAAGAGACGGCAACCGTTGAATGCATGCTTGCTACGGAGCTTTTTGATGACGTAGGCCACACTCACGACCGCTGTTCCTTCCAGTGCAAGCTCCCGAATGCCCGATCGCGAAGCCAACAACAGAGGAGTCAGTCCTGCTTGCGAGACAGCACGGCAACCAGCCAAGCTGATGCGCTCTAGAGACGTCAAATACTTGGCGAGGTCGATGAGGTGGGCATCGTCCAGGTGGGCTGAATGCTGCGAGGCGATGTCGATCTGCACGTCAGCAGTACAGGCAGGGCGGCGCCGCGTCGACTTATAGAACGTACCTGAAGAAGAACGCTGAAGCTCTTGAGTGAGTGGCATCTCTGAGCAATCAACCTCAAGGACGAAATCAGACTCCTGTCCGGCAAAACCACTGCAAAGCTCTCTAATTGAGGCGGTAGATGCTCCAAAAGAGTTTTAGGTGACCAAGTGCGCGCATCGCCAGTGATTTCCAAGTGTCTTAAAGAAGGAAGCGCTGAGAGAACTGGAAGGACTCGATCATTGCTGCGCCAGTGGGAGGAATGGTGCATGATGAGGGTGCAAATGCCCCGATAAGAGTGCTTGAGCCGCCACTCACAGGCTGCCAGTCCGGGTCCAGCAGAGCGCTTCCAGCTGTGTGGCACTTCGAAGTGCTTCGCATATGCTGTGTTCGAGCTGTTCCAGTTCCTCGGCCCGCAAGCCAAACGGGTACACGCGAATCTCTGCAGCGGCAGCGAGCAGATATGAGCATGGAAGCATACACTCGTTCCCTGATGAAGCCGCTCCTGACGCGCCGACTTACCGAGAGCCTTGAGGAGTAGAGCCAATTCAGGGCGAGCAACTAAGGTCCTAAAAAGGAGCTTGAGCCGACCTTGCGAGCGAAGGATTAAGTTGGAGTACAAATAAGGTGTGGCGTAGCGATTGAAAGTTCGCGAGACTAACGCGCAGGCTGCTAGACACCCTACGCTTTGTGAGAAACGCTGCATGATCTCCGGGACCAGCTCCAAGGGCAGGGTACTCCGACTCGCACCAACGTCCATCATACTATCGCCGTTGAACAGGCCTTTGGAGACCGGCAAGCACTGGGGAGCAGGATCATTCGAGCCGTGTCCCTGCGAACATTGAGAAAGATACTGATGGCATGGGTGAATGGGTGGAAGGCAGAAGACATGTACTGTACTTCTCCGTTCGGAAAAGGAGCCAGAAATCGAGGCGGGCAAGCTAAGTGGAGGGCATTCAGTCTCTCGGCCGACTACAGTATACTCTGGGCGGGAAGTGTTGGTTTCGGTAACAAGCGCGATTCGCGCAATCAGAATCTGAATTCATTTGATTGCGCTGCTTTACGCGACGTGATGAGCGCGTCCTCTGCTGCGCGTCCATGACCGTCCGCTGCATTTGAATCAAAATCAGTATCACGAATGCTCGGCTTAGCCAGCAGGGCGGTCGACCCTCTCAGCTCCATCCAGATCTCCGTCCGCCGCTCTTGCTTATCCAAACCCATCTAGAGTTGGCGGAGCGGATATCGGCATGAAGCGCGCTGATTCGCACACAGAGCCAAGCAGCATGTCCGAAGGAATGCTCTCACCAAGCAACAGGGCCAATCATGCCATTGCCAGCCCGCCACAAACGCACGCAGCAGCAAGTAGCAGAATCAGAGCACGCGGTAGCGCTCAGGCCTCTACCAAAGCTGAATTCGGGGCCCTGGCTCGACGCCAAATCCCAGTACAGGAACTTCACAGACCTATTTCGGCCTCTCAGCCCTCCCACCACTCTGCCGCCAGAGCCATGAGTACGACGCGTGAGAGCGATGCTTGGGATTATCGATCCTTTTCTCAACCTGTAAACGGCATGATGCCGTCGCACTGCAAGATTTCTGGGAACACATCCGCTACTCAGTCGGTGGGACTGCTGCCGTCTCTACAGCCACGTAGGGCGATCGCGCGCTCAAGGAGCACCACTCCATCGTCATCTATGCCTGATCTCGATGCTTCCGCGTCCGCCTCATCGCTTCAGTCTCGGGGTCATTGCGCAATAGGCAGAAGCCCTGAGGCGAGGGATGAGGAGTTGCTGACCAATGAATTCCCCAGGAGAAGTCCTGCGCTCGGGATGGGCTGGCGATCTCCGCCGCCTCCAAGGTCAGGTACCGGGGGCGAGAGTTCAGGTGAGTGCACTGCAGAGAACGAGGATGATTTCGGCGGAGCGCGGGATACTGGTGCTGACCATAGGTATCTATCATCTGCTAGATTTTGGTGATGCGGGCCCCTCTTCTGGTCGTGCTGTCTCTCCGACTGTGCCGGCGTACAGTCTGCCTCACGAGCATGCTGCGGCGAGTGTTGCGACATCAACGAGACACAGAGATAATGGCGTACCTGAAGAGGTGCAAGCGTTCGTGAACGCGCCGCTGACCCCACCTAGGCGCAATCTACGCGATCGTAAGCCAGCGCAGCTCAAGCCTTACACCGTGGAAGGTCTCACTTATCGCCGCAGGCTTCTCCGAAATGACTGGGAGGACGCTGTCGTTAGCCAAAGGGAAATCCGGGAGAAGATTCGTCAGGAGCTAGACGCAGAGTGGGAAGAAGCCAAGAGGAAAGACGTGGCACTCAGGGAAGCAGACGATCAGGTCGCCACGAGACACGCGTGGGAAAAGGATCTGAGACGCCGGAAGCGCGAAGAGCGGAAGCTGAAGCAGAAGGAGGAGAAGAGGAAAGAGAAGGAGAGAAAAGCAGCACACCGGTCTCGCAATGCTAGAGAACTCCGCACTGCACCAGACACCGCGTCTCTGTTCGCTGCATTTGGCGGCGAGCTAACGTCAGATGACGATGTCATCGTGGACAATGACAAGGGTGTGCGAAGCGAGCCTGCTGTGCTCATCTCGCCCGGCCGACGCGAACAGCCAATCACCAGCTACAAATCTCGCAGGACCCATCAGGGCTCTGCCTCACCCACTGCGGCGCGTCCAGTCGGCACAGAGGCGAATGGTGATTATACTGATGATTCCGCGTCACAGCCAATCCGGCCTCGTAAACGGCTGAGGCGCTTGCATCAGGCGCGCTCGAACTCAGGCTCCGATTCCCAGAGGGCCAGATCAATGTCTGTCCTGTCTGTTTCCGACTCAGACTCTTCTGGGTCATCTGCTACGGAGGCGGCTACTCGCGCAGCCTCGAATTGCACCGATGCACGCCCCTCGAGAGCCGATGCTGCGGAGCTTGAGGAGTACTACGCTCAACAACTGCGTATCCTTCGGCGCGTCATGCCGCTTGGCATGGCCAAGAAACACATCGAAGACTTGCGAGCAATGCATCGCGGCCACGACTACCACTCTGATGGACACATCTCTGCGACTCCCGAGCCCGCTAGCGGTAGCGACGCCGAGAGAAACTCTCTTACGCCTCCTCCACAGCGCTCGACCCCTGCAACAAGCATCGACGCACTACAAGGTACAGGCGAAGACACGGAGTTGATCCCTGGACAGGCTAGGCGCAGGGTTGCAAAGAATAGTGCAATTCGGGATGACGCCCGGTTCGTGATTGAGGGCGATCCCCTCTCGAGTGATGACGCACCCACGCCAGTCAGCGTCAGCAGCGACAGCGAATCTGACACTGACAATGCCGACGGTCGAGGAGTGCGGTGGTGGACGAACACTTCTTCATGGCCTGCGATAAGCACTGTTCCGCGCAAGCCAAAGCGAGTCAAGGACGACATTGATCGCCTGCTTTCACGAACAGGTGTTCGTCAGCCTCAGCGCAGCAGACTACGTACCAGCTCTGATCGTCCGAAGCAGCGACATGCGAGGGCGCTCGGTGACGTGCCTCGTGACAGATCCTCATCTACCCGCGAACATAGGGGAACTTCCAATCGTCGTTCACGCGGCAGCCGTGCGTCAAACGCGTATAGTCACAGGTATCCCCCCTACCGCCCCGTCAACCCGCCCATTGCTCATCCTAGATCTATCAAGAGCCTGGATCTCGTGGACGACAAGGTGCTCTTTGATGTAGAGTGGCAGGCAGAACAGCCTGAGGTTGATGGCCGAACGGCAGCATCTCTGCTTCTGCCTGACGAAGAGTTGCCGCGGCAAATGTCACGAACTGCAGGCGCGGACCGGTCGCCCCGTTTCTCAAATGACGCCTTGCGTCTTGCTTCTCTCGACAGCCCGAGTCGTGTTCATGTCGATCTGATCAATGACCTGGCCACGCCAGCACGGCTTCTGGCTAGCTCAGAGCCAAAGTCATTGCCCGCTAGGAAGACACAGCAGCGCCTCGACGAGTTCATACCTAGTCGCCAATGCATCACACCTCGTGCGCCGATGCCCGATCATCTGCAAAGCCAACAGCGCGAAGCGGACGCATGGGCCGAACTTGGATTCCTGACTCTCGACTTTGGTATTCGGCCCTTGCCTATCGGCATTTGCTTTGATTCGTCTACCTCTCTCGGGCGCGGCAAGTTGCACGACTTGCTCGCGCCCCGGGATGGCGCGCGGCAGCCCCCTCCACCCGGAGCAGGAAGCACTTTCTTCGGTGTCGCGTTGCAGTTGCACAACTCGGACAGCGAACTCATCGAGTACTTGCCCAAGCTCTTCGACAACATGTTCGACGAATTTGATAAGCTGCAGCAAGAGCCGTCCATTGCGCGCGGCTCTCGTCTACGAATGAGTATTGCTGAAGCAGCTGACTTCTTCCTGTCTTGGTCTCCAACACGTCTGAGCTCAAGCAGCACCAGCACTGGCACTTCGTGGACAATGCAGCTCCTTTCCGAGCTTGCGCGGCTACAACATCGACTTGCCAGCATCGGCGTACACCATCACGCAAAGGAGCATATGATCGAGAGCGTCCTGGCAATTCGCTGGCTAGCGCTGCAGCTCTCCTGGCGTAGCGTCTTTACCAATCTTGAAAAGACCGCAGACGGTCCAACAACGGAGATCGGCGACGAGACCACTCTTCTGAATGGCATGGCTCAGGTCGCTGGCGATCTCATGGTCGTTCTGCTTTGTCACGGTCTGCATAGGACCATGAAGAGCGTGAAGGATGCCATGCGCTCACACACGAAAACCTCCGGACTTGTTATACTGCGCGACTACTCGGCAGAACTGTGGGTGTCTCTCATCCACTTGCTGTCCGAGCCACTCTGCACGCGACACGGACTAAGTTTCTGGCTCGTCTTGGAAAAAGCTGTCAGCCACTGGGATAACCTGATCCGAGCGCGCTCGAACGTTGTCTCTGCCGAGAGCGTCTGGTACATCGTGCTCAGCATGTGTGCGCTCTCCCAATTCTCTTCTTCACACGGCAGCACTGGCCAGCGTCCTAAGCTAGACGCTTCGTGGAGTATGATCAAGAATGCTCTGGATCGCGTACGTCTGCGATTCGACACGGAGGTGGAGCGCACCATGCCCAGCGCAGCAATCAGCAAGCGCGATCAATACCTTAAAATCGTAGTACAGCGGTGTCTGAACCTTTCTTCGCTATGGCACTGGCGTTTCGTTGGCGCCGAGGCAGTCATGACGCACCTTTTCAAGCTGTTCGACGCCCACCGGTTGACGAACCTCCCTCGCGAGACGGATCACGACTTTGCGCCCTTCCTTCGGGAGTACGACGCGAGGCTCCTGTACGATGCAGCACGCCACGAGTCGACTGCTTTCCACGTCTTCATCAAGCTCCTTGCTGCTGCTTGCAAAGAAATCAGCCAATCTGCAGCTGACAAGGCTATCGGCGATCGCCAGGTGTCGCGACTGATGTCCAGGGTGTTGCCAATGCGGGTAATGCCTTTCACGCAGAGCAAACCCCCTACCGCGTTGGAGCGCTCGATGCTTTTCAATCACTATTCGCTTGCGATGCTTTTCCTCTTCACTGTTCCCTCGGCCGCAACGCAGCGTCTGCGCCAGATGAAGAGTTTTCTGGCTTTTGGCGACGCCGATCTGGCCTCTCAAGTCACCTGCATTCGTGCAATGCTGTACGCTGCAGTCATCTTTCGACACCATAAGCAACCGCTTGAACCGATCATGCGCTGGTTCTCCTCATCATTCGCAAGCCTCTTGAAGAAATTTGGTGCTCTGGAAGTCGAAACACGTCATGCTCCTTCGGCAGCAGTGGCTAGTCTGCGGGACGAGCAAGTGCATCAATCAAAAGTGAGGCAGCAGCGCTCAATTACTAGCCTGATTGTCACTGCTCTGCGATCTGTGCAACACATGATAGACAGGACAACGTTGGATCCCGCACAGCAGATACTGACACTATATCCTGATCTTGCGCTGCTCGATCACGGTGAGTGGTATGCTTGAAGTCCTGAACTCTAGCAGCGTTCTGACAGTGCTCACTTCACCCCTCTAGCTTGGACTTGCGACGTTCTTGAGACTCAGCTGGCTGTCGATCCGTCGGTCGGCAACGAAGCGATGAAGATCATCCAAGCATTCTTATTGCACCGCAATAGAGCAGTCGCAAGTTTGTCCGACAGGCAATCGAGCGCCACCACTTTGACCGCCCTGGACGATGATAGCCAGGACAGCTTTGCAGATCTGTTCCCTGATGCCGACCTCGATGATGAGATGCTACGTAGCATCATAGACGATTCCGAGATGGTCTCGGGGAGACCGCCAAGTCCGCCTATACGCGAACTAGATCGCGACTTTGCCCACCTTGTCAGTAGATCCTTATTGACCTCGATTTTCCGACACATATCCAACATTTTCCATCCGGACCGACTCACGACCTATTCTGCAAGGGCTGTCCTGGGCCTCGGCGATTCTCGTCGCGAGGTCCGTGACCGAGGCCACTTGGAAGAAGTGATACGAACGGCTTCACGTCGAAGCCATGTGGAGTTGGCCATTGACTGCTGGACAGGCTGCGCTCACGTGCTCGTTCAGAACGGTCTGCGAGACTGGAGCAGCTTCCTGTCACACGGCATTGGGTCCTTCAAGCACTTCAATGATGGTATTGCCGGCCGCGACATCGGGCTACGTTTTTTGCAAAATGCAGCATCGCTAGACCGTACAGCTTTCGAAGAGCATGAAGGCGAATTCCTTATTGGCTGGTTCGCCAGTGCTCCCTCCCCCAACCTGTCTATCCAGCACATCTACACTCGAACGCTCAGTGATGTCCAGCCTCAACATCCCTGGCTAGCGAGCGCCCCGTGGACCCGGGACGAACGTGGCGTATTCCATCAGATCAGCCTCGAGGCGTTCGAGCAAGAAAGGACACAAGCTCTTCGGAACATGTTCAAGGTGATGGCGCACGAGTATGGACATTCGCAGCAAGGCAGTAAGCGGCGATCTGCGACGTTTGCATGCTTGTCGGCTCTGCTCACTTCTTTGCGCGTCTATGCGCAAGAGAGCGAGCAGACGTTGGTAGAAAAGAAGACCTACTGTGAGTTTGGTCTGGAAGTATGTCAATCGATGCGGAGTGATCTTGGACCTACGATACTACGAGGGGCAGACCTGGAGATCCGCCGAACGGTGAATCTGCTCCAAAGCTTGCAGCAATCGAACCTTCCGAGCGCTTCGTCTGCAATATCATGAATTTGCGCATGCAGCACGCGTCAATCATCATCGTTTGCCCCGCCAAATTTGTTCTTCTTTCTCTTCTTCTGCTCCGTACCTCCCCCTTCGCCTTGCATCCTCTCCTTTTTGCGCTGCTCCCGTTTCGCCTCTGCAAGTCTCTCCCTCTCCAAGACTGCCCTGCTCATCTCTGAAGACATGACCGAGTCGCTGAATCCCTGCAGTCTCATACTTGACGGAGGAGGTGGAGAAGCGTCGACTGCACTGGCCGAGACCTTGCGAGCAGGCGCAGCTACCGCTCGTTCCGATGCTCGTATGAGCCTTGTAGCCTCATCCTCCTCCTCCTCTTCTTGCTCTCCGTGTGCCGAAGTCGAGCGCCTAAATCCTTGTGCTTCGCCTTTGTCAACAGCCTTGTCATTTCTGAACCAGTCCATTCCAGCGCGTTTGTTGGACGAGTCGCGAGGCAAGTTTGCCTTGGTGAGATCGCTCTGGCTCGCCTCGGCTTCTTTGCTCTTGTCTCCTTTGGACAATGAATTTTCTGCATCGCTGTCCGAGTCTTGTATGCCTTGCCAGCTGCCTACACCAGCAAAGATGTCTTCATCTTCGTCATCGTCCAAATTTGCCGCCAGGGGGGCAACTACTGGTGCGGTGGCCGGCGTGCTCGCTAATGCGTGTGCGGATGTGCGAGAAGTCGACGCGTGAGCTGAAAGCAGCGTAGCCTGATCGGTTCTTTCTCGCACTGCCGGAGTGTTCGCGGGATGATTAGAAGCAGTCGTCTTGCCAGATTTCGACGAGGAAGCTGCACTGTTGTTCGCTGCTCTGGGTCTGTTGTTGGACGGCAGAGGCTTGGCTTTGGCCGGGGCAGCTTCAGTGCTTGACTCGGCTTTCGTGTTGGTGTGAGCCGTGCCGTTAGAGTGCCCCAGCTCCTGTTCACTTGCTTCCACTTTTTTCCTCTTCTTGCGCATGCGCTTCCCGTCCTTCCAAATGTACTCGGGAGCTTCCATCTTATCTTTGCCCGAGCCGATGGGCTTGAAGCCGCTCGCTATCGGTCCGAATGCACCCTGACCTCGAGTATCTTCGTGCGACTTTAACTTGGAGCTACCGCTCAGATTCCTTTTGGCCAATTCCTCCAAGATTCCCGTCTCAGTCCCTGCTGCGGTACCTGATCTTGTGCGATCATCTGGTCCCGCTTTTGGGCCACCGGCACCTGCAAAAGCAGCTTCCAAATCGTCATCCGTGGCGCTGCTGACTTGGCCTCCGCCAGCTTCTTTGGCGCGCTCTTGCGCAAGCAAAGCAAAGTCCAGACCTTTGACCAAGACCGAGTGCTTTGCATCACCTCCAAGAAATGCCATCTGCTCCTCGAGCTGGAGCGGCATTGATGGTGCAGCACCTTTATCGAGGTCAACCCGTGGGCAGCAAGTGGACAGATTCCAACGTTTGGCACACTCACCATTCTCCTGTCCTCCTCGCTCAATCCCTCTTTTCTCCTCTCAAAATCTTCTCTCAGCTTGTCAACATCTGCATACTCGTTGGCATCGTCCTTGCCCAACCTTCTGGCCTCTGCTCGATCCACGTACCCCTTTGGAAGGACTGGTTTGGGCTTGGGCGCTTGTGCGCTGGCCACCTTGCGAGGTGCCAGCTCAGATGCTTTGATGGAACTCGAAAGAGTGCTGCTTGGCTGCCTGAAAGATGCGAGCGACGGCTTTGAGCGATAAGTCGCCCGCTGTCTGCAGGACCACGCTGTTCCCTAACCTCACAACCTCCAGGCTCATACTCGCCATTCGTGACTCACTCGCGCTTACGAGCCAGACCGAACTGCCTTGCGCCACTGCTGGACCCCGTGGCAGCGTTTGAGGATGAAGCGCTGCTTGCTCCAGGTGCTGGAGTGGATAGCAGCTGCCTGAAAGCCTGCTGATCCATGGTCCCACCCTGTTGTGACTTTGACTCAGGTGTTGCTGATGGCACTTGACTTGCAGCGACGCCCCACTTCCGCTCTTCCTCTTGGACGCGTCACGCAACTCTGAAAGCACAATGATCCACGTTGCTGCCTGTTGCTCTGGAGTCGCGTCAAAGACAGCTGGACTCTGCGTTGTGGTGGAGAGATGGGATGACAGGGGAAGGCAAGCACATGTCGCACACGGTGATCACGAAGAGCGCGCGCAGGTGCAGGTGCACGTCACGAGTACCCGTACCGTACCTACACCGCGAAAGTTGCTTGACATGAGCTGCGCTGCAACGCGACTTGTAGGTTTGTATGCGCGGCGGGGTGAAGGTTTGTCCGAAGCTCCACACAACACAACATCGATTCACATTCATTCAGTGATTAACGATGATGCACGCGCACGCAGCGAAGAATGAGCTGCTGCTTTGTCACTCAGATCGCCTCCCCAAATCGCCTCCTCTGCTTCACGCCGAACGAACAAGAGCTCCGTGTCCACAAGCTCCACTCTCACTTCCACTCCCATTCTCACCACCGCTGAAAGCGACGCGCTACAGTACCCAAGATGCCCCGTTGCCTTTTGGTCAACGATGATGGACCACCCTCATCGCACTCTCCCCACATTCTCGGCTTTCACGATGCTCTCGTAGAGGCTGGATGGGATGTGCGAGTGGTCATCCCTTCATCGCGTGAGTGAGATTCATCGTGAGCGGCATGTCGCTCCACCCCGCATCGCTGACGGCCACACCCACGCTCTCCTCTGGATCACTGCCGCTCTCAGAGAAGAGCTGGGGAGGCATGGCTGCGACATTGGCACCGGTCGCACTGTGGTAGTGAGTAGATCCAGCGTATTCAGCGCTTTTTCCTTGCTTTGCCTCCAGACATGCGCTAGCCTTCCTTCTCACCTCTGCTGCATCTCCCACCGTGCAGCTACTATCCGCTGCAGGGCAACTATTCCGGCAAGAACGCCGACACGGCCAATTGCTGGAGTCCTGTCAGGAGACCCAGGCGGCAAGGAGAGACGGCAGAGTGGGTGCTGTGCGATGGGGTGAGTGGGCAGCGTTCTGCGCAATCCAGTGCAGCAGCGCATTCGCACATCCATCATCTGCAGCTCATGTTCAGCTTCTTTCTACTCTACGGGGCCCACTTCTCAGAGCCCAACATCGTGCACGAACATCGGTTTGTTCAATAGCAGAGCACTGTTTCCAGACGATCCGCCGGTCCCAGACGGTAAGCCGGCATTCGATTTGGTCATTAGCGGACCCAATTTTGGTCGTAAGTCCAGCGCAGCTGGTAGCTTCGCAGCATTCGATCAGCGCTGACATCCTCTTCCCGCCACTTGACTGCATTTCAGGCAATACCGGTACGGCCTTTGCTCTTGCCTCTGGAACCGTCGGTGCCGCGTTGGCGGGTGCGCTAGCAGGCGTGAGATCCATCTCCCTGTCCTACGGCCACTTTACAAATCTGCCTCCCGCTTTAGAAAAGGCGCGGCAAAGCAATGTGGGCGGCTTGGATGCCAAGGAAGAGAGCCGAAGTGTCAGCAAGTTGGCTCATCACGCTGCATGTCGGATCGTCGAGCGCCTCTCTTCGACTTGGGAGCCAAATGTGGGAGTGTATGCGGTCAATCTTCCCCTGGGCTGGACGCTTCGAGAACCTACTGCAGTGTACACGACCATGTGGGATAGCATTTATGGTCAGGTCAGTGCGATTCGAGCTTGATGGAACAATGTGTTTGTGCGAGGCTTTCTGATCCGAATTGTCTCTCTTCGGTCGAACAGCTCTATCAACCATTTAAAGCGCAGCCCACAGCACAATCTGATTTGCCATCAACCAGTTCAAGTGCCCACACACCGTCTCATGCGCCCGCACCAGCATCCAAGGTCCACTTCTCACCCGTCATGACGAGCCTGTTGAATCCGCCATTGGAAGCATTGCCCGAAGGCACGGATATTTGTGAGTGTGCATACCCAATGCGGCCCTTCTATGCAATGGTCCCTGATCATTTTGAGGTCTCGCCATCACTCAAAGGGGCCTTGATGAATGGCTTGATAAGCGTCACGCGCCTCTCTCCCAGATTCATGGAGCCGACCTTGGTCGCGGAAGCCGCGTCAAACAGCAGCACCTTGGAGCCTGCCGACGAGTCACTTCGGATCGGCGCTCGATGGAGACTGTAAAAACCGCACAGGCTGCTCGACAAAACGAGTCGAGCTTGACATTGTTCGCTTGTGCGAAATTTGCAGCATCCTGATCCGCGAGCAGAAAGCACATCTCAATGATCTGCAGCGCATCATAGGCCAGTCTTGCATTTGAACGTTTGGGTATCAATTCTCTGCACGCCGAGATCACACGCATCGTGCGCCCTCGACGCTGATATGTTCAGGCGCCCAGGCCGAGCCATGCTTGCCAGGCAATGCCGTCGTCCGCTTCGAGTCGCTATTTGCAGGTGAAAGGCGAGGTCAAGTCAGCACGTGCCGCTTTCACAGCGCGTCTGGCCAAGAACACTTGGTAGCTCACCTCGACAATGCACACCATCCTTTGCGAACGATCCCTCTCGGGCGCGGCGAAGCTTGCAATACTCCAACTGCTCACGCTCGCGCCTCGCGGTCGTCCCGAAGAGGTCTCCTGAGGCGCTAGTGGAGCAGGGCTAGCAGATGGCAAAGAAGCGACCGAACCGTGCAAATCGTGCTCCTCTCCATGCCGTAGGCGAGCAAGCGGACTCCTCGGACTGACTCCTGCTCCGTGGGTAGAAGCCGCAAGTGTCGCTTCGATTGACGGACTGGTGGCTGCTTCTACATGACCTGCATCGTTGCGCTTTGCTCGTGAAAGTCGAGATGTAGCCAGGGGAGATCGATCAGGGCTAGGGACAGGTCGGAACGTGTCCTCTTCTGAGCTTGTAGGCACATGCCGAGAGCTCTTGCGAGCGCTGGAGCGTCCGCGGCTTGGTGACATCGACGCGCCGACAGCTCCAGTCAGTGCTTTTCGCAGAGTGGGCCTCTTCGCCTTGCGAGCTGCTTTGTCTCGCTCAGCAACGACGTCGATACCCAAAGAGCCTTCATCGTAGCTGCTCTCATTGCTGAGTCCTCTTTCATGACCAGGGCGTGGTACACGACCGGGCTGAGCGGTCCAACCGAACCCAGCACTGGCTTCTGGCAGCGACCGTGGTTGGGCACCAACTGCTGCGGCAGTCGAGGGCTCCGACCGGGAAGCGGTTGGAACATCTACCGCTTGTGCTTTGGCTGAGTCATCGAAAGCAGCTTGAGCAGGCGTGGGAGGTGCGATGATGACTTGGGCGTGCGTGACAGGCTGGAAAAGTGCCACCCTTGATCCGGGAGTGTCGGCAATTTGGGTAGGCGTCATTCGACGCTTCTCTTGCTTGACTACCTGCTTTTGACGAGCGCAAAGCTCCAAAGGGCCTGTGAAACGCGCATTTGCAGCAGTGAGCCTATGCGACGATGAGCGCATCGTGTGCCGACATACCTTCATCCTCGCTGCGCAGGCTTTGCAGCAAATTCCAGCCTTGCCCTCGCATCAAAGCCATCTGACGCTCAAACAGCTTGGCATCGAAATGTTCATCGCGCTGAAAGATGTCACGCAGACCACGCACAGTATGAAGCCACCATCGTGGCGACGAAAGCATTGGTATGAGACTAGCTCGCGTGGATGCCGAGAACGGCTGCGCGAGTGAGATGAAGTCAGTCGTTGCCTCCGATCCCTGGTGGCCGACCATACGGTTCCCTGGGCACTTACTCCGCCAATGAGGTCCACCGGTAGGTATAACCAGCCCATAGGATAGCTTCGGATTCCGACGGGGTGTTTGTGAGGGAATGCTAGGCTATTGTCGATCGCCCCCAGCGCAATACGTTGCTTCCCTTCTTCGTCTGTGTAGGGGTGAAGCATGAAGTTGTCGAGGCCTCTGTCGGTGTTGCGCTGAAGATAATCCAAGCAGACGAGCTGACGCGGTGGAAAAAGTACAGCGTCAGTAGGTGGAGGCTGAGGCCCCTGCACAGACCTGTACCCCTACTTACCTTTTCGAGCTCGAGCCTGAAGCTCTGCATATTGTCAGGGTTCCAAAGGAACTCATCATCCTCCGTAGTTGCTGTTCCCTCCCCACCTTCCATCGCACCCTCGTCTTCATCGTCTTCATCGTCCGGTTCGTAGCCCTGTCTGCATAGGAGCACATTCTTCAAGCTCACAACGCAGGTCCGCAACTTCTTCGATTGCCTCTTGCGCGCTTTGCTGTGAGCTCGCTGCTCGGCTTCCAAATCGTGTTCGAGTAGCGAGCGCGGTCTTGAGGGCCACGGATGGGCGCGCAGAAAATCAGAGGCATTGCGATAGCCAGGCAAGAATGTCTGCCAAGAGCCAAGCTGTCGAAGAAGCGCATTTGAAGAAGGTTAGAGCGTTCTCCCACGCGGGCGAGGTAGGTATTCTTGTGGGCACTTGCCTTCTGAGGGGGCCAGCGTCGTTCCCGATCCCACAACATGCGGTCTTTGAATTCGTAGTGAAAGCTCGGACTGCTGAGCTCAATCAGCTCTGTCCGAGGTACCAATCCAAGTTCCAAGCGGACGTCCAAGTAAGACGCCCCCACCTCTGAGAACGCCGAAAAATTAGGTATAAGGCTGTGCACGACGCGATGTGCGAACGTCAGAAGAACTTCAAAAGGTCGCTGATCATGAGTAGTGCAGCCTGACTCACCACGGTCGGCCCATCGCCCACCAGAGGTACTTCCTCAAGAACACGCGCTTGGGATTCAAGTTGCCGTACGGTTCTTCATCTTGAGGTTTGAAGACGGCTACAGTCTCCAGATTTTGGTGTAGGACTGTAGCCTCTTCTTCGTGCTCATGTCCGACATGGAGCTGAGCGCCTTGCGTCTCTACCGGTGCCCGCGCGAAATACGACCCGGACGAGCCGGTCGTGATCATCTTCGGGTAGATTCCTTGAGCGATCGCAGCTCGAACTCGATCCACATTGCTGTCGGCAGAGCGTAAATTGCTCAGCAAGCGTAATCTGCTCATGATCCGAGGACTCACAGATGTAGCGCCGTACCCATGGCGTCTTGTGCAGGCTTCTAGACGTTCGCAGAGAAGCGCATACATGTCGTCAGCATTCCTCCATCTGCGGAAAGAAGGGCGAGGACTCACGTGAGGTGGAGCGCTCCGAGCATCTCTCCAGTCCCCGTCCGCTGCAGCAGGAGCAAAGAGGCTGATGAGTAGTTGTGCCTCGTCTCCAGAACCTCCCTTTTTTGGCTTGGCAAGACGCGCCACCTTGTCCTTCCATCGTGTCCATCTCGCCTCGATGTCCTCTTGCAAGTGGGAAAGTGAGCCGATGGAGCCGGAATGAGAAGGCCGGCCAATCAGTGGGGTCCGCTCGCTCACGATGTGGCCTTCGTTACCTCCATTCGGGGCGTCTTGGTCTCCTGTGCCCCATGTCGAGGTGTGGTCTATGTGTGAGACCTCGACGCCGACATCGTTATGTGCAGGCGTGGCCATCGCGCACTTGTTCACTCTGAGGGGTCGACACGTTCTGCTTGGCCTTGCTGTAGCCAAGTCAACTCGAGGCTATACTGGGCGGGTATCAATGTGCGGAGATGACCAAGACTCGCTTGCCAGAGCGCAGTCGCGTGACCACTACGAGGGCAATCTTCTCTGAGAGTCATGAATCGGATCCAAGATCAGAAGATCGGGCGTGAAAAATGACCTTCGAAGGTGTAAGCAGCACAGCCGCACAATCACATAAAGCGCGTTCATTATGCGGAGCGCGGCACGCGCCGATCGAGGCCGTGGTAAGTCACATTTGAAATATTGCGAAAAGTGTTAATCGAAGGGTGGCTTGAGTATGTGATCCATATATATAATTACAGTGCCCCTTGTCTATTTTTCCGCCGCTGAGTCGAATCACTCACGTCGCGGGACACCATCGCGCGCAGCGCCAAGCCGAAAGGGATGAGAGGGGAGCAGGAGGTACTTGCTGCACGGGTGACGTGACTGACTTCTTATACGAGCAGCGACGAGTCGGCGGTCAAGATGCAGCTCACCCCTCCATTCTCAGTTTTGCCTCCTACCATCGCAAGCCACTGAGCGGTCCATCCTCCAACTGTCGAAGGCTCACAAGCTTGTTGTCGCTTTGACTTGACACTCTACATCTGCAAGATCTTCGCTTGGCACGCCGCAGAAAGCCCAGACGGTTCGCGAGGGTAATCAGCAAGACTCTTTTGCACAGTCGCAGGGGGCTTCGACGCGCAGCCCGATTACCTCAATAAAGCCGACTCGCTTGGGTCTCTGGTGCTTGCAGAAACGTATACGTCGAGAACGTCGCGGAGTACTTAACGACGAAGCTAAGCAAAGATGCAGCACGAGCTGCCGTACAACAGTGGCTATCCATCCACTTCGAGGCCAGCTGCTCCTCCTCCAGCTTACACGCGCTTTGTTCAGCGCATGAGCCTAAGACCAGTGCTACTCTTTACTACGCTGATAGGAGCGGTCTATCTGATCATCATTGCTGCGGGAGAGTTCAGAGCTGCGGGAGAGGATCATCTGCCAGGCAACCTCAAGACTGTCAATATCGTTCAAGGCGCGCTCTTTCTGGGCGCTGCTGGTATCGAGCTGTTTGGCTTCGTCGCCGCTTACTCGGTGAGTTATGATGACGTCCCATGTACGAGGGGCTGCTCAATACGAGTGGCTGTAAGCGCTCCGTGCTATCTCGAGCAGTGCGAGCAGTGAGCGCGACGCTCGTCAAGCTGCATACCTTCCTTGCACAGTAGACCCACTACAGCGCCCATTTCGCCCCTTCATTTGTCCGAGAGGCGAGGAGCTAAGATTTACTTTTTGCTCTCCCACAATGCCTTTCTAGATACGTCTACCTCTTGCTCGCACTTATTCCTTGCTTTCTGTGGCAGGAGTTGCTGCGATCGCCGCTGCGCAGGTGAGATGTGCCGTTGGCTCCAAGCATGCTGCTCGTAATTGATGGGAGGATCTATCTTCTCTGCTCAGCTTCTAGGCATTGTGACCCACTGGACCTCGAAAGCCGCCATCATTGACTCGTGTACGACGCGCAACACTGGCCGCTCGCAGCCCAGCGACTCGTACTGGATATGGGAATTCAACGATACGGACAATGGCGCTCCACTGACGGATGTTCAAGCACGAAGCTACTGTGAAAGGCGCTGGAACAGCCAATCAGCACCTCTGATTATCGCTTTCGTCCTCGTCTTGCTCTTGGGTCTCTTGTTGGTGTTCTTCAGCTTCGCATTCGTGCGTCAGATTTCTGATCCCAGTGCTGCTTACGTGGGGCGCGGGCGCACCCAAGTAGCACCCTCAGCAACGCACTACCAGCAATCCGCACCTTACGATGGCTATGCACAAGGCCCCTATTCGTACCCTCCCGGAGCGGGCGCACCTGGCGTGTATCAACCTCCAGCAGGAGCCCCTCCAGGATATGGCGGACGCCAAAGCGAGGATTGGGAAGATGACTACAAAACACCAGGAGGCCCGCACGATACGTATGCGGAGGGACACGACAATCCGTATGGTGATAATCAAGCGGTCGGTAGGCCCGGCAGCAGCAGGGGTGCCTATACATACGGCGACGATGAGCGCCACAAGTCGGACGATACACTGCGCGGTCAAGATGAGCCAAAGGGGCAGCAGACGTCGGGCACGAGGGTCAGTGATGCGCCTCCTAGAATCTGAGCATGGTCTGCCGGTAAGCGCATGCTCGGCGAGTGCCGAGGCTTCTTTCCTCCGTCCATCACATCGGGATGAAGTTGTTGTTCACCTTGGCGAATCGCTCTTTTACTTCACGTCACCTGATATCCCCACTACGATTCCGACTCAAGACTCTGAATGGTCTTCGCACAGTGCGCCCAAGAATCAAAGCTATGTATCTCCGTTCGCAGCGTCGCATTGCTGTAAGATGCTGCTTGAAGTTGCGCTGCAGAATTCAAGCTCAAAGACGTGCTGTCAAGCGGGCAAGGCTGATAAAGCACATTTGGAGGAGGAGCATTGTCGGATCTTATGATCGGCTCATTCTGACACAAATTTCGTAATTAGCAGAAGTGTGATTGAAGTCAGAAGGTAGGGTCGGGATCGACTTGAATCCAATAGTGTACACGTAACGAATGGCGCCAGTCTCTGTATAGAGGGCTAGCCCGTCCGTAATGCTGGTCAAGGTCCTAGATACCAAGGTCTCACATACTAGCGCTGAATGGAAGTGCTCGAGGTGGGTGCGTTATTGAAGGTTGCATGCGCATGCGCGACCCTTCAGGCGCTCGCTTCAGAGTCTGCACGAGCAATGATGGTAGCAATAGGCTCAGTGTGATGCTTCCCCACAGAGCGCTCGTGAACCTTGCGATGCCTCGATAACTGGTCTGGTCTGCTAAACGCCTTGTTACAGCCAGGCATCGTGCAAGGAAAGGGCTTCTCCCCAGTGTGCACCCGCAAGTGTTTGCTCAAATTGCTTGACTCGGCAAATCCCTTTCCGCACACTGAGCATTTGAAGGGCTTCTCGCCAGTATGCGTCCTGGCGTGGATCGTGAGACTGCCTGCAACAGCAAAGCGCTTGTTACAGCCTGGATGGGTGCAGACGTACGGCTTCTCGCGAGTGTGGGTGCGCATGTGCTGATGAAGTGTATTTTGCTCAGAGAATTGCTTTCCGCATTCCTTGCACTTGAAAGGCTTGTGTCCCGTGTGCACCTGCAGATGCCGCATGACTTTCTGACGCTGAGAAAAGCTTTGTCCGTTTCCTGCTCGCTCGCAGCCCTCCCACTCGCATCGGTACTCCTTCTGACCGTGGCCAATGTGCTGAGAGCTCAGATGCTCGGTCAGAGCAGGTAATGACTCAAATTGGACGCCACACCCAACCCATCCGCAAATGTGTGGGCCCTCCGAGATCGAGGACTGTCTGGAGTGGCTGGCGGAAAAAGCGGTCGGGCTTGCTCGACTTGCATCAAGATCGAAGCTTACCGGTCGATGCGCAAAAGGCTTTCGGCGAAGCGTTGAGAAATCCTCTTGAGCCTTTATGTTCTGGCTATGGCCTGAGCGCTGCCCTGCTGCGAGGAGTGCAGCGGCAGCACTGTGGACCTGTAAGTCCAGATTACTTGAAGACCAGCTCGTGTGGTCGACTCGTCGACGTTTTCCCGCTCGAGGAGGAGATTCAGGCACGTGCGCAAAGCTGCCACCGTACCTGCTCGAGGCATGGTTTTCGTCGCGATGAGGGTCATTTGCGCCCAGCTCAAATTCGGACCCGAGAATGGATGAAAGCAGAGCTGCGGCATCTTTTGCATCACTCGTTTGCGGCGGGAGTCGAAGGTGTTCAGTGAGTAGATGCTGGAATACGCCAGCTTCCCCTTTCAACTGATGCAATGCACTAATATTTGCTGGACTGCTGCTGCAGGAGTCCCACAGACAGGCACTTGCTGCATGAATCGGCTGGTGAAGCGCTGGTCCAGAGGTGGCCAGACTGGAACCGTAGTAGTCCTGGTGTACCTGGTCATTGTGCATCGTGCCTGCATCGAACATCATCTTTTGATCCCGATCCTCGTCCGCTCGAGGCCCAGCAAGGTGAGCTTCGTGGAGGTGAGCTACAAGCGCGGTCGCATTCTCGCAGACCTGGCCGCAACCCGCCCATTGGCAGACATGAACAGAGGACGTGGACGAGGCGTGGACCCACTGAGCGGGAGCCGAGTCTTGCTGTGAAGGACGTCGAGAGTGGCTAACCGAGCTCGGAGTAGACACGTAGTGAATGGTCTGGTTCTCTGGAGAAGACCATTCGCGAGGAACAATGGGCCAGCCTTGGCTTGAGCTGGGTCTGGCGCTGCCACCCGAGACAGCAGGGAACATGAAGTGGCCTCCATGATTGTGCGTATGATCCATGTGGCAGCCGGAAGGGTCACAAATTGTCAAAGCTGGAGCAAGACAGAGGCCCTCGGCATCATGTGCGTGCGGTGGACGCTCACTGCATGCCGTGTGAAGCCCATCGCGACTGCCAGGAAGCTGATTGAAAGGCCTGGGAGACGATCGAGCCGATGCAATCGGCGTTGAGAGGCTAGAGAACCTGGAGTGGCCAGAAAGGAATGCAGAACGCATCGTCGTGTCGTGGAATGGCCTCTTGATTGATCGCCCCTCATGAGACATCTGCCCAGCCATATGCGCCGTCCAGTCAACCTCGCCGGAATGAGGTGTACTCGTCTCGCTGAGCCCGCTTGTCAAGCTCACCGTGCTGGCGGACAAACTTGGTGCAGGCGACTGGAAACTGAGAGTAGATGCGCCGGTAGAAGACCGGGGCCGAGTGTGGCTAGCTGAATGAGAGTGCATGGCAGCGAGCCGACCCTCACGAGCAGCCCATGCTGATGCTTGCGACAGTGGCGATAATGGAGCAGCTGAGCTCGCGGCGTTATCCCAAGGACTCGTGGCCGTAGACATAGAGGTAGATGCACCAGGAGTAGACCCGCACAGAGCGACTGAAGAGCATCCTGCTCCACAAGGCACTGAGGCGGCGGATTGATCATAGCGCGCACCCGAGCAGTGATCTGCACCCGAGTGTTCGGGATTGGAGGAATCCGCACAACAGCAGCATTCGAGCTAGACCGCCAAAGGTGCGACAATGTGTCAGTAGTGAGAAGCGGTGTTGTCGTGCTCTGTCGTTACAAGCATACTCACCAACTCTTGGAAGGATTCGAAGACGCCTCTGCTATCATCGGTGCTGCACGTCATCAAAGGGCGACCAGCGCACGTCGTGGATGCTTCGTGGGTGTGCGGTGCAACTAGCGTTTTGCAATCCTCCTCCGTCGATGTGGGTACGTAGCCATCGCAGACGGTGACACAGCCAGACCCCGCAGCTGTGCTGCATGTCGGTTCTACGCAAATGTTGCTCTCGCAAATGTCGCCTTCGCACGGAATATCGGTGCAAGCGTTGTGAGCTGCCAACGTGCCGGGCAGCGCGCAAGCGGGATCTGGGCAAGGTGAGCGCGACAGGTCACTGGACGGGAATGTGTGTGGCTCCTTGCATGGCGTTACTGGACAAGCATCGTCGCAGCAGCTGTCGGCAGGAAGCGTAGTTGCAAGGTCGCGGCAGCACTCATCGATGATGGCTGAAGTGCGCCCGTCTGAGTCGGTTGTTGAACATTTTCCCGGGCACGCTGACCGGTGGCTGGAGATTTCGATGCTTGGCGCGATTGCGGTCACAGGATCGACGCAGTCTGGGCAGTCCTCAGAGGGTAGAGCGGGTAGACGAGGAGAACAGCACCATGCATCAAGTTCCTTGCTCACTATCCCCGGCTCGGATCGGTCCATGACTGGTGTGGAGGTCGCAGCAAGCATGACAGCGTGTCCGTGGCCAAGAGCTGAGGCAGAGCTGTAGGGCGTGGGAAGCGCTCCCGGGATCTGGATGGTGGCGAATGGGTAGAAACGTCGACGCCCGCTGGGACTGAGGTAGGTGCAGCGAGCAGTCGCGGCTGTATGCGTCTGCGGGAGTGAGAGGTGAGGTATGGAGGTGTGCCTTGCTCGATGCTTGGCTGCGCGCGAAAAGCAATGGAGACACTCGAGCTTTTGAGAGAGTCGTCTGAATAAAAGTCTGGTGACGGCACTCGGATCTTTTTGTAGGCTCCGGACCAATGTCTTTGATGGACGCACGGGCAGCGAACGTGCTTTGTCTTCAGCACGAGCAGCTGCCGGCCCTGCTTCCTGAGCCAGAAAATCAGCCTTGCTCTGACGCTTCTCGAGGCGCAGCCGTGGACAAAATGTGAGACGATCCTATCGTCGGCGGCGACGTCTTTGATATGGAAAGCTCGGTGCGGCGAGTGATTGCTTGTCTGATAGCTCGCGATCCGTCAGTGATGCTGCTGCTGGATGCTGCTAGTATAGCGAGAAGGGCGCAAGAAGTGCCAGGGATCGGCGTTGGCTGGAGTGACGCAGCCCCGACACGAGCACCGGCGTCAGATTGTCTTGAAGATTGGCCTGAAATGTGCGGGACTTGTGGAATCAGCACGCGAATAGCGTGAGAGGCGGGTCGGTCTGCGCAAATAAGTTGCAAGGGGCTCGCTGTGAAGGGGCTCGTCGTGTCGCTGCTGAGCGCGCGGTGAGCGCATCCAGTCGCGCGCAGTGGAGCCAGAATTGAATGATTGAGCGAGTGGCCGGGAAAGCGGAAATCAAGGTTGCAACACTTCAGCAAACATTGATCTTTCTTTGCTCCGGCCGAAGCCTTTCTTCTTGGACCGCAGACGATATTGTTTGCGCGGGGAGGGATGCAAGAAGCGAAGGGAGACTGCGAAAATTGTTCCTGCGGCGATGCAAGGCAAGCATATTTGGCGATAGACGAAACAGCGACCTCATCGGTGCATGGGTTGCGCACATGCGGAAAGCACGTGACTGTGTGGGTTTGGGCGTGCGCGACTCTTGGATCTGGATGTGTCTTTGAAAGCGGAATTTTTGTATCCCACGTTCATCGGGACTTGTTGTCTAGTAGCAATCTTGAATCTCCTTTATTTTAGATCGAAGCTCTGGAATTTCACGCCCATGAGCACGTACAAATCGTCATTCAATCGAACCAAAAGCAAGCTATTCTTGATTGCAGAGCCCTTAAACAGACTGAAAGGGTCAGATATCAAATGTTCTCATTCTTGATTGAATCAAGAATAGCTCTGCTTTTTAGCTCTTCGTGATACATGTTGTTCTCGATTCTTTCGCGGGTGCTCACATCCCGCCTCTCTCACGACTGCACTCGGACTGCCTCTCCTGTCTACGTGCTTGAATGGGCAGTCGCCTGCGTTTACCATCACGCGCAACAATACAGGTCGTACTCGCCTGTGAGCCCTTGAGCAATCTGATCGCAACGGCCCAGCCACCATAGCATGTGATGACTCCGATGCATCAGAAGGGATGCACGGAGAAGTCCAATTTAAAGATTGAAACATCTGCACTCTCCGTTCTGAGCTGTGTCGACTCCGCTCTACTTGCTGTAATTCGACTGCCCGCAGCCAAGTACATACAGAATCACATTCGCGCCTACGAGTATAGTAGTGCATCAAGGAAATGCATCTGATGCAGCTATGCTAGAAGGAGTACTGTAGCATGTAATGCGTAGCCAAGCCATAAACCCCACAGCAGCCCCGCAATCAGAAATGAGTACCGAGAAGAGCGGTGGCTGCCGGCGCTGACGAGCCACATCACCTGTGATCTCTATCTACCCCATCACACCGAGGGGTGGACTTCATTCTTCTCATCATCCCACGAAAATGAAGAAGTTCAAATTGACGTTGGCGTGATGGTCCCCGTCGCGGCAGGATGCGGCGCGGCGTTGCTAATCAAAAGCGCAGACTCGGGAGCAGAAAGCTTAGGAGTGAGGACGACGCACTCCTGACTCGACCGCGACCGTTGATGTCGACTCGCAGTCATGAGTCTTCAATCGCAACTCACGAAAGACGTCTGCATGTACGACGCAGATTCGTCCACGAGATGATGAGGATCAGAAGCCAGCGAAATGGCCTCACAGTCAAGGCCAGTCAAGCGCGACAGGACTGAGAGCGGCATGTCTGAACATGGTACGGCGGCTTCATTGGGCTCTCAAGTAATCGGACACCGCGCCATTGCCGGATAAGAATCGTTGGATGAGATGAGTGATGCATGGCGTGCGTGGCCTTTCCCCGCGAGGCCGCCAGGGAATGATTTTGGCTTGCGCCCTCAATCAAATGAAGTAGCAAGGCGGACGCCGAGTCATGACCGTTCGATTGGCTGGCGATTCTTGATTGGTGATTGTGATGGCTTTTCATCTGTTCGCTCAAATGACTGCGGCCAGCCGTGTGTCACTAATGACGGTGCTCATCAGCAGGCGCCGGGCTGAATTCTGATTCATAATTCGGACTGTGATGACCCTCGTAGCCTTCGCTGCACACGACATCATGAGCCCCGAGTTGTGCGATTGATTCGACTATGCGCGTTTCACGGTGGACCTTTGTTGTATCAGACTACGGCGGGATTTCGGTTATGGCCATTCGTGACTAGCTGTAGGCAGACATCCACCGCATCCATCAGAGTCAGAGTCTATGTTCAAGCGCCACTCCCTGGCCTCGCTTGCCAGCATAGAGTAGTAGTGATTCGTGATTCAATCGCGATACAGCAGCGAGCGGCATCTTGCAGGCGCGCTTGCCAACGTCGGTTCAGCGGCGAGTCATGCAATATCAGCAGCACAAACAGCTGCCCATTCATATTGCGCCCCCGCGGCGTTCAGGCAGGCGCGTGTCTCATCACGCGGCCGCGAAGGCGCGAACAACTCGATCGAAAGCGCGCGCGCACGAGCCAAATTCATCAAAAACGATTTGTGCAATTTAAGCTTTCAAGCCGCTTAATTCAAGATTGCGCCTGTGCTGATGGCATGCATGGCTGATCACGTTCCACGCCAGAGCGAGAGAGTCACGAGTACCAAACAGCCGGCTTGAGCGAGGCAAACTCAAACTGCTGCTGGGCCAGCCCACCGGTTCGTCGGAATCAGTCACAATCAACAGCATCCTTCTCGTCAGCTCATCAGAATCAGACTCTTCCCGACTCTCCAGCGTCTGGTCTCATCGAGCAACTTAGCCCAGCAGGGCGCAGCGCAATCATCTCCGCCGCTCGTAAAGTATCGTGCCCACCACACATGCAGGAGTTGTGCTTCGCAAGCACTCGACCCCTTTTCAATCATCACGATCGAGCGCCATGCCAGATGGCAGTCAGCAAGTCTCGCAGCGCCTCACGGCGCAGTTGACGGATGATGCACCACGTCAACATCTGGATCAAGCCGTGCGGGCTGCTGCGCCAGCTGATGCCGCGTCATTGTCAAGCGAGCGCAAATTGCCACTCATGAGGCGCTCTCGTCTCGCGGAGCGCATTGCGGCGGGCGAAACATTGGTCCTTCACGCGGACAGGATATACAAGCTGGATGCATGGTTGTCCAGGCATCCTGGTGGAGAGCTGGCCATCCTGCACTTTGTTGGCAGAGACGCGCACGACGAGATAGAGGCGTACCACAGCGACGGGACGCTTCGCCGCATGAAGAACTTTGTCATCGCCAGATTGGACCCTCGAGACGCTCCCAAGGACGTGGGTTACAAGCCACTAACTCCGCCAGTGCAGCTTGGATATAGGTCCGGCAAGCTGGATCACCCTGATGCGCAGTGGACAGCCTGGCAACAGGCCCAGGGAGGTCTCGATGGTCGATCGGAGGAGTACGAAGTGGAAGATCTGCTCTCCGAAGCCAACGCTGCTGGCATGGCGACCACCTCTGAAAAGCCCGCATCAGAGCGAGCAAACGCGCAGTCCAGTCGACCACAGGGCTTTCCTCTCCCTGTGGCGTTGCTAGAGCCTCCCGTTCCACCAGACGGCATCGACCCGGCAGAAGAGCGTGCGATTAGCATGGCCTATCGAGAGATGCACGAGCAGGTCAAAGTCGCGGGGCTCTACACCCTTCGCCCAATCGGATATGCTAGAGAGCTTGCAAGGTACATGCTGCTGTTCGCATCTTTTGCGTATTGCTACGCGCAAGGGCATTTCTTGCTATCCTCGCTTCTGTTGGGCCTGTTTTGGCACCAAGTCACGTTCTCGGCACACGACGCAGGACACACTGGTATCACGGGTGTCCACGCAATCGATCGTGCGATCGGCATTTTCATCGCTTCGCCCATCGGAGGGCTGAGCATCGGTTGGTGGTGCGACAATCACGATGTACACCATCTTGTGACCAATCATCCAGAGCATGACCCAGACATCCAACACATGCCATTTTTTGCGATATCGCCAAAGTTTCTCGTCGAAAAGTCTCCCTCTAGCAATCATGTCTCGGGATCCGCGGAAGCAGAGCAGACCCGCAGCGAAGAGGTCAAGGCGCCGTATGGCCTTTGGAGCAGCTACTACCGCCGCGTCCTCCTCTTCGACGCCCCGTCGCGCTTCTTTTTGCGACACCAACACGCGCTGTACTACATTGTCATGTCCTTGGGTCGCTTCAATCTCTACGCCAACTCCTACGGCTTCCTAGCCAAGACGGCTCGCTTCAACGACATTTGGTGGTGGGCTGAAGTGTCTGGAGTTGGATTCTTCTGGGCATGGTTTGTCGCCCTGCTGCATGGTTGTCCAGATTGGAAGACGAGAATTGGGTACCTGCTCATCTCACACATCGCCACCTCTCCGTTGCATGTCCAAATCGTCCTCTCTCACTTCGCTCAGTCCAGCGATGACCTGGGTCTGTACGAGTCTTTCCCATCTAGACAAGTCCGCACCACCATGGATGTCAGTTGTCCCCCGCAGCTCGACTTCCTGCACGGAGGTTTGCACATGCAAGTCTCTCATCACCTCTTTCCCCGCATCCCTAGGCACAACCTCAGAGAGGTGCGCGACCGGTTCGTACGCCCCTTTTGCGAAAAGCATGGACTTCGCTACACCGAATACGGCTTTGTCGAGGGCAATGGCCTCGTGCGCGATACTCTCCGGAATGTTGCGGGACAGGTCAAGCTGCTCGGCAAAGTAGCCAAGGCACAGGCTCGAGGGGAATTGCACTAGTCGACTTGGCGCGTCTGCACGCTTCAATGCAATCGTCGCGCTTCACGCACTTGTACTTGCGTAATTACATGCTGCGTCGTAGATTATGTTGCCATGTCTAGCCCACGGATCACACCATGCTTTGCCTTGTTCTGGGAATCAAAGAAGGCGCTGCTGGCCTTGCGGTGTGTCTGCTTCTGGTGCACGCCTACTCTGGCGCCGCGAAAGGGCTGCGCGCATCAGACGAAAAGATTATTTGAGTCAGCTCCAATGACTTGCGACGAGCGTGCGCGGTGCACTGTGAATGCCACGACACGCCAGTAGTTCCTTTCACTCACTTGGAGATCTGTTCGAAGCCATCTGCAGGGTTGATGACTATCAAAGCTGTACCTCTCAGCACCGCTAAGCCCAGCGCTCGAGTTTGTTCCGTCGCTTCCCCGCTCTCGGGGTCTGTGTATGGCAGCCAGGAGAACGTGTCTGTCAGCGCGGTTGGCACACAACTCGACACTGTGACGGCGTACTGCCTCACCAATGATGTACTCCTCCACTTCGTCCATCACCAAATTCAAAAGCTGATCGTATCCCTTCAACACGCCAATGACTGAATCAAAGGAAAACATCAAGGATGGTGTACAGCCTTCAGTTTTCCTGTCTCTCCATCTTCAAAAGTCGTGTCGACTCTACGTGTGCTCACCAGTACGACCTCCCGTGAATTTTACCCGGATCCTCTTATCGACGTATTTCGCCAAGTCCAGGATAGCCTCTCTCTTCGGTCTTTCAGGTCCAGAGACTGCGGAGGCACCCGCAGCGCCCGATCCTGATGCACCACCTCGTCCACCGCCTCTTCCAGCGCCGCCTCCCGCCCGACCGCCTCTGCTACCGCCACCTCGGCCTCCCACACGCGATCCCTGTTGAGCGGTGCGTTGTGAGCGAGCTAAAGAAGGGCGCGGATGGCTTGTGAGTTTCTGTGCACTTACACCTCGATCTGCCATTCCCTTTCAGTTCGCCTGATGCAGATGCAGTCTGAGAATTCGCGAGTGAAGATGCGATGCTTGACGAGACACAGTATCGATGGCGATCTTCTGCTTGGGTGTATGCGCAGTGATTGGTGCGGACAAGTAGTGGCAGAGCGATGACCGTTGTTTGTGTTCCGTGTCACGACCACTGGCTGATGAGAATTCGCTCTGGCTCAGCGTCTCTGCGATGTTGTAGTGATGCGTGAAATCTGCGATGAGCGAAGAGAGCGATGTGATCAAATCACACTTCAGAATCGCGCATGTCTCAATCATGAATCACGAATCACGAATGTGAATGGACATCGCCCAGCGGGGATCGAGAAGTGAGGAGAGGATGTGGTTATTCAAGGCGGCATTAAGTGGGACGCACAAGGCGGGGCATGCGTTCCTTCTTATGCACACGCACATGCATGTATTCACGATTCCACGTGCTGGCGCCCGTGCGCGGCAGCTCGAGTGACCTCGGCCACGGCAGCAAGTGTGCTGCTTGTTGTACGCGCGACTGAGCCCGCCCACAGCCAGCACGCACACCTTATTCTGGTTCGCGCATGTTGGTCCAGCAGGTGACTGACTATGCAACGTCACACCAAGCACGACTCTGGCTGTGCAGACCTTCCATCCATTCCTCATTTGCCCTTGCTTCACGGCACCGCCCACATCCGACTGCACAAGCTTTCCAGCAGCCGGTGTAGCATCAGCTGTCGAGCGTACTGGGGGCTTGCAACCGGAATTGCTTTGAGGTCTTTGTTTGCAGCTCACACACGAGCTCGTAGAAGCTAAATACTGGCGTAAACCCAGTTAGAGCGGCATCATGGTGCGTGCACAGGTAACATACCGTTTGCCGAGCCGAGCTCACGAATCCCTCTGAACTTTGCTTCCCAGGTGGTCCTCGCAGCTTCGATTACGACGCGGGGCGGCAAGCGTAAGTCACCAAAGACGCGGCTGCTCCAACGGAGACATCGAGGGCATTGCTGATTCCCTCGAGCTTGTGCATTGATCCGCCTTTCAGCTGTTCTATCGCGTCAATTCTGCGAAATGCCTCGTTCACGAGTGGAAGCGCTATTGGCCAGCTTTCCCAAGCTGATCTCAGCTGGTGCGCAGCATACATCCGTCGAGACAGATGCGGTGCGCTACGTCTATCAACCGCTTGAAGACCTCTACATGATCCTTATTACCACCAAATCCTCCAACATTCTTCAAGACATCGACTCCCTTCATCTCTTTGCAAGGACCGTGGCAGACATATGCAGAGGGCACGACGAGCGCGATATCCTCCGGAATTCATTCGAGCTACTCGGGGCATTTGATGAGATCGTCAGCCTGGGCTACCGCGAGAATGTGAGCTTGGCTCAAATCAGGTCGATCATGGAGATGGAATCCCATGAGGAGAAGATCCAAGAAATCATTGAGAGAGTGAGTCGCACAGATTGGGCGGGCACAGGGCGCTGCTCAGCTGGCACCTGGCCAAAAGCGCAAATGTGAATGTAAAGTGGCTGATCACTTGAACAAACTCACAGAACAAAGAGATGGAAGCGAAGGAAGAGCTGAAACGCAGGGCAAAGCAGCTCGAACTTCAACGGAGGGAGGCTACGAGGCGCGGAGGGTCAGGTGGCTTTGGAGGAAACATTGGCGGCTATCAAGGCGTGTCTGGGCGCTTCGATGCTGCTCCAGTCCAGACCGCGCCGATAGTGCGGGACACTGGCGCAACGTGAGACATGCCAAGATCCTATGAACAGTGCTCTGCTGGACCTCGCTGACTACTTGACCCCTTAACGCTCAGTCCGTCCGTACCTTCAGCCAAGCCATTCAAGTCAAAAGGCATGCAGCTCGGAAAGAAGAAGCCAGATCTCCTTGGTGCGATCGGCGTGGATGCGTCCGAGGCTGGCCGAGATGTGGAAAGCGCACAGCCCTTGCTTCCAGCTGCCGCCAGCGCAGCTGCTGCACCGACACGCGCTGTCGCAGCAGCCAGCGATCCGCTGGATCTGCTCCCACCAGTGGTACAAGAGAGGTGAGTGACGCCGAGGTCCTCGTTTGATCACCTGTTCGAAGGCTGACTTCACGACCTCTGATTAGTGTCCACCTGGTTGTCAAGGAGCGAGTGTCAATGGAAGCCACTCGGGACGGCTCACTCTCCTCACTGGAGCTCAAAGGAGATCTGGAGCTTCGCGTCACGGATCCTTCTCTAGCAAAACTCAGGTTGCAAATTGCGCCCGCGTCACCATCTGCGTTGTTGGCAGAGGAAGGACTTTCATACAAGACGCACCCGCACGTTGACAAAAAGGCGTGGTCAGACTCTCGTATCATCGCACTGCGCGACGTGAGCAAGCCTTTCCCAGTCAGGCAGAATCTGGGTGTTCTGCGCTGGCGAGCGACTACCAAGGATGAGACTGCCGTCCCTCTCAGCATCAACTGCTGGCCATCACCCGCTGGTGATGGAAGTGGTGCGTGCGACGTCACAATCGAGTACGAGCTCGAAGCAACACAACTAGCATTGTCTCACGTCGTGCTGAGTGTCCCGCTGCCGGACGGCGTGCAACCTTCCAGCATTGAGGCTGCGGAAGGAGCGCACGAGGTCGTAGACGATGGCACGCAGACGGTGTTGCAGTGGAGACTGGACGAAGTTTCGAGTGACGTGGCGACTAGCGGTCAGTTGGAATTCAGCGTCACGGAAGGCGCGGAAGATGTTGGCATCTTCTTCCCCGTGCGCGTCGACTTCGTGTCCCAGAAGACGATGGCAGAAGTACAGGTGAGTGATCGCATGCGCTTCAAGCTCATGAATAGTCGAGCCTAAGTCATCGCCATCCCGACCGCTCTGTGTAGGTGGACTCGATCGTCTCCGCAGAGTCAGGCATCGAAGTGGCCTTCTCGAGCCAGACAGTGCTCAGCGCCGAGAACTATCTCGTCGTATGAAGCGCTTACCGCCAACACCCTCTCGACAAGTCGGAGAGCTTGCTGACAGCAAAATGCGAAGGGTCGTTGTTTTGCGGATTTGCAAGACGCGAGCGGCTGCCCCTCTGCTTCTTTGTACATCTACTCGCAAATCGATGAAGAGAATGAACAATTCGAGAAGAGATCACGAAACTTTGCACGGACACTTTGCTTGGCCGATCACCAAGCTCGAGCTCGGTTGGCTTTTTGCCTTGTGATGAACGTGACCAATCAAATGCTCGAGTGTTTCACTTCTTGTGCAATCGCAAGATTTTTTGGCCGCCGGCGCAGCCTTGAACCACGCGGTCGGACACAGGATCGAAGTTGTCTGGTAGCCAGACATGTGGGATTCCGGTGTAGAAGAGAAAGAAAAGATCCGCAAATCCCTTTCAGATTGCCTGATGCCTCCCATTCAAGATTTGCTTCTTCAATTTACTACTACTTGTACTCGAGACTACTTCGCAATCGGGAAGCGCACGTGACACGCGGCATGCTCAAAGGACAATCAAGAATCAGGCGAGACCCATGGACCGAAACTACAAAGGTAAGCTCAGAGATGGGAATGCAGCGGTTCGCGCTGTGGCTGAACAGCAAAAATGCATTGCTAGATCAGTCATTTTGGGGGAAGGGGGCGGGAGAAAGTGATCTGCTTCTTGCTTTTGTACAAGTGCTTCGCCATGCACTCGTGAATGCTCGCTGCACGCGTCAGTGGTCCGGCGCAATGAGGCGAGGGGCATGGCTAGCCCATTTGGCTCGTCGAAGTGCATGTGATCCACGGAGAACAATAGCATCTAGCCGAGCGGGGAATGCGTTTGGGACAACCAGCATCGAAATTACTATTGCTTCTTTGACTTGCAGGGTTGAAGAGGAGTCTTGTGTGGGGAGATGTCGGGTTGGAGAGGCAGTCGTGCGCATATTTAGGTGGTGACCTTGTAGGAGACGGCCTGTTCCTCGCCCATAGCGCTGACGATGGTCACGGCCAGGTCCTTGCCTTCCTCGAAACCGGCAGTGATCTCGTCTCCGATGGCACCCTCGGGTACCTTGACGTCATCCTTGGAGCCTCCGTCACCAGTCATGAGGTTGAGGAAGCCATCGTCTGCATGTCACGAGAACAAAGAATTCAGTCTTCTGAGCGGAGCATGCAGCGCCGCACATCGTGCAGCTCGGGCAGCACCCCGCGCCTGAACATGCCCCGTTGCGAGCTTTTGCAGCCAACTACCCATTGATCCACCGCATCACTCACCAATGTTTACCAGAGTGTATTCCTGACGACCGACGTTAGGGACGTCCATGTTGTGGGTCGAGGGCGAAATGTCTTCGTACTTGCGGCCAGTGAAGATGTCCGTGGCGACAAGGTGGACCTTGGCGTGACCGTGCTTCCCGGTCTTGGAAGTAGACATGTCAATGATCTGCATGACAGGGTGAAGAGCGAAGGTTCAGCATGTCCCAAACCGGTGCATCTCGAGGGCTCGTTCGGAAGGTGCAGCGGTTGAGGCCCAGTCGCATTCGCTGGTCGTGCATGAAACGACGCAAGCACCAGCATACGCAAGAGAGAAGGAGCGCGAGCTGTTTGGAATCGCATGGTCCTCGTCGTGCCTCAAGACCCCTTCTCCTCCCTGAAACGCGCAATGCCAATGTTCAAGTGGAGAGGCCTCTCGCGATCGCCAAGTCCAGCAGCGCTCTCTCCCTGGAGGGTGCGCCAGCACGACTGCGCTGAGAGAGGGCACGAAGCAGAGGTAGACGACGACCCGAGCTAGCCCCGCGCGAGTAGAAAGTGGGGGACACTCACCTTGCAAGGACGTCCCTTGATGACGACGTGACCATTCTTACGCAGGGCAGAGCACTGCATAGGGAAGGTCAGAGACGCACCGGCGTGGGCGGTCTCGAAGTTCTGGTTGTGAGCCTCATCGTCAGACTGCGGTGGTGTGGCGGGGAGAGGGCGGAGCGTGGGGACGCAGGGTCAGCGGGATGACGCAAATCGGATGGCTGCAAACTACGCTTCAAGCAGGCAAGCTGGGAGGGGAAAGAGAAATTTGCAAATGTTGAGAGCCTGGTGCCACTCACCATGTTGGGCAGCTTGTTTGGGCGGAGAAGAGAGATTCGGCGTTTGTGTGATGGTCGCGTGAAGAGGTGCTTGCGGTCAAAAGGGCTATACAGGGCAGGGTAGACGAGCGAAGAAGTGCAAAGCTGCTTTGAATGAAATGCGCGAAGCTTTTTGATTCGCCTCGTTTGCCTCGCACGCACGGCGCTGCTCTGTCTCTTTGCAGCAGCAGCAGCAGCTTCTGCGTGCCCAGCAGGCAGCCATATCAAGTTTAGTACGCACAACTGCGCCCGTTCCGCCGTCTGCACACTTTTGCGCGTGTGACCAGCAGCAGCAGCAGCAGTCACAACAGCGTGCTAAGCGGCCCCCCCCTTCTCCAGCCCGCCACTCACGACTCATGGTTTGTGACTCCGTGACTGCAGTCACTGAGTCGCGACTCGCGAGGCGTGAGTTTCCTCCGCGCCGCGCTGCAAGCGAGCTGCAGCATGGATGCGCTGCTGCTATATGGGCACTGAGCACGACCGCGGCCACAGCAGCAGCCAGAGGCCGTGCATGCATGCAGCAGCAGCAGCAGTCAAGAAAGGGTGCGCACGTATGTGGTCCGGCCGCGCGCTCCATCAGGATTCGCCACGTGTTGCGTTCTTGCTGTGTGCAGCCGCGCGCACAATCCTGGGCCGCCGACACGCGCTGCTTCCGGTCGCAAGCAGCAGCATTCCACCAGCGAGCGCAAATCGTCTCTGCATGCTCCCGCGACACGACACGGCTCAGGCGCCCCACCGTGCAGCCAAGCCTGCATCATCATGTGCTGGCTGCGTGGCTACCCAGCACGCGGCAACCATAAGCAACAAGCCGCGCGGGCGCCCGTTCGAATTTGAAGCACGTGCAAACTTTTCCCTCCCGCGCCAACCACCGCGCCCTGCCACTCACGCCCACCACATTCACCCAACTTGCCAACGTGACGCGACTTTGCGCCATTTCCCTGATATAACCAGCTCTGTCCGCCACGCCGCAATTCCTTACCACCATTTCTCCACTCAAGCGGCCAATATCCGTGAGAGGTGGTTGCCTTGCCGTTCGACACAGCTATCCGCTGACCTGTCCTCCAGTCGCGCTTTCAGCGGTTTGACACTCGTGACCGACAAGTGGAACGCGTCCAAGCGCGACCCCAACTTCGCACGTGACGGACACCACACTCGAGACTCCAACCCAGGTGGTAAGGTTTATCGCCAACCAGATCATCCCTGTCACGAAAGCGATCATCGGCGACGTACGTCAGGATGTCAACACATCACAATGGTCAGCTAGTGCAAGATGCTGAGCAATCGTCTCAGCCTCAAGAGCCGGCACCTGCACCTTTACCAGAGGGCGAGGCAGGTGAGGCTGTGACCGGGCTTGACGCGTCGCAGACCAATCGCGATGGAGATCAAGAGAATGAAGATGATCAAGATTTGACCACGGCCTTCCTGGCCTATGCTGCTGTGAGTCTGAATTCAGCAAGGCTACCGTTGAGCAGGCGTGCGCTGGGGCTGCATCTGGCGTTGCCAAGCGCAGAATCTCATTGATCTTCCTCCTTCCTGTCATCAGCAACAAAGGGGGGCCGATGGCGATTCTAGTCAGCGTAAGTCCTCATCTAAGATCTCGAAGCAGATTAATGTAGAACTGATCGAATTGACCATGACACAACGCAGCGCCGGCTGATAATGAAGCATCTGCGGAGGGAGGCTCTCTGGACCACGATCAGGCGGCAGACGCATTGACGTCATTCGCCTCTGGCGAGAGGCGTTCAACTGAACCACATCACGAGAATGGTCAACGCGATGGCAAAGATGACCAAGATGACTACCGTCCCGTGTACGGTCAAGGCCAGTCAGGCAATGCGTTCGCAAGTCAAGACGCTGCCGCAGGAGAAGGTCAGAACGCGGATTCTTCGGAGATTCGCCGTGATACTCTAGGACCTGAAGACGAAGCCATCGCGGCTATGGGCGCTCTTGCTGGTGGTGACCCCGCTTCGGCCAACGGTGAACAGGCAGGCGACGGAGCGACCGAGAACAAGGGAGATAAACCATGGAAGGCGATCCCTGAGGGTATGAGCGAGGAAGACGCTAGAGCTGCTGGCTACTTTGATGAAAGTGTTGATGACATCAAAGGCGGCAAGAAGGGCAAGTCTAGAAAGGAAATGAGCGAACGCGAGCTCAAGGACAAGCATGTAAGTTCTGGAATGGAGCGAATATGCGCGGTTTTGATGGCTAATAGGCACCACTTGCCTCGCATACAGAAAGAGGTAGAAAGAAGGAGGCGAGAGGTGCTGTCCCAGAACATCGAGACCCTAGCCAGCCTGGTGCCCGGCATCGATCCCAAGCAGCCAAAGAGTACCCTTTTGCAAAAGGTGAACGAGTACATCATCAAGCTGAAGAAGGAAGACCATAGCAATCTCGAGAAGTGGACGTTGGAAAAACTCTTGATGGACCAGGCAATGTCCGATCTTCAGGCTCAATTCGACGACTTGAAGCGCGAGAATGGCCGTTTCCGCGAGCAGTTGGGTCTGCCTCCTGCTGAAGATAACCCGCCCGCCTCAGCGCAACTTGAGAGCGCAAAGCAGGACAGCGAGCGCTTGAGAGATCAGTACAATCTTCAGGGCGACGAGAGCCAGCCACCTGCGCCAGCTCCCGCTGCCGAGGACAACGACCAGGGCCAAGGCGACATCTACTATCCTGAAGACAGGTCACAGGAATACTCTGGAGACATCAAACAACAACACCAATTCAACGAGCACGATGCGGGAGACCCTACGGCTGCGGAAGCCGGTGTTCCAGCACCTTCGCACGATGATGCCGAAGCCCTGCGCCAATTTGCCGAAGGTGCTGTTGCTGGGGCTGCGGCTGCTTCTGCCCGCGACGTTGCTGCTCAGAAGGGCGGCGATGTCGAGATGGCTGTGGATGAGGCTTCGGGCGGTGCTAAGCGCGCTCTCGAAGCTGAAGCTCCGGTCGAGTCTGCGCGTAGCAAACGTGCGAGAGGTTGATGCCGATCACACCGTATCTTGCTTTCTAAGCGGTGCTTTCGCGAACCAAAGGAAGACTCCTCCGGAACACCACCTAATCTGCAGCCCACTCTCTCCTTCTCTGTATCGCCTTGTTCAGTAGCTACCCATGAGCATTGTAATGTAGCTTGGTTTCCTGTTACACGATGGGGTGTCCTCGCTTCATCTACCTCGAAAGAGTCTCTTGAGCAGCTGAATGAACACGCAACGAAAGAAGGAGGTGACAGAGACGCCTGTGCAAGGACAGCTCCGTGTGCTAGCTGGGCGAGAGCATCTCCTGAAGTGTTCTCATTGGACGTTTAGGTCCGGCATCTTCGATCGGGTCGCGATCTTTGTTGCCGACGACGATGCGATCGAGAGCCTGTTGTAGGGCTGGCTTCCCACTGGGCGGGGGACCCGATGCCCCTTGACGACCGTGGCGAGCGAGCTCGAGAGCTGCGCCCAGGCGAAGAGCGAGTATGGGCAAATATGGTCTCTCGGAATTGGTGTGGTTGAGCAAGACTACGCTCGAGTGTTTCTGTTGAGTGAAATAGAGAATCTCGTGCTTTCGGGAAGAGGCGCGCGCGCGCTCAAGATTCAGCGCTCTGAGCTAGGCCTCGCAGAGGACATACTCCAACAATGCTTACATGGGAAAGTTCGCCAGTGACGTCTAGTGGACAGGTGTACAGAGGTCAATAAAGGAGCGCGGTGCCAAGCAAAGGCCCAGTCACTCGAGCTCGTCGGTCGCATCGGGTCCTCCCTGCACGATGAATGCTCCGGAAACCTTCGAAGGGCTTAGCAACTCACACACGTCGGCTTCCACATTCTTGAAGATGGACCCTCCAGAGCCTGGACAAACAGCGATCTTGCTGATGCGCTTCCCTTGGAAGCCATTTTCGTGCCGTGCCGCTCTTGCTACTCTGACTGGTGTTTGCAGGTCATGGCGAGGTCAGCACTTCAAGAGACTGGTGCCCCGCGCCCAATGATTCGATACCACCCTCTACACGCACCTACGTTGCCAGGATCGTGGAGATCGCGAGCAAAGTTTGTGAAGTCGCCAGTCCATTGCTCTGTGCCGACCTTGACGAACTCTCTCATGTGAGAGATGACCGTGTCTAGAAAGTCAGGCTTCGGAAGGGTCACCAGCCTTCCCATGCCCGCACCCTCATGGCCCGCTTGTTTCGCTTCGCTTGGAATGATGGGCTTGATCACCGGCCGTGAGCCTGCAAAAATGAGATCGGGATTGTACTCCAGCTCCTCAGTGCTCTCGTCCTTGAGTATGGTAGCTATCGTGAAGGGCATAGCAAGATTTCGCAGTAACTGCGAATCTTGCTGATCAGCGGATTCGTTCACTCTCCAATCTGAGCTCTCCAAGACGCTGAATGGGGATTGTGCTACGGCCTTTGCGAGCCAGTCTTGAGGGAGTAACGACGTCGATGAGCAGGTAGCGTGTAAGCTTGCTGAATGCGTAGGAAGACGAACGACCGTCTGCTTACCAGTCATGCCTCCGACTGCGGCATCCAGTGATGTGTGGGGGCAGTACACGCTGACGCCCGCTTGAATCAGCTTGAGCAGCGATCGTTGCTGAGAGTCAGCAAGCGTAAGAGACTTGAGGGGTCGAAATATGATTCTACGGGGCACTTGACAAAGCGCATAAGAGGGACAGAATACTGGTCAACAACTCCCCGACATTCACTCACGGATGATAGATGACCGCAGCTCCGACCTTGGGTTTGGAGAGAATATCGTTCGCTACCTCTTCCGTCAAGTCTATGGCGAGGTACACCTTGTCCGCACCTTTGCGAGGCACGGGAGCTTGACTGATGAGCCCAACGTTGTCCCAAGTGGTATCCGCAAGCGCAAGAGGTGCAATGACGTGCATAGATCGGAGCACATCTTCAAGCAGCTCATCCTCCAACGTCGCGCTCCTTTGGAAGGACTTTGGCAGCGTGGCCTGCAAGGGGCCCATCCATGAATGGCTGCAAACCGCCAGGAGAGCGCTTTGCGTCAGTTCACGACTCGTCTCTCGAAGCACATCGGACAAACGCATACCCACTCCTCCGGCATCGTCGAGCGATGTCGGTCCGAGCAGAAGAGGGCTGGTGCCTGATGAACACGTTTGCAAAGAACCGAAGCAAAGAGGCCCTTCGAAGCGCGTGCAGGTAGACAGACGGAGGCAGGCTTCCACAACCGTAGCATATACCTGACTTGCGAGCGAGCGTTCATGCACAGTCTGGCGTTCACACGAATACGTGGTAGGTGGTGCTGTCAAGGTGTTTTTTGGGAGGAAGGCGGAAGATGTGAGCAAATGTCGACACCATGGTGCGAAGTCGTGTGCCGTGTTTGTTGGCTTCGCGTGCCTTCGCCCCTACACCTGTGACGACTCAGACTCAAAAGACTCGATGAGGCAGCGCGAGGTGGAGGCGACAGGCAACACCGCAACTTCATATACCGGTACGCAACAAACAGTCTGCTGCTGATTCCTGCGTCGCGAGTCGCGAGTCAAACAAACGAACGCGGTCACCACGCTCGATCGCTTCACATGCGGTATGCGGCGGTTTAGCGCGATTTGACTCCGGAATCTTCTCGTGGTCACGTACCGCACGACCGCGCGCATCTCCGCGATCGACCAGCAGGCAACGCTACGGATGGATCCACGATCCACCCAACAGTCACCCTCGCTGGATTTATGGACCAGCAATCAGCGCATACCTTTGAGTGCTTCCCAATGCCACGCATCACTTCAGCTCTTGAAACTGGTATGGTGACTCTCGACTTGAAATCTCGCCAAGTCACCACAAGCTGAGCGATCGGAAGGCGTCGACAGATGGATTCGCGGTGCTTTAGCACCATCTCCTAGCTCACTCCGCGCACCTCACATCAACCACTCACTCTTTGCCTACTACGACGGCAACTTGGGAAACATGGCCGCACCTGCCTCAAAGCGTCCGCGATTGTCGAGGGACCAAGCTCTGGCAGATGATGTCTCAAATGAGCCTGTCAGCCAAGCATTGCTCAATGCCTCACGTTTCGCCAATAGCGTAGCACCTCCGCCATCGCACGACGTCGTATGGGCTGCGAATGTGCCGGTTGTATGCGCACCTACACCTGGCGGAGTGGCGGTCGTCAACGCCATCACATCCAGGTCTTGCCAGCTGCGACCCGCTCACTTCGACCTCGCACAGCACCGGCAGCGACGCCTACCCAAGCCCAACCTTGTCAGTTTGAGCTGCAGTGGCACTACTCTGATGGCCTCGTTTGCCGCACAACATGATGAGGTGCCAGGCGCTCCGATCGCTGAAGAGACAATCAATCTCGAGCCTCGAGCTCGAATGGTCAAGAGCAGGACTTTCTGCTGGGTGCGCTCAGACAGAAATCCGTGGAATCGGTGGAAGGAGGTGGCTTTGCCTGCCGAGGTGCGAGATGGAGGATCAGAGATGGTTCACGCTTCATGGTGCGGTCAGAAGGCTGATGTGAGTGCTTCGGAGGTGCCTCTTTTCGAGGTCCGTCACCGAGCTCACTGTCGACCCCCACGCATCAAATAGTGGAGACTTGCTTCAGGGCTTGGAGACCCCCCGTCATTTGCAGAAGGCGGCTCAAGCAATGATAGCCCAAGAGGCCGTTTTGTGCAAACAGCAGCGGCTGGACCCACACCTATCGCGCTAGGATCGGAGGTGGCCATACTCGTAAATGCGAGGGGAGATGTACGTGGTTACTGCTTGCGAAACGGGCGCGATGACAAAGACTCCACTGACCCTCGCTGCCCATGCGCATGATCCAGGTATTCGTGTTGCGTCGCGCCTTCAGCAAGTCGCCCTTTCAGCTTTGGCGTACCTCTCTGCTGAGCTCGACCGTTACTTTGCGGTCTAGTGGGGAGACTCTCTTCGAGACAACTCTAGGTGATGAGGAGCACTTTGTCCATCATCGCATCGACCAGATCGCCGCGTGTCCGGTGCCTGGGGGTGGGTAATCTGCTTTCATCTGCTTCTCTTGCTATAACAACCTGACTCTATGTCCTTCTGCTCCTCTAGAGCCAACTCTGTTGTTGGCTTTCAGCCTCAGAGCTACGTCGCAAGGGCTTGACAGCGGTACTGGGAGCCACGACGTCACGCCGGACCCGCTTGCAACCTCACCAAACAACGCGGCGGCAGCAGCGCTCTTAGCTCAAGCTCAAATCTCGACCACACCGAATGCCGGAAGAACGCCTGGCGCCTTGGTCGGCACAGCGACGAGCATTGGAGCGACACATGTGCTGGATGATAGTTCACGTGGATGGCTGCATCTGCGAGAAATTAGAGTCGGTCTGGCAGGTGTTCACAGCGAACCATTCATCAGCACTCGAACGCTGGAGCCTATATCACTCGCTCCTAGCGACGGCGCTCGACCGTTGTCGAGACCAAGGCATCTTCAATGGCATGTGCCATACCCATCTTCCGGCTCAGATGTCTCTGCATCCTTGCGCCTGTTTGCTGGATATTCTGGAGACTCTGATCCCCTTCATACGACGCCCAGCAGCGCCTCGATTCGGTCGTGGCGTGTCGAGCGGACATCCTCCCAGCTAGTGGACGCATTCAACTCGTTAGAATGCAAGAAGTCAGAGCTCCCTCCACCCACTTGGGATTGGTTTGCCACATCGTCGGTGTCTTGCGAGCTTGGCGCAGTAAAGTTGGAGGGCATGGCCACAAGCTTGTCTGTCAACACGCTCCGCATTTGCACTATTCCATTCGACGTAGACGCGCAGAACACGACCTCAGAAAGCCGGCTATATAATGCGTGCGTAACAATGCTAATGATTGTATCATTTTCGCGGCTGAAAATCTCATTCTGCTTCGTCACAGGGACACTTTGGAGCCTGTAGAAGGCACGCAGCACCGATTGCCTCCCGGCGCGAGGTACTTGGGTAAGTCATGATCATCATCGGTGTCGAGCGCCTGAATGCTGCTCATCTCGCGCTTGTAAACGTGCGGCAGCTGCCTCTTCAAACGAGTGCTTGGGAGCGTCTCTTGATGGCCGGGGACCGGAACCACGTTTGTGCATCTTCTCGATGCGTCGGCACGAAGAAAGCCAAGAAGACGTTCAGGCGAACTCATCTTTGGCGCCACTTCTCGCACTGTCCATCTTGAGAGAAACGGACGCAAGCGACCTTGTCAGGGCTCATCTCGCTTGCTCTACTAAAGGTACGTCGTTTGCGGATTTTGCGCGAAGCAGCAGCGGTGCTCACTTCTGTCGCATCTTTGTGCTCGATCCAGAACACCTTCGCAGCGTAATGGCCAGTGCAGGACAAATCCTAGGTGTCCAGCGTCCTGACCTATGGCAACTGCTCAGACTGCTGCATCTCAACGCGTCGGTCTGGCCTAATGGCGCTACGCAGCCTCGTACAATCCTGCGCTTGAGTCGCGTATGCGATGCGCTGTGTCGAGCTGAAAGTCGGGAAGAGCAAAACTCGAGCTTTGCCCTGAGTGAGTCAGAGGTGCACTTCCGCGACCAATGGATGTTACTATCGCTAACCTGCGATGTTACACAGATCGAATCAGGAGACTTGTGGACCACGTGGAGTGGCTTTTAAGCACACTCAATGCTCTCGCGCGCGGAGCTCTGCTTCTTGACGCTGCCGAGGCTCTAACCACACCGCCCTCGAGTGTAGACGACGACAAGACCGATATTTTTGGAAAGGGAAATGTCTGCGGCGATGCATCGGCTTTGCTCGGTCTCTTTATCCTCGAAGTACCCCGGCGGCTCCTTTGCCAAGCTTTGCAGTTCTCTTTGAGACTCATGCATTGGCTGCACCGATCGAAGCAAAGCCGGCGACGCCAAGGAGAGACTCCCAAAGTCAAGGACATCGCGCCTGGAGGGGACGAAGAAGCAAGGTTCGAAGTGCTTGATCTGGCGCACCGTCGCCTCTTGAACGCTGTTGCAAAGTCTTCGGTCAACCCGGATCGCGCTTTGGAAATTTTCCAATCCTTCACTTGCGACGCTGCACTTTCACGTAAGTCTTATGTAGCAGGCACATCTTTGCTAGGGTGCTTCGCTGACACAGTCACTTGGCCGATCGCAGATGAGCAATGGTGGGCAGATCCGGGCCTGTTGAGCGCGTCGAGCTCCGCTGCGGGAAAGGCAGCGACGTTGACGCTGGCTAGATCGCTTCTTAGAGGCGCATCGAGTTCGCACGACGATTCGAGCGCCAAGCTGGAAGCTTCAGGCGCGCCAGACATGCAGACCGGCTGCGTCGCCAATCGTTTGTCATTGCTCATATCTCCTTGCGACTTTCTGACAGAGCAGACAGCATTGGGACCAACAGCAGATTTTGAGTGGCACACTCTTTCCGCTTCTCAGGCCGACTTCTCGTCCTCAATCGGCGCTGAACTACGCTGGGCATGATCGCAATCTGACTACTTTCATTGCTCGGCGCACGGCGCTCTGTTTTGCGTAAGGCGGGGGCGGCTTTGGGAAGGAGCAAGCTTGAGGGTACCATTTGGTCCTCCTTGGTGACCCTCTATGTTACAGTAATGTGGTGGATGATCCACGCACTAGGTACTCTTCTTGTGAGCCGTACCCTCATCAATCATCGTATAGGGCAGCATCATCCTCCTTTGGCGCTGACCGGGAAGACGTCTGTCCAAGATGGAGGGCATTTCGTCCCTCAGCCTAGTCTTGAAGACCTGTAAGCACTCGCAAAGAACTCACTGATGGCTCGGGATATTCCTCACGGCGCTCGCGAGCAGGGCTGCGAGTGTTTCGTCGCCTGTCCTCCCTTGCCGGGCTTCTCTCGCGTCGACGGTCCTCCTCTTCGTATCTTCCCCTAGGATCGCGGCCATTTCTGTCCGCCTCGCGATCAAGCCGAGGTGGTCTGTCAGACCCGTTAGCGTAGTCCCTGCGACGAGGATGCTCTTCATCCTTGTAGCCTCGAGCGTAGGGCTCCTCCCTTCGCGGTGGTCTGTCGTCTCTACGGCGGTCCGGAAAGTCTCGACGACTGTCGTACGGGTTTTCGGGGGGTGGTGGTCCACGACGCGAAGGTCCAGGCCGCGGCGGTGCCCCAGGCTCGTCGAAACGCCATTGCGCCGAGGGTGCATTCTTCAGAAACCGGCCCGCGCATCGTAACAGACCGCGGTGGGAGAGCCATCAGGAAGAATGCGGAGAGAAAGCAAAGGCGAAAGGGAATCACGAATCAGCAGCCATGCAAATGCTACGCTAGAATTCGCGGCGGGCACGTCTGCCCACGCATAGCGTATACATCCAGTCTCGGCGCCCTGCATCTCAGTGCGATGAGACAAATGCAAGCCACGCATCTCGGCAAGACGTAGGCGTTGGAAATTCGCCGAGAAGGAGCAGCTCACCTTAGCAAATTGGATCGACAAAGCGTAGCGTCCAAATTGAATGCCATGGAGCTCCTCGTGCGCAGCCTTATTGTGATGGACGTGCACCAATCGCGAGAGGTGGACAAGACGCCCGCGTCGCGGGAGGAAGAAGAAGAGAAGAATAGGCGCCGAATTCGGTCAGGTCGCGTAGTGTGAATGACATGCAAGCTGCGCTGTCGGGCCGTTGCTGACTCACGTAGGCGTCTCTAGCATCTTGGTACTCCACAAAGGCGAATGCGCTGTGGTATTGTTGTTGCATGTATGTCGCGACGGTAGGCAGGGTCGGGGATACGACGGCGGCATTGCGTCAGAGACTTTTCGCACAAAGTCACCTTTGACTTGCAGCGAGAGGGTCGTATGGATGCGCGCGCTGGGTGGCGACCCCAAGGTAAACAGGCACGCAGCTGAATGAATGCCTCCCTTCTCGAGTCAATCTCACGGCTGCCGCCTCGTGCGACTTGCGGCCTGACCAAGCATCAACGACCTTCATCGCCAGGTCTGCGCGTATATCTTCCCTCGCGTGCAAGGTGCAGTGCATCGTAGTGCGACTCGGTAGCGAGCTTGCGAAGCTGTTGAAAGTCGCTCGCTGTGCACGCACGCAGCAGCGTGGACCTTAGAAGCGAGAGGAACATCTTGACGTACCGGTCCGCCCGCTAATCACGGCGTAACTCGCCACATCGCTTCGTTGAGAGAAGGAGACTCACGTTCTGGCTCCTGATCCCTTTGGTGCAGGAATGTCGCATCGCACCAGTGGACCTATCCTCTCAAACTCGTACGCCAACTCTCTTGCCGGCATGTCTGGTGGGAAATTGGCAACGAAGAGTACCTGTATGCGCGCGTGTTGGGCCTAGCTCAGCAAAGATGTCGCATGACGTGCGATGTGATGTTGACTTGCGGTCCACGCAACGCATGGGGTGACGATGACAAATGTTGGACACTCACCGTTCTGGGAGCGGGCGGTCTGTCGTACGGATCGCCTCTGCCGCCTCTGGCAGGCGGGTAAGGAGGTCGACGGTCGTACGACATGGTTCAAAAGTGTGCGCGGTAGCTTGTTAGAGGTGTCGTTGATGTGGTGGAGAATCGATCAAGCAAAGCACGCAGCTTTCGGCTCGAATGCGTTTGGAGGCTGTTGACCAAGCTAACAGGGGACCACGTGAAATTGCAGCTGCGAAGAGTGATTGAAGGGAGCTCAAGCTGGGTGAGCAGCTTGACGATCGATGAGCAAAGGTGGAAGATGTGAGCGCGAGAAGGTTACTCCAGGAGAGAGGGAGATGAGATGAGTGAGGTTGTGCTCGAAAGTTGGTGGACCAATGTATGAATGAACTAATAAAGATGACGAAATCACCGTTGATTGACCCTCGAGCCTGTCAATCGTGGATCAAAATCAAGAATTTGGAAGACTCTCATCTGAGCGCGGTGCACGAATCTTCAATCAAGAATCACAAATCTTGATATTCAAGATTGCATGACTGCGCGCAATTCTAATTAATTACCGCGGGACGGCCCGCGCTGAAACGTCATGCTTCATTCAAGATTCAAGATTGTGGCGCATTCATAAACTACCCCCTCTATAGGTCTGTCAGATTTTGGATTCGTCGCTGATTCTCACATCAACTCCGACGAAGTGGATTTGTAACCAACCTCTCGCGAAGGAATTCAAAATTTTCGCAGAGAGGCCCGCGCAAGGGTGGAGGCTGTCTCGTACGAGAGGCGATTTCGTGTAGCCTCGAGCGCTCGTGGAATCGCGCTTTTTGAAATCAGGATTTCTGTGCAATGAGAACATGCAAAGCGAGATCCCACGCCTGATAGACAGACGCGCATGCTTCATCCTCCCCGATCCCTTCGTGCTTGCTTCAATCGAGACCCAAACATTCATTCGTATCACGCGCCAGCTCCAATCGCACCCTGTCGACCCGCTTTCTGACAGGCGGACAAGTCAAGTCGCAAAGATGTCGCGCCATCAGAATGCAGAGGCAGGTCCGAGCAGCGGGCGCAAGAGTAGCACCTCTTCATCTAGCATCAAGAGCGTCCCCAAAGGTTTCAAAGAGTCCGAACTCCAATCCGACTCCAACTTGACAGATCTCGGCGGAGGTAAACAGATTTGGAGCATCAAGTTGCCGGATGGTGTCAAACCTCGCGATCTGGACAGATTGATCATCAAGGTACCCCGCGCTGCGGCAAAAGCAGGCGCGCCCCTTGCTACTTTTGATGCGACGACGGCCACACCTCAAGGCGCCAGCAAAGGCAAATTGTCGCTCTACTCTTTGGCGCTAGCATCGAATGCCTCGAATGCGCAAGCCAGCAAGGAAGGTCTGACCAGCTCGGGTGGAGCACCGGGCGTGGGAGGTGGAGACTCTGCCGCGCCCACACAATTGATAGCCATGGCGGCGGGGTCAAGTCAGCGAAAGGGGGACGAGGCAGAAAGGACGCAGCAGGTGTACAATCATCTGAGCTCAGGGCCTATGGAGATGGAAGGTATGAGGCTGCTGCTTCCCAAAGGTCAAGGAGGTGGACTGCGACTGTGTGAGCGTAGAATATGCACTGACTGCATCCTCGAGTGCACGGCAAAAGTTGCTGATCAGCGGTCCCATCCGCTTTCCGTTGGGCAGCATCAGCGCCCATCTCCAAGCATCTGTACATTGTGCGCAATCCTGCTCCGAAGAGCGACGAAGACGCTGCTTCGCAGCCTGTTGCCGCCCTGCCGCCGGTGCCGGATCCCGGTACAGCAGGCACAGATCGCAAGCGCAAGCAGCCATGGGAGAAGCTCCAGGGATACTTGTAAGTCATCAAGCATGCACACGCCACGTCTTGAAGCAGTTCGCGCAGACTGACGCTCGCTCACATGCACCGCACAGCGAGCCCTCTGGTGCTCGAGGTGGAACAGATATGGGACCCGCAACGAAGGTCCCGAAGATCGAGCTCGCTGATGAGTCCAGGACCGAGAAGCCAGTCTCCATCAAGAAGGAGAAGCGCAAGGACAAAGAGAAGCACAAGTCGAGCAAGGCGAAGGCTTGAGCATCAGTGGTGCCAAAGGCATCATCAATGCGTGCTGCCTACGCAGAATCGTATTGCCATTTTGTGAACCGAATGATGCGCTGTACTGTACGAGTGGTGAAGCACTTGTTCTTCAAAGAGAGTAGGTGGGCTGAGAGTTGCTGATCTGGACAGGCCATAGTCGACTGCAAGAGGGCTCAAAGCTACCTGCGCTCGCGGAGCTCCAAGTCAGGAACCATATGAGGAGGGAATGGTTTATCTTCGACCTGCAAATTCTTTCTGTTCTTTGCATGCTTTAGCCTCGCGGCTCTGTAATAGAGCTGCGCAGCGTCCTTGACGACGATCCACAGGCTGGCCCCTATCATAGTCCTCCACCAAATCGGATCCATCTCATCAAAGTCCAGTTGCTTGGGATCAACGAATCGTTCTTGCGATGACGCATTAGAGCTCAAGAAGTCGAAGGAATGGCCAAAAGGGTTTCCAGTCTTGAAAAGCGCCGAGACGGGAGATTGATACGATTTTGCGCTGCCGGCCGTCAAGCCTGCGTGCGGTTCTTGACCAATGCCCAGGATACGCAGAGCCCATTTTGATTCAAACGAGCGAGCAGTCCACGCTAAGGCTTGTCCAAGGGCATGCCCAATGAATGGCAGCGAGAGCGTGCCAAGAAAGAATCGACCCAAGCTAGTGGGTGTGACGTAGATGGTGACTCGTCGCTGATTACCGTTGTGTACACCGTGCGCGTCCCCTTGCTCCTCCTCTGGGTCTTCCTCATCCTCTTCATCCTCTTCCTGGCGTTGCTCTTCGACTGGGCGCTCGTCGATGGCGGCTGCGCCCGCAGGTACAGGCCGTGGCAAGCCCTCAGCATCCAGGCCTACATCTCGCACACCGTCTGCCAGACGAAGGTCGGGCTGAGGGCCTCCAGCTTCAAGTATAAAACGCTGCAGTCTGTCCACCTCCTCCTCATCCTGTCGGTCCTGCTCTGCTAGCTGCTCCGCATTCGCAGCGGCTTGTCCAATCGCGTTCGGCTGCGCAGGTGGGCGCGCTACATTCGCGTTACCTTGAGCCTGTCCAAGATGTCGACGCTGAAGTTCCTCACGTCTATCGTGCCAGCCGAAATGAACATTCGCGACGAAGTCTTCTGTCATGCCGGCGAGTCGAGCGGCGCCATCTCTCGGCCTGCCGTCGTCGCGCTGTGGTGCAGCACGCCGTGCGAGAGGGGCAAGCACGCGTCTGGTGATGGCTCGCTTGACGATGGAGTAGATGGCTCTGATCCAGGGGAACAGTAAAAGCGTGACGCCTGGACCAGGCGGCCAATTTCTGCGCGAGGCCGCACGCACGTGCCAAATACCTCTTGTGTCCTTTCTCAGGCTAGGAAACAGACCCATGAGGAGGTTGGGGGGTACCATGCTGTTGGGTGATGGCGCGATGACAATGCCTACGGGATTAAGTGTCGCAAGCAAAGTCGTCGTGGACAAAAAGTCGATTGGCTTCAGGCGCACCAACAGTAGCATAAAGGGTATGAGAGGCATCTCGATCCAACGCTGTGCAACAGCGATGCAAAGCACGTTCAGTGGTGGGGCGCAGGCTTCGAATTTGGCGAAAGCAGCGACACTCACAGACCATGGCCACTTGCCGCCAAGCAGCTTAGCATAGCCATCTCTTCCGACGAATGATCTGGTAGCCGCACATCCGTACGCTGTGAGACCTAGCAAGATCGCAGATAGACCTACACCAATGGAAACGGCAGGCAGACCGAGCGCGCTGGCAAGCTCCAGGAACTCGCCAGCGCGCAGCAACAAGGACTTGTGCACGTCGAGCTTGTACGGCTGCGCGCACTGAGGACATTTGAGCTCCTTTCCTTGTCGATCCGCATGCCTGATCCATCGTCTGAGACACTGCGCAGAGCCGAAGGGAGCTAAGCGAATGCAAGCTTCTAGGCTCTTCTCAAGTCTACACTCACAACCTCGTGCGCTACCAAGCTGCACTCTGCGGGTCACAAGGTGGAGGAGGAGTACCAGCGCTTGCGTCAGCGAAGGCTTCAGCGAGCAATTATGCTGGAGTAATGCTCACGACAAGGGTGTAACCACTTCCTGATCCTTTGTGTCCTACCGTTAGATGTGTCCAAATCCTCTGCGTCCCCTTCTGCGCAGATCCAACAATTCCTGTTCTTCAAGTCCTTCACAGTCACATTGCCAAGCGCGATGGCCCGAGCTGCAGCTCGCGTTGCCTGTGCCTGTCGCTCATCGGCAGCTGTACCCACAGGGTCGACTCTTGCCTGTTGCTGAGCAGGCGCTTCTTCAGAAGGTGAACGCAGCAGATCTCGAATCAGCGCATTCTCATCGCCCAATCGTTCAGAAGTTTGCTGTACCGGGTCGACCCTTTGCCAGTCGGCATTATCAGCAAGTAGCTCTGCTGCCACTTGTTTTTCATCCTCGTCCTCATCCATTTGGTCAGATTGCAGTGCGCGGGAACCGTGTCTTTGCCTGTATGCTGCCAATTGCGACGCCGCATCGTCAGAAGATGTTGCAGCTCGAGGGAGGTTGGAGGGCGGCCCTGCTGAGCCTGAAGACGATGCCATGTTGCGGTACCAAGCACCTTTGCTTTGTGCAACACAAGAGGAGGATTACTTGCACCACAGCAGGACCTCTGTGCCGCGATCAGCGCACCCCGAGGCAGGGACGACGAGGCAGGGGGAGGGAAGGAATGAGATTGCACCAGTCGCGTGCGTATGCCTACTGCATCTCTCACGCGATGTGTGACCAGAGAGGGTAGTGGTGAGTCTGATGAGTCACGTCGTGAGTCGTGAGTCGTGAGTTGTCGAGATGCGTGAGTCATCAAGTCCGTGAGTGTGCGGGGTTAGCGAGCGAGCGCGCGCCGACGAGGCGGCCGCACGTGATTGTTGATTGACCTCGACACTCTTGACTTTGACTCAACCCAAAACTCGTGACTCGTGATTCGCCTAACTTCTCGATTCGCGCGACGCGTGCGTACGTGCGAGCGCATATATAATAGACTTCTTGGTGGCATTGTGACGTCAAGCATCTTGCTCATCATCTTCCATCTGCGTCTGCATCGCGTCGGAATCAAGAGGCGCGAGAGAGAAAGAGGGAGAGGTCAGGTCAGTGGCGCGGCGTGATTGAATTTCTTGATGACTAGGACGAAGAATAGGGAGCGAACCAATCTCGAAGAAAAGAAAAGGCATTGAAGGTCAACCTAAAGCGGAGGATGGAAGTGGGAAAGGAGGGGACGGAGGAGCAAATAGAGGCATCTGACGACGCTGCTCTTGGATGACATGCGCACTACGGCTAATGCCCTCACATTCTTGATGCGGCTTGCCAGCAGCAACGCCCGTCATCTCATATCGACTGGCTCTGGCTGCATCACGCACTCTGCATCGCCGACGCTGCCAAGAACAAGTCGTAGTAGAAATGTCCATCGATGTAGCTGCTTCTCCACCTGCGTCACTCGCAAAAGTCACAGGCCTCAAGCCGAGGTGAGTACCAACGCAGGCAGGCTTCATGCTGTGAGTTGTGGCAGCGCGCAACCCGCTCACACTGTTACAACGGATCCACCAACTCCGATCGCACAGGCATACTTTTCCCGCTGCTTTTCACCCACATTTAACCTAAGCCTGGAAGAGCACCTCTTCCGCACTCGTCCATCTCACATTCCTGTTTGCCTCATCTACAGAAACTCGCCATGCGTCGTCCTTGGGCGCAATCAAAATCCTTGGAAGGAGCTGGATGTGCTGGAAATGAGGAGGCTTGGACTGCAGTGGGTTCGACGAAGAAGCGGGGGCGGTGCAGTCTATCATGTAAGCATCGACTTGACGAGAGCCACGAGCAGATAGCCGCTCCCTTGCGCTTGGAGCCCACGCGTATACGCCCAGCTGAAGACATCCTTTCTCCACCATTGTAGGATCTTGGAAATGTTAATTACTCTTTTCACGTAGACAAGGCCGACTTTCTGCGCAGCACGCATTCCGAGTTGGTTGTGCGCGCTCTCAATGCCGAGCCGATAGGATTGCAAAGCCCTCAGCCTGGTTCTCCATCCGCGACAGATTTTCTAGGCACGCAAGCAGGGGCCTACGTAAACGGTCGAAACGACATTTGCGTCCGGGTCAGGCTAGGAGGAGGGTCAGACTTGTCCGCGAACGATGGACAGGCAGGGCCAGCAAGGCCGGAAGCGGGCGACGACGAGTCGCAACTTCAGTCTGAGCTTTTAGGGGCTGAGCGCAAAGTATCCGGTAGCGCCTACAAGCTCATCAATGCGAGAGCTTACCATCACGGAACGATGTTGCTGTCCGCCCAATTGTCCACCCTCGGCTCCAGCCTCAGGCCAATCCGAGGAGAAGCATTGCAAAGCAAAGGAGTCGCCTCCGTCCCTTCTCCTGTGGTCAACCTTTGCGCTGCCTACCCTCATCGAGCTCATGCCCTCGACGCGGAAAACTTTGAGCAGGGCGTTCTCAAAGAATTCGAGAGGACGTATGGGACGGCGAAAGTGCAGCACGTGGAGGAGGATCATCCGCTTGTCCAAAATGAGCGCTTTCTCAAGGGCAGAGAAGAAATGAAGAGCTGGCAATGGACTCATGGACAGACGCCCGAATTTACGCATGATCTGCGGTACAGCAACCAGGTCTCTGCTGTTGTCGATGGAGCTTTGCGCGATGTCGATTTCACACTGCATTTGCACGTTAAGGGGGGCTTGGTGCAGCAAGCAAAATTCGACATACAACGAGCTCCGTCATCGATGATCTCCGACACGCTACGAGAAATGGCGACCAAATTCGTAGGCGTACCTTATGACGTACTTGCAAGCGCACCTAGGCGCGAGGGGGGAACAACGCGGCACGCCGCAGATGCGCGAGATCCTCCACAAGCGGCTAAAGCTCTGGAACAGGAGGCTGAAAGATCTTTGGAAGCCTTGGGATACACGATCGGCGATCTGTCTCAGCCACGGCGAAACGTATTGCTCGACTCTGTCCGCTGGCTCAAGTCGAGTCTGTGAGAGTGTGCTCGCGCAGCTAGCTTTCGCTTTCCGGCCACACCTCCCGTCATAGCGCATGCATGCGGCATCCAGCCAGATGTCGAGTCTGGGAGGCAGAGCAGCCACTTCAGCAACATCGCAATCTGCTTGGCAAAGCTCACCCTGCGATCTAGTGTGCAGGGTGACCCTGCTCATCATGCGTTTCCATTGCGTAAGTGCATGCACGAACTGAACTTGGACAAGCCCAATGTGTAGCGAGCAACGTGCCAGCCCGGTAGCTCCCTCGACGGGCCATCTGTGTCTCCGTCGCGACGCAGCACAAGGCTTGAAAGCGACAGTGCCCCCCCCACCACCCACACCGAAGGGTACCTGTATGGCGAACTTAGCTGGGCGCAACGATAGCGCTTGGCATAGGACGTTGCTAGCCCCTCGAGCAATATACGCTCGAGCTACACCACATTCTTAGTCGCGAGTCGCACACGCCTTGCAATCTACGCTTTGATTATTTTCGTAAATGTGTCGTGTCTGATTTTGCCGACAAGACCTGCTGAAAAGGAGTGCAAGGTCTCGATGGCTTTTACATGCATGGCTGGGTATTACAAGACTTTGCAGTGAAATGCTAGGGGAGGGGTGGATCGAAAGTGTGGGAAAGTGGAACAAGATTCCAAGTCAAAGAGTGCGGTTGCTCAGGGAAATAACGGAGAATGCGAAGAGGCATCACTTCACTTTCGTGCGCCACCACAACGAGCGAGCTGCAGCCCTCACGAGACGTGACGTGACGTGAACGTTGAGCTGATTGGGGCACATCTAGGATTTGCGCGGACTAGCCAAGTTTGGTGATTTGGCATGACCCACAACGCATGCGTTCAGCTGCCTCCGGCACTGGCCGCCCTGATCTGCTCTCTCGCCCAAGCAGCCACCTTCCGAGTCTCGTGTCCCATCGTCTTTCCTCTACCTGCTCTGATCAATTCAGCTACCCAACCCTGCTGCAGCAGAGTCTTCAGTTCTCCGCCTGGGTAGGCAGCGCTTACATCACCCAGCAATCCGATAGCTGAGCGCAGAAGCGTCTCTGTGCGTTCCTGCGAGGACTGCGCAACGCTGGCAATGAAAGTGACAATCGACTCAACGTAAGGCTGAAGCAAGTCAGCTGCGGTGGTTGCAGTGAACGGGTGGATAAGCCACTGTTTAGCAGGAAGAGGCTCCTCAAACGACACACTTACATCGACTGTCGGCGACGACGCCAGCCACGATGCCGGAGTAGGCGTCAGCGATAGCCTCTCTGAGAGCGGTGAAGAAATCGACGATGGCCCAATCCGTCTGGCAACGGCGAAACGATGTCAGCACCAGGGAGGATGACCGGGCTCTCTCATTTCCGTTCGCCACTCACAGGTGTCTCGGGAAGGACCGAGGACTGCGCAGCTTGTGCGAGCGTCATCATGGTGTTTGGCAAGAAAGGAGCAAAGCCGGATCCCGTAGCCAAGGCGATATCGCCGAATGTACTCAGAATAACCGGCTTGACGTCCCGAGCAAGACTCTGGCTTTGCACATTCTCCGTGAGCGCGACCATGTAAGGCTCGGCATACTGTGCGGATGCAGGTCCCAACGCGCGACAAACATCTCCAACGATACCGATGGCCGTCTTGCAAAGCTGCAAATCCTGATGTCCTTGCAAGGCGCTAATGAGGAAGGGGTTGAAGGAGGGCAGGTACTTCTCAAAGGCGGCCTCTGACGCAGTTGCAAATCCGCCAATGGCCATGAATACATCTTCGAGCGCTTCGCTCTGACTGCCGCATGCTTGAACGGTGGTTAGGAGGCTGCCCATAATCTGATCTCCCAGGGGAAGAATGTCTTTTCCAAGTCTGCGCGTGAGAGCTTGCAGTACGGAGCACAAGTTTGTCTGAAGCTCTGCCCAGCTGGTGCGATCATCCATGCCGACCAACTGAGAAGCCATGGCGTTGAGTTTGCCTTGTCGATCGAGAACTGTGACAGCGACGTTGTTGACATGTGGCAGAGTGTCCTGAGCGCAGCCTGTGACAGCTGTGCTGAGAGCTTCGTAAGCGGACGATCGAGCGTTCGCCTCGTTGGTAGATCTGTCAGACGCAGCCAAGAGCGTGCCGATGATGCCCTCGAAGAAGGGCGAGATAACGGCTGTGGGAGCTGGGTTGCCTTCCGGGGTAAGCTTGGCCGCGCCGCCGAGTTGGTCGCAAAGGTTCATCAAAGCCCAAGCGCAGTTTGTAGCGACGCGCGGCTCGCCTTGCAGCCCCTGCACGAGAGCCTGCACGAGGATCGAAAGCTGGTTGTCCAGGTCGATGGCACCGCATCCGAGATCAGTGATCCGTCCCAAGGTCCACGAAGCAGTGTCCTTGACCGATTCACTCGGGTCGTGGAGCATCTGGACGATCTGCGGCAATGCTTGCTTGACCAGAGGCGCCAAGCTGGCCAAGCTGGGTCCGGACATAATGCAACCAAAGCACATGACTGCGGCATCGCGCGAGTTCCACTCGGGGCTCTGGATGTTCTGTTCGATGAAGGGTATGACCAAAGCAACAATTTCATCGGTGGTCGCGTCGGCGAGACCCTGGACAGCCGCGCTGGCTGCTTTGGCCACTGTCCAGTCGTCGTCGACTGCATCTTCTTCCTGGTTTCGCAGGGTATCCAGAAGCACCGGAAGAATCTCTGGCAATGCGATGCGAGCAAAGCCGTGGCATGGACGTTCCGGCTCTTCGCCGAATTCGCGAGCCTGGAATAGGGAAGGATAGGATGAGCAAGTCGTCACATCAGGCGGTCAGACCCAGTCTCAGGCATCGACCCACCTCATCTGCCTCCATTATCAAGTCCAGCTCCTCCTCCGCGACTGTGGCCCAAAACTCGATTGCTTGCATTGCCACTCTGGGCTCGGGATCCCGCATGCCTAGAACCGTGAGCTTTGGAGCATCGCGGCGAAGGGTCAGCAGCGTGTCCGTGTGCGGGCGCTAGGCGCGCAAGTCTGAAATCGACTCACGCCGAACAGAGCTTGTTCCATATAGTAGCGCATCTTGTCATAGTACAAATGCATGATTTCTACCAAGCACTCGAAGGCATTTACCTTGATACGAATATCGGTATGCTGAGTCGCCTCGCAAATGACTTGCATGATGTAGTTGCGCTCGCCTTCCCTCTCAAAGTTGGCTTTGACGAAGGCCAGAGAGTTGTAGAGCGCCTGAATAGCGGCAAGCTGCACTTCTACAGAGGGCTCTTCCTTTCTGGCTCCTTGCACCACTGCTGTGAGGATCTCGTTGGATTGCGCGGCAAGCACTTCCGGGTTGGAGGAGCTCGACTGCGAGAAGATTGCGAAATGATCATCAGCGCCCTGCGCAGTTCGGGTTGAAACACGCCAAACCCACAATGACCTCGCAAGTCAGACCGATTGTCTGCAAAGCAGCCTGCCTCAACAAGTTGTTTGCCGTCTCTCCCATTGCCTTGGTCAACTGTCCAATGAGCTCGTTCCACAGCCCGCGAGGAATTTCGATACCGGCGATAGCAGCGATGACTTGAGCAGCCGAGTAACCAGCTCTGCCATCCTGACTGCTCAACGTGCTGAATGTCTTGGCCTTGACGTCCGAGCGAGCATCTTCAGGCAGACTGGTCCACCTATTCGCGAATTCCTCCTGCCTCGCTGCGTCTCTGGCTGTCAGCGCATTCTTGACCGCAAGACCGGCCGCATTGCGCAGATGAGGAGCAGTCGATTCGTTGGCGAGCTCAGCTGCGAGCATGCCCACGTATGCGCCCTGTTGAAAGCCGAGCCCAGGCATGTCAGTCTTGCGCTAACACTCAGCCACATCGACGCAGCGGGGCTCACATAATTGTCGCGTGCGGCAGCCTCCAACTGGTGCTCGGCATTTTGACGGACACCAGCGTCTGGCAGAATCCGCATGGGATGTGAGGTCAGGAGCGATCAGACAAGTCATTCGCTGCAGTGCGGGCGCAACTTACCAGGCGAGAGCGTGTTCTGCAGCAGCTCGGCAGCATTCATCTTGACGTCTTGCTCGGGAATGTTCCACGCCAAAAGCTGAGGTGATGCCGACGTTCGAGGTTCAGCCCTGCAAACAAATTTTCGGTTTCGACCCGATGGCGTTGGAAGATCCGAACCTTGGCTTAGCGTATTTTCCCTTCTATGCGCTGTCGTTCTCGGACAAGAGCACCAAAGGCAGTACAACGATGGCAGTGGAGGCGAAAGGAGTTGGTTGGCCACGAGGCTTGATGAAGAGGTTGTGGGTGTTGTGCAGATGATGGGAACAAAAGCGTGTTGGTGTGTGTGTTGCAGAACTCACGCACAGTGTGAGTAACAATCGCGTCTGCTGCCTTGAAAGCGTTTCACTATTATAGGGTCAGATCGCGTGCGCTAATTGAATCTTGAATGTGAATGATCTGCGTCCGAGCTTTCGCACATCACCAAATTTACAACAGATTCGGATTCAGTTAAAATCACCTTTGACTGGTGACTGTGCGCAGAACCCAACGCGCGTGCAATCACGGTATGTACACGCCGTGGCTGATGACATATTTTGATTTTGATAGCCTTCAGTCACGAGTTAAACGCGCACGCGCACTCTGCCGACTGCTGCTGCACAGCATATGCATACAGCAGTCGTGCTGAGTAGGTATACGCACGGCGGATGAGTCGCTGCTTTTTGCCTGTGCTGCGCGCCTGGCCCGCATGCGCATTCAACTCAAGACTTGCATGCAGACCAACATCAGATGGCGGCCACGTGGTTGGAGGCGTGACGTGGTTGGATCAGCAGCGAGTCAAGCGTGACCCATTCGCGTTGAGTCCGCAACGGCGCGAGTGTGAGTGTCCCTTCCGGGATGGTGATGATGCCCTTTATGTTGTGCAACCTCGTCTTGTCGGAGCGAAGAGGTCTCTGAGACCCTATACGCCCCAGATTTCAGACGGTTGATGCGTGCAGCGCTGGAATATCGGGAGGCACTCGTCAAGCATAGAGCGTCGTCACCATGCACCGTGCGTGACAATGCTTCATCGTAGAGGTGGCATGCAGCAGAGCTCTGACCCTACACTATGCTTCCACCATGCTACGCGGAACAGCCCGCAGTCCATACGCGAAGAAGCCGCCTGACTTTGACAAGCTTGCCAAGCTATACCCAAAACAGCTGGGACCGCAGTGCGTCGAGCTTGCCGAGATGCTGTCGTCGTCGTCGTCGCACGATGCCTTTCTCACTCGATTGCTGAATCACTTGGCAGTGTCACTGAACAAGGCAACGGTCGAGTTCTCATCGATTTTCAGAATGGCGATGCTTGCAGGTGATTGGATGGCCTGAAAAGAGCAGTGCATCTTCAATCTGGCTTTCTGACTGCGATCAAGCCTTTGAAATGTAGAGCTTTGACCCAGGTGCTGCTTCTGCACGATTTCGGCATACACGCGCCACAAGCGGCCGATCGTCTATGTCCTCCAGTGAGCCGTAAAACAAATTGTCGGCCCGAGTGTGAAGCGTTTGGAGGCTTGCTGACCGACCAAGAGCTCCGACGAACCGACGCTTCGTGCAGGTTCCGAACAGGTGAAGATCAGGCTTTCATCCTTTTGGCTCGTCGCCGCTAACCCCAATCGGAGATCTCTTGCAGACTCAACTACGTTCTCTGGGTGCAAGATCTACTGGCTGCCTCGCTGCAGAGTAGCACGACAGGCACATCGCCACCGACCGCGCTGTGTGAAATCCCATCCCCTTGGTCCGCAGCCATTGAGAGCGAACATCGAAGCAAGCGGCAGCGAATAGAGGATGACAAATCCAGCGGGCAACCGGAAGTGGCCGTGCAGATTCTGGACATGTGAGGTTGCAAGCGAGTATGACGACGAGAGGGCCCGCTGAGATGTGAAACCACGCCTGTTTTGCAGTGGCACTGGAGCAAGCGGCATCTATCCTCTGCTGGGCTGCGCTTTGGACGACCGTTGGACATTTACCGCGACAGGTGAGCATGTCGTGCCAGACAGTGCGGTGTGCAGTAATTGATCGAACACTCCTTGGGCACAGACACCGACGGAGAATCTCTCAACCTTGCCCAAAAGATTGTGGATGCTCCTGAGAACGAGAGCAAGCGCCTGAAAAATCGCATTCGCTATCTTCTCCGCAAGAGGAGTGATAGTCTTCTCCCGTTGGACCATGCAGAAGGGACCGGGGCTGCCGAACGGGCACTGCTGTACCATGCGACGATGTGCAATCCTCCTTTCTACACAAGCACGGACGAAATGAAAGAATCTGCTGAAGCAAAGGTGGACATGCCGAGCGCAGTAAGTGAAGAGCGTGTTAGACTAAGCCCCCCCTTCACCGCTGACCGCATCAGCGCACTCAACTAGGCATGCACGGGTACAGAGAGCGAAATGATCACTCAAGGTGGCGAAGTTACCTTTGTGACACGCATGATACGTGAGAGTCTTGCTCCTGAAGCACGAGAGAAGATTGTGTGCGTTCCTCATTGGCGGTGCGCGTAGCGATACACTTTGTAGTTGAATTGACGTGGTGTCGTTGCATACTCAAGGTGGTTATCGTCCATGCTTGGCAAAATCTCCAGTGTCTCTGCATTAGTCAAGGAGCTGCAAAGCAATCGAGTAAGTCATTTGGAAATGGTTGTCTCTCCTCTAGCACAAATTGACCAAGAGCTCGTTCAGATCGACAATTACGCCCTAACGGAATTTGTGCAAGGGCGAACCCGGCGATGGGCAATTGCTTGGAGCCACCAAGCGTATCGTCTACCAGATGTGAGTCGAGACGCAAGGAGGCGCAGTGACGCGCCCACGATGTTCATATCATCCCCGTGTGCCTTTGGAGAGCGTGGCGCGAAACGTCGGACCCTCCCTGCGGACGCATGCTCCTCCGTCAAACAGAGTCTTCAAGACCTTCGAACAGAATCCTGCGGGCCACAAGCCTCGGAGTCTGCTTGGCAAGTTGGCCGAGCTGCTGCGAGGCACAGCTAAAGTGACCGAATCGTGCGGGTCCGAGCCAAGCGAAAGAAGCTCAGATCAGAAGGATGAGGGCGATAATACCGAGCGTGTGCTGCTCGATGCCAGCTTCAGCGTTGACACTTGGTCGAGAGCTGCGCGCAGGGCCAGGGAAAGAGCAGCAAAAGAGGGTCAATCGGCACAGCCTGTTCCAACGTCCACTGCACCGATTCTGTGCCTCCGCTGTGAGAGCGCATACCAAGGCGCCTCCGGGACGTCTCATGGCGAAGCTCCGGCACAAAATTCATCCGAGCGCTCGATCTGGAGCAAGACTGAACCTGGTCGACCTCTGCAGCAGACAAGCCTAGTCGTGTCGATCACTTGGACCTACGGCCACTCGCGCGCCGACTTTGCCGCTTGCTCCAATTCCCTTTTGAGAAGACTGGAGACCTCGATACCGCCTGTGAATCACACGCAGGCGTAATCGGCTTGTCATCTGCTTCGTGATCTTCCGCGGCCACCAATGCCCAAACGCGATTTGCCGATCTGCGCGAGTCTGAGCTCGCCTGACGCAAATCCAGCTTAGGACCAGAGGTGAGGTGGACGCAATGCGCTGCGAAAGCCTGCTCGGTCCTGCAAAATAATTAAATGTGTCCGATTTCTATCTGCAGAGGGGCTGCGCTGCGTAGCTCAACGGAGGCCGGATGGCGGCGCCAAATTCCGTGACAGCGCGGCGAACCTGCAGCAGTCCACTGGGCTGCGGGTTCGACCCCCGCTCTGGGAGCGTTAGTACAAGGTCGTCATTGGTGTATGCGGAACCGAGGACGTCGTCTGTGTAGGACTCGAGCATCAGACCAGACAGGCGGTCAGCCAGACAGCGGCCACCGTTCAGTGTTCAGTGTCACGGGGCGTCGGATGCTTCGGGCATCAGACAGATAGGCCACTGCCCGTCAAGATGTCCGTCCGCGTGACCTGAACCTGCGGCACGGCCAAGTGTGGCTAGCAAGCGGCAGCCCATCCTTGAAGAGGTCCGCCAGGCGAACGAGGAACACGCTCATAGAGTGGGCCAGCAACCAATTTTTTGACGCTTTCTGTTTCTCTCTCTCTCTCTCGACTTCCTTTCACACTTTTGCCGCTGCTGGGTGAGGCAGAGGCGCCTTTAGCTTGAGCTGACCGGCGCCGCCCTTACAAGCGCCGTGGATGCGGCAGACTTTGTTGCTGATGCCAGGTCGAACACGTCTTTGTGCGTCGAGTTGCCTGCGCCTTGAGCTAGCACTGGCGAGACCTGCCCCCGCGCCCGATCCGCCTCCCCAATCTATCAACTGTAACGGCGCAGCAGAATAGGGACTGAGAATACGAACATCTATTGCTGAAGTGAACGCGAAAGTGTGATCTGGCCGAGCAAATCACACGCTCTTCGCCTTGGCTTCGACCTGATGAGCAATGTCTCTGGCATCCTGACCAGCTACTTTTAGTCCGCTAACGTCCTCCACGCTCTTGAGACTCCGTTTCCATGCTTTTGCAGCCTCCTCTCGAGCTTCCTTGGTGCTCTTTCCAGCGCTGCTCAGTAGACCTCGGACCGACTGCAGCGCGGATTCCCTGTGCTCCTTTACAGCTGGGAAGTGTCTACCCTCCAGCTCGACGTAGTAGGAAGAGACATTCGAGGTTGTCTCTGGCAAAAAGTATTGAGAAGACACGACGAGGGCCAAAGGAGGCGTCAAGAGACGCAGCGGAAGTGCACCTGGGTGTTGAGCGGAAGAGAGGATGATCGAGTCAGCTTTGCTAGACTAAGTCTTCATTTTGCAACTTGCAGAATTTCGGATGCTGCCTCACGATATCGTGTGAAGACGGAACTTGCAAGCGTGGCGACACCGATGTAGAGGATTCCGGGTGTGAGAGGTTCGCTGTCGGAAACGAGCGAAGAGACGCGATCTGCGAGGAAGCAGTAAAGTGGGCGAGGGCATCGAGCGTGCCGCTTAGCTGTCAGTCACCCTTTCGCTGACAGGAAAGGCGCCGGCAATTCAGTCGCGCGTAGATACACAGCCCCACACTCACTTTCCACAGCTCTTTCCACACCAATCCATCGACTGACTCCGCTCTGCACGTAGCCCTTGAGATCGCTGAACGAGCTCTGCAAAGCGCGCCTCGCGTCCCCAACATGGCCTTCCAAAGCAGTATGGGTCTCGATCAGTGTCACTGGTGGTGTGGGTTGAGGATAGATGGGCAGCTAGAATGCGCATGTATGGAGTGAGAGTCAAAGGTCAGAGCGCGGGCGAGCACGGTGAATCGAGGTTGACCGCGCCGCGGCGTACGTACCTTGTGGGAATCGTGCCCATCAGCGAGCACAGGCATCAGCAAGGCAGCGCTGGTAGATGCACCGACTCCGAGAGAAAAGGCTGCAAATGCGCCAGTGCTCGAGCCTTTGGCTCGCAGCTGAGTGACCAGAGTCAGGAAGGCGGTGAGCATGAGCCGAGGGTGAGCATGCAGCGCGATGAAGATCTCCACTCCGAGGCACCTTCTCGACGACTACTTACCGCGGCTGTCAATGCCATCTCGATGACCTTGTTGCGTGGATGCTCAAGGCACGACGCTGGCGCTTGAAATTCCGAAGGGTGGACGCAAGATGGGTCAGAAGGAGGAATGGCGACTTCGTAGCTCAAGCGGTTGCCCTCTATCGCGAATCCCGGTCGGCTCCGCGCTTTTTGCCTTTGACGTTGCTCTGCGAAGTTCACGACGCGCTGCGCCGCGCACCAACTGCCCACCCTGTGCTTCACGGCCACAGCCAGTCAGTCTTCTTGCAGCGCATGAGCTTGGCGAGCGCCTTGCAAGCCTCTGCACGTGACTGAAATTTGTTCATCGCCCGCGCTTCATCACCTCTTTTTGAGGCCGTCCACACAGAAGAATCTGATGAATGCATCCGCCCATAGGGATGGATGCCTTCCCGCAGCCTTCCAACTTCCCTCACCCTCACGACTCGGAAGGATCTCACTCATTCTGAGCGCAGGTGGAGATCCGCTTGGTCCACGTCCTCGGGTCAACATCTGCTTTGCACGAGAGGCTCATTTCGAAAAATCGCGCGTCTCTTTCACCAAGCGGGTGCGAGCAGCAATACATCCACGCTCTCTATCCTGGCACCTCATCTCCACTGCCCCCCCTGCCGCGCCCGACCGAGCCTGCCGGCCTAGCAAATCGAATATCAGGCCATCTCTCGCGCTAGCTGCCTTTCTACGCGATGGTGAGCATACAATGGGGCAAAAATCGTTAGCCATGTGCCCGAACTGATCGATCCCCTTTCAAACAGATCATTCCCGTTCGCTGCTTCTCGTGCGGCAAGGTGATTGGCGACAAGTGGAATGCCTACTTGGCTCTGCTGCTGGCTGGAAAGAGTGAGGGCGAAGCGCTGACAGAGTTGGGCATGAGGAGATACTGCTGTAGGAGGATGGTCCTCACCCACGTGGACTTGATCGAGAAGCTCTTGCATTACAACAGTGAGTCATTGGTCTCATTGTTCTCTCAGCTCGTCGCTCGGCTTCTCGATGAGAATGAGAAGGTGCTAGGGCTTCTAGGACCGAGCGATAGTTGTCGCAATGCCCTCGTCGTCCGGACGGCGGTCATTACGAGTGGTCGGGAGGCATGGCCACCAGCTTGGCTTTTCTTTCCCTGCTGTTCATCGTCGCTTCCTACTGTCCCGGGCCCGTGACTCGGAGCTAGCTGCAAGATGCGCGCACAAAGGAGCCTTTGAACTGACTCATCTTCTCAACCGGCCCAATATTTGCAGTTCACGAGAGGCACAGCGCTTAGTTCCGTTCACGCAGCAAAAGCGCCTAGCTCTCATTCGAGATTGTCTCAATCACGCTCGTCCGAGCGACTTCCTCGTCCCGCAGCAGCCCTTCATTTCTGTACATCACTCAAAGCAGTCTCAACTTGTCGCACTAAGCGCACCACAGATCGACGTACTGCAACGCGTGCGCAGCGTCTTGACAAGGAGCTTGAGAACGGGCGTTGGGAAGCAAATTCTCCAGCTAATCTTGGTCGGTCCTTGTGTGTCTTCGCTATGCCTGGCCCATTGGAGGCTCAGGGTTGCGAATGATGAGGGTGCTCGGGCTCGATGCGTACAAGCAAGGCGTCGCGACGAGTGTGCGATCAAGGGAAGCAATTCCGAGGCGAATAACGGCTGCAGAGCGCCGTAAGGGGCGATCTGGGCGCGAAAGGCCGAGTTGACCTTCTCGCTGCTCTACGATCCACCCGATTTCGCCTCCCATCTCGGCCCGATGGAGTCGCGTCCGAGTTGGTTTCAACTCGCTCCCCGCGGTGGCTTGAGAAGAAGGCGCGTGCAGAACTCCGCCCAGAAATTCACGATTGTGGCTACGATCAGCAGGGTCGTGCTTCCTGCTCATCTCGCTCGTTGCCACTCGCCAGTGATACCGTACTGTACCGCTCGAAAAGCGTCCCACACAGCCGGGCTGGGCGCATGACTGCTTGCTGCCTTGATCTCGAGCCCCGCTCGACTACTCGAGCCTCGACTGTAAGCAGGATTTCATGGGCAGGTGGGCGGAACTCCTACGCCTCTTTTCCTGCTGCTGCTGTTGCTGCACGTAGATCGGCACGCAGCACTCATCGAGACCGCGTTCCTATAGCTGCAGCTTCCCGTCCCGATGCACGCTTTCCCCACACGTTCACTCACTCTGACTCCAAGTATGCTTCCCAACGTCCAAAAGACCGACCCGCACGACAGCGTGCACGGAGCACGTCCCACTCCCCAAACCCCCTCACATGCCATATTCCAGACAAGCCACGATCCTGGGACGATGGCGGGACTCGCTATGAGCTCGGTAGGCCAGCCGGTGCACCGCAGGGGGAAAGAGACAGTGCCGCGTAATAACCACATCGCAACGCACTTCCCGGCATTGAACTTGTCATCACCGCGATGCCCCCGTCCGCTGCATCCAAGCGCTCGTCTGGGAAAGATGAGGAGGCACCTCGTCGTCGACGGGGATGCGACGTATGGCTTTGCGTTTGTCGTCATGCGGAGCATCATCCCACACAACAACAATCAATGGCTCCGAACGCAATCGCAACGGTGCGGCGCGGCCAGCGCGCCAACGCAGAGCATTGGAGGAAAGCATGGCGGGACCAGTAGGGACGCGAATATGTAGGGATCGTGGACACCGTTTATGCGACACGCAAGCAGGCCCACATCAAGGTGACACAGGATAGAGGATGCGCGACACTTGATCATTGGCGGGCTCGTGACACGTAGTGGCTGCAGCTGGTTGAAGCCGCATCTGCTGCTTTGCCGATCATCTCGTGTAACAAGAGGTGTGCAGCGTCACTGGATCGGGGAGCAAGGCGAAACGGGAGGCGAGTGTCGGACTTCTCTCCGACAGCATCCATCCGCGCACGAACCTCCACGTTCCTGCGTCCCTGCAAGAGCATTATCCTGCTCCCTTTCGGTCTTTTCCATCCCGTTCCCGCTCTGCCAAAGAGTTCGCGGGCATGTACATCGTTGGACCCGCGGGACCATGGCATTTGAGCCCACACCCTGAAACGTATCGCCTCGCCACATCCCCGCAGCTGAAGGCGGGCGATGCGCTCTGGTGAGCAGGTGAACATAGCGATCCGGCGCATCCACAGGACCCGAGCATCTGGCTCCAAGGCTTCTGGATCCCACGATTGGGTCGGCTAGTGGGGTGCGAACGCTTTGCTGATTGAGATCGCTTAGTGGTGCTGATGAGGCTTTGCCATGCCCGCACGGCATGCGCTTCTCCGCTCTACACCCATGACCGGCGAGAATCGATGCGAAGCTAGACTCACCTGTCCTTGACAGGTGTGCTAGCAGTTTGTCTATAAAAAGCGCGTCCTAGAGCATCCCTTCTCTCTCTTTCACGTCACCCAACCCAAACCTTTCCCTCGACAATCCTTCCCCCCCTCCAGCCCCTTTCCACAGCTTCGCTCCGCTCATCGACCCAAGGAACTCAATTATCCATCATGCGCTCTACGTCCCTCATCGTCGGCGCTTTGGCCATTGCAATCGGCGCAGTCTCGGCAGTCCCGGCTCCCCAGACCGGAACCAGTCCAGCGGCTGGCCCATCGGCGCCCTTCCAGCCCTCTGGACCTGATGCTGCAAGTTGGCAGACTACTGGCTGCACGGCAGGTCAGTTCGACTCGGACGTTGCTGCCGCTCATATCGACCGTGACGCGTACTGACACGACCCTTGTCGATCGCCTAGACTTCTACCCCAACTCTCGCCTGCTCCGATCTGGCTACACAGAGGACAAGCAGGCAATGACCGTTGGAGTGAGTCGCACAAGATTCGACGCTGCGCGAAGCTTGCACTCACAGGTTGTTGCTGTCATGGTCATGTAGAAATGCTTGACGTACTGCGGTTCCCTGGGAGCATACTACGCCGGCCTCGAGTATGGGTGAGAGCGAGCGAGACATTCTGAATGCAGAGAGAAACAACAAAAAAGGCTGACTGCTTGTCTCTGTGTACTGCCAGCTACCAATGCTTCTGCGGCGACGCGCTTAACTCACCAACCGGAACAGTCGACACGCCAGCAGCCCAATTGACCAGCTCGAACGACGGTGGGTGCAACACTGTTGCTCCAGGAAACGGCGCACAGCGGGCTGGCGGTCCCAACAAGCTGCTGGTGTTCCAGAGCAAGGTTAATGGACCAGCTGCTAGAAGCGTCACCATCACCAACGGATCTTATCAGGGCTGCTACCGTGACGACCCGAACAACCGCCTTCTGCCTGCCGGTACGTATGGAATCAACGACAATACCGTGCAGGGTTGCGCAACTCGCTGTGCCAATTCGGGCTACGACTTGTCAGCCACCGAGTATAGAAGCGAATGCCACTGTGGCTCTTCCTCATCTGTTGCCCCCCCTGCCAACAAGAAGATTGACGAGTCTAACTGCAACAACTCTTGCACGGGCAACACCAAGCAGATTTGTGGAGGCGCTTCGGCCCTGTCCGTTTACAAGACCACGCTGTCCACCACACCGCCGACCGGCACTCCTCAGCAGCCTTCGCCCGTGACTGCCAGGAATGGCCAGAAGTACAACTTCATCGGGTGCTACAAGGACCGCGCTGACCCCAACCGAGCTCTTGACGGAGCAGCGCTCTTCTCGAATGCCAGGACGATCCAGGGCTGCATCACCACCATGGCTGACCGTGGCTTCAAGTACGCGGCGCTGGAGAATGGGAACGAGTGCCGCGGTGGCAACACTTTGCTCTACAGCAGCACTGTCGGTGCTACGTGCGACAAGCCGTGCAGCGGAAACAGCGCTCAGACTTGCGGTGGCAGCGTGTACAGCATGAGTCTCTATCAAGTAGCGGCTTGACCAGCAAGATGACGAGCCATGCAGACGTGCCATGTTTCTCGCGACCTTCTCAACTCAAATAAGCGCACGTTCGATTCATCATGACCCGACTCGGTCACCTCATCAGATCCCCACATTCGCGATGGTCTAAATGGTCATGACGAGCTCCTCGTTTTTGCAAATTGCTTTTCCGTACTCCTTTGCTCGCGACGATAAGTCACTGATTGGAATGCCCAAGTTCGAAAAAAAAAAATAAAAAAAATCCTTCTATCCTCTTTCGTCGCCTGCCTATCCTGTCTGGCTCATTGAGCAAGAGGTGCTGATGAAGGATCAGCAAGTGATTTGAGAGTCACTGCATGGCTTTGAGATGAGCTTGGCGTCTTGCTTGCTTGACGGTGTGCTTGAAGAACAAGTTCCCATGCTAACGTCAAAACACGTCGCGGCGGATATGCACATGAATGCAAACACACGAATCACGATTGTTCGAGTCGCTGATAGCAGGTTGAGACATCGAGCAGAGGGCAATTGATCAAGATGCGTCATGGAGTGGCATGATCGCGATCGGAAGCAAGCTCTGATGCACGCCGAGAGCATGCCTATACAAAGCACAGCGCGAATCGCATTCGGAGGTCTCAATCGGTCAAGGAAAAGACGGAAGGTGCATGTACATTCGCGATTGCTGCCGCACGCGTGCATACTAACGGCTTCGTCTGCGTAGACACGTTTGCGCGGCACTTTGGCAGCCTTTATCATCGATGGACCACTCAAAGTACAACAAAGCCGGCTCGGCCCTCACTCTCAATCAGGGTGCAAAGACTTTGTGCGGCCAGAAGCTGACGATTCCAAGTTGCAATTTCGAGTGCCATATACATGCCAGTATGCCGCGTTGTGATCGACTGCGCGCGCGGTCCGCTCAAGACACGCTTCGCTCGCGGCATGCAACTTCCTGCCATGATGCGCTCAATCCTCGCTCAACAAATGAAAGCAATCACGAAGCACGAATGCTGAGCCGCGCAGTCAAGTGCTTACGGCCGGGCGGTGGTTGTGGATCTTTGCCGGAACAATATGCGTTCGATTCGATGGCAGGCCGTATATCGTTCAGGATTTTTGGTGCGTCTGCCCTTTGTCGGCGCAGCTGATCAGCCATGGAGGACGAGAATCCTGTCGCTGAGATCCGAGTGAGCTGTTGGGATGCCTACATAACTCGCACCTATCGGAGATCAATGCCGACGCACAGCCAGCGGAAAAGGAATCTGAATCACGCATGGCGCTCTGAGCTTTCTTCAAGACTACCGGCGGGCGAGGGAGAAAGAAGAGCAAGGGAGCAAGCAGCACTACGTACATGTACCCCACCCCACACGCGCTGCCGTGGGAAATTCATGCAGCTTGAACTGAACCCCATCCAGCAGCAGAGGATGCAGCGACGAGGTAAGTGCATGCGCAAGCGTGCAGAGATGATGGAAGAGCCGTTGATAAGTTGGAAGAATCAGAGGGTCGGTATAAGGGCAGTCATGACTACGTCGGTGTTCATATGAACAGAGAATGTGTTGTAGCAATCATGGTGCATCATCGCAGGTATAGCCAGCCCACACTCGTGACTGACCAGTAACCGCGGCACTGTGGGCTCGTGATTCATGCGTGCAATCGCGCGTGTATCGTTGCAGAGGAGGCCTTGTTTATCCCCATGTAATCGATCCTGTCTACGTGTATAGAGTGGGCGTCAAAGCTGCCATTTGTGTTGCTCCGTAGGCCTCGTCTCTCCGAACGATGCCAATGATCGTGAGATGCAGCCACACCACAACACTCGTGATCTGCGCTGACAATCGAGCCATGCACCTCGTCGTCGCAAATAGCGAGCGCCTGTGTGGGCAGAGACACTCGGTGAAGAGCAGCAGCGTGTGCAGAGCGATCGCCCTGACAGACCGTACTACGGTACCTATGTCTCGCCAGGCCGAGCGTCGGACTGCTTGCTTCCTGGCGCTTCAGCTCGTATAGAGAGCAATCAATCCTCTCCATCAGCGCCGCAACAAACTCCTTTGCCGCATGGAGCGCCTTGCTCGCCCTGACAACATCAACCAAAACCCCCCGATCGACCTTCAGCCAGACGCCGGTCACACCTTTGACGGTGTCGACGCCAGCTACTCCGTTCCATCGCCTGACCTCTCAAATACCGTCAGGAAGTCAAGGCTTATCGTTCTTGTCGCTCTTCCCTATCGTGCCGGCGCTCTCTTACGCAACGCCGAAATGTCGTCCCATCACGATATTGAGCTGAACGGCGACGTTTCAGACAAGTGCGCAACTTCTTCTTCTCGTCATGGAGACTCGAGCATACCTCCGTCGCCGATCCAATTCACTGATAGGCCAATCACCGGCATGGCGCTTCGACACCAGCTCGAACAGAAGGATGGCCAGTACGTGCTGGAGCTCGGAGAGGCTCAACGGCAGTTCGGCGATGAGTGGGCAAGCTCCTTGAAGACGGACAAGAATGGCATTGTCTTGTGGCCCCAGCCTTTGGGCCCTGAAGACCCCCAAGCCTGGCCAGAGCGCAAAAAGAGCCTGATCCTATTCAGTGAGCTGCTCCTACCCTTCGACCTTCGACACAGAAGCGCAACTGACGCACTTTCTGCACTCCACGTCTTGACAGTCATGGTTTTGGCAGCCATAGTGCCAGATTTTGATTCAGCTCTCGGTAAGCTTTGTCGTGTTGCGCCGAAATGGAGAGATTCGTGGCTGATACCCTTGCATGATTGAACGCGCAAAGGAATTGCGTCCATGTTCGGCCTGGCAAAGACTTTCCACACAACACCTGACCGTATCAACAATTTGACCAGTAATTGGTCCATCTTTCTCCTGGGACCCGGCGGTGTGTTTGCCATCGTTTTCGTTCGCCGCTTTGGCCGTCTGCCCGTGCTCTTTTGGACGTGAGTGCACCATTTGCAGCACTAGTCAATTTCTTTCTGACTGTCTCTCTGGTTTGCTCTGCAGCCAGGTGATCGGACTCGCCTTTCTTGTCGGCGCTACGTTCGCCCCGACCCTAACCAGTTTCGCCGTCTGTCGATGCCTCAGCGGCTTTTTCTCGACGAGCTCGCAGGTGCTCGGCCTGTACATCTGCACTGACCTGTATCCGGTGCACAAGCAACCAACGCGGTGCGTCGTCGCAAACACGAAATGCGGCATTCAGGGTTTTGCGCAAACTGAATTCGGTCTGCTTCATTTTCCGTCACTGCTCAGCGTGGCATTGTGGACCTTTGGCTATCTTGGTGAGCCGAATTGCGCTGGCGGATGCTCAGCATGTTTCTGCTAATCTTGTTGTTGTCATCCTCGCTGTAGCGAGTCCTTTCATTCCGCCCTTCATTTTTGGCTACCTGGCGGCACGTCAAAGTTGGCGCTGGGTGTACGCTTGCGGCTCAATCTACTCGGTGATTGGTGAGTGCACCAATGCCGGTGATCCGGCCTTGTCAAAGATGTGCAAGGCTGTGATCTAATCGCCTCCCTCCGCTAGTGGTTCTCTTGATTGCTTTCTGCATGGAGGAGACTCTGTACGACCGTCATTTAGATCCTGTCCCCGCACGTCCAACACACGGTCTTCGCTATCGTATCGAGACGCTCCTCGGTCTCACGGCCTGGAAGCTCAGAAAGAATCGCACGCCCATGTGGCAAGCGGTGAAAGAGTGAGTCGGGCGAGCAGGATTTCACACGCCGACAACATGCGCTTGCTGAGGTCTTGAAGCTTTCCGCAGAATGCTCGAGGTCATGTTCCATCCGCAAGCCGTTCTTTGCTACATCTTTGGCGCCATCTTCTTCGGATTTACCGTGGGAATCAACGTGACGCTGCCCATTTTCTTGGCTGAGCCCAAGCGTGTCGGTGGCTTCGGCTTCTCGCACGACGCCATCAGCACGCTGTACTTGGTACCCATCGTAAGTGACGCTTGTTCCGTCGAGGCTTAGACCATCACGTTGCTTATGGGATACATCGGATCCTTAGATATCTGTCTTTATTGGCGAGGCTCTGGCTGGCTGGTGGTCACGCATGGCTACCAGATGGTCTGTTCTGCATGGACCAAACGTTGGAACGCTGCAAAACGAAGACCTCTTGCTGCCGACTGCGCCGGGCACGCTCCTGTACCTCATCGGTGAGCAATGTTGGCCTATTGACTCCATCCGCCCACAAATAGCTGAGAGTCATGCGCCCCATCCAACCGACAGGTATGCTGGCTTTTGGTGCTGGACTTCAGCACGTCACTTTGGCAGGCATCATCATTGGATGGGCCCTTATTCAGGCAGGCTGCATGGTCAATCTCGTCGCGTGAGTCGAATGAGGCCGGAGATCGTAGGCCCGCCAAGCTGACCCTGTCAGGCCGCCAGCTTGCTGAGCAAGCTATCTCTAGAGATGCCGGACCGTGGCGGAGAGATAGCTGCACTGGTGAATTGGGCCAGAGTCCTCTTCGGTTTCTGCATTCCTTACTTCCAACACGAGTGGGTCAACCGCGATGGTCCGATGCTCGTGTGGGGAACCGAAGGTGGCATAGTCGCCGCACTATGGTGAGTTGAAAATGAGACTTATATGCTTTTTGAGACTGGCAAGGCTGAGCGATGTGACTATGATGACGTCTCCGTTGTGTACAGGCTCTTCACCATGGTCCCATTATGGCTCTTCGGTAGTCGCTTGGGACGCAGGTCTCAGAAAGACGAGCATTGACCTTGATTGGCTTCAGAGCAAGCCTCAGCGACGGTCCATGGCCATGATCCCATGCAAATCGATCGTCACTCCTTCACTTTCCCTCTTTTCTCGTTTCCTCTTGTTCTGTTCTTCTTGCCGACTTGACACGTCCTCCGTCCGGCTTACTAAAACCCCTACCCTCCCTTGCATCTCTCTGTATCGGGCTGATCACCCTGAATGACTTCTGCCCAAGTAGTGGTCATTTGTCTTGCACGCTTTCCTATTTCTCAGTCCATAATCGATAGGTGACACGAGTTCCATAATCGATAGGTGACACGAGCTTCCCTAAGCTGGTCGAGGCAAGAAGCACTTGCAGGGCAAGCCGGACCCTCGGCCCCTTGCCCGCTTCCGGGGGGCGCGCGCCCGTCTCCTCGCTTGATGATCCGCTTACACGTTTGGGTCTGCACTTCCTATTGGGTCAGCGAGTCTCTTTACGAGTCATGACCACACACGAAAAGACACGAGGTATGGCTCAGGTGTTGCTTGGACATTTAGTCGACTCGGTACATAGTTCAAGCCAAGGAGATCATCAGCTACAGGCAAAATCGAGACATGCAGCTGCATGGCCATCCTGCAGCAGCTGCTGCTGCTGCGCGAGCTCCAAAAGCCGCCTTACATGCTGCTGCTTGTTGCGCGTGGCGTGCTTGCTGAATCACAAGTGAATCGTGAATGTTGCAGCAGCTTGCAGGAGCACGCGCAATTAGGAGAGCTTCATGCCGCGGCTGCTCTGTGTTAGACTCCACCATCACGCTACCATTGCGCGTCTCTCTTCAAGGCATCCACATCCGTGCATCCATTTTCCCATCACCACATCCTATTCCGGTTCAGAAGTAGCAACAGGCCCTACACCCATCACTGTCGATGCTGTTTCGTTGACCATCCAACATCAGCCTGGATTCCCCGATGGCCATAGCTGCTATGACGGCGCACAGATGTTGTGCCAGACGAGTCTAACCACGCATTGCTTAGCTCGTTTCAGGTTTGACGGACAACACACCGCGACGTGACGAGCAAACGTATTGCCCGAACAAGCAACGCTGATGTGCACAGTCACTTTGACGCAGTCTGCTTTCGGGAAAGGCGGGTGGCAAGCTGCGCCAGATATGCACTGTCCGGCGCAACCAAAACCCAGAATCGTGAATGGCTTGCCGTGCTTCATGGTCGTCTCCGCGCGTGGAACGGAGCGGGACTGCGAGCGGCTATACAGCATACATAGGCTTTCCGCGAAGGAAAGCGCGACACGACAGGCTCAAGACGGCTGATGACTCGTCGTCGCGCCGGAATCACGGTCATATTCGTGGCAAAAGCGCACCTCCTTGCTCGATTCGATTCAATTTTTTTTCGAGTTTGAGTCGAAATCACGCGCGAATCACGAATGGCTTGCTTGTCGCCTTCTCCGCGCTATAAGCAGTCGAAAGTCCTAAACAGCACCGCCTACGCTCGCAACTGTCCTTGATCACATGCGATGCTCTCGGACTGCATCACTGTACTCGGCTACTCGCTCTACTGCCAGTCTGCCTGCCACGCCTGACAGGTTGATCACTCACAATTGTAAATGTGACAGGTGCCCTCACTCAAGACTCGAACTCCGACGCTCCACCTGATGCTTAGCGCGATGAACGCAGACATGGCAGCAATTAAGAGGAAGCAGTACAAGGAACAATTAATTTCAAATGGTTCGCATCAGAAAGCTCAAGATTGCTTTCGCAATTCGTGGTGATTGTTGTCGGATCTGAAGGTCACGGAGGCCCACGAAATTGACTGCGCCTTAAGCATCGTCAGCTGAGCTCCAGCTCCGACGTCCAAGACCCGGAATACGGCGCAGACTCGCGCAAGCACTATCAGGCAAAAGTATACACTCACGAATTAGACTTACGACTACAACGATGGCATCAGCCGCACCTTGCTCATGGCTTGATCGATCAGGCCTCTGCATGATGGTCCAACGAGAAGAATCGCAGCCGCCTCTTTGGACTGCGCGGGTATGTATAGCGACGGCTGCTGCTGCAAAGACGCGGCATCAGACAAACTGCGACGCACCCCTCTTCCGATGAAGTCACAAGAGTCTGCGCAGCTGCGGTCTCAAACAGTGTGAGTGACTGCGTGGCTGAGCACCGAAGCTCGATCGGCCGGCTGATCTCCGCGTGATGACTGCGCAAATAATCTCGAATAGACTCGTGACTCAGGCGACTGCAAGGCCGTGATGATTGCGGCATGTGCCTGTCATTGCTCGGTCGTGCATGAGATGAGAATAAGCAACGAATACACAATCGTTGAATACCTTCGTGTGTCGAGTCGCAGCTAGATTACAGTCGGCAGCGCGGCCAATGGAAGGTGCGATGCAACGATTAAGAGAGCTTTCCGCCCTTTGTGCCCGACACTAAGGCGCTTAAAGACGGTCATCAAGCAAGGTCCGGAATTAATGGAGTGATGCCTTCGACGCCCACCTGCGCGCAATTAGCTTTCTCATGCTGCTGGATGCTCGGTCGATGCACACACTGCAATGACTGCGCGAATCCCAAGAGTAGCTCTCGTACCTTGCAGAGTGACCCCTTCGGCCCGTGCATCGCGGCGGTTCTGCTCGGCTATGGCTCAGCTACATCAGCGTCATCCACACTCGTGACTAGAATCAGCGCAGATCTAGTACTTCTTCAAGACATCGCCACTACCCATCACAATTCACAAAGATCACAGCGGTGATAAGGGCGGCGCTATTCATCACTCTTGCCCAGCTTTGGGTCACAGTGAAAGGTCTGATGAGTGTCACGCGCGGGTGGCAGCACGCACACGTACGTACACATTTGGGATGATTTCTCTATCCCATGGATGGCTTCATGCAGCTCGGAAAGTCGCCTCCGCCCGCACTTTCGACGCCCTGCTCATCCTCTTCTGAGCAGACAGCAATAACCGTGAATCGTGGCTACTATATACACGCCGAGTCATGCGTGCGGTGTATGGCTGCATATGCGTTGTGTTGCCCCATCTCGAAGGACACGCACTCACCACTGCCGCTCCCAAGCTTTCTGGCTGCGTAGGTGTACCTCAGGTCCGACGGTTCTCGCTCAGCAAGAGCACGGCACCGGCGGTATGCTTTGTGGTGTGCTGCTGCGTGCACTCCCACTCGTGAGTGGCATACGTCGTACCTCCCCACCGCTGCTCGCACGCCCTGTGCCAGCTGCTGCTGACTAGACCTCGTACATCCCGGCCGCGAACGGATTAGTGGGCATTCAATCGTACATTTGGCGAAGAAGCTAGTCTGCCAGCAGCAGCAGAAGCTCTGATTCTATACCATCAAGGGCGACAGGTCTCACGCGTCCCAGGGCAATTCGCTTCCGACAGAAACAGTCTTAGTAGTCCAAGCATGCGATCTTTCTCAACAACATTCGACTTTGCGCCCTCATCGTTGTATCGCTGATTGGGCCCAAGACCAGCAGATCTTCGTCCATGCTAAGGCCGCTCTGTGAATTGCTGCTCAAACTGCTTCAAGACTCGACGTATGTACGCTTGTGGGCTGCGTTTGTAGGAGAAGAGCGGTCGGCGTCACAAATAACACGCTGTTCCTACCCGAACAGCACTCTTGACTCTACCAGCTGCTGCTGAGCAAACCTCGAATGTGTGGTCGAGCGTCATTCACGAATGTGGACAACCTCCCCTCCAATAGGCTTGTTCATCAGTGCATGCGCATCTTGCAGTCTGGCGAGTGCATGTCGGGGCTGACCTTAGGATCGGCAAGTCTCTTTAGTGAAACAAAGTGGCACCACAATTCACAATCTCTGACACCACGATTTCGGCTTAGCAACACGGTGCAGGCAAGGTAGCTCAGCCTGCTCCATTAGGGAGACCTGAAACACTCACGACTTGTCAAATTCTTGAATGCAATTGGGAAGCAGCGCGCAAAGCTATAGCTGAGCTAGGTTGCGTGCGACCACACGATCACCAATCAAGGATCGTGACTCATCTGCAGATTCCCTACAGCCGCAAGCACCAATTGGGCCAGTTCACGAAGTAACAAGCGATTTACCGTGCTCGGTCTTTCTCACATCCGAATCATGCCTGCCTCATCACGCAAGTCGAAGGGGCGTCGCCCAGGATCCAGCACGGATGAATTGCAAAGTCAAGCAGGCACCGCCGGCGGTCGGTCGGCATCCAGTAGCCCGAAGAGTCTTCGGGCACTGATGAGCAGCAATCAGCCCCCGCCAGAGATACAGGCGAGCATCGCTTTGGCCATGCGCCAAAAGCAGCAGCGGCAGCACAACAACAAGCCTCCGCTCAGTGGCAGCATATGGTCCTTCGCATCGGGTATGCACCTCTGTGCTGCCGCATACCTCGACGAAGCTCCAGCACCATCCTCTGCAGCGTCCACAATGTCGTCGACTTCGGACAAGGACGCAAACTCGCTGAGTTTGAGCGCGAGTCTGTCATCTCCCCGATCGCGTCAGAGTCTGAAAGGCAATTCAGTCCTTGGAAAGACCAAGTCCTTGATGTTATCCACTGCAAAGCGTGGAAGCTTCAGTCAGCTCTCTAGGCCATCCACTTCATCTGGTCGTGTGGCGGGAGACAATCATGCTACCACCACCACTTCGAAGCTGCTTGCCGTGGACAAAGATCATGCTACGCCCGACATAACCAGGCGCAAGTCAACCACATCCGAAAAGCATTTGGGCAGCATCTCAAAGACTGGACCCCCTGCGCTCAGGCACCAACGATCGTGCGGCTTCGAGTCGCTGAAAAGCAGTCAAGCTCTTAGCATTCAACCTCGATCTGTGGGCTCGATGAGCGCTCTCGCAGTACCTGGCGAGCCCCTGATTACGGCAATCAAGACTATATGCATTGCTTCGGACTGGGACGACAAGGTCCTTGCACTGAATGCCGAGCTCGCTTTCATGCATTCTCAGGCGACGCAGACGCATGCTCTAAGCAAGTCCTCAGCATTTTATCTCCTCGTCCTGACTTCAGGCTCGGATGCATCCAGGCAGTCTTTCCCTGCAGATCCGTCGGACAAGCGCATCTCGACGCTCTCGTTCCTCGGTATGCACAGAGACCAGATCGAAGCAAATGCTCCAGTCGTGGTGCGGAGGACGTGGAAAGAGCTGGAGCTACTCGACGCCCATCTGCATGCCTCTCTGGAGGTGCTGTTGACAAAGCCAGAGCACACCAGCGTCACTCGACTAGCGAAGTTTCTTGAGAGCGAAGCGAACGATGGCTTGGTAAAGCCTAGCAATGTTGAGTCCACTCGAAGCCTGCGCAAACGACTCTTCTCGCCTACGAAGAGGAAGGAGGATCATGTTGAGCCTTTTGCGCTGATGACTGCTGCAGCGACCACTTCGGACTCTGCCGACTCGGGTAACCCCTCGATGCAGCGGGTGATAGCATTCAAACAAGCGCTAGATATTTACTGGCAACGACTGTTCGAAACTTGCGGTGACGCTCTGGCGACCTCAAGAGCAGTATCGGATTTCTTGTGGGTTAAAAAAGCCATCTTTGCGCTGCGCGTGAGCTTTGCCGCTCACATTCACTTCTTCGTATCGCATTCGATCAGTGCCCTTCGTTCAGGCGATCCAATCAAGCTGAGCACGCCGCCCAAAGAGATGCCAGACCATCACCGCATCTCCGTCTTCGATCTCAACGCTCCGATCACTTCAGAGCAAAAAGATTCAAATGCAAATCCGAATAACAGCGCACATTCCGACATCGAAAGCGCGAAGAGCCTTCGCTCAAAGCTTAGCTCGAGCAGTAGTTCAAAGAGCGTGCGCATTATGATGAAGCCCCCAGCATCGCCAACCTCGTTGCGTAGCATAGCCACGTTTGGCAAGCCATCACACTTCGATGACTGGCGCACGCCAAGAGGGTCTTGGGGCGATGGAGGCTACTATAAACGGGTCGAAGGCAAAAGTAGCAGTCCACCCCAAGACACGACCTTCAGGCCGCACGTGAGCCAGCGTCGACCTGGTACTGCTCTACCTCACGGTGCGCAAGCGCTGCGCAATGTGTTGGAGGAAGACGACAAGGGGGTAGCCCAAAAGTCTGGACTTGGCGTGCCGAATCCACTTGACATCGCGCGTCAAACCGAACGCCGTGCTACAGAGGGAACATTGACGCACGTGCCTCGCTCTCGAGTTTCGAGTCCCTCAGCCGGCCGGCTCGTCCGACCCAGAACCGCATCTGAAGCCGAGACAAGCAGTCGGTTGCAGCGCAAGGACAAGGGGGAGCGCACATCGCTTACATCGACAACCGACCTGGCAGATGCCGAGATCCGCTTTATCGGCGTGACCAATCCCTATGCACGAGAACGCTTCGGGACCTCCTTCCACGTCATTGGTCGTGAGCCTGCTCGTCATGTGAATATAGATGGAAGGCCTCACACAGCAAAGGGACTCGATCCAGCTGCCAGCGGCTGGGCGACATTTGAACAGGCGGATAGTCGGCCACTCGCTTCCGCAGTCGAGCAACGATCAGTCTCGGGTCCAGCATCGGCCCCTTCCTTGAAGACTCAATCGGACGTTGTGGAACTCTTGAGAACCGAAACTCGAAGTTCGACATCCGACAACAAGTCCAAAGGGCCGAGCGCGCACAACACTACGGCAGGTCTGCAGTTGACGTCAGAGACTGATCGAATACCTTCAGTGGAACATTCAGCCCACGTCAGGACTCATTCTGGTATGTCTTCCACCCCGTCAGTCATAGACGCGCTTTTCTGCGCAGCTGTCCAGACCTTGAGCCCTACCGTAGAGCTGGACGCAGACTATGGCGAGCCCGTCAGCGAGCTAGAGGCTGAGCGTGCTTCGCGACACAGTCCAAATCCCTTGACCTTCATGACGAGCTGCCAAGACGCTAGGCCGAGATCAAGTGCTGATTCGATTCAAGGCTGCGAATACTCCCCTCGACGCTCACACGAGGATGAACCAGCATCCTCGTCACTCGCTGTGCCGGATCATTTTCTGCTCACAGATCCCTGCTCGTACGCGCAACGAATGCTACGACAAACAAGGCTCTGGAATGGTGATCTTTTCGATGAGAATAGGAGCTCTGTGAGCATCTCAGAAGAGCACTTCTGGTTGCAACCGCAACGCCGAAAGTCCTGCGCTCCAGAAAGCGCCACCAGCTCGGCAGCGCCACGTAGCGAATCACTGAGATGCAGCAAAGAGAGCGCGCATCAAAGAACATCTCTGGAGTGGCGCGAAGGCTTGACGCCCCTTTCGGAAGTAGCGAAAAATCCGATTGCAGCTAGCTCACCTGGACCGCATCCTACGGACGAAGCTCTCACCGCGCCGGCTTTCAAGGGCAAGGCTCGCGCCCGTCGATTGACGCTGGATCTATCTGGTGCCAGCTCTCATGAAGCCCTGAACGAGGTGGCTGCTGAGCCTTGTACAGCGCTGGCAGGTGCTAGGGACTCGCCTCGGAAGCCCATCGTAGCCAGTCTGCTCATGCAGGTTGCGGTCGAGCGGGGCAAAATCTTCCTGCCTCAAATCAACACCGACTGCGAATCTAACGAGGATGGACAAAATTCTTTGGTCCGGTCTCCATGGGCGCCAGGACCTTCTGTGTCCCGATTTTCGTCAAGTCCGCCATCTTCATCAGTGCATGCCGCACGTACGCCTGTCAGCCCACAAAGCGGCGTGCAAACGACTTCTCCTGCGTCGACTGCCTCGCGCGGAGCAGAGCTGCGCAAGAAGCGCTCGCAGCCGCTGAAGCTTGAAAATAGTGGTTGGAGTGCTCCATTTACGGAGGCACTCCCTGCGTCTTCAATGCTGCCCTCGCCTCAAGGAAGACCGCGATCAAGCACGCAAAACACTCATAGCTTCGAGGTTCTACCTCTGCAGGACAAAGCTCAGCCTGCTGCCGGTCATTCGTCAGGACAAGTTCCCGTGATGACTGCCGTCCTCCGAAGCGGCTGGATGAGAGCTAATACTCGTCCTTTGTTCTCTGCAGAGACACGTCTGCAGGTGCCCAGAGTCTCGAGCGGAGCACCGTCGTCGAGCTCGTCGACAAACACCTCGAGCGCGGCCTGGAGCGAGCGGGACAGTGGCGCATCCCATGGACACGGAGGCTCTTTGCCACCACCACGCAGATCAGCCCGCCGGCCTCACATCTCCAGCAATTAGACTTTAGCCTCATTCGGCTCCACACGCACTTCACGTCCGTAGCACTCATTTGAGCCTTTGCAGCCTGTGGCCGTGAGCGTCTGTTGTCTCGACGTGGTGTTCTTACTCTGCTCATTCACTCACTTGGTGTCATAGGACAGTCACCTGCGCTCATTGCTGCGACGATCCTTTCATCCTCTTGGTTGTGTCAAGGGCTCGCAGTGCGGAACGCGGAATGATACGATAGCCCTGAGCCATAGCTCTTACTGAGCTTTGAGCTCGACTCATGAGTTGGCTTGCTGATCAGATTCGTGATGGCATCGATCTTCTGCTTCATAACCAACCCTCGAGCAGTAGTCAAAGTCTTAAGCATGAGGGCGAGTCGTGAGTCACGAGTCCCAAGTCAAGAGTTCTGAATGTGGCGGTGCAATAGTCACGTGACACTACGCGTATGCATGGTAGAAAGCTTCCCAACAACCTACGGATTCGTGATTCGTGATCGAAGTCTGATGAGTTGGTACGCATGCACCGAGGAGACGCTCACGTCGGTATCACTCAATACAAGACGCTTGACCGCATGGCGATACAGTGATTGGCTCGCTACTTTGAACCGACGAACACTATACATCCACGCTTTCTCATCTATTCTCGCAAGCTCGGTCACCTCGGAGCAAAGGTTGAGCGCTGGCGCTTTGGGACTTGCACATCCACCGAGAAGCTCTTTCCACCCTCGGCTCCACATCCTCCAGCGGTGACTCGGAAAGACAAGCTGAATAGCAGTCAAGTGATCCTCTCGTAAGCCAACGGCGGTCACACGTGTAGAACGGGATGGCGCGACATGCCTTTCTGCAGCCCGCCAAGGCGGCCCCCTCCTTTCGAGCGCTGCTCGCCGAACAGCGAGGCAGAGAAGCTCCCATGGACCTCGACGCTCCACCGTTGAGTGACCCTCGAATGATGACACGTGCGGACGAAAATCCACCGCACGCATCCACATCAGCACTTGGCAACTCGATCACCGCTCAAAGGCGCACGAACTCGATCCCAGTCATCGCTGGTCCTGAGGTCGAGATGGCGGAAGCAACTCCGCCTAAAGTGCACCGCCCAACTCCACAATACACCGCCACAGCCGGCAAAAAGGTGCGAAGCTCAAATCCTGGCAGGAGAAATGGGACCTCTCAAGGTCGGATGAGCTACGGCAGAGGTAGTGCCGCTTTCGACGCGAGGGATGACGAGAACGAGCGGGACTGGGTGTACGAGGCGGGAAGCGCGGACGAGGAGGAAGAGGAAGAGGACGATTCTTCGTTTGAGGGGCCTCGGGCAGGGTCAAGCATGTCGAGCTCAGCGCTGGCAAGGCTTGCCATCACTCCAACTTCCAAGTCTAGGAGACGACCAGTGAGTGTACGGTTGAAGCTGCGACCGACTAGGCCGTTTCTTCTGCTTGACTTCGCTGACGAGTAGCTTCTTCGCAGGCCTCTCTCAAAAGCCCGAACAGCCGCATCACACACCATCACTGGTATCAGCCAGCGGCTGCCACACCGTCGAAAACCGAGTCCAGTAGCTCAGCGTGGGCGGATCCCGCCGTCGCCAAGGCGTGAGTGAAGGCGAGACGATGCTCTTGGCCTGGCGCTTTCCTTACATCTCAACCCTCTTGTACCGGTCACGATTTCAGCTGGGGAGCTGCATTGGCTAATGGCGGTGTCACGGCCTGTGGGCTCTACGTCTTGTTCCACATGGTCTCGGCTTTCGCCAGCGATGTGAGAAGCAAGGCAAAAGCACACGAGAGAAGTGAGCATGCGGACTACTGATATCGATGGTAGATTGCCGTATCTCACACCTACGCCACAACTTTTCCGTTTCACAGTACACCACAGCGAGATCGCAAGATGCGCACAGCAGTACTCTCTGAATCACTGCGGAACGCCTAATCAAGCACCCGTGCTGGCTGAGCAATGCGCAGCCTGGGAGGCTTGCTACGCGAGGGATCCCTCGACGGTGTCGAGCACCTACAAGCTGGTAGCTGAGGTCTTTGCTGATGTTGTCAAGGGATTTTTGGGGCCTCTAGGGTACAAAGAAATGGTGAGCTGCGCCTCCAAACGCGCGTCTGACTTCGGTCTTCTCGTCACTGAAGCTCTCTGGCTCTTCTCATCAGATCTTCGTAGCAGTGATGGGCTACTTGCTGACGACCTTGGTGGTCAGGTGCACTCTGGCCTTTTTGGGTCAAGCCAAACTGATGGTGCAGCAACAAGCGTCGCCTCAAGCCTTCCAGCCTGGACACTCGCACCCACAAAGCATCGCGGCTTCTTCCTTCATGCCGCCTTTTGGCGTGCATCCTTCGATGGCACAGATTGATCACCAGTCTGCTAGATCTCGGCCTTGGGCCTCCCAACCGACCTCTGAAGCTCAGTATCCTCGCGAGAGAAGAGTCGCTGAAAGATGATCATCATGAAGAGTGTCGGGCCCCCAAGTGTCTTCTCCTGCGTGTCTGTATTCTGTGCCTCGACACACACACACTTCTCGTCATTCAAGAATCATGGTTGTGGCTGCTCAAAAGATCAATCCGCGATTGAGTAGGTGCACTCTACGCTGATCAAGCCCTGTGGCTGTGTGAGGCTAAGCTTCGTATGTGTGCGAGGGTCACGTCTGACTGGCACACAAACTTGACTCAAGGCTTCAACCGAATCGTGGATTCAGCATTAGCCCACCACCTGAACGCACGGGTCAAGCATTCTTGATTCAGGACCCAATTTTTGATTTCAGAGACTCAAAATTCAAAATTGCGTGGCTGTTTGCTTGCTCGACCTTGGATATCGTTTCACATCTCCTTTGACGATTATCAGCGACTAGACGAACTGAGACACGCATACAGCTTGAACCAACTTTTTAGTTGTTTGGCCTGCATGGTAATAAGTCACGAACTGAATCCCGATGTGAAGGCACGAATCGTTCAAGTTCAATTCTGAAATGACATTCAAATCAATTGCTACAAGAGCAGCCATGCAGCTGAGGCGAGTCGCCCCTGCATGCTTGCTAGCGGCTGCGCCTCTCTTTCAATGCTCTAGTAGCTCGGTTGAAGGCGTGATAGAAAAAAAAAATCATGCATGAAAGACTTTCTGCACGAGCCCGGTCACGTCTGTGCAGATTCAAATCACGGTTCAGATCGACCGACGCCTGCTGCCGCGCTGTCAATTACACGGCTTCATCTAGCTTAACAGCAGCATCGATGCGCCACAACGAGACAGCTCGCCGCGCGCATGCTAGACCGCTCCTATAGGCAGCAAACCTATATGCACACACCATGACGGACCGTTTGCGCCCATGCAAGCATCATCGCGAGCTATACAATCGTGATTTTACGAGTCGGAGTCACGAGTGTAATCATCACAAGAATCATCACGAATATGCAAAGAGGTGCGGTGCGCGGTCCACGACCGCTTCAGGAGCTCGCCAAAACGCGCGTCGCAGGAGCTGTGCAGCAGACAGAGACGGTACGCCGTGATCCTCAGTTGGACCGCACAGCATAAAGCGCCGCCGCATCGCGTGCCCATGCAGCGGTCTTTACACAGCATGGGTGCAGCAGCTATTATATACATGTACATACTGTATACTGTACGTACACATATGAGTACACATAGCAAATGCCGTCAGTCTTGAGTGCATGGGTTGCGCCTTGATCGCTGCTAGGCAGCACATCACGAGGGCAGACCCGCGCGCGCAGGGCACAGCGTGGCAGGCATAGCAGAGGCATGCATCCAGCACGAGCCGCGCGCAGGCGAGGGAGGGCAAAGCAGCCGCGCCAAGCTTGAATCGCGCGCACGCACGCACGCACGCACGCACGCACGCACGCGCAAGTTGAAATGAATCTCCTGAACTCGTCATTTCTATGCTTGGGCCTTGCGTGCGCCATCCACTCGTGACGCTTTGAGGTCGCTATTGAACCACTGGTCACACTCACTCTTGACTCTGACTTCGACTCGTGAACTCTCATTCCTCCGCATTCGCATCCCTTCGTTCGGCAAACGAGCGAGGTATATCTCATCGACGTCTCATAGCTCTCGATCGCAGATCTCGCAACTCTTATCTGAGTCACTTCGGACTCATCTACGAGCGACCTCTGCAATCGACCTCGCTTATCACTGGCTCGACGACCTTCCAAGAATTCCGCAACCTCGGTGTCTATCGAGGTCCTGCTGGCTGATCAAGGACTTAGGAAGGGTCGGTATCGCAATCGGAAGACATAGTTGAGCAGGCACCAGGAAAGAAGGTCAGTCTCATAGGAGGGCGGCGTGGCTCTGGGCACGTCCAAACCAGCGCGGGCTCTGCCAATCTGGTGATTGGAAAGCGTCAGCGCCCTTGAGCAGTCGAATCGTCAAACTTGACTGGCATGAGTGGGAAATAAGGACCCAAAGGTGGTCTGTGCGAACAGATTGGGTGACCAGTATCATGCGTCATCACTGGGTTGTGGCCGGCTCGTCACGCTAATGGTGCTTGTATGCTCGCAGCATGGCATCTGAGAATCTCTCTTGCGCAGCGAGTGCAGATGTGCATGTCTCGAGACGCTGTATGGTCTTGGATCCTTCGGCATCTCGAGCTTTGGCGCATCGATTCGCTTAGCTTGCAGAGATTGACGCGATCCGGATGGATGTGTAGGCGGCAGGGAGAGGCCAGTCTTGTGGCTCCAGCAGCACTGACCTGTCTAGCCTCGCGGCAGTCGCTCTACGTCTGCGGCTACATCGTGATCCGAGGTCAGGCTTGCTGATTTCCATCCTTTGTGTCCCACTTGCACGCAGACTCGGACTCGCTGCATCTGAAAGCAAAAGAGAGGCGCGATGCAGACCATCAAGTGTGTCGTGGTCGGTGATGGTGCGGTTGGAAAGGTATGTTGCTCATGTGCTGTGGCTCTTCAGATGTCTAGTATGAGGCTGATTGGCGTTCTGCACTTGCTCCGCATAGACGTGTTTGCTGATCTCTTATACCACCAACAAGTTCCCGAGCGGTGCGTATAAGAGCGAGAACTTCCGACTGAACGCAAAGCGGCAGTCGTACTGCGAGGCTTGAGGGTGTCTTGAGGCAGCATGAATCCGGATGCTGACATCGCGAGTCTCTACATATGTACAATCGCGCTGCAGAGTATGTGCCGACTGTGAGTAGACAGCTGAATCCAAAAGCGCACATGCATCGCTGCTCACACTTGGCGACAACGTGTCATCGAATGCAGGTCTTTGACAACTATGCGGTCACTGTCATGATTGGTGAAGATCCCTACACTTTGGGTCTCTTCGACACTGCTGGTGCGTGTGGTGCAGCCACGTTCTGGTATTGCAGACAGGCGCCCCATATCTAACGTGAGATACCTCGTACTCAACAGGTCAGGAGGATTACGATCGACTGCGTCCCTTGTCATACCCTCAGACGGATGTTTTCCTGGTGTGCTTCAGCGTCACATCCCCAGCATCTTTCGAAAACGTGAAGGAGAAGTGGTTCCCAGAGGTGCATCACCACTGCCCGGGCGTGCCGTGCCTCATCGTCGGAACTCAGGTGGATTTGAGGGATGACTCTGCAGTTGTCGAGAAGCTGGCCAGGCAAAAGCAAAGACCCGTAGCTTTCGAGTCGGGCGAGAGGCTCGCGAGGGAATTGGGTGCTGTCAAGTACGTCGAGTGTTCCGCCTTGACGCAGAAGGGATTGAAGAACGTCTTTGACGAGGTGAGTGGCCTGCATGCATGTCGAGCGGCGAAAGCCTGGCATACTGGGCGCCTAGGCCAAGGTCACAGAGCCGATGCCTGTGCAGGCTGGCTGAAGCTCTCGTCACCCTTCGATATCCCAGGCAATCGTCGCTGCGCTGGAGCCTCCCGTCGTACGAAAAAAGTCGAAGTGCGCCATTCTCTAGAGGACAGGTCTCGGTACAGCGACCGCTTTTCACGAAATTTCCCGATCCACTTCTCCCCAATTCACAATATATACTGCGGCAAATACTCTTCGTTCCCTCGACCTATGTTACCGCGGAGCATTGCGGAGCACAGCAAGAAAAGGAAGCGCGGAGCTATGGACGCAAACAGACGATCAGATCGAGACGATCTCACTCCTGACGACTCGGCAAGCCGGCGATTTGATGCCATCATGCTCTAGGAGCACGCTGACAATCTTCGATGGTCATCCGTTCGAGCCTCTTTCCTTTCCTGTCCCGCTTTTCGGTGCCTCGTCACTCATGGCGCATTTGTTTCTCCATCTGGACTTGATTTCTATCGTCAAAACACCACTTGGCGTAGTCCAATTAGCGGGAAATCGTGTGAGGTCCTCCAGCCACAGCAGGGTGAGAGGATTTGCGGCAGCTTTTCGGACCGACTCATGCGCTTGACACTCCGCCGATATAGAAGTCAACGATCGAGCGTACATGAGGCGGGAAGGTCCCTGCCTCTCGAAAGGTTCGGAATGAGGTTCGTATATGCGTCCCATCACGAGGCCTCGTGCAGTTCAAAAAGAGGGCGCTCAGGGGGGGGGGGGGGGATTGTCGAGTGTCTCGGCGGAGCAGTAGGCTGATGGGACTCACATTCGTCCTCTTCGAGAGGCTGCGCTGATGGCGGCAGCGCCGATCTGCGACCTCGGTTGATGCTCGGATCGCTGTCACCGCTTGTGGCATCACTTGTCATTACGCATGAAGTAGGTACAGGTGTAGAAGTGATGCGCTCTCTCTCTCTCTCTCTCTCTCTTTTGCATCACCGGTCATTATTCGAGCAGCTCTCTCCCGGCAGGGCGACGCTCTTTCGAGCACGCCGAAGGACGTGGGAACTGACAAGATTCTTTTGGGACGAGTGTGGATGCGGTCTGTGGAGCAGGCTAGAATGTCCGGCTGTGCAAATGCACCATCATGACTTTTGCGCGCTTAGTTGCACTGAGCAAAGGAGTTGTCAGACTTGCTCGCGTGGTAGACCGTGGCGCAGTAGTCGCCGTCGTCGTTGAAGATGACGCGGTAGGCGCTAAGAGAGGGGAAGCAAAAGTCAAGCGTCGTCAGCATGTGTGTGATGCGTCACTCAAAATTGCTTGCTTGACATTCCGGCACCGGCAGCAGCATCAAGGTTGAGGCCCGGGCTCTTCCTCCGCATCGTCCACTCACCCGGGAGAGCCGCCAGTGAAGGGAGTAGAGCCAGTGATGGGGAACTCGTGGTAAGAGTTGCCGTCGCACTGGAGGGTGATGTGCTCATCGGCGTATCTGCAAAAGCAAGCTTGGACAAAAAGTCAACAAGTGTTCTTTTTCCTCTTTTCTTTCACTCAAAGACGTGTGACAACACGTTTGCTCGATCACGCACTGGTAGTAGGCGTGAGGGTAGCCTGAAGGGGAGCTGCCGTTCTGATAGTCGTCGTAGCCGGTCTGCAGAGCAGTTTGGATCTGGCTGGAAGAGATCGAGTGTCCACCGCAGCTGACGCTGGATTGACGCGCAGCGATGCTGGCGCTGGAAACGCTGCTTGCTGCGACGAACGCAACGACGAGAAGGGCCTTGAGAGAGAACATCGTGAAGAGGTACGGTGAGCGAGGGTTTGGAGAGCAAGGCGAAGGGTGAGATGGATAAGCAAGGGAGAAGGTGAGCACACAGGGTTGGGGTGGATCACTGGGCATGAACATGCGAAAGGCTTCTTATTCTTATAGAAATGGCAGCATCACTTGCCCGTAGCAGACACTGTCGGACATCCGAGAACCAAACGATCTGCTACTGGACTCACTGCTGGGAGACTGGCAGTGGACACTATCAAGCAGCAAGCACCAATGAGAGCGAGACGCGGCCAGCGCTGTTTGCGTACTCAGATGGAACCACAAGCCTGACTTTTGTCTTCTAGCGTCAGCACATCTGCGCGAGGGAGCGTGCGCTTCGGCACAACGTCCGAAGCTAAGCTTGGTCCCTACGGCAATGATACAGGGGTCACCGAGGAGAGCAGCAGCAGCTGCTGCTGCTGCATTCGATTCGACGTGTCGTCCGACTCTCCTTCCTGCTCAGCGCAGCCTTGCCCTAGCTTCGCGGCGGATCGGAGTCCTTTCTGAGCACACAGGATGAGTGGGCAATGCTTGCTGCATGGATATGCGGCTACACCACGTTTTCTCTTTGCTCCTACATCAGTATCCGCGGCAAGGGCACTCGGGCCGGCGGCTGATAGCGCGAGCCGGCATTTGTTGGTTCTATCACCGCAGCTAGGTTCACCTTAACGATTTGGTCATTGGCGGGCGGGGCGGCGGACAGAACTCGCCCGGACAATTACGCGATATATACGTACACATTGAGTTTAAAGCAAGTCGCGAATGCTCGATCGCTTAAATGCTCGTCTGGCTCTCTGCAATTTGAATATGCACGTCGGCGCTTGAGCTGCAATCATCATGGCGCTAAACTTCTATTTAAGTGTATACCGATTCTACATGTATAGCTGCCCACTCAAGCATCCCGCCGCTGGTGGAGACGGAGGATACGGGACATCACACTGGTGACTAAACAAACTTCCCGTTGCGCTCTAGCCAGCCTTTCCGAGGATGCAAGTGTGCGACTGATGAGAGTTTTGCTTCGAGTTTGCTTCGTGGGCGATGCTCTCAAGCGTGCCTTGCAGCGGTCAAGTATTTCGGGCAGCGCACGTTGATGAGCTTGCGAAGAGACGCGCCAACAGCGTTGTGCAGCGCATGAGAGCGACAGAGAGCCAATCACGAAAGATCACGACTTGTTACAAGTACATTGAGTGGTGCACTTACGATGGAAGCGAACATGAGCGCAGCAACAACATTTGATGAGCGGTGACAAAGCTCGTGTCCTCTTTGGAAAGTCTTCGAGGCAGGCTTACGGTAGCAACGACTCTGTCACACTTTGCGTTCCCTTTCTGCATCCAGGTCGCTATGATACTCCATAGTGAATGACCAATTCTTTCTCCAGTCAGCCTTCTTCCTCTCCCAAAGGTCGTTGCCGTGCTTGAAGTACAGGTAGCCAAAGGCTGCACCTCCAAGATGAGCTGAGAGTGATTAAAGCGATGAGAGGTCAGCAAGCCAGAGAAGACAGGGGACTGGCGTGCACCTCACCCCAGTGATCAAACATCCTCCAGCCGCGCAATACACCAACGACGTCCAGCGCGACCAAGCCAAGGACACCTTGCGCGATGGGGAAGGATATCATCGGAAGGAAGATGAGTCTGGTATTGAGGGGCAGAGTCGAGCAGGGTCAGCATTGAGCAGCGCTGAACGCCGTCGTTTCGGGCTCTCCAACTCACCCCACTTGAGCATCCGGAAAGGCCAGAGCGTTCATGACTAGCAGACTGTAGGCAAATCCAGAGCTTCCTAGACTAGCTGTCAGACCATATTTGGATCTAGCGACGGCCTCGCCAGCTCTCGCAGCGAGAAAGCGCCATCTTGCAGCGTTGACGAGGTGGGACAAGAGCCCTGAGCTGATCCCTGCTAAAGCGCAAAAGGCCAGCAAGTGCGGCGCCAAGGACGCTTCGGAGGTGTGCTTCAAAATCCCTTCGTCGGAGGACAGGAATGGCTTGGACGAGAAAATCGTCGCTGAGAAAGACCAGAGCGCAAGGTTATTGAAGAGGAAATGCATAGCTGATATGGGTAAATCGGAACAGTAGTCAGTCCTTGCGCTTCGCAACGAGCTTTGTGCGCCGATGTACCCACGGGCGCTGTGTGCGAAGGAGCTCGTGAGGATCGTGTGATGTCGACCTGAGGAAGGGCTATGGATGAAAGTTCGGCTCCACAAGCGGCCGAGACGGCTCAGAGGGCGCAAAGAGTAGGCAGCAGAAGCAGCAAAGATGGCGGTGTTGACGGCTATCACAGGAACCATAGCTTGTTGTCCTGGAGACAAATTTAGATAGCTGTGCAACGGCAGCATTGCCATTTGCGTCAACACTGCGCAGAAAGGGCGCCTACAAGTGATCCACACTGAACTCACTGGGCCACGATGCTGAGCCATGCCTGTGACAAGGACTGCTTGAGACTTTGAGGGAGCAAGAGCTGATCGCACAACTTCGACAAGGCCCGTGCTGAGCTTTGAGCCTTCTTCACGATCTCCTCCTGTCTAACAACCCTCAGTCTACTCTCCTCGGCAGTCAAAGCTTGCGTCTCGCCCACCGGCCAAAGGCTGGCAAGATTGGGCCAGAACCTGCCCCGTCCTCGGTCTTGGTCCTTTAGCTCCTCGGTATTTTTGACGCTGTACCAGGCAGCCGTAGAGTAGCATGCATATCCCAAGGCCATTGTGCTGAGGGTAGCCCACACGATGGACGGCTTTTTGGCTCTATCTAATCTGTCTTGCAATTCAGCGATTGAATCCCGATCCAAACCCGCACGGACGGCCTGTTGAAGCACATCCGAGTCCTCATCGTCTCGTCCTCGTCGAGGAGAGTAAATGCGACCACTCGGGTTCACCAAGTCCTCCGACCGCAGCGTTTCGGCTTCTTCATGCCTTTCCAACCCTGACTTGAAGCGCCGTGGACGAGGTTGGGCCAGAAGTGTGGAAGAGTTGAACTTTCGAGCGAAGGGCAACGATGCCCTTCGTGCCAAGACTTGTTGGCCGGTAATGCCACTGCTGTATTGCGCTGTGATGTGCGATCTCAGTGGGTGTATGCTGAGCACACTGGGTCGCGCGCATGGACATGTGAGCACGGTCAACCACCCGCGCGCTGGAAGAGGACGATGCGATCCAGTGGGGTGTGCTCACCTGCGTAATGCCATAATGCGACGCGAGGTCTAGCTGAGCCCTGGCACAATGATCCGGTGCGAAATATTGTCTGCGATGAGCCAGATCTATGCGGCTTGCCTGTTCATCTTGAGCACAGTGTCAAGGTGGTGGCGATAGTTGGCGGAGTGGTGGTTGTGCGAGATGGTGAGGTGAGATGGCTGCGCTGAATCACAACGCACTGTGACTGTCAAGGGATTTCCGCGGTCTCCACGGAAAAAAGCGCGCAGCCGAGCATTGCGCTGCTGAGTGCGGCGGGACGTGGAGGTGCTGCCGTGAGTGCATGCAAGGGTGCAAGCGTCGCGGCAATTAAGCGGCGAGAGGTTGGAAGTGCCCAGCAGACCGTGCTGCTGAGTCTTGACTTGCCACCTTTGCGCCTCCCTCGACCACCTCATTCGATCGCTATTCGCGACATCAGATGGTGATATCTCGACGCGGCAAACAGACTCTCACGGTGCTTCAGCAGTCACCTCTCCGGTCGCTACCACGCAACTTTGATGGCAGCGATTCCGAGCGCCAGATGTGACTCACAATGCCACCACCTCGTCCCCAGCAGACTCTCAATGAGGCACTCCGTCGAAGACTACCCGACCAGCGCGCACCATTGGACCCAACCTCAGGCACGCTCACAGCAGCTGACCTCACATACGGATGGCATTCGAGAGCATCGACGAGTGCTGGAAGCTCGGCAGATCACCGTCGAGTTCCTGACCCAGAAGGGCGCCTCGGCCCACGCACAGCGGCTGATGGCTCCGCCTCTTCCTCTTCTGTGACCTCGATTGCTTCGGAGGAGTCGGAGACTACGGACGCGAGTGGCTCTCTAGCACATGTGAGCGATAGTGGCAGCACCGAAGGTGCGTAAAAGATGCATGAACGGTGGCTTGAGCGGCTGGCTCCCTGACTTGGTGTATGCGGCAGCCTTTGCGACAACTGACGCCCACGTCATGCGAGATAGGTCACGAACAGAGAAGCAGGAGCGCAAGCGAACAAAATTTGCCACGCTCAGAAGACAGAGAAAATGTGGCGATGCAGCAAGAGGCTGGGCAGGCGCGTGCCTGTCGCATCTGCTTCGACTCAGGCAACTTGAGTACGAAGCTCATTTCACCCTGCCGATGTAGTGGGACTATGAAGGTGCGTGTAGAGCGAACTTCTTTCCGCAATTTCGGCTGCACATACTTCCGGAGGCTTAGTTCGGGCATGTTTATCCTTTCCGCTTCTGTATCCTGTCCACTTCTTAGTACGTCCACGCCGGCTGCCTCGAAGAGTGGAGGAGACTCTCGCCCCGCAGCTCTTCAGCTTTGAGGTGCGATCAGTGCCGTGCCCCTTACCGCTTCAAAAAGTCTCGCTTCGTTGGCTTTGGTACCTCGCCAGGTCTGGTACTGCTCGTCTCCATGCTCTTATTCGGTATCTTGGCCTACGGCGCTGGCGTGATCTGCGAGCTGGCGTATAGCAGATTCGATTCTAGCGTCATCGAAGCGAAGGTGGAGCGAGAACAGCTAGACTTCGACCTGATAGACACTTCGCACGGAGTACGCTTCTATGTGCAAGGCGAAGGCGCAGGATCGGTCACATCTCCTCGCATCATGACGTACGCTCAACTTCTGCGTCACTTCCGCTACGGCGATCCCCGACAGCGCACCGCCAAAGACGCTGGGGGCTTCTTAAAGTTTCTGTACGAGTTCTCGGCCGACTACGACACTGAAGCTGCGGGTCTCATCGCAATGGCTGGAGCTTGGACCGGTGTTGCCGATCCAGATTACGGCAAGAGCGACAAGGAGCTGCGCAAAGCCCAAGGAAAGTACAACGAACAGCGCGAAGTTGCAGCGAAGCAGGGTTGGTGGTCCGAGCTCAAGTGGGTTTGGCTGCATGGAGAGGATGCACCAAGTACTGCAAGCACCGTCTCCTCTACTCCACCTGCGCCGCTTTCGGCGCGAGAGACAGAGCCAGTCGCAAGCGTACCGGACCGTCATGCACAGGCTGCCTCGAGCTCAAGTCCGATTGCGGCTCGCAAGTGGTTTCCCTTTCTCAGAAGGAACGCTGAGCGACCACAGCTTGAGGACAGTGTCGGAGACCAAAGGCGAGCCACCAAGCTTTGTCCAACGAAAGTGCAAAATGATGCTGCAAGCAGCCGCAAGGGCGCGCAGCAAGGCGAGTGCATCACGAAGGAGCTCGTCAAGGAAAAACTGATGGAGGACTTGTCAAAACAGGAGACTTGGCCTATTCGTGTCGTCACACAGAGTAAGTGGTGCTCCGCTGCTTACGCGCAGAGGTGACGTATGTCGCTCATTCGTGAATCGCGATGCTCAAATCTGCATGTCCAGTGCTGCTCGGCTTGTTCGTCATTGGAGCTGGCTCTGTGTTGCAGGTCATGATGTCGCTACCTTTCACGCCATTTGGCAACTGGGGCGTGGGTCGTCATTTCGCACGGCGCGAGGCGCGCAACAGACGAGGAAGGAATGGAGGAGGTGGTGGCGCCATGGACACAGTCATTATCGTGCTCGGCGTCCTCTTGATCCTCTTTGGAATACTCAAAGCGGCTTACGCTGTTTACAAGGCTGTGAATTCTTTTTCCAGACGTGCCCTCGGTCAAGTCGAAGACTATCTCGTCGACTGGACAGGAGAGGATGAAGACGCGCCCCGACCGCATCGGATCGAGCAAGAGGGGGCGCCAGCTCGAGCTGGGCCCGTCCTCGCCTGAAAGACAGGCTCTATGTCATGCTTCGCATCCAAGCAAGGCGATGGTCGCAGCATTTGGCTTGCGCCACATGTCACGCGCTCCCAGATCACTTAGTCACGATCAGATTTCTACCCCGACACATTGTATTTCAATATTTCAATATTTTAACCTCATCGTAGCTCTTCTGCGTCTGCTGACCGACCAAGGTGAAGGCGCGCTGTTCGAGCGGGATGGGCAACTGCTGTCACATTGCAGGGTGCTGCGTGAAGGTGAGATGGTTCGATCTAGCACAGCACTCCCAAGGTAAGCTTGCTTGAGTGTTCCCGCGCGTCCCCGATAGAGCTTGATGGTCTACCGTACAGGACTCACGAACAGGCACATTCCCACGCTTGACGTCAGCGAGCTTGTGGCATTGATAGAGGATCTTACATTGGGCGCTATGGCTGACAGACGTCAAGCGAGCTTGTGGCATTGAAAGAGGATGTACGTTGTGCGTTACGGCTGACTTGAAGACTCACATTGTCTGCACACGATCGGTACTCTTTGGGATCAAATTGGAGCGTAGTCCATGATATAGCGCGATGGTTTGACAGCCGACTCAACATGGACTAGCCACGCAACCCATCCTCTTGGAAGAAAGGATCAATTAGAATAGACTCGAAGGTCCGAAAGCAAAGTTGAGGAGGCTATGCGTGATGGTAGTAGTGCGTACACTGGGCTACATGCGAAAAGGCATATTTATGAATGGAGACAAGTCGAAAGAGGTGAAAGAGGATTGGAGGTGAAGGCGCGACCGTGAAAGCTGGCGCTCTGGCGTTGAGGACGAACGAGCTGCGGTCGATCGATGTGATTGTCTCAGCGAGCATGCCGTGCTTCATTCACGCTGTCCAACACCGTCCGGACGCGTTCCTCCTACACACGCGCGCGTGAGTCGCAGGCGCATGCGCGCTTATGCAACCGTTGGAGCACGCTGCGGCTGTGTGCGGGACGTGGAAAGGGTTGGCCACAGCAAAGGGCGAGTCTGAAGACCTTGCCAGTCGATCACCATCCACCTCTTCAAGCCTCGCGGGAATAGCTGGTCACCGAACGGCGACCGCCATTGATACCACTACCTCCTTGTTGACGCTTGCTAAACTCGTCAATGTCGCACTTGACGGACTTGAAGAGAGGAGCGAAAAGCTGGTCCTTGATGGCGTTGAGCACCTGGATGCCACCGGACACCTGACCAGGTGCAACGTCGACGAGTGCTGCGAAGGCGAAGCAAGCAACATCCTCTGGTAGGGTGGGCACGTTCACCTCGAGTGGCACAAAGCGACCGTTGTGGGTCTCGCCGAGAGGTTGAGGCTTGAAGAGAAGCAAAGATGCCACGTCACCAAGCAAGTCGACGAGCGAGTAGGCGTTGGGAATTCTGAACCAGTTTTCGGGGAACTTTTCTTCAAGGAAGAATGGGGCTACGTTCGCGTAATCTTCGTTGAGACAGTGGAAACCAATGTCAGTGCCTCAAGACGACTCAAAGGCAGGGCGGTAAGGCGACTGCGACTGCGACTCACCAGGAGTGTTTGGGGCTGTACCGTTGGGCAGAGGACGCGCAGTCAAAGCACGAGTAGCATAGTTCACAAAGAAGTTTGGGCCGTTGGTGTACTTCAGGGGAGAAGGACGTACTCAGAAGAGCTTTGCTGACAGTCGCGCTTCGCTACTCACCGTTGGGTTGGTGTTGCGGCTTGCCTCGATCTGGGTGGCAGCATTACGCTTGAAGGCCTCAAGGTTGAACAAACCGCCACCGTACTTCTTGGTGTCATCCACCAGAGCATCCCACTTGGTCTGGTTGAAGGAGTGGTTGTCACCGAATCCAGCATCGCTACGGCTGATGGAACCATCCAGCTCGAACAGACCGTGCCTGTTGATGCCGAGCGCAGGGCCAAGGGTGTTGGGAACACGAGGGTCTTGACCACCAAGGCTGTACTTGCCGGTGATGATGTCACCACCCGCCAGCAGACCTAGGGCGGACAAGCCGACGGCCAGGTCGAAAGAGATCGAGTAAGCCTCTTGGATGGCATTGGCGGCCTCAGCAAAAGTGGTGATGCCAGATCGGTCAATGTATCTGCAGGCGGGTGGATGATATGGTCGCAAATTAATCAGCTCTGGCACAGGGATATGTGTGGTCACGTGACGAGCATGTAGCGCGCCTTTCGATGCTCGTGCAACCGCCATCCCGACTTCTCCACGACGAACATTAGCCCTTCACTCTTCATCATTCCTGAAATTCTTTGGGCAATCTGTGTTTTACACTCAAATCTCAGCGTCGAACTCACCCGTGATTAGCCAGACTACCGGCGGCCCGGGCAAGTTCGAAATCGAGATACATCGGTCGATCGTGAACGCATCCACGCCGGATGAAAAAGGAAGACAAGACGTTAGCGTCCTTCAGCAATGCCTAGCGAGTCTCCTCATCCTTTCTACTTAGGGTTAGAACCCTAGGGTTAGACCCTAACCCTAACCCTAACCCTAATCCCCGAACTAACGTGTTAAGCGTGGGACAGAGGCCTCTTTTTTCGGTAGAATCAGGAGCTTTGTACTGGTGGTCCGGATCGTTTCCAGGAATGGCTTTAAGTCCGGTTTCATAAGGAGCAGGAATGTCGAGGTGAGCAAGGAGACCCTGAAGAGGTTGAAGAAGGCCTCCGATGAGACCGCGCTCTTCGAAGTGGCGCTTCTGCGCTTTAGGGGTGAGGACCCTGGCATCGATGTCGACGTCCTCATCGCGCTCGTTGAGACGTTCAAGGATGTGACGACGCTGCATCTCGAGGTGCTCAGGAAGGGCGTCCGAGCGCGGAGTCAGGCCGCCCAGTCCAAGCGGCGAAAGGATGCCGCTCAAGGGGTCAAGAAGGGGAGGCTGGTCATTGTGAGAGCCTGGAGGAGCTTGGGCACGCTCAACGGGAGCATCGCCACGTTTGTCGGCGCTGAGGTCGCCAAGACCGAGCCCAGCGTGGTATCGCGCAGCGATGTCAGCGGGGACATTGCCGCGACGCGTGAGCTCGGCCATAGGGCAGGCGGCCATGGCGGCTGAGACGAAGCCTACAAGCGGCAAGAGACGGAGAATTTGAACCATGATGGATGGAGAACGTATGGGGTTGTAGGGAAGGGGGTGGGAAAGGATGTGGAAAGGAAAAGTGAGATGATGAAAGTGGCCTCCAACCTTGGACACGAACGTGGGCCCTTTTATACATTCGGCAGTGGATCACAAAGGCTGTGGCAATCACCCAGACAGCTCATGCCGCAAATCGACAACACCAAGCCAGCTCTCACGACCGTCAGGACCAAGTCCACGCTCGCAATTCCAAGTTCTTGCCATCGCGTCAATCCTCTGTGCAGACACTCCTGCAATGCCCTCTATCCTGAGCGAAACACACCTCGCCAAAGGCGCAAAGAACACGAATGGCCAAAATTCAGCCGAAGCACACCATTCTTCCGTTGCGATCGAGACGCTCAGCGAGCCCGACCTAAAGGTCGCAACAAGACGCGCACAAGACGACTAGACAGGTGTTCTTGGTGGTATTATCACGGACAGCCGATGCCAAAGCGACGGTCGTGGTTGGGTGGACGTCATCATGTTGGGCCCGCTCAGGGTCCACAAAGCACGGGCGTGTATCTAGCAGGAGGCTAGCGTGCCAGCGTAGCTTTGACCAGAATGCTCGATCGTCCGAGTGCATTCACACTTTCGGCAAGGAAGCTGGCATGGCATCACAGCCCGCCCTACACACAGTGCTCGCCCACACATGCTACAAAATCTTGTCGGTGCAGGTCGACATCATCCGCTCGGCCCAACTTTGTCGTACCTAAAGACCAGTGATGCTCACTATGAAGCCTGAGAGTTGTTGCCGCTGTAAGCTGCTCGCATAGCTGGACATGGACCTCCACAGCTGTCCAGCACAAAGCTTATCCAGTTCGGAAGCTTTCATCGGTCGACGACCCTCCAAGAACGCAGGGTGTGGTTCAAACGCAGCCACTGTGGGCCTTGGAAGTCACCTGGGCTTGTGCCCACCTTTCCTCACCGATGAGCGTTTGTTGCCAATATCGCATTCGAGTAGCGATGACTGCTTGGCCACATCGGAAGCACACACTCCGACCTATCACGTCGCGGACGCATCGCCGTCTGTACCGCTGCATCAAAGTCCGATACAGAGCTGTGCATTTCGAGCCGTCGGCAATGATTGGTCGTGGTCATTTATTTTCCGTCAGTCGCAGTAGTCGCCGGGATCGGCGCTGGGCGCAGGGCAGGGTCTTGCGCCTTGTCGTACAGTAAGTGCACAGTCAGGCGGCCATCATCACAGCTGCTCTCGATTTAGCAGTTTCGGGATTGTGCCTGATATGCACCGAAAGCCAGTCAAGATGTCGCCATTGCACAAGCGAGATGCTCCAATCAGAGCTTGTGGAGAAGCTCCAACCAGACTTTGCCATCGAACGTTCTGTCATTTGGTGCGCGGTGCGTGGGATTAAAACTCGTCAGCTTGACGGCAAATTGCGTGCGCACTAAAAGAGCTCTTGCATGAGGAGCGGCGCACCAACCCAAGCGTCCTCTCGGCGCGCTTATGCGCAGAGCCAACCAGCCTTCGCATTTGCGCGTTTCGTCAACGCTGCTACACACAAGTACGCCAAGTGGTACTTGGAACCGGCAGAGTTCGCTGCTACTGTCACAACGCACATCGCAGCCAGAAAAATACAGACAGGTCGTTTAGATCGCAGGACGCCGAAAGCGGGGTCAATCTACACGACGGGTGACAAATCAGCAGGCTGTCCTTGCTTTCGCATTCGACTCTCCACATCCAGCCGAACTAGCTCTTCTTAGTCTATCTCACGCATCGCCGATTGCGACGGCATGAGTGCATGGCGTGGTCGTGCAAAATCATGAGATTCTGGTTGCTCAATCTCTCAATCCCATCTAACCGACCCAAGTCCTTGCGCTTTGGAACATTTGCAGCCAGGGACCCCGGCCTCTCCACGCTTTGCTTGCGCCTGCGGGTTTCCACGACATGCTTTCGGCAGAGATGCCGCGTTCGGGGTCTATGAGAGCAGATGACGACAGGTTGTGAGCGCACGATGCGATTCTGTCTATTCACACGTCGAGACTCACGGGGCATCAGGGCAAGGATACGGCCGTCGGGAGTCGATACTGCAGTGATTCCGTGGGGGGATCCGTTGGGATTGATCGGATATCTCGTAGTTCCCTGGCCTTTGGGAGCGTCGTGCTCGACGTATCGCAGTCCGACAAGCCCGCTCGACTCGACGGCGTCTTGGTCTGCTCGATCCCTGAACGATGCTCGGCCTTCGCCGTGCGCGATGACGGCAGGCAACCGACTGCCTACCATGTCGCGCAGAAACACGCTCTTGGATGTCACAGGACCATCGTCGACCTCCACCATGCACAAACGCCCTTCGAAACGCGCAGACTCGTTCACCTTGAACGTGGGCCACTGCTCTGCGCCTGGTATCAGACCAGCCTGTCCGAGCTGACTGAACAGCTGGCATCCGTTGCAGACGCCCAGTGCAAATGTATTCTTGCGAGTAAAGAACGCGCTGAGCTCAGTGCGAGCTTTGGGATTCAGCAAGCAAGACTTTGCCCAACCGCTGCCTGCGCCGAGCACGTCTCCGAACGAGAAACCTCCGCACGCTGCCAGACCCACAAAGTCGCCTAGTGTTACGCGACCCGTGATCAGGTCAGACATGTGCACATCGATGGCACAGAAACCGGCTGCTGTAAATGCGTACGCCATCTCGAGCTGGCCGTTGACTCCTTGTTCGCGCAGGATTGCGACCTTGGGTCGGCTGTCAAGGGGCGCCTCGGGAATTGGGAGGGTTCCGAGAGCGAATTCTGCTCCAGGTTGGTATGCGAGTTGAAATGAAATTGTGTTTGGTCCGTGGCTCTGCGGACCAATCAAAGCCCATTCGGAAGATGCCGTCTCTGGATTATCGCGAAGTGATTGCATGCGCCAAGATGTCTCTGACCAGGCTCTTTGCAAGTCGTGTCGCGCACCGGAGAAGACGGGACGCGAGTCGGCGGCGAAGTGGATCTGCTGCTCGTCCGTTGATGGCACGATCTGACCGATGATATGCAAAGCTTCGGCTGGCACTCCCGCGCTGGACAAGACAGCAGAGACGGCCTTGACGTCTCGAGCACGGACCTGCATGACAGCACCAAGCTCTTCGTTGAACAACGCAGCTACTGGATCCTTGGCACCGCCTGGAATGGTGTCCAGGTTGACGTTGACGCCGACATGTCCAGCAAACGCCATCTCTAGAATGGTCGCTGCAAGACCACCATCGCTGCGGTCGTGATAAGCCATGATCAGCGAATGATCGGTGCGCCCTTGCACCTCGAGAGCCTTCAATGTTGCGCAAGCTTCAAAGAAGCCCTTCAGAACATCTGCGCTCTCGACATCGGGCGCCTCTTTGCCGAGTTGCTCGAATGTTTGTGCCAATGCGCTGCCGCCCATGCGGGCTTTGCCACTTGCGAGATCGACGAACAACAGCACCGTCTCTTCATCGACATCTGCTCTGAGCTGAGGAGTCCACGTGCGGTCGATGCGGTCCACGGGCGCAAACGCGGTGATCACCAAGCTGAGAGGAGCTGTGACCTCGCGTTGCGCGCCCTGCTCTTGCCAGCCCATCTTCATGGACATCGAATCCTTCCCGACGGGAATAGACAAGCCGAGCTTCGGACACAGGTCCAATCCGACCGCCTGCACAGCGTCGTACAAGCGAGCGCCTTCATCTCCGTGACTTGCTGCGCACATCCAATTGGCGCTCAACTTGACTCGCTTAAGGTCCGGCACACTGGCCGCTGCCAGATTGGTCAACGCCTCGCCAACTGCCATACGAGCTGATGCGGCAGCATCGAGGAGAGCAAGAGGCGTTCGCTCTCCAGAGGCCATCGCCTCGCCAGCCAACGCGTCATCGAATCCATATGCAGTGCGAGTCACCGCCACGTCTGCCACCGGCACTTGCCACGGGCCGACCATCTGGTCCCGAGCCACGAGACCGGTGATGGACCGATCGCCAATGGTGATGAGGAAGGATTTGGAGCCGACGGTTGGCAGACGAAGGACTCTGTCGAACGCCTCAGTGACCGCTGCGGAAATGTCCGTGGCAGAACCGAGGTAAGTTTTCAGCGTCGTGTCGAAGGGATACCGAGGTGGACTGCTATGCTTGCTCTGCCGAGCAATCTTGGGTGGCTTGCCAAATAGCGTCGCCATTGGAAGGTCAATCGGAGTGGAGTTCAACAAGCTGTCTGTGACGACGAGTCTCAATTCCTCTGTAGCTACTCCCACCACCGAGTAAGGGCAGCGCTCTCGTTTAGCAACACTCTCGAACCTGGACAACTCGGATTGCGACACGGCCAAGACGTATCGTTCTTGGCTCTCGTTGCACCAAATTTCCATGGGACTCATGCCGGGGTCGTCGATGAGAACCTTGCGAATCTCGAAGCGGCCGCCGCAGCCAGAGTCGTGAACTAGCTCTGGCAAAGCATTCGAAAGACCTCCGGCACCGACATCGTGGATGCTGATGATAGGGTTTGGAGCGTCGAGCGAGGCCGTGCAGGCATCGATTACGCTCTGACATCTCCTTTGCATTTCTGGATTTTCTCTCTGCACGCTCGCAAAGTCCAAAGCTGCGCGACTGGCGCTAGAAGCCATCGAGGAAGCTGCACCTCCACCAAGACCTATGAGCATGCCAGGTCCTCCCAGCACGATGATGGCGCTGCCAGGCGTGATCGTCTGCTTTATTGCGTGGCTGGGCCTGACGTTGCCCATGCCTCCTGCAAGCATGATGGGCTTGTGATAGCCGCGTATCTCGGTCGACCCCTCGGGACCCTCCGTCTGATGTGTGGTGCACAGCATGTTGTCAGCACCTCACCTTCGAGAGAGCAAGCTGCAGCTGTGATGATTTCAGCTTGCAACTCACCGGCACGCGTTGGCACCAAGTGCGCCAGAATCCACCGAGCCCCGGTCTGCCGAACTCATTGTTGAAGTTCGCGCTGCCTAATGGCGCATCCAGCATGATGTCCAAAGCGCTAGCGATGTGGCTCGGCTTGCCCACGTCCTGTTCCCACGGCTGCCTCGCTTTGGAGCCGCTCTCCGGGGCGCACGGCTCGGGTAAGAGCAAGTTGGAGGTCATGAAACCGACGAGTCCCGCCTTGGGTTTTGAACCTTGTCCCACTGCACCCTCATCGCGAATCTCACCGCCTGATCCAGTCGCTGCTCCAGGATAGGGACTGATGGCAGTGGGATGGTTGTGGGTCTCGACTTTGATGAGAATCGGCATCGCTTCGTAATGCGCCTCGTACCGCGTGAGCGGGGCATCACTGGCTCGTGCTGCAAAGTGGTTGGCGTCGCTGCCTTCGAGCACAGCTGCATTATCGCTGTATGCGCTGATGGTGTGCTCGGGGTGGAGCTTGTGCGTGTTTCTGATCATTCCGAACAGCGTGTTGGGCATGCGCTGGCCATCGATGGTCCAATCCGCGTTGAAGATCTTGTGCCTGCAGTGCTCCGAGTTGACCTGAGCAAACATGAACAGCTCCACATCCGTCGGATCCCTGCCCAGCGCCTCTGCAGCTCCGACGTCTTGACCGCCAGACACAAAAGCCTTGACCAAATAGTTGATCTCGTCCGGTGCCAAAGCCAAACCGAGCTGCTCGTTGGCTGAAGACAGCTTTGCGACTGCCGCATCGAAGTCCTTTTCGCCCAACGACACTGTGCGAAGAGGTGCAGGATCGTCTTTGCCAAACAACGCCGTAGCATTTGGGGGCGCGGTGGAGATGGACTGAGTCATGCGGTCATGCAAGAGATCGGCGAAGGATGCGATCTGAGCCTCGTTCAGCTCCATGCCGGTGAGCACGTACGCTTGACCACGCTCGATGCGCTCGACGTGGTCGCCCAAAGTGCACAAACGTGCAATGTCTGTCGCCTTGGAAGACCAAGGGCTGATGTTACCGGGTCTGGGCGTGACGAAAAGCACCGTCGTCGTCGACGCTCCACTGCTCTGCGCAGCAAGAGCAGCTTGAATGGCAGAGCGCGTATGAGGAAGCGCATGGTGGTCCCCGTAGCCGAGCAAGTTGTCCAGCAAAAGCCGTTCAGAGGAGGACGCAGTGGAGAGCAATTGCAGAGCGCTGCTCGAGGTGGGAGAGACAAAGTGGAGGTAGAGCGAGTCGAGGGAGACGAGATGGGGAATATGCGCTTGCACAGCTTTCAGCGTCTGTTCCCGCTTGGCGACTGGCATGGGCGAGCTGCCGGCCAAGGCCAACATGGCCTTCGATTCCGCGGCCGACGAGTTGTGGACCATCGCGGAAGCGCACCTGGATGAGCTCTGCTTCGAGAGCTGAGTGGAGAGCATCGGTCGCCGCAGCACAGCAATGACACGAGAGCAATGCCGATGGTGAGCATCCTCTGCCACGCCTTGACTTCAATTGAATTTGAATGACTCAAGATTTACGACTCAAGACTGTGACTGCTGCATGCCTTTCAGGTGACTCACTCACCTCACGTTCCCAACAAATCACAAACAGCTGCCTTCGCGATTCATGGCACCGTGCTGCGAAGAAAATTAGCTCGCAGGCTCGCTGCAGTGAACACGTGACCGTGCAAGATTGGGAAAAATGACACAGCTTACACTCACGACTCCATCAAGTCCGCGGACTTGCTTTCTCTTGAAGCGTCACTGTGACTCACGTATTTGACATGAAAACCGAGAATGGAGCAGCGCGACAGGAAGTCGCGCACAGAAGCGAACTCATCACTCACGTTTGTATTGGTCGCTCGTGCGAGGAAGCGCTTCTGTGCTCCTATGGAGCTGCCATCGCCCACCACCTCATCCTCTCTGCCCGCAGATCGAGCCCACCGTAGGCGCATATAGACCACAATATTTCCAGCTCAACAAGCTTCGTACCGTGCATGTAAGCCACAGCTTCCATGCTCTCGCGCACGTGAAATGTCTTCAAGACCGCCGATTCACGGAGCTGCGACCACAGCCAGCTTGGTCTCTGCCACGTTGGGCGGCGAACCTAGCAGCAGCGGCAAGGCGCAGCATGATGTCGTTGCCTCAACCTCGACAGTGTCAGCGGCCAATCCACCCAAAGGCAAGCGGATCGTCATCAAGCTCGGAACATCCTCCATCCTCTCGTCCCTCACCAGTCAGCCCAAGCTTTCCGTCCTCTCCTCCATCGTGGAAACATGCGCGGCGTTACGCAAAGACGGACATTCGGTCGTCATCGTCTGTTCGGGAGCCATCGGAATGGGAAGATTGAGAATGGGGTTGAACGAGAAGCCAAAGAGCGTAGGGGAGAGGCAGGCGCTGGCCGCGCTGGGTCAGGTTAGGCTCATTGCGCTTTGGGACAGCCTGTTTGCGCAAGTCGGCATCAGCGTTGCACAGGTTCTGCTCACCAGGAACGATCTCGGCGATGTGAGTGTCGATGCTCGTGTCTTGCGATGCTAAGCCGGCTCTCGCTCACACGCGCTTTGTTGCACGCGCTTTGTTGCGCATCCCCCTTTTCCCCGCTTCGTGCAGCGCCCTCGCTTCGAGAATGCCAAGACGACGCTTTCTACGCTGCTCTCTTTGCCCTTCTCCTCCATCCCCATCATCAATGAAAACGATACCGTCTCAGTGTCGGAACTCAGGTTTGGCGACAACGACACTCTCAGTGCTATCGCCGCTGGCATCGTGGATGCCGACTACCTCTTTCTCTGCACAGACGTGGACGGGCTGTACACTGGCAATCCGAACTCCAACCCCAATGCGAGGAGGCTGGGAGTCGTGCGGAACGTGGCTTTGGCACGAAAGGCCGGTGCGTATCTGAGCGCGTTGCAGATGGCAAGACTTGAGCAAGCGTGTATACTGATGCCATCGAGTGACCTCGGCTTTTCCCCTTCCTTCCTCAGTGAGCGTCGACACACCAGGCTCAAATTTTGGCACTGGCGGAATGCAGACGAAGCTGATTGCTGCCGAGCTCGCAACAGCGGCAGGCGTAGCCACAGTGATTCTCAATGGCAACCAGCCAACAAACATCTTGTCCGTCGTTGCTCGTGGTCTACCCCCTCTTGATGCAGATCAGCGTTTGCCAAACAGTGACCAGGGCATGGTCTCGTCCATCTCTTCGTTGCTGGATGCGGAGGAGCTCTCCAAGGTCGGCTGCCCGCCTATCCTCGACCCACCGCACACACTCTTTCTGCCCACCTCTGAGCCTTTGGCGCAGCGCAAGTGGTCGTTGTTGCACGCGCTGCATCCAGCGGGCACACTCGTCATCGATGAAGGAGCTTTTGCGAGGATATCCAAGCCCGAGAGCGGAGGCAGATTGCTGCCAGCTGGAGTGGTAGGCGTGGAAGGCACTTGGGAACGCATGCAAGCTGTAAGGATTGTCTTGCGTCGACATCGCGTCGCTTCGAGCGCAGAAGCTACGGGTACCAACGTCGAGCGTGATGCGCATCATCATTCGCAAGCGATTCAGGAATCCATGTCCGCTGCGGCGTTGGCTCGACGGGGCTTGACGACCTTCATCAAGAGCTCCGATGGTAGCGGTGCTACTACTCCGATTCATCTCGCAGGCGAGGATCAACACGCTCACCTGGCTGAGCCTGCCCTCGCTAGAGACGCGCCCTCCGAACTGGACTGGGAACTGATCGAAGTCGGCAGAGGCCTGGCGAATTACAACTCGATCGAGTCGGAAAGGATAAAGGGTATCAAGAGGTGAGCTTGAAGGGGTCCACGTCCGGTGACAAGCCTTGCGCGAACGCGTGCTGATGCCTGATGAGATTACATTCACAGCTCGCAAATATCAACCGTGCTCGGCTACGCAGACAGCAGTTACGTGAGTTCTGAAAAAGACACGTCCGTCAACTCCAACATTGCCAAGAGGCTCACCGCCGATTCAACTTCCTACCCAGATCGTCGATCAGCTCGCGCTGATGCATAACGAAGAAGCTCCGTCTGCACATAAGTCGGCTACAAAAGGTCACGGTTGAAATGGGAAATGATATTGCAAAAGTGAGAGAGAAGCCTGGGAGGTATGGATGCGACAGCACGTCTCCAGTGTCGCGTCACCTGTTGCATCGATTCGAAACTCGATATCTGCTTCAAGAAAATCGTGCTAAGTGGATGAGACGTGCGCAAATGGCCCCCTAAGCGACCAAGTGTTTGAAGTTGGCCTTGACGATCCATTTGCTAGTGGCCTTCTTGCCCTCTCTCTCCGTGTACTGGTCAACAGCAGCTTCGATGGCGTTTCGAGCTACACCAGCAAATTCTCCACGCAGAGATTCGATCAGGAGAATCTTCGTCTGCGTGCGTCCCTCGACGGCCCTGAGCAGAGCGGGAATGCTCTCGCTCGGAAATGCGCTTTTGACTACCTTTGCTGCTGGAGCTGGAGTTGTCAGGACGCCGAAGGCGTTGGGCGTCAAGCTGCTATTGATTGGCTCGGTGACCGCTGCTGAATTGAGTGCTCTTTGCAAGACGCCGAGCGATGCCTGTGTCTGCATGGCTACAGCCTTGGATGGCGAAGATGCGGTGACAGCAGCTGACTCGACTTTGCTTTGTTCAGGCTCTGCTGTCGCCTGCACATACGTGAAAGGATTGAGACCTGGGTACGCGCCTGGAAAAAATTCGCACGCACGAACTCTGTCAGCACAGCTCGAGCGCGATGTTGTGCCGCAGGAAACTGCTCACCATTCAGGAACTCCATTTGGTACGGCTTGAATGCATCATGCGAAGATTCGCCAAGGGTCGATTCCCAGTGCGGCCCCATGGAGATTGGCACAAGCTTGGAAGTGAATCTGCGGCCAATTGGCTTGACTCGCTTCTTCTTGACTTGCAACTGGTTGATAGCAGTGGCAGGGCGCGTCGAGAGCGGCGGGGTTCCGAGTGCAGATTCCATTTTGTGCGATGCAGAGAGTGCATTTCCGTCTTTGTCCGTCTCGACGATGTCAGAGTGTCCATCCTCGCCTTCGGGCTCATCTTCCTCCTCGAGATCATCCACAAGCCAATCGTCCATTTCCGAATCGCCGTCAGACCCACTTCCTGCGTCGTCCTCTTTGTCATTGTCCACTTCCTCGCCCTCTATCGCTCCAACATCTTCCCACTCGGCGTCGCTATCATACGTGTAATCTAGCGCAACAGGATCCTGTCCGAAGGGGTTGCGTGCGCCGACTAGGTTAGAGCTGCGAGTCCACGTGCCTGGCAGGCGCAAATCACGCCGGGTCAGTGTGGCACATGGTGAGCCAAACGTGTACTTTCGCAAGGACGCACCGAACCAAGCTGGTCGTCTGTCGCTCTCAAACTGCAAGAATTTGATAGGGACATTCCTGCGGTTCGACAATCTCTTCAGACTGGTACGCGCGTCCTCTTCCGAAGCGCTTCCGACAAGGCCGGCTTCGTTCACGAGGCGAAACGTCTCGCGGACATTGGCGCGTGGGTGAATGCCTCTGCGCCGACGTCGAACCGGCATGCTTGAGCGACTATCGCTCGCCGAGCCGCGCACACATTGGGCCAAGAGCTCTGCACGCGAAGATAGAGATGTGCAATGTAAGCGCGTGACTTGCTTCCAGCAGATACGCTCACTCACCCCCACAGGTGGGCTGTCCAGTGCCAATGTTGTCAAGCAGGTCAAGACTCGCCGCCTTGTGGAATCGATTGACGGGAGCTATGTCCTTGTATTCGCAAGGCAAGAATGTGCGCTCATAATCGGTTTGATCCTTGATCTCGGGCTGCCGTGAATGCTTAATAGGCGAAGGCGACCTTCCACGAGCCAGAAAGCCAGACATGAAAGAAGCGGCCTTTTGCTTCATGTGCTCTTTCTTGGCCAATAGCGCCTCCCTGGCCGCCCTTTTCTCTTCCATCTCTTTTCGCTTCAGCTCGCGCTCGCGCTTCTTTTCCTCTCGCTCGGCCTGCTTCGCCAGCGCTTCTGGGTCCAACACCTTCACCTTTTTTTGCTCCGGAGCCGCTTTGCCTGCGTTCGTCTTTTGCTTCTTCACAGGCGAACCATTTGAGGATGCGCTACCAATGCCGGAATCCTGCTCCTCATCGCCTTCCTCGTCAATCTCTATTGCGGTAGAAGCGTCCCTGCCAACGCCACTTTTTAGTAAGGGCGTCTTGGAAGCCGACGATTCAAGCGCCGAAGAGACGATTGGGATCTCCTTTTGGGGCTCTGGCGCCGCACTTGACTGGTCAGCTTGTGCGGCTTTGCTAGGCAGAGGTCTTCTGGTCGCCTTCAAGAGGGTAAGCCGCTCTTCCTCAGGCATCGCTTCCATGATCCGCTCAATGTCGGGTTTAATGGATGCGACGCGTTCTTCTCGCCTGGCGAGCAGCTTTTCTCGAATCTCGCTCGGCAGCATGGCATCGTCCCGAACTTCCCACCGCCACATTTGCATGCCCTGTTGATGCCGACGAGTATAAGCATGGCTCAACCAGCGGCGTAACGCAAGCTCGCGACTCACTGGCGGGACCGAGTCCCTCCCCAGAGGATCGCTCTCTACTCCATAGTTGACTCTATCAGCGACGCTGAGGATCGCCTTGTGCACCGCCTCAGACGTGAGCGTGGCTTTGGACGAACGTGATTGAGTTTGGTTCATGAGTGGCATGATCCACGTGCGGGCGACCCAACGCTCCGACTTACGCAGACTCTTTGCACAACCCGATAGTGCGCTGGTGACGTCGTCGCTCGAGGGAAGAATGATCTTGACTATAGATCGCACTAGATCTACCAAAGTCTTGTCGCTGCGAGGTGCAGGATGAGCGATACGAGTGAGATTAGACTATGCAACCTTTGGTGCAAGGAAATTGCGCCACTCACGACTCTTGAGCTAGCTTTGCGATGACTGGCAGATGCTCATCGGGGAGTTGCTCGACTGGCCCGGTGCAGCTCTGCACGTACGCATTGAGGTTGATGCGGCCTGCGTACAGCGAAGCAGGATTGTAAGCGCCTTGATATTGCACAGTCGATGAATGCAGACATACCCTGCAATGTTGACATCTGGTCCTTTGCGTCCAAGGTCTTTTGCTTGATGATGAGCTTGTTCCCCTTGAGCGTGACCAGCTGCTGACTCTTGCCCTTGTTGCCGGCGCCCCTCCGTGTGCCCATGGCAGGCAATTTGGAAGGCCCAGCTGTGGCATTGGTACCGAAGACGTCGACGCGAGCATCACCTGGGCGTGCCTGCGGTGGATGAGCAGCGCCATCTGGATGAGCACCAGTTGGCTTGGCCTTCTTTGCCGATGGCCCTTTACGAGGCGGCGTGTGGAGTTCAGATTCGGCGTCGAGGTGCTCGAACCCCGCATCTGCTTTCCGCTTCGTGGCGGATGGCGCATCCATCATCGCTGCATCGTGCCCATCTGTCGCAGTCATATCCTTGGCCGAACTCATCGTGCCAAGTGCGCTTGCGCTGGATGCCGAGGTCAAGGGCAATGGCGCCGCCATCAGAAAACTTTCCATCGTTGCAGTGCGGCGCACTGAGCGGCTCTCTCTGCAGCGGTTGGCAAGCGCCCGCCAAGGGAGTCGGATGTCTGTCTTGCGAAGCAAGCAGTGATGAACGTGCGTTGAGACGCGGTGCGAATGCTGAGGTGATCGCAAGGAGCTTGGTTGATACGAGCGGCACGGTCGAGTTCCTCATAGCCTCGCAAGTACGCTCGCGTCCTTGATGCCGCTGCTGCTGCGCTCTCACCCAAATCACGAATCGCGATCGCCTCGCGCAACCATGCAATCACGAAGGCAGCGCGTCCGACGCGTTGCTGCACTTTGGCACGCGTTTTTGGCGCTACGCTTCTTCCCGGGCGAGAGCAACACCGGCACTTGATCTTGCACGATCTTGAATTCAAGGTACAACAGCACGTACCGCACAGTCAAATTACTAAGTGACAATTTTGAACGTCTCCTCAATTGAGGGCTTGCATCCATGCAGCACGCGCAGACGAAACCATCTGCACTCACCAATCACTCAAGACTCTTGACTGAGCACTCTGACTGCGTCAACTTGCTTCACTCCTCACAAATGGAATATTCAGCTCCATTCAGTACTCCCACGCTAGATGCTAGAGCGCTCCAGTGCAGCGTACACTCAAATTGTTGGGGATGCCATCACGGATAGAGTTACGGCGAGTCCAGCACGTCAAAAGCACCTACGCCGCATAGCGCGTCGAGCGCATGCATCAGCAGCGCGGCAGCCTAAGGACATGCTGAATCATTGACAGCCACGTGATCGATCTTGAATCTTGAATTTCGGGTGGCCGCGTCTCGTCTTGCAGGTGTGCGAGATGTATATAATCTTTAAATATCAATAAGAACGGAATCCGCGCGCGCGCCCGTGATGCGCTTCCATGCATCATCATCAGCAGCAGCAGCCTGCAGCACACAGCATATATGCCGTGCTGCTGCAGCTGCTGTGCTGAATTCAAATGATGAAGCTGCCGCGCGCGACACTCTGGCGTAAGAAAGGCGCCCCACCAAATCGATCACGATCGTGTGCATCGCACCGCGTTGACACTCCATGGCTCGGAAAGCTTGGTAGGCTGATGCATGCATGCACGCACGCACGCCTGCTGATGCCTGCCAGCTGCTTGATTGTGCCTAGGTACATCAGCTGCTGGTGTCTGGTGCGCGTCAACCTTCGCAGGCCGACCATCACGTCCCCATTGACCCGTGCAGTCTGATGAGTCTCCACCTACGCAGGAGGTCTCGGTGTTGTCTGCTCACGCATTCAGATTGCAATCACGTCTACAATTGATGGCCTACCGCAAAAATTCCAACAATTCCGAACCGATTCACGCTTACAAGCCACTCGCGGCGCAGCCAGGGAGCTGAGCTTAGCTGAGCCTCACCGACGTCGCACTTTCTCGAGGTTTGCTCCGGCTTGGCGCGCACCGAGTACCGGCCGAGCGATCGTGGTCAGTATTCATCAGCAGCTACATCTGTAGCTGATAGCTGTGCGCGGCCCCATTCTGAGAGTGGAATCCGTCACAATAAGCCACGACTGAGCGTGCACAGCCATTGCTACCCTCACATCATCGCATTTCGCATCGGCACTCGCAGTCGACGCGAAGCTCCTCGCACGCCCAACCAAGACACCTCTGCAGACGAGGTGTTTCCACTTCGCGAACTCGACTTTCTGGTGCAGCGCAGTCTCACGCATACACGCATCACCAGGGCCACGCAACGCGAGCAAGTCGACGCTTGTATACGGAGAGGGCTCGACAATCCGGGACACGTATCGAAGAAGGATCTGGCAAGAGAAGCGCGCTTGAGGCACAGGCAGTCTCAATCGCGCCCATCAGCATGGCTCCGGATCCTGTGAGTGAAGCTCGCGCGCGGAAGAGCGAGCGCAGGGCTGGCCAAATGCGAGCTGCACAAAGGCAAAGACTTACCCATCAACTCACCGCTTGTCCTTCTCTCTGCGCGACTCGTATCCGCACGTCCGCAGATCAGAAGGAAGCTGGTCATTGTTGGAGATGGCGCTTGCGGCAAGACAAGCTTGCTTTGCGTCTTTGCCGTTGGAGACTTTCCACACGAATATGTGAGTTCAGACAACAGGTTGGCCTGCGACGCGCGAACAGGGGACGAAAGTGTGGAAGAATGCTGGGGCGCTGGATCAGCACCTCGCAAAGCGCTCAATGGGAGCTGCGAGGTGCACAAGCACAGCCCAGTCGCTGCCGTAGACCTTTGTGTAGGGCTACCAACTTCGTAGCTCCGTCTTTGCTGAATGATTGACCAACACGTCGGTCGCTTCTCTACCTTCGCCCGTCCAACGCGCCAGGAACCTAGTGAGTTTGAGATGCAGATCCCGCGAAACGCCAGGCTGCTTCTGTAACTGAACGTATTCCATCTTGCGTACCGCTAGCAATATTTGAAAATTACGTTGCTGAAATAAGATTGGATGGTAAGCCAGTACAGCTGGCGTTGTGGGATACTGCGTGAGTCGGCTACGGGGTCCAAAGTGTCATCATTCGAGGGTCACTCTGATCAGACCTTTAATCTTCACTGCACGACGCGGACAGGGGTCAGGAAGAGTACGAGGTAAGTAGAGGCCTGGACACTGATTGCTCGCAAATGGCGTTCGGTCCCGTTGACGCTTCTCTGTCCGCAGCGCCTGAGGCCGCTTTCGTACTCTCAAGCCCACGTCATACTCATAGCCTTTAGCATCGACACACCCGACTCTCTTGATAATGTCACAGTCAAGGTGAGGCGTCTTGAGACTGCTCGTAATCCGTCGCATTGCTGATTTCACGCCGAAATCACTTGCGCGCGCAGTGGATGGAAGAGGTACGGCAAATTTGCGGCCCTCAGGTGCCCGTCTTACTCGTAGGCTGCAAGAGGGATCTGCGAGATGAGGCTGAAGGGCGAGTTGGTGCTGCGAGCAGATTTGTGACCACAGCTCAAGTGAGTGAGCGAGCATGAGTCGCTTTGCAGGTTAACTGAATCTTTGGTTGCGATGTCCACCTTCAGGGCAAGGCGATTGCCCAGCAGATTGGCGCGAGGTCCTATCATGAATGCTCAGCGCTGAAGAATGATGGAGTGGACGTGAGTGATTCACCTCACGGTGCATTGTCGCAAAGCGGCAATTAGTGTTGATGCGCTGTAATTGTTCATCATGGGACAGAACATCTTTGAGGCTGCCACAAGAGCTAGCATGCTCTTGCGTGGCCCTGGCGGCACTGGCAACGGCAGCGAGAGGCGACACTCCAGATCAAAGTCCAAATCAAAAGGGGGCAAGTACGGCGACAAGGAGAAGGATGCTGGCGGTTGTCGATGCGTGGTCCTCTGAGAACGCGCCCAATCACTACTACGCCGCGGAGGACGGCGGACTTTTGAGCCTTTGCTCAGAAGCTCCGCACCTTGGTATGCGCCTACTACTCGTCGCGAACGTCAATCTGCACGACAGCTTCGGTCATTCTCGCAAAGCTCCAAGGACTTATCGATTCGGCCCCTCTTAGACATTTTGTCAGCCGCGGCCTCTTCACGCGTTTTCCGCGTCGAAGTTCGTGTTTGCTGGGGGGTCGTGCCAAACAAAGTTCTCAGCTTCTGACGTCATGACCCTCAAACGAGCCTTGTCCCTTCGCCGGTCTCCCTGCAAACTCTCTTCTCGCTCATCAAGTCCAAGCTCCGCGCCATCTCTCTGTGTTCGTGTTCGATGCTTCACACTCTCGCTTCGCGATCATGACTCTTTCCAATCGCTGCCCAAGCCAAAACGCACATTGTATTGCCACTTTCCCGACGATTCGGCGCCTCTCTCATAGCTCCACGCACGTAATGCTTCAGACACGTCATAGAGAATGTTGATTCCCAGCCAAGCTATGAGCGCGGTGTCAGCGATGGCACGAGCCGAGCGTCTTCTGAGATTCCAAGGTTTCTGGGTCAGAAGCTCTATCACGCAGTATTGAAGCTGAATGCACCAAATTTCATGATTCAAAAGGTGGCTGGATATAGTGTACAGCAAGCATGCTGGCGCTTGTCGGAATCGTACTTCCGCTGCACCGATAGATCAATTCTCTGGAATCCGACTGCCGGCCATGGCGCGAGGAAATGAAGTCCCTATCAGCGATTTCAACCCACTGAGATCCTCGGGAGTTTAACGCAGCAGCTCTCCCGACGAGCGGCAGAAGCACTTACAAGATGGTGATTTCCTGCTGCTTGAAATACCGTCGGTTTTCCTCATCGATCAAGACCAAGTTCAGATAGTACCTCGTGCTAAACTTTTTGTTGACCTCTCTGAATGTCGGTGTCAGCTCAAATCCACCCAGGAACAGCCGAATTGGGATGGTCTCGCCTGCGGCGCGATGGGCCGAATGAGCAGGGAGAAGGGAAGAATATGTGCACTCGAATGAGATGAAGTACCAACTCACCCCTCACGGGAGCTCCATCCATGATCTCGAACTTTGTGATTGTCTCTGATTCATTGTACTGGTTGGGTGCTGCGGGCAGTGTACAAGCAGGTGGTTTAGCAAAGCGTTGGAGAGAGCCTGAGCCCTGATTGAATCACCTGTACCCGTCGTTTCCCTTCTGATGATGCTGAGCTCCATGTGCTTGATCTTGATTCTGACGAGCAAGAAGTAGATTTTTCCGACGATGACATCCTTCAAATGATATCTGCGTGCGAAAACCGACAAAAGTTGAGATTACCATTGGCATATAGGGGGAAAGAATCTGCTCAACTGACTTGCTCTTGTTGTACTCAAACTCGATGTGCAGGCAATCTTCAATCCCCACTTCCATCTTGATGGCGTTGTTGCTGTCCGGCGGCATGCGGTACGAATGCACCCACATGTCCTTTTCTTTGGTGATATCCGCCATCCGTCGCGAAACGATGACCCGCAGAAAGTATCTGAGCGAGGTGTGCAGTGTGGGCTTGTGCATCAGCTCTTCTGCGGAGCCAACAGAGGCTGCGTGTTGGGCGCCAAAGATGAATGAAACCTGCCTCGCCCACACGCTGAGCAGCGCGGTGCGCACCCGCCAGCTGCGCCCCTTGCACGTCTTCTCTGCTGTCCATTCGCAGCTGCGAGTCGCGGATGTCCTCTCGTCGTCTCACCTCAGCTTGACATTGATGCCGACGTAGCTCTCATACTGTTTTTCTACGTTCTTAAAGTCAAAGTCGAATGACTGGGCGTTGCGAATTTCGCCTGGACTGGCCAGTTCTTGCGTGAGCGCAAGAAATTCGTAGTGATTGCCTCGATCGTAGAACAGCTCTGCAAAGGCAAGCAAGAGAATGGGATTTTCAGGCATGATGACACCCAACAGAATCGCGAAGCGGCGACATGACCTCTGAGGTGCAGCGCACGAGCAAAGCTGGGCGCTACGAGACGAACGAACGGGACTCGCACGGCGGCAATCGAGTTCAAGGTTCTCAAACCATAGCCACCGGTCGCTCGGCACTTTCTTGGCCCATCCATTGCAACGCTCCTACTGCACTCACCTATACTGCCTATAAATTCGATCTTGATGCCCTCGTGAGCGAGCCGCTTGCCATCCCTTACCCTCACGTGCACGGTGCCCCTCACAGGTTCGCCATCCAGATACACGGGACACCTCTCCCTCCTATCCTTGTCCAGCCTGACATCCACCTGCTTGTGAGACTCTTCTCCTTCCAGCCGCACGTCGATGTCCGTTGGTGTGCTAAAAGATAGCCAGGACGCCATGTCGGGAAACACTGCACGAAATCGACGACTGTTCTGCTAAAGAAGGCGGGATGGCACTCGTGCTGCTGCTATGATCGCGCTTCGATCAGCGGACCAGACCCTGGCCTCTCGTGGCTCTGAAAGAGCTGAATGACGAAAACTTGAAGCGTGGCTTGCGGTGTTGACACAGGGTGCTTGGCTCGCGCTGCCTCTCAATGCAGACGTGTGGCCATCCGTGATTCGTGATTGCTCGTGGGTGCTCTTCGTGATCGGAACGATGGAACTTCTCCCTGCGTGTATGCATTGACACGCCCGAGACCCACTATGCACTCGTCCGGCCGCGACCGTGCAACCTCACCACGCCTGTCCGTGCACGCCTCGAGACATGTCACGTGGTTAGGGACACAAGTCTTCTCAAGTCGACTTTGACTCTGACTCAAGACTGGTCATCAATCAAGAATCAAACGTGAATCTGCTTTCATCCGCGGAGCCTCCATCTTCGGTTCGTCCATCCCGACTCTGGGCCCTTTCTCACCGGTATATACACAGACACGCCAGCGACGTCGCTGATATTGAGAACACGTCTGGCTCCTAAGGACTCTCTGATCGCCAGCGCCTGTAGCCTCGAAGAGCGCTTTCGATTGCAGCGCCTGGACAGTAAGGGAAGACGAAAGCTTGCTGCGTCTGTGATGGTCCTGGTGCATCGGTTTGAACCAACGAACTTCCCAGCCGCCTCTCGAGCTCACTTATAATTTCAAGCACTGCGCCATTTCGAAGAGCGCAGAACGCACCAGCCCGCCCTTCGCTGCGCATATAGCGACGTCCATACCCAGCGGCTGGAGAGGAACGCTTGCAGGCAAGCAAATTGCGCCAGCGATGCGCTCATCACACTATCTGCTCAGCCTACCGCACGCTTCTCGCATGGAGAGCGAAAAGCATCTCAGCGTGCAGCTCACCACGTTGACATCGAGCAGCACGCATTCGGAGGGCCAGGCTGATGCTGCTCCATCTAGCATGAGTGACCGTAAAAGGCGAATGACGCTGCTCATACACGTATCTGCTGCAAGCTGGAACGCCATCGAAGCTCTCAACTCTTCATTGACGCCGCTAGTAGCACCCCCTCAGGCCACAGCTCCACACTCTGAGCGTCAGAGCTCAGCACCGGAGGAACAGAGTCAGGAAGATCGACTGCAGGCCGCCTTTGACGCTTCGATGGAGGGAGATCTGGACGCCGCGCTCAGGACAGCTGCCCGGGGACCAAGTGGCCAAAATCCAATGTTGGAGGAAGTCGGTGGCGCCGGCGCAGATACTGCTCGCGCTCTGAGCAATATCGGGAATGTCTCTCTGGGCCAAGGGAGCATGCAATCGACCGGCGGATCTCTCGCTGCTGATTGGGCTCTCGCAATGAGTCGCGGAAAGGTGCGTTTTTAAGATTGTAGAGATTTCCTGCGGAGCTGCGGAGGCGAAGAGTGCTAGCAGAGGCGACCCTACATTTGCCAAACACCAATGTTCCCTCATCCTCGCGCTCTCTTGCGCCAGATCCTGACCTCTTGTCGAATGATCCTCTCGCAGGGTTGCGAAGCCGTGGGTACCAGTCTATATAGCTCTGAGATGGATCTAGCTCTACCCATTGCGAAGCGGTTGGGTACGTGTCCCTCTCGACGAAAGCCACGTGGCAATAGAAGCGAGCCTTGTCCAGAGTGTTAGCAACAGACTCACCTCTTTCATCATCACCCTTCACCCTTGCGCGCCCTAAGCATCCGTGCTGGACTTGCCTCAGGTCCTTCTCTCCGTCAGCCCCTGCGCTGTGCAAGCTGGTGGACTTGACTCTTCAGCTGCGACAAGCGCTCATGAAGCGGGAACGGCTCACATCGCTTTCCAACGAGGCTTGCTTGGACTGGCCAGGCAAGAGCTGGCCGAGCTCGAGTCCTGAATAGCGAACAGTGCAGGATGAAGTCTACACGTCGTGGCCTTCACAGCAGGGGTTAGAAATGCCTGAGCCGTTCATGAGTCTCGGTTCAACAACCACAAAAGCGCACCTCAACTAAACTATGCCGCCTCTCGTTTAGGATTGTATCCTGAACAAACCTGGTTTGATTCTATATCACACACTCGCGCACGGCCCAGCAAGGAGCGACGGCGCGACGGACCCTGGCGACCCTCCAGACCATGATCAGCGAGCCGCTGCACTCTCTCCGCTCGTACCAAGGCGAGGCGAGAAATCACCTTGAAACCTCGCGACGTTCACACGTCTATCCGCACCGCCACGATATCCAGGGCATCCGCGCCACCGTCCACTGCTTGCCTTCTCCGCCGCATGTTGGGATCCTTATCTGAGCGCAGCTTGCTCCTCACCCAAGAGGCGGGACTCTTGACGATGCGGCAGCAAGACGCCTTTGAGCTTTCACACGTCGGTGCCTGAATTCCATCGATGACAACAAGTCGTGCATCGGCTTTCTCTTTTGGGGACAGGTGGAGCTGGCTTTGATCGGAACGTTGAAATCCCGACACGGGACGAGGAGCCGAGAGTTGCGCAAAGACATTTACCTTATGTCAGCATCATCTGGCGTGGCGTACGAGTGGCTGAACGCTGTCGCCGGGCCCCTTGTTGGAATGAGGGAAGGGAACGAAGGGAGCACAACCTGCCCTTTCCGACTCTAGCTGTGGTACTGACCACGAACCCCTTCGAGCTTTGAACGGCGACGTGCGGATTCCTACTTCTTCATCCCTGGCATCGGTAGATTCATTGGATTGTTTCGAAGTGGATTCCCAAAAGGGCCTCCCACAAACTAGACTCGCCAACGGCATCCCTGCTGGTGTCCGCGTTGCTGCTCCGAGTACTTTGAAGGCAAAATCCTCCGGACGGGTCGGACTTGAATAGCTGCGGGTGACCTTGATCGAATACGAGTTGGATCCGCTTGCCGCACAGGCCATCGTCGAGCCCACGAAGCTTCCGTTGATACAAAGCTTCCCATGACGAAGGTTTCGTGAAGGTCGTCGCAGAAAATCCTGAATTCGTCTGCCAGATGGTCATCACCATCCGCTCGAACATTTGTGAGCGAGCTTGATGACAAAGTGCTCCTAAAGCAGGTCCGGACCAGCGAAGCTGCAATAGCTTTCCTTATTCCCTTCACCGCAAACGATGTGAGTGAGATTGCTTTGGACTACACAGCATTGCGAGATACTCAAGGCTACGAAGTCAGTGTCTCAAACGCGTGAACATTGCAACGTGCTCAACTGAGTTTGGATTGGGACAGATCGCCCGATCTCGGCTTTTCGCCCTTGCAGGCGTGCCAAGGTAAAGTTGCTCACCCGCTGCGTGTCACGTCACCATTGTGATTTGACAGTGTGATTCTCAAGCCACCATTCCCGTACGACAGGGGGCTCCCGCGTCAAGCCATGGCTTTGCGGGACATGCTGCTCACTCAAAATGGTCAGCGATGGCTGTCATCGTCATATACGTTTCCGTGCTTGCACTCGGGGCTGGCACAGTCTCACGATGAACATGTCACTTCTAATGGGTCAAGCCAGCTGACTATCTGAGCTCGGGCGACAAAATCAACAATCACGAATCGGCTTCGCACTTGCTGTTTAGGCATGCGACCTCGCAATCCACACCGAGCACCCGTGACCAGCTCGCCTAGACGCCCGCAGCTGCTCTTCATTGTTCGAAGAATTGAGATGGAACCTCGAGCAATACTTGACGCGGGTCTTTCATGTCCCCGTGAATTCTCCGCGTGCGAATAATAGTTGCGATGACACGGACACGCCACTCAATCTCGAATCAAGAATGCAGTCACCCGTGGTGTGGCGTGGGAAGGGAGGAATAGGAACAAGATCGTGAGCCAGTGATGAGCTAGTGGCGCCAGGGTCATGCCTCTCCAGGGACACGATTAGCTCTGTCCCATGTTGTTAAGTGGCCAGCCTGTTTGGCATGCTTTTGAACTGCTCACTTGCCCCTAGAGACCGCAAAGGAGCATGAAGAGTGGCCTGACGTGAATGTTCTGTCGGCTCTTCGACGTCATTGCCGTGAGGGAACGTTATGCTGTGCTCAATGTAAGGATGATCTTGAGTGATGAGATTGAGTCGTGAGTAGTAGTAGTAGCGCGCGGTAGGCGTGCACCCGATGATACCTCACAGCGCTCGTCGCGTTGGCACAGTGCAATGCCCGGTAGCTTGTAGGAAGCCCGATGAAAGCCGAAGGCCGCCTGTGCTGTCGGTCGACAAACTTCCTGCAGCAAGCGTGCGACAAGCGAACTCGGAAGGGGTTAAGAGTCGGACGTGGCGCGCTCCTGCTGCATAAAGTTCAAGGGCCCTCAGTGGACCCTGGTAAATGAAGGCTCACTCAGCGTCGATGACGCAGATTCACCTCTCAGCGCTTGTCGTGAGGTCCTGCCTCTCTTGACAGCAAGCGATGACCACGCTGGAAGCCCCGGCGACTAGCCGGGAGCGCAAGGCACCACCGGGCTCCATCTCGCCTTATAGCGCCATCCTAAGCTTCGCGATCATGACGTCCCTTCCTGCAGCCACCTAAGCGAGGCCGACCGTTATTGTACATGCGCCACGCAAGGGTGCTTGCTCCGCTGAGGCTCCTGGACGTGTGAGGCCCGAAGGCGACCTGCTACAAATCACAATGCATTCAGTGTCCCTTCAAGGTCGCGCAGACCTTGGCCGCTTCCGGCGGGCTGTAATGGCACGGTGGGCGTGGTCACGAGCGCTCACAACACAAGTTTTACGTGAGCAGCTAGCCTTGCCACGCGAAGAAGCACCTGCAAGGTGTAGGGACCGCAGTCCTGAGTGAGCCGCAGGCCTGAGCGGGCTCTGCCTGCAAAGAGAATAGATCGCCTCACGTCTCGGCAAACGAACGGTGCGGTCTCCTGGATAGGATTGGATCTTTTCGCTACCTGTGCATTCAAAAATTGATGTAACGTCGAGCTGGTCGTCGGTTTTGATCGCTTCTTGCTATTCTGTAGCCAACGGCGACGTGACTATAGCGTGTAGCAAGCACAACCCATGCTGTCGATGCCATGTGTGCAGCCGAGAGCTGAATTTCGGAGACTTGTTGTTGTGCCCCCACTCGACCTGTCTGAGCGCACTCATTTGAGCCAAGAAGCTGACGCAGGGGGTGCCGTCCGGGCTTGGCGTCAACCACTGATGGCTCTTGACACATCGTCCCGGGCTTTGGTCTCCGAGGCGCTCAGCATCCGACAGTACCAATGGACGGTCGTTCACGTGTCCAATACGAATCATGAGACGTGTATGCCGTCACTTTGACTCGCGACCTGCCCCGATGTAAGCAGAGATCCTTGTGTCAAGAAATCTTGAATGTAGTTGCGCGGACGGTCCGCCGCCTCTTCTAGCGGAGTTTCAATTCAACCTGGGTCCGCTGAATGGATCTTCCTCGTTTTCTTACTCTCGTTATTGCGCAGCATCTGAGACGCCTCCAGCAATTCGGGCAAATATGGAAGCTTCATTCATGCTGGAGCCAAGTTGGCGCTGGAAGAGCACCTAGATACCGAGATCTGTCGCCAAGACACCGCGGTTTTCGAGGCCCTTTGACTGAGGCCGAAAACCACCCCTATTTTGCAGCGAGGGTACAAGGTCACGTGATCGTACATTAATGACTTACCTCGCCAGGAAGATCGCTGGGCAAGAGACAGGTCTTAGTGTCAGGCTATATTCTTGATTCAAGTGATCAAAGATGTAATCTTGGCCTCTGGGGTTCGCTCTGCGCCGTGGTAGTGTGTCATGGGCGAAAACTTAGTTCCCGCCAGGAGAACCATCTTGCGCCGCAAGTCTGGCTCGCCGCACATCCCAGGACGTCTCCAAAGCAAGGTTCCGTTCATGTTCCGATGTCGACAGTTGTCCGGGCGCTGTACTGGCAGCTGGAATACTCTTGACTGGTGCAATCTTCGTTCGGCTGGAGACGGTGTCGTCGAGCTTGATGATTTTTGCGCGTCTTACGTTTGCAGCTTCTGAGTCCGCGTGACGGCCGGCGTCTTCGCCTCGGTGTGCAACAAAGGTCGGGAGCAGGTTCTCATTTCGTCTTCCGCCCATCGGATCTCCAATCAGAAAGGAGTAGTGAAGATCTAGACCAAGGCAACTCGTGACTGCACTTTCTGACTTGACAATGTTCGCATCGTTACCTTGCGTGGCCGAGAACCCGAATCGGATCGGAGCTGCAAAAGTGGTGACTCAATTTAGTCAACAGTCAAGAGTCAAGTGGCCCGCGAGTGAGTTTTGAGTCCTGAGTCATCACAAAATGTGCCTGAACCCACGTGAGCTTCGTCACAAACACGCTTCTCGGGCGGTCGATCGATTGGAATAAATCAGCGGAGGCTGTTCGCTGTGACTGTACAGTACAGTGCGATCTTCGTGGCTTCAGCATCGGCAATTTTGATTTCAAATCCAAGAAGCTGGGCCCGCGCAACTCCTTGCAGAAAGAGCGGTTCCCTTGCAGCGTTCTAAGACAAAGGCTTGCATGCAGTTGCGCGGCCATGTACAGTATGCAAGTGAGATCTCTACAGCATCTACGCAGGCGCAGGCACTGGACCTACAGCACACAGGACATGCACTCCCTCGGGGCCGCACACCCGCGTGGGTTTCGCCGCGAACGACGCGTCACACACCATGCAGCGTCAGACGTCAATTAAGAGAGATGGGAGCTTGGCAGTCGAAGTGGGGAGCAGCAACAATCTTGAATCCAAAACTCACGGGCTCAAGTTGATCAGGGCAGAGCGGGCCTGCTCGTGCCCTTCAAACGTGGAATTAGCAGTCGAATTGAAAAGCTTGACCTTGCTTGAAGCAATTCGGCGATCTCGACGCTCGAGAGGGTGAGGAGCATGACGATGACAGACAGCAGAGACTTCTTTGTGCCAAGCTCTGTGTATGCCCATTCACTCAGATCGAGCGTGCGTGAAAGCTCAGGTACTGATACCATTCACACTTTGCACGGTCGCTTGGTCAAGCGCGGTATGCCTTGGACAGGCAGAGTGCGGTCGCCAAAGCTTTCAATGCTTTTGTGCATCTCCAAACCCCGGCTCGAGCTGCGTTCATCGCATGGCACCTGAGGTTCTATGGTACTTGTGCTGCCACTACCGTACATGAACATTCACATTGACTACCGATGTCGATGGTGTGAGCTGCTCTGCGCGGAAGCCGATGAACGTCTGAAGGGTGTATTCGATCGCGCTCTCCAGATGCTGGCGGCGTCTTGCTTGATGATCGTTGGACCGCTTTCGATCTGGATCGACGCCGCCCGCAAGATCATGCTGGTGTCACCTGTGCTTGCATCTTGCAACGGCATCCTGCACTGGTGCATGCAGGCTCTCGCTGCGACATTGATGCTCAGCTTGGCGTGCCGCTGATCTAACAGCACAGTCGCAGTCACAGTTGCAGTCACAGTCGCAGTCACAGTCACGCGCAGTCTGACATCGGCGCGATTCGACACAGGCGCTGATCGTCGAGGTGCAGGGCAAAGCTTTCGCGACGAAGAACGACGATCGCGAGGTGTTTTCGTCGCAAAGGGCGGCAGCGAAGCTCTCGCAGTGAAGAGCCCCGTCATGTCATACCATCCCTAGTCGCTAGTGGCCGTTGTGTCTGGCGGGGGGCCCGCCTACCCTACCCTCGTGAATTACTACTGTATACTGGTGACTTCCTGATTGCGACCGACTTGTACGCCGTAAGCGCAATCTGGCGTCGTTCAATCTGCGACGCTTGTGCGAGTCATGAGCGTACGCGCCCATAAGTCGTAGGCTGATGCTAGCGCTGCTGAGGAGGCCACTCTGACTCGCGTAGCTCGATTGACGACTTTAATGAGGGTGGGAATGCACCGCTCGCCACTGTGGCAAGTCGGCCAGCAAGGCTCGTCTATATTTGCGGCCCATGTCTGGGCCAAAGGGGGGCAAAACCATGGCAGGCACCCATTCACCCTCGTGATTACAGTACTGTATGCAGTCAAGTACAGTAGGTAAGCTTGGCTGCGTGCGGTGCGCGCTGGACTTGCCGCTTGCGATGCGCTGCGCTTGATGCTCTTGCCACTCTGACGATGCACTTACTATTTACGGCGTGGGTACGAGCAACGCGCGCGCGGCTCAAGTTCTCTGCGCTCCGCTCCGGGACTTGCTCTCGCCGCATGCGCTCATTTCGCGAGCGGACGGCGGCTCGCACAGCAGTCTTGAGTCACGAGTAGTACTAAACTCACGACTAGTCCTTCGCGATTGCTATACGTTTGCACACTGGCACATATAGTAGTACCTCCGCAGCTGCTGCTTACAGCGCTGCCTCCCTGTGCGCGCGCTCTGCACTTGCATGCCGGGTAGAGCTCCGCAATCGTGTGCCTTGGCCAGAAACCGGAGCTACCACGTACTGTGGCACGACGGCAACACGAACATGAACAGCGAGCTTGGTCTTACAGGCGCGCGGGCTCATGCACCCTGCATCGGAGTCAAGTCAGCAAGCCATGCAGCCACTTTGCACAGGCCGCATGCGCGCGCAGAAGGGGAGGGGGTGGGACATGTCCTCGGCGTTGCCCCTCATATGGGAGAAAAACTTCGTCTCCGACTCGCGCGCGCCGGGAAAGTAGTCGCGATCAGGGGAGCTATGTACTGTGACTGTATGGCTAGCTGCGATGCAGCCGCTCCGTCCAAGGGCATCGAGGGGCCGGATGCATGCATGCACGGATGCAAGACCTGCGGCCGGGTTTCACAGCATCAAAATCGCATGCATACGGGCCAAGAGACTCCCTGCTGCTGCTGCTGCTGCTGCTGCTGCAACGCAAAGAAAAGCGAATGCAAAGCAAAGCGCGGTCTCTGCCTCCACGCCCCAAAGTGCCCTGTAGCCCTGTGCTGCATCTGCACAATGGACCCTCCCGCACCGCACAGGACGATCGACCGATCTTGAGCCAAATCACCTTTGGGGATCGAGGATTCGCTTGACCAGCGAAGCTCGCATCAGCGGCCGCGCCGAGTACTTACATCACCCAGCCCGGACCTGATGAGTGCGCATCCGTCGCCTCCTCCTCCGAGCGCAAATCGTGATTGTTTCCGATCCTGACTACTGCGATCGTCCCTGCCACCAAAGCCACTCACCACTGCTCCCGCTACGCCAGAGCCTGCTTACCACACACCACTGTACTCACCGCACAGTGTTGGAGATCTCGCGACTACGACCCGGATCTATTCGCGCTAAACTGCTCAGCGCCCTTGTACCTTGCTGTGACTGTACCTATAAGGGATTCGTCTCTCGTTCAACAATTTTTCTGCTTCCGCTCCTGCTCCATCCATCTACCTCCGTGGCAACGTTGATTCCGACACCATCACCGCTTCGTCTCACCTTTCCACTCGAAGCTTCCGTCCCTTCTCTTTCGCAATCAATCGACACCGTTGACCATCGCGTACTGCACGTCGCACATAGCAGTGCGGGAACCGTGTTTCACATCGCCAGCGAGTGCGTCGCCGTCGAGAAAGTACAAATAGGGTTTGCCCACTGGCCAGTCAAATTTCGCACCCTTCTTCAAGCCCAACACAGCCCAACAGCCAGACCGCCGCCCAGCAGCCCATCACCACAGTTTCTCGTGCCCCACCCCGCACTAGCGCGACATACCCTAGCCATCATGTCGAACACCCAGCAACAGCATAAGAATATGCTGGGCCACTGCATTGCAGATGGCCGACTGGAGCTAGTATCGGTCCTGGGCCTCGGAGCTTACGGTGTCGTCTACCTCGCCCGCGACTTGACACACCCGCTCCACCAACAGCCGTTCGCTTCGACTTCCTGCAATGAGCTGCCGATGCGGCTAGCGTCTTCTCACGGCGCAGCTGCAAGCGGATTCTATGCAGTCAAGGTGCTCAACAAAGTCGGCCTTGATCAACGTCAGCGACGGTTCCAACGCAGAGAGATCACTCTGCACACGCTCGCTTCGAATCACCCGAGCGTCGTAGGTCTTCACCGTGTCATTGACGCGGATGACGACCCGTGCGTATATGTCATCATGGACTTTTGTCCTGACGGTGACCTCTTCAGCATGATCACAGAGCAGCAGCGATATGCCGTCGCGCAGCCGCAGCCCACGCGGAGAAGGGCTTCTGACGGCGTGTCCCGCGTCGCCGATGAAGGCGAAGCATACTGGCGCGACCGTAGTGACATGGACCACCTCGTCAAGGATGTCTTCTTCCAAATCTTGGATGCAGTTCAGTTCTGCCACGGTCTCGGGATCTATCACCGTGACTTGAAACCAGAGAACATTCTCTGTTTGCAAGGCGGTGCAAGAGTCGTCCTCGCAGACTTTGGTCTGGCTACCGGGGACAAGTTCAGCGGTGATTTTGGATGCGGCTCGACATTCTACATGGGTCCTGAATGCCAAGGTGGCATCACAAAGCGTCTTACTGAGTACGACACCGCAGCCAATGACGTCTGGTCTCTGGGAGTGATTCTTGTCAACCTCATCTGTGGTCGCAACCCATGGAAGCAGGCTTGCCCCGGCGACGAAACCTTCCGCGAATATCTTCGCAACCCAGACTTTTTGCAAGACATTCTACCAATTTCAGACGAGACGAACAAGCTTTTGAAACGCATCTTCACCATCCGCGAAGAGTGGCGCTGCACGTTGCCAGAGCTCCGCAAGATGGTCGCCAACATTTCGCGCTTCACAGCCACCAACGCAGAAATGGCCTCGCGTCAAGAGGCTGCGCGCGTCGCTTCCGCCAGAGCTCGCGCCTTGGCCCAGGCCGAGCAGAATGCTAAGATCGCCGAAGCACAGCGGCGCCAAGAAGAGGAAGCTGCTGCACTCTGCAAGTTGGCGCAGACGAATGCCGAGTCGACGGATGAGTGCCACTTTGAGCAGCACTCCGACGGTGCCTTCACCTCGTTCGACACACCCGAGTATTGGACAGACAGCGACGCGGCGACCACCTACGATACTGCAGACGCTCTTTCCAGACAGCCTTCTAGCGATGTCAACGTCGACTGGGCTCAACATCCGATCGCTGCGCAGCCCAGACTTGCTCGCCAGGCTCTCGTCTCTGACTCTTCGGCCGGGCAGTTGGCCTCAGCCGCCCACATTCGTCCTGCAGCCTTACTCTCGCGTCCTGCCGAGGCTCACGTCGTTCGATCTCCTCAATCACCGACGGATTCTGAACGCGGCTCGGTCAGCTTCGACAGTTCGCCCGGCACCTCTAGCCACAGTTCCGGCAGCCGAAGAAGTTCTGCGTCTTACACTGGTCTTCCGCCAACTCCTCGTTTCAACACTTCTGATCCTCCGCTGCGCGAGAATACTGAGCTCCAGGCAGTGCACAGCTGCAGTGTCTCGAACAAAGTACGGCCTTCCCTCTTTCCGCTTCAAAGTCCTGCTGCCAAGTGGGCAGCCTATGGCAGAGGGCAAGGCGCCGCTCCGTCGACAATCGCCGAACACGATGCAGAGCCTCATTGTGCTGCAGTGATGTACGAGCCCGCAGTGGGCAAGTGCAGCCCATCCGAAGCTAGCGACAATCCAAATACCTCCCACTTGCCTCCCTTCAAATTCTCCACTATGCCAGGCCGGCGTCACAGTCCACAAGCGGTCAAGCACGCACGCGTTTCTAATCAGAATGGTGCTGTCAAGCGCGCCAAGGGTCAAGTCGGCAATCTAGCCCTTGCATTTCAGCGTTCACACATCTTTGGCAACAGTAGGGACGCAGAGTAACCTCACCCTTTCCCCATCCACACTGAGCGAGTGTCTTCGTTACGCTCCAGGTCTCAGCATTTCCGCACTCTTGTAGCACCATTTCTGGATCGCACGTCAGTCACGCAATTTCTCTGATCTATCGCTTACGGTTCCCCTCGGTAGAACCCTTGCACATTTTTCCTCTGTTGAGGCGCAGCATGTCTGTCTGTATCCTGTACTCCATGAATATATCTACGTAATTCCCTGCTCAGGCGCCTGATAGACATGTGTGCCGAAACAGGCGCACCAGACCAAGAGCGTTGGACTCCGACCAACGTGCACGAGGCCCAAGCGCCACCAGAATCACCTCTCACGCACTGTACACAGAGCACGAACCATGTCGATCCCCGCTTGGGGTGCTTGGGGTCGCACGCCAGCGGTCGAGCCCAGCAGCAAGTCGAAGGGCGCGTCGCCCTGCATTTGTTTGTCCTTCATGATCCAGCGCTTCCAGCCGTCGCGAGTTGGGCCCGGCTTCGGGGAAGGTTCGAGCAAGCACGGACGATAGTATAGTAAGACGATCCAGCTAGCACACGCACACAGCTTCGATCTCTCAGGGTCCTAGGGTCTAGACGAGTCAGGGGTCAATAAAGCGTTCGGGCCTGCGATTCTCGATTGTGAGAGCGATTCGACTCGTGTAGCTGCTGCTGACTCCTGTTCGTGAAACATGCTTGTCCCGCACTGGATGGTGCTCACAACGCGCGCATGCGTCACGACGCAGCGACTCGAAGCCACCTGCCGCACTCGACAGCAGCTAAGGAACCCTTTGATGAAATCACAATCGAGACTGTTGAATCGCGGGCGTCGACGTGCTGCTGTGATTGCGCCAAAGCAGAATGGTGGAAGCCGCCTATAAGCGCAGAAGCAGAAGAAGCTCTGGCAAAAAGGCGGTATATGCACCTTTTGCAGCGAGGGCACTTGCTCTTTTTGGGGCGGCGTCGCCATGCATGCATGCATGCAGCAAAGCCCCGGCGTGGGGTCAAGCGGTCGGTCGCCTTTGTTCTCATTCATGGGGCCTGTGCACGATGCATGATTTCCACAAACCGACGGAAGCTGGAATCTCGCCAGATCTGTTCAATGCGTTGAGAGGGCGCTGGAAGGTGCTGCTGCGTGAGTGCTGTCATTATATGATCATTCACGACGCGGTTGGCCGTTGCAGCCTGTGCAGATCGTATACGTGCGCGTCCACAATCGTGAATAGCTGCTGCTGCGGGCTGCCCTAGCTCGAATGAGCGCGGCGCCTTCGAGGTTGGACCGCCGCGCGCCCGCCTGCGCTCGCTGACTTGATACAGTACCGTATAGCGCTGCATAGTGGTGAGCTGTCACTCGTGACTGTGCCTGGCGCTCCGTGCGTGCTGTGCTTCTTATCGTGCTCTCATCGAAGACACGCAAGTCGAAAGTGGCGCTCGAAGGAACATCCATCCATAACCCCACTCGATTGAGGGCGCTTATTCGCGCGTCGCAAACAATCATTAAGTGATTGGCATCGAGCAGCTCAGCACAGGCTGAGTCCCAATCCTGGAGAGCTTCATATAACATTCCACAACTGCGCTGCTTACCCGCAACCCACGATTCCCATGGTGGAGGTTCGAGCAGAGGTGCTTAACGCTATACCGCAATGATAAGTCCGGTATGTGTCGCCGCGGGCACGAGCGTCAAACGTCGCGTAAGCAATGTTCGGCTGATCTTCTGGGAACGTGTCGAGCTCATGTCGATGAAGACCGACGTGGTGCCAGATTTGGGGGCTCTCCATCGAGCGATAACGGCTACACATAGTCTTGGCTAACCTTACCTTTGCGATCTGCCAGGCAGGATCCGACCCTCGATGCGATCTGGTGTGCAAGCTGAGTGTCGCCTGTAGCAATCCGGACGAGAAAGGTAATTTGCGATCCCCGATGCGCAAGTCATGATGTGAATCTCGATTCGTGAATGGTCCAGATGAAGTTTACGATTGGACCTTTTCTTGGGCTCCCACGCTAGCGCAAAGACTCCTTGCATCTTTGGATGTTCGAAACTACCTGCGGAGGAGCGGGCCGGCAGACGCGCCAATTTACGCGTCGCGATCGAGCGCGGCGTGGCATCTGGCATGCAGTACATCATCGGGCACGGGCACCTGCAGTCACGAGGGGTAGGAGAGCAGAGCAGATCGCATGTCGTCGTCGACGAAGCATTTCACAGACCCAAGACCCTCGAAGCCCCTTGCAGCCCCGCGATCAATTCGGAATGCACCGACGACGGGATCTCCTCTCCATGCACAGAGACGTCGAGGTGTCAATTCTTTGACGTGAGCGTGCTCCATCGTCAGCCAGACGCAACATCTACTCATGCAGTACTGTATCAGACCCTGCCTAGTGCTCGCATGAAGCTGAGCGGAACCCGATGCTTTCGAGAAGTTGAGTGGGTCTCGACCCCTTGCAGCGAGAATTAGGCATCGATCAGACTTCATGATCGGAGGAACCAGTCTCGCCACCGAGCTGCTCGCAGCATCGCCAGGGCTCTAGCGACACCCTGCATCTCGGCGAGCTTCGAGCCACGCTCGAGAGCTGAGGTGCCATGAGTATGGGATCGAAGAATTTGTCGATCTTTGGGCTTTGCTGCTTTCAAAATCGAGCCCCTTGCAGAGCTTCGTGGCATTCAACGGCCGTCCAGGGCCACCGGGCTTCAAAGCCCAACTTTTCCTTGCTAGATTGGGCCAAGAATCCTTGCGTATGCCGACAGACGCGCAGAGTCGGCGTTCATTCCTTGGCAGCCAGCGTCGTCAAAGCCATCAGCGACCAGACCGCCCACAGGACGTACCAGACGCCGCGAGCGTTGATCGCGAAGATTCTGACTCTCAACTCGGAGGGGCGATGGATGACACAGACATGGCTGTGCAAGATTTCTTCGTCTCCAATACCTCTCAAGAACGCAGCCTTTTGAGTGGAGCGCGAGCTGCTGACTGCGCTGACTTAAGTCTCTGGCTCAATTCGACGTCTCCATTGGAGGGTCAGACTTTTCGCCGCCGCATGGAGGTGGGAAAGATTGAGCTCGCTGGAAACATTGTGCCATGACTCCCATCGCTTACCTTCCTTCTGAGGGGATTCACCACGCTCACCCTTGGTCTCCCTCTGGCACGCTCACCCGGTACTCGTTTCGCTTGCACTGCATCGCGAACGCATGTATTGGCATGTGTCATAGCCGTGAAGTCATGTTTGTCGATGGGGCTCCGAGTGTGAACCACGCAGACGTCTAAGCCTCAGTCTCGGTGGCCTCTGCTTCATGCACAAGAGTCTTCGCCTTTGAGCCACGGACCTTGCGGGGCTTGGCGGTCTGACGACCAGTAGATGGGCGCTGCGATTTGAGAATCACAGAAGAGCGAGCGACGGCATCTGACAGAAATATTGCAAGGAAGCCAATGTTAGTAGCTGCCCCCCTTCGAGATAGCCAGACAAAAGGTCGAGAGCGTTGAGAACGCGCATTGCTCGATGGCGCGCGGTCGCATCCGCACCCAGACTCTTTCCCGCAGCGAAACCACGACGCGCGATTCAGGACCAGACGTGATGTTGACAGCAGCCACCGAAATTGGCCCCTTGACATCCTGGCGATACCGTTCGTCCAGCAGCACAGAGCTTCACACACTGGAGTGGCCGAATGATTCGAGCTCTAGTACCTCGCAGAACATCTGCGACGATGCGACGTAGGGAGAGCGCTCGGAGCGAATTGTATCGCGACGAGCCTGACGTCCTCTTCCCTTCGGCTAAGAGAGCAAATCTCCAAGGGTCGTGCTACTGCGCCCTCATCAGCTTGCCTATCTCCAGTTCTGCGTCCCAACGCCCGTATGAGTCTGCCTTGGCCCTGTCGCTGCGACGCGACACAAAAGATCCCAAATGCTACTCTCCACGCTCCCTCATGCTCCTCGAGTGACTCACCCTTCAGCAGATCGGCACGGTATCCGCGCTTTCCGACGATGCTCGCGACCGCACCAGCTGTGCGCCTGCTTCCACCCTTCTTGATGACGTGTTGGTTGCGAGTGTTGGCAATCTTGTTGACCGCAGGCTTTCCCTTGCGGGTGCTGACCACCACTCCGCGACCAGCAGGCTGGTCAGCAGATACACCTGCAGGCGCGATGGAGACGGATTTTTGGTTGACCAAAACGGAGTACTTGTAAGAGTGGATCGCCTTCAGGTTTCCGGGCTACAAAATCGAGGTGGAACGATTCAATAGCGTCAGATCCTGGGCGCGAAACGTCGCGCACCCGCTGCCTGTTCAGGCCTTGCTCACCTCGCGAGAGAAGATGCGGCCGAGACCCTTTTGCTTGACGAGGTAGCCTGAATTCTTGCGAACAAGGAGCCACTGGAGATCTTGAGAAGGAGCGACCATCTTGAAATGTGTGAGCTTTGTGGGGGCAAAGCGTGTGTTCTTTTGATGCGTTGTGAAGTGACCGGAGTGCGTCTCTGTGAGATGGTGGTCGCGAAGGGCAGTCCGCGCTCGACGTCGTCTTCCCACGACGCGCAAAGCTGCGGCTCATGCTTGATGCAGCATACCGGTCAGAAATGTTCGCGAACATTTGCCAACGGCTTTAGGTGGAGCGCGCGTGTCCGGAAGATCGACCGCGCACGGATGGCGCATCTCACGAACTGCGATAATTGAGGATGGCGTTTCGTGATCTCCGCGCTTCAGCCGTACGTACCTTCACCAATCGAGGTCTTGCTTTCCTATCCCGCATCCTACCCAGCGTCACGCTCGGCCAGAACAACGCGAGCCGTTTAGCATCACCTTCTTGGCAACATCGTCGATCCATGTAGCATTACCTTCTTGGCAGCATCGTCGATCGCCCCGCCTTGCATCAACGCACACCCTCCCAGCTCTGCCCAGAAGACCACGTCTAGGATCTCTGGCGGGACAACACAGCCTTGGCGCCCTCCCTTTCTCTTTCAGGACTCTTCTACTCGTTCCAGGTCATGGCAACGTCTTCGCGAGCTTCTGGCTCCTCAGCCAAGCCTCTTCAAGCTCAAATGACAGCTAGCGGCATTCCGCAAGCTCCCTTCATCGTGAGCCTGCAGCACATCGACCCTCGAGCGTATGTATGCTAGCTCACGCCCACGTAATTATCTTGCACTGCAGGAAGATGTAGAGAAGCATCTCGGTGGGCCGGAAGAGGATGCTGGACCTCACCTCGAGAAGTTCTCGGAGGCCATGCAGTGAGTATGGCGTGCCTGGACTTGGCACTCCCTCCCCTGCTGAAAACGAACTATGCACCTGTGCTTGTTGCGGCACCACAGAAAGTACAAGGTGATGGAGGAGAAGACGTTCAGAAGGAGACAAGCGATGGAGGAAAAAATACCTGATATCAAAAAGACCCTCGCGATGGTCAAGCAGCTGCAAGCATACAAAGTGCGTCGAGCCAATGAAGCGCATGCCAAAGCTTGCTGTTAGCAGCCCTCTGTCTACGGGGCTGGCTGGCAGAAGTGTCACTCGCGGCTGACGCTTCGCAACATAACCACGTCGCGCTACAGGAACAGCGCAAGACGATGAGCACGCACTTCGAGCTGGCAGACACCTTGTTTGCGCACGCTTCCATCGAGCCTGTAGAGGAGGTGAATCTGTGGCTAGGCGTGAGTCATAGCATCAGAAGACCTCCCCCTCGATCACGCAGCGATGACTCAATCTTCTCGCGTGTCTCACTTCCCCCACAGGCCAACGTTATGCTCGCGTACCCGCTCGAAGAGGCTGTGGCCCTTCTCACTGCCAATCTGCTTGGCGCAGAAAAAAGTTTGGAAAACATTTTGGGCGATCTGGACTTTTTGCGCGATCAAATTACAACTATGGAGGTCAACACTGCGCGCGTACACAATTGGGATGTCAAGAGGCGAAGGGAATTGTGAGTTCTATCTCAACTCATATGCTAGCACTCTCCCTGGCTGAGATGTCAAGAACTCCTCTGCTCGCCAGGCGACTCAGATCAGAGCAGCAAGGCGCAGGGACGAAGAGCTAAGCCGCGTGTGAACGCAATGCGGATGCTCAACATTACTCAGCGTGGGACCACGACGGTGCTTGTGTGCTAGTGTACATGTGCAAAGTTCGGGGCGGAAAGCTTGTGGCGCCAGATCGAGAAGCTCGATGCAGGTGCTGGTCGTGAGTGCTCCGCTCAGTCGACAATGGAGCTGGTTCCCGCTTGCGCCTGCAATCGCTTGCGTTCCTGCCTTCGAGCGTAAGCTTGCGCTTCGCGTTTCAAACTTGGGTTTTCCTGAAGGTTGCTTCTGCGAAGAGTGGCTCTGCATCCATTCACAGGGCACGTCACGTGGTCTCTGTGCTGTTGTAAGTAGGCGACGATGGCTTCGCGCTCGTAGCTATGCGAGCACACAGTACTGCAGGGCGAGGGGGCGGAAATGAGCAAAATACGCAGCAATCAAGGGCAGCCGGCGACCTCGTTAATCACCTAGAAAGCGGATCTTTCATGGTACTAATGCTCAGTGGGCAGCGGTAGTCCGTTCTGGAGCCTCCCATCAGCACCTCATCGTCGTCGCCGTCCACATCGCCTTCTTCTGCAGGAAGCAGATCATTGAGGGGTGGCATTGGGTCATCGCTGAGCGTATTCCAGACCCTAGTCCTGAAATTCTTGTAGCTCAAGTGGTCTCCGTATCTTTGACGCGTCGTCTTCGCGTCGCGAGCGGCCAGACCATCTTCGACGGCCTTTGTATACTGCTCAGTGGCATTGTACTGGCCGACGACAGGCAGGATGTCATTATTTGCACCTTCTCTTGCATCTTGCAGCGTTGCTACATCGCACTTACAACAGGTTCTCCATCATTGAGCTTCTGCCTCAAGGCCGCTAGAGCTTCCTTGCGAACTTGCACCTCTACCATGGAGTCAGCGATCTGCCTCATCAGAGCCTCTTGGGGCTCTGTGTGCTGGGCGAGATGATGGCAGATCGAGATCAGAGCCAGACCGAAAGGTCCAACCGAGCGTGACTGACTCACTTCGCTAAGACCCAGAGCAGACATGTCTTGGTCGCCGTCGAGATGCTCGGCTGCGAAAGCCGATATCTCGATGAGCATTTCGCCAGCTGAGCCGACGTTGGTATCGAGGTCAGACCAAGCACTGGCCTGCGTCTTAAGGGCAGCATCGCTCAGCAGCTTGTCGAGAGGCTGAGGTTCCTGGGCCTCTTTGAGCGCGGCGACGAGATCCACCCTCTGCGGCAAGTCCTCATCCTCGTCGTCTAAGTCCTCAACATCTCCACTATCCGCCATTGAATTCGGTGCGCGCGGCATTGACTGTGAGGAGCTATTTCTCTGCGCGCTCGTACCACCAGCAGAACCTGTATGGTGTCGCTCCCCGCGACGAGTCGGTGGCATGCTCGAGTGCCGCCGTTCCTAGACGGAGAACGACTGTTGTTCACTGTAGTCGTGCCGATCTCGCGTCTAGCGCGACAATGTTGAGCTACACTTCGGGCGCGGTGAATGCTGCTTTCTGGAAATTGTCCATCAGTGCTTGCGTGAGGAATCACGAAAGTTGACTGGAGTCTGTCGATGAGGTGCAACAACAGTCGCGTTGGTTTAGAATCTGCTGATGAGGACGAGGTGGGGGAGGCTTGACCTTGCGTGCAGCAGGCAGCCATGCATGCATGGTTGAACGCGTGTTGCGCGCTTCGACCGCGTTGGGCGCTCCACACAGAGCTGCCGCGTGAAGCGCGCGCCACGTGCGCGCTCGAGCGCTTTGCCATCGCGCACGGTTCGGAAGGCTCCACGTACATGTACATGTGCTACTCTGACTGCACCACAAACCGCTGATGCATGCATGCCAATACCGTCTTGAGAATGGAGGTGCAACCCACCAGCATCATCCCATTGACCGGCCACGACCTTTGAGCTTCGGCATCGTCTCTTCACTCTTCACTTCGACGGCACTTCAACAAAGGAGTCATTTCTGTCTTCGCTTCGGAGAAACGAACCTCGGCCCCTCTGAAGGCCGTCGCGATGCGCTTCAACGCTCCGTTCTGGTATGCTTGCCAGCTCGTCGCTCTACTGCTTGTGGCAGTGGAGGTGACCAGCAAGAGCGCGACAGGCTCCCGCGCTCTGGTTGTCCTGGACGCCGAGCTGCCGCGACATCATTTCAGCCAGTTCTTTGGTTCTTTGGAAAAGGACTTGGACTTGCAGCTCACGTTCAGACAGCCCAAAGACGAGAAGCCAGCCTTGACCGAGTATGGGGAGAACAATTTCGATCACTTGCTTTTGCTCGCTCCCTCAGCCAAGTGTGAGTGCGCTGCGCCGAAACGCGGTGTGTTTGGCTATTTCTGCTGACATTCAGACGCTCTGTTGCATGCTACTCCTCGCGCTGTAGCCCTCTCGGCCGACCTCTCGCCGCAAGCACTAGTCTCCTACCTGAAGGCTGGAGGGAACATTCTCTTTGGTTTGTCACCTCATCTTGCCGAGAGCTATCGAGACCTGGCAAGAGAGTTCAGCATAGAGTTCGAGCCTCGTGGGTCAAGAGTGGTGGACCATTTCAGCTCCCTCAGAGGCGCGGAAAACGACACGTCGCTGCTTTTGGACAGCGCTTCAACCGCGGCAGTCGCAGACATTGCCAGCATCTTCTCGTCGGCGAGACCAGGCGTTCTGCAGGTGCCGAATGCGATCGCTCACCGGCTCGGCTCCAATCCGCTCGCGTTTCCACTCATCCGGCCTGCTACCACCAGCTATTCGCGCGATCCCAGCGCCGACGCAAGTGGGGCCGTTCTCGCAGGATCCGCAGAAGACGCTGCCATCGTCTCTGCCTTTCAGCTTCGCGAGAGCAGCTCTAGAGCGGTGTGGTCGGGCTCTGTGGACATTTTCAGCGATGCATCGTGGAAGGACGGGAGCCGCAGAAGCAGCCGAGATGGCACCATCGACACGAAGCAGACCATCAACAAAGAAGTGGCCCTTTCGATTATGTCTTGGGTGACTCAGACGACGGGGGTAGTCAAAGTAGCTGGTACGTCGCACTCCAGAGTGAGAAGTGGACCCGAGGATTTGCGCGAAGACTACGAGGAGACCATTGGTGAGGATGGCAAGGAAGTACAGAGAATGTACAGGGTAAAGGATCATGTTACATTCAACATTGACCTGGTAGAGTACAGGAGCGGCCAGGGGTGGTCACCAGCATCGAAACACCTTGATCTGCAAGTGTCTCTCGTTATGCTTGATCCCTTCATCACGACTACGCTGCGAGCACTGGATGCACCGGTAAGCATCGCTCCATCTTCCAAGCTCGCCTACTTGAGCAAATCTCAACAAACAACGACACCAGCATCCACGCGGTACACTGCCACGTTCCAACTGCCCGACCGGCATGGAGTCTTCACCTTCAAGGTGGACTGGGCAAGGCATGGCTGGAGCTATATCGCCACGCGGGATACCGCGCCCGTCCGACCATTCAATTCTGACGAGCATCCGCGGGGATTGAGTGCTGCTTGGCCTTACGTCACTGGCGGCTTCTCGACTCTTGCTGCCTTCACTCTGTTTGTCATCTTGTGGGTCACGTCCGTGGAGAAGGCAGGCAGCCGGAAGAGCAGGAGCGGTAGCAAGGAGGAATGAGTTTCTGATCATGTTCAATCAATAGCAGCTCGCGCGCCCACGCAGGCTTAGAAGCGCGCAGCACCAAACCGAACAATTTTGAACCTAAAACATTCCCACGAGCGCCTTGGTGCATCATGAACGACAGTTGCTGAGCGTACGAACCGATCTGGCAGGGATGACCCTCCCACCTCGCTTCTTAAGCGGATCCGACTCTGCCGAGCGGACGTCTGTCTTTAGACCTCGCGCGCGGGGCCGTAAAAGCACGCGCTGCTTTGCTGGAGCAGGGTTTGCTTGTTCGTCGGGCACACTTCATCACTGTTTTGAGCGCAAAGGTAGTGTAGTCAGGAGTGAAAGACTTCGTGACTACACCCGAGTCTCCCCTCACCTCTCGGGCTTTCGGACACAGCGCAAACCCTTCTGAAGTCGATTTATTTGATCCAAGTTGATTCGTGATAATAATGATTCACATTCTTGACTGTGCCGACGGGACAAAACTCACGTGCGTGCGCTGCACGGTCCATCAGACCCGCCGCACGTTTCTTCCATCCGCGGGGAAACGGAGGCTTGTCAGGAGCAAATCATGCGCAAAGGCAGGCATAGGCGAGCGCGTGCATCTGCAACATGCACACGCGCGACAACCCCGGATGGACGAGGCAGACAGGCGTTCACTCTGTGCCATCCGTGACTTTTGTCTCCTCCTCAGACCACCACTTCGCACTTGTGGCTCTGCTACTTTCCGACAGAGAAGCTCCCTCTCTTTCCTTGGTAAGGCTGGCCCCCCAGACCGCGCAGCCAGCACTCCTCAAAGCCCTGCCGCCATGCGTTCCGTTGCTCGACTGGTCCACCGCGCTTTCCGAAGAGTGGAGTCGTGCGCAGAGTGGTTGACAGGAGCAGCTGGTCCGCTATTTGTAGCAATATGCACCGTGCTGGTCAGCATAGGAGCCTGGACCTTCTTCACCACCTCTTTCAGCAGCGTCATTGCGCCCCTGCCTCGACCCATACACGAGCTGCTGCACACGCGCAACCCCATCCACTTTAGCCTTGGACTTGGACCTGCAATCCTTCAAGCTCCTTTGGATACGCTGAGGTACCTCTCTGCGCTGACCGCGTGCGCATACATCATGTCCAGCATCGTCATCCACTACATTTTGGCTGTGCGAGTCCCGCCCGGAAGCGTGACACGTGGACTCGGACCTGGCATTCCTGAACGTCGAGTCGGCCCTGGCTCCACATTCTGGTGGCTAGAGCGAAGACGCAGAGCTGCTCGAGCATCGCGAGGTGGAGCGTCAGCTGCGGGGGCGGATCCAGTGTCTGGTCACGAAGTCAGAGACGATGGCTTGCTGTATGCAGACGACGAGCAAGTGGACGCTGCTGCAGAGGGAGAGGACCTGTGGGCCCATGTTCGCATGTGCCACAAGTGCCCCAAAGTGCCGCTCTATCTTGCCTTGTGCGCACTGCCTCCTGAACTGAGAGCAGTGGAACGAGAAAGGAGGGCTGGTGCGGCTGGCTCGCAGGGAGGAAGAAGAGCTCGGAGGATGGACAGGGATGCTGCTGCGCAGTCCCAGCTACCTCTGGCAGCGCGAGGCGAGAGCGAAGATGATGTTCGGGCTTGGTTGGGCGGCGAAGCGGATAAGCTCGTGCCGCCTCCGAAGCCGGAGAGAGCCCATCACTGCAGAATATGCAATACTTGCTCTCTGAAATTTGTGAGTAGCATTCATATACTGAGCTGTCATCGCATCTCGCTAACTCACCACGGCTGGTCCTGTACGAAAAGGACCATCATTGCCCTTGGCTCAATCAGTGCGTAGGTCTGGGCAATGAAAGACACTTTGTTCTGTTCATGGCATGGTTGGCATTGGGCATGTTCGTCGTTGTAGGGTCCTCTTGGCCAGTCTTGAAGCTCAGTCTATCTTATCAGAAGAAGGTGAGAACTTCTCAAGAAACTCCTCGAGGTCTTGCTTGCTGCTCACTGCGTCGAAAGCAACTCCCTGGTCTGTGCTCTCCTGACAGTGGCCGTACCAATACACACCCAGGCTCTTTCCACTCCTCACATTTGCGCTCTGCGCCATCATGGGTTTCGCCCTGGCTGTCATGGCTGGCTGGCAAATTGCAATCATCGCATGGGGCGAGACGAGCGTGGAGAACAGCGACAATTCTCACTACAGAGAGGTGGCGAAGCAGAGAGAAGAAGTGGGTTGAGCAACATGGGGCCAGACCCCTCCAAAGGGCCTTGCTGACTTCTTTGTGCCCCCTCGCGTCCCTTTGGAGCGTAGCGATTTGTCAACGTATACGACGTCGGTGCTTGGCGGAATCTACAGCTATTCTGGAATGTGGGGCCTGGTAGCAGGCACGGCTGGCTCAGTGTGCTGGCGCCTTGGAGGATACAGCCTTATAGCGACGGCTGGCATTGGGCCAAGCGGCGAGGCTTGCTTGGCAGGTGAGTCGCTTGCGTTGCATACAAACTCGAGATCGTAGCCTCATGATCTTTGCTGACCCTCCTCCATTGGCACCATTGCCACTGCGAACCCAGGCATGCCGGTATAGAAAAGGAAGAAGAGCTCACAGACGATGAGGTTGCGCGCGATGATGCTCACCCTCTCGCCACTGCGACTCGCTAGCACCTTGCAATACATACCCTTGACATCTATCCACGCAATGTACACCGGGTACAACGCAGTATCACGCTCGAGAACAGCGTCGGATCACCGAGAAATGCTCCCAATCGAGGTGCTTTTCATCTCAAATCGTCCACCTTTGGAAGTATGTCGCGATGGCCACTCCTTCTCCAGCATCCCATGGACGACGCTCTGAACAATGATGAAAGTTTCCCTTGCCCGGAACGCTGATGTATTTGTGGCCATTCAAGTGATTGGATTTGCGAGCACCATCGTCACCTGACCTAGCTGGCTATGGGGAACAGACCGAGGTGGCGCCGGTCCTATTGCAGACGTGTTGGCAGCACAGCCTCTTCTTGCCTGGCGACGTCCCGCGGAGCAACGATTTCGAGAGGATTCAGGTGCTTGTATTAGATGTGATAACTCCAGACGCGAGCTGTCATCAATGGGTCGGTTGCATTTAAATCTTGATTTCGAACTTATCAAAGAGTTTTTGAATCTCGAATGTCAAGAATGCAGTCTTGAGTGTGTATAGATGCCTGCATGCAGATGCTGCATGACACGCATGCGCGCAATTGTGTATATGGAACCCAGAAGCCGCGCTCGACATGAGCCAAAAGGTAATAGGGGGGCTCACTTTCTCCCAAAATTCCAAAATCATTTTGCTTTTGCAAAAGCAAAAGCATTTTTTGCTTTGCTTTTTCTCATGCAAGAGCGCGCAAGGTGCATGAGGCAGTTGAGCTGTGTGACTTTGCTTTTAAAAATAAAAGCAAAAAGTCTGGAAAATGCAGCTTCCTCGCAGCATGTATCCAAAAAAGATGTTGATTTTACAGTGAGACATGCAGCGCGGGCGCGCGCGCCTCACATTCAAATTGGCTTGTGCTGATTGCGTGCCTCATGCATCACTCTAATTTGCCATATTATTGACTGACATGCAGAATAAGCTGTGCATTTATAAAAGCATGCAGGGGCACTCAGCTCAAATCTGCCATTTAAAAGATCATTTTGCAGATGCAAATCACGACCAGAGTTGACGAGTCCCCCTAATGTGAATTCTTGATTTCGAGTCAAGTATGCCGTCAATCAAGAATTGACGCGCCGAGGAACTCGAACTTTCGACCATCGCGGAGGTTCAAGTGCAAGGTTTTGTTAATCACGACTTTCGATCGCCGACTATTCAAGCGAGTCACGCACTCGTCATTATTTGCAAGGTTGAATCGTGCCCATCGTGAAGCCCGCGACGACCATCATATCCTCGGGAATCTGCGACCATTTCGGTGTCTGAGACCCAGTCATCTTCTATGCCCCTTGCTTGGTCAACTGTCCCAGCATCGAATGGCACTTCGGACTGTGGATTCGGCATCCAAAGCTTGCGGCTCACGCTCGACTGAGGCCACAGTAGCGGGTCGGCGTTTGTGCCATACGAAAGCAAGCATGACCATCCCGCCAGGCGCTTGGCCTTGCGAAACTTTTGCGGCAGTTTCAAGGGCACACGTTTGCTCAATAAAGTCAGCACGAATCATCGGGCTAGTCGCTCAACGCCCACCACGAGGACGAAGGCGATGTGGGTCGCACAGTCAAATCCTGCCGCGCTTACTCGTGCTCGCAGTGATCCTCTTGGCCAGTCTGGGAACATGCTTAGCGCAGTCCTCGCCAAGCAGCAGCAGCTCAGCTACATCCACCACGTCAGGGGCGCCCCCGCCCGCTCGCACCACTCCAGTCGTAGACGCCATCGCGACGCCGTACCTTCTATCAAGCGGAAGCTCTGTCATTTCCACTTTGCCCATCGATTCTGACAAAGGTGTGACCTTTCAGCTCGCGCCGCTACCAGATCGAATATCGTTCCTCTCGCTTCAGCTCTGCGGAGGTCCCAGTGTTGCGCCGTACAATGTGTCAGACTCGGATCTTCTCAGATCGCTGGGTCAGTCAGCAACTTCAGCACGGCGCCTGACCTTGCCAAGGATCTTCATATCCACGGATGCAGCGACGACTCAGCCTGGACCTGACTCTGGAGCAGCACAGTCTTGGATCTTGGGGGGCGCGGCCACCATCGAGGTCGCTCAGGAGTCGGGCGATGTGGGAGCCTGGGTCAGCCTCTGGCCTCCAGAGGACACGAGGGACGTAGCGCAAGGCAATTGGACCGTCTTGGCGCAGTTGGGGGATGATGGTGAGTGTATGCGCGCGCCTTGTGAGGCCTGTTCGGCACAGCACTGTGCACTCTCGTGATGAATTCGGGATGGAGAAGATGGAGATGTGCTGGCTATGTACAGGCAGAAGGCAGACCAATTCGCTGAGCCCTGTCTCTGCTCCCGCACCCCACAGGCAACGCAGCCCCCTTCAGCCTAGCCATTGCGCACGGGCTCTCACTTGCAGACACGGATCGAGCAAGAGCACTCGTGACCTCGTCGAACATGTCTCTTCCCTTGCCCAACTTGGACATCACTATCCTGCCTAGTACCGGATCGGCCTCGATCGATCCTTATTTCAACTCAAGCCTGTGTGCGGCTCAGACGGCTGCTCGAGCGTGGGCAGCAGGGAACGGTCCTGGGAGCATGGTGCAGCTCAATGCCAGCAATACTCAAAGGGGCATCCTGAGAGACCAGAAGTCGGCAGGCCAGCAGCGACGACAATGGGACATCACTGGACTTGAAGCTGCTTCCAATTACACCGTGTGGCTGTCTGCCCAAGATCCTACTTTGAACAACGTCACTGTGTGGCCAGCTATCAAGTTCGCAACCAAAACGGGTGAGTACGACCAACCTCGTGTCGCAAGTGGTACACAACACGAGTCTGATCTTGGCCACCCTTGCTTGCTGCGAGCAGCCGACAACTGCCGTCTAGTTTATGACGTACCATTCTGCCCAAACGTAGCGTATTCGATTCCGATTGGCCCCGAGGTCTCGACCGATAACGCCTTGTCCACCATCAATCGTACGGTATCTCCCAACCTATCCAACTTCACTCAGCTACTCGGCACCTTTCCATGCGGCGATCCCTACTTTGGGCCCTACAGCGGAGTGAAGGATTGTGGAGACTGCTTGGATGCATACCAAGATTGGCTTTGCGCAGTAGCGATGCCTAGATGCGTGGATGCTCTGGATGATCCAAACGTGCAGAGCGCAGCTGCCCAGAACAGCACCGTCCTCACAGGTGGGCCAATGTCGGCGAACACGGACCTCTTGCCGTATGTCGTGAACCGGCGAGATGGGCGCAACGAGTCCCGTCAAACGTACGTCGATGACGAGCTATCGCCGGGCACGTACGGAGAGCTCTTGCCGTGCATCTACACTTGCTACTTTGTATCCCGCTCCTGTCCCGCTCCTCTGGTACAATGGTCCTGCCCCAAATGGGGCATTTCAGCACAGAGGTCTTATGGAGCTTTTGCAGACTCGGGCGCAGAGGGAATAGGAGCGAGAGAAAATGGTGGCGATGGGAGCGACTTTTCCAGGTGGGGAGGACCCACTCGATACATTGCTCAGGACGCGTTTGGCAACGCCTTTTGCAACGCCATGGGGGTCGACACTCGTCTAAGCGAGGATAACGCTGCCTTACCTGCGCTTGACGGCCGGCGTGCATGGCGTGCTTCAGTGTTCGCGAGCGTGGCGCTATACTTCCTACTCCTGGCTTGAAGTACTATCTATTTGCATGTCTCTCACCTTGACCTAGACGGCCTGGCATGTTAATTTTCGCAGCACAATTTCCGCTTTATGCACACACACACACACATCCACATTTTGCATGCGCTCGGTCCGCCGTCTTCTCCATGTATCGCTAATCAGCAACGGTGCACATCTCGTCAATGGAACAATCGAAGTTGAATCTCATGCTCGGCGCGTTCGTGGCCATTCGGGCAAGGGTACAGAATTGCGGCAACCGATGCATTGCGTGTGTGCGAAAGGTGCCGGTGTTTGGTATTTTCTCGACTCCCGTGAATGTGCTCTGAAGAGCAGAAGGTGGAGAGGTGAGATATCTAGAGGCTACATAACATGAATGTCAAGAGGAAAAGTGAATTGCGGCCAGAATCTTAGATCGTGCTAAGAGGAGGCGGATTGGAAAAAGAAAAGAGAATCGCTCAATGACGAGGGGAGATTTCGAAAAAAGAGAAAGGAAGATTGCAAGTGCCGAGAAACCGCTGTGAAAGAGTCTAAATCGGACGCATGTGCTGTGCAGCGGCCATTCTCAGTCCGCTGTCGCCCTTGCGCTTCCGACTGCCAATGCCTCCCCATCCTTCACGAATGGTCAAGAAGAAGCAAGTGGTGCAGACGATGTCTTTGAGCTCTTCGCGAGACAAGCCAGCACCGTCTGCGCACAAGCCCGAAGCGCTGAGGTCGGGCAAGGGGAAAGGAATGGCTAGTTGGCCGACGATCTTTGGGTGATGTGGTGCAGGCGCCAAAGAACCGATGGGAATGCGGGTTTCTGGCCCTAGCACGAGATGGCACGACCAAGCAGTCTCACTGTCTTCTGGGTCCGATCCATAGCCCTCGTCCTCCTCGGCATCCCCATGCGAGCTGGTCGTGTCGTCCAAAGCGCTGCTTTCCATCGACCTTCTTGCGCTGTGGATGGAGCCAGGCCTAGAGCCTGCGTTGCTTGGTGGTTGAAGATTGCTGCCAGCAGGGGCCACAGCTCCGTTGGCAGTGACGAGCCTTTCGGATAGAGGTTGCGGCCCCCCGCTTCGATCGCTGTTTCCGCTGACAGCGGTTTCGATGTCGAAGCTCCCACGTCTGGCTGCGATCGCTCTCGGCGCCGGCGAAACAGCGTCCGTAGCAGCGCGCCCGTGACCAATGACGCGACTCGAACGCCTGCTTGAACGCGAAGCTCTCCTAGCATTGGGATCTTTGGTCCACTCAAAGCGGATAGGAATCTGCTCGATAGGTGGGTGTAGAACTTGAACTTCCCCAGCCTGGCGGTTGACAAGATTGAAGCGCTTCCACACGCTTGCAAGGACAGCATTCTGACCTTCCGCGTCAACGCGTGGTTGGGCATTGATGACCTCTCCTGGCGCGCTTCTGTTGAGTTTGCGTATCGTCCAATAGTACCCAGCAGTCTTGCGGCGACCTTCGCTAGAGAGGCCGGAGGCAGGCACCATCTGCGGTATGTCAGAGCCACTGGCAGTTGTGATGCTGCCGGCTAGACTGGATTCGAGGGTGCTCGGGGCACTGGCGTCTATGCTCCCTCGAGCTTTGATGCTGGTTGCCGAAGCGGCTCCGCTGTTCAGGGCCAGTGAGAAGCGACCGAACGGACCAGCAGATGTTGGCATATTGCCAGCTGATCCAGATGAGCTTCCAGGACGAGGACCTTGGAGACTGAAGCGCTTGAACTTGCTCAAAAGCCGGCCTCCAGCCGTCTCGGGTGGAGCTTGAGCCTCAGGCGTCATGGACTCGAAGCTTGTTGGAGGCTCTTCGTCTGTCACGAGTATGCCTACGTCGGATCCTGTCCCTTGCGGAGGGGAGATGTCGCTGCCCAGTGTGCTAAGAGGACCGCTACCTCTGCGCATGTCGCTCACTCCAGGAATCAGCTCCCTTGGTTCTAGCTGTCCAAACCCATCGATCTCGACGCCCTTGCGGCCGAATTTGGCGATCTTTTGATCGTTGCCTGCGTCGCTGACAGTGGTGGGAAGCAGAGAGTGGAAGAACAGATTGTATAGCGGAGTCACACGGCGACTGGCTCCCGTGGAAGATGACGTGGACACGCCGCCACTGGAAACCTCGGATCTGCCTGAGCGCTGCGATGACATCGAGTCACTCCTTCGCACCCCGTGACTCGACGACGGAGTGCCAGGCTGACCATTGCTGCTGACACCAGACATGACAGAGTCTTCCCGCGACAGCTCACCAGAAACACGCGAGCCTGATCCTGGCTGGGTGAGGGGAGTGACCAGCTGGATTTGCAGGTTCAATGGGTTGCTCTGCTTGCTGGGCGGCGGTCTCACCTGTGGATTGCGATTAGGAAGGACGTCAGTCTTCCTTCCTCGACCCTTGAAGGAAGCGAGAGAGTGATGACTCGGAGAAATAGGGCTGTGGGGAAGGGGGGGGCCTCTATTCAAACTCACCAAGATGAGCATTTCGGGTGGGGCGTACTTTTTGCGCCTCTTCTCGCGCCTGGCCTCGCTACCAAAGCCAAAGGCAGGGCCACTGCCGTTGTAGCTGGCGCTGGCGCTAGTGCCAGTGCTGGCCAGGCTGGATCGTCCGATGCTGTCATTGGCGTAAGCCGACGCACCGCCATGCCTTTCTGGCTCTTCGTACACATCCTCGACGTCGCTCAGCACTGTTCCGTTGCGCTGATGACCTCCCAGCGTCGCCTCGCTTCCCTCCTGGTTCCGACCGGTCCTGCGCGCCCAGCCAAACCATCTGCCACTCGCTGCTGCTTCAGCTTGAGCCCGGACTGCTGCCTCTGCTGCTTCTGCTGCTTGCACAGGACCGGGACGAGGAGTAGCGCTGGCGTCGGGAGGTCTTGGAGTAGCCAAGGCTGCTTCCCGCTCGCTCGCCATGAGCGCAGAAAACGCACCATTCGCGCTACTCGCGCTGCGTGCCGAGGGCGATCGAGCTTCTCCGTCCGTAGCTGCACGGCTGTGCAGTGAACTCTTTGGCATCTTGACCGCGCCATGCTCAGCGCTTGCAGAATTGCTGTAGCTCAACGAAGACAACATCTCGAACGCCTGCAGTGACGTGAGCCTGGCCGAAGAAGAAAATGCTCTCCGTGCTCGCTTATCTCCGATGCGCAGCGAGCGGTGTCCGGTGTACTGGTGGCACGAGCAGCTAGCTTACTCTACGGAGGCTTGCGCTGCGTGCCGGGTGCCTCGAGAATCGGTGGAAAGCGGTTGCATTAGACGATACTCGAGAAGCGAAGCGAAGTGCAGCGCGCTCGACGTTGATCCAGGAGGCAGGTTTGCAAGCCCTTGCGAGCTATCCGTGTAGGAGCAGCAGATGAGACTCGCAGAGGGGAAAGAAGAGTGAGACAAAATGATGCTGGGTATTCGAGAGCACGGAGTGTGCTGAGCGGGAAAAACGAAGACGTGGTGTGGTTGCTGTCAGGCGCACTGTGCGGAAGAAGCGAAGGTCCAGGAGGATTGCCGGTGATGGCCCATGCCGGTATATGAGGGGCTTGAAGTGAGAACGAACGCTTGTTGCGAGGTCAGCCGATCCGATGTCGATGTTGCATGATGATGACTCTGACTGCTTAGCCGTCAGCAGCTGATGCATGTGGGCAGCTAGCTTGTCGCTTGCGTGTGGCCTGATCCAACCAAGAATCAAGAATCAAGCGCCCACATCACATGGCTTGCATACGATCATACGCGCATCATCTATGCTGGACCAAGCAGCAAGCAGCAAGCGCCAGCGCCTGACACTGACAAAAGTCGGAAAAGCGTAACCGACGCGCGATTTCACGCCCATGTCTGACTGATCATACTCATCATCATCAGAGTTGCTGCTTCCCACCATGTAGCTAATGCATGGGTTTTCAGATTCAGCCGAGGCCGATCGAGCGTGCACGCGCGGCTGACAGCGCCCGCACAGCCTTGCATTATAGGCACCAAACAGCAACCCTGCGCTCGCTTGATGGCATGAATCCTATACAAGAAGCTGAGTGGACACTGCTCGGACGCCTGTCGCAGCCTATGCATGCATGCAGGCAGGCAGGGTCAAAAGGAATCTTGCTTCCGAGACTTTTGGCTCATGAACGCGCGGTCTCCGCCGCTTGTGCTGCCTCTTATAATTGCCTTTGTTCTGTTCCGCCTCTATATATCACTCGACCAGTCACCGATCACGGATGGTTCGTTCAACTGCTGCTCTGCCGTATTCACACATGTTTCTCTGCGCTTCTCGGCTGCCAACGCCCGCCCGCACCGCTCGATCACCTTTCCGAAGCAATCAAAGCTATAATTTATGCAGCATGCACGGCAGCCGTGTGACGCCCGGCCCGCGCGCGCGCACAAATTTGAATCCAGGCAGCAGCAGCGGTCTACAGTACAATCAACGACCACACTGCGCGTATACCGGGTATACCAGCATCGGAAAGATTCTCGACGGGACGTTTGCTTGCGATGTTGACCCCTGACCATGCAACGGCCCGACTGGATCACTTTGTGAATGACTTTGGATGTGCTCGGCACCATGAGTCGATCGCAGTCAAGTCCCGTCAGCGCGAGGTGTTTCTCTTCATTGAAAGGGTTACAAGTCAAAGGGGTCAATCAAGCGTTCGTTCCCTTATTTGCTTGCTCTAACTAATGCGCGCGTGCTCAGCAGCAGCAGGAGCAGCAGCACCATCATATCGGAGCGAGCATGCGCGCGCGCGAGGTCGGAGCGTTGCTGTGAACTGCTGCTGCTGCTGATGTTGTGGAGCAACCCGCGGATGTCTCCGCGGGATCACTCGCGTGACTGATGACTGCACATCATATACATGCGCGGCTATATGGTCAGGGGCCACTCGACTCCGCCCACTTCCGACGGGATGTAAGTGGGCGAGTGGCTTTCCGGCACTCTTCCCGCAGTTGCTGAAACCAAAAGCCAGCTTCTGGCTGGCTGGCTGGCTGGCTGGCTGGCTGGCTGGCTGGCTGGCTTGCTTGACTGCTGATGCAAGATGAGGTTCGGAGTGACCCAGCTTTAGCAAACTTGCTGATTGTTGCTTTGGAATGAATGTCAAATCTCTCCGCGAGACGAAGATTCACGATTGTGGCGCTGGCTTTTGGAAGCCACGCGCTGGATGATCCCTCCTGCCATCCCATGATCAGCTCTTTCCTGCACGCAATCTCGAATCTCGATAAAACACACACGCGCGCGGGGCCAGGCCGCCCGCCTCTTTGTGTCGATTGACTCGAATTGATTCACCTCGCACGACTTGAAAGCTCGTGACGAGGAGCTCTAGTCTATCATAGAGCTCGCTACGTCATTCAAAATTCGAATCAAGTGACATCGGTCTTTACCTTTCGACTACGATCTCATCATCATCAGCAATCAGCACCGGCAATTCTCTCCCGGCAGCGTCGGTGTTTGCGGTCGCCGACTGCCGTGTGGGACTACTGTCAATCAGTCAAATGGTTGAGGTACTGTGAGATATGAGTGGATGAAGTGCCGCGACGCTCTCTTGACGCCCTCGGCCGAGCATGCCCTCGGCCTCGGGCTCTCGCATCAGGATGTGAGGTCTTTGACCTACGTAGCTCTGCGATATGGGCGAGAATCTTGAATGTGAATCAAATGATGTGACGTGAGCAAAGTCAAGCGTGCAATGATTCAAGATTGCCGCGGCCCTCAACCTCCCGGATATCGAAAGGCTCGCAATCACTTGAATTATGATCCTGACCATCTTGAGTCAGAATCGTGAATGCGTGCCCCGAGAGCTTCTGCGGGCCTTTATAATCCTGCATTCAAATTGCACACCGCCCAATCTGCCGCGACTGCTGTGGATCGCGAGCGAGCGAGCTTTCGCTACTCGTGACTCATGACTCAGACTCGTGACTGTTGTAGCTACAGCTAAACCGGTCCAGCTATATACCAGCAGCAGGATAGCCGAGCGGAGCGCAACCACTTGCCGTTCTTCAGTGAGACAACGGCTTGACTTTCGTCCCACCATCGACAACAACAGCAACGTCACCAATCAAATGTGGGATGCTCACCATGCGCTTGACCTGCAAATCATACCTCAAAGCCTTGCCAGAGATGATCCTCTCATCAATGGCGAATGGCGAATCTCAATCTGCTTGCTCCCTCTCCGTGCCTGCCCAAGAGCTCGGCCGGGAGTGGACAGATGCATTCCATCGCGTATACGTGATGTTGATGACTTTCGCGTACCGTAGCATGCCGCTGCGCATGAACGCCAAGCGTTGCTTCTCGTCATGCGTGCGTGTGGGGCATTCGTGATTCACGAATGACCCGGCCATGCCCAGTCCCGTCATGGGAAAGTCAGCATGCAGGGCCGAAGATCTGATCTGTGGACACCTGCAGCGGACATGTCATTCACATTGCAATGTGGTACAGCTAGCTGATGGCTGTGCTCAAAGAGGGGGCATAAATACACATGTACAGCACAGAGGCGACCGTCATAGCATCACGACCGTCGCGCAAGGTACTGATAGGCATGCCAGGAGGCAAAGCTTGCAAAGACGGGCGTGAACCAGCAGAACAAGTCTCCAATCTCCCGCAATCCTCGGAGGTGCACAGGGATCTCCACGTAGCTGCTGTCCTTGGCAACGTAGATTTCTTTGCCGGCCGAATTGTCAACACCAGTAGCTTGCTGCCTCTCTCGCTTGTGCCTTCCTCCAACAAAGTCTCCATCTCTGTAGAACCTGTCCATCAGATCATCCTTCTTCCTCCAGCGGTCCTCCCGCAACCACACATCGAATGCAGCCTTTTCCTCGTCCGTCGCATCCTGCACTCCTGTCATTTCGCCCGAAGAGTTTTTGATCGGTGTGACGACTCCGAGTGGCACGCTCTGAGCATCCGAGACGCGCAAATGAAGGTGGACGTACGGCGGTGAGACACCTTGCATGAAGATGGATCCTGGTTGGAAAGCAGAAAGAAGGTCAGAGCCTCAGCAGCGCGCAGCCAGCAGCTGCGGCGCTATACTCACTCAAAGTGTAGTAAGATTGACCATAGCCGGCTGGCGGGATGCCGGGATAGCCAATGGTAAAGTCTACCAGCTTCAGGTCGGGCGTTTGTGCGAGCAGCTCGCGCAAGCAAAACAAGATGCCTGTGCTTCTTGGCAACAGCAAATTGCGACAATCGGCAAAGCGCTGCTTCTCCGCAAATGCTCTGGATGTCGGTCTGGTCAACTTTGACACCAGCGTTCCCTCTGGAAAGATGAGCAGCAGCAGCTTGGACGCCGTCGATCGCTTGGTGTTGGCGCCGCTGGACATGAAACGCAGATGCCTGCCCAGCGTCGCCTGATCTTTGCTCCACGATCTCGAGAGAAAGATGAAGCGGAAGAAGATCATTCCCTGTGGCGCGTGGCAGCAAGGTGAAAGCCAAGCGTGAGAGGATGGCGATGTCGATGCACAGTGTCCGGCCCCCCGTGTGCGCGCCAACTCACCCAGCCGACAAAGGGAATCCATTTGAGTGAATCTTTGAGGATGATGATGATGCTGTCAGCGAGGTCAGCAAAGTATGCCACATTCTGTCGCATGCAGCGCGAGGATGAGAGAGGGTGAGCAACGCCGAGCATGTCTTTACATCGAGCGCAAAGTCACCCTTGTCAACTCACCCAAAGGTACAGCCAATCCGTGTAGACCTGGTGATTTGACATCCACACGCTCTTGCTTGGCAGCTGCAAGCCCTGAAACGCCCCCTTCTTATCTCTCCTCAGAATCTCATTCGCATCTCCCACGCTTCCATCCTCTCTCTGATAAGTGATCACCAGTCTAGTCGGTCCGAATAGTTGCGAAATGGCAACGATGAGCCTACCAAAACCGAGCTTGGTGTACGCGATGGCGCTCTCGTACAGCGGTCTGGTGATGGGAAGAATGTATAGCGGGCTGGCGATGAATTGTGTCAGGTTGGTGAGGATGATGGAAGCGTTGAAGAAGACGGCAAAGGTAGCTGTGCGCAGCAGGGCAGGCGGATCTTTCCTTTCTGGGATGGGAATCGCCCACGCTTGCTGGACTTTGGACACTACGTCGCTCATCTCCTTCGTTGCGCCGTGCGCCGAGCAAGAAAGGGAATGATAAGGGCAGCTTCCGTACTGCAAGCAGGGAGTGAGCGTGCTGACGGCCTTGGAGTAGCAAGTGGATGGAGTCACAGTCGAGTGTACAAGATGCAGCCGCTATAGCTGCCAAGAACTCGAGACTCGTGACTCACGCGACTGTTCGTGCTTTGCTGCTGCTTAATTGCTTGCTTCTCCACATCGCTCGCTCGCGTGACTGTTTGATGTCTCGCGCAGTCGAGTCCTTTGCCCGCGCGGGAGCAGCGCTCCGCTCCGTTCAATCATGAATAATAAGCCGTGTCGCGCGCGGCCTTAGGCAAAATGCTGCAGCCAGCAGCAACCGTTCTGATCGACATCGGCCCGCGTACCGCCCACGCATGCTTGCTCAAGAAGCTGATCATTCACATTTCACGTGATTCGGGACAGAGCACGCACGCAGCGCAATATGTGAGCTCATCGGAGCGCCTGGAATCGTGAATGCCAACTGACATCTGATGCTGGGCACCTGCCACGAGGTGCGAAGCCCCATTACAGAAGGCGCCCCCCCTGACGCGAGCCGTAAAAGAAGAAATACTGTGCAGCAGCCTCAGCTCGAGTCGCTCTGCTCCGCCGTCTGGACAGTATGCCGTTCACACGGATGCATACGATCGAGCGGCGCCTTACGTCGCACTACGGCACGGGCCACTTGTCGGTCCGCTGAATGTAAGTGAGCGAGAAGATCTCACGACTGAAAAGAAGGTGAAGATACACACATGCCACTTGCCGATCGTGTCCGCCAATTAGCGTAATTTTGTGAGCACAGGTATGAAATGTACATATTGACATGCGTGAAGTCGTAGGATATACATAACGCAAGAGTCTAGTGCCAAATGTTGGCGCTGCTGCTGTTGAGGAAATAGCGGGGGGGACGACGATATTGTTACGGCGAGCGCAGATAGCATTTGCTTGCCGTGCGCAGATAGTATTTGGTTGAGGTTCACGCGTGGACAATCCAAAACTCCAGGAGGCAGGTGGCCTCGATGCCCACCGGCGCTTATCGCCTTCGTTTGATTGTTGGCGACACCGACTCCATGCTTTCGTGGCCCAGCACTGGCGATTTGGGTAGAGATGCGCGACTCCACGAAGTGTCGCCCTGACTATCAGCACTCGACAATTTGGGTGAAAAGACTGATGGCCCATCACCGTAGCCCTCGTCGCTGGGCGTGGGAGAAGACTTGCCGTTCCGTGTGGCGTCGGAAGCTCTTGCGGGAAAATCCATCTGTTTGGTGACAGCGCTTGAGGACCAGAGCGATCTCAACCCTGGCCTTGCGGGTACCGGCGCGTCACGAGGAGCCATGCCGTGACTCGCGTGCCTCTTCATGGGGGCGCTTCCCAGACTTGGACTCGACACAATGCTTATGATGGAATCGTTGCTGTCGATGCCAGAGGAGCTTGACGAGAAGCTGCCGTTTTCCATGAGCTCGATGGTAGCCGACGTGTCACCATGACCATGTCGCGTGGTGTTGACAAAAGGAGGATGATTGGTGCCAATGCTCAGAGCGGCCTTCACCTGAGCACCGCTCTTTGCCGCTTTCTTTGCGCCAGTGTTCAGCGCATCTTCGCACAATTGACGCAACGCGAGCGCCTTGCTGCGTTGGCGGGAGTGGATGGGTCGGCTGCCGATTGTCAACGCTCTGGGGCCCTCAATCCACGCCGACGTGGATGACATCCAGCCCGAAAGTGTGATCGTTCCCTCATTCGGCTGGCGCAGCATCGTGTGTGTTGCACGCGATACTCCCTTCCCTTTTCTCATCCTGCGTCGCGCTGCTCTGAGTTCGAGCAACAGGGCGCAGACCCCAGTGACGAGGATCATCCAAAAGATTCCCCATGCGAGCTCGCGCTTGGATGCGTTCGGAATCAATGGCAAGCGTCTGAGTAGCGGAGCGATGACGGCAGAGTCAGTGCTGTGCATAATCAGGACTCGAACCGCGCGTCACGGCGGACTCTCTTGAATCCGCGCGATGAATGTTCGCTCTCCAAGCCGCTGGAAGCAGATCAACTAGTTTCGATCGCCAGTACCATCGCTGCTACACTGCTGCAGTGGCGCTCGAGACTCACGGGACTTTGTACTTGTGATTCGGGGGCACAAGCTGTGCGAGCGCAATGCCTGGGCCATGCGTGTACATTGAGAGATCTTTCGACCTCCCGTAGGTGTAGCCTGCGCCAGGCGTCCACCTCCACCACTTCTTGCCGAGCAGGTCCGCTGCCCTTTGCGATGCTGTTTCCCTTCTAGGCCGACGTTGTTCGTCTGGTACGGACAAACGTGCGTCGTCGTCCAATTGCCATCTAGACCAACCATGCCTCAGCAAGTTGCTGTGGGACACTTCGATGGGCATAGACATTTGAAGCGCCGTGTCCGTGCTACTAGATCTGCCACTCGAATCCGTCCCTAGGCCTCCTTGCTCAGCTTGTATCGCATTGTCTATCTTGTTGATGGTTGTACGAGGTCTAAAGACATAGCCTTCTGGGAAAAGACCAAGCGATCTGTGTGAAGTACCAGCAGCGCCGACCTCTGAAGCCTCGAAGGGCATCTGATTGGCAAGACCAAGTCGATTTAGCGTGGATAATCCATGAATCGCTCGGATCGAGCTGCGCTGAGTCTTAGCTTGGTAGCGCGTGGCTTCTCGCGACCCATGAACTCCATCAGTGTCTGGAGAGAGCTTTTGGTGGCTGTCGCTTTGGTGGGATTGCTGAGGTGCGTCGGCGTGGCCCGCTTCTCTTGGCTTCGTCCCAACCTCATGGGTGAAGCCACCAATTTCAGGCTCTTGATGCTTCCCGAATTCTCTTTCAGCAGCGATCATGTCTTGCCGCAAAGACATCACGCCGTCTGCGAGCAGCGGACTTGCCAAGGTGGGAGCAAAGAAAGCTTGGGTCGCAAGTGGTATGAGGTACCACGCAGTAGCAGTACGTATAAGCGGCACACCGTCGCACCTGTGGCGAGCGTGAAGAGGTGATGGCTTTTGTGTCCCGCCTTGCCAAGCGTGGCTGCCGACGACGCTGCATGCCGCCGCCAGCCCAAAGGCGCTGGTGCGAAGTCTCTTCCTTCTGTTCCTCGGCGTGCGTTGCTCATGCGACACGGAAGGTGAAGGCAGTCTTGAGGGACCAGCATGGCTGAGGAGGTCTTCCACTTCTTCGGCAGACCATTTTCCCTCCAGCGGCGTCATCGTGGCCAGTAGCCTGCCACAGTAGCTCTGATCCACGCACGTTAGAGACGTGAGCCCTAGTCTCAGGGTGTGAGAGCGCAACGGCACTCGATGTGGTGCTGATGCAAAGGCCCAAGCTTTCGCGAAGTCTCCGATTTCTAATGATAAAGGGGGTGCCTTAGGTGCCTCTAAGGGGAATGATGATGGTCGTCGTTGAACAATTTCAGAAGGCGCACGTCGCGTGTCGTGAAGGCAAAGCGTGCATACTTGGCGCCCGATGAGTCGCCCGTGGTTGAAAAGGCCTCGTATACTATGCTAAGATGATGAGGATGGGCCGCTACTTGCCACCAAGAAGGCGCGAAGGGTCGATGAGCAAGCGGCCTCGCGAGGCTTAAACTCGTGATTGTCGGTGGCAAGGAGAGCTGATCGAGCGGAGAGCGGGGAGCGGGGATGACGACTGTCGTCGTCTCGTCTCGCGATGCAAATCGTGAATCGACGCTGCCGATGCTGCGCGGGCGGAGTTTGACGAGCCGGTTGGTTGACTTGCTCATCAACCGCAGGGCAGGGGCGCGCGGCAGCTAGGCTAGGGCCGGCGTGCATCGCATGAGCACCGCGCACCTCAACCTCAACCTCCATGCTGATCGCATGGCGGCCTGCAGCAGCAGCAGCAGCAACGCGCCAGCTGACAGCAGCAGTCAGCAGCAGGGCCATCCATGCAGCGTCATACAGCAGCAGCGAGAGTGCAGCGCGCATGCGCATGCAACGGTATGATGCATCTGTACAGCAGACCCGCGGTGCAGGAGCTCAGATGTGCGGCGCGCCTCACCCCAGCAGCAGTCGTGAGTGCATGGTGAGTCTTGATATATTTGATTCGTGATTCACGATTATGGTAGTCAAAATCAGTCAACATGAGACCAGTCAGAGTCGAAGTGCTCATCCGCGTCTGGCTTGCACGCAGCATATGCAGGGCATCGAGGCGGCAGTTGTGTGTAATAATATATATTTAACACGAAGAAAGGCGAAGTCGAGTTTTGAGTCTTGAAGCTCAAATAATCAAATGAATCGTTTTGTAATTTTTGGTTGTTGCTCAAATAGAGGTCAGGAGACAAGCGCCCTCTGCATGGCTTTTGCTTCTATGTAGCGCTACTTCCACCTTCGTGATTTCATTCTTGATTCTTCTCATGCGCATCATGGCATGTACTCGGGACACTTCACACATGACCCATGACTCACGGCTCACGGCTCACGACTCACAACTCACGACTCACGACTCACACTACTACTGATGATGTGATCGATGATGCATGCGCATGAGGCGGTCAACGAGTCTGAGAACTCACGACTTCTTAAGACTGTGATTGCCCAATTGGAGGTCTCCACACACACACACACACACACACACACACACACACACACACACACACACACACCTCGCGACCGGTGAGTGACCAGCGCAGTCACACGCCACCATCAGCACCTATGGCTGCCCACGCCGCGAAAGTGCGTACCGCCTTTTGTAAATCTGTCCAGCGCGGATAGCAGACCTTGTTGCCCCGCGATTGCTGCTCCTGGCGATCTTCGTCCTGCGCATGCATGACAGCTTCTTCCCAGCTCTCACGGTCAATTCATCTCCAAGATCGCTTCGTATTTTGGATGACTACCACCATGTGTGACTCGCACTTTGGCTGTATGGTTGGACCTTGGTCAGTCAAGAACATGCAGCGGCCGAGGTGGAGTTGAGTGTCAGAATGGACTCTACTTTGTGACTTGGAATTGAGTGCGGAGCTTATCCCTTCTCATGCAGCCCGTCAAGTCGGCAAAGCAGAACGGTTGACGGTGACTCTGATGAGCCAACGTTCTGTTGCAACGGACGCTCGCTCAGCAAGATGACCGCGCTAAAAGTTGGTGATGTTCGCATTTCCTGTCTTGACAGTTTTTGTCAATGAGCGGAGAGACTTCGCGGCGGAGATCACGCGATTCATTAGTCAGGTCCGACCGAAACGCTCGGGCAGTCACCCGAAGTGTTCCGCCGAAGACTTTGAAAAGATGCGCTGAGAGGGCGGGTCTACCCTCGACCGCTGCCGAGCATCTCGTTGCGCAGCAATCGGTCCTGACCTCAGCTGGCGGGCTAGACAGTCATGGCAGGCCTGCTCGAGGCAGCATGACGGTCGGACTGAGCTCGATCTCAAGAAGCTCTCAAGCATGTGGTCAGAATTCACCTGTGAACCATAATGCTGCAATAAGACTTATTGCTTGTTGGTTGCGAGTGGATGCTGAAGCAAATAAAGAGACCAGCTCGAGGAACATTCGTTCAAACGCATTAGGCGACAGTCACAAATCACTGATTGTTGAACGCCTCTGCTTCCGCGGTCTTACGGGGCCTTCGATCGCCTTCATCACATTCGAGGCTTCCAACATGTCTGATTGACGGATACGCAGCATTTGCTCATCAATTCTTGCTTCGAATGGCTGGGGTGCAAACCACCGAAGAAGAAGCGTGCAAGTGTCGTGTTTAAGACTAATCGAACTTTGAAAAGACCGGACGGGTTGATGAATGCACTCAGGGGGCTGAGTCATAAGTGTGTAGCACCTCGCTCTGACTTGGCGCTAGGTCGCGCAAGTCGAGAGGCAACGAAAGCAGCTCGCATCCCAATCTTCTACCAAGCTTTCATCGATTTGAGAAGGGGCGGAAGAGGTACGGCGTGGTGGTGCGAAAGTTTTGCGTGCTTCTCGAGGTACAAAAAGCTGTGTCGCTTTACGTTCATGAACGCAACCGCAAGGCGGCGTCTGCTGGAGTCTGCCCTTACGTACAAATTATGGTACCGGCACAAGCAGAGCATGTAGCAAATTGGGCATCTTAATTGCTGCCCGACTTCGATTTCTTGATGCGTGGTCGTGGCTCTTCAAGAGCATAAGTGAGAGCGCAGCTCAGCTTCGGAGATGTTCTCGCATTGCACGCGTTGATTGAGAGTCAGGTACCAATCAGTGAATTTTGAGAGGCTCATCAGATCGTCGCGAAACAATCTCAGTGATCTTACTAAGGAGTCGTGCGGGAAAGTCGAGCATAGAAACCGTCCGACGTGAGAGTCAGCCGCTCAGCTCGATTCACCACTGATCGGCGGAGAGGACAACAATAGCGGAGGCGGCGTGCGTCGGTTGCCGCGGGCTCGCGCTAGCCCTATCGCGCGGCGTCGGGATGCTCCGCGGCAAAAAAAAGCACTTGACCGCCCGCGCGCAGCGCATACCGTAGCTGATGATGACGCCACGCGGGCGGCGGGCCTAATCTGCGACTTCGCGCGATGACTGCTGCCCGTGCGAAAGCGCTGCTGCTGCTGCTGCATGGATGCATACCAGCAGACCACACGCACTGGCCTCTTCACACACAGCTCGATTGTAACCAGCAGTCACAGCGTATAGCAGCGGAGAGTCGGCCAGATTGGGATCGCTAATTCAGCATTTCGCAATCGCACACAGATCGGTCTGTCAAGTCATCATCACCAGCAGCTATCTATAGACTCAAGCGAAGCTAAAGCATCTCTCGTCCCGATGATGAGTGAGACAGATCGGCAATCATCGCTTTGATCACATCTCGACATACCCTCACCTCTAGCTCTTCCGTCCCTGGCTTTCACCTACACGCAAGCAAGCTGGTCCCTAATCAAATTCGCACGCAATCAGCTGCATCACCTTGACCCCGGATTCTCTAATTTACTGATAATCCAAAGTACAGTGTAATCGAAGCATCCCTTGCAATTGGAGTCATCAGCGTCAAGCGCTGCTTGTCTCCCTCCCTCACGACACCACCAGCTGCTTACAGAGCGAGGCAGTCAGTCGGTCACTCGCTGTTCGTCGTCGTTCAGCCTGATCCTCAGCCTCTTCGCGTCCCGGCAGTCTGGAGCACGGCGCGCGGCCAGTACCCTCGAGGCAGTCAGCCACATTATCTCAGCTTCACCAGCCTCTACGCACTTGCTCACATCTGAGCACCCTCAGCAAGGCACGCTGGCGCTCAGCCTCGAAGTGTGCAGAGGGCGCTCGCCCGCTCGCTCGCACATCACCGCTTGCAAACCGACATTGCATTCTTTAGGTAAAATTTTCATTGCGAGATATCCATCAGCGTCTCGAAAGGGTCGGGCACATCCGCCTTCGCATACATGACCTCGGGCGAAAGCAACTGGAGAGGGAATCGGACATCGGACCCTGACAGTCAGCATGGTAAGTGCTCGGTACTGCGTTGCCTACGAATCTTCAACACGGGCCGCTATTCACCCGCAGGAGTCTGGCGGGACGCCTAAGGCTCACATCATCGCAAATCGTCTATGCCCAGGCTCGCTCAGCTCATCCGGCGATGTCAATCGTGGATCGGCATCCGCAGTACCCAAACGGTCAGTAGTAGTGTGCAGTCCGTTGCGACGCCCGCCTGCCCCATCTTCCTTTCTGACGCCCGGAGCTGCAACTGCAGAACGCGTCAGCTCCAAGTGGATGCCGGCTATGGATCTCAAGGAGCCTATCTACCTCCAGCCCTGCGAGAGGGAGCGGCAGGAAGTGTGCAAGAAGGCGCGCAGCCGCCGGATGACCTTGGGACCAGTTTAAACGCTCGTGGTAGAGCAAGAGCCGGTACTCTGCCATCATCTTGGGGATCTGCTGACGCGAAGGAGGCGCCCTCCAATGGTGCTGGCACTCGGTTCGCATCCCCACTTGCTCATCGGATGAGCAGCCTACGTCCTTCCACCGGTGCAGCTAGCAAGGGAGCAGGCGACGCAGGTGCATCTGCTACACAGGTTATCCCTCGCCTCAGTGCAGGGCCTCTAGGGGCGAATCATGGCAACGCTGGGGGTCGACTTGCCACCTTGCGGAATAGTGCGTTCGAAGATGCCGAGAACTCGAATCGTCTTCGCTCAGGTAGCATGACGAATGCCATGTCTGCCCTCGGCAGCAATCCATTCGGGCCCAGCCTCTTCTCGAGCACGTGGTTGCAATCGAATACCTCCGCGCCCCCCTCTCGGAGGAGTCCGATGCTCGGCGAAAAGCCACGAGGGAATACTGTCAGTTTTCTCGATGAGTATCAAGAGGGCCCACTGCCGCCTGGAGCAAGACCTAGCATTGCAGAAAGTCTAGACGGCTCGGAAAACGTTCAGACGCTCGACTATCTCGGTCTAGCTGATGCGCGAAACAGCATCTCCAGTGTTGCTGATCACTCTGCAGATGAACGACGCCCTTCGAGCCATTTCGTCAACGCAAGAAATCGGGCCAGCACGCTTGCGACTGCACCTCGCAGCGCTGGCAACCCTCCCGGTTTTGTCTTGAGGAGCACACCAGAGCACGGCTTCGACGACGTCAGTCCGCTTGCGTACGGCGACGAAGAAGTCTATGCAGCCTTTGCCCGCGAGCATGGCATTGACCCAGCCGCATTTGCGGCAGCAGCTGCAGCGGCAGGTTTGCCAGCAGGGCTCCCTCCTCAAAATCAGCAATCGCACGCCGCTCTAGTCGGAGGCAGGCTACGTGCGGGTACCGTCGCTGCGCTTGGAGGACCAGGCGGCCGCCACAGAGTCGAGCAAGAACTGCTCAGACTGGCAGCAGCGGGCCAATTTCTGGACACGAATAACAGCACCGGCCATGCAGGAGCGCAAGAGCGTCGGGAAGCATTGTCAGCCCTCGGCATTGGCAACTACGCACATGCGCCAATGGAAGGATTTCCTCACGTCTCGGTCTCCACGCCGCCGGCCGACACGCCGAGCTTTTTGACCCGCCCCTCACAGACGCTCGCGCGGAAGGAATCAGGGCTTCAAACGCCAGTGACACCGGGTGCCGAGCATAGGTCAAGCCCTCAAATACCAGGCCGTAGCCTGTGGATTGGCCAGCTCAGTGCTGGGACCACTGGGCAGGAGTTGATGCAAATGTTTGCCCCATATGGCGCTATCGAGAGCCTGCGTCTTCTTCCCGAAAAGGTAAGTTCCGAGTCGGACATCTCAGATTGGCTCATTCGTTGAGCTCCTAAGCCGGGCCCCGTCTGTCCTACACTCACGTGTGCTAACTTTCCGACTTGACCTGGCGTCTCTAGGAGTGCGGCTTCGTCAACTTCGTCGAGGCAGCTGATGCGATCCGAGCCAAAGACGACATTATGCAGCGCCAAGGTGGCAGAGTGGGCAAGGGAACAGGTCCAAACGGAGCAATTCGCATCGGATACGGCAAAATTGACTCGGTGCCATCTGCTCCTCCGATGTCAAGTGGGTATTCTACACCCGGCCTGCAAGCGCGTGGTCTCAACAGTCCCCGGGTCGAGACACCAGGCCTTGGAGACCCGGCACCAGGTACACCCGGTGAAATAGGGCCTACGCGAGCGCTTTGGGTCGGCAGCATTCCAGCGAACACAACCAACAACACGCTCATGTCGATCTTTCAGCCTTTTGGTCCAGTTGAGAGCGTTCGAGTGCTGAGTCATAAGAATTGTGGCTTCAGTGAGTTGCGATCGCAGTGGATACCACCTTCTGGACTTACCGCGCTGACCACAGCCGCGCCCCTGCCAGTCAATTTCGAGCGAGTGGACGATGCGGTTCTAGCGCGCAAGATGCTTAACGGCCGTGATGTGCTTGGAAGCGAGACCGGTTCTATGCGGATAGGTTTCGCCAAAGTGCCAACGCGAGCAGCGGACGATTTACCGAGCGATCCTAGCAACGCAGGATTTGCGGCAGCGGTCAACGCGCTCTCTGGACTTAACGGCGCGGCATCGGCTCCCATCAGTGCTGAGCAGCAGCTCGCATCCGGAGGGATCGAAAATTATCGCAGCAACCTCGTTGCCGACCTGCTTGCCAAGCAGCATCGACAAAGCCAGGCTGCTCAGCTTGCACACGGGAGCTCACAAGGTGGAAGTGGAGTTGCAAGCGTATCCTCGCACGGACGCGGCGCTTCACTTGCTGGCAAGTCAGCCTCTAGCAGCATCGTTCCGAGCAGCGACAAGGGGGGCGTCCCTCTTCCTGCCGACATGCAGCCCCGCCCAGCTACTTCAGATCTGCAGCTGCTTATGCGCGAGCTCAGTGCCGACGACCCGGCCAGTGTAGAGGCAGATGTGGCAAGTGTGGCCAACGCGCGATCTCCTGCTTCCTACTATACCACGATCCCGCTAGTGTCGGAGCAATCAGCGTCGAGGCGCTTCGACACGAGTCGTCTCAGGGAGCTCAGAAAGCATATCGAGAGCGCGTCGTGCACTGTGGAGCAAGTGGATGCAGTCGCAGCTGACCACATGGACGCTATAGTCGATCTGGCGCACGACTACATCGGCAATACGGTCGTGCAGAAGCTGTTCGAGCGCTGTTCCGAGGGCATCAAGCACGTCATGCTCGAAAGGATTGCGCCGCATCTCGCCATGATCGGCATCCACAAGAACGGCACTTGGGCAGCGCAAAAGATCATTGAGACCTCAGTCAATCCAGCTCAGGTGTCGATTATCGCACAAAATTTGCGGCCATACGTTCCTCCCTTGCTCTTGGATCAATTTGGAAATTACGTGGTGCAGTGCTGTCTGCATTGGAATGCCGAGCTGTCCGACTTTATCTTTGAAGCCATGACGGATCGCTGCTGGGAGATCGCGCAAGGTCGTTTCGGGGCTCGCAGCATGCGCGCATGCCTCGAATCTTCCCATGTGACCAACAAGCAGCGCAAGAAGGTGGCTCTGAGCGTCATTCTCAACTCGGTTCCCCTTGCGACCAGCCCAAACGGTGCACTCCTGCTCACCTGGCTGTTGGACACCTCGAACCTTCCTGGCCGGTATCGCCTCCTTGCGCCACGCTTCGCACCCTACTTGGTCAATCTCTGTACGCACAAGCTGGCATCGCTCACTGTGCTTCGCATCGTATGCCAGAAGAGCGAGCCCGAAGCGAGCGAGGTCATTCTCGACGCTTTGTTTACGTCGCACGATGAGGACGTTCTGCAAGAGGTGATCACCGATCAAGTCCACGGATCTCAATTCATTACCAAGGTCTTGGCCTGGATAGGCTCGGACGGCGATGAGTATCCGAAGTACTCGGAGCAGGTCAGGCGCATCGTGGTGGAGCACTCTCTTGTTGGTGTTCCTGCTTACCGGAAGCTAGTGGAAGACCTGGGTCTAACGCCTGGCCCAGCTCCTGGGCAAATTGGCGGTCCAGGGGTCGTGCCTCGCAATGACTTAAGTCTTCCTCCTCACCTTGGGCCATTCATGTCACCAAGCTCTTCCAACGGTTTGGTGCCAACTCACGTGAAGCCACCAATTCCACCGTATCCTGCCAACTCGGCACCTGCGCAAGACCTGGGTGCTGTGCTGGCGCAGATGCAACTACAACCTGGTCCTCCAGGTGGCATGCCCTCTGGACCGCTTGGCGCGCCGATTAGAATGGACGGTACGGGCCCACCACCACTTGCAATGAACACCAGACCGAATTTCGACTCTGGTAACTCATACCCTGCGCACTTGCGCTCACCTCAGTCTGATGCCTTCAATCCTTGGTCTAGCGCTTCACAGGATTGGGATCGCAACGACCGGCTCCCACCTCAGCAACATTGGATGCGATCCGACAGGCAGCCGCCCTTGACGCCCCCACGGATGTCGCAGAATCCTTATACGACGTCGCGTCGATGAAGTGGACACAATAGATGGCTAGCGTGCTCAATTCAAAGATACGTCACTGGCATGCGCGAAGTCAGCGACTGTTACTGCTTCATTTGGAGACAAGCTGTCACACTTTCCGTGGCTACCCAACGCCTCCATTCGACTTCATCATCTACATTGTATTATCATCAAACCGGCGCTTCGACACTCCAGTGAAAAGCGTTACGCTTTGACGCATGCTCCATATCTCTGGTCTTGCCGTCGTCCATGACGGCGCGCCACCTTCTACCTTTTCACCAAGACTTTCATAGCAAGCCAAGTCGCCCAAGCTACGACATCTTATGCCCGCTGCACCCTACTTCGCACATCCTCTCCTTGCCATTTGTACTTCTCTCGATTTTGAAATTCCACACGATGAGAATGGTCAAAGTGCGTCTGAGCAAGAACGCTCTGGACCCAAACCTACATTGGCCAGCGCGCGCAGCAGTTGTAGCGTTGGAGTCCCGTAGGTTGAATTTGGAATCTTGGGGTGCACTCCGGTGCACTCCGGTGCGCTCCGTTGGAGTCGTGGCACCACGGCCAAGCTGTAACGATGCGTCATGCGTGTGCTTAGTTGCGATACGCAACAGAGATGCAATCGATCAAGGAAGCGCAAAGATCAGAGCATTAGCCAGCGAAGCAGCTTACACGCAACTACCCTTCAAGACGAGGCCATAGCGCCGCATCTATACACTCCATCATCTAGCTGTTTAAAGACGACTCATGGGCGACTGAACGCTCCATCATGCTGGGAATACCGAATTTGATCGGTGGGCACATCGAGTAACCTATAAAGACCTGGTCTCATCCGTCGGCCAGTGCGTCTCGGCGGGACATCGACGACACGAGGTCTTCTTGTCTTCCAGATGCCTTGCTCGGACCCCGCTGTGCCCTTACTCGCAGCAGCAAAGACACCAAAAGGTGTGCGCAAGCAAACGAAAAGGGAATTTTGCTTTGCTGAGACGAAGCACAAAGGTGCCGCTGTGGCATCCTCACCTCGTCGTAGAGCCCAGGACTTGAAGGCAAAAATGTGATTTCACGTGTTTGCTAGGTAGGAACATCAATGCGGATTCCCTTTTAGTCCAGCTTTGGGTTCTGTCAAAGGCGCGGCGAAGAAGAAAGCGGCGGATTCTTCGCAAAGGTCAGCATGGCCCCCTCGTGTTCATGTTGACGTGACGACGGGCTAGGCACCGCTCTCACCTCGGCAACAAAGTTGGGGTCCAACAGCTTCTTGACCTTCTCTTGGTTGTTGTCGGGCACTAGGATACTGGCCTGAACAGCTGGTCGGTCGTAGTTGCTACGAAGCGGAGACGCGGCAAGGATTAGCAAGATCGCAGCGTGCAAAGTTTTGTCGTGGCGCTGGCAGTCACTCACTTCTTGAGCCAACGTTGGAGATTTGGCCCCAGATCGCTGCGCGGGATGCCCGCAAATGCGTGCCAAGCTGAAACATCATGCGTGAACGTCAGCACACAGCTGCTTATTCCCCTCACGGCTAATTTCGAGCTAGACCAATGCGTGAGCATACTCACAAACCCAGCCAAAGGCATTGATGTCAGCAAGCGTGTACTTGCCCTTGCCTTCGCCAACGAGCCAGTCACGACCCTGAAGGCGCTCCTCGAGAACGCTATACAGTCTTCTCGTCTCGTTTTGGTAGCTGTCGAGTACGAGCGTAACACGAAGTCTCAGCATCAAGAGCATGTGTCAGCTTTCTGCTACCAGCACTCACCGCTTGAGCGCATAAGGGATCACATTCTTGCTCGCACCGGTCGCTTGACCCCTGAAATGGTTGGCTTGGCCTTGCATAGGGCCGACGCCGCCGTGAACAAAGTAGATCCATTGAAGGACCTGTAAGATAATGGACGAGAGATGGTTCAGAAATGGACGTCTTTGTTTTCTTGGACGCGACTCACCTCGCTGCGGAGCTTGTCAGCGTTGGGGTCGCTAGAGGGCCAGCTGAAGAGGTGCTTGGGATCGTACGCCTTCTCGAGCCAGAGCAAGATCGCGGCCGACTCAAAGACGTTGAAATTATCATGGTTCGGGTCGACAATGGCAGGAATCCTTCCGTTTGGATTGATCTTGAGAAAATCAGGCTTCTTTTGGGGCTCATCGGCGCTGAGAATGTCTAGGGAGTGAGCATCGTAGGAGAAGCCGGGATAAGCAGCCTTGAGCTCTTCCAGCAAAGTGTGCACCTTGACTCCGTTGGGAGTGCTCCAGGTGTAGAGCTGAATAGGCTTAAAGTTGGAATCCGCCATTCTGGTCAGTGTTGTGTGAAATGTGCGAGTGCTTCTCGGTGTTGGCGCCAAGAAGGTATTTCTGAGCGGTGCTTGTTTAATTCCTGAGTGCAGAGCAGTGCGAATGGAAAGCATGGACAGTACAGAGAGCGATGACCGAATGTATGCGCCCTGGTGGGTGATGAGGTTGGTGAGTGCCAAGGGTCGTGCAAAGGCCACCAGCGAGCTCTGCTTATGAGCGCTGGGCGTGGATCACGCCCACACATTCGACCGATACGCTGCATTTTGTGGAGCAGAAGCTTGACCCTGGCTGGCGACTCTTGATCGGCTGACCAACGTGGCATGCGAACCCACACTGGCGCGAGCTCACCAGCATGGTGCACGTCATGTGGAGAAGGATCGAGCTGCTGGTGGTGCAGCGAGCACGTCTTTCGGGCTTTTCTTCGGGTATTAAAGCGCGTATTAAAGGTCTCAGCGCACCCCGCCTGCATGCCAGCTATAGGCGCGTGATCGGCGTTAAGCACTTCGAATTATGGCCGAATGTATGCGCGCGAGCAGACTCCATGCAGTCGCTCACGCCTGTGACTGCTACCTTCATCTCTCTCGTCACGCTCGAGTGTACTCTCAAAGGTTCTATGCTCACACCAATCGCGGTGAACGGCTCCGAAATGCTTCAATGTGCGAGACTTCGGGCTCAAAATAGCTTTCAAGGCAACTCCGTCCTCTCTTTGCTATGCCATGGGGCACCCTGTAGCCAAGAAAGCCTGAGCAACATGGCAGATCTGCAACACACCTTGGATCGCACAAAGTCCTGGCAAGGTCATACGGTCTCAAAAAGGGTAAAGCAGCATGTATGTTGGCGGATGAAAGGCAATGCAGGCTAGAGAAAGGATAGAGCAGTTTGCAGGTCGCTGGAAAGCGTGTGTATGCATGGCTGGGTGGCAGGTGCATGGAGATGACATGGTAGTGTAGTGCTTGAAGGGCTTCAGTTTATTGCGATCCTTGGACCAGGCCCGCGATACTTGGGTGGGTAGTTCCATCTCAAAAGCGCATCCGTTAGCCTGCTAGTCCCGCGCAATAGCCAGATTGCGATAAATGCAGCGATGGCGCGAGGCGGAAGGAGCACTAGTCTCCAAAGCCTAGCTAGTAGGCCGCGTCTGGCCTCCTCGTTGGTGCGCTTATCCGGCGTTGCTCCTAGTCTGAGCAGGCTGCCTATTCGCTGATGCACATGCCAGGCGCGCCAAGCTCGGTCTGAGCTGATGCCCTTGTATCGGTAGTCTGAGAATGACGGGAAAGCGCACCTCCTGGCGTAGGTCATCTGAAAGGAGGGAGCTGCATTGACCACCTTGCCAGTCTCGGGATCTTGATACCATGCGCCGCAGCCGGCCGTAAAGATGAGATCATCCATGGACCTCTGCACGAAGGTCTGCTCCAGCTCCTCTGCCGATCTCTTGACCTCGACGCTGCGTCCAAAGCTGCGTTGCAAAGGCCCATTCGTGGCCTTTGCATCGCGCGTCTCAGATGGAGCTTCAAACACTGGTCGCAAGACCGAAGTCATCAACTCTACTGCACGCTCGATGGCCCAAATAGCGCTGAAATGCCCAGTGTTGGTGTTGGGTCCCCAAATGAGGAAAAAGGATGGGAAGTTTGCAACCATGACCCCACGGTACGCTGACGGCACTCCTCCATGTTCCTTCCAGTACTGGGAGAGGGTGACGCCGTTGCCATTGATCACATCGAACGACTGGACGCCATCGGTACGGAAACCGTTGGCGAGCACAATGACGTCCGCCTCCAACTTTCTGCCGGATTGCAAAATGACGCCGTCTGATACAATCTCCTTGGCTTGGTCGTTGGTGAGCTCCACATTACTCCGGCCCAGCGAAGGAATGTACCCGTTGTCGAAGATGCGCCTCTTGCAAGCCACAGGGACCTTCTCTGGATCGGGAAGCAATAGGTGATGATACTCTGGAGGTGCGCACTCCTTCACATACTTGCGACACACGTTTGCAAACCGTTCTCGGGCCGCTACCCCATCGTGCTTGAAGGCTTGCAAGAAGTGCGTCTCGATGACCAGAGCAATCACCCACCTCTCTAAAGCTGCAAAGCCCGCCAAATTCCTCTGTATCCATTTGAAGATGGGCGCGCCTGTGGGGTGGATGTACTGTGGTGCGATCCAGTGCTTGGCGCGCACGATCTGCGTCACCTTCTCCACCTGTGCAGCGCAGCAGCAGCAGCAGCAGCAGCAGCAGCCCCAAAGACTGGGCATCAGCTTCGTCGTCCAGCAGAGATCAGTACCGCATCCAAGTCTCAACCGCGACTGACCTCTGGCGCAATGGTGGGAACGATCTGGGTAGCCGAGCAGCCGTTTCCCAGAATCACAACCTTCTTGCCCTTCAGCTGAACGTCGTTCCTCCACTGCGCACTGTGAAACAGCTCTCCACCAAATGTCTTCCAACCGTGCACATCGCACTCCCTCGGAATGGAGAGCAATCCGATGCACGAGACGATGGCTCGCGCCGTGTACACTGTCTCTTGACCTTGAGAGTCGCGCGCTCGAACAGCCCAGTGCGACCGCTCGGGTATCCACTGAGCGCTCAGGACGGTGGTGCGCAGCTTAGTCCTGGACAGGAGCCTGTAGCGATTTGTGACATCTTGGAGGTCTTTTTCACGCCCGAGGCCCGATCCACGAAAGTGTCAGCATCTTCCAATGTGACTCCTCCATCCACCTATCCACTTCACCGATGTTCTTCGCAGCCTCTCACAGTCTTTGATCTCGGGTTGCAATGAGAAGAAAATATCCCAATTGTCCCTCTGCGCAAATGAGAAAGAGTAGAGCCGAGTGGGAATATCGCAGCCTGCGCCGGGGTACGTGTTGAGATGCCAAGTACCGCCTGCGCATTGGGCCAGAGATTGTGGGGGCAAGATGCAAGTTTTAATCGTGAGCGATGAGATCGCAAGCGCTTCGTCTCCTCGAGTGCCCGCCCCGCTCTCCAGCACAGCGGGACGCTATAGGTACGCGCATCAAGAGGCCACTCGAGGAGATTGACTGCCTGCCAGACTCACCGAGATCATCGCTCTGCTCAAAGATGAGGTACCGATTGAGTTGCAGATCCAACTGAAAACGCACAGCCGATGCAATGCCGCTCACGCCACCGCCCACGATGATCGCCTCGAGATCTGTCGGCCCGCACAGTGCGCCATCTTGTGGCGACCTGAGACCTGCGTTGCTACTAGACATCCTGCACGATGCCGTCCATGCACTGCGATGAAGAGTCTAAGCGTAAAAGTTGAGGTGTCGAGGACCGAGCCGAGATGAGGGCTCGAATGCAGGACTGCGTAGACGAAAGTATGAGACCTGCTGCAGCACACGCAGAAAGCACAAAAGAGGGATGAGATGAGAGTGAAAGCGAGCGCGGAAGCAGACCTGATCGTCGTCGATGGAAGGACCCCAATCAAGGCATCAAGCGCGCTTTCAGGTGCGACCAATCGCACAGCCGAGGGAGGATCGTGATCCGTGATTCACGATTGCAGTCATGCAAAGTGACTACTAGTAGTGGATTGATCGGAGGCACCTTGCAGGCCAGTCGCTCATCATTGCAATGCAGCAGCTCGCCAGTCTTGCACAGGTCTCTTCGACGAGGTCCGAGTGCTGTAGTCTAGACTCTCCATTCACGATTGTGGAGTTCTTGCACCGTCACGGGTGTGCGTCCCCAGGCCATTAAAGAACTGAAATCGGAAACTTAAAAGTCTCCCCGCCCAGCAGTCCGCAGACCTGCACGAACAAATGGGACGGTACGCATTAGTCTTGTCAGATTCGTCAGCGCGAATCAATATATTCGCGCGTGAGTCAGTTGTTCGGGTGGGAGAAGAGCGAGAGGCACAGGATGCTGTACGGTACTCAGACTGCACCGTTTCAGCAAGTCATCCAACAGGAAGACACAGCAGCATGCACAAAGGCCTGCGAAGCTCAGAGCAGCTTGTTCGGCACCGAAGCTTAGCGTGGATGAACCGAGGGCAAGCACTGTTGCTAAAGTTCGAGAACACTCACACTCGTGAGATTGGATCCGATCACTCACGGCTCATTTTCACGATTCAGATTTCAATTCACATTAAGTTTTGATTGAGTGACTGGTAACTGCCAAGATATTATACAGATGCAGGTACCAGACAGCTCTTTGCCGCTGCGAGCAAGACGGCGGATGACGCAAATGCACGCGTGCACGCGTACATGATCAGACCACAGGGTACAGTAGTGCAGCAGCACCGCCATGACGGACGCGTGCTAGTCGCTGACGCTTGCACAGCCTTGTCAACCCACGCTCACCTAGCTTGCAGCACCCATGCATGCAGGCTAAGAGATGGGAGAAGGGTACACAGCACACACAGACACTGCTCACGACTCGTGACTTGGTTTGCGCGACCATCGAGACTTGACGATCCAGCCTCAAGATTGTGCCCCACAATCACGAAGTCCAATGTCGATCGCTATCGCATCGATCGGAGTATGAGTATTCAGAGTGATAGTCGCGCCAGCCCTGCCTTTCTGATCGCATCTCGGCTGTCTCAGCGCTCTGACTCTTCATCGACGCTGCTCCATCAAGCAGCCTGCACGCGGCATAGTGACCATCCACATGCTCGTCGATAGACTCGCGCCTCCCCCTTTCCCGCACTCCGCTTCCAGCACTCATCTTCACCACTTTCGTCACAGTCATCATCCCTAACAATTATCAACCACGCAGTGCAGTCGAGTAGCCCAGAGCCATAGACATCATGTCGCTCTTTGATCTAGGAACACAGCAGGTGGGCGCCATGGACTTTGAATCGGCGTACAAGGCTCAGTACAGCATCTTGCGCTCCCGCAGCACGGCCTCCAATCCTGGTCAGGGAGGCAACGCTCCGATGAACCTCGAGGTGGAGAAGCGCGTGAATTTTCCCGGGCGGCGGGTCAAGGCAAGGCTTACCATCGACAGTCAGGTGTTCGCATCGACTCCGCAACCCGCTGCTTTCAATATCGAGATCATCGGTGTGTATCGCGTAGACTTGCTCTCAAGCGATCGTTCTTCTGACGGCCGCCCGCTCCGGGGCTTGTCTACGTAGGCAAGCTGCATTCGTGGGCTCGCTCTTCCAGTGGCAATGGAAGTAGCAACTATCACACACACACTCAGCCCTTGCTCCACTTAGCCACCTCCGTCAGCATCGCAGACGAGGGTGCTAGCCGAGCGGGGAGCATTGCTGCGTCCCGAACTCGGGATATGCAGGCCCATCGCATGACCTGGGAGCTCACAGCGGTCTTGCCAACACAGTACCAAGACAGGGATCACCGTTTGCCGCTGCCATCGACATTTGAAGGCAAAGAAAGCTCCGCCATGAATTTCTCCTTGATTGATGGTGTGCTGAAGCCCTACGTCAGCTACTACTGGCGCGTGACTTCTAAGCACTCGATCCGAGGCGTGTGAGTTGATTCAGCAGCCTTGTTCAATTGCCATCGCGATGGGCTCACGACCGCACCCACGCTGCGCTGCCTTTGATGGCGCGCACGATAGGCTCAAGGTACCGTTTCTCGTCTGCAGCACCAGCGAGCACACCGAGCCCATACGCTCAATGACACACCCTTCCATCGCAAGCCCAAACACCATTCCTCATATACCTTCGGATTGGAAAGCCTATACCAGTGGCGTCCGTGATATCAACAAGCGACTCATCACGAAAGCCACGTTGGAAGTCATTGTAAGTCGGACAATCGGTAGCGCAGTCTGACCCTGGTCAGAGAAAATCTTGGAAGCGCTAAGAGGGACTTCTCTTGACAGCTGCTCATGCCCCCGCCTGTGTACGTGACGCCTTGCACGCAAGTGCCATTCTTCCTGCACTTTAAGATGCACGCCAAGAACGAGTCCGACTTTGACCCAGTCAAGACGCGAATGCCTCTCATACCCGGACAGCTTAGGCCTCCCAAAGAAGCCGAGCTGGATGGCCCTGTGCGCTTCACCATGCAGCGTCATGTCCGCATGAAGACGAATGCGCTTTTGGGATCATACACTCACACCACCGAAGAGGAGACTCACATTCCGGCGCGCTGGATGGGAACTCGCGGGAATGAAGACATTCCTGGTTTCCATTGGTCTCAACCCAAACGGATAGATGCCCCGAAATACTTTTGGAAGAGCGAAGCCCTGATTGGGGGCTATCTGTTACCTCAAGTCATCCCGGCCATGTCGAGCAATCATCTCTCCTACAGCTACGCGCTTCGCTTGCGGGTGCCCATCGCCGGAACTGGCAACGGTTGGGACAGGACGGTGTGCGGCTGGGGTGCAGTCGGTCTTCGCAATTCAGACATCGACGCTCTAGGGTCTCATGCCTCTCAGGCAGTCTTGGGCGAGCGGGCTGCCGCGAAGCTTCCTGGTTTCGAGCTGCCGCACGAAGGGGGCTCTGGCCCGCCGTTCGATGGTCCACCCGGCTTTCCGATGGTCAATGACTTGCCTTTGCCAGACGAAGCCAGTGGGTTACCGGCGTATCATCGGGTGCCCCAAGCGGGCGAGCAGACGGCCATAGCACCCGCGAGGCGGTCAAATGCAACGAGCAATGTGGCCACTGGATCAATGCCAGTCGCAACCCCAGCAGCAGTACCGACTGCATCTGATGGCTACAACAAGCAGCCTTGGTAGGCCTCTAGGTCGATCCGAATCCCGCAGGCGCCCAGCTCAGACTCTGTCAACGTAGGGCGCTAGCTCCGTGCCCAAGAAGCTTGACGCATTGACCCCTTTTTTCGCAAGACTGAATGAAAAGCGTATTAGCAAGCAGCTCTATGGCGATCACGGCAACGTGAAGCCATACAAGTTTGACACGGCGGAGAAGGTCCGTTGCAGAACACCGCGTATGCGAACAGCCCGACACGGAGGGTGCAAGCGGTCCAACTCAAATCCACCGGTAATTCTTGCAAGCGCTCCATTCAATTGTATATGACTCGTTGTCACAACAAGTTTTTGCTCGCACCAGATACCACAATCTATGCCGATTGCTTTGCGTGCACCCTGTGGCGCTCGCTGACCACGCGGTGCTCCTGCGCGCACCGCGTGATGCGATGTGAAAATGCAGCTTCGCCAGGGCCCAGTCGAGCAATTTTAAGTGGACAGCCGGCCCAGCTGAGCACGTCTCCTAGCGCCGCGAAAAGCCTGACAGCCTTACGTGTCGATGCAGCAGAGATGATTGGCAGCTTTGCTGAAGCAGCCAGAATTGGACCATTCTGTGTCGACTTCAGGCTCTCGCCGAGCGTGAGGGCGCCTCGAATAGAATCTTGACGATTGCACATCACGACGCAGCTCCAGGAAGGCCTTTGTCGTTAGAGTCGCCGTGGTGCTCTTCAGCAACCACGTATCGGGTCACAAGTGCATGATTGGTGTGTGAGATCAAGAGTCGAAAGCTACGAGTGCGTTTCGGCTGTCACGTATTGTGTGTGGGTCACGAATGGAGCAGCGATTGTGGCGGCAAGCAAGAGATCTGATGCTCAGTGGAGGTGTGATTGGGCGCAGGTCAGTCATGATCGCAAGTCGTGAGTCTCGAACCGATCCATCAGAGTCTCGCGGTCGGACCTTCTTGACTCATCTGCTGCAGGGTTATTGAGTGAATTAAGATGTGAATGTGGTCGATTTAGTGTCCTGCTCATTGCGCCGACCTCGTGCTTCTTGCTGCGATTAAATTCAGGCGCTGGACAAGTCTTGCGCTCGATGCAAGCAGGCGTTCGGCTGAACGCCCGCATGACGGACGAAGTTGCGAGTCATTAGCAGCAGTGTGGCGGTGCGCGCGCGCGAACACAGCATCCCAGCAGCACGGCGTAAAGTGTAAGTACAAAAGCCGCATGCCATGGGGTGCGCACAGAAGCGAGTTTTGACGACCTGCATGCACCTCTGCATAGCGCTTCGCTCTTGGCCTTGCGCAGCCTCACTCCGTGTCGACACCGCCCCGACGTGCATTCGAGCTCCTCATCCTGTCCTCGCGCTGATGCTCAGCAGACGAGCCGTTCACGACACACACCCGCAAGACGATTTGAGCGGCTAGCTTGCAAGCCGCCTCGTTCTTGAAGAGCTCGCAAGAAGAGCAGCAGGGAGGCGAGCAGCTTGTCGATGGAAGGTTCAGCACGAGGTGCGATGTGCGCATGACGGCAGCGTCCTCGCGCCACCAGCGCCCGCCCTTGCATGGTCGCTCGAGCGTCTATATAATCACGAATTCTCAAATGCCCTCGAGTCGCGACACAGCTTCCCCCCAACCTTCATACACAGACGAACACATCCTGCAGCGAACATCGCAACACAGTCAAAAGAAGCTTTCCCAAGCATCAGCTATTCAGCTTTACAGTCTTACAAAATTTCAAGAGAAGCCCACGCACCCCCTCAACATGTCTCAGCGCACCTTCTGTTGTTGTCTGCCCACAAGGCTCGCCGTGCTACTCCTTTCGCCGGTGACACTAGTCGCTTCCGCCTTTTTGGCGGCGGTGGAATGGTACTTCTTGCATCAAATCGCCAAGGACCCTGACAGCCCGCTGAATGTCAAGATCGCAACTGTTCTGCTGGGTGGTATCATGAGCGTCCTGGCGCTAGCTTCTTTCTTTGGTCTCATAGGCTCGATCGCAGCGAAGCACGGAGGTGAGCTAAGGTCGGGCATGTGCCAGTCATTCTAGGCCAGAGCGGCAGCACTCATACATCTTACCTCGTCTCCGTCGCATGTAGCGGTCGCTTTCTACTCAGGCACTCTATGGTTCTGCTGGTCATTCGCGACTGTCATTGGCATCTTCAACCTCGTCATCACCTACATCCATGGCAAGGACAGCTTCACGAAGCAGTGCACCGATCCTGCTACAGGAATCACAGACGCCGGCCTCAGCGCTGACGATGTCATAAAGGTGTGCCAAAGCACATTCAATGTGGTCTACGGCATTGCGTGAGTCCCCTTTACCGGTGTGATGATCAGTGTACGATTGCTGACGGCGCATGAACCATTGCTCTTTCAAAGTTGCGGAGTATTCGCCGTTGTCGTCCTCATTACCCTCTATCTTGCCGTCATCGTTGGTCGGTACAGGCAACAGCTCGCAGAGCGCAAAGAGTTCAAGTACTTGCACAACCGCAACGCCTCTCACTCCAGTGTGCCGTTAACAGCCGAGGCTGGTTACGGCGCAGGCCCCTACAATCCTCCGATGCAGGCTTCGTACGCGTATGGCAAGTACTAGGAATGCCAGTAACTAGCGCTGGACGCGTCACTGCCATCTCTCGTGCACCAAGACCATCCTCAGGAATGGCGATATACCCTTTGCAGGAGACCTTGATCGAGTCTCTCGGTCCATCCCTTCTATCTGCGACAAGCATTGATGGCCGCCATCACCTCGCTGTTGTCAAATGAAATCACTTCGTGTACTATAGAACAAGCACGACCTCGCTTCGCACTCACAATCTGAAGAAGTCGAGTTGCACCAGATTAGCTTTGGACTCCTGGCATGAATCTCGATCGCGATCTTGTGCAAGCTAATCTTTGGCCATGAGAATTCATGGTGGCTGTACAGCGCTCCGGTGGCTTGAAAGAAGAAAAGAGAAGGTCGTGAGAGTCGCTTGCATCGTGTGAATGGCACAGGGCGGACTCGGTGGTGTGATTTTGCCTTGTAGGCTGTCACGTGGCCTTACGCGTCTACACGAGCATGCAGATCTGAAGAGGCAAAATAATAGTCTGATCAAAGATGTGCCCATATGTAGTCTTCCGAGATAAAGGCATACGTTGCCAGACCTGACGACAGTTCGCATCGCAACTCGTGACGTTTGAATGCTACTCCGGGCTGTGCTCGGCACGGGCCATGTTTGGACTTTGCGCCCGCCGGGAGGCGCAGATGCATGTGCAGCCATTTCTCGACAAGCGATGAGGGTGGCCTGGGTCAGGAATTCCGCGCTGCGCAACGAGTGTCAGAAACAATCATTACGATGCCAGCGGAGGGGTGGAGACTGCACCTAGCTGCTGCTGCGTCTCGAAGCCACGGCGGCTGCTTGCGCAATGATGCGCTCCTTGACCCTCGTTCCCGAATTCATAATTGCAGCCGGGTGCCGGGCGTGCGCGGCGCGCTCTTGGCCGAATCCGACACAAAGTTCGGCACCGATGAACGCTGAGACCCTTGACATGGTGACTACAGCGGAGCATGTGTCATGTGTCAGGCCCAGGTGCAATAAATGCAGGCTGCGTATGCGTGACTATGCGCAACTTTGCGATTCGTGACTCAAGACTCAGACTGTCAAGCCATGCGTGGGCATATTCCCACGGACGTCCCTTTGCAAGCCTCACACGTCGGCAATCAAGTGACCGGCAGAGTTTTCATGAGTACTAGCACAGGCTCGGACGTGAAGAACGAATTCGCTTCACGGCTGTGCTATGCAGCAGCTAGGTTGTCATGCACCTAGGACTGGGATGTGAACGTTTCGGCACGCCTCCCAGGCCTCAGGGAGGGCACTGCAATTAGAGCTCTATTGTTGCCATCATGTTGCTGCCGTGCGCGGTGTTGTGCTGAAAGAATTACATTCGTGATTGTTGTGCAGACGAGGAGAACTCGAGACACTCGACATGAGCAGCTGATGATCCCGAGTGCTGACTCGACTTGCGGAGAAAGGAAATGTCTGCTCTCTGAGCCTACCCTCGCCCCACCATGCGGGTCTATGAAGGAGCGGTCGCCTGTCTAGCGCGAGTGATTGCATAGAATGATCGACATGTTAATAAGCTGTTCCGTCGCAAAGACGATGCAAGGGGTCGTCTACTCGCAAACAACTATCAGCGGGGTCTTTTGCGGGTGAAAGCCCGAGCGCCGGCCTCCCTCTTGTCCCTGCACTCGCGAGGCTTCTCGTTGGAAAGTTCGAGCTCGGAGCTATCATACAACAGGTGCGGCTTGTGTGCTGAACACGGCTCAGAGGGTGAGCCAAGAGATGGCAGGGCATAGATGACATCGCGCTGCATGCTTACCACTATACCGACCTGCTGCCTTCTGACTGCACGAGAGCCGGCAAAGCATTCAGGTAGTCACTGCCGCTGCATGTGACTTGATGGAGGAATGCCACAGCACTGCTCAGAATCACGAATGCATGTAAACAACAGCATGAGCGATCTGACTGCATGCGGGCAGGTCGCGCGCGCGTGTGCCGACGCGTCTCTCGGTGTTGGTCGCAGGTGATGGACTCGCCGGCGCGAGGTGTTGATGTGTTGCTCTCATCGAGGGTGCATGCTTAAATTCGCAAAGGCCGTGCAGCGCGCGAGCAGCATCAACATCCGCACGCACGACACTCAAAAGACTGGGCACCTCTTCAGTAGCATCAGCAAACAGAATTTCGCGACTCAACATTGGCGAAACCGAAACTCCGGTACGTTGAGCCGCTGCGTCCGTAGAGCGCACCATGTCGACCACAGCTTCAAGCTTATTATGATCTCACATCACACCGGCTTGGCCTTTCTTGCCTTATTGCTCGACACTGGTTCCGCCTGCCGCGTTCGTCCGCGACACACGTACGCAGCTAAGCGAGGACATCTTTCGATTGCGCCGGAGCATCGAGGCCTCTCGAGATCGCTTTGGCGCCGTCCCTAATCGCGACCTTTACATGCCGATCGTGATCGAGAGGGATTCCGTTGCGCCTGCTTTGAGCTTCGCCTTCAGATCGAGCGGTATTATCCTTTACGTTCCGGTATCGGTTGGCCTATGCCCCTGTACACCAGGATCGGCTCGTGAAGGCGTCGGTCATATCAAACGTGAGAGGGGCTTGGTGTGGCGTGCAGGCACGGGATCTTGTTCGTCCTAGCTAGGCTCCGCTTCGAAGACCGACTGAAGCCAAGGTCTCACCCGACTGGTGTGGCCATGCATGCCCCACTCCTCACATGCGCCTCTCACTGAGGCCGCTGTGATGAGACCGAGCTTTCCATCCAGGCACTCGAGGAAATAAGCCTAGATCACTCTCGCCCGGAGTCACAGTGCCCTCTCATGCGTGTTACACGACGCCATCTGTTCCCGTTGTGGGCTCTTCAACCAGCCTCTTCCAGTCACGCGGTGTAATAACGTTTCTACCGTTGAATGAATTCTTTCAGTCTCTCGCGGAAGCACCCTGATGTCAGGCACCAACGGCCTTTGTAGGGGCAGTGTGCATCTCGAGACCCTCACAATCCGCATGAAAGCGAAATTAGCCTCTGACCTCTTCCGTCTGGACCACTCTTGCGAGGCTGTAACTCTCAGCTGGCTGACGTGCTGCCTCAGTACGCTTTCAGATCTCGTCATAGAAATGTCCAGACACTGACGACTGCGCCATGGCGGACCAGCAAGCACTCATCGATACGCTGGACCCTGACGATGATCGACAACGGCGTTGTTCCGCCATCCACATACACTATACACACGCGCTCGAAACCCTGAATCGCTTCGCTGTTTGCGGCAATGCTTCGGCCCTGCTGACTGAGACTGACTTGTCGCATCAAAGACCACCGCCGTTTTCGTGTGCTGGTTTGTGATGAGTCATTGTTGCCTTCGCATGTTGGCACCGCCTCACCATCGCTACGCCGCACAAAGGGATGCGCTCAGTGATGTTGAACGTGTGCAGCATGAAGTCACCTGCGAGTAGGTGCAGCCGTGATGTTAAGGCATCAGCTCGATGTCTCGCCCATGGGACCGCGCGAATGGCACGGCTGCAATAAAAAGAAGCAGCAGCATGACGCCTGCAACCTACGCCCGCGCGCACACAGTGCAGCGGAACGCGTGATGATTGTGATTTGGCAACGCCGCGCGCACAGCAAGCATAAGCGCCACGCATCCGGCCACCCTCTCTGCTCGCGGTCCTGCATGGCGCTGTGCCAGTCCAGCCTCTGCCTGCAGAGCTGAGCGGGACCCGGCCGCATCGACGATCCCGCCGCTGGGATCGACGTTGAGGACGTCTGCATGTGGACCGCATATACGGGAAGGGAACCAACACTCAACACTCAACACTCAACACTTGATCAAGTCACCAGTCAACTCTCCAACGCTCGGATCCATCCACCACCTCAACACCTGACCTTCAACTCTCCAACACATCCCTCCCAACGCTGGACAACCTCGAGCCGCTCTGCTTGACCCTCACGACACATCTCCCACCCCATTTCACAACTCGAGACCTCGACCACTGGGCAATCGTATTCTCCGCGCCTGCCTCTTCCTGCACGCGCGCTGCAAGCACCTGCAACGCTACCCGTTCCATATATCACAACCCAAGCGCACCTCTCAGACCTGCTCGCAGCCGCAACGGGCGAGACAATCAAGCCACTCCTTGCTTCGAGCATCATTCTGTCGGAAATACGTTCGCTCACAGCAAGAACAACGCAGACCGCTGCAACCGTCAGAGGCTCTTCAGCGTGAACACATGCGCGCGCTGCTGTGCTGAATTCGCTGCACAGAAATTAGAACTTGTTCTCCCACCGCCTGCAGCGGGACAAGCACACATCACGACGCAGCAATTCGTTCGTCTCCTAGGTCATCACTTTCGGGCTCATCCATCTTTCGACTCATCACCCAACCGTGAGGTCACAGTATCAGCTCCCTCGCTCCTCCAACAGCAACCGATGACCTCTGATCAGTGAGGGCTTCAACTTCAGCGACTTGGAACACACCTTGCGTTATCTACGATTGCACCAACCATCTATCACCGTCCGTCCGCGTGGATGCCTCTACTGCCTCAACGTACCACTCCCAGCTACACAAACGGGCGTTGATACTTGACGCCCAGCTTCCACCTCCAAGGCTCTCCCCTGTCGTCATGACCACTCTACTATCGTCGCCCATTGGGGCGCCCATACGTCTCGACAACATCTTTCAGCAACCGTCGTCCCCAACGCGCAAATACGACGACCTACCTGCGGAGTTCGGCGACAGATCGTTTGGATCGTCTATGAGCTTGAGCTCGTCGTTTGATCTCGGCAGATACACCAATGAGCGGAACAGTAACACTCATCAGTCCGTGTCACCATCGAACTCGTTCGCATCTCACATGCGTATGGCGGTCTCCTCCAACTCGGCCAAAGCCGGACCATCCTCTGCATTCTTGGGCCATGCTCGCCCCGAGAAGCATCATCATCAAAGCCTCGGCGAAGCCATGGGCACAGAGCTCCACAGCCGCTCTCCAAACCTCGGTATGAAGCTCACCTCTCCACATCGTATGGAGGTTGATACCTCAATCGAGGTTCCTGATCTCCCCCACAAGCGTAGTGCCATTCTCAGATCCGCACGGCAGCAGGGTAGCGGTCTCAATGACCAGCGCAACATTCGCGAGGAGACTGTTCGAAATCCGCGCAGCAGGCGCTCATCACCAACTTCGTCGGCATCCAAGCCAAACTCACCAGCGCCACTTGCAGCACAGCGCACAAGTCCGGCGGGCCTGCAGGCACCTGCGGCGCCGGGCAGTGCCGGAGGCTCTCTGGGTCGTATGTTTGGTATGGAGCTCCGCCTCAACAGTGGGGAAGATGAGAGCGCCCTCAACAGCAGTCCAGACAAGGAACCTCCCACGAAGCGAAGGCCCTCATCTCTGCCTCTGGGCGGCGGCGACCACCACACACGCCCAAGCATGCGCAGCGCTGGCCTGATGCCCTCGTCTACAGCGTGAGTCCACGGTGCTTGCGCGCAAGAATCCGCGCCGCTTCGAGGCTGAGCAGATTCCTTTGTATCCTCTTCCTCAGTCGCCCGAGCATGATCAAGCACCAAAGTTTGAACACGTCATCCGGTGTGGTCCCGCGTAAGCGCGGCAGCATGGAAGTACTCGGCCAGACTAGATCCATCGTGAGTCGCATGAATTCTAGCTCGCCGCATAGCCGAGCTGAGCTGTCAAACCACCTCTCTACAGTCCGACGCCAATGCCGCCCAAATCGAGCCACGCTTGGCACGCACGCGAGCTCACTCTGCAGAGCTGCAAGTTACGAAGAGTACCAGGGCACCGATCTCCCACGCGACCATCATCGAGTCACCATCACCCTCCACCATTGCGCACGAAGGGCTAGGTTCCTACTTCTTCGATCCAAGCTCTCCTGAGCATCTCGCCAACGTGAAGGGCAACGCACCGGCAGCGAAGCTCAGAGCCAGTCCAAAGCTGGAAGAACCCCCAATGACCGCCCGACCAACGCTTCGGCCTGGACTTGGCGATCGACTGTTCGAAAGGACGGCGACCTCAGCAGAAATGCCGACCTTTGCCCGTGCGATGGATAGTGATGCTGCCACTGGCCCATCCGGGCGATCAAGGTCTTCCCTGGGCAAGCGTGCCAATCCGTATTCCAAGCGACCGTCTCTGGCACCCCTTGCAGCCGCGCGCGACAGCCAGATGGACGGCGGGTTGCGAACCGCCTATCCTACCCTTGGTGGTCAAGCACGTCTCACGGCGCCAGCCCCTCGTCGCTGTCACTCAGCTTTGGACAATACCAAGGTGTTTGCAAGCGCTGCGACCTTGCGACCGACGATGATGAAACCAAGTGACATGGCATCGCCGGACGCTGAAAGAAGTCTGAGCTTCCCAGAGGAATTCGACGTCAACGGCTCTCCTGTTGCTCATAGCGCGCGACCACGCTCGAGACCTGCCTTTCTACGTCGCACCAGCAAAGATGACGCCTCGCCGCTCGGGTACGGTAGCAAGCGCAGTGGATCAAATGGTGACCATGGTTTCTCGATGCAACAGTCGCCGATGGCCGTCAGCTCGCCCAAGTACGGCGCAGAGTGCATGCCAGGCTTCGGTGCCTCTGAAATGGAAGGAAAGATCTTGCCGTGCCATACATCGAAAGACGACGGCCTCATGCGCATTTCATCGGATACCCTTGCTGATCTCCAATCCGGCAAGTACGCCACTCATATCAAGGAGCATTTCGTCATTGATTGCCGATTTGGGTACGAATTTGATGGCGGCCACGTTGGAGGAGCCATCAACTTGAGCACAATTGAAAAGGTCAAAGCATACTTCTTGACGCCCGGACAAGGTCTGCACGCGGATCGTCCGATGCCTCCACGCTCTCAAAGTGGCGCATCAAGTGGCACTCAGCCCGACAAGACTGTGCTGATCTTCCACTGCGAATTCTCAGCAAAGCGTGCCCCATCGCTCGCACTGGCACTGAGGCACGCTGACCGCGCGCTGCGACACGACTATCCGTCGTGCCACTTTCCCGAGCTCTACGTGCTGGAAGGTGGTTACTGCGGATTCTTCAAAGAGCACCCCTTGCTTTGTGAGCCCGTCGCCTACGTCGAGATGGACGATCCTGCCTATTCTGAACAGCGCTCTTCAGAGATATGTGGATTTCGAAAGCAATTCGCCCCAAAACAACCGTTCAACCGCCACCGCAGCTTCACTTTTGGAGAGCGCAGCTCGTCTGCGGGTGGAGCGCCTGTTCGCAGCCTGGCCAACGGTCTGGCCCACTCGATTCGAGAAGAGGACACCTCCTGTGACGATTCTCCTAGCGCAGCCGTGGCCGGCGGTGTTCATGCTCGCAAGAAGCTCATGCAACCTGCAAAGGATCGCGCTCGCGGTGGAGAGCGAGCAGCTCTCAGTCCCGGTGCAGGAGACATGAGCCTCTGCAGCTCGGTGGGCGACTCGTCTTTCGAAGGAGGACCGAGCGATAGCCCATGCGCAGCAGTGCCTGCTCGCCGGCCTGCCGTTGCGGGTGGCGCTTTGCCCAAGGTGCGGCTTGGCGCCCCACGACCCTTGCAACGAGCCAGTACGGCCTCCAACGTTCTTGGCCGGTAGATCGCTGCTCCTTCTTCTCGATGCTCGATATAAGTCTCAGTGTTCTCGTCACGTCCGTTTGCATCACGTCTCGGTTTTCTAAGCATCTCACACCTCGCTCAAGACTCTGCAAAAAATTTTCGGAACAGCACATCCTTCTTTATCCCTCAATCTCTCTATAAATCAACATCAAGTGGTCCAACTCAACTTCTTTGTCCGCGGCACGGGTTCAGAGCTTACGCTCTTGCTTCGATTCCAGCCGTGTTCCAGCCGCAATGTGCGCCGCCTGCTATCTCCAGCGCGTTTACTACTACTCTAGTGTCACTTTGAATGACTATCTTGGTTTCCTGACCGGTTCACGATGATGCGCTTCGTCACCATGGCTTTCGGTTGAGATATCGCTTGGGTCAAAAGATGGGTCGAGCCATCCGGCCACTCGCTGCAAATCATGCGATCCCCTGCAGCGAGCTGTGCTTGTTTGATGGGCTTCGAAATGTCTCGGAGCTGGTGTCCGTGAGAGGCTCCGCTCGAAATGGCGAAGTCCTCGCATGAATGGCTCCTTGCGGATCCCAAGGCGGGAAAAACGTGTGGGGCAACGAGAGCCCGCAATGCTCGCACTGATCTCATGCGCATATGAGCTCTGACACAAAGCTCATCGGTATGCACGAAGCTCACGACGAGGTTCTATGCATGCTCATCTTCTTGACTGGCAGCCCTGAGCGCCTCCATCGTGCCAGCTCGCACACAGCAATGCTGATTGCGCTCCCTACGGTCGAGCTCGAGGCGGTCTGCAAGGCAAGGTCGCCAAGACTACTATTCGGGCTCCGAACCATACACTTAGTCGCTACGGTACATCAGACCGCCATGATGTCATGAAATATGACCAGGAAAATCTGAATCAGGCAGCAGACAGCTCATTGCCTAGATGAGAGTATTTGGCTCAGCATGAGCTTCCCTCCCTCCCGTGCATGGCTGCACGAAATGCCGGAGCTGCGGACGACGTGGCGCAACCGTTGGCGCGTCGAGCTTTAAAAATCTGGCTGGCTGGCTCGTCCATCGGGATTCCGCGATTGTACCGTAGATCTGGGCTGCGGCCATTGCGTGCAAGACTGCCTGCCTAAGCTTCCGGTCAGTTGTAGCGGCCCACGGAGGCTTGCTTTTTTGCTTACCAAGCGCAACGGGGAACTCAGATGTCTGGCCGGTGCCGCATTGGGCACGTTCAAAGGGACGCTCCCCAAAATGTGACCATGGTAGCTGCGCGTCTCTCGCACGAGAAGAAGACGCGAGTTTGGGCTGCAGCAGCTAGCGCCGCCCAACGCTCATCTCTGACTCGCACTTGCAGCGTAGGTCGATGTTGTGGACATCTGCGGTGTGACCTGAGAAGCTGTGTGCTCTGACCTTTCATCGCGAGGATCTCCATTCGAAAGGGAACTCAACGTGCAAAAGGAGAGAGAAGGCCTTGCCCGACTTCGCGAAGTCTGACCTGGTCTGATTCCAAGTAGACAGCAGCTCAAGCCAATTTTAGGTGGGACAAGCCAATCCGGAGGAAGAAGCATGGCGCAGGTGAGTAGAGCTCACTCAGGGCGATGCGTCGACCAAGTCCCGCGCAGCTGCATTCAAGTCTGACGAGATCCGCTTGGTCCATTATCAGCCACTTGTGCTTCGACCAACCTTGGAAGAAGTGTCTCGGCTACTGCTGGACACCGCTCAGCCTACTGCGTTCTCAGGAGGAGCAGTGCCCTCGACCTCTGCACCAACAGCCGATCATGCTGCCGGTGCTGCGCAGGGTAACATCGTGCCGGTCTATGCATCACTGCCAGCAGACCTGCTCACTCCCGTGATGGCCTACCTCAGGCTGTCTGGAGGTTCCGATACTAGGCGAAGGAGCTTCTTGTGCGAGAGCGTCACCAATGGCGAGAAGATTGGTAGATGGAGTTTCGTGGGGGCGGGTGAGTGAGCTGGCCAGACGAGAATCTGCTGCTACGAGTGGGCGTGAGATGGACGTGCGACTCACAAGACCTTGCGGTGCGTTGCGTCTGCCACAGATCCCTACAAAGTCATAAGAACGGGGGCAAACACCGTCAACCCCGGAGATCCTCTTGCGGTGCTTGAGAAGGAGCTTTCGCCCTTCCGCTACATCTCTTTGCCCAATCTACCTCGCTTCACAGGAGGTGCCATGGGCTACATATCCTACGACGCTATCGCCCACTTTGAGCCTCGTACTGCCAGACCTCTAAAGGACGTTTTGGGCGTGCCAGAAGCCATCTTTATGCTTTGCAACGACCTCATCGCCTTTGATCACACATTTCAAAGCTTAAAAGTCATCTCCCACGTCCATCTACCGGATGATCATGCCAGTCGGGCCGACAAGTCAACAGCAAGTGCTGAGGTGCAGAGACTCTATGCGCGAGCTGCTTTGCAGGTACAAGCGCTGGTCGAGAGGCTATTGGACCCAGTCACTCCGTTGCCGAAGCAGCGGTCGGTCCGACCTGGAACCGAAGCAGTGTCTAATGTAGGCAGAGAGGGCTACGTTCGCTTTGTGAGGGAGCTAAGGAAGCACATCATAGCTGGCGACATCATCCAAGCTGTACCTTCTCAGCGACTGAGCAGGAAGACGGACGTGCATCCTTTCAACGTCTACAGACATCTAAGGAGCGTCAATCCAAGCCCATACATGTTCTACTTGGATGTGGGAGACGCGAGGCTGGTCGGTGCGAGTCCGGAAACGCTGTGCAAAGTTGAGCAGGGAAGAGTGGCTGTCCATGCCATTGCTGGTACAGTGAAACGCGGCGCGAGCGAAGAAGGTAAGCTCATCGGAATCTTGCTTGCGAGCATCGCGGTGAATACATACTGATGATCTGTGATCACTCGCAGAGGATAAGAGGCTGGCCGAAGAGCTGCTGGCGTCTGCTAAAGATCAAGCAGAACACGTCATGCTGGTCGACTTGGCACGCAACGATGTTTCAAGGGTCTGCGATCCTCATACCACGACTGTAGAAAGCTTTATGAAGGTGGAAAAGTTTAGTCACGTCATGCATTTGACGAGCCGGATCACTGGCTTCTTGCGACAGGGCAAAAGCAGGTGGGTGCTGCTCGTCGGGTCTTTGGCTGCAAGGGCAGTGTCTGATCTCCGCTCTTCGGTGCGTCAGATTCGACGCCTTGCGCTCCATCTTTCCGGCGGGCACCGTGTCGGGTGCGCCAAAGATCAGAGCGATCGAATTGGTCAGCGAATTGGAAGGCGAACGCAGAGGCGTCTACGCCGGTGCTGTGGGTCACATCGACTACTCCGACGATATGGACGTTTGCATTGCCATTCGTACCATGTGCTTCTTGCCTCAGGGGGGGCAGGATGAGACGGAAAGCGGAAGTCACACCGCCTATCTGCAAGCAGGTGAGTGACTATCGCAATCACTAAAAGACTACTCTTACTCTCTGCGAGGTGAGCTCACGCGATGCGCTCCATCAGGCGGAGGAATTGTGTACGACAGCGTCGAGGAAGACGAGTATCAAGAGACCCTGAACAAGCTTGGTGCCAATGTGCGATGTCTGCAGCAAGCTGAAGGTGAGTGGTGGGGGGAATGTGCGAGCAGCCGATGCTCGATCACAATCTGCCGCTAAGTCTCGGTGACTCCATGCGCGCGCACAGAGTTCTACATCCAGGAGCAAATGGTCGAGCGCTCCGCTTAAAGGGTAAGAGTCTGTACGCTTTCTCAAGGCGGGTTTCCTCCTTCCACGTGCGGCTTTCACACCTTCGCTAATCTAAAAATCCACCGCAAACTTGATGAAGATCTATTGCATTGCAAGGCCGTGTACTATGTGTGCGCGCTCTACTATGTTGCCTGTCTGCCTCTCGGAGCGTTCTCCTCTGCGGACTCTGAAGCGGCCGAGGCAACAGCGACAGCGGCGTTATTCTGAGTGGCAGACCTTCTTAGATCTCTACTGTCCGCAGCTGCAGCCGTTGCCGCCGAGGCGCGACTTTGCGACCTTGATCGTGAAGCGTCACGCAGGCGCGCCATTGCAGGCCCTCGCGAAGGTCTGAGCCAGCGCGGCAAGAAGCGCACAGAGATGACCCCATTGAAGAGTAGCGTGGCGGCGCACAAGAGCGCAAAACCGAGCCTGTGCATGATCATCACGAGGAAGAGAGGAGCGTGAGCAAAATGTGACTGACGTGTTTTGCAAAAGTGGCCGCTTGGCGCGCCGAAGCTCAGAGGTATGCCTCGAGCATTGCTCACAGTTGCAAAGATCCGCTGAGAGGCCTAAAGACTTCCCATCCCAGTACCAGACTGACGGCCCAGATGCCTAGAGTCCTGCAGGTGTCAATTGTGCTCCTAGCGGTAGCGCTGACGCTTCTCGTCACGCTGAGGCCGAAAAAGTTGAAGAGTGCGATGCTGAGACAGATGGCCAAACTGCTCCATAGCACCGCATTGTTGCTGATCATCTGCTGCCAGCCCGTGACCATGTCAAAGTAGCCGCCTTGGCCGCGTGGTGTACGGCCATAGAAATAGTGAAGCAGAACCTGCGCGGAGAGCGTCATGGTGAAGCCAAAGAGGCCTTCGTAGCCGACCGCAAGACTGCAATTTTGCAACAGGTGCGGCAAGGCAGCAATGCGGTCTAAGCACATCACGCTTTGTGGATCGCTTGAGCTTTTGCGATTTTACTCACAGAGGTTCAACGCTATACCTGCCCATGATCTTCTCTTCGAGGACGAATTGGCCAGCAGTGAAAAGCTGGGCAAACAAGATTAACAGCACCCCCAGGAACGCTTGAAGAGTCTCTTCGGAGTGACCAGCACCAGCACCCTCCGCTTCGCTTCCACGCGATGCTGCCAATACGCTGCGTCGCGCGATGGTGTTCTCGAACGATCTCCGCACCGCGCCTGCGCCAGCGTGTGTGGCTCCGACCATGTTGGAGTACAGGCTCTCTATTCCGCCGCTACCGCCAGGGCTTAGCAAAGTACCGCTGATACCGACGATGCATACGCCAAGCATGACGGTCAGCAGGCTTAGCCACTGGAACAGGAAGAGGTGACGCTGCAGAAAGATGACGCTGAAGACACCAACCCAGAGCACGAGGGCTCCACGCGTCATTTGATAGATGGACACTGGTGTGAAGAGAAGCCCAACGTTCATCTGCGAGTGTGTTGCCCGGCGTCATGATGAGGATTGAGGTGCGCGGTATTGGCTGGTCGACCCTGCACTCACCAGTGTAGTGCCGCAAATATCGCAAGCGGCTGGCAAGACGAAGAGAAAGATGGCCCTGCCCTTTAGTGCGCCATTGTCTGCATCGTCAGCATCCGCGTCCGCGTCTGCTTCCGCTTCTTCGAGATCCGCTTCCACATCCCCTTCGGCGACATCTTCGAGACCTGTAGCCTCCGCAGAGGCGTTAGCAGGTATTCTCTCATCCCAAGCATTGTTAGATCCTGTAGGAGGTTGGCCAAGAGGACTAGGTCGATGCATCGGCGCGCTCCTTCGCGGTACATACGATGCGCCGATACCTGGCAGAGATGCGGTGCCGCAATGCAAAGCGGAAGCGGGCTTAGGCGGGGCCTTCCATACTGGCCAGAAGGCAGGCACGAGGCGAGAAAAGGCCGAAGAGCTTCCTTGTTCGCCCAACCAGTGGCTCGGCATCAGGAAGCTGAAAGCGGAAGAGCCTGCCTCTGCGCCACGATTGATCCCGCTCGCACCAGCGTACGCGTTGAACGCCGAGTCGTCGGACTGCGGGTCGTCGAGCAAGGCATTGACTGCGTACGGATCGTCCGACAGCGGCTCGTAGGCAGATGTGCCCTGACCGCCCTTGAACAAGGGAGCCTCTCGCTTGCTCTGCACCCAAGCGTATAGAGCCATGAACAAGGGAGGTAGCAAGCACAGACACTCTCCTAAGAACATCTGTGATGTCTGCAAAGAGCGCGGCGACCAAGCGGACCCGAAAGGTGAGCCGACCATTGACGTTGCTGCTGGTCAAAATGACTGCGTCGGCGCTCGGCTGAACGCGGACTCACCTGCCAGACTGGTTGACTAAAGTCGACCCTGGGATGATCATCGCCGGGTGCGCAGTGCTCCACACACTGCATGTCCTGATACTTGCTGAAGATGCTGTTGCTGATGCCCGTCGCTAGCATTCCACCCACCAGCAGAGGAATGGTTGAGGGCGCCATGCTGACGCGTCGATGCGAGCAAGTGTAGGTCGAGGATGGCGATGTTGTGGTCGTGCTGCGGGTCAGATGACAGAGAATGAGAAGGCGGCGATATGGTTGGCCCAAAGCCACGCAGCTGGCTCGATTCACGTGGCCGGCAGAGGGAAAAGTCGAGCAGCGTGGAGCAGGGTTTTTGAACTAGGCAAACAGGCAGGTGCTGGCTGGCGTGCTGGGCTTGGAGCAGAGCAAGACTGTCTGTCTGTCGAGGTTGTTGCGGAGGAAGAGGGAAAAGTATCTGACCTTTTGAAGAATGATAGCACTACATTCAGCCACGTCGATCTTATCCCGCCGAGTCGTTGACAGAGAGGTGATGGTCAGTCAGGATGCCCATGCACAGCGAGTCACGAGTCCCGAGCGCGCGCGAATCGCAGATTCAAGCTTTTAATTGCGCTTCAATTGATACGATGCGCGCGGGTCTCCATGCAGAGGCGAGGAGGGCGTTATTGACTCGTCTATCGCGCGTGCGCCATCAGCAGCAGGCCACCTCGATATCCAACACCCACGCGTGCGCGCCCACCCACGAGCTTTGAATCAGGCACGCGACCACGCAGACAGGCAGCATGGAAGCCACACCAGCAATGCGCCGCACTCATGCAGCAAGCGGCTACCGCGCTGCGGTACCGTACGCTGTGCAGTTGCACAGGGCAGCACCGGCAGTCGTATGAAAGGTCACTGAGTGCATCACGAACGGCGATCCGTCTTGACTCACAGACTCAAGACTGCGGCGCGGTATATATATAGCGATCGACGTTCGGTTTCGGAGTCTAACATCATGACCAATCGCATGCATGTTTCTCTATTCGAGGAAAGGTGCATCTATGTAGGATTTCAATCTTGAACACAAGTCCGCGGAAACTCTGAATCGGGAATCATGGCATACGCGACTCCAACCTCCTTCGACATGCAAGATGACAATGTTCACCTACCATCAAAATCCAGCTCTGCTGAGAAGAAAGTCTGCGCATCCGGACTCTCGCTCGAAAGCACGTCGATCTAGGCACGAGATTCGAGACAGTCAAGGGCACAAGGGACGGACTCCACTTCGACGTGAGTTGAGAAGCTCTTGGTTCCGAAACCCAAAGCCCCACTCCTACCCACCTTCAAAAATGTGTTCACGACCTCAACGAAGCAGAACGCGGGCGAGCAAGAAGAGAGCGAGTTGAGAGGTCCACAAGACCACTTCCCACCTTGCCATCTTGCTCTTCGGCATCCGCTAATACACGCAAGCATCTACACTCGCGCACTGAGCGTGACCTCTGCACGGTAGCACAGGTTTGGAGTGCTATCCAAGCAAGAAGAGGCGGCCGAGCCTAGGCACCTGAGCGGCCGAGAAAGGACCGGCATACCTCTAATTCGCTTTTCACTATGCCCCTCCCGCTGACACAAGTGTTCAGGCGACACACCTCGACTGCTTGCCAGGTCGCCAGAGACTCTTGCTAGGATTAATGCGATGTAAAGAAGAGGTCAAGAGGAGTACAAAGGCAGTCGCTGTCTTGATATTTCTGTTTGCTGTCATCATCTAGGGTCCCGAACCAAGATCGTCTCTCTGTTCTTGCTGACACAGAGAGACACGTTGATCCTCCGCTGACTTGATGGACTCCTTGCGATCGTCTCCTGACGATAGCCACCTTGAGCTCTGCTCATCACACGCTTGCTGAATCATGCACCGATATGAGAGCCCTACGCTCGATCCGAGTTGAGTCCGCCTCGAGCTCAGTAATATCCTCTCCCACGGCCTCGCGCCCTAAAAGGTCTTCCACGCGCACGTCCCCTGCCCCGTCCGCGACCCCTAGCAGTCATCCCTGGCACATTAGTTCGCTTTGCCGTGACCTGGAATGATGGATGTGCGAGCATTCAGCAAAGTGAGCATGTCAGCCGGATGACGATGGGTGGCGCTGCGACGGCAGCTCACCTTTAGCAATCTGCCCCTGAACAGGCTCTCGTTCATGACCATTGCATTCGCCACCAAGCTCGGCTCAGAAAACTCCACGTAAGCGAATCCTTTTGGATGTCCAGTGAATTTGTCGCAGAGGATGGTCACTCGGTTGATGGTGCCGCACGCTGCAAAGTGCTGCTGGATCTCCTCTGGTGATGCGCCATAGTCCACCTGGGAGGTCCAAAGGTGCAAAAAGGGACATGTGGGCAAGTCAGACGTTGGAAGCCCAGCGACGAGAAGAGGGGAGACGTTGGCGATTCAAGTCGCAGGCACTAGCTCGCGCCTGATGTGGGCCTGCCAAGCTTGATGCCCCTGAGCGCTCGCGCTTGCGCACGAAGGCGACTCTGCACGTCGCGGCACACGCCTGACAGCTTCGCGTACACTCGAAACTGTAGCGACGCCATTCCTCGATCCGACACCTGTTGCTACGCAACTCACATTTCCGACGAAGACGCTTCTCGCGTCGATCTCCTCCTTCTCCTCATCGAGTGCTCCTACACCTATCGGGTCATTGACCAGGTTTCGGTCAGGGCGGTAATTCGGATCGCTCTGAAGATCCCGGAGCCTGGAAGCTTCGGCTTCCATCTCCTTGACCCTTGCCTGCATCGCTGCAATCTCGGCCGCATCGTCCAGGTCTCCTCCACTTCCTCCTGCTTCGGCTCCACTGCCTCCTGCACCGGCCGTTTGATTGGGATTGGTGATGAAGTCAATGTCGTCTGAATGGTCCGACATGATGACGAAGAGCCAATGGCCCGCTGAAGCGCTTTGTGCTGTTCGTTTGTAGTACTTCAGCCGTATGTGATGGACATCGAAGCGCGACCGGAGTTCTTCCTCGTCCAGGCAGAGGAGCTAGCTGGTGCCGAACTGTCGAATACTCGTAGCAGCTCTGCGTGGTTTCGTTCGGACCGCTTGTAAGCGTCGACAAATCGCAAAATGTGAGCAAACAGCACAAAGCCTCGTTGTGCAGCTTTGTAACAGATCGCTGTGGTCGGGAGGAAAAGTTGGAGGTAAACATCAGGTGGAAGCAGGCGCGACTCTCATCAGAGAGTTCTTGCATCATGGAACTGTGCGCTCTTGCGCGCCCTCCCGTGTGTCTGGGAGTCAGAGTGAACGGCGTGGCGCGATCCAAGGTATCCTGACATCTCATCACGTGATAGTACGGCGGGCAAGAGCGAGGGTAGACGCGTTTTTCATTCCGCAATTCAACGTCTGGTAGAGTCTTGAACCCCACATCTCTGCTGCATTCAGCGTCGTTCCCTCCTGACCGCATACCATCACGACGGCGCGGACATTTTGACATGCTTCGTGCCGTTCCTGCTACTCCTAATTGGATTGTATAGAAAGTTCCGCCCTCCTACAACCTTCCCTGGGCCGATCACGTCCCATTCCTGACCCCCGCACATGCGGTCGCGGCAACAACGCTCGCCAGCTGACCCACTCCCGGCTCCACGCCTCTGTCGATTGCCACTGTCTAGGTCGGAAACTTTTACCGGACCACGGAAAATCCGTGGAGCTGACTAAGCCGAGTCAGCTGAAGACCAGGTGATCCCGACGGCGCGCGTGGTTTGCCGCCCCTCGCCGGACCCCTATGGTGCCGATGTCTTGGAGATGACTTCGCCTCATCTTCAACCTCTGGATCTGGACGAGCTCGAGCCGTTGCCTCCGTCCCGCATCGATACGCGGTCTGCTTCTTCCTGTCGGCACCCGCTCGATGATGACAGACCAGCGGGTCGCACGTTCACTTCGCCGACGCTCAGCCCGGATCAGCAGTCTCCGCAGTGGAGCGCAGAGTCTTCTCCGGAACAGCGCAGGATACCACTGCCAAGACAGCCGTTGAGCATCGGTACGTCGTTTGGCACTTCTTTGAGGGCGGCTGAGCCCATTGCTAGCACTCAAGCGAAGAAGCACGATCCGAGCAGTGCTTCTGACAGGCTTCCCCAAGGCTCGTCGAGTGTTGCAACCAAGGCTCGATATCTCACTGTCTCATCGGTCCTGTCGCGCTCTGGCGTAGCACGAACGTGGAATGACGGAGAGGCGCTCCATCACAACCAGATTAACAGACAGCATGTGCCCCGCAACGTCGAGCGATCTTCGCGGTGGAAAGCAACCGCAGGCCGCAGAGCCAGCAATGGCAGTGCGCTCGAGGCTGTCGGCGCTCTGCTCCTGCATCGCGATTCAACTGGCACGGTCTCGAACCTATCCTTTGCCAGAGCGCCGCCTAGGCAAAAGGATGATTTACATAGGCCAGGCCTCATCTCACGTGCCTCGCGGGCCTGGATGCAAGGCTTGCGACAGGCGAGTGCCCAGCGTTTGGGAATCTTCATGCCTTCTGACGGATCTAATTCGGATGGTATGACTATCGCAGAGCGTAGAGCGCGTAGGAACATGGCTCGGAATCAAGCCGAAGGCATTTATACGGTGAAAGGTCGCGGCAACACACCTTCATTCCAACTGTCTCGACCTCCTGCCAACCTTGCCAAGTCATCTCTCTCAGGGGCGGATGTGGATGCATCCCAGACACCAAGCACGGCTCGCCCGTCATTTCAAGGCAAAGCTTCTCTCGAGAATTTGGAGAGGCCGCCGCTCCTCTCCCGTCGAGCTCAATCTGACCACGTATCTAGCAGCTCCTTAAGCGTGTATGGGCGAGGATCAGCGTGGGGCATCCAGGAAGCTTTGGAAGCTCCCCCGACTCCGATCGACATGCCTGGCGCATGGAGCGGGGGTTCAAGTGCTTGGCGAGCTAGGCCGGGAGACGGCTATGAGGAAGGCGCGCTCCTGCTTCCGCCACCATTACTGGACGATCGCGGAAGCGATGCTCGAAGCTTCGAAGGGCTGCTGGGGGTGCGCAGAGCGCGTGAGCGTGAAAAGGCTCTCAAGGAATTCGAGCGACTTAAAGCCAGGAACAGGCCCGCCCATAAGGTCGGGCTGCTCACTGCCTTCTCGAATTTTGTGCGTGCGGCTCACGCGGCCGACATGGCAAACCGACGAGCTGCGAAGGACCATGGCGCGGTCGACGCAAGACCTAACATGCACCTGCGTCGACACACCGAACCAGCACATGAGCGCGCGAGCCCCAACCACCCCGCTTCAGCAGGACGACGAACGCCGACTCCACGGTCGTCCCCTATCACTACCGCTGCCGATTCCGTTACTCGCCGAGCGTCACTCAGAAACCCTTCCCTTGATCTCGCTCGTCCAGCCCTGGAGACAGTATACGAGAGTGGGACGCTGCCAGACGAAGCCAGGTTCTCTCGAGACCGAGCGGCCCAGCGAAGAGAACGCAGCCTTGGTAGCACTGGCTCGTCAGAATTTGGGGATGAGTCACTGAGCGACGCTGAGCTGTCGAGCTCTTTCTCCGGTCAGCCACGTGCGCCGAGATTGTTGCCAGTGCACCTTGGCAGTCCAGTCGCAGCCCTGACCCCGATGGTCCTCGATTCCCAGCCAAGTCCGAGAGTTGGTTCACGCCGGACAAGCGTCGGATCAACGGCGTCTGCAGACTACATGACTCGCGGCGTCCAGGTCAGAGCGAAGGGTAGTCTGCCAGTCACACCCAAGCTGGGGCCCACGTTGCTCAGTCTTCCACCTTCTCCATGGACTCCAATCGCCAGGAGCCCCGCAATGTCACCATTTCTTAGCACACAAGCCGCTCCTTCGTACGTCGTGCAGCTTGGCACAAGTGCTACACCTCGTACCAAGCCCGGTACGCCACGTCTAGAACCTACACATATCGAAATTCTCCCGTCACCCTTTCCACAGTCATCGTTCGATTCGGCAGCATTCCGCCTTTCTCCCAGCACTTCAGAAATTGAGCACTCCCTTGAAGACCCGTTCGAGGACAAAGCATCATCAACGTCACCTGCATTACACCCTTCTGTGACATCTGAGCAAGCAAGCACTCCTTCAGCCGTTCCGCGGCGACGAAAGAACACAAATCCAAGAGTGGCAGACATGAATCCTGCTTCACGCACCGCCTCTGCTCGCTTGACGCCTTCGGACATGATTGCAGCTTGGACTAGCGAATTACACAGTACTTCATTTTCAACCGCCACCTCTAAGGCTCCAGGCCAGCGACCCACCAGCGGCTCTGACTACGAGGGCCCAACAATAGCAGACCTCGAGCGGAGAGCCGTCGAGGTTCCAGGGCGATCTTGGTTGCTCTGGTTCTTGATAGGAGATCTCGGTCTGGGCGACCGCTCCTCCATGAGCATTTCCAAGGGATCCCCGGAGCGCGCAGAAGGCACAGCGGCTGCCGCAGACACGATGGAACGATTTGGAGGTGTGCCTACGCTGCTAGGACACTGCTTTGATTTCATCGTCTACCTGCTCGCACACGTCATAGATCTGGCATACAGAATTGGCGAAGTGCTGATCCTCGCTGCTTGGTTTCTGCGATGGCTATTCTTGAACCTCACTGGGCAGACCGTCTTGAGTCGTTGCATTGTCGAGGCCTACAAGCTCATCCAGGCGGAATGGACCACTGTTGCCGCTGAAGACCACGAAGCCAAGGGCATGAAGAAGTCCCGAAGAGGAAGCGTCGTGGACGTCACAGGCTCAGCGGACGCCCAACAGCAGCCGAAAGGCTTGACACGCTGGCAAATAGTGAGGGGCATCGTCGAACTTGTCTCCCTCTACACAGTGACTCGTCAGAGGTACCTTGAGGAAGGCGCAGGACTCGTGAAGCTAGAAGGATGGCAGAAGACAAATCCCCAGCGACGAGACACTCCCAAGGCTGCAGACGATACATCGCACGGAACTCAGGCCAACGACTCTCCGACGCGTTCTGCGGTCTCGTCCAAGGGCGGTGACGATGCGCCTGCAATGCCTGAAGCGACGAGCGACAAGGACTCGGACGCAGATCAGCATTCGAGCGATAGCGCAGAGAGTGACAACGAAAGCGACGATGACAATTTTGTGGTCACTCGTCAAGGGGCTGAAATCCTCGAGTTCTCAAAGACACCACGTCTAGAGCCCCGTCTGGGACACGACGAACAAAGCTCTTCGGCAGGAGATGGCAGCAAAGGACCAGGCAGCTATTTCTTCAGCAGGCCAGGAGGTACTGGCAGCAGTACTGATCGCACGCGACGAAATAAGTACGAACGCAAAGAACGTGGACAGCGACCAAGAGATGTCCGGGCGATAGTGCGCAATATCAAGTGGGCCAGCAGGCTCGCTATCTCTGCCTACGGTCTCCATGTCACACTTGTTGATCTGCCAGCCACCTTCACTCCGTCCGGCAACCGCTTCTCGCGACAGACTTTTGCCCATTTGTCTAGGATACGCTCGGATGATGTTCTACACGCGGACATTCAGACCCTGGATTCGGATACGTATCATCCGACTTTTTACCTCGTGTGAGTTGTAGCTGGATGCGATTCGGTACTGTCACGGCTGCTGCTGACTTGACTACATTTCAGCCGCGACTACGCGCGCCGCTGCGTATGCGTCTCCGTGCGAGGGACACAAAGCCTGCAAGACATCATTATTGACTTGGAAATGGCTACCACGAAGCTGCAACTTCCAGGCGTACCCTCAGTTGGTGCGGACGACCCCGACGAGGAGCTCACATGCCATTCTGGCATTCTGCGAGCGGCAAAGGCCCTGCTCGAGCCAGACTCGTCCCTTTTCAGCACGCTGTCAAGCGCTCTTGCTGAGAACGAGGGCTTTGACCTCGTGCTTACGGGACACAGCCTGGGAGGTGCTATTGCGTCTACGGTCGCCCTGCTACTGTCAGAGTACCGCGTGCTTCCGGGTCAAGCGGCAGACGAGGGCCAATGGGTCATCCGACCAGACAGCGGTTTGCCTGCCGGCCGCTCTGTGAGGGCTTTGACGTTTGCCCACCCGGCTACCGTCAGCGCAGCTTTGGCTGAACGCGCCTCTCGAGGCTTGACTCCGCTTGTTACCACTGTGGTCCTGGGTAGCGACCTCATTCCTCGATGTGGACATGGGCAGGCGAGAGAACTGCGTCGACTGCTTGGCGCACTCTCTCGTGTGCGTAGACGACATGAGCATAAGCGAGCAGATGATGTGGAAGACGCAAGGATTCACATTTTGCACAGCTGGTGGGCATGGTCTTCAATACAGAAAGCCGGCAGAGACGCTTCGAACGAGATGCGTGAACGGGCAAAACGCATCGAAGATCAGCTCTGGCGCCTGCGGTGTGACGTGGAACAGGATCTCTATGCCGAGATCAAGAAACGGTCTGCCGAGCACAACGGAGGCTTGAAGAGTGCCTCCAAAGCACCTCCCTCGCCATGGATCGGCCCGCAGCAACGGTCCTCGGCGCCTTTGCACCAGCTCGCAGCGCGCAGGCAAGCATTAGATGCAGCCACGCTCAGGAGCGAAGCGGCTCAAGGCGGCATCCTCATCCCGCCAGGCAGATCCATCTGGATCAATGGCAAAGACCTGTACGCTGTGACCAATCCCCTCAGCTTCTTTTCCGTTCCCGATCTCGACCCCAAATGCCTCGCGCAACACTTTCCATCAGCATACGAATCTGCCTGCTTGGACGACATATAGGAGTGTGCTTTGTTCACTTGACACGCAGGCTAAACACACACCTCAACGCATCAAATGTATTCTAGGCTCTTGCGCAGCGCGGCAAGAAGTTCGGAGATCGCCAACAAAGCAGGCATTGCTCCTGGAAGGAGAACAGATGGGCGTGAACTTTGATCGATGGTCCTCACGCTCAAAGCCTGAGGCAGGCATGGGCACGTCGTTGAAGGCGCACTGCTAGGCTACTCGTACGTCCACGCAGGTAGAATCGTATGTACCCATGAGTCTTCGATGCGCTTGTTCCGTATGCAAACGTCAGCATTTGAGAAGGATGAAGCGCTCAGGGGTTCTGACCTGGGGGCTGTCGTTGCGCAACGCAGTAGTCGCGATGAGTACTGAACAGCCCGCCAGTGTTGGTCTCTGGGCGCTTTCGAGCTTCGATCGATCGGTGCTGCGTCCCGCGGCAAGCGTTTGGCAAGCCCAGAAGAAATCACAGCAGCAGTCACGACTCACGGGTCAGCGGCGCGATTCGGTGTGCGCGCGTGCCATTTAATTGCTCAAATCGTGATGAATTCACAATCCGCTTACACGATTCGCGATGAAAAGGGTACGACCTTATGCTGCCTCGCCGCGCGCGAGCTCGCCGCCCGCCGGTCCACGCCGCTTCAGCTCTCTCATGCAGCAGCCCCAATCTCCTATGGCAATCACAATCACAACCACAATTCAGCACTTGCTCGATGCCTGCGGCGGGTTGTTGGGAGGCCACGAGTCACTCTACTTCTATACTTGGCGGACCACCAGCATCGTCATGCCTATTCGCACGTCTCTCTCGTGCAATCTACTCCGCATTGCTCTAGACTCGTCTCCCAATTGGTCGCTCCAGACCATCTTGAAGTATTCAAGGCCATATATGGTCCACGTCGGCGAGCACGCCATCTGTCGACTGATCCTCTAGGGCCCTGGGCTGAAGGACTATGCCGCCGATTCGTAACCAAGGTGAGCCATCCATGCCGCCACCCCATCATCCCTCTCACGAAGTGTGTGGCTCTGGCGCTGACACACCGCGCCTACCCTGTATTCCAAGGTCCTACCGCGGACCGGCATGCGTTGCGCCCGGCAGATGGTCGGCTCTTCAGCCTAGCGCGCTCCGCCACCCTCGACCAGCCCGCATCCCGGCCATCCGGTGCCCCACACGTCGCGCACTCTTACCACTCGGGAGACTCGAGCATCCCAGACCCCACCTCGCAGAAAGCTGCACGAGCCGAAGGGCACCGTGGCGAAGGTGGAGGGGCACCTGGCCAAAGAGTCCTTCATCCGCTGCCCCAGCGTCCACCTCGCGAGATCGCGGTACAGCGCCGCGCGACACCTCCTGATTCTTCAGCACAGCTTATGCCAGAGCAATCTGCCGAACGCAACGGATTCCCCCTGCCAGAGCGACGACCTTCACCGCCACGCGATCGCAAGGGCTCGGGCTCGACATTGAATGCGGACGCTTGCTTCTTGTGGCTTGATGATCTGCCAGCCTATGTCACGCGCGAGGTAAGTCTCTTGCGACGATCCGCCCATGCGATACGAAATTTTGCGCACGGCACTTAAGCTTCTGCCTGATGCGCACCAAGTCGATTGCATGTCTACAAAAGCTCACAAGCCGCTCCCTCCTCTTCTTCATCATCATCAGCATGTCGTGGCCGAAGCTAACGCGGCTGGCTGCCCTGTCACGTATGCCAGAGTCGTCTACAGAGACAAATTGTCCGTGGCGTGAGTGCGCGCTCGGCTTGAGCGGCAATGCACCAATTCGGCTCACTCGGTGCACGTACACTCTCCAGCCAACTCGCGTACGAATCGCTCGAGCAACAACGCCATGCGTTTCACGCCCTCAATGGCAGACTCGGGCTCGGAATGAGACTGCGCCCTGCGATTCGTCACCCTCGATGGTTGCCTGACGAACGTGCTGGAGCGGAGCTAGCGTGGACAGCCGAGCCCGTTCGTCGAGACTCGAGGCCAGTCACCGATCATACTACGAGCAAGGAAAGAACTCGCTCTCCCGTCAAGCAAAGCCGCGGTGCAGAGCTCAAGAGCTCGACTTCGGGTGCACAGCGCCGTCGTGCCTCGCGCCAGCAAGCAGAAGAGCGCTTCGCTGCAAAACGCAAGCGGCTACAGCAAGCTCTGGCCGATTTGGACAGGGAAGAGCGCCGTAGCAAGCGAAGTAGCAGGTCTAAGCGCGAGTCCATCTCGCCGCCATCGAAGAAGAGCAGGTCCAGCGGCAAGTCCAAACGTGAGCCTCCATCGTCACCCAAAAGGACAAGCAAGCGAAATGAGGGCTCCAAGCGAGAGCATTTGTCCTCGCACAGGCCTGCGAGTAGAAGAAGCAGTCGTTCTGATCGAGAGCCTGAAAATGCTGGCAAATCGGCCCGCGCACGTTTGTCAGGCCGTGTCACACCGCCCATGGATCGTGTCAAGCGACACATGCCCCCTGAGCAGGCTGTCGCCCAGGAAGACTCTCTCACTATGGCACGCATCAGTCAGAGTCAAAAGCGCCCGTTGGTAGGCGTCACACCTGAGCGCGCCTTGCCACCCAGCGAGGTGGCTCCTTGGCTGGATCGCACAACCTGGGCCATGTCTACCAGGGCGGTGGGCACTGGCAGCAATACCTTTGCGCTGGCGGCGCACCGAAATGGGCACTGGAGCTTTCCTTCGCCATCAGACGCTGCACATGCTGAGTCGCAAAGCTCGGAAGTTTACGCGATGGGTGGTGGTCAGCCTCTAGGTGACGCGAGTGTGAATGTCTCCCCGAGCAGAAGAATGCCGGTCTTTAGCCCTGCACCGCCAGAGCCGGGTGTGCCCAGCGTGGTGCCGACTGGCCTTGTCTCTGCAGCAGAGGATGACGATGCGCCCTCGAGTAACTTTCCAAATGGCACCGCAGAAAGTGACTCTTGCCCCTCGCTTCGCCACCCTACGCTCGACAGCGACGCGCGCGCTGCCTTTGACTTTCCAGCTGGACCCGACAGTCAGACGGAGGGTCACGCGAGTCAAGTCCTTTGCACCTCTGCCAACTCGAGTCGCGCTCTTCGCAAAGATTTTGCCATCGCCGGACAGTCCCGCACAGGCAAAGCACTCTATGTGCGCTTTGCCTGACCACACGCTTCCCACAACTTAGCGCATAGACCACACCAGCTCTTCGCTCGCCTCACAGCTAGTATCTGAACGTGAAACCTGAGAAAATGACCTCAAAAAATAGCAAGGTCCGACTGAAGTAACTGGTCTGGAAGCCCTGGCCCGAAGATCGCGCATCACGCGAGTGCAAATGTCAAAGAATCGTGCCCATCAGCATGGCCGGTGCTTGTGCGGAGGTACAAAAAAGCGCATTTCTAGGGCACGCGCCGTCGTTGTTTTGGGCAAGCATTTACGATCCATCACCCAGGCGGCTCTGAGTGGAATCCGGGACACAGCAATCTCACTATACACGTGAACCGGCCGGCGCGTGTCTGCGCCAACCCACTTTGGATCATTATTCAACCACCTATACCACTTTCCCAAGCGTAGCTGAGCGGCGCAGCCGCGCGGCGTCTGCCCTTCGTCATAATATGTAGATGTTCATCAACAAGAATGAGCCCGCGACCAGCACCGACCCGAGGGAGAGAAATGGAACCCTCAAAAGCTAGCACCAGTCCTTTCAGCACTCCTCTTCCACACCTCCTCTCAAAATCACGGGCACATCTCCACATTCCGCAGTCATCACCATTACCGTCTTCCATCGCACAGTAGCCCTGTCGTCCTTTGCTGCACCCGATCCCTTCGCATATCTGCTTACCAATATGCCCACTGCCATGAAGCGCAAGTCGCCATCGCCATCGGCAGCCTACAGCGAGACGAGCAGCACTTCTCCTCAAGGCGACGATGCTCCCGGAAGCCCAATTCGCAGCTCTGGCAGCGCCAAGCGTGTAAAACAAAACAAAGGTGGCATGCCATCGGAGGGAAATGCCAAGACTGCTTGGACGGCCGCTGAGGACAAGGTGAGCAGCATGCGCCGATCATAGGCCACGAGATGCGAATGGCATTGTCCTCAGAAGCATGCGCGAAGGATGAGAAGGAAACAAACACACAGTCAGATTCCCAATGAATTGCGCTTCACAGCGCAAAATGTTTCTACTGTTTCCATTCTGACGCGCAATGCGCGATGACTGGAGGCGTTTACACAATACAGGAGTGTAGCCGGAACGTTCTGCTGACGCTTGCTGCCACTTCTGGGTGGCTCTTTTGGCTTGGTCGCACAGGTCTTTATTGAGTAAGTTGCTTCCCTATGAGGCCCTAGTCCTGTGCAAATTCTTCGCTGATGCTCATCGAACGTGGATGGTCTGCTACGCAGCATGATGCTAGCCTCCTACAAACCGTCAGTCCGAGCAACAGTGGCGCCCACCAGTATTGATCTCATCTGACACGCCCCAAGCATCGTTCACAGAGACTTTCCTGTCGTCGCAAAACAGCTCGGCGAGATTCGAACAAGTCAAGGGTTGCCACCGAGGGCATTGAAGCAGGTCTATGCTCGCAACGAACGCATCAAGGTCATGGTCCGCAAGATGTTTGAAGGATCTCGATAGATTGTTGCGGCGCGTGCGGGGCATGCTCTTCTTGGGCGAAGCCTGTGAATAGGGAGAGACATGCTGGGGTGTGGACTCGAGATGGAACAGACTTGTCAAACAACGGTCAGAGCAGAGAGTTGATCAAGACTTCTCTCCACTACTTTGTTTCGAACAACGACACAAACCAAGCATTCCGCGCACGCAATAGAATGAACACAAAAGCATCATCAACCTGATTTTCGCTCGCCGAGATTTGCCATTGTGTGTGCGTGGGCGACCTTGTCGTTCGCGTTGCGAGCTCTAACCGAGAGGTGGATGTACGGGGACACTTTTTGGCGCGTGTCGAGGTGCCGCTTGAACGACGATGCTTCATGCTCATCCATGACCGATCGCCGAGGTCGTCGTGTCGTGCGAACGCTGTACCCGCTGATGAGCTGTGAAAGGTGCTCCGGAGCGGCAAGGCATCGCGGTGTGCCCGCTCGTTGCCCGCCTCTCATGCGGTCAGCTTGCTTTGCTCCCGCACCTCGCTTGGTGTCGTCGCAAGCCCGCAGCGCAGCGCTTTCCTTTTGGGCAGAGCGCTGCGAGCTGTTGTACAGTAAATAAGCACAGTCACAGTAGTCGAGGTCGGACCTTTGCTCACGACTGTCAAGCAGCCCTCTTACAGAGAAGCATGGCTTGATCATCTGCAGCAGACCGCCAGCAACGCCAGCTGCACATGCTGGTGCGGGTGCTGGAGCTGATGCTGGGACGCGATCGAGGCGCGCGACGCGATGCACTGCTGCTGCATGCATGCATGCCGACTGCCCCGCGCTGAGGGCGCCCGGCCAATCGTGAATGCAGTGCGGCCAAGCATCAGGATTGCTTTGCTTTTGTATATAATATGTGCCGAACCTGCCTGCGGTACCAACTCGATTCGTGTTTGCAATAATCGACAGCCATCAATTGAATCCATCCGGCTTTGTCAATCATCATCCATCAATCACGAATCTTGAATCCTTGATTGAATTATTCACGTTGCGCGGCAACTTTGCCATCCGTGACTCATCAGACTGTACGTTCAAGATATGGCTCTCAAACAAGTGGCCATATCCTGATCAGGCATGCAGACACTGCTGATCGTGATCGATATATAGGACGGACAGCAATCTCGAGTATGAGTCAAGAATCGTGAAACGGTGGATGATGGCTGAATGCTCAGCTGAAGGGGTCACGGTCACGACTCAAGTCAGGAGGGCATACTCATACGCAGTCACGAGTCACACACATTCGTGATTCTGAAGTGGTCTGCGTCTCTTCCGTTCTCCGCTCCGGTGTGCTCTGCTCTGCTGCTGCAGGTACTCCCACCAGTCTGTGACTGCTTTGTTGGCTTCATCACTGCGGGATGATCGCGCTCATGAGTCATGACAACCTCCGCACGGCGCGCACGACGACGCACAGGGTGCATGAGCAAGCAGACCACGCACATGAAGAGCAGCAGCTATTATGTGCGCGTGTAGGCCCTCCTACAAAACATCAGCAGGTATGGTCACACAGAGTAACTGCTGGTGACTGTGCGTATGCCCCATCTACCACGCTTTCGGCTCTGCGCCCCTGTCGTCGATCGGTCGGATGGACTGGTCACAGTGCACTCGTGACTGCGACGTTTGCCCCTCCCCGCTTTTCACCCGCTGCCGACTGATGCCCTCCGCGCCTTCGCCGTCATCCGTGCTGCCATGCAGGCACCCAAACCTGCTTCACACAGTAGAGTCATTGAGTGTTTCAAGCGGCCCATCTCGACAGTCACGAGCGAACCATCTCGCGCGCGCGCGCAGGGACAGCCGCCTGACTGCTTGCACATTCGTGCTTCGCGGTCATGTAGGCACACAAGACGGGATGACCTGCCTCAATCGTGAATGATGTTTGGGACCATGCGGAGCGTGACTTCGCTCCTGCTTTGCCGCGCACTCACGACTGTGCCCGCTCTCTCTCTATATAGCTGTCTCTGATGTCCTTGCATGGGGTGCTTGTTGCATACAGTGCGTGCCATATACGCATACACGCGCACGCCTGCTGCACACCACGTACAAGCGGACCAGCCTTCGCGCATGGATGTCTGTCTCCACACTTGGCGACGCGCACAGGCGCGGCAGAGAGAACAATGCCGCCATCCAATCATTGTCACCTCCACGACCTACCTCAACATTCTCGACCCTGAGCCTCTCCTACACTTTCTACCGCACTTGAACGCTCCTTTTGTCTCGCTCAGTCGCTGGAGTTATCCTATCTTTGTAACGGCTGGCTCTCAGACCACCGCATATCCTGGAGACCAGAGCTGGTCATCGCGCCTACTTCACGTGACAATTTCACGCGCAGCACAACGCGGGGCTCCAGGCCGGAAGCCTCTTCCAGCGACGGACCATCGCTTCGCATTCACGATTCAGCGCATTCCGACTCAGAGAGACCGTGTCGTCTTCACATCTATCTACCAGAGCGCAGAGCATCAAGACCTTGCGCACGACGGCGCCAAACCCTCGAACGATTTGCAAAGGCGAGCCGAGCTTTGGGGACGACGCGCAAACACCGCAGCGTGTATGCGCTCATCAGCGTGTCGAGGCCTCATCGTACCTTGCATGGACGGTAAAAGATCGATAATTGGGTCAAGCTCTCCTTTGAATACGCTCGCCTCATCCCCGCTGCCAAGTCCTTATCATGAACTTTGAATCCGCTGCATCCTCGCCGTATGCTTCTCGACCAGGCTCGCCAGGACGACGCGGTTCCGGCTTTGGAGCGCCCGGAGGTATCCACTCTGGTCGCGCCAGTGGCGTCTCATCTCCGGCCTCGGTCACTTCCAATATAGCAGCGCCCAGTCATGGCTTGCGACACAGTTCCAGTTCTGGAAGCTTGGGTGGCTTCGCCGGATTGAGCATGACTGGCATAAACCCACATCACGCGCAATCTTCGCCCCGCAGCGGAGGGGTCGCCATAGGCCAGCATCCTGCTGCCAGCAATGCGGGTGCCGGTCAACCGTTTCCGATGGGTTTCAGTCCAATGGCCCAATACTCTGCTTTGGGAGCAGCAATACCTCAGCAAAACCAATTCATGCCGCAGCAGCAACACCAGCATGTGCAGGGCATGCCTCAGCCCCAAATACCTCAAGGCTCCGGCGCAGACTCGTCCAACCCCGCGCTCGCCTACGCCAACGCCCAGCTTTCATATTACGCCCTCGCTGCCCAGCGTTCCCCTTCCAATCCAGCTTTGGGTGGATTCAGCGTCGCTGGGCCAGGAATTCAAGGCGCACCTCCAAATCTCAATCCTCACGCCCTCAGCAGCGCTCTTTCCGACTATTCGAATTCCTTGCCTGGAAGCGCGGCTAGCAGTCCCGGAGCCGCACCTCGAAGGCTGCCGACTAGCGGTGCAGCGACTGGCGCGTCTACTCCAGGAGGTTTGAATGCGCATCAGGGCAACAATAGCAGATTTGCTGCGAGCGCTGTCACTGGTAAGAGGCTCAATTGGAGCGAGATGATATGCCAGGTGCGTCTGAGGTAGGATCGACCCAGGCAGCTTGTCACCACTTCTGATAGTCTTCGCCTCTGTTCTTGCTCGCCCTCCGCATTCAATCGCATGCTTCGCGTACCCTGCAGACCATTGCCGAGTCAGATCAGGGCAAGCTCGTCATTCAGGACCTCTTCGAGCAGATGTGCACCAAATTCCCCGAGATCAGGGAGTGGGCGTTCGGGAAAGATTGGGAGGTAAGTGCTGGCATTTTGTAGACTTGCTTCGGCTCGTTGGCCTGGCCGCGCTGACAGCCGAGCAAATCACGGGCGCACATCCAGGCGAGAGTGAAGAATCGAATCAAATCGACGCTTTCCATCAAGGGCAACCTGTTTGTCAAAGTACCGCGTCCATCCTCCGCAGCCGGCAAGGGCAGCTGGTGGACGCTTAGCGCGGAAGCCCAAGAGGCGTGGAAGACGGGTCGCGTTGCATCTGTGGTCAAGGGCAATACAGGACATACGCGCAGCTCGTCTAGCAAGAGCATCGACGGACACGCGCTTGCCATGTCATCCACTGCCAATAGCCGCACAGCCAGCAGAGCACCCAGTCGTGGTTCTAGTAGGAGGGGCAGTCCTGTCAGCTCTCGAGGACCGAGTTCACAGCATGCCCAGAGAGAGTCTCAGCACGTGAATGCTGCTTCGACAAAGTTGCAAGCCATGCAGCAGCTCGATGGCACACGAGCACCTGCGACACCTTCTGCGCCGCAAGGCTTCGGGTCTGCCCACGATCACGCTGGCCCTCAGCACAGTGTACAGCCGTCGCATGCACAGTCCAGCTCTCTAAACCCTGCAACTTTTGCTCCGCCTGGCGACCCTCATCTGGCAGCGCTCGGTTTGGGGTTCACTGGAGCGCCGGGACTCGGCCTGGATGGCTTTAATACGAATGAGCGCCGGATGCGACTGATGGAAGACAGGTGAGTCTGGCGATGAGGCTGTCAATGTAACGCCAACACCTGCTGAAATTTTCACCACTGCTACGCAGTGTCAACAACGCATTCTCTTCGTCTGCAGATACCCCCGCATCTACGGAGGCTTTGTTTGCATCGTTGGGCCTACCAGCATCGATGCAGCTGCCGCTCGGGGTGCCGCAATCTGCTGCTCATCTGGGAGGGTCTCAGAGCATGCCATTTCCAGCTTCAGGCCTGGGCGTCTTGTCGCCCACGCCAGCAGGCGAGGGGCTCCAATCTACTTCGGACAACAGTTTCGACGCGTCCTTGATGGGAATCTACTCGCCGAACTCGTACACCCTCGACAGCGGTGGCTCTGCGAGCTTTGACACGTCCTTTTTGGGCGGGGCTTTAGCATCTGCTGGACAAAGCAACGGATCCGCGCTGAACAATGGGGCTTCGCATTTGCACGGAGCTGGCAGCGGGGAAGGTCCGCGAGGTGAGCCGGGCACACCGAGCGCCGGCTTTCACGTTTCGGCTGGCACGCCCTTAGAATCAGCAGGTATATTGGGCGCCAGTCCAATCGATTCCAGCGGCAGCGGATGGTTCAATTATGGTGTGCCGACGTTTGGAGATGCTTCATTGGCGTCAGCAGCAGGAGGCGCTGTAGATTTGTCGACCAATGCCCAAGCACACTTGCACGATCGAAGGGCTTCTCAGAACGTGACGGATCTCAGGGGCTTGATGCCCAAGTCGCAACCTCTGAATCCTCAGGATCCCAGGGACGGCAAAACGCCTACGCCAGCAAATTCGAATAGACAGCCTTGATGCCTCGTAACCGGTCTGCCTCTTCTCGGCTCTGCTGGACGCTTCGGCATGGTTCTCTCTTGCTCACCACGAATCCCGAACCCACAAGGAACACGTTGTACTCTTATGCTCGCCGCTCTTCCCCCTTTTCACCGGTCTAAGTTATACTCTGTGGGAAAGGAAATGTTCTGCAAATGGGTTCAAAGGCCATCTACGCTCCGTCTTGTCGGGCTCAAACATCCTGGTGGATGCGTTCCAAATGTAGCATTGTTCATGGTACACAAAAGGTCTTTCGCCCCTCGACAGATAGCTCAGCGTGCGAAGCGCTGGGGTTCACAGCAGGGGCCTTCTCTCCGCATCGTCCTCACCGTCCAGAGCAGTATCTTGCGCCTCGTCTTCTTGCTCCATGACTTGGGCTGGTGCGGTGCTACCGATGTTGGTGGGTGACCTACCAGCTCGCAAATGCTCGAGTTCCATCGATATCGATTCGATCAGGGTGAGTATTGTCCCTGTGTTGCATGACAGTACGGGCAAAAGGTCGAATCAGCATTCGCGACTCTGATCATCGTGTCCATCTCAAAATTGCGCCTAGGAAAACAAGTGCAGGGCGGGAGGCGCGAAGCGGTTTTGCAGGGGTGTACTCACGTCTTTCCCATTCTCCCCAGATGACGGAGCTGTACAGCATCGTAGCGCCAGCAGCACCAGCGACGACTGCGAGTAGCGTCATGCCGAACCTTCCGAGAGCGGCAAGCAGACCTGCTCCGCTAGCCAAGGGACTGGCGAACAGCAACGCGAATGCGACAAGGAGGGCAGCGAAGAAGAATTGGAAATGCATCTTTTGAGACGCTCTCGAGGCATGAAGAGAGACGCTTAAGGCTTGAAGAGCTGATGTTAATGATTGAGCCACTTGAGTCGTAGAGCGCGGATGATCCTTCGTGGCTTTGGCGCCAGCTTCATCGGAGGAGAGGATACGGAAAGATGCGCTCAAACCAAAATGATCCGAGTACGAGACATGTTGTAAGTCGGGCAGCGTCTCGGTCCAGCACACGTGGCAGGTCTTCGCCTCCAGTCTTACGGACGAGAAGGCGTCTTTGGACAAATGTGTTGCAGAGTCGAAGTTATCAGCGATCCCGGGCCGCGTGTTTGACGGGGAGGGAGCAGCAGGTCCACGATACAAAATGTAGTCCAACCTTTTGCCCAATCCAGCTCTGGCGTTCCTGTCCAGCTTTGCCTCTTTGCCTTGCGTCCAAGTATTCAGGGGCGAATCGCAAGTCACGCCGAGTTGCTCGATACTTCGTCTGGCTGATCTTGAGGAGGAACCGCTCTGATCCGTCGGGGTATTAGACAAAGCCACTGCTCCTGGTGGAAGATCCGGATGTGTCACTGCAAAAGCATCGCTCAGACCGCCAACGTCTCGCAGCAGGGCGAGAGACAGCGAAGGAGGTGTACTGTTAAAGTCTCCGAGCTTGATGAATGCAGCAAAGACGCGATGATCGGATCTCGTTTAGCTGTGTTGCAGAGATTACAGAGCGACTTGTCAGACTTACGCAGATGACATGTCTTGACCTCTGAGCGCTGCGCTTAGCTAGCGAGGCGAGCTGATACGCTTGAGAGACTCTATGCGCTCGGCTTGACTCGGGACCATCTTCGCCTCCTGCTGCAACAGTCTACTTTGTCGGGTTCGATGAAGTGTGGATACAGTCAGCGTTCTTGAATGGGGTCAAGACTCGAGAAGCATACGAGGATGGCTCGCCAGCGACGTCGCTCAACTCCCGGTGTTCCATTTCGACATTGTGGCATACCTGCAATCTTCACGCCTACATCCCCTGCCTTTCGTCGGACATCAGTGAGAGAACTTGAAAACTCACATGAGTCACCCAAACGTCCACCTCCCCCAAGCCGCCTTTGTCGACTCGCAGAGTAGCACATCCGGCAGCTTTGGCGACGATCCAGTCTCCGTGATGGACGTGTATAGGATGCCCGTTCAAAGAGTATGGATGAGTTTGTGTGTGCAGAATGGGATGAGCCGACAAGATGGCCAGACCAGAGCCGAATGCTCCACTGCGCATGTGGCAGAGGGTGTGAAGGAGAGCGAGCAAACGCAATTCGTCAGTCTCAGCTTTCTTGCTCACAACCATGCGAGACTGATCGTGCGTGCGTGTATGCGCCTCAGAAGTGCTTCTGCGCCTTTTAGTAGACAGTATGACCTCTTAAAGACTCACGTAAAGAAGAATTTGGAATAAGGATACAAGTGTCGGACCCTCTCCTTGAGCATCTTCCAATCCGTGCTCTCGCACCAGATCTCCTGCAACGCTACCACGTCGTACGCCCGTGCCCTTGATCGCGTACGCAGCTGCTCATCGCCTTGCTCCAGCACCTCATCACCGCCGATCCCTTTGGCCAATCGATTGGCTATCGCTTCGATGCGCTCCACCCTGAGCTTGGAGATGTACTTGAGGCCCCACACGTTGAGCGTCAAGACTCGCAGTGTTTGGCCCGGTTCGGCGCTGTCGGATGCCGAGTCCATCCTGTTTCCAATGGCGGGGGCCTTCCTGCCAACACTTAGTCGCAAGTGGGATTCGAGTGTCTTGATCCGATATCGAGACTCAGAATCTCAGGACTGCGATGGCGAGCGTGGGCAATCATAGGCCTGGTAGGACTGTCAAACGAGTGTAACTCGACTTTCGTCGAACCTCGAAGCGAGTCATGCACGGCGTATCCCAAGATTGCGCTCTCTCCACACGACGCGGCCGGCCTGTGCGCCGCGATCCACGCAAAACGCAAGCACAGCAAAGCAAAGCAAAGCTGAATCGTGAAGCGCACGTGATGCGTATTCGTTCCACCATCACCCATCGCGCAATTCTTCATTCGTGGTTCATAATCGTCATGCCTCGACGGCTGGCTCTCGCTCTCTCGAATAAAACTCGATTGCGAGAAGGATTGAGACGTTCAAGATCTGACCGTCTCCAGCAGAATCAATCTTAGAACAAGAACTTACGAGGCATCTTGCCTCGGACTGATGCTATTTCCCTTCGAGACCTTCGCGCGCGCTCTCGCCAAAGCAAAAGGAGCTGCGTCTCAAATTCGCGAGCGCTTGTCAAAACGAGTCTGACTTGTCAATTGATCTCAGTCGTCACGGCATTCGTTGAATAGCATGCATGAGATTGTGGAGAGGCTTGGTGAAGGTTTGACAGTGTCAACGTTGCATGTCTTCGTTGGACGTCCCATCAGTGCGTGAATACGCCGACCGTCCGTCTCGACAGAGACTTGATTTTGAAGAGTTGGATGAGAAAGTGACGAGGAGGACGCATCGCAGCAGAGACGTGCAAAGATCTCTGCTGCCGAGTCGTCTCCGGAGCAGCGGTGATACAATGCATTTTGACATGCATGGAAAAGTCTACACTCCGGTCTGCTCAAGCTTGCTTGGCAGCACGGGTAGACTTGCGCTGGGCACGAGCAGCAGCGTTGCGCTCCTTGACCTCAGCCTGACGCTTGGCCAGCACAACTTCGTACTCCTTCTTCTGGGCGTTTTGACGCTCAGTGGTGCGCTTCTTCAAGCTGCGGAGGTGTCTCTTGCGCTGCAAACGTTGAGAGGTGATCAGGCGCTGGATCTTAGGAGCCTTGGTGTATGGCTTGGACCCCTCCTTTTTGGGCGTGACCTCACGACGGATGACAAACTTGCGCACGTCGTCCTTGGGCGTCAAGTTGAAGAACTTGCGGATGTCTGCAGAGGGGCGCAAATGTTGAGCAGTGATGTCAGCAGCAGAGCAAAGCAAAGCAATAACTACCGCTGTCACCTGCTTGCCCACCATCCTCCGGATGAATTCGCTCCTACTCACGGTTGGCACGCTTGGGACCGAGACGCTTGGGCACAGTGGACTCGGCGTCAGTCAGACCGGGGATCTCCTTCTCTCCCTGCTTAACGATGATGAGATGGTAGGCCTGGATGTCGCTACCCATGATGCAACCGCGGACGGATTTGCGACGGCGCTCTCCGGTTCGGCGCTGACGGTAGCAGCTATCGCCGGCTCCGAGAAGGAGGCGAACACGGTTGGGAGCAAGCACACCCTCTGCAAGATCGGGAGCAGGTATGTAAGCAGCACGGCAACTGTGGACTTGGGCTGCTGCAGGGTCCACTCACGCTTGGCTGGGAAACCCTGCTTGTCGTTGGCTCCACCGATGCGAACAACGTATCCCTTGAATTCCTCCCCGAGCTGAGAAATGTCAACCTCCTGGCCCATCCTTCGCTCGTAGAAGACGCGGGTCTTGTGCTCGTCATCGATCTCGAAGCTCTTCTGAGCGCCCGTGGCCGGGTTGCTAAAAGTAGCAGATGCGAAAGCGATCAGACACTAGCAAGCATGAGCCTCGTTGCATGCTAAGTCTTGTACTCACGCGAAGTTCAATTTCCTGCGTAACGGGAATGAGAGGAGGTGGAAGCAGAAGGGTTGTCAGCTTGTGCAACATGGCGACTGCGAACTTTGCCTGCCTAGGCCGGGGCATGAGCAGTAGCACATCAAGATTCTTCGGACCCAGCTCATGCTCGAATGCCCCTTATTGCAGCCACCCTGACTATCTGCAAGATCCACAAGATCGTTGAACACTTTCGCCCAATCTCGAGGGCCTCAAGCTTCCGTACTATTCTGTTCAAGCCACAGTGCTACCTTATCCCCAATACCAGTCACGTCGAGGTGGTCAGGATTGCTGCTACTGGATGCTCCTTGTCCTCGCAAGCTCAGTCCCTCCTTCATCGCATCTGTGCAGCTGCGTCTTTGAGTCCTCAACGGACAACAATGGCTACACGCCCCCCGTCGACAGCACTGGGTTTGCTAGCATCTCCATGCCCCCCCGCTGACGCTCAGCGCCTACTCCAACCCTCCCATGGGCACTAATCGGAAAGCATTCGGTATCGGAGATACTAACGTCATGATGTGTGTGTGTAGCGTTGCTGTCTTGAGGCAAAGATATGTGAGAAGAGGTGGGTTGACGAGCGACGTAGAGTCAGGAGTCGAGGCGTGAAGATGAGACGAAGGCTGGATCAGGTCGAAGATCCACCACGCCTATGGCAAAGCGTCGAATTCGAGCCACGCGCGCATGCAGGCCCTCGCCGCGCCGCACTGCTTGGTCCCTATTGCTGCGCGCTGGTCCGGGGGTTTGGCTGCAGACCTCGTGGCCGCAGCAGGTTCGCGCGACGGCTGCATCACGTGTCAGATCACCATCATTCTGCCTCGAGACCGGCCGCCTCTACAAACCTAGATCGTTACCCTATGCAGAATGACTGGCTCCAGATGAGCTCAATCTATACTCTTAATCATACTGACGGAGGCCTTTGCCATCCAAAGGTTCCGAGTGTGGGCTGCGCATGGAGAGAGACCCTCTTGAGGAGAAGCTTCCATTGCGGTCTGAAATTCTAGAATTTTCTTAGGTGTGCAAAGATGCGTCGGCGCGCGCGAACCTGACTTCGCGCGCCTTGCATGCCGTTTGCAAAATCGACGGCTCGCTTTTGCGCTCGTTACCTTGGCACCACCGACCATCATCCTCCGACACATTCCTCGGCGTCGATCACTTCAAGAACTCATTCAAGATGTAAGTATCGATAGTCAGTCTTTGGCTTCCTCCCGAAGCGTAGGAATGCTTCACGCTGCTGGTCTAGAAAGAAACGGCTGGATGGGTCAGGCGAGGACGCCACGGAGGGCTGATTGCGTGTCGAGGCTGGATACGATGTCAGTGGGCAATGCGGAGAGCGTCGGGGATGGGGAAGGGGCGAAAGGGCGGCTATCCCATTGGGCATTCCATTCTAGTCATATCGGACGCTGACGGTTTCTGCCGCATCGTACCACATTTCCAGGGCAAGAATCCACGCCAACAAGAGGAAGGGAATCTCCTCCAGCGCGCTTCCCTACAAGCGTGCACCTCCTTCCTGGCTCAAGACCGCCCCGGAAGAGGTCATTCAGCAGATCATCAAGCTCGCTCGTCGAGGCTTCACTCCCTCTCAGATCGGTGTGCAATTGCGTGACTCGCAGGGTATCGCTCAGGTCCGCTTCGTCACCGGAAACAAGATCCTTCGTATCCTCAAGTCTGAGGGCCTCGCTCCCTCCATTCCCGAGGATCTCTACTTTCTCATTGTGAGTGCTTCATTCGAACAACTTTAACGTCGTACATGACCAGGAACGTGCAGGAAGCAGAAACGGTCCTCTGTGAGGCTGTTGTAGAGATGAGGATGGGTGGCGCTTATCTGTGTGCTAAGGAGGTGCTGAGCGCTGTATGCTGGCGATCACAGCACCAACCGACCCCACTGGCAAGCGTGCAGGAGAGGTTTCGCTTGAACAGCATCTTGGTATCAGCACCACCAATCCACACGGATTGGCTTCACCAATAGCGTAGAACAGGCATTGACTGACTGCCTCCGACTGCCTTCTTTCACCACAGAAAAAGGCGGTATCTATTAGGAACCACCTCGAGACCAACCGCAAGGACATGGACTCCAAGTTCCGTCTGATTTTGATCGAGGTGAGTCAAGCGGTGCTGCACCGAGCTTTGGCATTCTTCATGCCATAGCTGATCGCCCTGCGCATGCTCCGCACTTCAGTCCCGTATCCACCGTCTCGCGCGCTACTACCGGACTGTTGGCAAGCTGGCCCCTACTGTGAGTACTACTTCACATGCGCCGCACTTGTCCGCTTGATGCTTACGCTCGCACCAATCTTCACCCTTCGATTTTCCAGTTCAAGTACGAGGCCTCCACTGCCAGCACTCTCGTTGCTGGTTAAGCGTCGTGCTCTCATCGCCGTCGCTCTCCTTCGACGGCAGCAGAGACTATTCTGCATCTTCGTACGCAGTCATGCTCACTGCCGGCATTGCGTGCGCATGGGCAGTGTCTCGTTCAACCCGCTCATCACACGCACAACTTCCATGCTCCCCATGATGTCAAACCTTTCGTTGTCATACGCACACCCGGTCACACCAACAACCATGGCCCATCATTAGGGTCGGTTGAAAATGTATTGAATCCAAACCAATCTTGACGCTGGCTTTCAGTGTTGTTTCGAGGATGCTCGTGAGGAGGGTGATGTCCTGGGCTCGCGATTCCGAAGCGACTAGTGGCGGCCTATCAAAGAGTATCTGCGTGGGATGACAGATTCCGATCCTCACTTGCGACAGCCCGATCAGGACACAGCACAATGATCCCGGCCTCCCTTGAGGTATTTGAGCTGCGTGTTTCATGCATCTTTGAATAGCTTAGTCAAGTATGGGGCAAGGCAGGCGAGATCGAGTGCTCGTGACCACCCTTTCAGACCACCAACAGCCTCACAAGCGCGCTGGAATGGATCGTCATCTGATCATTACGAGTGTTTGTTCGGAAGCTACACGAGCGCCACTACTACCAGTACTACCCAGCGTATGGAATGGAAAAAAAAATGGAGCGCCGCTCTACTCCTTGTTGAGCTCGGCTGAGCGCTTGGCTAGCTCCTCGCGGCCTGAGAGAGCATGGGTGAAGACGAGGGGTGAGTGTCAGTTGCGCGATCTAGCAACGAAGAAGCTCCCAGCGGACATTGCGGTCGGTCTTCCGCCTACGAGCACGACTCGCCAACTCAAAGCCTCGCTCGGCTTTTCGAACGTACGCCTGGCACACATGAGAATCGAAAGAACAAAACTCACTAAGAGGCTCTCCAATCTTGCTCGACTCTTCGCTGCTGAGGATTCTAGGACCTGGCTCTCCCTTGAGCGAAGCACCACCATTGAGCGCCGGGTCCGTAGATGGGTCGTTGGCTAGCAAGGGTCAAGGAGAGAGAGAGAGTGTGTGTGTGTGTGTGAGAAGGGGGTCAGAAGATTGCGTGAGGGGGTGTGCGCGAACGTGATTGGGAGATGCGACTCACTAGTGGCGGGATGAGGTCTGCGAAAGGAGGGTTTCGGTGAGAGGAAAGGAAAGGATGGACGTGTGAGCAATGCGACTCGAATCTCTCTCGACCTCGAACCTCGAAAGCCGTGAGATGTCACAGAGTGGACAGCGTCTTTGTAGTACTGCCCTTCACTCCGAGCATATACTGTGCCTGCAGATGCTCACTGAATGGAGAACTGCTGCTCCTGCTCGTTGTTGTTAGACGACATCTTGGCGACAAGCGCTTGGCTTCAATTTAGGACGGGGCGGCGCTTGAAAACGGAAACAACAGCGAACACGCTTGCGAGTGATGCGATCTTGCTGTATGAGATGGTTGTTGCTGGAGAGGAGAGGCTCGCTCCGACATCCAGTGACTATGGGTCACCAGTCCGTGATCGACAGACGTGGAGGCGGGGAGCTCTCGCTTGCCTCACGCGGCCTCGTCATCGCTGATGGGTGGCTCAGCCGCATGAGGGTGCTCAGCCACACTTTGACTCGGCCCGCATCGAGCCTTCATTCGGGTCGTGAGGGTGAGTGCGTCATCCCGCGCGGGTATGAGGCTTGAGACATCGAGAATAATCTTGAACGCGCTGGCGGCTGCGTAGTCAGAGTCACGTGTTGATTTGCTCACGATTTTGGCACCAGGCTGGTCGAGCTGTCTCGTATATATGATTTCTCCTTTCCGTGCCTTCCGTCACTACACATGACCTCGACTCCCGTCCTCGGAAGGATGCTACCCGAGCGCACACTCAAACCCGGACTATCCTTCAATCGCCACTGAGGTCGCCTCACAAGACCGCGCTAGATTGTATTTGGCTTGCCCATTCAGAGCACCTCGTACCGCAAAGGAGCATCCCACACGGATCCCCGGGGTGCAATATGCGGTCAAGCAGCGTGCAACTCGCGCGTTCGGCCTGGAAGGGTGAGTTGAGCATCGCATCTCAAGGGGGTCAATCGATCAGCTCGCCGCTCATGCTTACACGCGCTCTTTACCTGTCCCTGTCTTTCGCAGGGCCCTTCTTCGTGCCCTTTCCCAACATGGCACAGGCGATGAGGACTAACACGCCCATCCGAACCAATGCGAGAGCTTGCACCATCTTGCCAAACTTTGTCGGGTGAGCGAAATTTGACAGGACGAGCCTCTACGATTTGTGGAAGGTCACTCGGTGGGAAGCGCGCCAAAGGCGGGAAGAGGAGACACTGATGGTGGAGGGACGCTTCGAAGGGACATATATGCGTGTTATGCTGGCAGCATGCCGCGCTGCGCTTCAGTGGCCAAGGGAGCCGTCTGAAGCTTGGTCTGTGCAGTAATCGAGCGGAAATTTGGGCGCTCGGATTGTGGGAAGGCCCTCGGACAGGCGGTGGAAGTTCTGGTCTCTGCATGCTCTGTCCCGGGAGATTGTCAATGTTCGTGCGCGCCGTGGGAGGCGAGAGGCAATAGGAGTAGACGCGAGAGCCAGCATACAGAGAGTCCGACTGCCGTCGTGCTAATCAATCTAGCTAGTTGGAAAGCGCAAGCTGACTAAGTGCGTCTTTCTTCCCATGCAGCCTCAAATTCTTGGTCCACAATGGAAAGAATCACATTCCCATCTCGATCACCGATGAGATGGTGGGCCATAAGTTGGGTGAATTCGCGCCTACACGGAAACGCTTTTCTTTCAGGTGAGAGCGCGAGCGTGAGGGTGCAAATTGTTGCCGAAGCGGTGTGTAGCTGACCCACTCGACATTGGCTCCGCAGACAAACAAAGAACAAATAGAATGCGCATCATCTCTGTCAAGCTCGCACTTCTGTGTGCAATGGATGTAATTGTAATGGACATCTTGACGACTGGACTGAGTACGTTGTGGAGGTTTGGCGAGCGTAGCTTCCGAAAGCGAGCGGTGAGAATGTTCGATCCGCTCGCTGACACGCACACTTGCACGTCATCGTTGCCTACACGAGCCACATCGACTATCAGTAACGGTTGGCCCAGTAAAGACAGGTAAGACAATGACGCTTTGCAAGTCACAATAGGCCTTGGAGCGCGCACCTCAGCCGGTACGGCCACCGGCAAGTCTCTTCCAGCCCCGTGCGCTCGTCACGCCCCAAGGGTCGTTCTACCAGAGCGCTTTCGCTTCCATCACCCAGATAGCGCTTCAATGCCGAGCGCCTCGTTGGACTCGGACCTGCTCCGTAAGTCAGTGCAGGCAAGACGAGGAGCTTTCTCGCGAGATCGTGCAACGTCAAGGGAGCTTATTAGGCGCTAGAGGCATTGCCAACTCACGTCAGTCGAGGCAAGATATGGGAGGATGCTTTGGGTAGCCACGAGCCAATCATGTGCGAGGAGGGGGGACGGTAAATGAGGCCTCCGTTTCGCGAAATGGATGAGTCCTGATTGTCGACGGGGCATGCAAGGGCTATCGGGCTGCTAAGACGTGCAGTGGAACTTAGCTTCCGGAGTGCGACCTGCCGAGTCGGAATTCAGAGGCTCAGCAGGAGTCCGCTGCCACGCTAGCTCTGACCGCACTTGACGCGCAGAGGTGCGTGTGATGTTTTGTTGATAGGGCGAATGTGGACGGCTTCAAGAAGGTTGTTATCTCCCACGCCTGTCACGCGGTGCTCGTCAAATAGCGTTGCGGATGCTTTGCGTTATCTTCCCTCATAGATAGCAAACGTAGAAGCGGGAAACGCTGATTGGTTCGTGATGCACTGAGGTGCCCTCAGACGCCTCTTGGACGTGCAGTGCGGCGCGATAGAGCTTTTCATCTGCTTGACAGGTCAGAGCTGATATGCAGCGGATGGGTCTGATCATTGGACGTGCGTTGACAAATGGGCTGGAATGCTGAAGCAGGGAAGACATGTCAACTCAAGACTTCGAATGTTCTGGGTCAGGCACGTGACGCCAGCTCAAATGATTTCAGCATCTGGAGGAGCTTGAGATTCATGATTTCGATTTACGACGAAGGTGGGATGCTGATCACTTCCCTCCTGTTGAGATAGATTCGTCCCGCCGGCAGATGACTCAGACTCTCGGCACGTGCGGGCTACAGTGCGCCAATCCAGAATCGAGATCTGTTGAGTCTTGACGATGCTGCCACAATGAAGGACTGTTTCATACCGTTGAGGCGAGAAAATGCAAAGAGACACGAATTGTCGCAAACCTCGCTTAGCTATGGTCTGGTGACGCGAGTGCCTCCAAATGGCCACGCGGTCCAAAAGCCCCTCATCAGAGCTCACGCTAAGGCTTTGTACTCACAACTCTCCACTTCACGCACTTGTGAAGCCTCGACAGCTGCTTCCTCACCGAGCTAAGCTAGATTCGAGCATTGAACAGACGATGAAGGTCCCGAGTGCCGAGCACTTTACAGTCACCAAGTCAAAGTTGAGTAGCATACGTCGAGTTTGAGGCCCTTTGAGGCGATTCGGTGCATCCAAGATATCAATTTTTTGAGTCACACGCTTGGGTCTTGGGCTATAATTGTCTCGGAACCCTTGTGCCAATCACGAGTGCAGACAGCGCTTTCTCCGCTGAACCAATTTTGTCTTGAGCTGCTTGCGTTACCCCTCGACCGAAGTCTACCAAGCCATGACCCGATCATTTTGATGAGAGTCTGAAGGGTCTGATGACACTCATGACTTTATCTTGATTTGTGCTGGACAGTCACTGAGTGTGGCTGGGAAAGCTGCTGACTGTCCGTGATGGCACGTGTGCGGCACGTTGTGCTGAGTGCGAGACCTTGCGCGGAATGCGGCGACATTCTCATCAGTCACTGTGACTGCTGAATCGGGAGGAAGTGGGGAAAACTACAGCAACAAGTATGGCGCAATCAGCACAGCCCATGACCAACTCGGTCAGGCTCGGCTACGCCACCTCGTGTCACCATCACGCAAAGCAGGCCCAGCCGGCGATTCCGATCAATTTCGCTGCAAGTCGCTGCAGCAGTCGTGAGTCAAAATGATGAGAATGACAGATGAGCGAGGGACGAGACTGCATGCAGCCGCAGGGGAGAAGAAGTCCAAGGGAGCAGCAGCAGCAGCAGCAATGCTCATTAGCCTGCTTGTGTGCGCGCCCGTTCCCATAGCGTCTACATGATCTGCACCGGTACGCGCAGCTCACGCACGCGCCTATCACACCATCCGCGTGCCCAGCAGCTCTTCTCGCTCTCAACCACAAGCATGCACTTTGCAGCAGAAGGCGAGCCATGGAGCGATGCCAGGCAAAGCGAGCTCTTGCGAAGAGAAACGGCGCTGCACAGGTCTAGTCACGCATCCTTGCAATCCTTGAAGGTCAAGACCCAAGCGTCGCCTCGTCATTGTCTTCATTAGCTCTTCTCGAGGTGCATATACTCAAAAAGACGTCTGGATTCGCGGATAAGCACGGGCTCTAGCATGCCCGTCACTTGAGCACTCACAAGTATGCGATTGCGCAAGATGTATGCGTTATCACTCATCCGTCTTAGCGGTCGGCAGGCACGCACCAAGCCTAGCGTGGATCTTTCTCCACGCTCCTGCCATCGCAACACTCTGAATCATCTCACGGGGCAGCGATGTTACCTTGATTTCGTGGAGTCTCCAAGGCATCTTCCCCGCTCGACGAGCATTGTCAAAGTGTTGGGGTCTCCGCGACAGCGCGTCAGTCAGCCAACCCAATCAGGTCTGGGCAAGAAGCTCGCTAGCATTTCTAATCGAGCCGAGAAAAAGCGATCTGCCTCGTGTTAGACCCATCAGGTCGCTGCATTTGGCACGATCCGACAGACAGACGCATCTCTCATGCTGCTGAGTCTGAACGATCAGCCACTCCGACTGCTTGCTCCCCATGTTTGCCTTCACAGCTGAGCGCTCGCTGCCCCTTCTGAACACTCACTTGTGCTACCACGGCAGCTTTGCATGCCGCTTTCAGGAGATGTCTGATCGCTGTGACTGCTTCCGAAAGCCGCTTGTTTGTGGTCGGGCGACGTTTTAGAATCTGTCTGCCGAGTGACTGGTATGGAATTCCGACTCTCCCTGGACAGATCTCTCATTCCCATTTATCCACACCAATCACTCCAGCAACACTTCCTCTCTTCATCTCAAGACGCACCAGCGATACCCGGCAATACCTAGCGACCCACCCTCAAGCCTTGCATCTGTGGTCGAAGCACCCCGTGGTCTGTCGAGGCCTTGGAGCGCGTGCAGTCCAGTGCTTGGCGCTATCTTTGCTCCTTGCTTCCACGTTCCTGCTCCACGGCCGGCCGCACAAGGTACTCCCACCCGTCTCCAGGGTCTCCTTCGCACGCGAACGATTGCTAAGCATGGCTCGCACCGAGTATCTATGTCACCATTGTGGCAAAACGTGAGTAAATAGCCACTTGACCGTCCGAGCCTGACCTGTGGGGCAAGTAGTCGTAGAGTTTGGCTCACCTCAATGCGCCTCTCCACACTCCAGTTTCCGACGAGGCAATGGGCTCACTAGACATGTGCGTATTCATACGGGCGAGAGGCCGTATGTTTGCACGGTAGAGGGATGCACCATGGCCTACGCCAGGACCGACTTGCTCAAACGGCACCTCCTTTGCAACCATCTGGAGCTGGACGCCAAGGACTCCGACTCTCGGCCGGGCTCGGGGCGGTCTTCCCCAAAAGAGAAGGCCGCGTCTGGTGTTGCAGAGCGAAGAGATTCCTCAACCAGCCAGAACAATTCGCTGCTCGACGGAAACCCCTTCAATGCGAATCACAACGGTGCGGAGCCTCCAGCTTTGCACATGTCCCTGAATGGTGTCAACAACGGCCTCGACAGCACCAGTCTCTCTCAACTAGCCACACCAGCGTCCGGTGGAAGCACGAGCTCTCCGTTCTCACCCCTTTCGCCATTCGGCCCGACCTTTAATGCGCCGTCAGCACACTACCGGTTGGAGAAGGGTGGCGATGCGTCGAGTCTCTTGGGTTCGTTTGGTGTCAACGATGAGCTTTTGGCCAAGCTAATGCTAGCGGGCACCTCGAGCCACTTAGGCGACGCACCCGCACACTCGGCGGCACGGTCCAACGACCTTCTCCAACATCCCAACGGAAATGCCGAAACCACGCGTTACGATCTCGAGCTCTACCTCAAGCACTTTGCTCCACACTGGCCTTGCGTGCACGTCGCGACGCTCGTAGCATCCACCAGCGTCATCCATCAAGACGTTGATCATGATCTTCTGGACGCAATCACACTAATCGGTGATCGCTACAACGCGGATGGGCTCTCGCCATCCGTTTCCAGACGGTCGTCCGTATACAGTCTGGAAGGTCAAGACACATCCGAAATCAGCGTGCTTAGCAGTCGTGCCGTCCAGAGTCTGCAGTCCGGTCCTCATCATCTCGACGAGCACACGCTCTTGCGGCGCGCTCAGACGCTGCTCCTGTTGCAACTGTGTAGCCTTTTGAGCCAGAGAGACATGCCGCGCGGAAGCCTTGAAGCAGCGCACGACTCGCTCATCCAGGCGGCTCGCCGAATACTCGTCGTGCATCAGGAAGCTCCCACGCCATCGACCATGGGCACGGACCAAGACTGGGTGCGATGGGCTCAATGCGAGCAGCGAGTCCGGACAATATGGACGATTTGTGAGTCTGGCAATCCCTGTTCGCTCGCCGAAAGATGATGTGTGTCTGACGCTGTTCCTTGTTGCAGACGCCTACGACGCATTGCGCGCCTTGCTGCTCCATGCAACGCCTGCTTTCCCGATCTCGGAGTTAATCTCGCTGCAAAGACCTTGCGACGACAAATTGTGGCAGGCGTCGTCGGCCAAGCTGTGGCGAGCGTCCCAGGGCGCTGAGCTGACCAAGCCAAGCATCTTTGAAGATCGAGCCAACCTTTTGCTGCAAACGATGCCAGAGTCAAGATCAGATGATGTTTTCGACGACCTGGCGCACTTTTTGCTGTTGACGAGTCTATGCGCGGACGTTGCTCAGGTCTCCCATACCCATGCCCAACAAGGTATCTACAAGCGCTTGCAAGACCCGCGGCTTGGTAATGTTGGCGCTGGCGCGGACAAGCGTAGCGACCAAGCAACTTCGGCATGGCTGAAGCACATCAGCGAACTGGATGCCGGCGTGACCACCACCATCGAGCACATCGACGGCGCCTTAAGCAGATGGCGTCGAGTCTCGACGGTAAGTGAAGCTCAACAGTACCAATCTGGTCCCGAATGTCCCTTTGTCCTGGGTCCTTCGAGCTTCTACTACGTTGCCAAGCACCAACTTCGACAACTGCAGACGCAGATTGGCATGTCCCACCCTGCCACCCCTGCAAGGTCGCCCATACATGCGCCCTACTCTACAGTCACGTCGGACCCATCCACCACCTTGGCTCCCTCAGCGCGAATGAGGAGCATGTCGATTGGCGCACTAGACGGCAATCTTTCGCTGCCGCACCTTTCCCCTGCGCGAAGAGCGAGCGCGTTCGAGTGGAGCAGAAGCGCTTCCAATCACAGCCACGACCAATCCTTGCCCCATACTCCCTCATCCACCCAATCTCCCGCGCCAAGCATGGCTCGATTGTACAACCTCGTCAGCCCCGCCGGTTTCTCGCCGAGCCAACACTCCTCCCACACTCCTCTTCCGCTTCACTAATCTTCTCGCTGCAGCCTAGTCTGCTTTCGCTGTTCTGCCTCGTATTCGTTGCCTCATACCCCCCATAGATGGTTTCTGTCGTCACTCGCCATCATCGATACCTGCCTCTGTAATTTTGATACCTGGCCCGTGAGTCGACAGAGATACTGTGCTGCATACCCCGATCCTTGAAATGTTGGTATGATTCGACTTCGCAATGGCTTCAAATGTTTCTTTGAAACACATCACACGTATAGCAATTAGTAGTGCTTGTCCAAGGCTGCAGGAGGGTGGATGGATGACAAGCGTCATCAAATCCAAGGATTGTGGCGTGAGCTTATGAGCTCAAGCTCTATGAGAGGCGCTGAGAAGGCGAATTTGCGCCGGTAGGAGGATGAACGCTTGGTCAGGACGACTCGACGGAAGGGGCCCGTAGCAAGAATTTTCAGGCGAAAGCTATCATTCCAGCGAACTGCTCGGTTGGGCGAGTCAAAACGCAAGAGTATGGTGTGGAGACCGGCAATGGGGCACGCGCGCGACATCGCATCTACCACTTGTCCTGCACATAATCCTTCCAGCTCTGGAGCCCCGGATGAATGGATCTGCACTCTTCAATATCCGCCTTGAATCCGGGATCGTTGAAGAAGTTGAACATGATCCTGAGTGGAGGAACGCTCTTGACAAGACCGAATCCCAGCAGGCTGCTGGTGGCAGGCAGAGCGCTTCCCTTGACCTCCTTGAACTGACTAGCCATCTCTTTTGGCGACAGGTAATCGCCTGCCAGACTGAGCGTGCGTCCTTTCCAACCCGAAGGGTCCTCTATCGCCTTGCTGGCAAAGATGCCGATGTCTTTGCACGCAATCATTTGCAGCTTGTCCTTGACGCATCCATTAAGCGCCGCTACGAACAATTTGCCAGAGTATCCATAGTCGGCGATGTTATCGGCGAAGAAGACGGGTCGAAGAATGGTCAGCGGCAAATCTGCATGAGCGGACTTGATGTAATCTTCAATTGTGCGTTTGGATTCGAAGTGATCGCATGGAGTGGGATTAATGCCGCCAAAGTCTACGCTGGAATAGACGAATAGATCCATGCTTTGTGCCCGCTTGCTCGCTTCGTCCGCCATTCCCTTGCCTTGCTCCATCTCCATCTGCAATCCTCCTTCCTTGTTGTCCAATCCTTGCTGCACACTAAACACTGCCGAAATCTTTCCCGATTCCAACGCCTCCTTTTCCAAAAGCTCGTCTGCGCGCTTGAAGATTTCGGCAGGACGGTAGGGCGTCTCTAGCATCTTGACTCCTTTTAAGCCTGACAGCTCTACGGCTTTGGGATTGGATGGAGAAGCATCGCGCGTGCAGGCCAGGATGAGGAACTTCAAGTCCTGCGCAGATGAGCCTGAGTGGGCTTCGTTGAGATCCGCAAGCGCTCGCACCACTGCGCTTCCTTGCTTGCCCGTAGAGAGCGTGACGAGGATCACTCGCGTCTGTGAGCCGGTCGACATGTTTGACTGTCCAGCCTGGGATTTTGTCTCCTGCGATGATTTCAGTATCGTACCTTTTGCCTTTCTGTTCCGAGCATGCGAGTGGATGTGAAGGTCAAGCTCGAGTTGAAGTATCTCGCTTGCATTCTTCAGTCAACAGCGAGCAGCAGCTGTGCCGATGTCAGCGGGTATGTGCGGGCGGGATATCGACATATGCGGAGAAGCTTCTGCACCGCCTTCTGGCGCACCCGAATACGTTTCACTTTTCTCCGCGGACATGAAGCGTCACGTGTGTCGCGCGGTCGAACCGAAGCACGCGCGTGCCGCGTCATCAGGCCCAGATCTTCTGGACACGCGATATACAATCTGATGAACATTCACATTGACCACTTGCGCTTCCTGGACGCCTTGCTCCTACATCATCTAATTCGCTCGTTTAGCCGTCAAAACAACTTTCATCGCATCGCCTCCGATCGTCGTTGAGGACGTGTAGATGGTCGTCGACCAAGCATGCCGAAGAAGATCGTCCTACTAGCACCGGATCAGGCATGGCCTTCGACTGTCAGCTCAGCGAGCACAAAGAGGCTGCTCAGTCTACCTCATCCCAGAACACACAAGCCCGCCACTTTTCTTCTCACAGGTGAGCAGCACAGGGACGGTCCACGTGGAGACTCGACCAGCCATGCTGCAGAAGCAATGGATGCATGGAGCATGTACGAGCTGCAGGCTGTTCGACCTTTGGCCGGCGGATCCAGAAGCTGGTTCTTGACTCCCAAAGGCGCAAGCGAGGAGCACATAGGCGCAACATCGCAGGCAGACGCTGCAAGTGGGCAAGAGGACGAAGGGAGCGTGGTCAGTGGTGAGTGAGCTTATGCTCCGCTTCACCAGTGCACCAGTCCGTCCCACCAAAAGGCTTTGCTTATCCACGAGCCCTCATCCTCTTGTACTTCCACAGACGGAGCGCTGCACATCTTTACCCCTATCGATCCGCTCTTTGTCCTCTTGCCAATCTACTCTGCGCTGGATCACGCGAATGTGAGCGACTCTGACGCTTGGCCTAAAGTCAGGCGCATACACGCAGCTGAATCGTCTGATTCAATCCATCTCAGGCGGATTCCCCTGCAGCCTATCTCACGCTCGAAGATCTATTGGAAAGAGCAAGTTCCAAGCTGTACGCTGAGCATGCGCGGGGACTGAATGCGCAGCAAGCAGCAAACAGCACCAAGAATGAGAGTCTTGAGAAGTATGAAGAGGAGGGAGAATGGGAGGATGTGCAAAGCCTAGCGAGTAGTAAAGCCGTTAAGGAGAGGTTAGAGGAAAGCTGCGAAGTGATGAGTGAGTCGGGTCTCGCGGCTCGTGCACGTGTTTCAGGCGCTGATTGGAACCTATGCCATCTCATGTACTCGCATCGCTTCAGATGTAACTTCGACATTGCAGACGTATCGCCCGTCGGCTAGCAGGGTGCTCTCTCTGCTCCGCTCCAAGCTCAGCAAGCTGGAGAATCAAGACACTTTCGAAGAGGCTTCTTCCACATTGGGCAGACAGCTCGTCAAGGCCGTGGAAGCCGATGCGACAGGGGAAGAGAGAGCAGCAGCGAGGAGAAACATCGCGCTGGATACAATTTGTGCTTACTTGGACGAGGAATGGAAGCAAAGTTTCAAGCGTGGTCTGCAAGCGGACGGCTTGCTCTCGGATGAAGCTGCAGCGAACAGCGCAGGAGGATAAATTGGCACAGGGAGCCGTCATAATCGCAACAACCCTTCCAGACGTTGGCTTCCACTCGCCCCACAGTGGCGGAAGTCAGCCTCACGCGGATCGCACAAGTGAGAGCCATGCACTACAGGACAGCGAAGAGAGATAGATTCTGAGAGCCCTGTGACCCGCATCAGGTTGCTGGCCCTCATGCTCCTGATCCGGCCCGTCTTCTCAACCTGACCTCTACTCGTCCCCGACCTTTCGCGCCTATCTCTACCAGCTCGAAAAGGGCGGCGTTCTTCCTGCCCACTATCTCGCTACGCACCGCAAAATGCGCGGGCGCATCCAGCTCTTTATCCCGCAATGATTGTGCCCCTAGCGCACGGCCCAGCCCGGACGACTGCGATGCCGCCTGCAGTTTGAAAACACCTTCTTGGCGAGCGCGTGCGCCAGAAGAGAAGTCGGGATGAGCGGCTCGCCAGGCCCTTCGGCGCTTGCGGAGTGGGTCGGAGGAGCTTGGGAGAGGAAGCGGAGGAATGGACTTGCCCATCGCTGCGCTTGGTCGAGCTAGTGGGTGGATGCAGAGCTGTGGTGAAGCGATACGAGGCGTCAACGATGCTGGGATGGAAGAACGCTGCGCTGCCCGTGGATGACTGTTCTTTCACAGCTGGATGCACATTGCTTCTGTCGGCCAGACTCACCTCTCCATGACAGTCGACAGCTCTTCCGCTCCTGAGCGACCTCATCTCCACCCACACATCTGCATTCTTCAGCACGCCCAAGAAGAGCTCATCATCGAAGGCGTCCACAAACGCAGCTCGAATGGGAGGTCTGGTCTTGACCGCCTTCTTTTGCACCTGAGCGTTGCCTTGCTCGTCGGAAGAAGACTCGGAACTGGAAGACTCTACCTGCACGGCAATGTTCGTATCCGCATCTTCCTCGCCCGCATCGTCCGCATCGAACCCCTGTCCTGCTCCTCGAGCTGCTTTGTCCCTCTCCCGAGAAATGCCTTGATGCGCATCGTCTAGGATACTCGTGTGGTCCGCGTGCAAATGGGTGATGAGCGCTGCTGAGTTCTGCAAGGCCCGGACGAGCGAGCGAAAATGAGGGATGTCAGATCAGATCACAGACATGCAACGCACACTGGCGACCTCGAGATGCCCGCATCCGCATTGACGTACGCAGCTTGATCCGGCGCCTTTTCGAACAGATACACCTTGCCTCTCTTCTTGACCGCCTCCTCATTCTGCCCATCGTCTCACTCACACGCTCGCAGATCAATCTGAGCTCCTCGACCCATGCAGTCATCCCTTCGGCCAACAACCTCTGAGGTTCCTTTTGAGCACCGGCCGGCACCGATCGTCTGTCGGCGCCTTGCGGGGTGGAGCTCGAGATTTTTGAGCGAGGCGATGCTGTGCCCCATGCCAGCGTGTTCAGGTCGTCTAGCACCACCAAGCACTTTGCATCGTGCGATGCAGTGTGCCCTGCCTCTTTTGCTGCACCTTCGAGCAAACTCTCGAGCCTCCGTAATAGCCTATGAAGCTCTTCTGACCATGCGTCCCTGTGTCCCACATGGACGGAGCCCGCACTTCCCGTTGTCCAGTCCCGATCCCCATCGTAAGCATCAACCACCTGCACCCTCTCCGCATACCCTTTCCAATCCAATCCCTTGCCGCTCAACCTCTTGCATAGACCCTTGATCTCCTCCGAACCCCTTGCTAGACAGTCCACCCAGATCACTCGTGCATGAGAGTGTGTCGAGGAGGAAGTTGGATCAGAGAGTTGACTTGTGCTGGGTGAAGGACGTGGATTTTGCATCAAATCCACTGCTGAGGCGCACAGGTATACGTCCGGAGCACTCGGCCTCGTGCTGCTCAGGAGGTGGTGAGTGCCAATTTGAGTGCTACTCCGCCTCTTATCCCAGACGCCTTCTAGCCCCATTGCTTACAGGCGCTTGTGACTGCCATTCGAAGCTCATACAGATTGGCGATCAGCGCGGGAATACTTCGCAGAGCTATAGCCAGGTGCCAAAATAGTCGAGGCACATGTTGTTGGCGACTTAGAATGACGAACTGGATGAATTCCTGAATTGTGCATCTGACTCCTTCACGCAAAACTCACGACTCGTGACTCAAACTTTTCTGACTCTTGACTACTCAAACACTCTTGACTCGAACTCATCAGGGACTTAACATTCACGTGATTTTACGCTCATTCAGTCGAGAGCCTTCAGTTTGAGTTTGAGTCTTGAGTTTGAAATCTGGATCATCAGACATTCAAATTACCAAAGAATTGAATCACGAATGAAGAATAATTAATAATCAAGGATTCATAAATCGATAATGATCTCGAACGCTGGATTTTCCTGTGATCAAAGTCAGAATCAATAATAATCATGAATCTGCGTGATTTTGAAGTCTCGTGAGTGCTTCTGCATCCACCTGCTGTACCGGTATACGCTTGCTGTGGTGGTGCAGTCAGAGTCAACGAGTCACGAGTCACACAACAGTCACCATGCAGCAGTTGAGTCGTGAGTCAAAAGTCGAGAGTCGCGTGAATACCACAACAAATGTGAATGATTTGCGCGCGATCGCAGCGCCGCGCGCGCGGCGTACCCGCAGACGACAAAGGAGGAATCCCTATATATACATACGCACCGACTACCACACTTATTCAAACTACTGCAGCCACGAGTACCAAGCCACACCATCGAAGGTTAGGTTTGTGAGGCTCACACTCGAACCCTGACCGCACTGTTGTCCTAGTGCGCGAGAAAACGTGGATGGGCACGATGTAAGAATCACTGATCGTCAGACAGCAAGAGAGCAGTCAAAAGGTCTACGGGGTTGGAGGCGTGTGCCTAGATCAAACTCAAGAGTCTTCAAGCCCTTAAGATATATATGAAACTACACTCACGACTGGCGCAGACAGACTCATCACTGTACCGTATCGACAAAGGCGTGTGAGCCGTGCATGATCAAAAAGTCCTGAAACCTTAGAAAGGACGCATACGCTCTTGAGAACTATATAGGTGGATCTTGGATGGGACTCCATGCGGCAGCCGGGCGTTTGAAGCGCCGGAGCAGCTGCGCGGGCGTCTCGCGGTGGTCCAGTCGTATATATACCTACATGCGTCAAGTCTGCATAATCTGCATGGCGAGCGGCTGATTCACGATCCTTGTTCGATGATCATGAAGATGCAGCCACGGAAGCACGTCTCATGTACCACATAGATATGAGAAGAGACGTCCATGCATGCTGATTCGTGATGGTTGTTTGGCGGCCTTTTGTGCAGGCTGCAGCAGAAGAGGTGCGGACAAACCGTGAATCATTTAGGAACGATAGGTACAACAGTCAAGAAGTTCACGCGCTTGTTGTCGCGTTAACGCATCAGGCATCGCCTTTGTCCCGCATCATTAATTGGCATCCTTGTTGATGCATGGCTCGTCACCGGCGTGGGCGCAAGCAGTCTGGGCTCAGCCAGACGCACTCTCCCGCGCGGTTCTCATTTAGATTGTCTTCATGCAGCACGCGCTCGCGGTATGCAAGCTGTACGATGCAAGCGGAGTGTCTTAAGTGAGATTCGTGATTCCTACCAGCTTGAGGTGCACATCTAGCGCGGACGACCTTGTGCTTACCTTTGTTCTTCATTCACATTGGTGATCGTCGTGACCGACTGCTACCACACACCGTGTGCACCGACTGCATCCATGAGAGCCCTAATTGCAATCTACACGTAGGCAGGTGGGCGAGCTAAAGGCCAGTGAGTACTAAAAGGCCATGTATCCCGAAGACTCCCCGACCAGGCTGTCACCAACCCTTCCTCTTCCGCTCACCCCCTATACGCTCTTCAAAATGACTTCCGCAAGCAATGTCGTCTTCATCGTGTTTGCTCTCCTCTCAGTCGTGCTTGTACTTTTGCCAAGTCGATGGCACTGGCAGACACGCAATGTCGGTGAGTATGTCCAAAGCCAATCGCGACCGCAGCCGACCATCCCGCTCACCACCCCAGCTTCGCTGTATACACTCACAGGAACTTTGTCTGTACGTACAGATGCGCATCCGTGGTCTTTGCTTAAGTAACGAGCTGACTTTAAAATTTGTTCCGCGCGTTCTGCTTGCTTTCCACAGCTAGTGAGTCAAAGATTCGCACCTCGTGGCACCTTTGCGATTTCGCTCACCCCCAAATGGCTTTGCTACAGATCTTTTGGGTGGCGCTCGGTAATTGTACCATGGCTATCAGCGCTATCCTGTACGCAAATACCTTTGATGGGGTACCTCTGGGCTGGTGCGACTTCGGTGAGTCGTGTTACGACCGCGAACAGTGGGACCAAGCTCACAGTAGTCTTTCTGGACCAAGCTGGCGCCGTTGGATACTTGTACGGTCCAGGAATTTCTGCCGGAGCTCTCTGCCTCTTCCGAAAGCTGGAGTCGATCGCTTGTGAGTCTTCTGCGCAAGTATCGTCATCTCAATCAAGCAACGGTAGCTCACACAGTCGACATTCATCTGCCCAGCTACTCGCCAGGTCGCGTACACTCAAAGCGATCGCAGACGCTTCATGATCGTCGACTTGATCATTTGCGTTGGCATTCCTGTCCTGTTGGTTCCTCTTCACATTGTGGTCCAAGACCATCGCATGGGTACGTGCTCTGAAGCGCTTCTTTCGCATATATGTCAACACGCTGACGCAAACTCGCGCACAGACGTCGTCTTGGGACATGGCTGCAATGCGCCTACATACATGAGCGTCCCTGCGCTGTTTTGCTACTATCTCTGGCAGATCGGGCTGGCTACCGCATGCGTGGTCTACGCAGGTCAGTCCATCGATTCGGCGACGCCTGCTCTTGCAATCGCTTACTCGTTGTGCACTGTACGCAGTCCTCACGTTGAGGTGGTTCTTAATTCGACGCTCGCAGCTTAGCTCAGTATTGCAATCCAGCGGAACTGGAATCTCGAAAGTGCGTGGGGTTGCTGGCGCTATTGACGGTGCGCAAGTACGCTGACTCTGGAGGTCTTGGACTGCCAGGATAAATACATCCGTCTCATGTTACTAGCTTTCATCGAGGTCGTCATCAGCTTCCCGCTAGCCGTCTACGTCCTCGCTGCCAACCTTCTCTACGTTGAATTGCAGCCCTACCCAAGCTGGGACTACGTCCACGACAACTGGGGAGCCGTTGGGTACGTCACAACTGAAGAGATCCCCTACGCCAATGTGGTGAGCCTGGAAATCGGACGTTGGCTAGGAGTCCTGGCTGCCGGAATCTTTTTTGCGTTTTTTGGACTCACCGCGGATGTAAGTCATCGTCTTGGAGACGTTCAGTGCTCCTCCACTCATGCTGATCACCACAACTTCGGGTACAGACGAGACGGCAATACGCGTCCTGGATCAGAGCCATTTCGGGCGGTCGCCTTTGCAAACGCAGAAATAGGTTCGTGGAATGAGGTTCTGCGACTTCATACCGAGGTACTCAAACTTCTTCATTTTCCTACAGCGATGCTCCCCTGCCCGGTCGTATCGCCTCCTTGCCACGGCGAGGAATGTACGGCGACACTTCAAGTGAACAAGATCTGGAGAAGGACTGGACTCCTACCAATGACTCAGTCGAAGGAGAGCCGCGCCTCAAACTGTATGATGACCTTGAATCGCCGCACTCGGCGTCTTTCACGGGCCTGAAGGATGTGAGTGTTTACCATACCAGATCTGCCGTTTGCGATCTAACGTGAAGGGCCACCAATTCGCAGATTCACGTCACAACCGAGCGCATTCAAGTCGGCTGAGACAGAGTGCGACTATCGCTCAATCACTCGTGTCACTGGTCCCTTCCAGTACTGGCATTGCTGCTACCATGCTGCTGCTTGCAGCTTCACAGCGAATAGTTCTCTCATTTTTGTCACAACTTCGTAGTCCTTGTGCTGGTCGCGCTCCGTTCGAGATGCGTCTGTCATCCAATGCATTTGTGTGTCTTTGTCGACCCGTATACAAGCCCGAAATCGGCTTGGCCGTTCGGAATCAGCTGTTCACCTGAGCTTGGACGTTCGAAACCAGTCAAGGAGTCAACGTGAGGCCATCGATCACTTCCAGAACAAGGCGTGAGCGCAGATCAGGGTGATTCGGGCTCGCCCATCTTCCATCACGATCTTGAAAAGCATCTGACCAACGATCAAGTGCTCGACTTCCACAAGAGTTTGTAGTGAAACGACAGCATGAGTTCTCAATCGCTTCTATTTGCCGCTGGAAGGCTCGCAATGAGTTTTCGAGGCGGCACACTCTCTCGCGCATGAGAGCGATGTAGCTAGGTTAACCAACGACTTGCAACGGTGCAACACCCACACCGCTAGCATATGGCCTCCTCTATGCAAATGTAGACAAAGGTCAGATCGCGGTTGCGACTTGCATGTTGAGGCGAGCGTGTAGGTCGGAGCGGTATTGGCAGAAATTAGGAGTCCTTGTGCAATCAAACAGGGAGATGAGTGCCTTCCACTCAAGACTCATCACTGCAGCTTAAGCTGACGACCGCGCGGCTGCCGAGAAGCGCACGCATGCCTTTGTGCAATGTGCGGCGGGAGGGACCTTTTGTGCGGCGCCATTGAATACAAGCCGAGTGACTGCTGCTATACATCCACACACATATTCGTGATTATTCCTTTTTCGTGATTTGCTCGCGCGTGATAGAGAGCGCGAGATATATAGGTGTGTGGCAGGTTCACGCAAGCACGGACACATTCAAATTCGTGAATGGTGGATCTTGAATAGCCGTGGTTCACAAATTATGCATGATTGAGGGCTTCAAGAGGGATCGATGGGACAAAGAGGTCCGACACGGCGCGACGGTGAGCCTGCGCACAGACCGGGTCACCGCGTCTCGCAGCGATTGGACAAAGGAATGGGAACAAGACAAATGAAGCGCGCACAGGCAGCTACCGGGACAAAGGAGAGCAGCCCGACCGTGACTCGTCGGCATCGTATGAAGACATAGGGGACAGCCATTTCGCAGCGAGACAAAGCTTGGGGCACTGCCGAGTGCAGGATTGCTCGACCCTCCTACCCAAGGCGCTAAAGCGCGTGCGACCCGGGACAATGGACACGGAGAGATCAGGGTTGGAGACTAGGAACGTCTGCGAGAGTCCGGAAGGAGGGCATCCTCACAAAGCCTAGTATCCATTGTCCAGGGTCTTGCGCCATGCTCAAGACTCCGAAGACTGAAGGGCTTCTTGTCATCCAAAGTCACAAAGGAGCACCTTATCAACTGCCACCGCCCAGACTTTTCATTCTATAGACATGCGGAAGCTGACTCTGATCAGCATTGCACCCAATCCAGGCGGGGCCTGGTCGACCCAAAAGAGATTCAGATAAACTATAAGAAGCACGATGATGGCTGGCAAAATCGGGAAGGATCCTCAGAACATCATCTCTACTCAGCGCCAAGCAAACTCCACCGTCACTGTCCAACACTCAAATTGCTGCTCGCAGTCCATCAATTCACAATGAACCCTCTCTTCGCTAGTATCAACGCTGCTCCTGTCTCCATGGAGACTCAAGATCACGAAATTCTTGTGAACCAGGAGGTGAGTAGGCAGCAAACAGTATGCCGAGAGTCGCGTCACCAGTCTCGCCCGCAATGCTGAGACGTCCGCCGGCCATTGGTTGACCTTTACAGAAGAAAGGGCCTCCTTCGTCTTCCAGCGGCTGCGTTGTAGCCAAGCAGCTAATCAACATGGAGGTGAGCATCTCGTGCTACCGATTGGCACATGGGCCGTTCACCACTTGCCAACATCAAGCTGACCTGTAGCGAATTTCAAATCTAGCGCAAGGGCGGCGGAGGCTACCCTTCTTGCGTCATCGCCTGATGTGCAGGGCCAAACAAGTTCTCAAGTGCGAGAGCAGGGATTGATCATCTCAAGGTCAAATGATGATTCCAAGCGCTTCAAAGGATTCCCGATCTCCTCCGATTCTCTGTCAAGTCTAGGTCATAATTCAGGCTCGTCACTCACCCCAGGTTCGAATTCAGCTCGGCAAGGTATCAAGATGAGACTCTAAGGAGGGATGTAAGGAGTGCTCGGTCGCCAAAGACGACCAGATCTTCTCCATCTTCGTCTCTTTCGGCTTTTTCATCTCGCCCTCCGCCACTTTGCACAATTCCCCATTGACCGTCACCCACTCCAAGCCTTCACCCACGCTTCAAAGTCTTTCCCAAAGTGTCCTTCTCATTCCCGACTACCCGTTTGGCTGTACTGTCCACTCCAAGCACTTACGGAACGGTTGTTTCCAATGCGATTTCTTTCAGCTCGACCTTCTTCAAGAGGTGCACAAGCCTCGATCTGACATCTTGGTCGAAAGAAGCCTGGAACCGATTCCTTACTTGCGCAGCTCAATGCTCCCACTCATCTTGCTCATGTGCAACGTATCATCATTCTCGGCCACCAGTGTTGTGACGTGCGTGTGGCAAGAGAGTGTGCGAGTCGTTCTACTTGGCATTCTCCTCATCCTCTTTGAGACTCATCTCGATTGCCCGAGCGATAGCCTCTTCCTCGGACATTTCCACATCCTCATCGCCATCGTTAGCTCCGGCAACCGTGGCTCTGCCTTCCTGATGTTGGGCCTGCGCGTTATCTTCGACATCGCCTCCTCTCGACAGAGCGATAGCCTGCCTCATCAATGCTTCTTCCGACTCGTCACTGGCTTCAGCGCCTACGCCAGAAAGACCATCCGCTCCTGGCTGGACGAGCGAGCCTACGCTCGGCAAAGCGGCGGGGGGCTGAGGAGCAGAAGTGAAAGAGCTAGCGGATCCATCTCCCGTTCCTGACGCAGGTGCGGCGGAGGCCTGGGTTGCCGCTGCGGCACGCGCATCCGAAGAGCTTCCTTCCGGAACGCTAGCCAGTGCGGGTGCCTGGGATCCAGACGACGAAGCCTCGGCAGCTCTTTGTCGAGCTTGCTCTTCTTCCAACGACATGCGCAAAGCCTATTCATAGGAAGAGCAGCGTCAGAGCAGTGTACACAAGCGAGCTCCCGCAGCGCTAACGCAGAACAACGCGCGCCAGGCTAGCGCGCCTTCCGCATCAACGCGCACAGCATCGAGAAGGTGGCAACAGCGGCCTTCCCTCTGACTGGCATTGAAGCATCGCAGATTCATTCGACACTGGCACTGCAGATACCGCTACTTACCATTGCCAATTCGGGATCCATGCTCGGGTCGACGCCAAATTCGAAGCCTCCTCCACCGCCTCCGCTTGCGCCACCTTCACCACCCTCGCCCGACCCGCCTCCAGCGCCCTCTTCCATTAAGATTGGACTGCTCAGGATCAGATCGCTCAGCAGTTGCGGAGAAGGCGGAATCGTCAAGAGATGTCTGTTTGCGGCGAGAGACAGGATTCGGTGAGACTCGATATGCGTCAATCGGTCATCGATATGAAGTGAAGTGCTGAGAAAGATGCTCACGAGTTGCCTCCATTGTCCACATTTTCTATCAAAGCCCTGAGGGCCTCTTCGTTCCCTTCTACCTCCCCAAAGCTGACGACGTCTACAGCCACATTATTTTTCTTGAGCTTCCGTGCGATGCGTACAAGCGATTCGGAAGTGTCATTGATCGGACTGCCGACAAATAGGATGATGCGTTGCCTTTGGGTCTTGTTTTGCCGATGCTTGAGGGCAAGCTGCATTGAGCCAATGTGACCGATTAGTACGCGGGAAAAGTTTGGCATAGAGCGCCTAATTAACAGAGACTTACGGAAGCGACATTGATGCCGGTGGCAAGGTCGGAAGATCCTATCAGTTTGGAGGAATGCAGAGCTGCGAGAATTTTGCCCATGTCCTGGGTGAGAGTCGCCAGGACCTCGGGGCTGCAGCGATGGGACGACAGAACCGTCGAGTGGTTCTTTGTGAGCTTCTTGCTGCGTTGAAGATCTTTTCGTGGTGTCCTTCCACCCATTGATTGGCCTAAAGGCAGGTCTTGCTAGGCCGTGATGCTGGTCCATGCTCATGTTGACCACCCACCAACTCACCTCTTTCCAGCCATTGTCAGGCACCCAACCATGTTCTCGGGGTGAGAATTGGTCTTGGCATCGAATACAATGTTCACTGCATCCACCTGAGCATCCCAACGAGTCGGTGTGTAATCCCCATTTCGCATGTATTCGCTGTTGTCCAGCCTGCCGGGGGGGGGGGGGGGGGGGGGGGTTGCCGCACATCCACCGATCAGACATTTGGTCTCGTGCATTCGCTCCTACCAAGCCCACGGCAGGCCACTTACACAAGCATCGTCGCTTCGAGGACCATTTTGGGCTAAGTGATCCGAAAGCGTTCCTGACCTTTGTCTGCTTGTGCGTGACCCAAACCTGAATGACGAGACGAGGCGAGCTCGCAAGTGGCGCGTCTGCTAGTGACTTATCGGACTCGTTCCGTACAATCTACAGAGTCCTCCTAATAATCGGGCTTGCGGGCGTATGTTCGGAGAGGCAGGCGAAGTGACGACGGGGTCCGTGGAGGTTGATGTTGCTGGGAGGCAACAAAGAGTCTTCAGTCTTGAGTGATGGTGCGTGGAGACGTTGCGCAACGTGCAGTAAGCGCTTGCGTATTCCACTCACGTGACGCGTCACTTGCGCTCGGGCCATGCTAAGCGGGCAAGAAGTCCCTCACGTCAGCGCTGGCGCGTACACGACCCAACGAGCCCGATGACGTCCTGACCTTCTTGCTCGACTTTCTCGCACAGCCACGTCTGAACCTCTGCGGCCACGCAGAAGAAAGCCCTCTGAGCGCGTTTTCGTGCTTGTGTTGATGGTGGAGCAAGCGTCTCGCTCGGATTTCCACGCGCTGACGACGCCCCCACACATCACACGACTCAGTAGAGACAGCGGCCCACTGCACCGCCGCGATACTCCGTACAGCATATCCTTCACGATTGGTTCAAATAACTCAGCGCAAGCAGGAACCGCGGGCGAGGATCTCTATATCAAGCAAGCAGTCACAGTCTAACCCTTAGATTCGCTACAAGAGGCGCCTGCTCCCATACACACAGCTGAACGCGCTTGCGTCCCCCACCTTGATACGCATCTCACGAATTTCACAAGACGCCTCGCACCCTCTCCTTTCCACGCAATCCTCTACCAACATGGAAGACTACTACGACTCGGACTCGGACTCCGAGAGCAGCGTTTCCTTTGGCGAGAGTGAGAGTGAAGACGACGTCGACATGATCGGCGGTGCGCCCAAAGTCCGCGCGGAGCGTACGCAGGCGAAGCAAAAACGATCAAGGCGACCGAGCTGGAAGGATGACAGAAAGAAGTTGATGGATCTTCACATGACGCAGAAGCTGCCTTATGCTGAGAGGTGCGAGTCGGCGGAGGATTTCGATCGGCGTCTGGCTCTCATCATCAGCAAGGTAGTGGCTTGCATACGATCTCAAGAGTAAGTAGAGGGAGCTTGTATGCTCGCGAGAGGTTTGAAAGACAGTGTTGATTGACCACACCTACCTCCGATGCTAGCATGAGTCCAGGGTTCATGTTCTGGACACTGTGCCTCAAGTATCTCCTGAGTCTCAGGTAGTGCGTATGGTCCGATCAAGCTCGTTCGACGTCTCGCTCAAAGCTCACCCTCGTCCGGTCTCGCGCTCGTCACTCGCATTGTCAGTCCGATGGAACGACGAACGCGGGCTCGCTTGATCCGCTTGTACTACCACGTCGCCTTGACACCTGCTCTCGACTATCGATACGCAAATGAAGCCATCAGCGTTTGCTGTAGTCTTGCCTCGTTAGTTGTGAATATCCTCCATACCCGCGTCTGCACCTCTGACAGACCGCTTTTCTTCGCGTTCGCAGCTCTGAGAAGACGCTCGACTCGAGACATCTGGTGCTTCCTTGGCGCCCACTCTACGAGGAGATCGAGAGAGAGCACAATCCAAAGGGAAGCAGTCTATTTCAACGTGGCTTGAAGCTCAAGTTCTTCGCCCTTGCCGGGCACCTCAGACGTTTCTTCGATCCTGATGACAGCCACGACATGCTCGAAGAGTTTCTGCCGCAGATCAACGGCAACACAATGGAGGTGAGCAGCCATAGTCATGATTCTAACTCATTCGTTTCTCTCCCTATGCGTATGGACTCGACAGAAGCTGATTTATACTCTCATGCACTTGCAGGGCATCACCCACGCTCTTTCGCTCATGGCCCACTTCTTGCCATTGCGTGCATCGCATGTGTATTTGCCACTTCTCCTTCGCATGTGGGAGTCATTCAACTCGTCCATTATTGATGGCCACATGCTGAGCTTGGTCTCTACCTTGGCTGCTGCGCACACGACGGAGCCGGAGCTCTCGTCGGAGAATGCAATGCAAGCGCACGGTGCCCTGGCTGACAAGGTGCAGGGCTCGAAGAGAGGCCACGACTTGGAGAGCACAACGGAAGACAGGATCATGGAGGACCTCAAGGCCAATCCTGCTTCAGAGGCACTCAGACAGCCTGCTTTGGAAGTCGGCATTTTTACGGAAGACCAATTCTCTTGGATAATGAACAAATGCTTGCAATACTTTGCGGACTCGCAAGGATCGAACGAGGTGCGTGAGCGGAGATCAGACGGCAATGCACGGACGCTTACAATGCACTTGCTCTATTTCGCCAGTTCGCTGGGCAAGCCATTGCCAGACAGCATGCGGCTCATTCTGCTGGAACAGGCAAGAGCAAAGGTCTGACCCCATACGACAAAATGGAAAAGCTGGCGATACTTTGCGCATACTGTCTGGCCGAAGACGGTCCACGCTCTGCCACCTCTACCGACACAGCGTCCACACCGGTGACCCAGGAGGCCACACCAAACAGCGCCGCGTCCTCGAGGTCGTACTTGGCGGGATCAAGAGCCCTTGAACATGTCGCCAAGATTGTGCAAGCTTCAGAAACTTGTTTCCATCCATCACGAGGAGGACCCGCTCAAACTAATCTTGTCCAGTTCGTGGCTCGCCTGCTGGCCTGGGTACATCTACGTTTCACAGAGGAGCAGAAGTCCGATTGCAAAACGCCGATGGAGCGTCGTATCACACCCCAAATCGTGCGGGAGCTTGTACTTCTGCTTCGACCTGGGATCTTGATGTCCATCTTCTCCAAGAGCATGATACACGTGGTTGGACCATCCCTACTCGCTTTGCGCAGCATGGCCGCTCTAGAGCCCGAATTGGTGCTTCCAGCCATTTTGGAACGTTCCTTTAGCAGTCTTGAAGCGCTGGAGACGACGCAGCGTACTACTGCAATGCTGAGCGCTCTAGGCGCACTCGTGCTGCCGCTCATCACCCGCAGTCATTGGAGGCCAGGCGGCAAGCATTTAGTACCTTTATTCCATTTGTGCTTGCCTGCGCTAGACATCAACGATTTCATTAAGAGCTACGCCTCATCCATGTTCATGCAAACCGCAGCGCTACTTATCAAGATAGACGACCTGAACAGCCCGGAGGCCACGGCTGCTGAAGCTGCGCTCCAGAGACCAGGAAGCTCATCCGTTGATAACAAAGTTGCCGACTTGGGCAGCGGCGACGCAGTTGGGCTGTCCGATGCCGAAGAGGACGATGCCCTGAAAATTAGTACGGCAGACTTTGAAGAATGGGTAGCTGCGTATTTCCGCCAAATTCTAGCCTTGCTGCAAGCTCTTCCCGACGAGGGTCAGAAAGGCAAACCGGGCGGCAAGATTGAGCAAACCGTCATCGACGCTGTCGTTGCGGCGTGCGAGAAGATCTGTCTCGCGCTCTCACCCAGCTTATTCGACCTGGCGTTCCGGATCGTGGCGGACCATTGCGAGAACACCGTACACGCACCCTCTGTCACTGCAATTGGGACCCTCGTGCAGATGTTTGCCGAAGCCGATTCGGAAAAGGTGCTCGCGCGATTGCTGCCTCTCTGTGTTGATCGCATCGAGGCTGAGATCCAGCACGGCGCGAGTTCAACCAGGACGACGAGCACCAGCGTCCCTGCGGCAAGCGACACAACCCTGCATTGGAACCTCAGCATCTTGTGTGGTGCCCTCGCCAGCCCTGGAGCGGGCTTGCTCAAATACCGCGATCGACTGCTAAAGGTCTTGAGCATCGTCTTGGATCGAGCTCGCTCAGAGAGAGGTTACGTCCTCGCAAGTGCGGTCCTGAGCCGCGTGCTCAATGCTTGCTTGACCATCTATCCCATTTCCACTCGCAATTGGAATCCAGAGATGTGGGACAGCAACGAGATGACGGCCCGCAGCCACCTGCACTGGGGCGAAACGCTGAGATGCAAAGATACGGCAATTTCGTGGCACGTTCCAAACGACGAGGAAGTCTCGTTTGGGCTCGAGATATTATCCGGCCTTCTCGAGTCATCCTACCGACGTTTGGAAGAGCTCTTCGACTCGGAGCAGAAGCACGACAAGGTCTGGAGCAATGACTTCCACCGACATTTCTTGTTTTTGCGGACTGCCTACACCCAGCTTGCGGCTGTGATCCCTCTACCCCTGCCGACGGGAGAAGAGAGAGGAGTCCCTGCCACGGATCATGGTGCAAACGAGCCCGAATTTCTGGCTCCGTTGCCTGACCTCGCATGGGGCGCAATTCTGAGGGATCCGACGGACCCTCGTTACCAGGCTGTGGCAGCGTTCCGTCGTCGCTTTGGAGAGATCTGTCACAAAGCTGCGAATCGGATGCAGATCTCCGGAGCTGAGGACGACATCGATTGCGTCAAGCTCCTAACGAGATGCATTCGGACCTTTATGAATTCATACGCATATTCGAGCATCATTTACGATCATCTAGTCGGTTTCCTGGGCAGCTTCAGAGCCAGCGTCCGACTACATCCCAAACAGAAGACGTCAGCACGGCTGTACTGGATCCGCACAGCCGAGCTGCACACTACCTCCCGTGGCAAGCTGGCGGCAATGCATAGAGCTCGATCAAAGCTCGACGATGCACTTCTGGCGGACCTGCTGGAGCTATCGCTGTCGGAATACACTGGAGTCCGAATGACCGCCCAGCGAGCGCTCACCGATGTTGCTGCTTTCTACAGCGGCACGCGCGCGCTTTGCTTGCCTAAATTGTTAGACGTGTTGCAGCCTGGCTCGCAAGCAAGTGACGATCGCTACAAGGGCGCACTCTACCTCTTAGCTCATCCAATGTTTCAGAGCACGATCACAGTCGACCCCCAATGGACTCGGCGTTACGTTGAAGCTGTGCTTCAAGGACAGCATCGTTCCAAACCTTCGATTCAGAAGGTGCTCAGGGGCAAGCTGCTAGCTGACTTGGTCAAGAACTTCCACATACCCTTGCATCTCGAAGTCAATCGCCCTGCAGAGCTTTTCGAAGCCATCAGTCTAGTGGAGAAGTTGCCGCACTACATTCCTGAAGACCCCGTGGTGGTGAGATCAATCGCTGATGGGGCCAAAGAGCGAATGCAGAAGCGTCAAGCCATGCGACTCGAGTTATTGCCCGTTCTGCTCAAGATTGCACAGTCGAAGGACACACATTGGTCATACAGTCTGGCCATCATGCGCCTGCTGGACAAATTCTTGACAAAGGACAGACCGCTCGACTCGCCGTTGATGCAGCATGTTGCATCTGCAGCGCTAGACGACAATGTGGCGATCCGTCGCGTCGGCCAGTGGGCCATCCTGAAAGCTTTGAGGATCGCAAAATCCCGCGCACTCTCTCCGAACGATCATGATCTCGCGATTGGCGACACCAAGCATCCTCTCGAGCGTATTCAGCAGCTGTCACTCCCAGTGACGGTCGAGCAGAGCGCTGCGCATTGGAGAAGCTTTGGAGAGGAGCTCACGCCAGAGAGCGAACTCGTTGACAAGTCCACCACTGGATGGTTCGTCTGGGGAAAAGAACGACTGTTCTACGCTCCGCCATCCGAAACGCATCAAGCGGTGGAGTGGGACAATGCATCGACGCCGGGACTCGACGCCTTGGGCAGACATCTGTTCTCCGCAGATTGGTGGAGTGGTTTCAGCCGTCATCTGACCGAGGAGAGGGATCGGTGAGTCACAACTGCGTCGACGTTCCTAGTAATTGGCGAAGTTGACGCAGGCTTCGATCTTACAGTGACTATCTAGGGTCGCAGTACATAGGCCTGGTGGAGCAAGTCGCGGACATGTACGGGTTTGATCTCATGGAGTACGTGCGCCCCACCGTCGAGGCGCTCGTGGCGGAGAAGGACCGTCATAAGCATCGAGCAGCAGCAGAGCTTGTATGCGGGCTGGTGCGTGGCAGCAAGGAGTGGTCGCAAGTAGATCAAAGAGAGCTTTGGAAGTGGCTCGACGTTTTGATTCCGAGGGTCTTTCGCGAGTGCACCCAAGACAGTCAGCCTGCCTGGCTCATGTTTGCTGAACAGGCGATGTCGGTCAGAGATCCACGTCGCACGCGCTCGCTCGTGCTATATGTGCTCAACACTGCAAAGGAAAAAGTCACGGACGGAGACAACCTTTTCAGTCCTTGGGAGCAGTCCTTTGCACACAAATTGCTGCGTAGCGCTGCGATGTACCTCAATGCCCGCATGTCCGCTTGGGCGGCTCCGGACCTGTTATCGCTCTACTCTCAGCACGGCGTTGACTCCGAGTTCGAAGAAGTTCGCATGCAAGTGAGCTGGGTGCTGGCTCAACTCGACATGCTTCAGGCGCACCCCAGCTTCGGAAGTGTGCGACAATTATTGCAGGCGTCGGGCGAAGGAAACGGCACGCTTCTGCGTCCTTCTGTCGATTTCAGGCAACGTCTAGACGGATTCATGGCAAGGCTGCAGGAATCGCGCAAAGAGCGCAGACCCATGGCCCAAGGAGCTTCCAAGTACGATCACACTGCTCTCACAGTCATCACATGGATCGCTTCCATCCTTAGCGACCATCGTCAGACGGCCCTGGACGAGGCCTTCATCGACTTTGCGCCGCATCTCTTCGACATGGTGGAGCTGCACGATAACCGAGAGCTCTCTTCCAGGGCACACGATGTCATCTACTGCTTGGCCACATTCAGTTGGCAAGGTGAAAACGCGGTTCGGTTGGTATTGAAGCTACTTGAAGTCATTGACGGCGCCAAGGCCTCCTGGCACACGCGTATCGATGCCCTTCGCGTCGTCCAAGTGACAGTCTCTCAAAACTTGATCAGCCTAGGCAGACGGCCAGACGTCGTCGACCAGGTCGTAGAGCTGTTGTTGACCCTCCTTGGTGATGCACATCCCGAAGTCCGTGAAGAAGCCGCAACCACGCTGAGCGGCATTGTGCGAGGATCCCAACGCAAGCTCATCACGCAACTGCGCCACCGCTTTGTGGGCATCATCGCAAACGTGGGCCGCGTGCCCAAGCGTGGGGATGCCGACTTTCAGGACAAGATCTTGAGGCTGCATTCGGGAATTCTAGGAGTCACTGCTCTGCTGGGAGCCTTTCCGTATGAAGTTCCGAAATGGATGCCGGATCTCATTTGCGAAGCGCTCATCCCTCACGACGAGTCGCCTCCGCCCATTTCCACCACTGTGCGCAAGGCCGCGGCGGCTTTCAAGCGCTCGCATCAAGACACTTGGGAGATTGACAGGAGCGCATTCGGCGACCGGCTAAACGAGATTGCAGAGTGGGTCCGTGGTTCCTCGAGCTACTTTGCTTAGGAGCGGACTGTGTGCAAGGTAAGAAGAGACGAGGCTGCATAACAAACAGATCGGAGCCTTCGAGTCAGACAAAAATGATCAAGCTTTCGAAGAATATGTAAAGCTTCAGCTAATGGTGCGCCATTCATGAAATCATTGCGAGGCTAAGCGTGTGTTGGATGAGCGGGCGGCTGTCCCGCTGCCCGCGTCGGTCTGTGTGGGTCGTTGTGAGAGGCTTTGTACGACTCCCAAAGCTTATCGATGGTCTCGCTACCTGCAAGAGCGCACAACGGAGCTCCTTCCTTCCAGCCTTCATGGCCAAGGTGGGCGTTCAGCTTGGGCACAAGCAAATCTTCCCCCGCGCGTACTTCGAGCCATTCGAGGAAGTACGCTGAGGGCAGACGATGTCGAGCAGGTCAGCTGCGAAGCATTCGTGATCGCCTAGCATCAGCTTGCGTCAGAAGATCCACTCGCCTGTCTTTTCATAGCCTGCGTCCCAGCTGCAAACGAATTGGATGAGGAGAAATGTTTACAATCGAGTCTTGTCTAACCATAATCTCTCGCGCGAGGTACGGATGGATGAAGTTCGACGCTGCTTGCTCACCGGTCGCCTGGCGTCTTTCTCCAATGTGGCGGTGCAAGGCCAGCCTTGAGGCGCACCCAGTCCGCAACGCCTTCCACTGCTCCTCCTGGAAAGGTGCCGTTGCCATTGAACTTTGGGAAGGGAACGAAAGAGCAGCGAAGCCTTTCAGCAAGCACCTCGACGATCACTTTGAGCTTGCCCAAAAGTCGTCGATCTGAGCTGCACATGCCCATGCTCTCACCTGCCACACGTGCACCATTTCGTGGCACAGGACACCTCGCAGTTCGTCTGCTCGCCGGTCTTCGGATGTGTTGGCGATGTGATTCGCAGAGATGTGGATCTGCGCGGTATGAAGTGGAGCGGGTTGGCCCATCCAGTATCACCAAATGGGTCAAATGAAGGCACGTGCGCATCCAATAGGTGTTGATGTCAAGCTCACCTCTTTGTGCTCATCGTCCCAGCGGTCTCCAGTGGTGTAAGCCACACCATCCATCTCCCTAACATGCAGCGTAATGCTTCGCACACTTTGCGCAACCTCCTTTGCGCTCGTGCGCCTCTCTTCATCACCATCGCCCCGCTCCTCATCAAGCACCGGCAAGCACAAGCATGTCCACACTTTGCGCACTGCTAGCGCCAACTCCTCCTCTAGCTGAACGCACCTCAGCGTCTTCTTCACCGCCTCCGATTGTACATCTTCGATGATCAAGCGTAATTTGGTCTTGGCAATCCTCTTGTCCATCCGATCCTCGTCTAGAGGCTTGTCCTTTGAGCTGCCGCTCATCTTTGCTTGGAAGACAAGGCGTGTCAGAAACACTCGCGCACCTGACGCGCTCCTCGACGACTCGAAGACGGATGGATGGAGAGCAGCAAGGTCGAGTCGCGGCGGCGGCATGCGTGTGTGTGCCTTCGATCCACGCGTTTGCATGCAGCAGCTTACACAGCAGCAGGACTCATGTTCGTCAAATCAAGTCACAATCGTAAACCCATCCGGGGAGGGGGGCCATAGCGAAGATGCTGGCTGAAATGGAGCCGCGTGCCGTGGCTGACTGGGAGCTGACCGGAACCCTCAACCTCAGGAGAATCACCTCAGCCTGCAGAGTTGAAGATTCACGTCCTTGTGAATCATCACGATGGACCTGCAATAAGCGACTCGCCATCGAACACAAGTTGAGCAGAAGGGGCAAAGCGGATATTATTACACATCTCGAAGACGCTGCAGCTTGCATCAGGGGAGCTGGTGCTTGACGACAGCCCAGGGCGAGATTGGGAATCAAGCTAGTCGCGGGCCGGCAGTGATCAGGATGAATCCCGGAAAGCAGAGCAAAGGAGAGTGAAGCGCACGGACGTGGGCGTCGGCGCTGAGGGGGGTATTCGGAGCTCTTCACCAGGGCATAAACAGATGGGGCCGCTCTTGCGCCTACCTTGGGCAACGTTCACCCTAGATCGCGGAGAGACAGAGAGGGAGGAGGCGCGCCCTAGTGCTCTTGGTGACCGCAACGTGTGCAGACCTTCTTGCGGTCGATGCAAAGTGCAATGAGACCGCAGGGGCAGCAAAGGATCGCGATGATGATGCCCACCACTCCGTACTTTGTGTCCATCGTGTGGTTTCCGCGCGCGCATTGGGCTGTGCACGAGCGCGATCGCGGTGAGCGCACAAGGTCAGCTCTCTCATCTCCGTGTTGCGCAAAGCGATGAATGAAGGGCAGAGCGACTCACCCATCACTGAGAATAGCGAGGTCGGACAAGCAGCGAGGCAGAATGGGTAGAGGTGGGATGTATGCGTCAGCTGCGATGCTCGTCTGTGCAATGCATGTTGCGGCAGCACCCCTTCCATCTGGGCCTCCAAGAGGCGCTACACGATCTGGTGAGGATGGACAACCATCCCGCTTCGCAGTCTCTCCCTCGTAGCAATGGGCGCACACAGCACCCATGCTAGACTCACTGTTCTGTTGGTACGCGACGCCTTCATCGATGCCATAGTGTTGTTGGTGCTGCTGCTGCTGAGGAGCAAAGCCCTGCTGCTGCTGCGGGTAACCCTGTGGCGGTGCGGCGGCATCAGCAGGATTATGAGCATGCTGAAAGTTACCGGGCGTGTAACCTGCAGTTGTGCCCAGCGAGCCAATACCACTAACACCTTGTCCGCTGTAGTGACCTGCTCCGTGAGAGTGAGAGGCATTGTGCTGGTGAGTTGCGCTGTGCTCACGAGGAAGGGCGGCAGGGGCAGCGCCGTACTGAGGCGCAGAGTTGGCGTCGTACTTTTCCGTCATCTTGTCCTTTCTATCAATTTGGGCTGCGGTGCGGTGCGGTGCGGTGCGGCGCGGTGCGGCGTGGGGTGTGATTTGTACGTTGAGGGTTGCTGAGCGATGCTTTGGCTGTTCGAGAGTACAAAGTCGAGCGAGATCGTTTGGGGAGGCGAGATGCTGGATGTGTCCAGGCAAGCAGGGCCCCCCACTCCTTCTTATACCTGCCATCCTAAGCATTCGAAAAGTCACGAACCCACACAGTGACTGTCGCGTGCACCTTTCCCAAAACAGACAAGACGCGCCCTCTCGCTTCACCACATCATGTGCTCCATGTCAGCACTCGCAATGCGAGGCCACGGCGGCGGCGGGAAGTCAAGAAGGTCTTTCCGAGTCTGGATGACCTCGTGGTACACTGCATATCATCATTGTGATTTCTTCTCGACATGGACCGCGCGCCCTGCCATCAGAACGCACGCGTCGGCACAGCCTCGCTGCACACGACACTTACGACTCCCCCATGCATTGCTGTGTCTGCGTTGCTGCTGCTGCTGCTGCTGCTGCGCTTTGCCCGCCTCCTGAACGCTTTGCTGCATGCATGCATGCGCTTCTCTTTCTTGACGTTGACGTAGCTTGCACACAGACAAGACTGATCCTGCGCCCCAGCATAGCTTGACAGACCGCATGAAGTCCCAAGGCACAAACTCATCACCATTTTCATCCGTGGAGCAGATCGAGCGTCGCAGCCGTCTCTTTTGGCGCGCGCAAGGCACAGATCATGCACATCCTTGCTCAGCCCGCTGCACGCCAACTCACAGCATATGCACATGGTCGAGCTGCATGCATGCACGCATCGGCGATGCTAGGCTACACACACCCTGACTGCTGCTTCAGCGACGCCTTCGATGCTGCTCTGCCGCACGCTCGTCCGTCCGGCACAGTTTCGCAGAGCGTTGCGTAAAGGACGCTAAGGCTTGGCGCAGCTTGACCCACTCGAATGCGCGCGCACGCGTGCATGCTTCACTCAAACGACTCAATTGTGTAGGAGCAGCAGCTAGGAGGCAGCGCGACAGCTAGGTCTAAGCTTGCATCCATGCACGCACGCTGAATTGCACAGCCCGGCCGTCAATCGATCAGGATCGACGAGTGAATGAGTGCATTCAGTGATCCATCGCAGCGCGCGACTCACGTTTGTTGTTGCGGTCTGACTGTTCTGGACATGCATGGCTGCGACCTCGGGAAGTAAGCTTGGGCCATCGTGAAGGTTTCCGCACCCCCCAAAAGACCCCACAAATCTGGGCTGCGTATCTCTGGATATGAAAAGACTGCTGCGTTCGAGGATTGCACGAAGTGAGTACGGGGACCGCCTTGTCGAGGTCTATGAGGAGGCTGATGCTGAGAGCTTGTGGGCGCAAGATCCATCTCGATACCTACGTGTTGCGAAGTCAAGGCGATTGAATTTTGAATGCCAATCGACACTTGTGGGATTGTTGTGACTTGAAGGCGTCAGTCGAAGCTCAGTGAGTGCGACTGCGCCATTGCCCGGCCTTAATTGGCCTGGTTGTGCGCCCGAGATGGCAGCACAGGCGGCCTGCCTGGGTACGCTACCCGGAATACGGCATGGCATGGGCTAGCTGCACAGTGGCCATCTTCGGCATGGCGCAAGACGCCCAACGCGGGCAAATCATCGCCGCGCCGGCCAACCGCAAGTCCTTAAGCACAATTAAAGGACCTACTCTTGCGGGAACGATCACAATCGTGAAAGGGAGCGCCAGCATGCACACGCTCCAGCTCGATCGCAATCATGCACCATTCCTCAGTCATCTGTTATCAGACCCAGGTGAGCAACGCATCAAGAAGGGCAAGAGGAAAAAGCTTTCGTCCTGTATGTCCCTATAGGCGAACAACTTCGCCCGGGCCGTAGGAAACTTCCAAGTCGATCAAGGCCCCGCCGCGGTTTGGCACGTGCACGCATGTGCGCCAGCCAGCAGAAGCAAAAAATTTGTTCAAGACAATCGTGAATCTCCAATACTTTCGCGATTCGCTCAAGGGATCTTTTGCAATTCACTTCGGCCATCCTGCTGCTGGATCCTGGCTCACGCGCCCTTGCCTTTCACAAGTCAATGACGGCGCGGACCAGGTGGTGACACGCTTATCCAGTACTAGGCTCTTTGGGTTGCAGCTCCAAAGCGCCACGCATCGATCGGCTTCTCGATCACATATATTTGCTCTGTCGAAGAATGGCTGACCCCGAGCCACGTCTTTCAGATCTTCTTGTGATGGATGACATTGATGCGGGAGTGTCTATGATGTGGGCCAGACTGTGACATGAACAGACGCTTGCTGCCAGGTAGCGGGCCACGGGAACATGCATGAAGAGCGATGAACAACGCTAGGCGTTATGCTCATCAATGAGAGCAATATTGAAAGACGAAGCTGACCTGTGGGCGGATATCATGCAGTAAGCCGCTGACCAATGCTGCATCTCGCTGGGGTACACGCACCTCGTCACCTTGGGTCTTTTCGGCTCGCAATAGATCATCATGGACGTTGTGCAGCTCATCCTTGGTGTAGTGATTCCACCTGCGAAAGCGAGGCAAACAAGGGGTGCTTCAGCAAGATTCTCATGCCTGGATGCAAACGAACTTGCACAACTCACGTTGCAGCGTCACCATACAGCATGGCGTGAGCTTTGATCGTCTGCTTGCCATTGCGACAGCGTTTGCACTTGTAAGTGTCGTGCGTGTCGCAGTGGGTGTGCTCGTTGAACTTGAAGAGCGCGCGCAAATCCTCCGAGGAAAAGTGGCGCTCAATCTCCACGCCTTCTTGCGCGTCGAGCATGCATGACGACAGCGACATTTTGTGAGACTGTCTTTGAAGAATCTTCTCTTCGATGGAGCCCGTCGCTATGAATCGGTACACGAAGCACGTCTTCTTCTGTCCGTCTCGCCAAATACGAGCCAGCGCCTGCTGGTCTGACGCGGGGTTCCAGTCGGGGTCGAAGAGCACCAAGCGATTGGCTCCGATCAGATTGATGCCGCATCCACCAGCCTTGGAACTGAGGAGGAAGATGAACTCCGGCGCTTCCGGATCGTTGAATCTGTCGACGAACTTCTGACGCTTCTTGATCGCCATGGTCCCATCTAGCCTAAAGCAGCCCCACCTGTTCAGGCGACACATCTTCTCGAAAATGTCTAGAGTCTGCGTAAAGTTTGAGATCAACACCACCTTATCTTTGCTAGTCTGACGCATCGTCGTCAAGAATCGCTCCAAGACCATCATCTTGCCGCTGAGCTCAGTGTGCACGTCCCGCCGATCATGAGGCGTATATCCTTCTGGAAAGTACTTTTCGCTTCCTACCAAGTCGTTTGACAAGTCCACAAGGTCGGGATGATTGCATAATTTGCGCAAGATTGAGATAGCTTTGAGGGGTTGCGAGCCTTTGCCACGGAGCAAGCTTTGAATTTCTGGCGACTTGCAAAACAGCTGGTAGAGCTTGAGCTGGAAGTCCGAGACCTTGCAAAAGACGACGTGCTCGTACTTGATGGGCACTGAAACATTAGAGCGAGGCCAGATCGGGTTAGTGACGGAGCACAATGCAGCGCTAACTCGAGCTTGACCCGACTCACAATACTTCGAAAGCAGGTCATTTGTTCGACGAATGATAAACTTGCTTACTATGCCCGTGAGCTCGGCAAGCTTCGCATCTCCGACCTGACGTTCTTGCTCGGACGCTGCCGCATCGCGGCCTTTGATGATGGGCATCTCAAAGTGACGACGGAACTCGAGGCGGCCTCCCAGCAGGTCGGGGTTGGCGAATTTGACGAGGGAAAAGTACTCCGTCAAGTCGTTCTGAGCCATTCAAAGAGTGTGAAAGGTCAGCTTCAATCCGCGCCGCCCGCATGTACGTGGCGTATGTGAGACCCACCTGTACCGGTGTTCCTGTCAGAATCACCCGTCGCTTGACCGGAATCTTGTCGAGCTCTTGATACGTCAGACTTTCCGCGTTCTTCAGGCGGTGCCCTTCGTCGGCAAGAAGAAGCCCCACGTTGCAATTTGCAAGCTCGTCGGAGATGTTGCGTAACGTCTCGTACGAGACAATCATGACTGCCAGAAAGACAGTAACACATGATGTTAGCTTTTGACCAAGGCGTCCGCAGAGACAGAACGAGAGACTCACCCGGCTGGACGATGGAACGACCCTTGGCGTCCGCCCAGCGACGGACAGCCGCGATCATCTCTTCGCGCGAGAGGGCTCCATCCAAAGCAAAAGCTCCCGGCGCCGAAGCTCCGAGCCACTTGACCAGCTCATTTGCCCAGTTACGCACCAGACTGGATGGGCATGCGATGATCGCCTTCTCGATAGTTGGCTTGTTCGCAATTGGAGACTGCTTGAGAAGCGTCCACATAAGAGTGATGCATTGCAGCGTCTTGCCCAGACCCATCTCGTCGGCCATGATTGAGCCTTGCGCATGTTCGTCTACCAGAGACGTCGCACAGCGATACAAAAACTTGACTCCTTCGATTTGATGTGGTCGAAGCACCTTGCCAAGACGCGGATCGATCACGACAGCCACCTTGACAGCTACCTTTTTCACTTCCTTGCGCAGACCCAGTATATCCGCGAGTTTTTTGTGAGGGGTGGGACCTGCTGCTTTTTCCTCAAGTTGACCTGCTGCCTCTGTCTTGGCCAGCGAGTCTGCTGCTAGCCGTTCCCTTCTCAGTCTTTCCTTTTCTCGCTCTGCCTCAGGATCATCGATGGTGGGGTCGAAGAGCACAATCGCATGCTCCGCCATGGGGTCGTGCAAGGGTCGAGGTGGGATTTCGATCGCCTTTCTAGTGCCCAATGAGATGCCCGTCAATCTCGTCTCGATGACTTCGCCATTCTTATTGCGCATGACTGGGATATTGAAAGCTTGCTTCATCGCTCCTTCTCTTGGCTTGAACACGTCCCATTTTCGATTGTCGACATTCAAAGAAACGCCTCTAGCGTCTATGCCTTTGTATACGCCTTCCAAGGATGTCATCTTCCCGTTCTTCCCAAACACGCCCGGCTTGCCTTTAGGCTTGCGCTCGTCATCTGACACTGCATCCAAGGTAGCCTCGCCATCACCATCTTCTTCTCCGCCCATACCAGCATAGTTGACGCGCTGTCTCTTCCGCCTTCCAGTCACCTCTCCATCTGATCCCTGCTTGGCGCTGGCGGACGTTGGTGCCTTGAATGGCTTGCGACCCAGAAGTGGGCCAAAGCCGCCACCGGTTGCGGTGCGTGGCGTCAGCGCAGAAGAAGCGTAGCCCTTCTTGGGCGCAGCGACAGGATGGCTCGAATTGGACGATGATCCTTCGACTGAGCCTGATCTCTCGCGTTCTTCAGCTAGAGCAGCTAGGACGATGCTGCGGCGCATATTGGACGGTGTGGATGTATGTATGCGTCTGGATGGAGAAGGGCCGTTCTGAGACGGAGGCCACTCTTGGGCGCCGGAATCCAAAAAGCTGACTGCTGAAGGTCAAACGGCAATCTGCTGATGTCTGTCTGATGAGACGAGAGAGGAGAGGTGATACGGGTCGGAACCGGACGTGGAGGACGTGGAGGTGGTGGAGAGAGCCAGGCTTCGTGCAGCCTTGCCAGTAGCATCTGATGTGTACTCTCTGCTGACTACGCGGTGTTGAACAGTATCCCACCGTGGTCGCGCCCGGCAGCGGGCAGTCACCCCAAACGCACAAAGGCCATCCATCACGCGCGCGCAGCCACGCGCCACCAACGCGCGGCACGCGTCCGGTCACGCGCGCTTCACCGCGCGTAAAGTGGAGGGAGTGACTATGCACATCAGAGGCTGCGTGATGCTGCTGCGAGAGGCGCTCACCATTCGAATCAAGAATCCGAAGCTGCATCCAAGCAGCAGATAAAGCAGTCAACGCGAACATCGCGATGTCGTTTACGGCTTCTAGTCCGCCCTACCATCCACGACTGTCATCACACCGTACGCACCTCAACATTGGTCACATTCCATCCTACCATGGGTGAGTGTCATGGGAGCAGACTACCTTTGCCAAGCTAGTCACGTCCCCGTTGCTGACCTGCAGCTCCTGCAACAAAGCCAAAGCTGACGCTACAAGAACGCATCTGGCGCCCGCCGGCTCCTTCGCAGGTCTCTCCTTGTGGCTCGTACCATCCTCGTCGCAGGCCACAACGCTCTCGTCTCTTCAGCAACATCTATCATCCCTGCCCGGTCCCCGCACCAGCGCACCCTTTGAACCTCACGTCACGCTCCTTTCGGGTGTGGGTCAACAGGCAGACGATGCTGACTCGGTGTGGGACAAATTGCAAGGATCTATCAAAGTTACACGAAAGCATGACAACGTCGTCGACTTTGCATGTCCAATCGTCGATGCAGTGACTCGCGGCATGTACTTTCAGGTGCGTGGTAGGCTACTCGATCGGTCCACATTCTCGGTGTGATCTCGAACACAGTACCGACGCAACGAAGTCCCCCCTCATCTCCCACGTGCACAGTGCGTACTATTACAGCTCGACATTCCCGAATCGCTTCTGCGACTCAATCGCGATCTGGCAAAAGCATTTGATAAGCCACAATCTCCCCCCTACTTTCCCCACGCCTCCCTCCTATACGGCGACATGACGCTAGACCAAGCAGAGTCGCACATCGCACAACTGCGCGAAAGCGGTTGGGTCTCAAACGGCGCAAACGCCCATGCCAGTGCTTGTTCTGTTGGAGGTCCACAAGTCGCAAAAGAGGATCGTTTGACACACTTGCAACTTGTCAGCATCGAGCTGTGGGACACCAACGGACCCGTGCAAGATTGGAAGAGATTAAGAAGTGCACAGATCGACAGCTTGTATGCATGAAATGAGGACAATCTCGAGTGCACTGGGGCTGTGTGCAGGTGTTATGATACATCGAGTGGTGAACTTCAAGCCTTGCATCGTGCCAAGTCTATCAACCCAAAACCAAAGCTGGCATTCAGACCCACTTATCTCTAGAGGATGACGAGCTCTCTCTAGGCCCAAAGTCGTCTCTACGCCCACGTGGAAAACGTCGTGACCCAAGGTCATCCCTGCGCTGGCCAGATCGCTGAAACGAGCCAGACTGTCCTCCGGCAACCGCGTCATTCTTGCGATCCTGCTCCCTTTTTTGCTCCAACGCTGCCAAACGTCTGCTCCTGGCATACTTGATAGCTTCCAAAGTCCACGCGATCGCATTCTCCGTCCTGACCTTGATCTCGAGCGTCTGCTCGGCATAAGGGAAGGCAAGAGGAAAGCGGAAGTGCAGCCAGGAGTACAGGGTGACGCATCGATGCAGGGACTCCAAGAGCTGCAAAGAGTTTACGTCCAAGCCTGGTGGCTCCATGTGCGCCGCAGAGGGCAGCGCGCGCTTGTCCTCCGAACCTTTTGCAGAAATACGAGCAACGACTTCTTCTGCTTTTCTTCGGCACTCCTCGGCATTGTCGAGCGCTTGGAGCATGTCCAATCCTTGTTCGCCTTCCGCGACGCTGACCAAGCCTCCCCTGCCAAATCCACGAACCAGGTTCTTTGCAAACGTCAGCACTCGCTCGTCCCTGCTATTGACAGGAGCTCGGGAGATGGCAAATTTGTCCAGAATGGGTATCGCAAAGTCTCGCGTTGCCTCCTCTATCATGTCCGCCAATATGTGCTCCTCAGCTTCGCCAGCGAGGTAGTATGTCGACGTGTCGACCCTCGCCAGATCTTTGAACGCAGTGAAAAGTTGGCTCAAGCTCGGCACCCCTTGGGTGATGTCGTACACTTCGCAGTCGAGAATCGCGTGACCTGCTGACTTCCTGTAAGTCTTTGTGAGGTCCGCATCCAACAATTTCTGTTCTTCTGCCGAGTTGAATTTGACTAAGGCGTTCTCGCTCATCGGATACTGTGTCGGGCTGACGTACGCCCTCCACACTTGACTATCTTCCCGGCCTGCTTCGTCTGGTCTGATACCGCTGTACAGCTGGTTCGCATAGATGCCTGTCTGCGGCACACCCATCAGGGTCGATAGCGCGGCCACGGCATCGTTTGTTGGACCAAGGACGGCACGTTCGATGGGCAGCAAAGGGGCTGCCAGTGCCTTTCGAAGAATCGGCAAATCGGTTTCTTCCATTGTTGTGACTTCACCCCCGGCCTCTTCGCCCGGCGCACCAGTGCCGTACCGGCCCGCACGACCTGCGATCTGCTTGATCTGGGAGCCCGACAAAGACACCGTCTCTTTACCGTTCCACTTGTGCAGACTTTCAAAGACGATGCGCTTGATTTTGCTGCATCACAATGACCATAAAAAGATAGAGGGTGAGATGTGGTCTTGGATGGTTGCCTGGTCGCAACTTACAGATTGAGTCCCATCCCGATCGCGTCGCTTGCCACCATGACATCCAAGTCGCTATCAGGATCATTGAACATCCGGGCTTGTTCCGCCTTGGTTTCCGGAGGCAGCGCTCCGTAAGCAATAGCACATCGCAATCCAGTCGTTTGCTCAATCTTCTCTTTGAGGGAGAACAGACCGGATCTGCTGAAGCTAACGACGGCATCGCCCTTCTTGATGTTTTGAAGGTCATTCGTCAAGCTCTTGTCGCTAACCCGGAGTGGCGAAAGTCGGTCGTATCGGTGCACTTCCACCTTATCTCCACATGAAGCAGCTATCCTCTCGATCAGTGGCACTACGCTCGCTTCTCCGCACAGATGCACCTCTTTGGCAGGCACGCCGAGCACTGCAGATGTCCAAGCCGGACCTCTTGTGGTGTCCGCTATCATTTGTATCTCATCGATGACAGCGACGTCTAGAAGATCATCAAAGCTAAGCATCTCCACAGTGCAAGCTGTCAACGATGCGTCTCTAACACTTCTCCTCTCCTCGCCGGTGACCAGATTGCAAGGCCGAGCAGCGACACCAGGGCTGACTGTACCCTTGTTTATGCGATCCCACACTTCGTGAGCCAGCATCCTCAAAGGTCCGCAGTATGCTCCGTTCCTTGCGCTACAAAGCGCCTTCAGAGCGCCGTGCGTCTTTCCGCTGTTGGTGGGGCCAACATGCAGGTGGAAGGTCCTTGTCATGCTCCTGGCAATAGGATATTCGAGCTGTGGGAAGCGCAGGTCGGTGGACGCTCGAATGGTCTCAAAATGCGAAGCCAAGTTGACGCATGCTTCTGCTTTCTTGCGCATGTATATGGCTCGCAGAGTAGTGCTCGACCCTTCTTGCACGTCTGCAACTGGCTCGAGCGAAGGTGGCGTGAATTGCTTGGATGGAAACTTTGTTGGGGATTGTAGAGACTCGGCAGGCGGTGGCTGACCGGCTTGTATATCGAGCTGCGCTGCAGCATCCAGCAAGTCGTCGTGTATCCTATCGATGAAGGCATTGACAACGATGTTCTGAATGCAGTGCTCACCCTTGAGGCTGTACGCCATCTGCAGAGATTTAATGTCCCACGCTCGGCTAGCAGCGGAGAGGGTCGCCGATTCGGCCGCCCCTAGCGACTCTTGCGTAGCTGCATACTCCTCTCTTGCCCTTTTGACCTCCGACACTGCGGTGCCGGCCCAGCGTCTGACGAGCGAAGAAGCGATGTTGGTATCGTCCCTATCCGAGTAGTCGGAACCTGGTATCAAAGCCCTCGCGCCTGGCCCTCTTAATCCAAAGGTGATGGCTTTGTCTGCCAGCCATCCGGGTTGCTGCCGAGTCGCTTCCAGGTTGTTCATCAGCGCTCGCGTGACTAGCAAGATGGAAGGTGGCAAGGGTGGTGCAAAGTCGGGCTCCTGCGCTGGCTTTTGCGCGTAGGTTGGTCGCTTAGTGGGAGGATGCCTTTCTCTCCAACGGAATGGTGTGTTCTTTTGAGAACCTGATGGGGGCCGAGGATCTCGCAAAGAAGTTGCTGAGGTGTGAAGATTTGCATACCGCAGCGTGGGCATTCTGCGCTCAAAAGGAGTGCTTCTTGAGCGCGGCGAGAGTGGGGACAGCTGTCGACATTGACACGCACAACCTTGCCTAGCATCACCGAGCGCGGTAGGAAAGTGTGGACCGAAGGGCGATGCATGAACAGGCCTCGCCACGACCCTCAGCCTCGCGGCAGCAGATGCGACGCCCGCCATGATGAAAGATGACCAGATGTCCGTTGGTTGAAGACCCCAAAAGACTGCAAGAGGCTGATGGATTTGCCATAGAGGTGTGCTGAATGCTCCAAGTTGATTGACGCTGGCGAATCGCCCGCAGCTAAGGACGAGGGAGGAGGCTCCCGATGAGACTTTACGATGACTGCATATTGGATCACAGGTGAGCCCCCGTCTTAGAAATGAGCCTGCACAGAGCGTTGTTCCCCTTTGTGATGATCCAGGTAACTTTGGAAGGGTGTGCATCTCCCCGGGATACTTCACTCGAGGGCGTGTCTGACGGAAGTGTTGAAAGCAGCGGAGAAGCTTATGAAATTTTGTCTCACGTGACTGGAAACCCCTTCTTCGCATCCTCCGGTGTCACGTGTGCTCATCATCTTTTGCAGAGGACGCGTTAGTTGGGCCTGGAAATTTCGAAGCGCCGCGGGAGCTGCGCTTACCGCGCGCTTCGTCAGCCTCTCGCGTTTCCTACCGTCCGTCCTCGGTTTCAACTTCTCGGCTGTTCCATGCCGCTGATGCCTCTCTGACACCTCACAACCTCTTCTCTTTCCTCCCCGGAAAGTGCGCGTGTCCAGCACTCTAATGTGACCCACCACCATGCAGCTTGCAGCCCAGAGGGCCTGACGACCCACTCAGCGTAGCTCTGCCCTTGACATTTTGAACCAGGGCCTCCGTCCAGCGACGGAGCTGCTTTCCCTTTCGGCATGCCGCTACAAGGTTGGGGTAAATACCCTGCCATGGAGACGCCCACTACTTGGTACGATGATGGAGCTACTGGCGGGCGTATCAAGGAATATCGCGTGCTCAAGGTATGTCCCAATGCAGAGGCCGCTCTCACTCTGCTCAGGAGAGTCGGCAGCATCGTCAAGCCCATCATGGCGAAGCACGGGTGGCGTGAGTTCTCTAGCGCAAAAGGTCGGAGCGACGAGTCCTGCTGACTGCAGTCATCTCTCTGTATCGCCCTACAGACCTGCCTCAATTGGTCGAGTTCCTGCCCCGAGACGAGCGTCTGCTGGGGCTGAACGTGAATCATGGCCAAAAGATCTGTCTAAGACTTCGACGAAACAAAGATTCCACAGATCTCTTTGCCGAAGACATGGTAGTGGAGACGATGCTACACGAGCTCACACACAACGTCCGAGGACCTCATGACGAGATATTCGACCAGCAACTCAAGGAGCTTACTGAAGAGTGGTACGAATTGAGAAGGAAAGGTAGAGCTGATGGGGAAGGAATCTTGTCTGCCGGAAGAAGCGTGGGTGGCTCGCGCGCGCCTGGCAGTCGAGCTGATGCGAGAGAGGCTGCAGCGAGAGCTGCCGAAATGCGCGCTCAGAGAGGCACCGGCGGAAGGCTGGGCGGATCCTGGACTAGCAACGTTATCGTGACCGCAGAAGACCGTAGGCGTGTTGCAGCGGAGGTAAGTCTGAAGCGTGGTGTACACTCCCATCAGTGGGGAAGCGCGCTGATCCTGTGCACGCTGTCTGTGGTCAGGCTGCGGATGCGCGTGCTCGCCAAGCGACACGTCACCGTCAAGAAAACCTCAAGCGCGGAGGTGGATGTCCGTCCAGCCAAGGAGAACTCGAAGCAGCATCCGCAGAACAACAGGCCCAAGAAGCCAAAGAGACGTTGAAAGGCGTCGAAGTCGTCACTCTGCTAGAGGATGCGCACGAAAAGTCTTCAGCTCCAAGCTCGGGACTCTCGAGCAATGCTGCTTCGGAATCGCAGGGGAATCCCGAACGGAAATTCAAGACTCCGCAATATGTAGAACTTTCCGACGACGAGGAGCCACTAAGACCGCTTAGCACAAATGGCGAAGCGTCCTCGCCATCTTTGATCGCGTCGAAGCGCGCTCCAAGCGGACAACCGAATTCGGGCGCGTTTGTCTTGGACAGGGGGCCACCGCAATCCTCACAGGAACGCTGGTCATGTCAAGTCTGCACGCTTCTCAACCATCCGGTATCCAAGTCATGCGACGCATGTCAGGCTGCTAGACCGGGCGCTGTGCAACTTCGCAAACCGCTCCAACAGTCGAACGCGGATTGGAACTGCGCGCGATGCGGATACCTCATGGCTGGGGACAAGGCTGACTTTTGGGTCTGCGAAATCTGTCATGGTATGAGGCCAAGCTGAGAAGGCTGCCTCAGTCCCTCTTGCCATTCCCCGATGCAGAGCTTGCTGAATCCCTGCAATTTATTGCACATGCTTACGACACGATCCGAGCTCAGTACCGTTGCGCGCCATATTGTACAAATACATTTCGATTGTGCTTCTGATTGACATAGGTGCTTGATCTGAAGCTGAGCAAGACTCTCGGAGGAATCTGGCAAAGACTGTTAAAAGACTTCGACGTCAATCGTGGCCCCGCAATCGCACTGTTGCGTACCATCGCCAAGATCTTGCCACTCGTGCGTATGATTCCCTGTCTCCTGCCTCTTTCTAAACGTATCGTTCATCGTTCTCCTTCTGAGTTCCTTCAATCCCTGAGCAAACTTCTTTCCCCTCTTGCGCGCCTTTTCGTCTTCTCTTCTTTGAAATTCGTTGTCCAGACCTTCTTCAGAACCCCACTTGGCGGCGCTGAATGCGTAGGCTTCGACCTGGCAGCGCAAAAACAACATCATGTTACTGTAGGATGCCTTGTGCGGATTCTTCTTGAGGAGGTGCGGGAGCAGCTCCGTATCTTTCAGTTCCGCTAAGGGAAGAGGTTAGCAGTCACATCAAAAGGGTCGAATCACGTCAGCGCAGCAATGAGACGCCTGAGCATTGTGACTTGGTACAGACGCACCATCCGTAAGCAAGTAATCCTCTTTGACTTCAGTCTTTGTTAACAAGCTGTACTTTTCTGGCAACCTCTTGCTGCAGCTCCTGCACACCCTGACACCGAACACCCGTCTGAGCTGATCGTCGATCTCGAGCGACTGGCATTCCTGACAAGCCTCTTGCCGAGATGGATCGAGCATCATTCCTGCGAAAACGATGGGGTGAAAAGATTTAAGGAAGTGGTCATGTCAGACCCGTCGACGAGGATGCGCGGGAGGGTGTATGCACTCGCATCGATGCTTCTACATCAGTGCGACTCACCGGGCTCCATGTCAGCCTTGATCCTCTCCCGTTCCCTCTCCTTCTCCCTTGCCAGCTCTTCAGCAGTCTTGGAGTACTCGTCCCCTTCCTCTACCAAGAAACCACCCTTGGAGTTGTGCAATCTGCTCAAATCGTACTCGATGTAATTCCCCAGCGACTTGTCTCTTGGCAAGGGTGCATTCGAATCATCTCGAGGCTGACCCGCTTGGGCCAGTTGACCTCGCTTGGTGGGTGACACCTTGGTAGCTTCCGAGCCCAGATTGGCATTGCGAGAGTTGGAAGGGATGGAAGATGAGAGATTGGCATTGGGACCTACCGTGGGACCCGAGTAGGATGATCTACCAGACTCGAGCGACAGAGGACCTTGTGGTCGCTTTCCATTTCCATTCAGCGTGGTTGGGTTCTGTGCTGCTGCCAGACTTTGTAGTCGCGCCTTGGCTGCAAGCGGATGGAGCAAGTCGAGGGATCAGCGAGAAGTATCATCATCAGCTCTGACGTATTGCCACCGCTCAGCTCACCTTTTAGCCGATTCTCTTGCATGATCCTCACATGGTCCGGTGTACCGCTCGGACCCGCTTCGAGGTCGCGAGGTGGCGTAGCAGGAGCCATCTTCGCGTACGAATGCTGAGCTACTCCACTTGTGGAGTCGGAATGGCGGATGGAGTAAGATGCTTCGAAAATGCGCGAATTTGAATTGTCAGAGATGCGCATCCGCGAGATGAGGGTGCATGGTAAGATTTCGCGATAGCGATTGGCGGGGAAGATTCTGTTGATGCGAAAGGGCGAGGAGTCACTAGTAGAAGAGAGTGAGACGTCGGATGCGAACGTCAAGCGGTTTCTGGTCACATCCGAGGTGCGTGCATGTCTCCGCCGCTGTCACGTGCTGATCAATCATGAATCAAGAATCAAATGCTTACCCGCGTGATTTGTGACTCGTGACGACTCAAGACTCACGACTCTCGACTCCGAACTTGATCAGCCCTCGGATTCCTGGTCCGCTTCTCGATCGCGAGGCAGTATGCACGCAGCATGCACGAATAGCACCGAGACTGGTAGGATAATTGCCGAGGAGCGAAAGTTGGCGGCAACCGCATGATCAAGTCACCTCACCTACACACCTCTCGATCCAAGCAGCGCCTGGTCGCCTCGTGACGCAAACTCCCACTGAAGCAGCACACTCACGACTGAGCCCCAGACCCAGGCGCTCGCCGCGTCAGCTGCACTGTACTACACCTTCTTTGGCATCGCATCATCCACTCACCTCTGACCTCGGCTCTTGCTGGACCGTCGCGATGGCGTCCACTTCCGACACGCAGAATGATCTCCGCTTTGACAAGGAACTGTTCAAGAAGGAGTTGCAACGATTGGTGGACGATCATTCCCTTGACAACTTGTTTGATGCTCGAGTAGCTCAATTGTTGGATGAGGGTCAGGGCGAAGGTGAAGCGGACTGGAGGTCTATGCGAGCCGAGTATCGCCTGCCCACGCTCAAGCACGCCGGTGTGCCAGGCGGCAGCGATGGTGAGTATGGGGTCAGCAGACGCGAGCAGGCGATGCTGTTCTGCTGAGCTTCGCACATCCCACACTCGTGCTACAGAGCCAGCCATATACCTTTGCGGCAACTCTCTGGGACCGATGACAAAGAGGACCGAGCTGTACGTACAGCAAGAACTCGATGCCTGGGGTCAAAAGGCCGTCTTGGGTCACTGGGATCATCCGCATGGCCGACCTTGGACAAAGTGCGAGGAGCGGATAGGCAGAATCATGAGTGACATGGTTGGTGAGTCAACAGACGCAACATTCGTGCGCATGTGCTGGGACGCTCTAGGGCTCACTCAGGCATCGGGCACCGCATTCATCCAGGCGCCAAGCCATCGGAAGTCATCGTCATGTCCACCTTGACCGCCAACTTACACAGTATGCTGGCCACTTTCTACCGACCTGGCAAGCAGCTGCCGCAGAGTGGCTGGAGTGCGCAAGCATCGCCCAGTGTGCGCGCGAACTACAAGCGCCGCACCAAGATCCTTTACGAAGCCAAGGCTTTTCCGTCGGATCAGTACGCTTTGGCTAGCGCAGTCGCTTTGGCTGGAGAGGATCCCAAGGCAGCCCTCGTGCCTTTGCATGCGCCCGTGGGTAGCGACACCATAAGCACGGAGGACATCCTGCAAGCACTAGAAGTGCATGGCGACGAAGTGTCCATGATCATGCTTGGCGGGTTGCAGTACATAACTGGACAGCTCTTTGATCTGCCTCGCATCACTCGACGAGCTCACGAGTTGGTGAGACACTAACATCACATCAAGTCGTGAGCCTGGCGCTGACTTCCTGCGCATCGACCGCGCTCGCAGGGCATACTTGCAGGATTTGACCTCGCGCACGCCTTTGCCAACGTCCCTCTTGCATTGCACGACTGGGAGGTCGATTTCGCAGTCTGGTGCACGTACAAGTATGGGTCTTCTGGACCTGGTGGCATTGCCGGCGCTTTTGTACATGAGAGGTGGGGCGACATTGGTATGCGAACCCACCTTGATCGGCCCGACGCGTACGAAGGAGCCGAGGGCTTACTTAGGTGAATTTGCGCTCGCCACTGCTCTTCGCGCGTTGATGGTCTGGCTTACGATTTCCCCAATCAATCGAACGCTTTTAGACCGGCTGGCTGGTGGGGACATGAAAAGAGCACCCGCTTCAGCATGCCAAACTCTTTCCGCTCGATGAAGGGAGCAGCGGGTTGGCAGCTATCAAACCCTTCTGCACTAGATGCTGCGGCTTTGCTAGGCTCTCTAGAGACGCTGGCTCAGGTGGTCAAGGGTCAAGATGTGGGAGCAATAGAGTGGGCAAACAAGATCGAGTCTATTGAAGGCACTACTGCCATCGGCAGTGGTCAAATCATGCCACGTCTCAGACCTAGGTCAGCGAGACTGACCGCCTACCTTGAGCTGCTACTGCTGGAACATTTCATCCCAAAGCAAACGCAAGTGCGGATCATCACCCCTGCAGACCCGAGCCAACGCGGCTCGATGTTGAGTCTGCGTGTTCCGGACGTCACAAGGGCCGATCCCAAGTTTGCAGCGTTGGAAACGGCTCAGGCACAGCTGGGACAGTCGCAATCACTTGCTGCCAAGGGCGAACACACCGCTCCAACGGCAGCTGATCGAGTGGCCGAGCCCACGTCTGCGCAGACCTTGGTCAGCAGAGCGCACAAGAGGGCAGAAAGGACGAGCGGGTTGATAGCTGATGTGAGAAGTCCGGATATCGTAAGGCTCGCTCCCCTTGCGCAGTACTCCACTTTCGCCGATGTGTGGAAAGCTGCCGAGGCGTTTGGCCAAGCTCTGCGCATCGAGTTGGGTCTCGATTGAGCGTGTTGTGGCACGCACAGCCAAGCACTTGTCGAGCGGCTTCAGATACAGTCATTGTTCATCATGGTCCTCCTTTTTACGATTTGCAGACACGTCGCAAGCGAATCACAGCATGTCTCGTTCCTGGCTCCACGCCCCCTTTCGCGATCGCACCAGTCACGCAGAATCTAGATCTCTCAAAAGCACCTGTGTGCATACCTGTCTATTTGCGGGCGTGAGGGTACAATGTCATCGGCAAGCCATTCACTGAGCAGCTTTTTGCAATTGCAGCACCTCCTCAGCCCTTGCGACGAGGTGCGCGACGTCCTTATCGCTCCAATGCGTAAATGACCGCGGCAAGTCCAATGCGCTGCTGATTTTCACCTTGAGCACCTCCAATTCGGCTTCCTTTCTAATCCCTTCCAATTGCGTAGCAATCTTCTTTTGGTGCTTCTTGCCGCTTGGAGAGAGCAGACCTCCGAGCGTGTATCCGCCTAGCAAAATACCGAGCAAGACGTACAGACCTGTGCTGTCAGAGGCACTGAACTGAGCAGGTTGGGGCGAGTAGGATGCTCTGCTGCTGCTCGTTCCGTCGTCGTTGCCACTCGTTGATGCGCGATCCGGCGCGGCATTGGAAATTGCCGCCGAAGCTTCGCCGAGTGCTACTTTGGCCACATCAGCACCTACGCGAGCACCTTCCAAAATTTTGGAAGACACCTTTGCCGCTGCCTGTTGCGTCTCTGCAGAAGGTTCAGCAATACCCAAATCCCTTCTGAAAGCGCCCAGCAATTCTTTGATGCCGTTCGTCATGCTCTGCGTTGCTCCTTGCGCAATCGCCCCTGCCCCTCCCGCAGCTCGACCCGAAGTGCTCTGCTCGAGAGAAATGTCCTCTGGAAGCGTCACGTCGCCCAATGTGTGCGCCACGTCCGCACCGGCAGCGATACTGATCTTGCGAGGTGGAACATAAGGCCTTTGAGCTTCGGCAGAGCCCGCCCCTCTTTGAGTCGGATCAAAGTACGCAGTGAAAAGTGGCTGAGAGGGATTTGGAAAGGTGGACGTGCCGGTGAGCACGCTACGCAGCACATAGCATGTACCCGCCATCATATCGGGACCACGACTCACCACTTGTGGTCCCGACACAGGAGGCGGCTCGTAGTAGGGAATCTTGACGTCGAAGAATGCCGCCGGTTTGGGATTCTTGATGGGTGGCAGGCCGGGAGGATTTGAATCAGGGCTGGAAAGCTTTGTGAGATCGGGCAGAGCATCTTTGGAGTTGGATACTTGGCCTGGCAGGATGTTGGGAGGATGAGGCACAGAAGCGTTGGTTCGGCTGTCCAGCTCTGCGGTATTTGCAACGTTGGATTCAGTTGCGGGAGCAGCTTGAGGTGCAGGAGTCGTCGAGAGGCGCCTGCTTGCAGTGGACGAGTTACCAGAGGCTGCGGATGGCTTCGTCACGTTGGGAACGCCAGCTGCTCTCTTGCCGTCATTGTCCAACAAGCGTTGAATCAGATCTGCTCGCTTGCCTGTGGTTGAGAGGCCTCTAGATTTCAGCTCAGCCTTGAGCTCCGTCGCCTTGGCTGCTTGATACGAGTCGCGCTACGGTGCAAGTCACGGCAAGCGAGGGACTCGTAGGTGAGTCGAGAGCCAATTAAAGACTGGACGAAGTGCAGGACAACTCACGCTGAGCAGCACTGTAGATACCATGCCTCTGTACAGTGCTGGTGTGGACGTGGCCGAAGCGACAGCAGCCGTGGCCGGTCGCGCGGCGGATGAGGAGAGCGATCTCAGCATGACGATGATGCGTGCTGATTTCCAGCTCGGTGTGATGATCGATGGTTGAAGCAAGGATGCTCCTCTCGTCAGGGCGGCACAGGAGGCAGTGCGAGTGTTGAGGTGCACATGGTCGTATGAGATGCAAGCAAGCACAACGGGACAGCATTGGTCGCGCCCATGCACCAAAAGCAGTCAATCGTGAATGCACCAGCAGTGCCGTCGAATCGCCGTGCCCTTCGATCCTTCCGCGCTCACACTCGAGACTCGTGACTCGTGACTGTGATTCACATTCACATTTGTGATTGATCAATTCACAATCACGAATCCGAATTTGATTTTTGATTGTTTGTGACTTATCGTGCCACGTGTTCGAGGCAGCATCCGTGCAGCGCTGGTGTTGCGTGCATGCTTGCTTTGCAGCATATTCAGACCAAACGCGGATGCAGCCGGCTTGGCGGGCCACAGCGCGCGCGCGCGCGAAGGTTCGAAGGTTTGTTGATTCGTGATTCTGGTCAAGTCGTAATTGCACCGACAAGCGCGCTTCACCGACCACGAATCTACGAGTTCCTTGACCTGTCCCCACCTCATTGGCCTTCATCCTTCACGCACAGACACACGCCCCCTCGAGAGCCCGCTGTTGGCAGCGACTCGAACATCGTCGACCTTCCTGGCGCTTCCACACCCGCCCTCGCCCCTTCCACTCTCGTCCTTTGCGGTGGATCCAACCCTCGAATATGGCTTCGCGCCTCGTCGCCAGCCGGCCGCTTAGGCCTAACAGCAGCTCCACCGTCTTGCTGAGACGCCCTGTACAGTCGGCAGGCATCGCGAACCGAGTGAGTAGATGGTCAGCGAGCGAAGAGCTCTGCGATGCCGTCTCAGACAATTCTGACCCTTGCTTTCACCTCACTGCTCCAGTTGGCATCCACAGCACCTGGCGCACCTGATCCACAATTGAAGAAGAAGCGAGTGCTACCAAGGCTTATCTGGTACTCTACCTTGGGTCTCACGCTCTTCTACACCGGCTCCACCATCGCTGCCATCAACAATGACCGCGCCCAAGATTGGTACATCGAGAAGGTCCCTTTAGCATCCACTCTGTTGGACCTGCTGGAGAGCCAAGGATATGCGGACAGTGTCAAATCAAGCACCATTGATGGTGTAGTTCGAACCGGCCAGAACATCGCGGGAGCTTCAGCACGAGCCTACAGTGCTGCTAGGGACAAGATTGAGGACTTGAGCGGCGCCGGCACTGCGGGAAGCGGCGATGGGTCGGCTTTGCAAGGAGCAAAGCAAAAGGCCCAAGAGTCTGCCAGACAGGCAAGGGAACAGGCCGACGAGGCTCGAACAAAGGCGAAAGAGGCGGCGTACAAGATTGAGAGAAAGGTAAAGTCAGCTTCTCAAGACGCTAAGGCTGGTGCTGAGAGCACGAAGGAGTCGGCGGGCGGACTGGTGGATTCGCTCAAGTCCAAAGCTGATGAGCTCGTAGGCAGAGGCAAGGAATTGGCTGGTCAAGCAGAGAAAGAGACAGAAAAGGCAACATCGAAGGTTCAAAAGGAGGGCCGAGGTCTGCTCATCAAAGCCAAAGAGGCCAGCGACAAGCTGGTGGACGACAGTCAGCCTTTGCAAGGTCCTATTCCTCTCTCTCACGAAGCTCCTGCGGGCTACAAGGCCCCTCGAACGGATCGAAGCTTGCAGGCCCCGACACATGATGCCACCTCGAGCAGACTCAGAGAAGATCCTGGAGCTCCCAAACTTCCCAAGCTGGCCCCTTCGTTGGCTAGTTTGTCTGGCTCGGAGCCCATGGTTGGTCAATTGGCTGCTACCATTGACGAGCTGGCTGCGTTTTTGAAGGACACACCGGCTGCTGCCAGCACCACCGCCAAGGGTGTGCTCGATGGCGCACAGAAGGAACTCAAGGGCTTGGCAGACAGGCTGGAGACCATCAAGCGCACCGAAGCTGCTCGAGTTGAAAGGAGCTTGGCAGACGCGGCCGTCAGATTTGACAAGGACTTGGCCAGGGCTAGGGATGAAGCTACGCGCAAGGTCGGAGAGGTCGACTCTGCTTGGCAAAAGCGACAAGTAGACGAGCGCAAGAAGCAGAGAAGCGAGTTCGAAGCTCAACTGAGGAAAGAGCTGGATACGCAGAGCGCAATCATCAACGAGCGACTGAAGGAGGAGGTAGTAGCGCAAGGCATCGAGATGCAGCGAAGGTGGTTGAGGGATCTCAAGAAGAGGGTTGAGGAGGAGCGCGGCGGCAGATTGGCGCGATTGGATGAGCTGGCTAGCGATCTGAAGGCCATCGAGAAGGTCACGCTCGACAACTCCTCTCAGCTGGATCTTGGAAGCCATGTTCACACTCTCTGGGCAGCTTTGAGATCTGCCAGCGTCGCTGCACTTGCCGACGAGACGGCGCCGGAGCTGGAAGAAGGACAAGCACGCAAACGCTCGTTCAGGGAAGAGCTCGGCGTCTTGAGGAACAGTGCTCGAGCTACTGCCGACCCGCTGATCCAAGCTGCGGTTGATATCCTCGAGACGAGCCCCTACGTTGATGTCGGCTTGGAAAACTTTTCCTTTCTCTCCCGATGGTTCTCCGAGAGAGTTGCACCCGCCTGTCAAAGAGCAGCATTGGTACCTGACCACGCCGGCATCGGTTCTCACCTCGCCAGTGCCGTCTTTGCACCTCTGCTCTTCACGCGCAAAGGATACGTCGAAGGAGACGATACGCCAAGCACGCTTGCCCGGGCTCAGTACTGGCTCGACAGGCGCGACCTGGACGCTGCGGCTAGGGAAGTGAACAGCCTCAAAGGATGGCCAAAGATTCTCGCTGGCGATTGGCTTGACGCTGCTAGAGCTCGACTCGAAGCGCAACAAGCGTTGGAGGTGAGTCGATGTCATCTTGCCGCTCGACTGTTTGTCCACCAGCTGATCCTCCCCTCCCGGCTCGCCTCAGATTGTTGGAGCTCAAGCGAGCTTTGCCTCCCTTCAAGTCGCTTGATTTCATCTCTCATTCCTCACTTGTCGAGGCGCGACACGCAAACCAAAATAGATGCTTTCTCAGCTCTCGACGGACGTTGATGAATTACTGGTTGCAGACGCCCGCGACTATATTTCCTGTAACACGAAATTTACGAATACAAGTGTAAGTCAAGGAGGAGGTGTACTCGCGCGATTAGCGAGTCGCCCATTGATGGAGTTCTCAAAAACGAAGGAGCGACAGTGGTGAGGTGAGAGATGTGTGATGGTGGATGTAACGACGGTAAAATGAATTATGGCTTTGGAGCTTTTGTTGGGAGCGGGCCATGTCTCACTGCCCTTCTGCAGCCTTTTCGGCAGGCGGTTGCACAGCAGAGACCGAAGGGCTGTTAAGTGCGAACCAATGCCTCTCGCGCGTCAACATGCGGGAAGTGTGCAAGCCTGCGAAAGCGGCAAAGAGGCCAGACCAGCCAATGCCCAAAGCGATGGAAGCTCCCCAGCAAACATCTTTGTTTGTGACAAAGTGAGCTAGCAGACCTGCCCAGACCTGCGTTGCGCGTCAAGTGTCAAAAGCATTCACGATTCTGTCAGTCTTCGTTGGTTGGCGCTCGTCTGACACGATTCGTGGCGAAACTCACAGGAAAGAGGATGCCCCACACTGAAAAGATCAGAGACACATCCCTGCACAAAGTTTGAAAGATCGGACTGGTGCGGTACCTCCTGTCTGCATTGTACCTAAACTTCCAAGCGCCAGCGCCATCCACAGCTACTAGATCTTCCATGACGTAGTAGATGGCAGGACGAATGCGTTGGCGAGGTGTGACGCAAGAGACGTAAGCCCAGCTGGGAGTCTGGATGGAGAAAGCGTAGAGGAGCACGCTGAGCAATAGAGCAGCACCGATCACGCCTGCGATGAGGGGAATGGCGAGTAGGAGCAGGGTAAAGTTGCCACGATCGCCGTTTGTGCCCGCTGCTAGACTGAGCAAGACGGCGCCCACCACCATTCCGCACAGTAGCGCCCATTGGAAAAAGTCAAAGTGGAGGAGCACGCCTGCGATGAAGCGCAAGACGTAGCGCGTTCCGCTCTCGCCTTCGCGTCGAGCGGTGCTTGATGGCAAGAGGTTGGCATCTGATGAGGACGAGTAGCCTGCACCCGCGCCCACACCTGCTACCCTGCTACGACCAAAGGAGCTGGGATAAGCAGATCGTTCGAAATCCTTTTTGCAAATCTGCCAAGCGCGAAAGGGATAGTGAAACAGCTCTAGGGTTCCCAGACTTAGGGTGACCCAGCTGTACTGCTTCGCTGGTACTTGGTTCGTCACGTGTCCCGAAATGTAAAAGGCAATGGCTGGCGCTATAGAGTTGATGGCCACCACAGCGACAAGGTTCCAGAACAAGCTCCATCTTCTGCCCCAAAAGTCGTACTCGAAAGGTGGCGGTTGATGAGCGGCCACTTTGTGATCGCTGATCGCCATGGCTTCCTCGTGATGCTTGACGCCCGCCGCCGCCGCAGCAGCAGCATCTTCGGCGCTGCTCTTGTTGAATGTGAATCTCGATTGCCTGACTGCTTCCGCACCGACCAGCGTTGGCGTCATGGAAGGTTTGGCCGAAATGGTCTTGCCGCCTTGCGAGCCGCGCCGCAAAGCGACGTTGGCCTTGCGATAATCTTCACCATCGTAACCCTCCGCATCCGGATCAAAGTCTACTCGAGGAGTCACTTCGCCCTCGGAAAATGTGACGTGCTCCTCGCCGTGTTCAGGCTGCTGCTGCTCTGAGCGCCCGAGATCCATCGAGGATCGACAGGAACGATAGGCGTCCACGCCGCTATCGTTGGTCACGCCGGATAAGCGCGGCGCTGCTGAAGCTTGCGTGAAGCTCGTCGTTGCAGAAGGAGAGCGTTGGGAACGGGGCATGATGGAAAGCGAGGAAGCGCGATTGTGCGAGTAGGTGGATGCGTGTTGATGGAGAGGGTGATAGGGAGCGTGGGTGAGCAAGCACTTGAGAGAAAAGGTGATCAACGGGCAACGAAGGCGCGACGTGAATAGCAGGGGTCGACCGTTTGGGATTCGAATAGGAAGGTTTGATGCCGACGCTGCTAGCAAACTTGTGTAAAGTGGGGTGCAACCGTGAATCCACCAAAGCTGTTGAGCGTCGACATCAAGACACCTTGTCTCGCTGACTTGGCGCTCGGCACGGGCAATCTCGAATCTCTTTCACAATCATTTCGTTCGCCAGGCCTTGACCAAACGGGGCAATTTCGCACCGAATGCGAGCGAGATGAATCAGCCCATCTGTCACTCGACTGGAAAATGGCTACCACTGTGCGCTCGCTGATTTGAGCACGCCAATCTTTCGGGTCTGCAACGACCTGCGCAACGGAAAGTGACATCCGCCGCCGCGGCTGCTTCACCCATCGATGATGTGGAGCCATCCATCAGCCGTACGTCTGCCAATCTTGAACTCGAACGGTGCAAAATCAAGGCTCAAGCGAGGCTACGGCTACGGCTACGGCTACGGCTACGGCTACGGCTACGGCTACTGTACCGTCGTCGAGGAATGATGCTGCCACCAGCGGTAGCGCGATTTTCTGGAGGATTGCTTGCACTCTGGACTTCTGCTGCCACTGCATGCTAGCGCTGCATGCTGTGACTGCTGAGACCGCCTTCGTGCCAGCGCCATGCACGATGGCACAGCTGGAGAGAGCAGCGCCCAGAGGTCTCAGAAAGCCCTTCAGAGGGACACATGCAGCTGTGGCGAGGGTCTTTGCCTATGATGTGCGATGCAAGACTCACACCAGTCCGAGGTGCGATGCTTCGTCTTGATTCAAATTGATGGCGCAGGTGCCGCAAAAGTTGCGGTCGACTTCCTGTGCTGTACCGTACCGCATACATGGGGGTGTGAGTATAAGATGGGTTTATTGCATGAGTCAGAGTTATAGCCAAGCGCAAGGCTGTATGCGCGCTGCGCTCTGTGCAACATGCCTCCGCGGACCGCGATTTGCCCGCGCGTCTGCATTCAAGATTCACCATGCATTCGTCATGACTGCTGCTGCAGCATATGTGACTCTCTCGTGTCTGACCGCGCGTATTCGGATTCGTACTCTGACTCTATCGTGACTCGTGACTGCAGATGCTCTTCCTCCCGTGTCGCCATCCATCCCCACGCTCTTCGATCTTGCCCGCGCGCTTCGGGACACGCTAGCAAAGTAAGCACGGCATGCTGCTGCACGCACGCACGCACGCACGCACGCACCAACCCTTTGCTTTTGCTTGTGGGGAAATATGGGCTGCTCGAGCGTGGGCGAACTGCGGTAATTTCATGACATCTTTCATATTATCATTCACATTAGGATCGATTGTGAACTTGTGAGTGCGCGATACGGTACGCAGGGCCACAATAGAGAGAGAGGGAGAGAGGAGCAGGTATGCCTGCCGCGCTCCTGCTGGCATGCCCGCGATTTTTCAAGTCTCATTGCCCTCGCGACTTTTAGCAAGGCTGATGATCCGGACATTCTTGCATGTCGAGCCAGGTCCAAATTTCGTTATTTGAGTGGAATGCGAGACGAACGATGACCGTGACACTTCCTAGCGTGGCGGGGGCCGGCGGAAGGTCTAAGCCAAGAGAAGCAGAAGAAAGAGTAATCAGTCACACACACCTCCCGGAGTGAACGCTCAAGATGGATGCACAGAAGATCATTAGCACCGCGCGACTGGTGAGACTCTGACTGACTGCTCGTCGGGCACCACTCCGACTTGTCTTGAATTTTCGTTGCGCTTGCGCTTGCGCTACAGCTTCGAGGCTAATTATTGTGAATGATGATGATGTCGTCTTCGTGACAGGCCTCGGGCAGCTAGAATGGCCCGCGTGTCACAACTCGCTTGACACCCCGTCTCGGTGCGCTCGCTGCGCTGCTGCGCTAGCGAGTTGCGAAACTCACGCTAGCTCCATGCGCGCTTTGGCAGACGGATGATCTCTCTCTCTCCACATTCTGATGCAAAGACTGGTGAACGGACAGGCGGAAAATCTTTACGTGTCCGCTCTCCGCTATGCCGCGAAATCAGCAGCGCGGCGATCCCTCTCCGAGATTCTGCAAAAGCGCTGCTCCTCTGCCGGATGTCCTCTCTTTTCGCCCTCGAGGCAACACAATTAGCGCCCAAGAGGCGCGAGCCAGTCTGAGTCAATCCTGAACTCTGCCCAGTTCTGATTGATCCGAGTACCGAGCTGACGGCGCTGTAGCTCTTCGGCGGGGTAGGTGTACGCAAAGTGGCAGGCAAGAGAGCGGTTTCAGCACAGCACTTGTCTGCCGTTCAGAGTTGTGAGGAAAAAGTTCCAGTCGCTGGACCCGTCACGTCCGTCCGGTACATGCTGTACTGCACCACATCGTCTCTGCTCCCATCAGTCGTGAGTGCAAATTGCGGTGTGTCATTTTCAAAAGGGCATGCAAGCCTTGGGCACCCATATTGCGGTACCGTCCGCAAAACTTTTACTGGCCGGGCAAAGCGCCAATCAATCAATCAATCCACCCCCCCACCGAAAATAAAATCCCCCCAATCTTCTTTCATGCATGCGACCCTGAATGCTGCCGAAGCTAGTAGCTAGTCAGAGCGAAGTTCGTTGCTCGAACCCCACATCTCCGCACAAGCGTGCATGCGAGTCAAAAAGGGCCGCTCGCTCGCCCGCTCGCTCGCTGAATCTGGCTGGTGGAACCCCCTCGCGCGATTGGCTCGCAGTCGAGGACAGGGCGGCCAAGCACTGTGACGACGAGCATTCGCATGTGGTTATATGATGATCTCAAATCGAACTCGGAGCATCGGAGTACAGATTTGTCTCGGGCAGAACTCAACTCGATGGCAAGGCCCCGTCCCGTCCGTAATGCATCGCGCGAAAGTGGCCCGCAAGACTCGCGACTTCCGCGGATTAGACGCTCGCTAGGTCTTGCAGTGCTGATGAGTATGATCGGGTGGAAGAGTCACGAGTATCGAGCGACCCTCGCTCGCGTTGCACACAGAAGAGACGGCGGCTTCGAGAAGAAGCCGCGATTGGCAGCTGTAGGGGCGGAAAGCATGTGACTTTTGTGCGCCGGAATCAAGTCAAGATATGTAGGCATTGCTCTGCTCTGCTCGGACCGCGACCCCCTCCCTCTCTTTAGCGTCAGTCCAGCCTTACATCCACTCAGATCTCTCTCGGACAAGATGGCGCATAAAAAGTATCGCATTTGTTTTACACGTGTCGAAAACGAAGGCCGGAACAGATAATGTTAGCGATGTGAGGATTGGACAAAAGTTGGGGCGGGTGTACATGACAAAGCCACGAAGGGGTAAGAGGGGGTAAGAGCGATAGAAAAGAAGACGAATGTGAGCTTGCGCACGGGAGTATAGTGTGAATCATGAAGGACCACTCGGACTTTCAACGCCGACTCCGAGAGCTGCTTCTGCCATCGTGGTCTTCCGAGACCAAGGAGCGGGTGGGCGAAGCCAAGTTTTCGATCTCGTCTCGGACAGACTCGCTGTCCTGCCACTGGTCATCGCCGTCGTCCTCGATGTGTTGATGACCACCTTCCGTGCCGTCCGTGCTGCTCCGCGCGTCTCGGCTGATGCTACGACGCGACACCGAGTTGGCCGATCCGTCGCTGCCAGTGCGACTGTTTCGTCCCAGAATGCTGACAAGACCACCGCCGCTGGGACTGCCTGGCCATCCGCTTCCATGCCCAGCGTGCGAGCCTCCATAGCCAGCGATCCCGGGTGGCGGAGCGCTGCTAGCAGTAGGTGTTTCCGGCCCTTGACTTCCGCTTCTAACAAATCGACCGTTCTGACCAAAGTAGCTCGTCCCACCAAAATTGGGATTCAAAGATGAAGCTGAGCCTGGAGGAACCATCGAAGCACCGCTCGCCGTGTCCGGACGACCCAAAACACCAACGTGAGCGGGAGAGACCGGGTTTGACAGCGGAAGACTGAGTCGCTTCAGCTTCTTGTTGCCAGGGCCGGCCATGATCTGGTCGTGGGTGCTGCTTGCATGCACGTGATTGCCTTGACCAGGCTGAAAGTTCAAAGCTGACCGGCTGCTCAGTGGCACTGTTCCAGACGGAGATGCCGCCGCATCATAGCTCTCCCGCCTGTTGATCGCTGGGGTTTGCAGGGAGCTGTTGCCGGTAGCGTTATTGTTGCTGGAAATGTAGCCAAAGGCAGCATTGTTGCGTTTGCGATCCGCATTGCTTCCCGACACTTGCAAGCGCCTGAGCTCGTCCCGCGCTTGTTTGTAGGCTGTGCGAATCTGAGCTTCTCGAGAGCGCTGCTCCGACAGTTGCGTCATCAGAGCACGCACCTGATCAGCGCGGCCTCCTGCGAGGTTCTGCGGACACGCAAACAATGCGACGTGGTCAGCGGAGCCGCCGAGAATGCCGATTCGAGATGAAGCGTTACTCACTCCTGTCTTTGGGTCTGTCGGACTGCCGTTGAGCGCAATGGAAGCGCGCAGGTCTGCAATGTCCTGCTCCTGAGACTGAACCTTTCGGAGCAGCTCATCCCGCTCGCGCTCCACTTCGCGCTTCTCGCCAGAGTCACGACGCCTATCCTCAGAAGAGGATCTGGAAGCTTGCTCGACTTGCGAGACGCCGTTGTGACTGTCTGGCGCCGCCATGGCGGCAAAGACGCGTTGCAAGTCACCCGCTGCAATGAGCTGGCTCGATCGAGCTTGTTCGAGCTCCTTGCGAGCATTCGCCAAGTGTTCCAGATTTGGGGTGCTCGAGCTGTCCAAAGCGCCGAACATCTTCAGCGTCTTGTCGAGATCTGCCTGCGTCTGATTATGAGCTTTTTGCGCCGCTTCAAGCTGCGTCAACACATCCTTGTGCTGCGCGCGATGGCGATCTTCGGCTTCGGCGATTTGTCGTTGAAGCAGCACAACGTCGTCGCGACCTTCTCTATTCAAGGCGCCTTCGAGCTCTGCAACGCGCTTTCGGGCAGCAACATTGTCAGACATGGCATCTGCCATTTCATCGTAGACCTTTTCGAGCTGAATGTTCAGGTCCTTGACGCGAGCGTCGCGTTCGTCCTGCGCTTTCTGCGCTGCAGAGTCTCGTTGCTCGACTTCGAGCTCCAGCGCAGCGACGCGCTCCTGAAGATCTTCGACGTTGGCATCATGCTCTTCTTTGAGCTCCTTCAACGCACGAGCGTGGTCCTCTTCAAGTTCGTCGCGCAATCCCGCAGTTTCGAGCTTGCGCTGCACCGAGTCGGTATCCATCTTGCCGCTCATTTGAGTCAGCTGGGCCTGCAGAGGTGCCAGCATACTGCGGACGTGCGATGCTTCCTGTTCGGCGTTCAGATGCTTCTGCTGCGCCTCTTTGCGTGCCACGTCCGCTTTGCTCAGCTCTTCTCGGGCAGATCTTAGCAGCGTGACAGCCCTCTCTCTCTGGTTCTCTTCGTCTGCCAGACGCGTGCGCACTTTGTGAGTCTCAGCGCGAGCAGAGACCATGCCGGCGTGAGCTTTGTCGGCCTCTAGCTGGTGCTTTCGACTCTGCTCCTCGGCAGTCTCGGCCTGCTCCAGAGCCGACTCGAGCGCGTCTCGAAGATCGTCGATTTCATCTTCCTGCGAGTCGAGCTCGAGTTGATGTGTCTCGAGCATGTAGTCCATGACAGCCTTTTGCTGGTCAAGCAGATCCAGCAGCTTGCGAATTTCTGCAGATGTGAGCTCAAGCTTGGCAGTCATGGAAGTCAGGTACTTGCCAAGACCAGCAGCGTCTCCTAGACCTTCCAATGGCGTCGTCGCGCGAATGATGCGCTCCAACGCCTTCTTCTCCGCCTGCTGCTGCTTGAAAGTGCGGGCAATCTCGCTGAAAGCGCCAGTGAAACGCGTCTCGGCAAGTTTGATGCGCTCGTGGCCGAAGCTTAAAGTGCTCGTGGCAGAGAGTGGTGGCTCGCTGAGCTCGGAACGGGGCGTCGAAGAGCCGACTGCAACGCGAGGGACATTGGCCAACGGCGCAGGTCTGCCGTCGGGGCCCTTTCCTGCAACAGCCGCTTGCAAGGGACCTGAAGATGCGGCTGCAGCGCTGGGGCCATTCGCATTGCCGAAGGTTGCTGGGCTGCTGCTCTTGGGCGTCTTGGATGCCGTATCGCGGTCTGAATCGGCCAGCTTGTTTGGAACGCCGCGGCCACGATTGAGCACCGAACCGGCAGGAGGGCTGGGTGTGACGGGAGCGTTCTTGACGGCAAGATCCGACAGGGAGACGCTCTGACTTGAGCTGCTTGGCGTCAAGACTGGGCGACCAGTCACAGAAGTGCCCGACGCCTTGAGGAGGATCGCGCCAGCTTGCACTGGGCGTGATTGCGTTGGAGCAACTCTCGCGCGAGCTTGGCGTGAGGAGGGGGTCTGAGCACCGCCAGCGGAGCGGGGATCTTGACTGGCGCTGTCGACCCGCGTCAGAGTCTTGACTACAGCTGCCTCTGCATCCTCTCCCTCTTCCCCCTCCTCCTCCTCCTCCACGTCCTCTTCTGACTCGGATGGCTTCGCTGAAGCGCCGCTTTCCCCGTGCTCGCCCGACTCGCTAACTCGGTCTGGATCGCTCAGACCAGTTGCCTCGGGGCTTTCTTCGAAGCTAGCCGTAGAGTAGATGCTCGAGTCTAGACTAGGGCGAGCGATCGCATCGCCGTGTTGTGGCGCAGCTGCCTTCGCCGCGGCTCGCATCGACGCGCGTCGAGCGTAGAAGGACATCTGAGGCTCGACCTCCTTGAGCACCGCTTGAGCGCTTTCTGCTCCAGCGTCCGTCTCGCGGTGATTAGCGGCAACAGCGATCGCTGGAGCGGAGCTCGGCTTGACAGCTGTCCTGACCGGCGGGAAGAACGCGGCGGCGGCTGCCGCATGAGAAAGTTTCGGGCCGGCGTTTGCAATGCGGGGCGACGCTTGAGTCGTAGTACTCAACCCTATCGTCGGGCTGCCGACGGTCGCCGGGGCGATCGGCGGTGCAGATGGGGCGGTCTGCGATTTGTAGTGGCCAGACAAAGACCAACCGGCGCTTTCATGCTCCGATCCTTGACTCTGTGCCGTGTGGTGCGACGAGGCAGAGACATTGTCGGGCACGACGACGTTGATCGATGCACCGCTGCTACGGTGCGAATTGCCCGAATTGCGATGAGTCGATGCTCCAGACCTTCGATTGGCAGACGACGCCGAGTTCCGTAGAGCACCGTTGGGATTGGGCGACTTTGCACGACGAGTGGCCACAGTGGAGGGCGTGCTTGGAAGTGGCGGAAGCGGCTCTGCCGGTGGTCTCGTCGGCGGTGGCGTTTGGCCTCGAGCGACCGGGCTGGGCAGGCCTCTCGAGATGGCAGGCGAGGTGGGCGAGGCATTGCTGCTGGTG